GGGCCTGGTTGCTGTACTTAGGAGAGATTTGATTGAACGGGAAGAACAGACACACTCCCTCAAAAACTCAAGTATCAGAAGTCAATCCAGCAATGTCCAGAGAGGTATTCCTGGGATCATTGCTTTAAAAATATGCTATTGTAGTTTCTTTCGGATAACTGGCTACTAACCGCATTTTATTTGTAGAAAAAAAAACGGAAAAATGAACAGCTGATTTCACTCTTCAGCCGCCATCTTGGATGCTGGAGTACAAACCTAACTTCGGCCTGACGAATAATTAGAGACCTTTCGCATGTGTACCAAAACAAACACCAACACAAACATGTTCGTTTTCGTTTTCGTATCATCTTACACGCGGTTTCGAAGTCCGACGTACGAAATAAACTAGATGGTGTTAATTTCCACTCCATGAAGTTCTCGGTCAAGGCAAAGTTTTCAATCGATTTTTTGGCAGATGTACAACAAATCAAGCAGAATATTGCTTTTGAGCACATTCTACGAACTCTACACAATCAACAATATACACAGAGCTTCGAACAATAGTGGAAAATTCAATATATGAGACAAGAAACATATTCGTTTGCATACCTACATAAACCCAATCATTACGGATTTACGTCACAAGTACACACGAATCGATGACATTTTCGTATTTATATAGCGCACGTACTCCATTCATAGAGGCATGTTCACCGCGCATACAATTAGTTTAACCAATCCTGATAATAAGATGGGTTCCACATTTTAGGCGCATTCACTGAGAACGGTCCGTATCCAAATAATTTAATTTCCACCTTGAGCAAAACAACTGATGGAGGTGTGTTCGGCTGGAGGTTACGCGAGGGAAGTTGTATATTTGCTTAAGGTTAGATAGTATATTTGAGCTAAGCCATTCACACGCTGATACGCCAAAGACAGACTTTTGAAGATGATTCTTTCATTTATTGGCAGCCAACATTGGACTAACATATGTTTCAATTTTATTTCAATAACTTTTTAGCGGTAGGGGTAAGCCAGAGGAGATAACCTACGAGATTTGACCCTACTGATTGTCACGTACAATCTGGGAATGGAAACCAGACCACTTGACTCAATGACAGATCTTATGAGAGAACGCATGCCTTAGACTTAGGCCGTTAGCACAGCCTGTCTCGTTTTTTACGCCCGTCAATACGTTTAGATAACTGAGGCGATAGTTTATAGCTAATGGAATCGATGCCTAGATGTTTGAAAATAAGCAGATAATTGCAATGTTCGACAAGACTGCGTATAAATTATTCGAAGAATTAAGCCAGCTAAATAGCTTTTGGTTTATTTGAATAATATAAAATATAGTTTACTTTGTAAGCAAAATGTTTTTCATTACTTTTAAAAACAAAATAATCAACATAATATATCTCTTTTGTACCGGCTTTATTTATAATTATGTATTCAGTTTCCTGTATGATCACGTGTTTATTAGTCCGGCGGGTGCAGAGAAGTAGATCGTTAAAATCCAGTTCTTTCATTCATTCCTGTACGACGTAATGAGACCTACCATAGTGCTAGCAAAATTATATATTTTTATGTCTTATCGCCTTAGATAAGGCGATGATAATAAGTAGAACGCTTGCGATACAAAGTTTAGCGCTCGAGATAATACAATCGAACACGTTTCAACCGATGTTTTAAGCTGTATAATTTTGTGCATTATTTAATGATAAACTTGCAGAATAAAGATATTCATTTGTTCGTTTTTACAGCCCATCCAAAGCTGCAGTGACGGAGCGGATACCCCCTCCCACCCCACACGCACACACCACACTCAATACCATGCTCATCACCACCACTAAATATTTCCCGTTGTATTTACCCCCTAAGTGGGGAGTATATCGCATGTTATTATACGAATGAATAATCATATATATCGAGGTTACAGAGTTTTGCCAGGAGAGACTGACATTTTTTCTTACGAGGGGAAGTCAATAAGTTCATAGAAGTTAGTATTGGTACACCCTTGAAGACATCATCGTTGATGTCATTTACTTGTGATTTACAGTCTGTTGAACACAGGTACCCTCCTGTTCGAAAACTGAGCATCGTGCGGTTATCAAGTTTCTCACGACAGAAGGGGTGAATGCGACCGAAATACATAAACGTATGATCAATGTGTATGGGAAGGAAGCCCCTCAATATTCTACTGTTGCTAAATGGTTAGCTGAGTTTAAGCGTGGTCACAGCTCCTTGGACGATGACCCACGGTCAGGAAGGCCTGTTGAAGCCATTACAGATGATATGGTTGCACGGGTCCAGGGCTTAATCATGTCCGATCGTAGAATAAAGGTGGACGAGATATCTTCAGAGTGTGGCATTTCTCATGGAAGTGTTTGCACCATAATTCATGAGCACTTGCACATGTCCAAGGTGTCTGCAAGATGGGTGCCACGAATCTTAAATGCACAAGATCGACACCAGAGAGTTGAATCCAGTCGTGAGCTCTTGGACATCTACAATGCTGATCCCGATAACTTTTATGCCCGTCTGGTTACAGGGGATGAAACGTGGATTCATCACTGGGATCCTGACACCAAGCAAGAATCCATGCAATGGAAGCATAAGCACTTTCTTGCACCCAAGAAGTTTAGAACTCAGCCTTCTGCTGGCAAGATCATGGCGACCATTTTCTGGGATTCAAGGGGCGTAATACTTATAGACTATAGTATAAACCACCTTAAACTACAATAACAGGAGCCTACTATGCTGACTTGTTCAAGCAATTGAGAGCTGCGATCAAGAAGAAGAGGCGCAGCATTTTGACTGCTGGTGTTATGATTCTTCATGACAACGCTCCAGTGCACATGAGTCGTATTGCACAGGCTGCACTTCAACAATGTGGCTTTGAACAACTTAATCATTCCCCCTACAGTCCAGATCTGGCCAAAATCGACTTCTATCCGTTTCGCATTATGAAAACACACTTCCGTGGTACAAGATTTGGCGATGATGATGAACTCAAGGCAGTTACTGAGGCGTGGCTGAGGGGCCAGTCAGAAGACTTCTACCGCAAGGGAATAAACAGTCTCAAAGACAAATGGGCAAAGTGCATCGAGGTGCAAGGAGATTATATTGAAAAATAAAATCAATATCCACTTCTATGAACTTATTGACTTCCCCTCGTATCTAGAAGCCCAGGTCTGATCCAGGGTAAATTAGACAATGATCAGTTCCTACAAATGAAATAAATAACCTTGGATCAGACCTGAGCTTCTAGATAAGAGGTAATGGCAATCTCTCCTAGTAAAACTCTGTAACCTCGATATATACAATTATTGATTCGTATAATAACATGCGATATACTCCTCACTTGGAAGGGGGGTAAATATAACGGGATATATTTAGTGGTGGTGATGAGCACTGCACCTTTGGATCGGCTGTAAAAACGAACAAATGAATATCTTTATTCTGCAAGTTTATCATCAAATTCTGCACAAATTTATACAGCTTAAAACATCGGTTGAGACGTGTTTGGTTATATTATCTCGATCGCAGCTCGACTTAACTATCTCGAGCGCTCTATTTAGTATCTCAAGCGTGTCCTAAATCAGGCACCGTATATATATTATGTTTTGTTAAATCTCAATTTCTGTGTTTTAGCAAAATGACCTCCAGTCACCCGTCCCCCTTTGACGAGTTGTTTGTCCCAGTAGTAGACTATCAGTAATAGCTATAGCGCTATCGTGGTGGCTTGATCAAAAAGAATTCTGCCTGTTACCACGGCATTACAATAGTAAAACTTAACACTATATTTAGGCCTACCTAAAACAATATGGTATCAAGTGAATTTTTTGTATTGTTCAGATTGTCATTTTAAATTTTTGTGTCTTAATTTAGATAAGCAAATGAAATGGGTTTAACGTCCTACTTTTCTGAACCTACCGGGACAATGAAGACATAGGCATAGAACATACAGTGTGCTGAGACGGAAAGTTTCCACCTAATTTTGGTCGAATTCCAACTGCGATGTTTCATTTTACGTGCCCGTTAATGTATATAGACGGAACCCCGGGTTTTTTTTGTGCCATCGGAACGACTAGACACAGGGAACACCTTAGGCTGTAGAATTGCTTGGAAACCTATGTTTCATTTAATTGATGTTTTTCATATTTGTATAATATCGTTTAAAGAGAAGATTAGCGAGTCGTGTATAAGACCTCTGGGCCTCTTGTAGACATGATTTAGCAATATAGTAGGTATAAGGCGGAGTTCATGAATTATTTACCAGTTTTTAATGTTATTTAAAACGTACCTGGTTACTCAAAGTGCAATACCTAAAAACTTCATTAAAAAACTGATTTAACCTATTTTAAACCTGTATGATTACAAGTGAATCACATGGATGAAAAGAACACAACATTTTATTTAGGATGAATTATTTTAAAACATTCCATTTTATCTTAATTTCTTAGAGACATTCATATTATTTTATATATTATGCCTACGCAACAATACGTCTTTCAATATGTGGAAAAATTGAATGTTAGTATCTTTCGATGGCTTGTGTTTCTTAAGACGTATAGATGAGGCGTATTTGTAAGATTGCCAACACGGAAATCACGGCGATGCGTTTTCTTATTTGATGAAAATAGAAAATATGAAATTATTGTTCTAAATTACTTCTATGTTTTCCTTGAGATATAATGCATCACATGGCTTGTTTACTGGTAAAGAAATTATGACCCTTCAACATACGTGTCATTAGCGATTTAAGTTGTTTAGAAAAGCATACAAAAAATTGGTGTGAGCTCATATATCTCCACTCTGAGTTGTTGCTGTTTGAAAATAATCGGATTTTTAAGGTGTTGTCGAAAAAGAAATTGAGTTTCTTAAAATGTCCACATGTCTACGGGTCTTGTTTAAAGTACCCGATAGAATTTATTTTCTGTGAAAAGTAAAGAGAGGCCAAAAGGCTTGAAATATCAGCCAATGGTAGACGAATAGGTAAGCACCCATAGCTGTAGCTTTTAACCTGGTATTTCTGTTAATCTTTTATCAAACAGACCGATTCAACCTGAGAAAAACTACTTTCCCTACAGCTATCAAAATACAATGAAAAGCCAAAGGATTTCATTTTAAGTCAGCGACAATGGAGTAGAGATGATGCGAGAAAATGTCATCAGAGTTGATGTGGTATAAGAATTATAACGGCATTATGAGAGATTCGTCGATATGGTGAAACGATGAATCTAATGATATGGCCCCTGTTTTCATCACGTGGGGCGGCTAAACGTTCCTTTTCTCCAATCCGTTGACTTAAAACAAATATAATTTCACTGGTTTGTTTACACATAGATAAAGCATCAGAGTATATTTCAACCCAGACTTGCCTTTCATATTGGTAAGTTCAATTTTTATTTAGTTATTATTTCACTTGTCAAAACAAAATGTTCATTTTTATAAAAGCACCATTAGAAATGCCGAAATTATTTCAAATGACAATGACCTTTATAGGAAATTGTAGACTAATCATTACTAAAAAGAATTTTCCTGTATGTCGGATTAAATCCAATAATGTATAAAACATGGATACCCCATTAACTCAATCATGTAAGTTTTCTCCCATATCAACTTTTATCAGCTGCAAGGCGATATAAAAGTTAATATGTGATAACAAAGGACTTCAACAATTGACCAACCCTTTTATTTAGTGTAGATATTGACATCCTGTAAATTTTATAATCTTTCATTTTTGACATACATACTTGAACTGACTGATTGGCTTTAAGATATAAATTGATACGACATCCTCTTGAATGCTTTATACCCTTTTTTTACCCATCGAGCGCAGTTTGGACATTTCGAAAATAAAATTAATAAGGCTGTATTTCAGAATATACGCAATCAATATAGTTAAAAATAAATTAGCTTGTAGAAACAAAAAGCGTGGTCTATACTACATGTATATTATTATCAAATGTAAAATGAGTGTTATATTGAAGATTTTCTTTTTTATTTTTAACACAAATTGAACTTTTAAGGATATTTCTTCATTTCCGGATTAATTTTCTTTAAATCTTTAAAGTTTATCGCTTTAACATTTTATTGATATGAATTGTGTATTTAAATCTGTGTTGAGATAGCAGTTTATATGATTTATTGACAACAATTAAATATCAAAGGATTAACAAACGTCTTATATTTCGTATCAAATGCAGGGTAAGTTTGTTTTTTTATTTAAAATGCATTAATCTAATTTACGAGAGGTCAATTTGACGAGATCTTACATTAAAAGAGTCGTCTCAGATATATTTTTTCATACAATTAGCTCCGCTTGAGAACAGACACAAAGCTAGTAAACCTCGAGAATTTTGATAGGAATTTATTCCTTTTTCACACTCATAATATGTAATGGAATTGAAAATTATTTATTCGGTATATATGAAACGTATTAGAACCGCATAACAAAATAGCATACACTTTTTGCAATACGGCGGCCATTTAAGACATAATCTATTCTCAGAGTAGAAAGTTTTCTGTGTGCAGACTGATATTGCTAAGTATGGGGAAAAGATATTTAGACGATTTTATTAATTGCCTAAAACTATTTGAAACTCATGAGTGGTAATTTTTTAGCAGAAATACACAAACGGTGGAAGATTTTTTTTTATTGGTCACAAGTTTTCGACATACATGTAACATGTCAGGCATTACAAGAGTAGAACAAAATTCTTTATCTGAGATACTTAAAGATACATTATGTAAGATTTAGATAAAGAGTTAGCCATTCTTGTTATAATAGTTCGAAAATAGATAATGTAAAATGAATAATTTGAAAATTTCATTCAAATTACTCTATTGCGAGCAAAGATATTAGCCTTTGAAGCTTTGACAAGACGTGTGCAATAATTTCAACCACCGTACTGGTTGTTCGAAGCTAAGTCTCGCTCCTTCAAATCAAAATATAGCTGAACTGTTCTAATCTGTTTAATATCGGAGAAATCCGATGCCATCGAGAGTTGGTTATGGCCAGTATAAGTTAATTAATGTCTAATTAATAATTTAGATAACATTTTAGGCCTAAAGGAAGATCTGCAATAGATAGAGTATGTTTAAATATGTTTTGCAATTTTGGCAATCACTTTCAAATGGCTTAATATTTTGAGTGGAAACTTTGAAAAAATGGGGTATTTAGCTTAAACCCACAGGTGAAGTATGGCTCGGTATAGAATGCAAAAAAAGAATGTACATGTATAATTTAAAATTTACACCTAAAGAATCTAAGTCAAATATAAACCATCAATGGGTCCTTTATTTGAGATATGATGCAAATGTAGAAAAAGAAGACCCCTCATACTTTCGCTAGAAATATTGTTTTCTGGGCGTTAGTGTAAATCACCTTGAATATGAAATAAAAAGATGTCTTCGTATTATTTATTTTATACACACCCATTGGCCAATTTTTTTTGTTTACAAATTGACCTCATGAGTCTGGTAGGGGTGTTTTTGTCAATTACAAATAATTATTTTGACATGTCAAAAACTAGTTATTTTGTCTTGCCAATCGTGTCTCGATCAAAACAGTAAACATTCAGATGTAAATATTGAACATTTATAAACATTAGAATGGTATACGCCAAATCTTCATTATCACAAGTTTTGAGTATTGAAATGGCAAACAAAATGTAAACATTGTGTGAGGCTCTTGGGCATTTAACAGAAAGCTGATTTTTAAATCAATGTACACTCGAATGCAAAATAGGTCTCCATGATGGTATGGCGGTGGGATATAGGTTAGTTTTGCCATAGAAAGATCTCTTCCTCCGTACCCTTCTGTCTTGATGATCCGTTGTCTAATCTATGAAAACATGTTGAGCCCGAATAATTTGGGGAGCCGCTTTCTTCCCGATAGAAATTTGGAAGATCGGCTTTCAAGCACCCTTAACATCCATCCCACCCCCTTGTTCCTGAAGCAACGGCCACGCGTTACACAACATCCAGCAGTTAAAGCGAGATCAAGCCTTCTTTTAAGGCCCCCCACCCCCTCCCCTCACCCCCATCCGCCCCCATCCTCCCCCATCCTCCAAATATATATATCGATAGACTTCAGCGCACATTTGAAATAGAAAAAATTGCGGATTTTTTAGATATAAAACAATTAAAAACCGTTTTATAAATATAAGAGAACACACAAATTTGAACTATCTTATATTTAAGATAGGGTTATTACCGAAATTCTCGAAACAGGAAATTTACTTTTCTAAGCACGATATCCATTTCAAGAACATTTTTCAAAAATCGATTTGAGTGCAAACTAACAATGAATCCCGTTTTATGTTTAAGTTGTCATAAGCATTCAAAGCCCAGATGCGTTAATCTATAATATCCATAAGGTATTTTTAACCTAATATAATCCCCTTTGAAAACGTGAGTAAGCATGAAGAGCCAATTTATAGCCTTATTATATAGCCCAAAGAAAAAGAAAATCAGTTAAATTAAAAAACTATAAAGATTATACTTTATCTGATTCATTTATTTCTCTTCAAACCCGCGTGCATATTCGTTATGTTAGTTAAATTGTAACGGCCCGACCTCTAATTCCAGTATCATTTCTAAGTTAATCCATATTATCTACCTAAATTTTCTGTTGACGATTTCTTTAAATTTAGTGAATAGCAGTCCTAAATATTTTCTAGGTTTTGAATCTGCTCATAAAACATTCCTTATTGTATTGCTGCTTTCATATTTCATATACAGTGAAGTAGAATACTGAAGATTAATTGCTTATTATTAAGTTTGAAACGGACTTCATCTGATTACTGAAAACCTATCTTGAAATCCAGCAGCTTACCAATACCCCCAATCACCACGCATTACCGACATATTAAATATTGTCCATTATCTCTGGAATAGTTTACTCTGCCCCATTCTTGATTTTACGGGTTATGCACTAGTTTCTAGTGGTATACACATGTTGTTTGTTCGCCTGTCTGTTGTCATAAACGCCCATCTACTGGATTACTTTCAACTAATGACATGCATTAAGGGATTAACATATGTACGAAGAATTGTTAGGCGGACTGTTTCATCGAACCGAAAATCAATAAAAAAAATCGTTCAACTATGCCGCAAAATCTGTGAATCTAAAAATGAATGTTTTAGGGACACAAATACACTACAACAAAGAAAAACAAGAATCGACGATGAAGTATTTGAAATATGCAACTATGAAATTGGCTTCTAGACAATGGCAAATGAATAAAGAGACAATTGCTTTTCTTGGTGTCATCTGCAATGTCAGTCTAAATATTTTAAAACTCTCTAACTCTAACTGTAAGCATATTTTAACAAGTGTGGAGTTTTTTTCTCTGTCGTTCCGAAAACATAGACGTGTCTTACCGCAGACTTTGATAACAATCGACGTGTGTATAAATAAAGATACACAATAGACAACATCAGCAGTGCCAGAATATATTCAACATTTGAAAAAGATTGATCGGGTTTATGTGAAGTTTCTTTTGAAAATTATTGTAACTCTACTGGATGCAGTGCTAAATATCCTTTTCTTTATGTTTCAGTGTTAATTATTTTTTTGTCTTGGTGATAAACGAAGGTGATGAATGATGGCTGAAGAACAGACAGAACCGTCCACTTCCGGTACACAGTCGTTAAACACGCACCCAACCTTAGAAACTCCGCCGAGTATGAAAGACAAGGACCTCAGCGATTTAGACAGCACAGACGAAGAAACACCCAACAAAGATCAGACGAATGATAATGACGACAAAATAAATAACACGGACACAACTGATAATATTATAGACAGTGAAAAAAACAAAAATAAGAACGATGAGAAAAATAGTTCAGAGACGGTCTCTGTGGACAAAACCAACAACAGTTTAACAACTGAAAACAATAATGACCTGAATGACACCGAAGACGACAACCAAATAGAGGATGAACCAGACACTCAAGCTTCAGAAAAGGATCCGAAATTAGAGGTTATGGAATTAGAAGAAAAGTCCAAAGACGTGGAAACGGCCACCCCAGCAGATATAAGCTATCCTATGACCAGGTTTCAGATTTTAAAAAACCTAGCCGTAGTCAGTCTCGGTTTCTTTTGTCTTTTCACTGCTTTTATTTCTATAAGTAATCTACAGACTAGTCTAAATATAGACGACGGAGTAGGGCCAGGTAGTTTATCCATTATATATGGTGCCTTGGTTCTATCTTGTATGTTCTTACCGCCATTTATCATTGCCCATCTAGGATGTAAATGGACTATTCCTCTTTCTATGATTGGATATGTTCTATATATGGGAGCTAACATGCACGCCATCTGGGCTCTGATGGCACCAGCCGCAGTTCTACTAGGACTAGGAGCAGCACCGTTGTGGTCAGCCAAATGTACTTATCTTACTCAGACTGGTGTTTGGTATGCGCAAATGACAGGACAAAGCAAAGACGCAGTCATCAATCGTTTCTTTGGCATCTTTTTCATGACTTTTCAAGCAAGTAAGTTGTTTTCATTAAGCTATGATATTTGATTACATAATCCCAGCTTATATGAAGCAGGCCACATAATAATGACACACTTCTATTTTTGTTTTGCCTTCACTTCATTTTAGTGAATTGGGACGTGTAAGGTATGTGCACGACTCTCTCCCAAGCACTTTTATGGCCATTTTGGGAGTAAGTTGTCAGTTTTCAGAATCTTCAAGAGTTTTTGAGGATTCCTATACCGATTTCCCTCTTGAAACACCTTATATTATACATTAATCGAATGTGCACTTAATTACTTTTCGAAATAGGTATCCCAGATCTAATTACGGCTTGATTTGTGCACAGCATTTGGGTAGTTAAGCCGTAGAGCCGTCTGAGTTGTGTCTTTATGGAAAGGTCAACGATTCAGCTGGGCCAGGGCCGGAATCTGTGTGAGCATTTGTAAAAACTTCAGGACCTTTGGGGGTTCGATATAAACAAAAAGATCCATCCATTTCGGATTACAGAGCAGGGGATTTAGGGAACATCCCGAACATATAATTCCTACAGTTATTGCTGAATTCCATTTTCAGGTAAGCGATTCTCGTCTAAGTTGACTTTTTATATATTTACAGGTCAGATCTCTGGTAACTTGGTTTCCTCCCTTGTCTTTAGTCAGAATAACACCGACTTAAACTTATCGAACGATATGTTACAGAGATGTGGTGCCAACTTCGACCCCCGAATACATTCCAACAATACTAACCTGGTCAGGCCTGATGCTGACAGGGTGAGTAGAACTTGGGAATATAAATCATATTCTACCTTCCTGAGTGGAAGGAAGAAATAGCATTAATCACCAAAAAAACACACGAATATCAGTTCTGATTGGTAACACAGTTGGAGGTGGCATTCCACTACTACTACTTTTACTGGGGGTTTTGATCCGCTTGCGCCTATCGCATACAGGCATGCAAACCAGTGATTTACCCATAGGCTTGGTAGACTGACGCCTAGGGTCCAGAGATACAGTAGTCTTAAACATCCGTCATCATCTTCGACTTTCCTCAATTGTGTTTAAAACACGCTTTCATCTTCCTTTATAGTCGTGGGGATTGGGAGGGGGCCCATAAATGGATAGTCAAGGGCCTCTCTTTGTATATTAAATTCAGAACCTGCCAACCTATGTCTTATCAATCTCAGTCACGAACCGACAAGAAGTTATATTTTGTCAATAGATCCCAAAGTATTGTAACAAGTGACCGGCATGAAAAGCTATGTTATTGATATTCACATTCTTCACATAGTATCCAAAATTTAAATGAGTTGATAAATAATTGACAAAGTGGTTGAATATTTTATTTTACAGGTTTATATTGTTTGTGGAGTATATTTAGGGTTTGCCGTTTTAGCTGCCATCATTGTTATTTTGCTTCTTGATAAATTACCAATAGAAAAAGACAAAGATGCGAAACCGTCATTCAGTCTGTTAATTAGCACATTTCGTCATCTAGCAACAAGTCCAGCTCAAATGTTGTTAATACCTTTAACAGTATATAGTGGAGTGGAACAGGCTTTCTTTGCCGGCGATTTTACCAGAGTAAGAAATAGTTTTCTTAGATCCTTATTCGGATTTGTTCGCATATTAATCTACAACACTTTCTTACACCTACGATATGTTATACAATATCTCTGAAATGTTGATTATGGAGTTTTGTACTCGCGCCATTATCATAAAAATATCTATCCTTTTCACAGTATTACAAATCGGGATTTCTCTCGTATAATAAACACTACAGCTATTTTTATTAAACCCTTTATTTGTGATCTCCATTAAGGTACGGCGTAAGATTTTTAAATGGTCGGAATTATACTTAAAATTCATAAGATAAACACAGAATAACAACATATATTTCAGTCGTATGTGACCTGTTCATTAGGAATATGGAATGTTGGTTATATCGCTATATGTTATGGTATTGTAGATGCATTTTGTTGCTATACATTTGGACGTTTAGTGCAGTATGTTGGACATATACCTTTCTTTATTCTTGGTGAGTTTTCTTTAGATACACGCCCGTAAGACGGTCCAGTAGCGAACATTTCTGCATACGCTGCTTAAACTAGTCTTTGCATTATTTGGTCTGAAATAATCTTATCGCAATTCTGGAGGAGGGGGTGGGGGTAGTTGTTATCGAAACAGTATTTAATATTTCCTGTAAAAAAACAACAAACTTATTGCTGCCTATGAGTTCAAAAACTTGAATGAGCTCTTTTTGTGTACAAAACCAATAAAACTACCACATATCAATATTTTAAAATTCTTGACAAAAATGCGATATTGATAAGTGTTTTGTTTTGAACACCAGTGCCCAAATGATACGTAGTAGAAAGGCCCGTAATAGACCTGTGGGAAAGTCAATAATGTAGCTTTAATTCGGTATACTCGCATCCCGAATTTATTGTGACCGCTTGCAATGAGATGTTGCTGAAAGGAATGCATGCCGTTCGTACTTACATAGTCTATAATAAGGTTTTTCTGGGGGGAAATCCGTATGATAATTATAAACACTCGACAACTTACAAAAACAGGGCCTTATCTTTCAGACCCTCCCCTGGACATCAGATATCCAAAAATGGCCGTAAAATGACATAGGGAAATAGACAGACATTGCTAGAGTATTGAGGACTCTACTATACGCATTTACAGTTATATATCATGATAGTCGCGATTCTAGATACATAACATCAATTACAAGAAATATCCAAATTACCAGAAGAAAAATCAATGTCTTATTGATACTACTGATACAGTATTTCGATATGCATCAAGAGAGACATTTTTTATTTGACAATCTTCATTTTTGTGGTAGTTTCAATTATTTTGTCTTCTGTTATATTTTTTTTTATTAAACAGTTATGTATATTAATTTTGTTTTCTTACAGCTGCTATTTTACATGGTTGTGCACAGGTGGTGATGTTACTATGGACGCCTGATCCCAGTGTAATATATGTTTACTATGTACTAGCAGCCCTATGGGGAATGGGAGATGCCGTCATTCAAACACAAATAAATGGTAAAACAATTTCTGTACATTGTCAAAATTAGGTTCTACATTAGCCATGTAATACTATATAATAATGTGTATATTTACAATTCACTTTACTTCACATCACAAAGGGTTACGTACAAAGCGCGACATGATTATTAAACTGTCTCAAGATACAGGTATAGCCTGATTACCTCCCTTGATGCTGAAACGATTCTTTTCAAAATCAGTTAAAACATCTGAAAATATACAAAATTACTTTCTAAATTGGTGTTATTTAATTCCTAAAGTTCTTGGGCACAATGCTCTAAAAACATATTGTAAACAAAGAAAAACAACACATATCCTTGGATATAGTCCTCAGTGTCAAAGTTTAGATGAAAAAAAAGGATTTGATATTCAGTAAGAATGTGGTTGTCAAGGAAGCTAAGGAAATATCGGATATTAATTTTGATTGTTCAGTAATGTATCATCTTCAATAGAAGGCTGGATCTCGCTTTAACTACGTACATCTTATCAAGGCCTTCACGTAATACCCTGCATATTGCGGCACTAATTTCGATTTGGTACAAGCCCAACCTGTGAGCCTATCAGATTCCTCGATCGTCGCGAATACCAAGTCTCACGCTTTCAAGCTAAAATGTCTACCTGTGATAATCGAGTTGCAAAGCTCAAGGTTCATTCAATGTCAAGGTTTCCGTGGAGGTCGCGATGTCACAACCTCTGATTGGATGCTACTGCTCACGTGTCTGTAGATAACATAGCTTTAAGTTCGGAAATTGTGAAGTAAACAATAAAAAAGCAACGGCCAAATGTTGAGAAACTCGCAGTCGTTGCTTCAGGAACATGGTAATGTATTTGCGGGTCATTTTAATCGATTTCGGACAACGGTTCGTTCTCCCTTTCTCTTCCTCTATAGTATAATACGTATTGATACGTTTCGTACGTTCATTCTTGGGACTGAACGTCCGCTTCCACCGAGAGTGATATCGCAGACAATCAATAATGATGAGCTGGATGCCTGGCACCACACGGCGAGTAGCCATAGTCGCGCAGCGACCCATTTCCAATATCGGGCACTACTTTTCATCGACAGCCCATATGGAAGGGAATGACGATATTTTTACCCCTTCAAAACGGCTGCGTATTGAGAACAGTAAGTTACTGATTATGAAAGAAGAGTTCAACTTTCGACTAGAAAAGTAGAACTACGCGGATCAATCGGGTATGGGATGCATATTTCTGTCCACGATTTTCGTAATAGAATTCGAGTTACTCCGCTGCGCACTGGTGACGTCATTCGGCATTTTACAAGATCGATCTTATTGCTGGGACCACCCCTACGCATGATAGCCTACATTAAAATTTGATTGAATTTGTTGAAGTGAACATCGAAGTTTGTTTTAGTTATAAGCCAGTAGCTGATACCAAATAATGTTACCAGAAGAAACGTTTTGCTCCAGCATCAGGAATTTTAAAAGAACTTTGCTTTGAAATATATTCTAAATAAAAATATCGATAGTTCTTAGGTTCTAACCTCGCAGTATTTATATTAATATATTTTCAGCATTGTATGGACTGCTGTTTACAGATAATACGGAAGCTGCTTTTGCCAATTATCGATTATGGGAAAGTGTTGGTTTTATTTTTTCATTTGCGTACAACGATTATATTCCTACATATATTAAATTATATGTATGTATGGGTGCATTGTCTGTTGGTATGGCCGGATATAGTGCTGTAGAATTCTTACAAAGAAACAAGTCTTCAAAGTCTTATAATATTTCTGATTAAAGTTTAACATTATAAATATTTGTCTCGACTTTATTTTTTTTCATTTTTAAACGAAGTAAACGTTTTTGATTTAGGTCGAAATACATTGTTGAATTGAGTTATGTGATGAGAAAACTCTATACGACTGATCTTTCGTTTCGTAATATATAATGCGGAGGTACGTTGGTATAGTAATTAAGTTCCGTTTTGGATTTAACCGTCGACTTTAACTTATTTGGCTTATATCTGAACATTAGCGCTATCTGTAAATCTAACATTAAAATGTACACAGATGCAGACTTCTCTAAATGAATCAACACAGCAAATTCCATCATATCGACACATTATTTTTTAACTGGATCAATTAAGGTGTAGTCATTTTAATTAGCAAGTGTAGTGTTGTAATTTCATTAGTAGACTACCACTTAGAGAAACTGATCTGAATAGCACGCTGTCAACATACAAACTAGTCCATACTAGTTCCAGTCAATAACTGTACCAAAGTTAAATATATTATCATGGGTCTTATATAGCGGTTATTTATTATCCCCATTTGTTTTCAAGAATCTTAAGCTACCATTTGCGCCCGTAAAATCCTCTTTTAAGAAAAGCACTATGGTAGAATACTATTGCCCCCTCTCCCACTCCCCTCCCAAACGCACTTCTTCCCTAAATAGTCTCCTCTCAGAACGTATTTTAATAAAATCGTATATTTCTTCACTACTATTTTAAGGTTAACGAAAACGTTGACCTTGGTATACGTGAAATGAAATTATGGGGGTTTAACGTCCTACTGTTCTGCCCCGACAGGGCTAATGAAAAAGAGCATACGCCATGCAGTGTACTGTCGTGGAAATTTTGCCAGGACTGTTGTGAATATATGTTTAGTTTAGTATATTTTATTGTTCATATTCTGTTATCCTCAGTTGCAGGATTGTCATTTAATGAGGGGTGGCTAATCTTTCCGCGGTTTTTGTAAGCGCATGACTATTACACTGTGTTATACCGCCATCTTTCCAGAACAATTGTCCATCCAATTTCTGTTGATCATGATTATGTGATTTCTATAGTTCAGAGATAAAACCCTTCAGAATATTTGTTTCTTGTTCCTATCTGATATCGACATAATGAGTTAAAACTATCAAGAGAATAACATATACATGTATTACTGAAATTTATCGCTTGAACTTTTTCCCCCTTGAACTAATTCGAATTATTTCTTCAGTGAGTCTTTTACATGCATGCATATGTGTACAAGGGATCTTGGCTTTTCGTCCACCCGAACTACTGTCACTTTTCAGGCCCTCTGTCCTGCAGCACTGATAAGGGGAACCATTCCGAAAAATCACGAACATCCTCGAGCGAAACTGGGATCAAACACTGGACCTCCAGGTTACTGAACCAATGTTTTACTCGCTGAGTAAATAATATTAACCACTCACCTCATTCAATTTTCGGTGGGGTGAGGGGTGGGGGCAGAAAGGAGTAATGCCCCAAATCAAGTAGTCATAATATGGCCAGGTGGGAAGTTCAACAATTTTCGATAGCTTTTAGTCATGCTCTGTATGACATACCCCATACTAATGGGGATTTGGTATCATTATTTATTTGTGTGCGAAGAGATTGTAAAACATTGTTCCTAGAGAATCTGATACCACTACCCGCCGTAGTCCACATCGTCAAGTAGCTCTTGTAATTCTGTGTTTGAACCAATGGGCTAGTGACTCTGGAGGCCCACAGTTCGGTTTCTAAAATCGAGGTCCAAACTATCACTCCAGTCATCTATTAGTAACACCTGAACAATTCTCATACCGTTTCTTCGACTGTATATACTTGAATATTCAGAACAGTATATATGCTGAATTTGTCATTATTGTTACTAATTCTATTTGATACCAGGTGTCACGGTGGCTCAGTGAGTTAGTTGTTGAGTCGCACTTGGAGGTTCCGTGTTCGATCCCTGTGTTGACCGAGAAAGACCGTAAAATAATCCACGGCAGTTGTAATTTGATATAAGAGTAGGCCGTGCGCAATATTTCCCCTTGTGGTACACTCCATGGTGTATGCCTGTCTTCATTGGCCCAGTCGAAACAGACATGGTACCAACATTATTTTTATTTATTTATTTATTCACCTTTCTACAAAAAGTTAAGGGTTTCTACTATATAGTGCTGGCAACAAGTCCGGGGTTAGGTGGTGAGTGGTCTAATGCGTGGTTTTTTAGATCATATAGCCTCAGCTTGTACGTGGCAAGGAGTATGATCGACTGTGCCTGTCCAACCTCGTGGGTTTTCTCTGGTTTCCTCACACTGCTAAAGACCCTTACACGCAGGTAAATTATTGAAATGTAATTAAGCCGTATATTAGTCCCGAAATACCTAGTTTGTGTCGAGTGGGCATTTCTCCCCCTTTATATCGGACATAATAAGTCGATAACACGACGTTGCACCATTTAGAAAAACACAGATTCGATAAGCCACCTTCTGTAAAACATTATTATACGCATGACTCATAAACTGTACGTAACTATGTTAACAAAAAAATATATATATTGATCGTGACAGCAACAGACCGTTTTCACGCCTACAGCTGGGTATTTCTAAGAATTCAACATCAATTCAGGGATTTCCATATTTTTTACAGACGACCGCGTCATCGCACCTTCCATTATTCGGCACCGGGAGGTAGAGTTGAACAATTGTTATATGGGTAATTAGACATTTTATTATGTTCATCGTTATGTGTATGGGTTTCGATGTCACAGTACATGTATAGAAAGCCACGTACCTGAATTTGTTAACGATAAATAGGGTTCACATTAAAGATAAGATCTGTATATGACTATCTGATCTCCCTATGAATAGACTGGTCCTCTTTAAATACTGGGAGATACATGTAAATAGAATTACACAAGATCGTCTGCAGACTGCAAATTTTATATTTCACTTTTACATTCGTATGTAAGGATTTTCTTTCTAAATTCCAATAGACCAGGAGTCCGCCATCAAAATAAAATAAGGTAGGTACAAACTTATGTCAACTTATTTTGACATTTACACTGACATAAATGTCATGTTGACGCTTGGCTAATTTCAGCTCTGTACGGGATGACCTTTTTCACTCCTACATGGTCGATATAACAATGTTATGTTATGAAATATATAGCATCAAGTGATTGGTCTGCATATACTACTTGAAAATATAGTTCACAACAAGTAGATAGATTTATTGTGCCAACACGTCCAGGACAGCATACAATACAAACATAATGTATACAAGATACAGATAGAATGTAAGAATATGTACATGAAATATTATATTTTTCTAGATTTTGTTGCATCAAAACCCCCGGTCAGGACAGCATACACATACAAAATTCTCAATTAGCAAACACAAATATACAACACTATGGCACAATCAACATGCATAACAGGGGTTAAAAAGGCGAATATATTCTTAATCACACACACACCGTTGAGAATATCTAGTGACAACTGCACTTACGGCATCCCATTAATACGATTTTCGGTCTCAAATCCATTGTTTTAACAACCGAAATTCTGACAATCCAGCTTTCGCAAAATCTATTTTAAAAAAAACCATACTGACATATTATATTATTACGTATTAAGAATATTCCGTGTTACGGTAGAGTTTAACAAGGACATACCATTTTAGCAACCACGGTAAGGCAATCAGGGGGCATGCGCCGGAATATGCCCCCCTTTCACTGTTAAAGATACATTATGGGAGATTAGATAACGAGTTGGCAGTTCTCACTATATTAGTTAAAAACTAGATAATGTAATTTGCTGAAAATTTCATTCAAATTGATCCACTATGAACCGAGAATTAAGCTATTGAAAATCCGCCTAGCCTCGATCATCATTACTAAAGTCAGAATACGATAAACAGCATAGTCTCGATTATCCATTTAATCATTAAATCGTGAAGGAAAGTTATGCACCAAATCCGCTCATAATCCCCTAAAGATCGCAGGCTAGCGATGCCATCGAGAGTTGATTATGGTCTGGATAGGTTAATTAATGTCTAATTAATAATTTAGATAACATTTCAGGCCTAAAGAAAGACCTGCAATAGACAGATTTAGCTCTTGCATAATGTATGTTAAAATTGATACAGCCATGGGTCCTATACAGGTTTTATCCGGTCCTAAGTTGGGTACTATCGTCCTAGCACTCGCCATTGCGGACCGGAGCGGCGTCTAGATGAACTTGAACTGCATACTTTCTGTTCAAAACAACGATTGATTACTGTTATTTATTACATTTTATCCACGGTGGCTCATTGAGCAAGACGTTGACTCGATCCCTGTGTTGACTGAGAAAGTTCATCGGGATTTTCAGGCGTGGATCCGGAAATGGGTGGAAATAAAAATTGACTTGAGTGGAAACTAAAATTCACTAGGGTGAAAATTAGAAGAAAAAAAAATATATTAATATTGACTTCGGTGAAAATTAAAATTGATTTGGGTGAACATTATAAAAAAACAAATTATATTAAAATTGACTTCGGTGAAAATTATAAAAAAAAAATATATATATATATATATTACGAATGACTTGGGTGGAAATTAAAATTTACTTGGGTAAACATTATAAAAAAACAAATTATATTAAAATTATAAAAAACAAATTATATTACGAATGACTTGGGTGGAAATTAGAATTGACTTGGGTGAAAATGATAAAAATCAAATTATATTAAAATTGACCTGGGTGAATATTATAAAAAAACCAAATTATATTACAAATTACAAATGACTTGGGTAGAAATTAAAATCGAATTGGGTGAAAATTATTAAAAAACAAATTATATTAAAATTGACTTGGGTGAATATAATGAAAAATAAATTATGTTATTTTCCATGTCCCTTATGAGTCACCGTAGAAATGCGCCGTGACCTGCAGCAATATAATATTTTAAGAAAGCACTTAATAAAGTTACATTGTGTAAGATGAACTCAATAAAAATGTAAAATGTCAGAAATTTGATTCTCGATTATCAAACAATCCAAACTACATTGAGAAAGGCGAGACTGTATTTTGTACTTCACCAGAGCAACCAGCTTAATATTCATCCAACCGTAACCAATAGTCAGTTATCGCCACTGTATATCTTATCATGTTAGATGACTTATTTAGGTAAAGTTAAAATTGTGTTTAGTTCTTTGTCATGAAAGTTCATTATACAGGTTTCTCTATTATTTGGATTCACATAAAGGGCGTATAGCTTTTTTTTATGTAACCTCAAAATGGATGAAAGTGGGTCTAAAAGTACATGTAATGTGTATGTATATAAAGTGATTAATTGGTTGATTTAGAGTATGCCAGAGCTTGTACACTTTAAGATGACCATTTGCCATCTGAAAACAAAATTAAGCTTCATTCTTTGATGATGTCACCCGATATTTATTGAAACATATATAATATGTTTATGATTTTATTTACTAGATTGTTGTGGATACCAAGGCCACAATGAAATGTTTCTACAAAGATTGTTACAAATATACGTTACTACTGGTGTATGACCTATAGGGATTAAACCATTTTGCAACGGGTGTCAGCTTAATGAGCATATAAAAGGTGTAAGACACTCCAAGTAGTCGAATTATTTGGGATCGTAACAAATAGTTTTTGGGCCGGTCGATCAACGATTAATCCATAATTTAGCAGTAAAAACCACATGCGAGTCTAAAAATCTATCGGGGAGAATTTTAAACAAGGTCCGTGTTGATGCATAGAAATAATTTTCGTTTTGAGGATACGAACGGGGCCTTCCTTGTCTTTAAAAAATAATCCCTGCTGACTCTTTTGTACGCGAGCCGTTCATTCGTTACTGCATCACAACCCCTTTCGATATTAAAATAGGTGAACTATTTTCCTACTTTCAGAATATAACCAGTTCATGCATATTACCTGTTATCTTTCAGAATGAAGATATTGGTATTAATATCCCTGTTAATTGTCCAGTCTAAAGCTAAACTCTGTCCTTCAAGATGTTTCTGCAGTAAAGACTTATCCACGGTGAATTGTTCTGGTAAGAAAATGACAAACTTCCCGAGTAACATACCTTTAGCTGTTAAAAAACTGATTTTAGACCACAACCTAATCACAGAAATACCAGTTGGGCCTCTGAAGAACCTCTTCAGTTTAAGTCTTCTGGATCTAAGAAACAACAAAATAAACACAATAGAACCGGGCGCCTTCCTGGACTGTGGACAACTTCAGCAGCTTTATCTTGTGACTAATAAATTCACATCAGTAAAGAAAGGCGCCTTCAACGGGGCAAATTCATTATTCTACTTGTCCATGTCGGCCAACAGACTAAGCGTTATACCACCACTTGGACCGCTGAAAAACTTAGCATCCCTCGTTTTGGAAGGCAATCAAATAAGTGATGCCACTTTCCCAACGGAATTCCTTCAACTGAAAAAGCTCAGAGACGTAATATTGAGCAATAACCCAATTGGAAATTTGCTGAACACTACTTTTTCAAATCTACGTAATTCGTCAGTTCAAAAATTGGAAATTGCCAGGTCGCAGATATCCAAAGTTGATCCCGCAACTTTTTCATATTTGACTCAAATAAAATCTTTGAAAATAGGATACAATCCTTTAAATAAATGGCAATTGAAGAATATAATGGCTGGACTTCGAAACTCGCCAATTATAAGTATAGACATTCGTAATATTAGTTTAGGTGGAAGTTTACCAGCAGAAACATTTTCCTGGATGGAGAAAATTAACGACCTTAGCCTCCGTAATAACCGAATACAGAGTATTCAACAGATGGCCTTTGTTAATCTGCCAAAACTCTTGCAAATAGACTTGACTGCATGCAACATCATGAGTATAGATCCCGAGGCCTTTTACAATCTATCATCCATACAACGAATATTTCTAACAGATAACAAATTAACGTCTGTTCCGAAAGGTTTGCCGCCTTCACTGCAGATGCTGCATCTGGAGAAGAATCAGTTGACTGCTATTAAAAATGATGACTTTGCCAATTCCACATCTTTACTGGAACTTTATCTTGGTACTAATAAAATTCACGTCTTACAGGAAAACTCTTTTGCTGGTCTTAATCGCTTAAACAGACTTCATCTACAGGAAAACAGAATTGCCAACCTACCTGGAAGCTTGTTTGGTAATTTAGGTCGACTTATATCTCTTTCCTTGAACAAAAACAACTTAAAAACCATCCAGGATCATTCTAGCACGTTTGATCCCCTCGTTTCCTTAACATACCTTGGCCTTGTCGATAACCAGTGTTCATATTTGCCACTGCCACTATTCAATCAGCTGACGTCGTTGGTATTTCTAGAACTGTCAAATAATAACCTTGGCAGCCTTATAAGTGCCGATTCCAATGGGCAGCTATTTGCCGGACTCTCGAAACTGGAAAGACTAGACTTAGATGGCAACCAGATTTCAACTGTTCATGATTCGATGTTAAGAGAACTTGTATCTTTAAAAAATCTATCGCTTGCTAGAAATGAAATATCACACTGGGGAGAACACTTATTTACAAAAACTCAGCAGCTTCGTGGATTAAACTTGAGCTACAACTTGATAACTTTGATTAACCAAACATCACTAAAAGATCTCAATTATCTCAAAGTATTTGATCTAAGGAAGTCACCTTTTGACTGCTCGTGTGATTTGCGATGGTTCAGAAATTGGATAAATCATACCCAGGTTATTTTACCTGATTTGCCAAATTGGACTTGTGCGGCCCCGACTTCTTGGCAAGGTAAATCACTCCTGTCATTCAAAGCTTCTAAAATTGATTGCAGAAACTGGACTTTGTATTATATTTTGAGTGGTGCTGGGGTCGGATTAGTTCTTAGCACACTCATCATGATGATACTCTATCGTTACAGATGGTTCGTATCCTTCCGCCTATATAGAGCTTGGAAATTTGTAAAGGGCACAACAAATACTGATTTTCGGGGATATGAGGCTATTCCAGGAGAGGACAAACACTATGACGTGTATATATCATGTGCACCAGAGGATAACGTTTGGGTGATAGAGAAGTTGTTGCCGCGAATTGATAATGGCAAGATCAATGAAAGAGAATTTCAGGGAAACTTTAATGTGTGTTTTAGTGTAAGAGATTTCGAACCCCACCTGTCAGTCGTCAGCTGCATAAATCGACATCTGACATCGAGTCGACGTGCATTTATTATTCTATCCAAACATTACTGTCAAGACAGACGTTGTGAGTTCGAATTGCATAATATTATGGCGGCTGTTTCCGAAGGGGATATCGAAGACTATACCGTTATAGTCGTAGGAAAACTACCCATTAAATATGTACCAAAGCTTTTAAGAAAAACAATTGAAAAACATCATTATATAGAATATCCTAACGCCAACACCGTGGAAGACGAGTTTATTGAAAAGGTTGGTGATATTTTAGAAAGTAGAAATAATGCGCGTGGTAACGTGATTAATTGAATATATGTATTCTGTTACAGATTTGCATTTATTAGGTTTGAAAAGATTTACATTTTGTATATTGCATTATTGTAAGTGGATCTATATTGTTCTCACAGCTTTCCGAGCATTCGTCTGCATGACGCCCCGTCCTTTCGTTCACATATTTTGTGGGCGAGCAAACAGTAAGAATCTTTTTTACTTAACTTTATATGTTGCCCGCGGATGTTTGTGGTTATATCATAGAGATGTGCACTGTACAAAAATATGGATATTGACCTTACTTCGCATATTTGTTGAGAAAAAATATTTTGACCTACACCTTGAACCTTTGTTTGCAAACATCATGTTTTGGTTAAGATGCAACCCCCCCCCCCCCCCACACACACACAAAACAACAAAAAACAAAAATGGTTGAATGCAACATTTGTTGTCACTCGACTCGGCAAACCTCGACCGTTCCGGTACCCTACATCTAGCCCGGCTGTATGAAGGTAAGTGATATGTGCCTACATGAGGCTATCGGTTACTTATTAGGAAAACTTGCCGCTTTTAGAAAGAAGTTCAAAAAATGCATCGTTCGCAGAGTGTGTAGAGTTTTCATTGCAAAGTTTCCTTTGTTTAAAGAAAATCGGATACACTTAAAAAAAACCCAGCTTTAGACATTGAAAGCTTTGTATGATAAAACACTCTTCTCCGGCGTCTTCTTGTACGCCGCCATTTGCAATCTTGAAAACAGCGCCAATGGATCAAGAATTTGATGTCAAGGAATTTTGGTTACATCTCAAAATAATTTTTCTCTCCAATGTTTTAATGTTGCAAAAGAAATGAAAGTTGTTTGAGGGGCTATAATTTGTACTTATCTCATGTGTAAACCTGAGATTTTTATATTAAATTTTGATGAAACATTGACGAGAAATTATTTTGGGATGCAACAAAAATTCCATGACATCAAATTCTTGATCAATGGCGGAATTCGTCATACAGCCGAGGCTAGGATGTACACTGGAGTCTACTGAGGTTTGTCCAGTGCATTTGTTGTATCATGTTAAATGACTAATCAGAAAGCAGTTTCAAATCATGTGATCATCCAACTTGGTAGACGTTTACTGCGTTATTCAAAAAGAGGCACTCTGATTGGCGGTAAATTTCCATCCAGTTTCTGTTACAAGTTTGGAATTACACATTCAATCATATGCTTGGCGGTGTTGTCAATCTGGCACAAACAAATAGTACCGGTATATCAAACTTGTCTTATGATGTTTTCTGACAACAAATTGATAGTGTACAGTACACTGGGATAATTAGGCCTATCTCTTAGGTTATATTTCGAAGTACAGTGCAAACTCCTATTATTAAGACTTTTAGCTGCATTTTTCTAGAATATATTTGTAAGTGTGTATTATTAATGAACATGCGACTGTTGATTCATAAGGCGAAGGTCATTCGTGTTTTTGTACTAAACAGTAAGCAAATACACCCCGCCTCGGTAAATCCCACATCCGTTTAAATGTCAATGGCATGTAGTTTACAACAAGTAGATGCAAATGTTTTCCCATTAACTCGTGATTTACATGGCGATGAGTGTACATATTTATTTATAATATAGCTGCACATAAAAGTTCGGATTTTGCTTACTTTCATTTTCGTTTTGCTTGAAATTTATGTGTGCTGAACCAAATACGATTGTATCAAATGATCTCTTGAATCCTCCAAAGTTCCTGTCTGATTACCCCTTGTCAGTAGTGCGGGGTAGGGGGTAGGCAAAGAAAGGTATCTAGTCTTTCGAATAGGACAGAAACTGGATCCACTGTGTACTCGTTGGTGTACATGTAAAAGATCAATTATCAGTTCGAATTCGATGAAGGGTGGGTAGCCATCCGGGTAAAATTGACACAGAATAGTAGAACGTTGAACCACATTATTATTTTCAGTTTATTTAATTTTACATTTATCATTTTGCACTAACAATACTTAACTTGTTTTTCACTCAGTCACATTTTGAGGTACTTGTATATAAGACTTTCCCTTTCATATTCGATGTATTAAATTATTATAAATTGTTGAGAATTATAGTACGTTGCATTCAGATTTTAAATGTATGTGTCATTTATGCTGTACATTGAATATTGATCGGCCTAGATAATAAACAGCGTTAACTTTTATATTAATGTATATCTTTATAATATTATTATTATTATTGTTCGAATTAGTAAATTTCCTTCTATATTTATGTATGTTTATTGTCCAAGAAAGCAGATGCTGGTAGAGTGGTATTCTCTCATATTGCAGCTCTCTGTTTGCAGAATGTTACTAAAACTGTAAAATAATCAATTGAGAGGAGTTTGATCGGACTTAATGTTTCGTCAGCAGAATATTTCTGCCAATTTAAGACAAACATGTGGGTAATTTTATTTACAATTTGTGCAATGCCAGGTGCAATAATTTTGCCGGCTCTGGGGCAACGGAAATTAATATATAATCCTTTAAGCGGTGTGCACACTAGCCGAATGATCCACTCATATCGAGAAGTCACGTGATTGTTTGAAGACACTATGGTCGCCGCCATGTTTAATCATGTAACGTGAAAGGGAATGCATATCGACTGGTGGATAGAGCAATGAACTATAACACATACGTATCGAAAGACAATTGCTAATTTCTTTGGGCGACATTTTAAAGAGTATTCTATAAACGTTTTCAAGCACTTAGTATGCGTTATAGTGTATTGGATATATCTATGTATTAGGTGATATGGAAATACATTGTCAAGGGCACATTTTGCAATTTTAAAAAAAGAATTGACATCATTATATTCAGGCCATCTTTGCCATGAATTGCAACACATTCCCGACATACCTTTACTTCATTAGTATACACTTCGGGAGATAGGGAACGTTATTAAAATTGACCCCAATCGTCTTACAACAGCGAATCTGTTTGGAGTATGTTTCATAAACCTCTAATTACATCTTTATTTAACTATGTATACATGGGTGCGGAAAGTTGATTACGTTGTTAAGATGTACCAGAAATAATAGAATGTCCAAACATATAGTCTTTAATAATAATAATAAAATAATAATAATAATCTTTATTTAACTATGTATACATGGGTGCGGGAAGTTGATTACGTTGTTAAGATGTACCAGAAATAATAGAATGTCCAAACATATAGTCTTTAATAATAATAATATAATATAATGAATTTATAAAGCGCCTGCATTCCAGTAAAAATTACTGCTCCACGGCGCTATTACATTTTGTAAAAATGGTAGATGCAGAATAAATAAAAATGAGTTATACATATTATAATCACGGAAAATTTAAGAAATATGAAGTTATAAAAATGACAGCGCAAGCACTAAATAAAACTTAGCTTAAAAAGATCAGTTATTAAAAGTCACCACAATCGCTACATAAAACTTTGCTTAACAAGTTCAGTTTTTAAAAGCCATAACGAACATTACATGAAACTTTGTTTAAAAGTTACCAGGGATTGGCAGTTTTTTATGTGTTCGGGTAGAGAATTCCATAGCATTGGTGCAGCGTAAGGAAAAGATCTCTGACCGTAAGACGATTTGGTTTTTGGTTGTACCAGTAAATTGTTATTCTGGGATCTTAGAGTTCTAGTTGGAGTGTATCGATGGAGTAGAGATTGGAGATAGTCTGGAGAGTCTTCAGAATAGAGAGCCAGGTATGTTAAGGAGAAGATTTTAAAGTTGATACGCGATTCAATAGGTAACCAATGTAGATTCTTTAATACTGGAGTAATATGATCACGTTGTTTGGTTCTTGTTACAATACGGGCTGCCATTTTTTGGATCTTCTGTAGTTTAGTTATTTGATATGAGGGAAGATTAAACAGAATGGAATTGCAGTAATCAAGACGAGGTGTTACAAGTGAATTGACTAACAATTTAGATGTTTTAGATCAATAAAGTTTCTAATACGACCAATGTTAAAAAGATGGTAATTAGTGAATTTACACATCATTGAAACATGGTGTTTAAAATCAAAGTTACAAATACCAAGTTTGACATGTCTTATAAGTATATAACCGAATACATATTGGATAATGATCCAAGTCAAATTTTTTTAAAAATTTTCTGTCGTTACCTAACCCTGTCTGAGTTATCCCCCTTATTGTTATACCTTTATAAATACACTTACATAGTACGTTTTCTTCAACATACCTGTTTTGCATCTCTTGTGTGGGATATTATATTAATATATTATAAATCGTACAATGACATAACTTAATAATTCCGATTAGTCGCTAAAACTTATAGTTTATTAAGCTTTTAACGTTATTTTATCTGGATTGTTGCCCTTTTTATTCTGATTTTTTTTATCACCTTCTAAGTTATGACGTCGTTCCCAAAATAATGTCAGGCCACTCAGTCAGCAGACGGCTGTCTTTCGAGACAGTCTTCAGTTCCTATTCGCTTCTTTGTATTCAGATTTGTTTTTGTAAAAAAAATCGTAGGAATAGACCCCAAGATCATCAAATTTGAGTTGATAGATACATAATTATGATCATTAAGACGTTTCGGTGGCCATCTTTGACGCCATCTTGAAAAAAAAACACATCCGGGGGTCCTACGTTGGTAAACTTTTAGTATGTTATAAAGTACACTAAACCCTGCCAGAATCAGTTGAGAAGCCTTTTGTTGTAATTTTGGGGGGTTAAACCGTATTTTGACCTGGCTAGATGTTGATTGGAAGTTCGTCTATTTGCGATCTCCTAAGCTTACTTCCGATCGTTAATACCTCTGTTTTTTCCTCGTTTTAGTTTTAAGAAAGTTGGTTAACGTCCACTTTTTTATTGGCTGAATGCTGAGTTATATTTCATTTTTTGAGTACCTTGTTTAACAGGTGTGAATCATCGGCATATAGATGATAATCAATACCGAATTCTTTGATCACGTCTCCAAAAGGTGGGTTATAAGCTGTAAAAAGGGGAGGACCGAGTATAAAAGCTTGTGGAACACCATAACATAAATTAGATTTTTGATTATTGATTTTTACGGATTGTTTTCGTCGATTGAGGTAATGCCAAACCCCTGATTCCAAATCTGCCATGAAGTACATCCTGATCAATAGTGTTAAATGCAGCACTAAGATCTAATAGAACATGTTTCACAACGTTTTTATTATCCAGTTTTAAGAGAATGTCATTACAAACTCGAATTTTTATAGGCTGACTGAAAACTATCATTTAAATTATTGCGTTTTAGCTTTTGTTTAAATTGTATGGAGACAACTTTTTCAATCAATTTGGAGACAAAAGATAAATTAGACACAGGTCTATTGTTTTTAAGAATATTTCTGTCAAGGTTCGATTTTTTCAATAGTGGCCCAACTTAAGCTTCTTTTAAGACTGTTGGAAAAATACCAGACATCAACGACGCATTAACAATTGGGGTTAGAATGGGTAGAATTTCGTCCAAACATGATTTCAGTAAGAAACCACAAGACGAGGATGAGGAATTGATTATTATTCTTTCCAATTCAGATGAGGAAACTTCATCAAAAGAAGAGTAACTATCTGCATTCAGCAATGTTGTTTCTGAATCTGATCTACAAAAGTTTGAATGCAAATTTTCTTGTCGACTCAAGATTTGTACGAATTACTTGTATTTTGTCAACAAAAAAGTTTGAAATAGATTCATTAAGACAGACAGTACAATCGGTGTCTGGAAGATCCAATGAACTGTCAGATGACTTTATAAGGCCGTTTATAATGTTGTATATCTCCGTTGTATTTTCTGAATTTACAGTGATTTGATCAAGGATGAATTTACGTTTCCATGTCTTAATTAAATTATTTGTTTCGTTTCTAGATTTAATGTATAATTGGTGATGGATTTCAAGTTTAGTTTTGCGCCAAAGAGCTTCAGCAGTTTTACATCGTAACTTACTTTCGCGAGCTTCGTCATGGAACCATTTCCTGTTTGGTCTGAGTGTAATATTCTTTTGAAGAGATCAGGCATGATTATTGAAAATTTCCTGAAGTACAGAATTATAAATATGTATTTTCTTGTCGAAACTATTTTCGTTCTCAATCCTTTCTAACAATGAAGAACATATTATATCCTGCTTGAGCTCTTTAATGTCAATGTTGCGAATCTTTCTAAAAGTTATTAGCCGTTTAAAGACTTGGGTTTTGAAACGGAAATATCTGCAAAAACACAGAAGTGATCAGATATACACTTGTTCTCAACATGTAAATTTTCGATAAGTTCATCAGAAGATTTTGTAATTATAACATCCAGAAGGTGGCCTTTGGAGTGTGTTGAGTTCTTTACGTGTTGTACCACAACAAAGGTATTAATAATTTCAGAAAGCTGACTACACAAAAACGGAGCCAAAGCAATTAAGGTATTAGACGAATTAGGCTTATATCATAATACTTAGAACATTTAATTTAAATATTGGGCAAACAATAATCAGAGATCGCCATTCAAAGGGGTAGAAAAGAGACAGAATTGTTCCCATGATTTAAATCTCTACAACCAAAAAGAATCCAACATGTCAAATTCATAAGATAACGTTATTGAAGGTGGCTGTCCTCTACATCCGGTTATGGGTATCTGTATCCTGTGATTTTGGGATACACGCTTTCTCTTATTCATATCCTGTTACCTCCTAATATACGCTCATTCATGAAGCTAGGGGAAGCAATTACTAGTTTTCAAGATAAGTTTTTTTTATGAAGAAGTATTATTCCATTAGGGATTTGTTGTGATCGTAGTTAAAATATTAAACTTTATAAAGTCAATTTAAATTTTAATTCATTTTCTTTTTGTGCGTTCGCGCCTTGGTTATGATTTCTGAGATTGTATGGATAGACCATCTTTGTAACCACAGCATAAAAATAAGAATAAACCATTATCTAAACTTTTAAGATGGCAAATCTTTTTTTCTAATTTCACATAATAAAAATACAGTACTCCGTAGAATGTGCGCTTAATGTTTACTGACAGCTGTGGGGTATATAGTCCTACGTATTTTATTAGAATCTGAATACTTTATGACAGAAATCTCTTCTCATGTCGATTGGTGTAAAAAGCCACATGTTGATTCTTTACCTAACCCTAACCGTGGAGCTTCATTGATTCTCTCCCTTCACTAACGATTTTAACACAAGAACCACACTTGAGTACAGATAGCTTTTTTACACCAACCCTTCTCATGGAAGTATATTATCCAACTCGGTGTTCAGTTTAAATTATGGACATATCCGTGACATTCACCATTGTCTTATTTACGAACAGCTTTTGTACGATGTATAACTTCAACGGTACCATAACCAGCCATTCCTGCCAACAGGAAAGCCATGCAAACGTATATTTTGACGTTGGTGGCGATGAAGTCGTTATAGGCGTAGGTAAAAATAAAACCACTCGATTCCCATAGACGATAATTAGCAAAGGCTGGTTCGGTATTATCTTTAAACAGCAATCCATAGAAAGCTGAAAGTAAAGAACCCATCTTTAAATACCTGAAAGGCGGTGAAGCAGTTTCAGAATAAGGATGATTTCTACTCCCTTGGAAATTTTGTTAGCGGAATGAGACACCCATACGCATGGCCTACTTTTCTGCTCCATCCGGCCTAAATGAAGACCGGCATACGCTATGCTGTGGGCTATGTGCGAAATTTTGTCTGGACAGCGACACTATGGCTTACTCTTATTTCGAGTTTTCATGTCACCCGAACAACTAGACTTTACTTGCCTGCCCCCCCCCCCCCCGCCGGTCCTGTACCACTGAAAAGGGGGAAAAACCGCGCCGGGACTTTCTCGGTCAAAACGGAAATATAACCCGGGAGGTCCAAGTTAGCGAGCCGGCGCATTACTCATTAGAGAACTAACCACATGCCAGTATATGCCTAACACTGGTCATAAGGTCGGGTCATTAGTGTCCCAGCTCGGCCTGCTGCTAATCGTCATCACAAGAAGCTTTGCATGACTAGAAACCAAATTTTGTAGCATTCCCCTGAACCATCACAAGCTGGAAATGAAATAAATGTTAAAACAAGTTTTGTGTGACTAGAAACCAACCGAGGACGAGGAATAAATATTTAAACAATGTCCCCTCCACTTTTGTTTACTGCAATCTGATTAAAACACAGATCATATATCGTTTCGTTTTATATAGTTCAAAATTTCGTTTTACTTATCATCACAACACTTATCATCTGGAAGAGTTTTTATATAACCCGCGTTCTGGTTGAAGTGAGGGATTAGCCAATGAAACGGTCTGTTACGGCGAGTTCTTGGCGTGCGATGCACGGAACTGTGGGTAAACCACTAGAAACGTCAACGATAATTGACGCGACCTTGCACTAAAACCGGTCAAATCTTCATGTAGTGTAGGCCATCGAAAGTATAAGAAACAAAACGAAATATAGATCTGTATTTTAATCAGATTGTGCATACTGATAATATGTAGGAATAAAATGGGTCAGAATTGACAGACTCAAGAAATTAAACAATGTAAATAGATATTGGCCAATTGATATCAATCTGGTGGAAGTCAGGAGAATGGGGTTTTGATTATTACATTCCCGAAAATCGGAAAGTAAAACTTATGCTTACTTTGTATGTAATTTTAGATTTTTCGAGAAACCACACTCTGGTTGGTCTTCAAAATATATTTACCCACGAAAAAAGGATGTTCTTACCATTAATTTGTGTTTGGATGACAGCATCCCCCATTCCCCATAGAGCTGCCAGTACATAGAATATAACTATGACATCTGGATCTGGTATCCAGAATAATAGTGTTATCTGTACCCCACCATGAACAATAAATGCTGAAATAGTAACATGTTAATTTATACATGAAGGGGATGTGTAAAACAATAAATTCTGAAATAGTAATACTCGGCAGGATCCAGATAATCAAAGGTGTCCTGGCTAGAGATAAGGGGGCATAATTTATAGGAGACACCGTAGAGGAGGCGGGCCCACGTGACCTCATTGTTTACCTTACAGCATTGTTTTCCTGTACATTCATTACGAACTGGTGTGTGGACAACAGGCCCGTAGCCAGCTTGCTGGGTGCGAAGGGGCAGTGAACGGGGGGGGGGCACACCCGGCACAGTCTACAGTAGGGGGGGGGGGCACCCGGCAAAGGCGACAGTAGGTATTTTGGAGCTATGGTCGGCAAAATATTTTCGGGGTGAGGGGCAAAGCCCCCCTTGACCTCTGCTGGCTACGCGCCTGGTGGACAAAGGTTAGTTTTTATCGTTAAAATGGAATTTAATCATGAGACGTCCAGATGGGCTAAATCTATTTGCTAAGGCCAGCTCAGTTTTCGTCAAGGTTGCTGAGATGTAAATATGGTTAGGGCACGAGATTCTTGGCGAGATTGTAGGTAAAGGTAAGCATTGGGGCTAGGTCCAGGGTTAAGGTTAGCATTGGGATTATAGCTTGCCCTATTTACATCTCGTGACCTTTGACCAAACTTGAAGTTGGCCTTATCAAATAGATCTAACCGTCACGTGGAACCGAGTTTTTACTAGCGACGCCAGGTTGGAATTCCTTCAGCGAGGACGCCAATTGACGCTTTCAATTACAGAGAATAATTTATAAAGCGATAAATCTGTAATTATGAGGAAATATCAAATTATTAATTCAGATTGTCTAATTAACCGAGTAAATAATTGCAGATCGTCAATCATTATACGTCTAACGTTGATATCGTTAGGGCTTTGCAAGTGGGCTGTTAATATAATAGCATCTGGATTTATAATTTAGATTTCTGAATACGAACCTAATATAAAGAAGGGAATGTGACCAACATATTGTACCATTCTTCCAAATGCAAACGAGCAAATTGCATCAGTAACACCATAGCAGATCATCACATAGCCTACATTCCATATTCCTAATGAACATGTTATATACGACTGAAACAGAATTATTTTACTGCGAGATTTATAAAAATATGACACAGATTTTTGTATCTTAAATATCGTAGACTTAAAGGAGCTAAATCGCTTATATTTTGGATCTAGAAATTGACACAAATGGGTCGCAACGTATATAATAATGTAATGTGAATGTATATAAACTGATTTACATTCAATCGTTGCTGTTTTTAATGCAATTTCTAATCAGATATCTTCGGTAAAATACACCAGTAGTCTCAATCCAATGGCAATCTCTAGCGTCTGCTTATTCCACCGATAGTATTTATTGCTCATGCTCTCCAGATAAGAATATGACGTCACCGTTTGACATGACTTGTGGAATATATCTAGCCTCTTTCTACGAGTCCCTTGTTAAAAATGGCGCTGAAATGCACCATGGTACACGATTCGTGTACCAACGGTAAAATGTTTATTTTGTATTAATTATTGGATATCAGAAGCCCATCTTTTCCCCGTAAGATCACAACATCAATGTTGATTTAAATTGACAAATAAATCATGTTTTCAATGTCGACGATTTTGGATGATATTGAGGTAGAGACTTAGCTACTTTAAAGGGGCATTAGGTAAGATTAAAGAGCTGATAGTTCTCGCTATAATAGTTAAAAAAATAGATAGTGAAAACAGAATATGCTGAAAACTTCAGTCAAATTGCTTCACTCTGAACCGAGATATTTGCGATTATATTTTAGGCTAGTCTCGATCGTCATTACTACTAACGTTGGTACGATAATAAACTAAGTCTCGATAATAATTTAGATTACATTTCAGACCTAAAGAAAGACCTGCAATAGGCAGATTTAGCTCTTGAATAATGCATGTTTGATATAATTCAAATATGTACTGACGGCCGTCTCCTGTATGTTTTCGAATATTACGATTACTTTCGAATTTAGATTACAGCTTTTATAAACTAAAATCCAATGAGCCCAAATATTTGAGCACAATCTAATAAAAACACACCCAGTTTAACTTGGCAGAAAGAAGAATAATTTCCATAAATAATGGCTCTGTATCGATACACAATTAAGTACAATTGAGTTTTACAATTTAGGTTGCGTTGCGTTCTAATAATTAAATTAAATACCAACCCTTGTATAATCCCCTGATATAAAAGCCTGTTCAACACCTGAGTAGATAGTTAAAGGTATAAGTAAAATCTGTGCTGGTGATGATATCAGATGTTTAAATGTAGCAATCAAAAGTTTTGGAGACGGTCGACCTTGTCGTCTCTCATCTTTTTCAAGGATGATTTTATCCAATAAAACAGATATGACGATAACAGCTACCACAGCACAGGCAATATAAATACCACATAATAAATAAACCTGAAATAATTCATTAATTACATTGACAATTACAAATAGATAACACAGAAAACAAACGATTCAGACAGAAAAACGAAGAATATTTAATCATGCATCTCGTGTTATCAAAGCCACTAATAATCTAAGGCGACAGAGGCGTCACGTATTGGCGTCTGACGCTAAACGTTATTATTGGATTTCTGGACATTATTCTAGAAAATTATGGTGTATATATTCCTTTAAAGATTACCTAATATGTAATCTAAGAACAAGTGCCCGTTTTAACAAATTAACATTGTGTGCGTTATCTTTATCATTAAGGGTCAGGTGCATTTTGAAAGTTTGGTTATATTAACTGGCGGATGTAACTGTTCCGTATAGATAATTCAAAATGATATTAAGTAGGAATTTAAAGGACGATATTGGTGTCAGTCATTATCACATATGTGATAGAACTGGTTAAATACGTTCCAAATATAATTTTAACACATAGATCATTGCTACAATAGATGCGTAATAAAGGTTTCAACTATCGGAAGTGACGAACGCAAAAGGAAAACACGAGTTATCCCTCTGTATAACTGACTGAAATGACGAGTGATAACAGATACATGGGCGAATGTCTGTTCACTACTAATTCCTTCGAAGGAGGAATGACTGACATCAATATTGTCATTTAAAGTCCCATTTTACAAAACCTGATCTTCTTCTGGTTTCATTAAATTGGTATTGTTGGTCGGGGGGTCTGTGGGATCAAAATTGGCACCACATTTATTCAGATCATTAGAAACATTTAACGTAGTTCCATTTTCAGGTGTTGCCCTCAACACCGTGGATGATATCAGATTTCCCCATATCTGACCTGAAATTAGTAGACGTTTAACTTCGCAGTAAAAATCTTTAATGTAATTGCATAGTTTGTCGGCGGTAAACTTAGTATATATGCTTACTCACTAAGCCACATTGACTCTCCATTATTGCCGAGGCCAATAACCTTGGTCCAGTTTTATGACTGATTTAGTACTTATTAACTTTGAAAGCTTCTGCAAAAGATGATGATGGAAATGCGCAATGTGACCATTAATCAGAATAAACAGCGTTAACATGACGAGTCATTTTATAAGCTGGCTGACAGTTTCAAAATGGGAGACAATAAATCTTTTGACAATTGGAGGCCAAATTAATTAAGGTACAAGTGTTTATGGACCGGAGTGAAATTAATAGCAAAGCTGTTGCTAGGCGTTGTTTTTAATATTTATTCTGTATCTTCATTTTGCTCAAAATCTCAAAAAGGCTATGTAATTAATAGGAGTATTGTGTATAGAAATAACCAAACGGACAATATTAAAGCTGTTACAGTCGCACCTCCGCTTGCTTCAGAAATCAAATGTCAGTTGGATTTATTAATTCATTTGAGTCAAAAATATCTTAAAGTCAGCAAACTGTTAAAAACAATAAAGGATAACAACTATGTCTTACTTGACTGGAAAATCATGAAAAATATTCCAAAGAAGCGATTAATAGTGGCATCCTCGGACTGACCGGTTAATTTAGCATACCAAACACCAGTTTCTGTTAGATAGGCACACTTGGCGGACCATAGAGGAGCGGCACCTAAACCCAGGATTATTGCTGCCGGAATCATGGTCCCCCATACGGCATAGAAATTGGCACCCATATACAAGACATATCCGCACATAGATAGAGGAATGGTCCATTTACATCCTAGATGAGCTATTAATATCGGTGGCACGAACATACAAGAGACCACGAGAGCTCCATAAAGAGTAGATAAACTAACGGTGCCGACTCCTTCTTCTTTGTTTAAACTACTCTGGAGATTAGCCATAGATTGATAAGCTGTGAACAAGAACACAAATCCGAAACTGACAACGAACAAATTTTTAAGAATCTGAAACTTCGTCATTTGACATGTAAAAGGCTCTAGTGCATGTCCGTAAGGTCCCTTAGTTGGATAATTCATCTCGTATTTCTCTTTGTCCTTCATGATGTTGGATTCTGAAAGCAAAAGTCAGATTTTCACAGCTAACATGTAATCATTAACCTGTTTACCGAAACGTGAACAATGTATGTAGTTTTCCTGGAATCTTAGGTCTTCTCGGGCTCGGACGTCAGTGTGGATCCACTCATTTAAATTTTATTTTTAAAACATTTTGTTACCCAAACTATTTTTAAAACAGTTTGTTACCCAAACTATTCTCAAAACAAACTGTAAAGACTGTATAAAGGTTGTCAAAAGAGAAGATTTATACATTTATATTTATACATTTATATTTTTAAATAAACGATATTACTTACTTATAAAGTTAATATTGTTTGCCGTCAGTGCATTATAAAATACTATTCATGAGTAAACTTGAATAAATATATCAGTAATAATAAGGTATATTATCTACCTATGTTTTTAACATCCTATATGTCCCGGTAAATGATTTAATACAGGTTACTGTTGTCATATTTATTGGGGTAATATATCTACATATCTTAAAACATGCATAGGTTAAGCTAATAAAAAAATCCTCCCACCATTGTGGTATCCATACTAATATTATTATGATCATTTCTATACGCCCACATTATGCCGTCACACGTCAACATTTGGCTTGTGAGTGCGATAGATTGCTAGGCTACAGTTTTTAGTGGATCAACCCTATTAATATTCAGCGTTCCACGCCCTTCTTTTCCGGAGTTATACTGAAAACCGCGATAGATGTAGTAATATGGTCTCTACTGTGACCATATTATCTCTTTAACTGATTATTGGTTCCACATATCGTAGAGAGTCATATCTCACGCACTCAAATTGAATGAGTGATAGGTTTTTATATAAAAACTGATAATTTGGTAAGCATTTAATTCTGGGTTAATAACAAAATAAAACGTCTGCACTCCCGGTGGAAAGTTTTCACTGTCGATATAAGGGTGGTTCTCGACGTCATTAGGCTTAGTAACCAATCATCATAATTAATTACGTAATATTTGTTCAATTAAATAATTGACAGAGCTGTCTCAAGGAAACTGTCAATGTTAAAAGACTGGTGTAGATCCAATAGAGGTTAGACACGCGTTGAGAGAGATTCGTTGGGAGATATCGTTGACGTTGAAGAGACACCAACTGGATTCCGAATGCCTCGTTAGGTCGTAGGAGAGCCATGATGAATGCATTCCGTCAGTAAACTCGTTCTGCGAAGTGGTGGGGTTGAGAGAGTAGAGAATGACTTCTATTGTAATCTATGCTTGTAATCTATGTATCCAGGGCTTGATATAAAATGTTAAAACGAATTGTCGCATTGTTGTTCCTGGTAGACAAACGTCTTAGCGGCTGAGATATAATGAATACACAACATGAGTACTAGGCAAAAGAAGAGAATTACAAATATAACCTAATATGTGTTTTGAATCCCGACCATGTACTTTTATAATGGTTGCTATGAAGATTTTGTATCTCGCTGCATTATCTATTCTTTCAAATTTTTTTTAAATTTTATACACATACTCAATAATCATTAACAATATAATTCATGTAATATAGAAGATCCCATAGGTTATGGCACAGATACCCAATATTTATATTCGTATCGTTAAGGGGGTGCAAAGACATTTTGGGCTGTGAAAACTGCTTTCACGTTTGTAGTAATGTACCAATAGCGCTAAAAAAAAACGTAATGAAACTACGGGTTTTTTTCCATTGGTGCAAGTAGGTGCAAAACGTTTAATATTGTATTGGACGTTAAATCTGTAATAAACAACAAACATCAACAAAAACATTAAACCCATAATAATCCAGAGCGCGTTATTGCGTCTTTTTCACAAGAGCCTTGATTTTGAAAATTACAAAATAGAAAACGAATGACGTCCCCATGGAATTGCATTCTAAAAATATGGCGTAGGTGGGCTTATTTATTTTACATTCTGGCTTTAGGCGTAATTTTTTTAACAAGGACATAGCCTACTGTCATCCCACCAATTTTGATCCAGAAAACTGGCGTACTAGTGTTGTGCATTGTCAATATACTAGTCCTTAGTGAGGTGGTGAATTAAGCCATCACCTGCTTGGTCCATACGCAAATATGCCCGCGCATGGACCAATCAGGTGCTGCGTTCCTAGTCAAAAGTGTTGTCATAGCTATATTCAATTTCCCAAGTAGTAATAGCATACCTCAAAAGGAAAAAAACCAGCAACATTTAAGACTGTTCAGTTTCATACAAACTAAGCATGGCGTTAATCTTATAAACGATAATGATTATTTTATTCTCACAATCATTAATGATTTTGTAATGTCAAAAACATACCACTTTACAAAGAAGAATTCAAAATGTATTAATCTTCCAGAGCAAACGATAAAAAGTCCTGTCATGTTAGATAACAATACTGTCTGAGCATGTTGTAATATACTATCCTGCCAATATTATACTAAATACGATTAATAAATGTGACACTGGACATAATAGTGTAAATGATGTATTGGTAGCTAATAGAATAAGAGACTTTATTATATTTAGAGACTCAAAACAAAACCCTTACATTGACGAAATCATTGATCATTTGTGTATTTCATAAAAATGGTGTATAACTTTAACTGTAAATACCTAATGAACTATTGTGCATCTCCTGTAATTTTTCATTGTTATTTTTTTCCCTTTGAAAGTGTACAATTAAGTACGAATAAAGATATTATTATTATACATCTGACACCCTGGCGGAATAGGGCGAATTATATTATTCCTGTGATGCGACTGTCTTTAAATTTGGCGTCGTGCATCTTTATTAGCATGGTCAATGGTCATCACCGATGCCAGGAAAGCCGGAGATCAGGACGTATACTATACTGCCCACGGGATTAAGAAGCGGTCTCGGGTGTCTACAGATCCATCGCCGCTATTATGCTGAGTTAATCGGCTTCGAATATTTATGGTAGGCCTATGTCCTATTACGAACGTTGTGGCTGGCGTGTATGTATGTTGGGTAACTTTACGACGTTTTGTTTACCTTCAAAGATCGCAACAAATTGCAGCGATTTCATTGGCTGATAAGTCGGTCAGCAGTTATTTGCCAGTTGTTATCGCTGAATCCGCGACAAAATAAAATCCTAAATTAAAAAATTAATTTGTATATCTCTTTTGCAGTTTTTTCGCGCGTATGAGGTCGTTTCGGCAACTGGGATACTTTATTGAAGTTTTAAATCTAGTTTTAGCCACAAGACCGATGGGTGGAACAAAAAGTCATAAAAATCTGACCCATCGTCTGGCCTATAACTAATGTATTATGCGTGGGGGTTTCTCCAGCAGTGGGATCGATCGTGTGAAACGTCAAATGACGTCATCAGTGCGCAGCGGGGTAACGTGAATTTTATTACGGAAATATGCATCCCATACCCGATTGATCCGCGTAATTCTATTTTGCTAGTCAAAGGTTGAACTCTTCTTTCATAATCAGTAACTTACTCTCCTCAATACGCAGTCACTTTGATGGGGTGAAAAAATATCATCATTCCCTACCCTATGGGTTGTCGCTTAAAAACAGTGCCCGGAATTTGAAGTGGGTCGCTGTGCGACTATGGCTTCTCGCCATGTGGTGCCAGGCGCCCAGATCATAGTCAGTAGCGGCGCTACATTTTTCTAAGGAAATACTCTCAATGCTTTCAAAATTGATTGTTCATTTTATAGGTGTGGCGGATGTGTGAGGCAGAGTATGTTTACTTGGTTTGGAACAGCCTGTACTCATCAGCTTTGGATTAACTTTGGCGTTAGGATTTTAGTACAGGAGCTGGCAAAGATTTAACTAACAATCGAGTATATCCACGATATCTGTGCCAAAACCTTCTGAGTAGTCAATTTAGGGATTAACCTACGTCTGAGCAGGTCAAAGGTCACCTTGGTCTCCCATGTCCAATCTACCTTAATGTAAAATATCTATACAAGCACAAATGGGTACCAAACTGTTCATAGGGCAATATGAATCCATAAATAGTCATGGACACTTGTCATGCTTTGAAATTATGTTCACAGATGAAAAACTGGACATGCGATACGCAATAGCGCCATACACGTGGGAGGGGTTCATTGTCAAATTTGACACTTCAAGGACGGGTTGATGAAAACTGCCGCGTGCTGGTTTATCTATCCATGTTAGCATTCATATTGGTTCTTGCATAAGATTTACTGTTTAGCGTATCTTTGCTTTATTGTATTGCGTTTAATTTGATCGGGAGACGTGTTCGTAGACCTCAACGTCAGCCGACGACACTGCAAGAATTGGCCGTGGCACTGCAAGAGGAGTGGGTCAGATTGCCCCAAATCGTGATTGGACGGTTGATTAGGAGCATGCCACGACGAATTGCTGAATGTCTGAGGATTGGTGGAGCAATTAGTCATTATTAAGACTAAAGTCACAAACGTCCATTTTCACTTTTGACGGTATATCTCTTTGCGTGTGAAATGGGGCCGTCAGATAAGCCACCCATATGAACTGTTTATGTTCATATGTAGGCAATTGGCCTGTTATTAACATACACTGGTTACCTCTGGCTCTAATACAAACAGCGGTGCATTTCCGCACTTTTGTATTCTTTCTGAATATCCCCTACTTTTTTTGAAGAGTATATATTCAAGTGATGGTGGCCAAGACTCAATGACTCTTCAAGAAACACACATAGGAATATGGTTTGATCACTACCCGAGTTCCACCCACCCTTAACCCCAATCAGAATTCAATATTCATGTATTATGTAAATATAGTTGGTCTTTTCATGGTTTAAAACGTTTAAAGTAGATAATTCCGCGCACTTGTACTTACAAGATATAAAAATCTATCAAAATCACGTAGTCCCTTATTTATGTTCCAAGAATCATAAAAACAGCTACTTTGAATGTCACTAAAATTAACAGAACCACCAAGGGCCATTAAAAGTTATAATTTACAACAGTTAAATAAGAATAAAATTGACTGAAGGGCTCTTTATAGTTTAGGGACAACTTGACCTGCTACAGCTTAAATTAAGTGTTAAAAAATCGTACGTTTTTAAAATGTAGTTGATCCTCAGAGTGCATGGCAAAGGGTCACAGATTCACAGACACAAAAATTGCTGGTACTGTCGGTTTTCCATAGTTAGTTGTCCGGGGTACACACAAACCATTGTTAAAATCATGTTTTATTCTGTATCTTTAGGATGTAGAGCGAAATAAAAGGTTACCATTTTACCAGTGTTTTTTTATTTAATTAGATACTGCTATTAACAAAAAGTACACTTATTGCTATATTATATATGTGGTGTGCCCTTTTGACTTTAAATCACAATGCCTACATATAAACCCAATTTTACATAAATCCTGTTCAGTATTTGGTTTGTTTATTTCCATGAAAAAAAACCAACCCTATTACTTCTAAACGATATCCAACCTGCAGATAATTTTCTAATACATCTTACAGTCAAAATATTTCAAACCTGTCAACACAATAACGACATCCGACTTGTAGAAGACAATATTATAAAACATTTGATAGTCAAAACAAAACAGAGATACAGTGGACTGAAAGTCAGATTTTGCACTATTATGTCAAGTATTGTTTATGCAGTCTAGTTTATATTGTCAAACGTGCCAATCTAATTAAAATCAGATGTTAATTCGTTTCGTTTTATTTTATTTCATTGTTGAAAGTCAACGTTCAGATTACTTCAAATTGTTTGTATTGTTATTGTTGTGGTAAATTATATCAAAGCATATGGAATGATTCTGGGTGGTAACAATTAGACGTTAAAGACATTGAAATACAAATGTGTGATATAAATGTAACTGTTCCTGGCAGAGCATCGTGATGATAATAATATTGCTTACTTTACAATGTAGTGTAACAATCAGAAAAAGTCAACCAACCAAAATCATAAGTGTAAGCTAATTTTAATACGTAAGGTATTCAGTTTGATCTGTTCCTAGTGAAAGACGAGAACTTCGCGGTAGATTTCCATTAATTAGTCTTGAAAATACCTAGATTATGTAGACGTCAAGCCCCATCCTCTCTCTTTCTCCCTCTGTCCCTTGCCCCGTCTCTCTCTCTCTCTCTCTCTCTCTCTATCTCTTTCTCTCTCTTGTTCGATCACTTGATGAATTACAAAAGAATGTATACCTTTTAGCGGTTGACGCTCAACCGGTGGTAAATTCAAATTGTGTACATGCTCGTTGAAACATACAATAGAAGAGTAAATAAATCTTCCATAGACAATGGTCTCTAACAATCAATGATATCATTTTTTGAAAAGAAACACATACACTACGGGAATAACGAAGCGATTTATTTTTATTGGATTAATTTTTATGGGCCGGCCATCTGAGCCCGTAGCACTTTCCTCGACTGACGATAATAGCGCAAATGGGTCTGACAGTAGGTAACTGCTTTGGGGACGGTCACAACTTCACGGGCTGCTTTATATACAGATTATCATCGCTTGAGACCCCGTTGTTAAATGTGGGTAACCGGTCCTCTCGCTTCAGACACCCTGGAATAATTTAGATGTTAGGCCAGGGGTGTCAAAGCGGGCGCCAATCTCTGTGTTTGGTTTTTGTAAGAAAACAAAGTACTAGTTTAAATATAGTTTTTTCTTTATCTACAAAAAAATAAAAACGTACAAGTATATAATAATATTAAAAATATTTGTAAGACAGATTAGGCCTACATAATATCCCAGGAAGATGGATAATGTTCAAATTTTCATTGTCAAGACTCGTTATGAGGAGTCCACAACCATAGCTCTCAGAAATAAAATCCTAGCACGCGAAAGCGCAAATTCTTGAATTTAAAAAATAGACGAAATTGGGATACTAATCAATCAAAGATGCCACTGAGTCTAAATAGTTTATGATGGAAATCTTTCCCCGTCTTGGTTGACTCGCCAAAGCCAGTGGCGTGCAGAGATTATATGGAGGGGGGAGTGTGTGTGTGGGGGGAGTGTGTATGTGTGTGTGTGGGGGGGGGGGGGCTGGGCAACATTTAAGAGGGACATCCAATCAAAGAGTTAAATTAAATATAGTTATATGAAAGTCAGACGGATTTCTAAACGCCAAGTCCTGTTCATGAGATGAGTTGAATAAGTGATACATGGAATGTTCATTAACTTAAGTGTTTCTGATTTTAATTTTATAAAAGAGTATGGACAGAAACAATTTTGCCCTTTACCATTGCCTTATTTTGTGATGTCAGCAGAGCGGGCGGATCGTGTGCGTTGCATAACCTCGACGGTACCATAACCAGCCATTCCAACCACCAGGAAAGCCATGCAAACATATATTTTGATGTTAGTGACGATAAAGTCGTTATAGGCGTAGGCGAATATAAAACCAACGGATTCCCATAGACGATAATTAGCAAAGGCTGGCTCTGTATTATCTTTGAATAGAAATCCATAGAAAGCTGAAAGTAAAATAAATAGACATTAGTACGTAAAAGTTTAGAACTAATTACCCGCCAAACTATATTTTAAATGAATTACATGATGGTTATATTGTGATACGTAACAGTTATGTAGTGTTTAGAAATGTCCCGGGAACTTGTGCGCTAGAAAGGGGGTTTTCATGAGTGTAATTTTAACAATACACGTATTATTGCCACGTGGTTTTGTTTATCATTAGTTAGACCAAGTCTTTATATTGAGTTATTGATTACGTAGAGGGAAAGTGGGAATGTTTCAAATATCACCTAAATAATTGTATTTTTTTAATGTTTCAACGGTTGTATTTGAAAGTCAAGTGATCTATGATCTCCAAATCAAGGAAGATGAAGTATCCGAGTTGAAGTTAGTAATTTCACCATTATGGAGACAGGCGTTAAAACCAACCAGGCAGGTAGGCAGGCAAACAGACAGGGCACACGTACGCATGTACGGGGATTACAAAGACTGTCGGATGCATTCCGGATCATTTCAGTCGTTGTTCATACAGACATACATATATGTTATTTACCTTAACAAGTACTTATAGAGGAATATATGTCGGATTAATTTGTCTATGTTGGGCCATTTGTTTGTATTATACCCAGTGATACGACAGCATTACCCATTACCCATATGATTGACAATTCTGCTACTCAACATGTCAATGTCAAAATAACGGAAACATTTAGTCAGCCACTCGCTGAAATCACCCATAATTTAATGGTGTTGTGACCTACTAGTCTCCCGCCAAACTTCTTTCTGATACGACAAATGTTCATGTTATCCAATATTCATTCGCCCAATAATACTCAAAAGTCGAAAAAATGGAAAATAATAAGTCAGACACCCGGCGAAGTCATATATCTGTGTTGTGCACCTGTAGGTTTCACCAAACCTTCCACGTAAAATAACGTATAATTGGGTTGTGAACTATTAGGTTCCTCACAAACTTCTAACGTCAAGTTTTCGAGAAACTATATTAACAAACAAAAATAGCGACTTCTTACCATTAATCTGTGTTTGAATGACAGCATCCCCCATTCCCCATAGAGCTGCCAGTACATAGAATATAACTATGGCATCTGGATCTGGTATCCAGAATAACAGTGTTATCTGTACCCCACCATGAACAATAAATGCTGAAATAGTAACAAGTTATAAATTTATACGTGAAAGGGACCCGTATAATAACAAATGCGTTTAATGGGGTTGTATTAATTATAATACGCGTTTCTGTTCTGTAAAATAACAAAACGTTGGAGCACAAACTTCTCTCCAAACAGTGGCATATAGCTAGAGTTTGTACAGTTCTTAATGGATTTAGTATGGAGCATTCGTACTATAAGAGGATGAACTCGATTGTTTTTCAGCTATCGATTTTCAAATTCGGTGTGCAATATTGGGATCGTTCAGGATAAAACCTGAGGTATATTAAATGTTCGGGAAAACTCGTGAACAAAATAGTGATCTGACTTATTTAAGGCACGAATTTATTTTAAGATTTGAAGACATAGCTGCTGTGTTGGCGTATTTTGACGCTCTGTGTGGCTATTTCTTTTAATACAGTAGGTTAATATATATTGTGCCCCCCCCCCCCCTTGTATCGCCTTAGTTACGCTACTACACAAAACAATAAAATAATCAACTTTGTGGGCGTATTTCCCCGGATGTGTGGCTATTCTTTGTAATACAGTAGGTTACAAGGTTATGACCAGATTATGCCGGAACAGATAGTCAATGAAGGACTGCACCACGTGACTCTTCTTGACTTTTCTGTTGCACTATTTAGTTGGCATGTTGGAATTTTCCCTGTTATTTTGCCGGTAGTATCCCTTGGGGGATTAGATTGGAAGTTTAATCCGGATTAGGAATGTTATTTAAAAAAGCTAACGGTAGAGGATCGATGGGAACGCGTCTTCCTTGCCTGGCCCGCCTGGCCTGTATCACTGGGAAAGCCAGACTGATACACCCAGGGAAACTTTCTTGTCCAACACACTGAGCAAACGTGGCTGATCATTTTAAGAGCGTGACTCATCCAACGTCCAAAATACTTATGTAGATTATACACTTTAACTAAACAGGAATACAAACCTAATATAAAAAAAGGAATGTGACCAACATATTGTACCATTCTTCCAAAAGAAAACGAGCAAATAGCATCAACAACACCATAGCAGATCATCACATAGCCTACATTCCATATTCCTAATGAACATGTAATATACGACTGAAACAGAAAATAAGTTAATATGAGTTTATAAATATAATCATTTTTTGAAAGCATCTTAAAGGACCATTTCTGGTAGGGTGACGGTTTCCCAGGGCTTTGTATCCATAGGTAGATGAATATGATAATATACTATACTAAGCAGCAAAAGAAACGTAAGGTTGGTATGTTACTCTGAATAGACGCATGGCATAAAACTTGCCAAATGTTTTTGTTGTATATTTGTGACCACATCTCCAATTTTACCTGAGCTATAAGGCTCCATCCCAAACACAGAATTGAACCAAGGAAATGTTCTCAAAAACGCAACCTGACTTCTGAGATGGTAATGTTCTCTCTATGATTTTCATGTAACTCATGCTGCACCTGCTAAGCACCATGACCAGCCCTATAAAATGCATCCCCATCATTCACACTACAACGCCAGCAGCATGCCACTGCTCACGACAGCCCAGAGGAACCAGGCGCTTGGAAGACTCGGCGCTGGCCACACTGCCCAAGCCGTTGCCAATCACTTCCAGGTCAATGTTCGGACCATCTACAGGCTTCAGCAACGCTTTCGGGCCACCAACACCACGGGTTACCAAGACCGCCATGTTGTGCGACAGCACGTGCAGAATCCCTTCACATCTGAGACAGCACGTTAGACAGTGGGAACACACGGAAGACCCATCAGTACCGATACAGTGCGCCGACGTCTCACCGGAGAGAACATCCATTGCCGTAGACCTTACCGTGGACCGATCCTCATCCCTCGCCATCGACGTGAACGTCTACAGTTTGCCCAACTACACCAGAACTGGCAATGGAGAACTGTACTGTTCACAGATGAGAGTTGATATTGCGTATCAACTGCAGATGGCAGAACCAGAATATGGCATCGACGTGGCCAGCGTTATTTTGACCAATGTGTCATGGAACGAGACACATGGGGATGTCCAAGCATAATGGTTTGGGGTGGAATCGGCCTGAGCCAGAGAGAGAGTGGGTCCTGTGGTGTTCCAAAATGTTGGTCCAGGGAGAGGAGGCGGCATCACAGCAGTGCGCTACATCGATCAAGGTCTCAGATCCCACGTCATACCACATTTTGCAAGTCATCGAAACAACGTTTTCTGCCCACACCGCCAGAGTTACTCGCGACTTTCTACAGCAGAACGGTGTCAACGTTATGCACTGGCCAGCCCTTCGTCCGGACTTAAACCCGATTGAACATCTTTGGGATGAAATTCAGAGGAGACTTAATAAGGTCGTACCGAGACCAAACACAGCTGATGGACTGCACCAGGCTTTTCTGAGTGTGGTTCCAGGTGCCAATGGCGTTCATCAATCGTCTGGCCCACTCCATGTACAGACGCTGCGCTGCTGTTATTGAAACTCGCGGTGGACACACCAAATACTGATGTATAGACTGTGTACAGACTCTAAACCTTCCCGCAATGTCTTGGAATTGTGATAAATTAATCACTGATGTGTCAACATACTGTTCAGAAAAAATTGCTTTAATCCATTTAGTAAATTCAGTTTCTAGAATGGTTTGATTAAAGTGCCTCTCGGATTTTGAAATCTCCAAGGTTGCCCTTGGCGGTTATGACAGGTACCGGAATAATTTGTATAAATTTCTGATTTTACTTGCTAAACGAAAAGGGTAAATTTGTATGGCCGCTTTAGTTTTACCTTTAAAAAAATCGAGTCACCCAATACCACTTGTCGTTCATTTGGTATGCTCAAATAACTGACACATTCTGTTGCACTTTTATATTTTATTATTTTGTCCACTAGTCATCGAAAGTCTGTATTACATCTGCACCTTAGGGAGGAGCATTAGGATCAGTGGGTCAATTATTTGGATTATCTCGATAAGATTCGAAATTAATTTTTTTTAAAAAGGTTAATTTTTAGTCACACATACTCAACAAGCATTACTGGCGCACTGATCACGTACGTCAGACATATGCATTCCACAGAATTACGAAGAACTTTTTTTCTCACGCTTTGAATAAGTCAGACGTGCAGCCTGTACGTGACAAGTACTGTGCCCGTACTATTTACAAAACTTCCACCCGGTTTCTTGCTCTTGCAAACCTTGCTCGAGCTACCAAACCTGGCGACCCTTTCGTGTCCAAAACACTGAAATGAAATGAAATGGAGTTTAACGTCCTACTGTTCTGCTCCAACTGGGCTAATGAAGACGGACATATGGTGTGCTATGAGGGAAATTTTTCCTGGCCAACGGCACTACGACCTACTCTTATACTGAATTCCAACTGCTAAGGGATTTTTACGTGCACGCCAATGTGTACACGGGACCGAATGACTGGACAGCTGTCCTTGTCAGGCCCTCCATCCTGCAACCACTGACAAGGAGAAACCATGCCGAAAAATCCCGATGAACTTTGTCGGCCAACACCGGGATCGAACACATACGGCGGGTTGTGAGCTAGGCTTAACATTCATCGATCCCGTACGCCTATTTCGGCCTTGCTACCCAATAAATTATATGACGAGTTCACTATGTCGTAATTACGAAATATTAACTCGTAATTATGAGATAATCATAATCGTTTTTTTCTTACGATTGACTCTAATGGTCTTTCATAGCAATCAGCAGTAAAATTGGGTAGAGCAATACTAACCTTTGTATAATCCCCAGATATAAAAGCCTGTTCAACACCTGAGTAGATAGTTAAAGGTATAAGTAAAAGTTGTGCTGGTGATGATATCAGATGTTTAAACGTAGCAATCAAAAGTTTTGGAGACGGTCGACCTTGTCTTCTCTCATCTTTTTCAAGGATGATTTTATCCAATAGAACAGATATAATAATAACAGCTGCTACAGCACAACCAATATAAATACCACATAATAAATAAACCTGAAATAATTTATTTATTACATTGATAATGGGGGAAAGACTGATATAAAAAACATAAAAAAAACCAAACGAAACGTCATTACAAAACAGTAATATTCCCAGAGAAGATGTACAATTTTAAAACACGTAAAAGACGAGGTACATTTAAAGATGAATTATGTAAGATTTGAATAAAGAACTGGTCGTTCCTGCTATAATATTATGAAAATTTTATTCAAATCAGTTTATTCTAAGTGATTTTATCAGTGTTTGAAGATATAGATTGTTTAATATGGTAGCAACCGTACAAAGTGAGCAGTTGAATTTTAATTTCATGAGCTTACAATCAAAAGATCTATATGGGAATATCTTATTGCGTTCAGCTAAATGGTCTTTATTAAATAATGCGAAAGACTTTGACATAATGTCCCCATTCGTTTCCTTGCATAATTTTTATACGCCCACATTTCAGTATTGACCCTGTTCGTCGTCCAATCAGCATTGGGATTGTGAAAGCCATCATAATGCTACATTTTTTTTTTTTTTTTTTTTACAGATTTTCAAATGTGGTGACAAGCATTGGGGCCATGAATGGAGTCCTGTTGATTTTCAGCGTTCTACGATCTTCTGTACCGGAGTTAAACTTCCTTTATCATAAATACCTTGTGGGTGCGATAGAGACTACAGTTTTTAACGAATTCTTTTCAAATTTAGTACGATGCATTTGGGACCATAAGATTACGAATCCTTTTAATTTTAAGGTTTTGTAACATAGTATTTTCAAATTTGTTGTGAATCATTGGTATCATGAAAGGACGAATCATTTTCGGCCCCCCCCCCCCCGCTTCCCTCCTTTTTAAAATTGGTGTGAATCGTGTTGATTCTCTGTTCCGGACATATATCAAGTGAACACAATGGAAATCAGATTTCTTGAAAGAATAAACGATAATAATCAACTTTCGTCAACATCCAAGTTTTCATTTCGGATAAGCTTCTGTTTCATTCAGCACGCTGAGAACTATCCTCTTTGATTGTAGACATACGCCTGCTTTCTATTGTTATCTTTTTTTCGAGCCATAGCGGCTGCACATTAGACCAATACAACGTTACATTAACTGTATCACAGTTGTAATATTTTGTCGTGTTCATTAGCCCGTTAAAACCTTTTCATTTCATTTCATTATGACAGTGTAGCGCCCAGGTTTTTTCCCCAAACGGTAACAGAAAAGAAAATATTATGCGTAATAAAATGCACCACAGCGTATTTCGCTAAACTCAGATCTCCATAAAATTAAATTGATTAATAGCCCCCAGTGTAGTTGTGGATGTTCAAACGAAAACGCAAACCACATTTTTCTACAGTGTAACCAATTTAATGTACATACTCTATTGTGGGGCGACAGCAATTTATCCAACCATCAAAACAACTCATTGTTCGAAAAGGTGTGTTCATATATAAAAGCAACTAAACGTTTTAAATGTTGTTTGTAAGCTGTGTTCATTTGCACCTTGTTCATTACTGTTTGTTACTTATTATGTATACTGAGCGCCATGGAAAACGCATCACTTTTTTTCCCAAATATCTTATTACTAGGTGGTTTTGTATGTATATATATTAAATCTATATTTGTTGCATCTCACAATTCTCAAAGTAAACTTAACTATTATATTCATACAATGTCTGAATATGGAAAGGACGTTTTTAAGTTTTAATAGCTTTTCTCCAATCCAAGTGTATCGAAAATTATTTTTGTTGATGCAATAAAATATGTTTAAACAGTTATATCATTGTTATATATTTGGTTGTACTAACTAAAGGTTATTTAGACAAGGCGCATTTATATATACTCTTCAAAAAAAGTAGGGAATATTGAAAGGCAAATACCTATGCTGGTTGTGATATGATAAATAGTCATGGACATTTGATATGCTTTGAGAGTATGTTCACAGATGAAGAACTTATCGCCCCAACAGAACCACTGAGCTGCATGTGCGACATGCAATAGCGCCATGCACGTGGGAGGGGTTCATTGTCAAATTTGAAACTTCAAGGAAGGGTTGATGAAAACTGACGCTTGCTGGTTTATCCTATCCATGTTTGCTTTCCTATCGGTTCTTGCATAAGATTTACTGTTTAGCGTATCTTTGCTTTAGTGTGTTACATTTAATTTGATCGGGAGACGTGTTCGTCGATGTCAACGTCAACCGACAACACTGCAAGAATTGGTCGTGGCACTGCTAGAGGAGTGGGTCAGATTGCCCCAAATCGTGATTGGACGGTTGATTTGTAGCATGATACGACGAATTGCTGAATGTCTGAGGATTGGTGGAGCAATTACTCATTATTAAGACAAAAATCAAAAATGCCCATTTTCACTTTTGACTGTGCATTTCCGCAGTTTTGTATTGTTTCTGAATATCCCGTACTTTTTTTGAAGAGTATATAATCCGTGGTCAATTCAAAATAATATCAAACAAGAAAATAATCTCCCATTTTACAAAACCTGATTTTGTTCTGGTTTCTTCAGATTGGTATTATTTGCTGGGGGGTCTATTGGATCAAAATTGGCACCACATTTATTTAGATCATTTGTTACATTTAAAGTTGTTCCATTTTCTGGTGTAGGACTAAACACCGTGGATGATATCAGATTTCCCCATATCTGACCTGAAAAAAATCAGAGGATTTTTATTAATCCTATTTCAAATCCAAATCCAAATCATATTTTTACGCTACATTATAATTCAGCCAATTTTTTATCAGTGTTCTGTCATTGAGGGTTCAATTTGCATTCTCCAAGCATACCGTGGCCCTATATTTTCACTTTTAAATACATTTAACTTTTAAAAATCCCCATAGCTATACCAATATAAACCGGCTTCAAAGAACGCGTGTCCGATTTTTTGGGTTTATTTTTAAAGACATGTCAGTACAAACCACTGCAACGCCATGCTCGGGAAATAGTCCTTTGCCTGATAATTCAGTAATAACAACATATAAACAAAAGAGGGATGGCTTGTAAATACAGATACAAAATAGAGCTGTAGGTTTTGCACCAAAATCAAGTAATGCAGCATACCGTTCGGTTGGCTTTTGTTTAAATACATTTTTCAAGGCAACCGAGTTAGTTAATTTTTTTGTTTTTTTTGTTTTTTTTGTTTTTTTTTAAATTACGAACACAAAAAGAGTGCATTGAAATAACCACAGAAATGTAAAGCATTAATTCCCTTTATATGAGCTCTTATTATGAGTTGGATGGAATTTACAACATGCGTGTAAACCTGTTAATTTTACCCCATTGCCTGTCTTAACGTGTCTGACTTTTCAGTATTTAAGTTTACACATGAAGGCACGATCCACCCACAGTAAATATGACCTTTTTATAGCTGTGTCGATTTCTGTGTAAAACGTGTAAAATTGTGTTTGATGAAATGCAGACCACGATTAGTATATATATATGATAAAGTTTTATCTGTTAATTTACCTTTGTATGGTTTTAAAGAGCTTAGGTCGTCACGGAGCTTCCGTCTTTGGTCCACCAAACACACGACCTACAGGCTAGCGATCCAGCGTCTTACCCACTTAGCCACCGTGGCTCCTTTTTACAAAACAGCGAATGTAATGACTATATATTAGAATATGTTAACCGTACAAATTACCCAAGGTAGTCCAGATTTAACAAGAGATTCAGCGCAGACTAGTCATTTATTGTATATTTGTTAAACTTTGAATAACAAATACTTGCTTGGAATTTAAAAAAATAGCCTAATGGCAAAACAATCTTTAAAAGATAAAGCATAGCTATGTCTTACTTGTCTGGAAGATCATGAAGAATATTCCAAAGAAGCGATTGATGGTGGCATCCTCTGACTGACCGGTTAATTTAGCATACCAAATACCAGTTTCTGTTAGATAGGCACACTTGGCGGACCATAGAGGAGCGGCACCTAAGCCCAGGATTATTGCTGCAGGAATCATGGTCCCCCATACGGCATAGAAGTTGGCACCCATATACAAGACATAGCCACACATAGATAGAGGAATGGTCCATTTACATCCTAGATGAGCTATTAATATCGGTGGCACGAACATACAAGACACCACAAGAGCTCCATAAAGAGTAGATAAACTAGCGGTGCCGACTCCTTCTTCTTTGTTTAAACTACTCTGGAGATTAGCCATAGACTGAAAAGCCGTGAACAAGAACACAAATCCAAAACTGACGACAAACAAATTTTTAAGAATCTGAAACTTCGACATTTGACACGTGAAAGGTTCTGCTGCATGTCCATTAGCTTCTTTGGTTGGAAAATTCATTTCGTATTTCTCTTTGTCCGTCATGTTGCCGGCTTCTGAAAGTAAAATTTAGATTGTTATAATAGGGATGATTTTATTTTTGTGTTTCAAGTTTTAAATAACCTTCCTTTCCGTTGCTCCGAATATGTTAATCAAATTTGATATAGAGACAATCATAATTACGTATGCTAAATGTTATTTTTTATGTTTTACTAACATTTCAACTCAGTACCTTGAAGTTTCAACTTATCTGAAATTAGTATCTAGAAATTTGAACATGTTGAATTGAAATTTCGACTTAGTTGCATGAAATTTCAACATATGAATTTCAATTTCAACTAAGTACCTTAGTATTTTGAAATTTCAGCTTAGTTACTTGAGCTGTAATTCGATCGTCAGCAGTTGTCCCTGTCCGTCTGTCCGCCGGCCCATTGTCCGCCCTCACAGATTACGTGTATTACCAATTCATTTTAAATTAGCATTCCTTGACCACGACACACGTCACTATACTTCAGTGGCTAACTGGGCGATGTTTGAGGCCTGATTTGCACAGCCGAATAGTACCCCTGTATGTTTAAGTATACTTTAGGGCAATGTAAACAGAAAATAATGCATCTCTAGCGATCTTCTTAGTACCGCATTATACATCCACTATAGTTAATCTTAATTTCCGTATGTTGACATTTCAAGTTGAAATTATAGCAAACATGGCCTTATTTAGCCTCCGTATTATTTAGCTCCCGTACCATCTATTGTACCCTTATAAAAATGACTAGACATTATGCCATACAATTTTGTTTGCTTTAGGATTTTTAAGTTGCCCGAATGTTGATAAAATCTAATATATAGACCATCTATATGTACCGATTGGCATACGTGTGCTCAAGCTAAAATAAATAGATAGTGTACCTATTACACTTGTTTTCAGGGTGTAACAAATATGTTTGATTTACGGAGGTCCAAGATGTTTACAGGATATGTCCCCAAAAGTTCTGAAAAACGTGCTAAACTATGCATAGGTTGCGGATGTATGTGAGTAATGACGCAAAAACATTCCCCTTAATATCGTAAACATTTCGTTTAAAGAAATCACAAATTATATAAGTTTGAAGGAATCGTTATATTAAGGCCAGTTAAGTTTCAATTCAATCTGAAACCGGTGGATTATGGGATTGAATCCTGTGTGGTGGTATATATTAATTCGGTCATTTAGTTCAGCGTAGCTTGTCTTTATTCCATAACTAATAACATGCCATCAAAAATTGTACTCTTGATACAATTTTTCGAAAAGGATAAGATAAGGGTTTATGTATCGCTATAAGAGCCATCATGGACATCATACAATGTATATAATGTATATAGCCTAAATAACTTTAAATACTGGGATAGTCGCTTAGTTATGAAATTGTACGGGCCGAGAAAATCCTGGTGGTTTGAAATTAAATCTGCGAAAATGTCTTCTGTCGAGCCGCGTGAATGCGATCAAAACAGTGCTTCGGTGAACACGTAAAAGATCAATTGACAGAATTAGAAGTAAATTGACCAAAATCTCGCATGTCCACGAAAATAGCCCCCCCCCCCCGCACTGCATTGCATGAGTAACCATAAAAATAAAACAACTATGTTAGCAGAGGCGGATCAAGGCTCGATGGTACTCCGACATCTTGCGTCATTTGCAAAATCAGACCTCTGTAAACTAACTTCCCTGCAGATGTGGAATTACTGAGGTACAGATATATTTTACCATATCAGTCGGATTGCAGCAGCCAATTGATGCTTAGAGGCAAGTATTAAAATGAAAAAAAACCCTAATAAATAAGGATTCAAAGTTCTTATTTCGTAAATGAAGAGACATAATAATATTATGGTCTGCAGGGAACCAAGATTCGATTCATTTCAGTCATACAATTCAGTCATATTAAGCTAATTTTCAAACCCTAACGTTGCCATCTTTCTAGTTTTTTTCGTTCAAGAAAATGTCTACCCGTTGATCACTACAGTCTATTTTACGACCGACATTAACGCCTGTTTCTATTAAAAACAGACAATTCAGTCAAATTTACTCTATTTGAACTGGTGATGGGTCATATCATGAATTTCAGACGTGAAACAGGTCTTTCGGCCAAAATATTGGAAACCACATACTGAGATAAATCTTGAGAGCTATTTGTCTATTAGAAAATACTACCCCGTCAACCTGTTTTTGTGAATCAGTGTGAGTATGCCATATGCAACGCTTGTACAAATATAAAAAGCTGGCTTTGCGTAATGAGAGACGACAACTTTCGAGGAGGAGCAAATCGTCAAAATGTTTATGAAAATAAAAGTCATTTGACCATTCTGTGGAGTTTTTCGATCATTGTAGTACACTGTCGATTACAAACAAGTAAGGTTCGTCAAATCTTTTAGGGGCCGATTTGTTTGTCTGGGCCTATAGGTTAATCCTGCATGTTAGTAACAAGTTCAGCCAAATAATTTCGTTAAGAAAACGTTAACACTATTCTTTTTCCGAAGAGAGCTTTAATTTTTCTTTTGTTGAAATATTGTATGTATTACTTTAAGTATGGTATAAACGTCTCGAGTTTATTTGTGATGGGTGTATTATTTTTAACAATATATAGTTATTTCAATGTGATGTACTTCGGATATATATTTCTTAGTTCAGGTATATACATGTCCTAATTAGTATAGTTGCTCGACTATCCTCTTTTAAACTTCAAGTCTCAAGCTATTCAATACGATACTGAGAGGGCTTTTGTACCGCTCATAAATATATCTTTACTATAATATAATATAAAAGGCCGTCGTTATATAAGTCTTTTTGAATTAATCTTTCCTTTTCTAATAGAAATCTATGTTAGAGTTTTGATAAATTCTCGGTTCACAGGTTTTAGATTAAATGTGGTGTTTTTAAGTGACTGTCGTTTCATATAACTAATCTGTTATCAGTTTAAGATATCAAATGCCCAGATAATGAAGACGGGTATACACCATGCAGTGTGGCATGAAAGAAATATTGTAATCCAATTGTAAGGGATTCTTTTACGTGCACAAGAACGACCAGGCCCTGTTCCTTGCTAGGTCCTCCGCTAATTGTACGATTTACCCAGCCCCATTCAGGAATGACACTTAACACCATATTAAGTCGTCCAAATAAGTTGACCTAGCTATCGGTATCCAGGAAATCTAAAAAGCTATCATTAACAAGACAAAATATACTGCATCATTGGTAATATGCAAATTAGTTTGGGGGTAAAATTGGGGTTTCAGCCAGATTTTAGTAAAAGATCATTCTCAAAGATCACTAAGAAAACCAAGTAAATATATTCTAGTGACAATATAAAGATTAGATATGTTTTTAGGGTAAAGGAAAACAGGTTTATATATATTCTTATGAAAATATAAAGAATACATAATGGGAAATGTGTCCATTACCATTATACAGCTTCAAACTGTTGTGCAAAGAAGAACCCACACCTTTTGAACCTGTACAGTTTACCCAGTATGTGTTCTGCTGTGCGCATAGGTAGCTTATTGCAATTTCTTCGGGCAGCGCCGTCATGTACATTGGTAGTCTGTCTGAAGTGAAGTAGGGATAAGATTTTCAGTTAATTAGCTGCCCCATAAATTAACTACGTCATGTAGTTTAATGACTGGTAATCTAAATATGATCGTTGTTCTTGCCCGCCCCCCCCCCTCCACCCCCTCCACCCCCCGCTTTATAAGCTTAACCTCAGTTTCCATTAGAACATGACGCAGGACACCAGGGGTATTTTTTTAACTGTCTCTGGACCAGCACGAGGGCCAGCGCGGGCCACAAGTCGGTAGACCATCATTTCGCTACTATGGAGAGATATTATAATTGGATTTTCTTCCTACCCGCCTTGGGCGAGCAGGCTAAGTAGATTTCTTAGAGACATATGTCATTTTTCATGTTTAGGGTTATCACTGATTTAAAGCCAAGTACATGTGTGTAGTTTGATTTGTTACTTGTATATTACGCCATCCTGAGGGTGGAATGGCCGAATGGTTAGCGCGAGCACGCTGTATCATAAGGTCTGTCATTGAGTAAACTGGCGTGGTTTCGATTACGTTATCCATTGGCCTGTTGTAAAATTTAAAAATAGATTGCCAGGCAACGAAACATACGCCCACACAGAGAGAGAGAGAGAAATTGGGGTTTAACGTCTACTCGATTCAAAGTAGGTCATTTCCGGACTAACATATGGTTCAATTTTATTTCAATGAGCGTAGGGGTCTTTAGCAGTGTGAAGAAATCGGAGAAACAGCAGAAAACCGACGAGATTAGACAGGCGACCCTACTCCTTGTCACAACCGGTGAATTGAAACCACGCCAGTTGACTCACTGACAGACCTTATTATACACGCGCATGCGCTAATAATTCGGCCACCCAATCCCCTCATACGCCCACAGTAGCTAAGTCGTCCGGCAGTCAGATTTGTTTGGAGAGAAAGAGAGAGAGGGGAGAGGGAGAGAGAGAGACACACACACACACATGCAGAGGGTGGGGGGCAGAGTTTAACGTTCACTCGGCAAAACTAGGTCATTTCGGGATTAACATATGGTTCAATTTTTATTTCAATAATTCGCTTGTGCGTAGAGGAAGAAACCGGAGGACCCGGAGAAAACCCAGGAGGTTGGACAGGCGACACTGTTACTTGCCACCTACAACCGGGGAATTGAAACCACGCCAGTTGACTCAATGACAGACCTTATAATACAGCGCGCACGTGCTAACCAATAGCCCCCCCCCCCCCCCCGATTTGTTTGCCTTCTAGTTCTGCCTTATACAAGCATTTAGTACACAAAACATTAACCATCAGGGGTCATAAATCTGGAAGTAATTATCGAAAATTAATAGGAAATCTTCTTCTCATGACCTTATTCGTTTAGCCTCCAGAGCGTGGACACCGGACCGACGGGGACCACGACAATATATGACATTTATCGGTATATCAATCCAATTTCTTAAAATTGTATTTCAAAAACCTGACATTGGAATGATCTAATTTGTATGCATCGTAAATAGACAGACATAAACTGGCTGAGTAAACAATAATATATGACGAATTGGTAAAGCGATAAAGTATTTGTGATAATCTGGCGTCTGGCCCATTTTCATTCATTCCTTCAACTTCTTACACAAACAAAAAATCCAGAGAGTAAGTCAGTTATCGACCTTGACCTCGGGGTAAGTTAGATAAACACCCGAGCTCGCGCAATTGAACACTTCGAACTCTCCGCGTTCTCCGTGTACAACTTTGCACGAGCTCAGGTGTTCATCTAACATGAACCCCTCTGTCTGAGTCGATAACCCTTACTAACACTCGGCCTACGGCCTCTGGTTAAACCTGTTAACTTATGGAAGCCGTACTTTTAATATAACTTCTAGGTCCACCGGAATTAATGTTTTGTAATGTATATATCTATCTATCTCCAAAGCCGCTACCATTAAATGACTCTCAACAGTGATATTATTACGGACAGAGCGAACATTTTGTTTACGAAATATAAATCTGTGCCTCGATATTTAAAAGATACCACGCAATAAATGCGGTTAATGGTTGTGTGTAAAACTTAGGTCAAGTTACCCAATACAACTAAACTATTTTACCTATATCAATAACAGTTAAAATATATACTTGATAACAGCTATAACTGAACTGATATAACGTTATGTCCCAACGTAAATGATATAAATTAGGTAAGAAATACCCACCATTAGATATACCACATACACGCATTTAAATTACAGCGCTGTAGAAACATTTAAATTAGCCTATAATATACATTTAATTGAAGGCCTTCAAATATTTTTAATAAATTTTAAAATATACTCTCTAACAACAAAAATACTAGCACAAAAAAACATAAATCGATCTGCTCTGCACTATAAAAGGTTTTCTAACACTGCTAAAGACCCATAAGGTCAAGCGAATTATTGAAATAAAATTGTTTCGAGTGGACATTAAACTCTCCCCCACCCTCTGCATGTGTTTGTGTGGGTGTGGGTGTGGGTGTGTGTGTGTGTGTCTCTCTCTCTCTCTCTCTCTCTCTCTCTGCTTATTTGCCCAGCCCAGCTTATTCTATATACCAATGAGGTTTACAAGTAACGTTCTATTCGATCATCATAGTTGAATAGAATACAATGTATTCTTTTATGGAAAAAAACTCTCTCTCTCTCTCTCTCTCTCACTCTCTCTCTCTCTCTCTCTCTGCTTATTTGCCCAGCTTATTCTATATACCAATGGAGTTTACAAGTAACGTTCTATTCGATCATCATAGTTGAATAGAATATAATGTATTCTTTTATGGAAAAGGCTCTTAAAATTGAATTACACTGCAGCCACAGAAATATAACTTGGCTTTGAATATACAAAATAACAGTATCAATATGCTATCCCCCTTTCCCTACATTTTCTCTTTTAATTTTGGGTTATATGGAGTATAAAACGAGATAATCACTTGAGATGATAAAATATGCTTGGCCGCTTAGACAAAAACACTAACGCTAATAAATATTACGTGAAGAAGGAGTGCTTCGCAAACAAGGTGCAAAAGGATATCTACAAATTTTTCAGGCGTTATAATCTGAAGTCCTGTTTAGTTAAATTTATAATGTAATGCACTAAACAGTCTACTGCATAGAAAAATAGAATAACTATTTTACCTGGTAAAAGATAATATGAAAATAATGTATTCAAAAAGTGACATATCTTACCCTCGATCGTTCACTATATAAGCAGTGTTAATCCAATAATATTTAAAGTATGGATGTTACTCTCCTGAAATGCACGAATAGTTTACCGCACTCATCTACCAGCCTGTATAGTTATTTCCTACTTTATTTACAAATAAACCATGTGACGTATGTGACAGGCATAAACCCACCTACTGTATATGCAAATTGTATACCGAATACAAGTAAATCTGTGGATATATAAACTTGTGGTTAAATTTGTTAGTTTAATTATTGGGGTGGATACTGCCCCGGGTGCTAAATTCCCAAAAATTATTTTCCACCCAAAGTCTGTCTTCTATACCCTATCAACCCTTCTAGTTTTTGAAATTACTTAAAATGAAATTAGTCTTACGATTTACAATTGCCCCAAAATGCTCTTTCAAATCTCCAATTACAACTTTATTCTAATAAATCTAAAACACATTCAACATAATTCTAATTACAGTCCTTTCTAAATCTTATCTGTTCAGCACGTTCGCATCTTGTGAACGTTCCACCATGGTTGCTGCGGGGAGGGGACATAGCGACCAGTGCCGGACTGGGCCCACCTGTCCACCTGTCCGTAACAGGTGGGCCTAAGCTCATTAAAAAAAGTGGGCCTAAGCCTATAAAGAACAAAGAAAAAAGAGAAAGAAAAAAGAAAAATACCTGAAGATTACTTTGGCTATCCTTGAAGCTAAAGAAATAATTTGTTAGAGAACAATTAGTTATCAGTTATCATCACAGAAGTAAACAAATATCATCATAAGCTCGTGAGGTTCAGGAGCTTATGATGATATTCGTTTACTTCTTTGAGTGCGAAGATTCTCGCTATATTCTGTGATGTGCGTCAACAGAACTGTCAAATATGTGTACTGTATGTATATTATAATTTGCATTATTTTCATCACGTAGAATAAAAGGGTTTTTTTTGACACTGAAGAGAATTCTCAAATTCATCTAATCATAGTGCTCTTAGGTCATTCTGTTATCTAATTGTATCAGGAAATCAAAAATTTGCCTTCTTCTGCTTTGGTCTGAAATGCTTGGAAAATGGATTTGCGGTTGTCAATTTTCAAAATTTTCCTAGGGGGAGACCCCCCCCCCCCCGACGTTCGCGCGCCTTCGACGCGTACTTGTGTGAGCTTTGGTTAATGACCTGACAGGTGGGCCTTGGGCCCACCAGTCCGGCACTGATAGCGACTAATTTTCATATTAACTAATGATGTGTTCCATAGTTACAATTACTATGACGTGATTAACCAGTATGCAAAATATTTAATAATGCAACAATTTGTAATCTATTTCGCTCGGCATCGCAAACATTAAATTCCTCTTTAAATGTTCGTGCCGAGCGGAGCTTAGATAATATGCTTTTTTAAAAAAAACGCCACTCCGCGATACTCAGAGTTTATACTATAAGAAAATAAGATTCGAGGGAAATAAATATTTTACATTATGAAGTTTAACCAGTAAATTGATTCTTTTCCTTGGATGTAATCAGTTGTTATGGACCGTTCTTGGTTCAATGGCCGAATCTATGTGTTGACCATATGAAAACATCAAACAACTTTACATGTTATTACGTCAGTGTGTTTAAACATGATATTCTTTAATACCCATTGACACTTATAGTCTTATCCCCCAAACCTATTGGCCGTAAAATTATAAAGATCGACCAATCTTGATGTAGGTTAAAACCATCTAAGGTTTCCATTAGATTCTCAACTGACCTCATGACGTCATTTTTTTCTGTCAGCTACCGAAGAATATCTAGTCATGATAGGATCTTATTTTTGAATAAGTAAAATGGCTATTTAAGCCGTACGACAAATAGACTGTATCAAAAGAATAGTTTGCAGTCTTCTGTATCAACTATCTGCTCTTATCCCATCAACAAAACTAATTGTATGTGGGTTTGTTTGCTTTTTATATTGTTCTGTTAAATCGACATTTATAGCGTCGATCAATAATTTGTTTTAAATGAAGGGGACTTACATGGTAAGGACACTGAACTCGTCGTGATCCAAGAAGAATCTTCGTGATTTTTCAAGCCCTGTTCCCATTTTTCCGGGGTGACGCTTGCGGTGCTGATAAGATAATTATTATTGCAAATTACCCTCTAACGCTTTTCTCTAATTACATTATATTACTTTTAAATCAAAACATATTTTATTGAACCGTTATACATTTCAAACAGTAGGACGTTAAACCCCATTTCATTCCATTTATTGAACCATTCGCATTTAAACTTTCAGGTTAAAATGTTGTGTCTTCCGTCAAGTACACCCCACCCTCCACCCCCCGGCCATAACACGACAATATTGTAAAAGCGAGTGGTACATAACTTAGTTGATACACATTTTACATTTGATGTAAACTCCAACTTAATAAAAATAAATATATAAAGGGTTATCAATTAAACTATCTAGGTTGGTTATCTCTCTACCTGGTTGTTCTACAAACGTCTATAATACATTCTCTTAATATACTTGATATACTATCTCTACTTCCTGATTTCTCATATCATACCATATCATTTTATACACGTGGTGATTATCAACTTTAAAATGTAGAAACTTAAATGCACAATCAACCATAGCATGTCCAAGGACCTCCCTTAAAGTCAAAAATGTAAAAACTGTTGTTAGTATGTATTTAAAAAATATGCCTTCTTGAAGAATATGTTGACTTTGTACGAAAACAGATGTAATTATTAGTCAAAAATATGTCGTATCTTAATGTAAAGACTTGGTATTATGTATTTAAAAAATATACCTTCTTGAAGAATATGTTGGTTTTTGCGAAAAAAAGATGGAATTATTATTACTTTTTTTGCCTGATATTACTTTAGAAGGCCAAGAAATGACTATCCAAATCCCTAAAATATAACATTCCGGACAGATACACAATATGATGACTTCAAAACATAGGAGATCTATTATGCTATCTGTACTGTCGCCAATCCTGATCAGGCTTACAAGATAAAAAAAAGTTTAATTGAACCAGGATGTATCATAGTCAAATAACAAGTGTTGGGTACATACATCTCCTTGTTGAATTAAACCTTAATAAAAGTATAAACTCGCAGCAAATATGTTTACATATAGTCTACCACCATTCACACTGGTTTGTTTTTGTTTCGTTTTTTTTTTTGTTTTGTTTTTTTTCTTTTTTATTCTCTGTCTACGCCTGTTATTGTCAGTATAATTGTAGTAAAATATATTTTTATGGCAAATTGTCCTGGGTGGTAAGCGTGTCACGTATCGTACGAGAATTGTTATAATTCTTTTGGGGAACTTTGCATAGGAATCAATGGACACAAGTCTTCAGATGCAGCAAATTAAGTAAACCAACCAATTTAGGGTTAGGTTTAAGAATTTGGGGGAGAGGTTAAGTCTCCACATAAGCACTGACCTAGGATGATGAAAAGTTAGTTCGCGATAAATTACTTTGCTATAAAAAAAGCAAACAAGAAAAACATTGGCGAAGTAAATTACACAAGGAAGGATATCCATACTCTTGCCAGAACACCTAATCCTTCTTCCATCACATGCGACATAAAGGATGGTTCTGAAAACTGGTAGCATAGGAACTGAATCATTTCATAAATAATATTCCTGTTTCTGCAAATGGGTTGAATTTAATTTTGTTATATTAAAATATGTATAATATATGTTCATCAGAAAAGGTTCGTGGTCATACACTAAAATAAATAACGATCCCCAATCAAGAAAACAGTTGCTATCTGAAAGTAGTTGAATGGGGTCACTAGGGAAAAGATTATAAACAGGGCATATAAAAGAAATTCAATCGAGATCTAGGTCCTATCACACAACCCCTTTTAAAGTAGAAGCAAGGTACGTAAAACGAATCAAATATATTATTGCAATTTACAGCTTACTGCACCCTAAAAACGCTCACAATTTAAACATCAGCGTATAAAACCCCCATTTGTTATATGAATAGGCAACCATTATGGCGATTTTGTATAGGAAGTGGCGTTAGGATGATTAATGGAGATAAATTAAAGCGACTCGCATGAGCTCATTTCTACTTCAAGTTTTATTATATTTCTTCTCCTTTCTTCCCACTGTCTTGACTGTCAATATATTAATACTATATTGACACATTTATATTTGATTTACTCATTTAAAAGAGTTTACACGAATCTACTTGATCCTATTCTATTAAACTTTTTGTTACAAAATTGCAAACCGAGCAATCAACTAGTTCTGTCTTATTTACAGGGTATTCAACCCAGACAGAGGATTCAATTCAGAGGTCAATAGTTCAACTAGATGGCCAGGAGATATACTGGATAACATATTATCAGATACCCGCAAAACAAAAGCTGTTTCATTTTATTCAGCCAAAAGCAAGACCTATATACTGATATTAATATAAATGTGGCGTTAAATTATCAAAGGTAATTAATGTAATGTTCTAATCTGTCGCAATCATCAACGCGAAAATTTCAAGTAGATCAGATGATAACTTTTGCAGTTAGAGCCTTAACAAAAGTTTACAGACTCAGACAAATGGAAATTATCATTTCTGAGCCAGATCTTGATGTATAGTATATGCATCGATATAGATTGCAATTATCAGCAGCAAGAAAAGGTTAGGATGTTCTAATATATCATCAAAATGCTTCGAGTAAAGAGTTTACCTTTTTTGCCAGGATCAAAGATAACAGATGAACAATGGCCAAAACATAGATATACGGTATGCATAGTTATTTTAAGCCATAGCCCATCATTGACACTTCAAAGTAGTTTTATTCTGATGATCCACCTTATACTGTAAGAACTTTGTTTATTTAATGATTTGGCGAGGTATTTCTACCCCAGACTATTATCCCACCGCAAGACCATGTTTGATCAGCATTCTAATGGAAAATCTATTCACTAAGCCTGCCCTATTTACAATTCTCTTAATCCGGTATGGCTACTTCACACGTGTATGTAAGGACTATAGATAAATATAAGTATATAACCAAGACAGATACAGTAATACCTGAAAGGACAGTCTAAGTATACAAATGTTTAAAAATGAGGTGACCTGGTGCCGTGTATTTTGTACCAAAGTGGGACATCTCTAATGTAATGACGCAGTTTGTTATCAGCCTGCACCTCTCAAGCATTTAGATAGAAGTCGCCATTGGGAAGCGTTTGAGACGCATTGCTTATCATAAAAAAACGAAATTGCTCGATATATGTGCAATACTGTACAATCTGCAACTTGGATAATGGCATGTCCTATGCGATTTGCAGCTTGTGTAATAATAAATCTGATTAAAACACTGATTCTATTTCGTTCCGTTTATTATAGTTCAATTATAGTTTATTATAGTTGAAGTGAGGGATTAGCCAATGAAACGGTCTGTTACGGCGACTTCATGGCGTGCCATGCACGGAACTGTTGGACACCACTAGAAACGTCAACGCTGACTGATTAATCAATGTCTGACGTCATAGGGTCAAACACCGCTCGTACGCCCCTGACACGACCTTCCGGTACAACTTGTCGGATCTTCATGTAGTGTAGGCCATCGAAAGTATAAACAAAAAACGAAATGAAATATTATAGATCTGTATTTTAATCAGATTGGTGTAAAAATAAGTTGGTTTTTTTATTATTATTAATAGACACGCACGAGACACTCATCGGCGGAACAGATTTACAAATGAAGATTTGGAAATAAACAAATGAAAAATTTTCAAAATTATCTTTCAATAAGACGGAAACCAGTTTTGACGTCATACTTTGTAGATGGTGTCGTGCGGGATAGTGTCTGTATTTTAAGTTGTTTGGTGGACTCGGGCAAGACACTGGGTAACGTCCGCGTGCAGTATCAATATTTATACTTAAAATACAGATGTGACGTCGTCCTTTGATGTTGGCGTACCATTATTTCAATGGTACGGGCAAATTGCCAATCGTACATTATTTATACTAGTGAAATAATGGACTCGCATGACGCATTTCATTGCAAATACCTACGGCCCCCTTGTTATTACAATATATTACTTAATGTATCGCTCTCGATCATTAAACTATACTTAATGTTTCGCCCTCGACCTGTAGACTAGATGCATAATTTACAAATGTAGACTATATATTACTTAAAACTATTGGATGAGATACCTCATTTAAAACTAGTATATAAGACATCATATAAAACTACTAGATAAGACACATCATAATATGAAACTAGTAAATAAGGCACATCATGTAAAACTAGACACATCATTTAAAATGAGTAGACAAGACACATTATGTAAGGCTAGTAGATACGACATACTTTTCACTAATTGTAGATAAGATACACCATCCAAAACTGGTACTAATGACAAAACACGTTATTTAAAACTAGTAGACAAATTTTGACAGGTGTTGGTCACTAAGTGGGCAGTGCTTACTATTTCTAGAACGCCCGATGCCCCTTATTTTGGATTTTTCACATTTTTGTTTGACTTTTGTATAGGACATTGGGGCATGGTAAATGTGATAAACAAGTTGTTATCTTACGGAAACATTCACACGCAGCGGCTTTAAGGTATTGTGTACCGTTTGTCATGTGAGTTTCGTTTACATTGACTGAGTTCACACACTTATATATATTTAAACAGCGTAATTTATGTTCACGACATAGAGTGCATAAGTGTAGTTAAATAATTAAATTTTGGGTTTAATACGAAAATTATTTCCTATTATATTTAATATTGTTTGTTGTCGGTACATAACCAGGGGAATGGTGGGTAAACGTGATTGAATATATAAGTTATAATAAAGTATATTACCTACCTATGTTTTCAACATCCAATATGTCCTGGTTTTATCATTCAATACACGTATATAGCTGACAGATTTATTGCGGTAATATACCACAAAAACATGCATAAGCCAGTTCAATATAGAACTTTGACGCCCAATATTTAATACATGTATGACATTATACTTACTTGTCTTCTCGAAATACCTTTAACCTTCGTTCGTAAAATACAATAAAATAACAAAAAACAACACGATTATTGCGATATCAAACCAAATATTTACCGATATGTCGTTTTATTCAAGATAAAAGAGAGAGAGAGAGAGAAATGGGGTTTAACGTCCACTCGACACAAACTAGGTCATTTCGGGACTAACGTATGGTTTAATTTTTTAGTTACATAATTCGCTTGCGCGTAGGGGTCTTTAGCAGTGGGAGGAAACCGGAGGACCCGAAGAAAACCCACGAGGTTGGACAGGCGACCCTACTCCTTGCCACGTATAACCGGGGATTCGAAACCACGCCAGTCGACTCAATGACAGACTTTATGATACAGCGCGCGCACGCTAACCATTCAGCCATCCACCCCCCCTATTCAAGATAAAGGTACAAAAAGAAATATTAATAAGTAAAAGAAACATCTTCATTGGTTGATAAAAATTAATTATTTGCTGTGGTGCGGTGTCAAAGACGGTAATTATTTTGCTCTTTCTGGAAAACTTTACACAAATCGCCACCAAGTTCATCTGAAAGTACCCGTGAACTAGCAGACAGAAAGGGAACAACGCATGTGAAAGTATATTATAATATGGCATATCAAAACTAGAATCGGGGATCTTATAAAATGACGCGATATAGCAAACTCTCTATATATACGTAAACGACTCGAGTGTGTGTATTCGATATTACCGACATCTAGCCAAGGGAACTACGAATACCCATAAACAGCAGTTAAAACGCCCGAGAAGAACTCGGATATTAACTCCGTGGAAGAAGCAGTGCGCCTGGTAGTACACACAGAAACCATGATACTTTGCAACATATTCAGAACTTGCCGTCGACTCTAGATATTGCAAACTATCAAGATTTCCGTGTGTACTACCAGGTGCAGATGTGAATGGGAGGGGCGGTAGAATGTGACAAGGCAAAGTGAACCAGTAAGCGATTCCACGAAACCTTCTGTTGCAATTTATTCTAGGAAATTAGACCCATTGCTCTCATTAATACATCTTACTCAATAATTTCGCTGCTGCCATTAATACGCCCCTTAAATTGACTGGAGAATTAGACTCATTTCTGCCTTAATCTGATTGGGAATCTAGACTAGACTCGTTACTGCCTTTAATATGCCCCTTAAACCTTTTTTTGTTAAATTTGTTAAAGGGACTTTAGCTGTTTGATTTTTTTAATCTCCCCTCGCCCCCACTCGATTCGTACTATTCGTCATTCTCGTATTTTGTGATGTCAGCAGATTGGGAAGCTTTTGTGCGTTGCATAATCTCAACAGTACCATAACCAGCCATTCCGACCACCAGGAAAACCATACAAACGTATAGTTTAACGTTGGTGACGATGAAGTCGTTGTAGGCGTAGGCGAAAATATAACCAATCGATTCCCATAAACAGTAATTAGCAAAGGCTGGCTCTGCATTCTTTTTGAATAAAAATCCATAGAAAGCTGAAAGAAAACAATACTCATAAATTTAATTTTAAAAAAATAATTATCTTGCAAGATATGACCACAATTTACAAGTGATGGGCAGAGAACAAGCTCTGATACAGTCCGACATTTGTCAATATCACAATGAACTGAGAAGTTTGGGATGTAAACATAAATTTTAAGTTTCGAATAAAAATTGTGACCTCTAGAGTGTCCACAGGCTTGGTATTACACGCTTTTACACTATTTGCGTACGGGGAGCAACCATTTTGACTGGAAGTTCCGGTCCGATATTCACGAAATTCAAACCCAAATCCCTATGGTGTAACGGTGATATATTTAAACGTTGTTTTTTCAAATATCGGTTAAAAATTGTAACCTCTAGATGTTCAACAAGCTAAAAACGTTATTTTTCGTACAATCAGGGCCATAATCCAGGAAGGTATCGTCCGATATATGTAAATATTGAAAGGAACCGAGATCTATAAACATAATTTAAGTTTCGTCAAAATTGGATAAAACTTGTGACCACTATGGGTCCACAACCTAGGTATTACATACTTTTACACTATTGGCGTACAGGGAGCGGCCATTTTTTCCGGGCAATTTACACGAAACTCGAACTTAGCCGTCATTATTCTTGTAACGGTGATATATTTGACCGTTTGTCTAAATCGGATAAATATTGTGACCTCTAAAGGGTCCACAAGCTAAAAACGCGATTTTTCTATACAATCAGGGACCATAATTAATGAAGTTACGGTCCACTACATGCCAATACCGAAAGCAACCGAGATCTTTGGGATAAACCTAAATTTCAAGTTTTGTCAAAATCAGATAAAAATTGTGACCTAGAGTGTCCATAAACAAAATATGGACGTCCACATGAAAGCGTGGGCGTATAAAAACAGACTTAAAAGTATGATATTATATTATTCTAAATGAATTACAAGGGAGTTATATTGATGATAAAAAAATGGGCGCAGATCCCGGTGGGGACATCGGGACGCGTCCCCACCAATATTTTTAGTGGCGGGGACATGATATACTGTGTCCTAGAACTTATTTCAGATGTTTTGCTTACTGTTTATTTTTTGAAACTGAAATAATTCCAGAGTTATTTCAGAAAGTGTAGAGTTGGTCCCAGGCACTTGAAGCCAGGGTCCTTGAAGTTGTACAGCTGCACCCGGTGACCGATTTTTATTTAACAGGGAATAAGTGATAATGTAGAAAACAAGCACACGAAATATGAGCCAAAAAAACACAACACGTGGCTATGAAGTTCGCGCTCGGAATGAAACTGGATGTCCGCGCCTTCACATATCTTTGGAGTGACGTAACTATGATGATGTAGAATTCATATTATAACAGTAAATAATTAAAATATTCCATAGGGATTATAATAATATATATATCATGTAGGTGTGCATATCTGATACGCTGGGTATTGAAGGGTTAAGGAATAACTGAGATTTTGTTTTTATCTGGTATACTGGATGATAAATCATCTAATTAAAGGATTTAGTTTGTATATCATTGCTAGATTTGCTGTTATACTAAATAAACGTATTTTTAAAGACTGGTTTCTATCTCTCTCTCTGGAATATAGGCAATTAAATCTAAAATTTAAGACTCGTAGCCTGATTTTTTTGAGTATAGTACGCTGAGCCAAGAATCGTGTACTTATTATTACAAGTAAGTGGAATTTTTGTTTTCTGTTTTAAAGATGGTTTACAAATTTAGGAAATTTATCGGAAAAGACATTTTTTAAAACCTGTCATGGGCCGTCCAGAAAGAAGACAAAGGGAAAAGAAACGGGCAGAGTGGATATAAGTGTACTGTTCTTTAGCTTTAAATATATTAAACACTTTATTGGAATTTTTTTTCGATTAAAAAATTGGTCTCTGAACTATTTTGTTATTGGTAAAAACTCCTCAGAATCGCTGAGAATGCATATTTAGACACCATTTTGTAACAAAAATTCAAAAAATTGTAACCCCCCCCCCCCAACCTCTAGCAGCTCACTCCAGCGGCGTTCGATTATATTTCGTATCATTTGCTGCCAGAAAATGGTGCTGAAAATACCCACACAGTGCGTTTTAGAGCGTCTAGTTTTCAAAAAATTTCGGGGGAGGACCCCCCTCTTTACCAATAGTCGCCCGCGCATGGACTGTCCCCTCCACTAAAATTATATGGATAAAATTATATGTACAATGTTTCGAAATGTCCTGAGAAATCTACCCATATTTCAAGGCCAACTTCAAGTTTGGTCAAAGGTCACGAGATGTAAACAGGGCTAGCGCTAATCCCTAAACCTAGCCCTAATGCTTACTCTAAACCTAACCTACAATCTCGCCAACAATCACGTGCCCTAACCTTCTTTACATCTCAGCGACCTTGACGGAAATTGAGTTGGCCTTGGCAAATAGATCTAGCCGATTACTAAGACTATCGAGTGCATTCTGGGTGATTCGCTACCTGATCGAGTCATTGAATCAGAAAAATCGTACATAACGTTGTGAATTAATTAATAGGTTCACCCAAAGCTTCTTACGTACATGTAAAATTCTATGCTTACTTTTCTAGAAACCAAGCCAGTGAGTTCGTTTTGCCCCATTGCCAAAATCGCCAAATGCCCAAAATTTCTCTTTCTGGTCGAGATTGAAGGTTACCTTGAAAATCAGATATTCGATTTACTGGAACAGGATAAGCCTATAGCCTAGAGTAACTTAAAGTATGCCCAAACAAACCCAGATAATCAGAAAATATAGTATTAAATCAGCAATATTTTTATCATCAATTTTATTGCATAAGAGTAGCCTACCTCAAGAATAATTTTCAAAATTTTTGACTTTGAAATAGAAAAGTTGTCTAATTGAGTCTTATTGTAATCTTATATTCTTGAGGAACGTAGCTGGTAAATGTGTACTCTCACTCTCATGCAAGAAAAATGTTGATGAAAATGAAAAATATTCCCGATTTTTTGGTTTAACCTACCTGGGCATGCTTAGACAGACTTAAATTGAAGTCTATATATTACCTTTTAGTATTACCTTATGCCTTACTCTCACTCTCATGCATTAAAAATCTTGATGAAAATATTCCGATTTTTTCGTTTAAAGGGCCAATCCCGATAATATTTTCGAGAAGAAACTGCTTAGTTTTGTTTTAAAACCCCTTAAAATCCTCTACCTTTGGGCCGAGCAACTAACTCAATATATGTTTTCAAACAGCTTAAACCCGTCAGTCTTCATCTGTAAATGGAGACCGGTGTCCCAAGCCGTATTATGCGGTGTCTGGAAAAAACCAGACTTTTATTTTATAAAAATAATGTGTAGGTGAAATTTATTTTTCGTTATTAAGTACAGCACATGGGTCATTCACTGAAATTCCTCCATAGTTTGGCGCTTAAATTTCATACGTACTCGGACTTTGTTTTGAGACTCTGTTCAAATCGGGATAGTCCCTTTAACGTATGTGGGCTTGTTTAGAACGCCTTTATTTAAGTCTATTACTCGTTAGTATTACCTTATGACTTAACTCGTGGAATTGGAAAGTTTTGCCCATCGGACAGGAAGTGGCATAAAGTAGTAGGGCCTACATTAGAACAAGATCATCAATAATTGTGCTTCGTTCCAGTTAAACAGAAAGAACATTTTTTATTTTGAAAGAAACCTTCAAACTAGATCAAAATGATGCAATTGGCGGTTTGGGCAATTGGGCAAAACGAACCAACCGAAGCCATGCCCTCTTTGGTATAATTACATACAGAAATAGTGGGTCTTACCATTTATTTGTGTTTGAATGACAGCATCCCCCATTCCCCACAAAGCTGCCAGTACATAGAATATAACTATTGCATCTGGATCTGGTCTCCAGAATAAGAGTGTTATTTGTACACCGCCATGAACAATAAAGGCTGAAATAAATGAATTATAAATTTATGCATGAAAGGGGTTTTTGGGTGGGAAGACCTAGAGAAAATAAATCTCGAGTATGTTAATGACAAGAAGACGACATTTTATTTCTTTTCGTCATAATCGGATTAATATTTTTAAAATCATGTCCTCTTTTAGCCAAACTTGGCAGCACAACAGAGGCTACAGTTTTCATCCGATATTTCTGAAACTTGTATTATAATAAGATGGGGGTCTCTATTTTGTCAAAATGGGATTAACGTTTTTAGAGTTCTGTCCTTTTTTTGTCGAAACCTGTCCACGTTTCTGGTAATGTTTCTGTAGTAGGATGGGATTTATTAATGTTTTAATTGTATATTTGTAAATAAAGTTTATGTAATATATGGTGTTCTGTGTTGTTATGTCAGCTTAATGTCTTGGAGCCTAGCCAAGATGTAGCCTACAGTGTGTATGTTGTATTGTAATTGTGTTCACTGATCGGGGTTGTTTTTATTGGGTTTACCTGGTTTGCATCTTCTTCTCTAATATTGCATTTTTTACTAGACATGACAAGATCTTTGTGTTTACTCCAGCCTAGTCCGGTGGCTGAAGGGGGGGGGGGGGGAATCGCCACCCGAGCTGTGAATTTATGAGACCAAGTTTTTCTAGACTAGTTTTTTGCGTAGATTCCGAATCTGGGTGGTGATCAGGCGTTTGAGGGGGCGTTTTCGAGATATAGGGGGTCAAATGTCTACAATGGGGGGTGGGGGGGTGATGTCATTATGTTGACATAATATATTAATAAAACATAAATTTCTAGTATGCCCATGGACAACTGTTTTGATTTGTGGGGAGGTGGGGTGGGGATAGCAGGTGTGTGTGTGTTAGGGAGGGGGGGGGGGTCATTATGTTGACATAATATTTTAATAAAACATAAATTTCTAGAACGGCCTATCTTTAAATAAGTGTTTATGATGCCCCTGGACAACTATTTTCATTTGTGGGGAGGTGGGGTGGGGGTAGCAGGTGTGCGTGTATGGATGGGGGGGGGGGTACAATTGGCGGGAAGTGAGTTCACGCTGATGATTTTCTTAGAGCTTGGTAACAACATTACTTTTTAATTCCACTGCACATCTCTAAATATGTGTATACGATTACCATTTTATGGGGGAGGGTAAATGTGTTTGGGGGGACAGAAACCACTTGGTTCAAAATTGACCTGAAAAGGTGTTTTCTCGAGTTTTCGTTCAGTGCCAATATCGTCATTCAAAATATTAAGTTATAATGGCACTTTTCGAGAGATCTGGAAATGTAAAAAAAACCCACATGTTTAGATATCAGTTTATTCTAATAATATGAGTGGGATAGATATCTTCTTGATATGCGTATATCCTTTGATATGCTTCAGATACCCATTCACATTGTAAATCTTCATTCCAGCCTTGTATCGCAGAGTCATCTTGTTCGATCATTAATTTTGCAACCTGTCTCCATATTGCTGCAACATAATTATTGCGTTTAATGTGCAGCAAAAGACTACTCGGGCAAGATGGTAATAAAGAAAGAAAGTCATGTTATTTTTCATCACAATTAAAATTTCTCCAGAAGATCCTTCTTCTAGTGTCATCTAGACAAATAGTCATTACCACTGAAAGCATGTACCGTAGGCCGAGATATTCTCGACACAATTTTAAATACTAACCTTGATTGGATCAAAACATATCAAGATTAGTATTGAAAGTGTCGAGAACATCATAGAACTGACAACCAAGCACGAGGACACCAAAATATCTTACCTACTCCTCTTCGCATTGCAAATTAATGGAGGTGCTGAAACAAATTGTATTTTGCGTTCTTGCTCGGGCGAAATAGACATCCCAATCATTCTCTTCGCAACCGATGATCCAAATATACAAATTTTGATCGATAATGAGACGGGCAAAGGTAGAAAATATCGCGAAAGACGACTTACATCACTAGATGACGCTAGAAAAAAGATTTTCTGGGTAAAAAAATAACAGACCTTTCTTTATTAACACCTTGCCGTATATGTGGTCTTTTGCTGCATGGCTGGAATGAAGATTTACAATGTGAATTGGTTTCTGATGCATATCCAAACGATATGCGAGCTGTTGGCCAGCAACCCAGAAAGTATTTATCTCGCTCATATGAATTTTTGATTTTGAATCTTCTAATGAGGACTAAGAATAAACTAACAACTAAACATATCTCTGAGTTAATGTGTTTTTGATTTACATTTCCAGATCTCTTGAAAAGTACCATTATAATTTAATATTTTGAATGAAAACGCTAACGAGATACCACTTTAAGCTCAATTATGAACGAAATGATTTCTGTCCACAAAAATACATGTTGCCACCCGCCATCACCCGCACCGACCCACACCCCACACCCCCAACCCAACGGCGGGCACTCACAATAGGAATCTTATACATGTAAACATATTTAGAGATGTTTCATCAAGCTCTTAGAAAATCATCATTTAAATCAACGTGAACTCATTTTCCCGCCAATTTTATTCCCACCCCACCCCTCCACACGCGCACACCTGCTACCCCCACCCCACCTCCCCATAAATCAAAACAGTTGTCAGGGGCATCATAAACACTTACTTATAGATGGGCAGTTCTAGAAATTTATGTTTTATTAATATATTATGTCAACATAATGACATCACCCCCCCCCCCCCCCCCCACACACACACACACACACACACACACACACACCCATTGTAGACATTTGACCCCCTATATCTCGAAAACGCCCCCTCAAACGCCTGATCACCCTTCAGCCACCGGACAAGCCCGAGGTATTTTATATTTCTTGTTTTAATAATTTGTTTAATAATTTTTGTATATAATATAATTATTTAGTATAAATTTTAGTATAATTTTTGTATATATAATATAATTAATTAGTATGAATTTATATAAAGTAGCCTAATTAATAATTCTTATAATAGGAAGTTCGTTAACTTGTTAATAGTTTAGTTTTCCCGCTAGTCAATATGTTTCTTTAATTTTAGCCTTGTGAAATTATATTATATCTCTATTTTGGTGGGGGGTTGCGTGGCTGAATGGTTAGCGTGCGCGCGCTGTATCATAAAGTCTGTCATTGAGTCGACTGGCGCGGTTTCGAATCCCCGGTCGTACGTGACAAGGAGTAGGGTCGCCTGTCCAACCTCGTGGGTTTTCTCCTAGTCCTCCGGTTTCCTCCCACTGCTAAAGCCCCCTCTGCGCAAGCGAATTATTGAAATAAAATTAAACCATATGTTAGTCCCGAAATGACCTAGTTTGTCTCTCTCTCTCTCTCTCTCTCTCTCTATTTTGGTACTGTAGTCATTAGTAAAACACCTTACCCAGGGTATGTTTAGTTTTCTTTCTTCCTTTATATTAAATGTCTAATTACTATAATTTATGTTTCTTTTGTATATTTATTTCTATTTTGATTCTATGTTCTGCCTGTTGTTTGCATGTTTGTAATATATGTGTATTTATATTTTCAGTGTTTATATATTTTTTTTTTTTTTTTTCTTTGGCTTTTGGTTGTGTTGAGATTTCTAAATAAACATTTAAAACCACCGTTCATTCTGGGGCCACAATCTACCCTGTCAGTCACCCTGAGATAAGACCGGAAGCTACGACTACATCTGTAGCACGATAGATGCTAGAGTTTTCATTAGATTTTTCTGATACTTTCAGGAAGCCTTTAATATGGCAAGACGGGATCCCTATTGATTTTCGTCGAAATCGAATTGTTATGTTGTATCATGATAAGACAGTGATCCCTATTTCTTTTCGTTAAAATAGGATCAATATTGTTAGAGTTATGCCCCTTTTTGCTGAAACCTGTCCACACTCCTTGTAATGCTTCCAAGCACAATAGAGGTCGGGATTTTCATCAGATTTTTTTTAAACCGCCGTGAAACTTATGATAAGACGAGGAATCCTATTTATTTCCGTCAAAATCGGATGCATATTTTTATGGAAGGATAATGTTGACAATATTATTTCAATGTTCACTGTACAAACTGCATATTATGTCAGCAGTTCAAAACACGTATTTTAGCTTTACAATTTGCAATTTCCATTGCTCCACAATACCAATGTCACAGTGTTAAAATATATAATACACTTTTCAATAATACAAAATCCAGTATACTAGTTATTTTGCACAATACACTTCTCCATTCTGTATTATAGACACATGCATAATAGAACTTATCATATTGGAACATAACCTTATATGCGATTTACGACGTGGCTCATTTGCATACGGAAAAAGGTCCGGACTAGGACGGAAATTAATAATTTACGCGATTAATCTACAAGGTCAACGTCAGTAGAAGGGGCAGGGATCAAGCTGGCATACAATAAGTCACCATACAATAAGTCGACTTACCATGCAATAAGGGCGAATCACGCTATCATGTAATAAGGAATTCGCTGGATGACCATGACTTCTGTGAAATCATGCGCTCGGTATGGCTAATCCGAGGCTTCGATAAGCCCCACATTTTTTACTTCATACCCCTCTCTCTCCCCCCCTTCACTTCAACTTTAATTATTTTATCTTTTTTTTTCAAAGTAGGGAGACATGGTGGCTATGTGGGTAAGACGATGGCTCGCTATCCTGGAGGTTGCGTGTTCGATCCCTTCATTGGGACTTTCCTACGTGGTTTCACCTTGTCAGTGGTGCAGGGAAGAGGGCCTAACAGCTGTCTAGTCTTTCGTATTGGACGAAAAACCGAGGTCCCGTGTATACAGTGGCGTACAAGATCCCTTGGCAGTTGGAATTCGATATAAGAGTAGACCATAGTGCCGCTGCCCGGGCAAAATTTTCGTCATAACATACTCTATGGCGTGTGCCCGTCTTCATTTTCCCGGTCGAAACAGAACAGTAGGACGTTAAACCTCATTTAATTTTTTCAAAGTATGTGCCAGATATGTTTACGTTAAATACCCACACCCTCCTTCATTTAATAGAGTTTCGTATAACCCGACTATGATCGTTTTCCTTTCCCCTTGTCAGTGATGCGGGGGGGGGGGGGGTGACAAGGACCACTGGTTAATCGTTCGGATGGAACAAAAAACGAGATCCAAAGTGTACACATTAGCGTGCACGTAAAAGATCCCTTGGCAGTTGGAATTCGATACAAGATTTAGCGCCGCTGTTCGGGCAAATTTCCCTCAAAGCACACTGCATGGCGTCGGAGCAGTATACATTAAACCCCATTTAATTTCATTTCATTGATCGTTTTCCGAAGGTCTGTAAATATCAGTACTGCCCCCTTCTACTGACAAGGTCGATCGCGTAAATTAATAATTTCCGTCCTAGTCCGGCCTTTTTCCGTATGCAAATGAGCGTCGTCGTGGATCCCATATATGTTCTAATATGCACCATTATGCATGTCTATTATGCAAAATGCAGAATCGAGAAGTGTAATGTGCAAAATAACTATTATACAGTATTTTGTTTTATTGAAAGTGTATTCTGTATTTTAACACTGTGACAATGGTATTGTGGAGCAACGGAAATTGCAAATTCTAAAACTAGAATATGAATTTTAATCGGCTGACATATGCATTTTGCACCGTGAACATTGAAATAATATTGCCAACGCTATCCTTCCATATATGTTTAGAATTATGCCCCTATTTGCTGAAACCGGTCCACACTGCGTGTAATGCTTGTCAGCATTAGATTCCAGAATTTTCATCAGATTGTCCTGTAACTTTCAGTTAGCTTGTATTATAATAAATCGAAGATCCCTATTTCGTTTCGTCAGAATCAGATTAATATTGTTAGAGTTGCTCCCCTTTTACTGAAAGCTTTACATGCTGTCAGCACAACAGAGGCCCGAATTTTAGGAAACGTATATTATGATAAAACGAAGATCCCATTTTTTTTTTCGTCAAACCTTTCCAATACCCTTGTGAACCTGATAGAGTCTACAGTTTTTAAGAGATTTAGTCAGAACATGGACCTTATAATGTATTATCACTCAGTGTCCATCTGTGTTTGGATCAATTGTAACGTCTATGCAAGTGACCAATCAAGTAAATATAAATACCTGACCATTCTCGGGGATCAGTGTTAAGTGAGCTGAGCGGGCTCCCCATTCCTCTGACATTATTTCACCAGGATTCGGCGATCTTAGAGTTGGGCGTTCGAGAGACCGTGTAGCATTTTAAAAGTAGTTCTGGGTTCTAGAATCATCAAACTCTACAGATTATGAATTTCAATGAATTTTGTAATATAACTGGTAACTGCTGTATTTTAGGGTATTTCTTATACAAACAAGTGAATTAGAAATATTGAATTCAAATTAGGTACCAGAGATAAGTAGAAATATCGAACTCTAGATAAAAGAACAAGGTCCGAGACCAGAACAATAGTGCCACGGTGTCACGATAGTGGGTGCAGTTTCTGATGCTTAGTCACTATCAGTTACTGGTGTCTAACAAAGTAACTTGATCATTTCAAGAACATCTGATATCCCATCTTAAACATCTTAAATACATTGTAAGTAACAATAAATACGAACCTAATATAAAGAAGAGAATGTGACCAACATATTGTACCATTCTTCCAAAGGCAAACGAACAAATAGCATCAACAACACCATAGCAGATCATTACATAGCCTACATTCCATATCCCTAATGAACACGTAATATACGACTGAAACAGAAATATGTTACTATACGTATAATCATTCGTGGCGATAGGGTACCCGTGCCCTGGGACATATAATTCATAGATAATATATGAATAGAATATACTGTAGTTTTATAGAATGGCACATGATTTTACACAACGTTTTGGTAAAATGTTAAGAAGCTGCATCATTTATGAGCTTATGTAATATAGAATGTTGATATCCCTGGCCGTATATTTTTAAATTTGTTGCTTGCATTTGCTTATATCAACAAATGATTCGAAGTATTTGACTTTTATAGATATTTCTTTAATAATTCACGACCTCGTCTTAAATGTTAATTACGATTAAAGCAGGCGAGGTCTCCCTTTTCTGTTAGACACACTTATCGTCTATGGGAGGGCCATGATCTAATATTTCTGGAATCTTGATTTGAAATAACGAACATACAGTATTCTTTATTTTTTGTTAGTTTTACGAATGGTCATTAAAATTCCCATTCTCTGGATCACATCTGCACCCTACAATAAAAGAAGGTACACAAATACTAACCCTTGTATAATCCCCTGCTATAAAAGCCTGTTCAACACCTGAGTAGATAGTTAAAGGTATAAGTAAAAGTTGTGCTGGTGATGATATCAGATGTTTAAAGGTAGCAATCAAAAGTTTTGGAGACTGTTGACCTTGTCTTCTCTCATTTTTTTCAAGGATGATTTTATCCAATAAAACAGATATGATAATAACAGCCACTACAGCACAACCAATATAAATACCACATAATAAATAAACCTGAAATAATTTATTAATTACATTGACAATACAGGAAGACGGTTTAAGAAACCACCTGGAAAACAAACGAATCAGCATTACTGCAAAGTCATATTTCCTGAGACGGACAAAACAAAGCATATGTGGTCCTGGTTAACGGGGATCATGGGAGCGCCATATGCGCAATGTTGTCCTGGTGTTTCAGTCAAAAGCCGTTGTAGATTCAGACGGTCCAAATGAGTAGTGAGTGGACAGTCTTTATTGGAAATCTGAATTTGGGTGCCTGGGCTCTGATTCCGGTTTCACATATTTTATTACGGTTCAACTAAATGGTATTTATTAAATAATGCAAGTTTGTTTGTTTGTTTAAATGTGTTCATAACAATTATACAGTGTACGAATGTAATATGTGAATCAAATAATACGATTTCAGAGTGTGAAAAAGGTCTGAAAGATGGTCTTTTCACCATTTAATGTGCTTCGACAACGATAGTATAGACTTTTCTTTTTTACTTATTGGCTAGAGCGTGATTTAACGTGATACTATGAAAATACTTTTATACCAAATTTTATCAAATTTAATTCTCCAGAAATAAAGTTCAAATAGTGTTACAGAAGAGCAGTATTGGGCGTAGGAAGGCTAAATCTGCTGCGGAACATTATTTCAACTCCGACAACGATCTAATGTGATCCCTACAGCTAGCAAGCATGACGAATTTTCTGGATGCGTTTCTGTAAATAAACTTTTCATAAGATAATATGTTTACGTATCTTTTGATCGAGTTGCATTCTCCAGGCAATGGAAGTTGTTACGGCATTAGCATTAGTGTCGATTAGTTTAATGCAACGTAAATGTCATCTGTATCTTACACCTATATATATTAGATTTTATTTGGACGGGGCGCATCTAAATATTCCGTGGTTAATTCAAAATAATATCAAACCTGATCTTGTTCTGGTTTCTTCAGATTGGTATTGTTTGTCGGGGGGTCTGTGGGATCAAAATTGGCACCACATTTATTAAGATCATTTGTAACATTTAAAGTTGTTCCATTTTCTGGTGTAATACTAAATACCGTTGATGATATTAGATTTCCCCATATCTGGCCTGAAAAAAGCAGAAGTTTGTAATGTGTCTTATTTTCCCAAACGGATAGTAGAGAACTTGCGTGCATTACGCGAACCGCTTGACTAACCAAGAATGTTACCACGGCTGTCAATATGCAATCTAATTTTAAAATTGATATTTACACTACATGTTGATCTAACCTAATTTATTTCACAGCTGCCGGTGGGGGTTCTATTTGCCCCGAAAGTCACTGTCCAATATACTTGGCTTTTAAAAAAAATACAATTAACACCGCATTGTATACCAATATAGACGTTCCGGTTAGCCGATGCCTACGTGATCTGAACACCCGCTTCAAAGAATGTAGGTCGTTTGTTTGGGGTATCTTTTACAGATATGTCAATATTGAAACACTTTACAAGCCACAGCGTGGCCATCTTTTGGGAGAAATAAAATATAACCAAACGAGGGGGTGGGGCTTTACGAGGCTACAATATGTAAACTTTCAATATACAAATATTTATATAATTCGAAGGAGTATGACACTAGACTCGGACAATGGGTTTGAAATCAGGTCGAGCGTGTGAATGTTAACAAATGTAAATTTGATGACTAGACTTTAAAATATGAATATGTCAACCACTCCGATTATATGCACATCAAATTAATAACGTTGTTCATTATCATGGTTACCTTAGGTAAGGTGTACATATTCTGTAAATTCGTGAACCGGTTGATATGAAATGACTCAAATAGTCCGGACTTGCTTTATCCAGGGTCGTTGTTCTCCATACACTAAACTTTACTGATCTTACATTATCTAACTTTTGTGATTTAGTTGGCAAGACACAGTGTCTAGTCGCTCGGGGGTACGAAACCCCGAGACGGAAACGCCACTGTCTGGGCAAATACCCCCATAGCACTGTGCATGGCGTAAGCATATCCGTCTTCGTTGGGTCTGTTGGAGACCCAGTGCCACTGGAACTTCTCCTTTAAAAAACTATAATGTGTAGACATATTCTTATTCATAGTCATTGTCCTTAAAGAGGAGTTTGTAAAGCCGGTACAATACAATTTCAGGGTTGTACATTGGTGGAGCATATTACGAATTGGTTTTCCAATTTGAGAATAAAGCAAATAAACAGAAGGTTCGGTGAACCTTAAGATAAAGAAACGCAGTCGTACCTTGCCTTGATATACAAGTCAAATGTTTTTTTGGAAAATCAGAAAATAATTTAACGGAAAATTAATAAATCATGGCATGTCTTACTTGACTGGAAGATCATAAAGAATATTCCAAAGAAGCGATTAATAGTGGCATCCTCAGACTGACCGGTTAATTTAGCATACCAAACACCAGTTTCTGTTAGATAGGCACACTTGGCGGACCAAAGAGGGGCGGCGCCTAAACCCAGGATAATTGCTGCAGGAAGCATGGTCTCCCATACGGCATATACGTTAGCGCCCATATAGAAGACATACCCACACATAGATAGAGGCATGGTCCATTTACATCCTAGATGAGCTATTAATATCGGTGGCACGAACATACAAGACACTAAAAGAGCTCCATAAAGAGTAGATAAACTAGCGGTGCCGACTCCTTCTTCTTTGTTTAAACTACTCTGGAGATTAGCCATAGATTGATAAGCTATGAACAAGAACACAAATCCAAAACTGATGACGAACAAATTTTTAAGAATTTGAAACTTCGTCATTGGACATGTGAAAGGTTCGACTTCATGTCCGTTAGCTTCCTTGGTTGGAAAATTCATCTCGTATTTCTCTTTGTGCGCCATGTTGTCGGCTTCTGAAAGTAAAAATTAGATTGTCAGAATTTAAATACATAAACTAAGCGATGGAGAACGAAAGGGGACCATTTGCTTCGGTTATTTTTAAACCGGTCGCATATTGTGTTCTTAGTGGTATTTTTAAACCGATCGGACATAGTGTTCTCAGTGGTAATTTGCCACACTCAAAATCCAACTATTGTCGACATTATCACACTATCACCACATTACCAGTTAATTCAGGTAGAAATGGTTTTATTTTCGTATTTGAAGTTTTAAATGCATACTTAGTTAAATTCGCCCCCTGTTAACTTTTCAAACAATATGGTATAGAGACTATCTATCTTATTCAAAGTAAAAAAAAACAGACATCATACCTGTGAATCCTGGTTGTCCTAATGCAAACAATAAGGGTGTTTGCTTTGGAGAGTTCGAGGTGCCCAGAATAAAATTTGATAGTATACCCCTTACTCAAGCCAAATAAATGGATTGTATACCAATATACGCTAGTTTCATAGTGTGTTTGTTTTAGGGTCTTGGGGGATTATTAGGATATAAAATACGCATATCTCAGAAACTCGACCGAGAGGGCTTTTTACCGCCCAATAAAAATCATTTTAAAAAAAACAACACTAAAATCAACACAAAGGACCATAGGTCCACTTGATTCAATCTATCTATCCTTTTCTAATAGAAATCAATGTTTAAGTTTTCAGAAAACTCTCTGGTTCACTGGTTAGATGAGGGTGTGGAACTTGAGTAATTGTCGTTACATAACACTAATCTGTTATCAGTTGAATATACTAAATGGCGGAGCATATCGCACACGCAGAGATCTAATAGATCCGGTGACTTTGGAAAGCAAGCATCTCCCACCCCCTTTAGGATGTCACACTTTTTAAAGTACCAGACGGGTTAAATACCATCGATGATTTCCGTTGAGAAAATCTGGCGATGTGATGTGATCCAAGATTCTACTGAATCTCGACTGGGGTTTTGTTCACGTCGACCACTGTCTGGGTTCGCTGTCGTCGTCTAGGTCGAAGAGCTGGAATGGAGAAGGGCTTCCTTGCACGTTCCCAGTTCAGCTGGAATTTTTATCTGTAGGTACGTGTTGCTTATCTGATGAAAACGCCTATATTTAGATCAGAATAATAAATTACAGACAAAAAACGGGGACCAAAGAGGCAAACTGTTTTGACGCATGCTAGGATGAAATCATTATGAAGGTCCATGATCATTTCTGTTTATCAAATATGTTATATGTATCTTATCAGCTCAATGCCAGCGTGCCTTTAAAAACAATTCTTATGTATGGCAATAATTCGGATATTTTAATCATTGAAAAATTAACTTTGATGAAATAAATGAATGACATTGTGACATCAGCTGATTCTTCGAGATCATGGGACCATTTAACGCTTTAGCTGTCATATTTACAAGCGTGAATTTTAGCTTAAAGATTTATATGAACACCACAATGTTCGATCATGTTTGTTTAGGGTAGTAGCCAAGACTTACTAGACCAATACCACTTCGGTCATGACAATCCATATGTCTATGCTAAAATTACGTGTGTAGATTTATACAATTATTATGTTAGCAATTTTGGTTGTTGTTTATATTTATTATCCATAGGCAATCTGACTTTTCGGGCGAATGGTTCAATGAAAACAAAAATTATTATTTCATCTTGTTTGCAAAATAAAGTGCCCGAATTCTAATAAAACAACTAATTTTACTTTTCTTTTAATTGACTACCGCGAATTATAAACCAGTTGGAAAGAGACTACATTAGACCACTTTGAAGTTGTCGTATTCACGGTCTGGAATGGCAGGAAAACGCGTTTGCGGCCGTCAAATTTTCCAGATTGTCGGGGGTGGGGGTGTCCTACATGATACGCTCCATTCCTTCACCTCTCGCTGTCGACCGGCACCGCCGTCTGTAACCCATATTTTTACAGACATTTCAGGTTCTGCCACACCCCCACACACTTCACATTCACCGAGTATGTACGCCTACGCATCACGGGGCCATTTTATGTATTTATTTATCTGATATTTCTAGATTTATCTTGGTAAGAGGACACCGGTGAAACATCCTTCGTGAAAGGCGTCTGATTATTAAAAAATGTATAAATAATGAATTACACCAACCATATATTTATCGTTGATGTTACAGATACGTATACAAGTTCACACACCGTCTTCATTATATTATTTATTATTATTGGCATACTTATTCAACAAGGGCGTTACCCAAATGTGGCAAAGCTAGTGTCCCTTTGTTAGTATTGTTTTATTTATAGTCTATAGATGCCTAAATAGTCGAGACTAATGACAGCTATATTTAGATATAGGTCAGTGTTTATATATAGTGAGGGACTGGATATTTGATAACTGTATGAATAGTATGTTGACAGTGAATGACAGACTCTTTCTAAGTTTTATAATAATATTGCTATCTGCCATATATTATGTTTAATTTTATGATTTAATAGAAACACCTGTCTTGTTATTTAGCATACTATTAGTGTGTTTATATCCCTATTAAATAATCTATTTTGTTGGAAATATACCATAATACATTGTCTAATATCATTGATTATTATTATCCCCCTTTACTTAAATAGCTGAATTTGAATATATAGCATGCAATTATAATTTATATGCATTTCCTATATCTTATTAAACTTAACTAAATAATACTTTTGTATGTCAACTTAATCATAAATCACATTATGTCCATCTGTTAAATAATGATGCATTTATTTTGTTGACAATGTATACTTTGTTTACTTAGGTGCGTATAGTTTATAATTTTGCATGAGTTGGGAATGAATTCTCAGTAAAGGTGTCATCCTGTCGAAACGGCCAGGCGAACGTGTTATCCAGCACTAGTAGCTTGGGTCAGTTGTTCCTACTGGGATATCCGTCTCCAGGGTCGAAGCAAAGCTCTAGTTATTACACCTATAGTTCTTGAGGAATGCTCTTTGAGCGCACAGTCTTCAGATGCTTGCATCTAAAGAACAGACTTTAAACAGATACAACCTTTTAGATGCTTGCATCTAATGAACAAACACAGACTTTAAACGCTTGCGTTTAATGAAAAGATACAGCTTTTGAAGGCCCGGTCCCACTGCACTTACGGATGCAAAGAGAAAGTAAAACAGGGAAAAAAAACGTGCCCTCGGTTTGAAAAGGCCATGCATCCGTTGTGTACTCATTGCATACGTCTTTCATACGCTCTATCCATCGAGCATCCGTTCACTTTGATTTCATCTGCGCAAAAAGTTTTGAGCTGCACAAAACTTTTATAACGGATGAAATTTCTGCCGTGTACGATGTCAATGCGCGACATATACGAGCACCAAACGTTCCATGTCCGTTATCATCCGTTAAACGTCCACTGTATCCTCTCTGCATCCTCTGGGCATCCTCGCAACTCACATCCACTCCAGCTGAAAACGGAAAGAGGGAGGAAAGATAAGGTACATGGAACGTCTATACATCGTTAGTAGCATGGAAATAGAAAGGATGTAAGCGTATTCATCTCGTATATAAAGTTTTCAAAACGGACAAAGCGTTTGTATGTGGGATGTATCTGGTATATTGAAGGATGTCTGGAGTTTGCCGGAGCTGTCATCCACTTCCATCCGCTTTCATCCGCTAGGCTTCCGATGAACATCCATTTAACATCCCCGCTACATACATCCCACGTTCGTTCTTTTCCGTTCTGTTTTCGCAAATTTTCGTCAATTTTGTCCATTTCTGGAGCGGATGAAAACGGATGGAGCCACCTCCGAAAGTTTGCTCGTCCGCTGTGTCCTTTTTGCATACGTTTTGTGTCCATCGGCCACTGGGGCCGGGCCTTAACTTCTTGCAGAATACAGTATAGCTTTAAGCTATTACACAGAAACAGAACAGATCACAGAACGACTTAAACTGGGACAGTTCGCCTCTTTATAAATAGTATAAAAGAGTTTTCCCAGTCTATAAAACTTACCTGTATGTATGTTATAATACATAATAAAACTTTATAGTTTTATACAGTTTTGTTCCGTTTGTTCAAAGGGAGAGACAGACGAACATAGCACAACTACTTTTTAGCTAGTCTGCCCTCTCCTCTGAAGAGCCTCTACTTTAAACGGCTTGTGATCGGCCAATAGATCACTGGTGGCAGAGAAATTACCGGGGTGTGGGTCCTGAGCGACAATTGCAGCAGAATTCCCCACACTACCAACCCGCTACATCATTTCGTGGCGAAAAACAGAAGAAAAACGCCACACAAATATCTATTTAATTTATACACATGAGTCGGCGTTAAGGAGCGTAAAAGATCTTATTCGCGCAAACCAGTGAGGTGTAACGATAGAAATAGAAGATGTTAATACAACCGGCTTTAATCGATATTCGCGTCAGAAAAACGCGTTTGCGGCCGTCAAATTTTCCAAAATCACTTAAACGATAAGCTCCACTACGTATTCCTTCACCTCTCTTAGACAACCGCCACCGCCGTCTGTAACCCGAAATGTTTTAGAGCATTTCAGGTTCTGCTCCCTAACAATCATCTTTACATGCTCGGTTAGAATCAATCTGGTTAAAACACAGATCCTATTTCATTTCGTTTTTATAGTTCAAAATTTCGTTTTACGTGTCTTTACTACACTAGGATCTTCATGTAGCGTAGGCCATCGAAGGTATAAAAAAAACGAAACGAAATATAGATCTGTATTTTAATCAGATTGGGTTAGAATAGATAAAAACAGAAGGGAACCTAGTGAAAAAATTACGGACTAACTTTAAGAGAGTCGAAAATCCAAGATGGCGTCCAAAATGATCTGAAATTGAGCTTAACAAACATTATTGGCGAAATGACCGTGTAATATGTCATTTTATAGGTTTTGTTGGTCGCCGGACTTATTTGTTGACAGTTTACGATTCATCCCGCAAACGGTTGATCCTATACGCCGGCCGAAATCCAATATGCCGACAGAAATTGACGCGAAAAGTTTTATTTCAATACCAAAGACATACAAGTTTGATATGCTGTTTTAGGGATTTTAAGGAACGTGGAACACGAATATGCAATGGGAACGGTGATAGCATTTTCGCGACTACAGGCAACCAATCAAAGAGTGAAATCAAATTAACTTTTTGGAAATTTGAAATTATCGCTGCTATATTTCCATCAATTTTTATATATTTAAAATGTTCCCCTTCTCAGAGATGATCACCATTTATATCAACATTACCCCCCCCCCCCACCGCATCTTCTAAATTAAAATAACTGGAAAAACTGGGTCGCATAAATTCTCCCCTGGGATGGCGATCAATCCCCCTTGAGTCACAGGACTAGTAGTAGTATCCCCTTCTTCATTAGCCCAGATGAAGCAGTAGAAAAGTAGGACGTTTCACATTCCATCTGTCAATACCTACCAGTCGATCTGTTCAATAATATATCCCTCTCCATTTTGCACACTATTAAAACTGAATGTTCGATTAAAACAAAAGGCAATAATTATTGTTTTGAAACAGTCGACAACTATTTTATGAACATAGGCTAAAGAATCAAAAGTAAAATAACCATCATAGCTGTTCTTGCATAGTAAATATATTCATTAACACGTATGTTTTATCTCCCATGTTGTGTTAGCTCATATTTGACCTTCTTTATGTTGCGGGGGGGATGGGAGCTAACCTAAGCATTGGAGTGGGAGAAGATGAACCCTGTTGATTTTCAGCATTCTAGGATTTTTTCTTGCAGATATATACTCTTCAAAAAAAGTAGGGGATATTCAGAAACAATACAAAACTTCGTAAATGCACTGCTGTTTTTTTAGAGGTAACCAGTGTATGTTAATAACAGGCCAATTACCAACACATGAACATAAACAGTTCATATGGGCGGCTTATCTGGCGGCCCCATTTTACTGGCAAAGAGATAGACAGTCAAAAGTGAAAATGGACGTTTATGATTTTTGTCTTAATAATGAGTAATTGCTCCACCAACCCACAGACATTCAGCAATTCGTCGTGGCATGCTCCTAATCAACCGTCCAATCACGATTTGGGGCAATTTGACCCACTCCTCTTGCAGTGCCACGGCCAATTCTTGAAGTGTTGTCGGTTGCATTGACGTCGACGAACACGTCTCCCGATCAAATTAAACGCGACACACTAAAGCAAAGATACGCTTAACACTAAATCTTATGCAGGAACCGATAGGAAAGCAAACATGGATAGATAAACCAGCACGCGGCAGTTTTCATTAACCCTTCCTTAAAGTGTCAAATTTGACAATGAACCCCTCCCACGCGTATGGTGCTATTGCGTGTCGCATGTGTAGCTCAGTGGTTCTGTTGCGGCGATAAGTTCTTCATCTGTGAACATACTCTAAAAGCATGTCAAATGTCCATGACTATTTATCATATCACAACCTGCATAGGTATTTGCATTTCAATATCCCCTACTTTTTTTGAAGAGTATATATTAAACAAAATTTATTCAATGGAGAAGTTTCTAATTTTCAAAAGGCACATCCACTGTAATAGGTATGTACCAAGGTTTCATAAGATATTTTGAACAGTTTATGAGATATACTCCGTAAACATAACTCAGACATTGACGATGATGAGCAGTTAGCTAGGCAGATCCTCATCCATGCTATAGATAATTGACTGAGATCCTATTCGTTTAAATTCTAAAACATAGCACGGCAAATGAAAAAAAAAATATCCATTATAAAGTTCTCATATTGAAAAAATAAATTTAATTGCAAACTCTACACTTTTATGGACTATTTCACATTCTAATAATATTAGAATTATAAATAACAACTGATTCACAATAAAATAAACAAAAACAGGCAAAACAAATAAATATATATAGTGCACCACTTCAATATTTATCAACATCACATGTTTGAATTTAAAATTCTCAAAATGAAAAGACAACTTTTATGTGAAAAATCAAGTCTTGTTTTGTTTAATCTGATGTAGAGAGATGTTTCTTCCACTAAATGAACAACACACTTCATCTTGTCCCTCTTTACCTTTAGAACGAACTAGAAGTAATTAACTGAAATTCAATATGCTTCTTTGTTTTGCTAATTTAAATAACACACATTAATTTCATACGGAACACACAATAACTTTTGTTGTTTGAATGTTCACAAAATTCTTCAAAGTGAAACAAGAGACATAAGAGCAACTGTTGATATTCAAGAAGTTTCTTGTTTTCACTAATTTAAATAAGGCCATACAAAAACAATATTCTGGTTCTCAGACAATCATTCTAAAAATCTGATGGAGTAGGGAGTTTTTGTTGGTGTGATTTTATTTTGTAAAAGTATCACTACTACTTACAATAAGCATCACAATTTAAATTTTAAGAAAATACATTTATCTCATCACATCGTTAAATAATATGATTATCCAGTATCAATTATGATTGTCAATAACATTTACCAGGGATGCATATTTGATAATTGCGTCTACAGTACATTTCCGTTTTCATTCAATTTTTTTTTTAATTACATACCATATTTACTTCCTGTGACCCGGAGAAAACATTTAAATGCAACAATTAATGGATCTGTTTTGGGGTTGTTTTTTAAAAAAAAAAAAAAATAAAAACAGGTTATGCGGCTCTGTATAAGTGATGCAAATGTATCTGAGATCCAAAATACATTTTTTTATTTGGCCTAAAGCACATAAATTCCTTACAGATCAGATGGTAACTTTCATGGTTTAGAATGTTTATAAGATTCTATAAAGTGAAGCAAGGACCATAACTCTAGAAGTAAATAACCAGTCAATACTCAAGGTTTTCAGTTCGTATACATACAATACCATCACTCATTATAATTTATTATTATTTACATCTTTTCTATAGCGCAGCGATTTACTTATAAGTGTTCAGGATCTCTTTACAGTAACGGATGAAATACCAGAGAAACATAGTCAAATGAAATACACTGGAAATATATTCAACAGAATTGTGTCTTGTGTTTATTCAGTTCATTTATAAAATTTTTACATTTCTAATGGCAAGATAGCGAGGCTGATTGAAGACTATGTTACATCTGTATGGAGTTTAAACAACATTATCAGTCTTCATGTGTTTAACCAAATCTTTATATTTTTACCCCTTCAAGCTGCATTATACAAAATAAATAAACTGTATAGTTTTTTAGTTGAAGTATAAAAATCTGGTATACAGTGGACAGATAAAAGAATGAAGACTATTCTTGTAATTCAGATTCTGTAGTTGCCTCTGTTACAACAGCCTGACACGAATTAGATGTTTGCTGTACACGTATGTGTAAAACTTCTCCTGATTCAGTTGTTACCGTGGCTACTTGAATACCGTCTGCTAATGAGGCCATGTCACCTGCCTGTAATTGCTGTAACAAAATATAAAGTAAATTTTTTTTTATTACCAATATTTCACTTTCACATTTACATGTTTAACATACCAGATCACTGTTACTCTATACATGTACTGGCAGAGAGGTAGAAATTTAACCTCCCAAATAGCTGTAATCAAGAAAAATATTAAAGAATTTCTATAAGCTCATTTCGTTTCATTAAACAAAGCCTGGCAGTTAAGGTACCATATGCCGCTAATATGTTGTCCATACTGTAATAAGACTCCTCCCCCCCACCTCCCTCCCCTTTAAGAACTTACATGGTTAAGAATAAGAACTAACTTATGTAGAGTGAGTACAATGGACAGATGGATGGGTGAATGGAAAAACAGTGGAAACAACAATTTATGACCATGTATAATATTCATGAATGCAGATTTGTATCAACATTTACAATAATATTATCATATGATAATGAAGTAAACACAGGACATGCCCATCTTTAAATCATAATAATAGTAATTCAATTCAGCTGGTTAGTGAAAACATTCTGGAAAATTCTACACTCTACTTTCTATAATTGAACACTGTAACAGGGGTTAAAAAATACCCACTTGTGCAATATCAACAGATGCAATGAATAGTGGATGTAAACATTAAGAAGTTTTGTTTTAATAAATTATTTACCCCAATAACCTGATCTCCTTGTAATATTTGTATATGATGAGCTTGTTGTAACTGTGATATATGTTCAGGTGTAGCATGTAATATCTGTATTTCACCTTGACCTAAACCATCGTCCATAGAGACTGCCTGTTGAATATCAACATCACCCTGTTAACCAAAAAAATAATACTTAACACAGGAAAAAAACACTTAAAGATACTTTCCCAACAAGGTATTTATTTGGTAGTTATTTCCAATAAAAGTATTCCAATTGAGGTACTAGAAAAATAACAGATTCCCTGAAAAACACCCATGAGGAGCACACAAGACACAAATGTTAAGGTGTTGATCTAATGGCCAACAGTTGTGCGAACGATTCTGCGATAATCCAGGAATTTACTTAGGCTTCGACAGTTGACTAATCCGGACTAATGATAAATACAAACAAGCAGCTAAAAATGGATTCTCCCTCAATCAAATCATGTGATAAACAAGGCTGATAAAAATAGATTCTTGCGTAAGTAACTTCAAGCATATCTGTTTCACAAGTGTTTATCAGTATGCAAATAATAATAATTACGATAAAATATAATAGTAATAACATGCCAACAGTGAGGCTGATGTCCCCCACCGAAATCCTCAATTTTTTTTTTTTCAAAAGTATCAAGCAATCAAACTGATTATCAACTATACACAAGTTTAACTATTCTACCTCAATTAAAAGAGGTCTTGACCAATCAAATTGCTTATCAGTCCTTATTCTCAGCAGAAAATTCTCATCATCGAACTTAGTCAAGATAATTATATAATAAATCTATACTCGGAGTTTCATCACTCTCACTTAATTAAAACCAAAGTTATCGTGCCCCAAAGCATCAACCAATCAGATTGCTTATCTATACTTAATGTAAGCAGAGGATGTTTATCATCGAACTCCATCAAGGCATTAACCTAATGAACATCTATATCAAGTTTGAACATTCTCAACAAATCAAAATGCTTATCACTCTTTTTACCCTGAGCAGAAAATGCTCATTATCGAACTTAGTCATGGTATTGTTGTGATAAAACTTAACACCAGTGATGGGATTTCAAATTTTTTCTTGTCGGACATTTTTACCGAAAATAAAGGGACATAACTCTTATCGTTATTTAAGATGACAGTTTTTAGACCACACACAAAAATCACGTGTAAACAAAATATTCAAATTCGTCCGTAATATAAAAATAGGTGCACCTCGTTATTTTTCATATTTAATTCCCGTACGGTATTCAAATTTATGTCAGTAATATTTCTTCGAAATTTAGGTAAACCTGCGAGAAAAAAAATGAAATCTTTGAAAAGTTGAGAATCTTCAATGATTTATTGCTTTGTCTAGCTAAATTACAATAATTTACAATCAAATTCTTTCAAAAATCCTAATTTTTCCCCCTAGGCTTACCTAAATTTCGTTTCATCTTATATGGCCGAGTTCTTAAATTTGTGCGTTACCCTTTCAATGATGTCCGCCAAGTCGGTTAGAAGACGGAGACGTATTTTTTAACAGCGTGTTGTGTCGCTCATACTGACTCTAGCGAGGTAAGCAAGGTCTTATTTTCTCACTAAGATGTTCATTTATATTGTTCAGGCGTTCACAGGGACTGACACGCGACCGTTTAGCAGTAAAAAGTTGCCCAGTAAAATTGACTGGGAAACAAAATCTTGTCGACAAGGTTTTAATAGAAGAGTCCCTGAACGTAGAGGCCGAGTGTAATGAGACCTACGTCCAAAGCTGAACTACTACTCAATTAGAATCAAAGTTATTGTGTTCTAGAGCCTCAGCCAATCAAATTGTTTATATCCACTTAGCCTTAGTGGAAAATACTGATCATCGAAATCAGGCAAGGTATTGACCCAATAAACACCTACTCTAAGTTTGAACATTCTAGCTAAATTAGAAGTAGAGTTCTTGTATCTCAATAAGTGTGATGGGCAGACAGACAGAAAGCTGACCTAGTTTAATAGTCCCACACTTTCTATGAAAGAGAATACATCAAGGGAAATAACTCCACAAAAGATCCCTATATGAACATACTTGTCTGCTAATTTCTAAAACTAGGAATTCAGCAAAAAAGCTTTCAAAAACAAAATGCAAAAATCAGTTTGTTTTCAAACTGCTGACATAGAGTTTAATCTCAATCAACAACTACACCGACAGTTACAGTATCACTGTATATGTAAATAAAGGGGGGGGGGGGCGCTGTTGAGCAGTGGGTGAGATGGGAGACTTACCTTTTACTTATTGGTACTCTTACGCGCATTTCAGGATTATTTTCATCACCTAACCAACAACCATTAGGATAATCACCTTCAATAATAAACATTTTGAACCATTAGGCCTACATCCGGGTAGGATAAAGCACGAGACCGAGATTATAATGGGGAAAAAAGACTGAAGAAAATAACCCGAGAAGAAGAAAAAACCAAGACCGGCAGGCTGAGGTATTTCTGTCGAGGATTTTTTCTTAAATTTTTTTTCCCCAGCATAACCAAAGTCGAGGACTTTATCTTGCATATAAACCGTCTATGTTTGCATGTAGGAAAAATGAGAATATCCCCGAATTCCTGTATTAAAAACCTCTTATGGAAAATAAAACCTACCGTGGAAGAATAACCTGTTACAGGTTTAAAGAAAAACTTTCCAAAGAATAACCCCAAATTCCTCTGTATATATCCACAGCCGCCCCAGACTTTCATACTGCAAGTTATTCCAGGCATAAAATATAGGTTTACATCAGGTCAGGGAAAATGTTCATAACAGGGATATTGATTGGTTGAGAAAAGCAAACGTCATCCAATCATTTTGTACAATAGCCATTTCTTGCTGTTTTGCCAACATCATGGCTGCGTCGATTGTAGTGGATGGCAGAAATGAATGCGGGAATTCGTCGAAGAATCCTACTTTATGTCACATATATATATTTCTAAGACCGAGAATATCAGTTCTGCAAGAGATGTCAATGATCGCGAAGATTTAGAAGCCCGATCCTTTACAGAACAAGAAATTAAAGCCCTGCAAATGAGTCGAATTCCGCCAAACACGAGGAAAAATACCAATTGCATAGGAATATGGTGACACTTCGAAGTCAGTACAAAAGATTCCTAATTTCGCACAGATCAATTCATTAACTTCGCGAGGTATTGACATCCACTGACAGACAAAAACAAAAACAGCCATTAAATGAAGACGAGTTGGAATTGTAGAGGTCTCAAGTTTGTAGTGTAGAAAATGCCAGTGGATTAATTTATACTAGTAATATATTTGGATTACGTGCTGCGGATGAGCATAAACCGCGACAAAATGTGAAAGTTTTTAGTGTTGAAAATGCAAAGAGATTAATTTATAACAGTAAAATATTTGGATTATGTGCTGCGGATGAGCATAAGCCGCGACAAAATGTGAAAAAGCGACAAAATGTGAAAGTGCGACTAGATATCAAAATGTAAAGAAATGTGAGACAAAATGTAAGAATATGACTGAGAATGACGCACATTCGAAAAGTGCTGAGACAGTTGAAAATGATCACTCCTTTACCATAACATGTTCAAAATGGGTTGTAGATGTTCAAATAAATATGTAAATCATGATTTGGTTAATTTTGTCCCTTTTCAACTGATACACGGCCACTTTTCAACTGATATACACGGCCACTTTTCAACTGATACAAGTGGCCGTGTATCGGTGTATACTGTAACAGTGTAAATCTTCGATAATAACTAAAGACTGGAACTATCCTTGAGACTATTTATTACCGGAAAAAATTTAACATCATATACGGAGAACAGCACGTCCGACAAGCAGAGTAACTGTCCTGGAAACGGGATGAAACCTAGAATGTTTTGTCAAAATGTACAAATCGGTATTTATAATAAAGTGGTATCTTAGGAATTAACAATATACACCAAGGTTACTATTAACAATTAAAAAGGAGAGATTAAACTATAAAAGACATTGTAATAAAATAAACAATAAGATAGTAAATAAACTCATTAATGTGTCAGCTGTCAACGATCAGTCATTAGATAAGTAGCTTAACGTCTAATTAACAACGCAGGATTAATAGGAACATAAGAAAAATAGAAATGTTTAAATGAAAGAATGAATAATGAACGAATGATATATTGAAAGAAGGAAATACCAACAATTCACAATATTATCACCATTATATTACCCTCCCATCTTCATCAAAGAGTCGAGAAAAAGTATGGGTATAATTTAAGTTGTTTGGTGGACTCGGGCAAGACACTGGGTAATATATTGAAACAACACTTGGACTAACGTCCGCGTGCAGTATCAATATTAATACTTAAAATACAGATGTGACGTCGTCCTTTGATGTTGACGTACCATTATTTCAAATAATGGTACGGGCAAATTGCCAATCGTACATTATTTATACTAGTGAAATAATGGACTCGCATGACGCATTTCATTGCAAAAACCTACGGCCCTCTTGTTATTACAATATATTACTTAATGTATCGCTCTCGATCATTAAACTATAATTAATGTCTCGCTCTCGACCTGTAGACTAGATGCATAATTTACAACTGTAGATTATACTTTATTTAAAACTATTGGACGAGGTACCTCATATAAAACTAGTATAAGACACATCGTATAAAACTACTAGATAAGACAGATCATAATATGAGAGAGAGAGAGAGGGAGAGGAGAAACGGGGTTTAACGTCCACTCGACACAAACTAGGTCATTTGGGGACTTACATATGGTTTATTTTTATTTCAATAATTCGCTTGCGCGTAGGGGGCTTTAGCAGTGGAGGGAAACCGGAGGACCCGGAGAAAACCCACGAGGTTGGACAGGCGACCCTACTCCTTATCACGTACAACCGGGAATTCGAAACCACGCCAGTTGACTCAATTACAGACTTTATGATACAGCGCGCACGTGCTAACCATTCGGACACCCCCCCCCCCCAATCATAATGAAACTAGTAAATAAGGCACATCATGTAAAACTAGACACATCATTTAAAATGAGTAGACAAGACACATTATCTAAGGCTAGTAGATACGACATACTTATCAAAAATTGTAGTTAAGATACACCATCCAAAACTGGTACTAATGACAAAACACGTTATTTAAAACTAGTAGACAAATTTTGACAGGTGTTGGTCACTCAGTGGGCAGTGCTTACTATTTCTAGAACGCCCGATGCCACTTGTTTTGGATTTTTCACATTTTTGTTTGACTTTTGTATAAGACATTGGGGCATGGTAAATGTGATAAACAAGTTGTTATCTTACGGAAACATTCACACGCAGCGGCTTTAAGGTATTGTGTACCGTTTGTCATGTGAGTTTCGTTTACATTGACTGAGTTCACACACTTATTTAAACAGCGTAATTTATGTTCACGACATAAAGTGCATAAGTGTAGTTAAATAATTAAATTTTGGGTTTAATACGAAAATTATTTCCTATTATATTTAATATTGTTTGTTGTCGGTACATAACCAGGGGAATGGTCGGTAAACGTGATTGAATATATAAGTAATAATAAAGTATATTACCTACCTATGTTTTCAACATCCAATATGTCCTGGGCCCTTATTCACGAAAACTTAAACTAAGATACAATCGAAATTTTAAGAAATACTGCAATTCGACTGGCTGACCAATATGCAAATTGGATATATGCAAATCGATTTTACTGGTCAGCCAATCGAATTGCAGTATTTCTTAAAATTTCGATTGTATCTTAGTTTAAGTTTTCGTGAATTAGGGCCCTGGATTTATCATTTAATACACGTATATAGCTGACAGATTTATTGCGGTAATATACCACAAAAACATGCATAAGCCAGTTCAATATAGAACTTTGACGCCCAATATTTAATACATGTATGACATTAAACTTACTTGTCTTCTCGAAATACCTTTAACCTTCGTTCGTAAAATACAATAAAATAACAAAAAAACAACACGATTATTGCGATATCATACCAAATATTTACCGATATGTCGTTTTATTCAAGATAAAGGTACAGAAACAAATATTAATAAGTTAAGAAACATCTTCATTGGTTGATAAAAATTAATTGTTTGCTTAATATATGATTGGACTAAATTAGATCGTATTTATTTTGGTTTCCTGTGGTGCGGTGTCAAAGACGGTAATTATTTTGCTCTTTCTGGAAAACTTTACACAAGTCGCCACCAGGTTCATCTGAAAGTACCCGTGAACTTTAGCAGACAGAAAGGGAACAACGCATGTGAAAGTATATTATAATATGGCATATCAAAACTAGAATCGGGGATCTTATAAAATGAGGCGATATAGCAAACTCTCTATATATACGTAAACGACTCGAGTGTGTGTATTCGATATTACCGACATCTAGCCAAGGGAACTACGAATACCCATAAACAGCAGTTAAAACGCCCGAGAAGAACTCGGATATTAACTCCGTGGAAGAAGCAGTGCGCCTTGTAGTACACACAGAAACCATGATACTTTGCAACATATTCAGAGCTTACGGTCGACTCTAGGTATTGCAAACTATCAAGGTGTACTACCAGGTGCAGATGTGAATGGGAGGGGCGGTGAATTAAACCCAGAAAAGACATGCCCAAAACAATTGACTCCGCACAAGCTCCAGGGACAATCCTCAAAATCATCCACCGTGGATGTAAGGTTGAATGTGACAAGGCAAAGTGAACCAGTAAGCGATTCCACGAAACCTTCTGTTGCAATTTATTCTATAGGAAATTAGACCCATTGCTCTCATTAATACATCTTACTCAATAATTTCACTCCTGCCATTAATACGCCCCTTAAATTGACTGGAGAATTAGACTCATTTCTGCCTTAATCTGATTGGGAATCTAGACTAGACTCGTTACTGCCTTTAATATGCCCCTTAAACCTTTTTTTTTGGGGGGGGGGGGGGGCTTTTTTGTTAGATTTGTTAAAGAGACTTTAGGTGTTTGATTTTTTTAACCTCCCCTCGCCCCCACTCGATTCGTATTATTCGTCATTCTCGTATTTTGTGATGTCAGCAGATTGGGAAGCTTTTGTGCGCTGCATAATCTCAACAGTACCATAACCAGCCATTCCGACCACCAGGAAAGCCATGCAAATGTACAGTTTAACGTTGGTGACGATAAAGTCGTTGTAGGCGTATGCGAAAATAAAACCAGTTGATTCCCATAAACGGTAATTAGCAAAGGCTGGCTCTGCATCCTTTTTGAATAAAAATCCATAGAAAGCTGAAAGAAAACAATACTCATAAATTTAATTTAAAAAAAAATTGTCATGCAAGATATGACCACAATTTACAAGTGATGGACAGAGAACAAGCTAAAAGGGCATATAATAATGAGTCATAATTCAGGATGATACAGTCCGACGTGCGTCAATATCATAATGAACTGAGAAGTTTGGGATATAAACATAAATTTTAAGTTTCGAATAAAAATTGTGACCTCTAGTGTGTCCACAGCCTTGGTATTACACGCTTTTACACTATTTGCGTACGGGGAGCAAGCATTTTGACGGGAAGTTCCGGTCCGATATTCACGAAATTCAAACCGTGATATTATACTATTCAAAAAAAGTAGGGGATATTTGATTTTGGGGGCATAATACTAAAATATGCAAATGACTACGAAAAAAGTCACTATAGAACCTAACAGAAGAAACATTTCCAGTTACATGTGACGCCCAAACGCACCAATAGCTACCGCATGGAATGCAGGTGATGCTTGGGATCATCATGGGGGTCCAACCCAAGATTTGCACGACTCTGACTTTGAATGTTACAGTCATTGTGGCATTGAATTCCACGGTGGAAACATCAGTTTAATTGTTTTAGTGACCAGAAAACAAATTTTGATATGCGTCGGCTTACCCAAAATGAAAGGTTACGTGCCCTTGGCATGCTACAGATCGGCACAACACAGGCGGTTGTGGCGCGGACGATGAATGTTTCTCAGTCTGTCATAAGCAGGCTATGGTCCAGATACCGTGATACACAATCTGTACAGGACAGACCACGCTCAGGTTGACCAAGGGCGACAACTCAAGCCCAGGATCGATTTATCCGTACCTTGGCCTTGAGAAATCGTGTCATCACAGCAAATCAGATCAGCGCTCGCCTTCAAACAGACACTGGTGTGAGAGTGAGTGGCCAGACGATTCGGAATCGACTGCATAGGGGTCACCTTCGCGCCCGACGTCCTCGCGTGATCCCTTGTTTGAGAGATCATCACATTCAGGCAAGACGTCGTTGGTGTAGGGGATCGTCAACACTGGGATAATCGACGCTGGAGCAATGTGATGTTTTCAGATGAGTCAAGGTTCACTGTTGATTTTTTGGACAGACGTAGGACGGTGTGGCGTCGTCGAAACGAGCGCTTCCAAGACGTTAACGTCATCAGACATGATCGATTTGGGGGTGGTTCTGTTATGGTGTGGGGAGGCATCACTGTTGCTGGAAGAACGGCTTTACATGTTGTTGCAGGGCGTGTTACAGGCCAGTACTACCGGGACAACATCTTGGTAGTCTATGTTGTGCCGTTCGCACGACGTCATGGCCGCCGTTTCATCTTCCAGGATGACAACGCAAGATGTCACAGGGCCAGGATCGTTACATGTTACCTCCAACAACAGAACATCACCACATTACCTTGGCCAGCACTGAGTCCCGACCTCTCCCCCATCGAGCATGTCTGGGACATGCTTGGACAGAGGTTACGTCAACGTCAACAACGTCCTGCCAATGTCCAAGAACTTGCTGCTGCGTTGCAACAGGAATGGGACAATCTGGACCAAAATGACCTTAGACGTCTCATTAGGAGTATGCCACGTCGGATCAATGCTTGTTTGGCAAACAGAGGAGGATTTACCCGTTACTGACTTGGTTGTGATGCTGTGGTAACTTTGCTGTTTCACCCCGGGTATCATTTTACCCTTATAACGGTCAGTCTGTGCCTTACTTAGTCTAACGATCATTTGGAATAAATCGATGAATGTGAACTTCATTTCATTTTGTCATTTGTTTCTTCGTCAGTTTCATTAGGTGACTTTAATAACACTTAAAAATCAAATGCCCCCTACTTTTTTTGAATAGTATATATTTAGACGTTTTTTTTAAAAATATCGGTTAGAAATTGTAACCTCTAGATGTTCAACAAGCTAAAAACGTTATTTTTCGTACAATCAAGGCCATAATCCAGGAAAGTATCGTCCGATATATGCGAATATCGAAAGGAACCGAGATCTATAAACATAATTTAAGTTTCGTCAAAATTGGATAAAACTTTTGACCACTAGGGGTCCACAACCTTGGTATTAATACTTTTACACTATTGGCGTACAGGAAGCGGCCATATCTTCTGAGCAATTTACGTTCGATTTACACGAAACTCGAACTTCGCCGTCATTATGGTGCGACGGTCATATTTTTCCGGTTTTGTAATTTGTAAATCGGATAAATATTGTGACGTCTAAGGGCCCACAAGCTAAAACGCGATTTTTTTTATACAATCAGGGACCATAATTAATGAAGTTACGGTCCGCTACATGCCAATACCGAAAGCAACCGAGATCTTTGGGATAAACCTATGTTTCAAGTTTCGTCAAAATCAGATAAAAATTGTGACCTAGAGTGTTCATAAACAAAATATGGACGTACAGGGGCAACGACATATACGTCCACATGAAAGCGTGGGCGTATAAAAACAAACTTAAAAGTATGATATTATATTATTCTAAATGAATTACAAGGGAGTTTTATTGATGATAAATTTATATGTACAATGTTTCGAAATGTTCTGAGAAATCTACCCATAGGTCAAGGCCAACTTCAAGTTTGGTCAAAAGTCACGAGATGTAAACAGGGCTAGCGCTAATCCGAACCCTAACCCTAGATCTAGCCCTAATGCTTACCCTAAACCTAACCTGCAATCTCGCCAACAATCACGTGCCCTAACCTTCTTTACATCTCAGCGACCTTGACGAAAATTGAGTTGGCCTTGGCAAATAGATCTAGCCGATTACTAAGACTGTCGAATGCATTCTGGGTGATTCGGTACCTGATCGAGTCATTGAATCAGAAAAATCGTACATAACGTTGTGAATTAATTAATAGGTTCACCCAAAGCTTCTAACGTACATGTAAAATTCTATGCTTACTTTTCTAGAAACTAAGCCAGTTAGTTCGTTTTGTCCCATTGCCAAAATCGCCAAATGCCCAAAATTTCTCTTTCTGGTCGAGACTGAAGGTTTCCTTGAAAATCAGATATTCGATTTACTGGAACAGGATAAGCCTATAGGCTAGAGTAACTTAAAGTATGCCCAAACAAACCCAGATAATCAGAAAATATAGTATTAAATCAGCAATATTTTTATCATCAATTTTATTGCATAACAGTAGCCTACCTCAAGAATAATTTTAAAATTTTTTGACTTTGAAATAGAAAAGTTGTCTAATTGAATCTTATTGTAATCTTATATTCTTGGGGAACGTAGCTGGTAAATGCGTACTCCCACTCTCATGCAAGAAAAATGTTGATGAAAATGAAAAATATTGCCGATTTTTTGGTTTAACCTCCCTGGACATGCTTAGACAGACTTTATTGAAGTCTATTTATATTATTTTTAGTATTACCTTATGCCTTACTCTCACTCTCATGCATTAAAAATCTTGATGAAAAATATTTCGATTTTTTCGTTTAACGTATCTGGGCTTGTTTAGAACGCCTTTATTTAAGTCTATTACTCATTAGTATTACCTTATGCCTTCACTCGTGGAATTGGAAAGTTTCGCCCATCGGACAGGAAGTAGCATGAGCTTAAATTTTTCTTTTCAATTTAAAGTAGTAGGGCCTACATTAGGGTAAGATCATCAATTGTGCTTCGTTCCAGTTAATCAGAAAGAACATTTCTTATTTTGAACGAAACCTTCAAACAAGATCAAAATGATGCAATTGGCGGTTTGGGCAATTGGGCAAAACGAACCAACCGAAGCCATGCCCTCTTTGGTATATTTACATACAGAAATAGTGGGTCTTACCATTTATTTGTGTTTGAATGACAGCATCCCCCATTCCCCACAAAGCTGCCAGTACATAGAATATAACTATGGCATCTGGATCTGGTATCCAAAATAACAGTGTTATTTGTACACCGCCATGAACAATAAATGCTGAAATAAATGAATTATAAATTTATGCATGAAATGGGTCTGTGGGTGGGAAGGGCGAGACCTCTTTTAGCCAAACTTCGCAGCGCAGCAGAGGCTACAGTTTTCATCCGATATTTCTGAAACTTGTATTATAATAAGATGGGGGTCTCTATTTTGTCAAAATCGGATTAACGTTTTTAGAGTTCTGTCCCTTTTTTGTCGAAACCTGTCCACGTTTCTGGTAATGTTTCTGTAGCAGGATGGGATTTATTAATGTTTTAATTGTATATTTGTAAATAAAGTTTATGTAATATATGGTGTTCTGTGTTGTTATGTCAGCTTAATGTCTTGGAGCCTAGCCAAGATGTAGCCTACAGTGTGTGTGTTGTATTGTAACTGTGTTCACTGATCGGGGTTGTTTTTATTGGGTTTACCTGGTTTGCATCTTCTTGTTTAATATTGCATTTTTTTCTAGACATGACAAGACCTTTGTGTTTACTCCAGCCCCAGGTATTTTATATTTCTTTTTTAATAATTTGTTTAATAATTTTTGTATAGAATATCATTATTTAGTATAAATTTTAGTATAATTTTTGTATATAATATAATTATTTAGTATAAATTTATATAAAGTAGCCTAATTAATAATTCTTATAATAGGAAGTTCGTTAACTTGTTAATAATTTAGTTTTCCCGCTAGTCAATATTTATTGCGATGTTTCTCTAATTTTAGCCTTGTGAAATTATATTATATCTCTATTTTGGTACTGTAGCCATTAGTAAAACACCTTACCCAGGGTATGTTTAGTTTTCTTTCTTCATTTATATTAAATGTCTAATTACTATAATTTATGTTTCTTTTGTATATTTATTTCTATTTTGATTCTATGTTCTGTCTGTCTTGTTTGCATGTTTGTAATACATAGGCGTACGAGCCGGGGGGGGGGGGGCAGCTGCCCCCAATTTCCATTGCTCCACAATACCACAGTGTTAAAATATATAATACACTTTTCAATAATACAAAATCCAGTATACTAGTTATTTTGCACAATACACTTCTCCATTCTGCATAAAAGACACATGCATAATAGAACTTATCATATTAGAACATAACCTTATATGCGCTTTACGACGTGGCTAATTTGCATACGGAAAAAGGTCCGGACTAGGACGGAAATTAATAATTTACGCGATTAATCTACAAGGTCAACGTCAGTAGAAGGGGCAGGGATCAAGCTGGCAAACAATAAGTCACCATACAATAAGTCGACTTACCATGCAATAAGGGCGAATCAAGCTATCATGTAATAAGGAATTCGCTGGATTACCATAACTTCTGTGAAATCATGCGCTCGGTATGGCTAATCCGAGGCTTCAATAAGCCCCACATTTTTTACTTCATACCCCTCTCCCCCTCCTCTTCAACTTTAATCATTTTATCTTTTTTTTTCAAAGTACGGAGACATGGTGGCTATGTCGACACAAACTAGGTCATTTCGGGACTAACATACGGTTCAATTTTATTTTAATAATTCGCTTGCGCGTAGGGGTCTTTAGCAGTGGGAGGACCCGGAGAAAACCCACGAAGTTGGACAGGCGACCCTACTCCTTGTCACGTACAACCGGGGATTCGAAACCACACCTGTTGACTCAATGACAGACTTTATGGTACAGCACGCACGTGCTAACCAATCAGCCATCCAACCCCCCATGTGGGTAAGACGATCGCTAGCCTGGAGGTTGCGTGTTCGATCCCTGCAATGGCCGAGAAAGTTCATCGGGATTTTCCGACGTGGTTTCACCTTGTCAGTGGTGCAGGAAAGAGGGCCTGACAGCTGTCTAGTCTTTCGTATGGGACGAAAAACCGAGGTCCCGTGTATACGGTGGCGTAAAAGATCCCTTGGCAGTTGGAATTCGATATAAGAGTAGACCATAGTGCCGCTGCCCGGGCAAATTTTCCGTCATAACATAGGCTACGGTATGGCGTATGCCCGTCTTCATTTTCCCGGTCGAAACAGAACAGTAGGACGTTAAACCTCATTTAATTTTTTCAAAGTATGTGCCAGAAAGTTATTTAAATACTTCGTATTACTATTACGACAGGTATGTTTACTTTAAATACCCACACCCTCCGTCATTTAATAGAGTTTCGTAAAACCCGACTATGATCGTTTTTCTTTCCCCTTATCAGTGATGCAGGGGGGGGGGGCTGACAAGGACAAATGGTTAATCGTTCGGATGGAACAAAAAACGAGATCCAAAGTGTACACATAAGCGTGCACGTAATCCGAATTCGATACAAGATTTAGCGCCGCTGTCCGGGCAAATTTCCCTCATAGCACACTGCATGGCGTATGCCCGTTTTCATTAGCCAGTCGGAGCAGTAGGACATTAAACCCCATTTAATTTCATTTCATTGATCGTTTTCCGAAGGTCTGTAAATATCAGTACCGCCCCCTTCTACTGACAAGGTCGATCGCGTAAATTATTAATTTCCGTCCTAGTCCGGAATTGTTCCCGTATGCAAATGAGCGTCGTCGTGATCCCATGATGTTCTAATATGCTAAGCACCATTATGCATTTGTCTATTATGCAAAATGCAGAATGGAGAAGTGTAATGTGCAAAATAACTATTATACTGTATTTTGTTTTATTGAAAGTGTATTCTGTATTTTAACACTGTGACAATGGTATTGTGGAGCAATGGAAATTGCAAATTCTAAAACTAAAATACGTATTTTGAACGGCTGACATATGCATTTTGCACCGTGAACATTGAAATAATATTGGCAACGCTATCCTTCCATGTATTTTTAGAATTATGCCCCTATTTGCTGAAACCGGTCCACACTGCGTGTAATGCTTGTCAGCATTAGATTCCAGAGTTTTCATCAGATTGTCCTGTAACTTTCAGTGAGCTTGTATTATAATAAATCGAAGATCCCTATTTCGTTTCGTCAGAATTAGATTAATATTGTTAGAGTTGCTCCCCTTTTACTAAAACCTTTACAAACTGTTGTAATGTTTGTCAGCACAACAGAGGCCAGAATTTTAGGAAACGTATATTATGATAAGACGAAGATCCCAATTTTTTTTTTTTTTTTTTTTTCGTCAAACCTTTCCAATACCCTGTAGAGCCAACAGTTTTTAAGAGATTTAGTCTGAACATGGACCTTATAATGTATTATCACTCAGTGTCAATAATAGTATACTGTGTTTGAATCAGAGAGAGAGAGAAATGGGGTTTAACGTCCACTCGACACAAACTAGGTCATTTCGGGACTAACATATGGTTTAATTTTATTTCAATAATTCGCTTGCGCGTAGGGGTCTTTAGCAGTGGGAGGAAACCGGAGGACCCGGAGAAAACCAACGAGGTTGGACAGGCGACCCTACTCCTTGCCACGTACAACCGGGGATTCGAAACCACACCAGTTAACTCAATGACAGGCTTTATGATACAGTGCGCACGCTTACCATTCAGCCATCCAACCCCCCTTTGTTTGAATCAATTGTAACGTCTATGCAAGTGACCAATCAAGAAATTACAATACCTGACCAATCTCGGGGATCAGTGTTTAAGAGAGCTGAGCGGGCTCCCAATTCCTCTGACATTATTTCACCAGGATTCGGTGATCTTAGAGTTGGGCGTTCGAGAGACCGTGTAGCATTTAAAAAGTCGTTCTGGGTTCTAGAATCGTCAAACTCTACAGATTATAAATTTCAATGAATTTTGTAATATAACTGGTAACAGCTGTATTTTACTGTATTTCTTATACAAACAAGGTTTTAGAAGAATATGTTTTAACGAGTTTTAACTATTGGAAAACACAACGTGAAGTCCAAAGTGAAGTAGAAATATTGAATTCAAATTAGGTACCAGAGGTAAGTAGAAATATCGAACTCTAGATAGAAGGACAAGGTCCGAGACCAGAACAATAGTGCCACGGTGTCACGATAGTGGGTGCAGTTTTTGTTGCTTAGTCACTATCAGTTACTGGTGTCTAACAAAGTAACTTGATTATTTCAAGAACATCTGATATCCAAACTTTAACATCTTAAATACATTGTAAGTAACAATAAATACGAACCTAATATAAAGAAGGGAATGTGACCAACAAATTGTACCATTCTTCCAAAAGCAAACGAGCAAATAGCATCAACAACACCATAGCAGATCATCACATAGCCTACATTCCATATCCCTAATGAACACGTAATATACGACTGAAACAGAAATGTTACTATACGTATAATCATTCGTGGCGATAGGGTACCCGTGCCCTGGGACATATAATTCATAGATAATATATGAATAGAATATACTGTAGTTTTATAGAATGGCACATGATTTTACACAACGTTTTGGTAAAATGTTAAGAAGCTGCATCATTTATTAGCTTTTGTAATATAGAATGTTGATATCCCTGGCCGTATATTTTTAAATTTGTTGCTTGCATTTGCTTATATCAACAAATGATTCGAAGTATTTGACTTTTATAGATATTTTTTCAATAATTCACGACCGCGTCTTAAATGTTAATTACGATTAAAGCAGGCGAGGTCTCCCTTTTCTGTTAGACACACTTAGCGTCTATGGGAGGGCCATGATCTAATATTTCTGGAATCTTGATTTGAAATAACGAACATACAGTATTCTTTATTTTTTGTTAGTTTTACGAATGGTCATTAAAATTTCCATTCTCTGGATCACATCTGCACCCTACAATAAAAGAAGGTACACAAATACTAACCCTTGTATAATCCCCTGATAAAAAAGCCTGTTCAACACCTGAGTAGATAGTTAAAGGTATAAGTAAAAGTTGTGCTGGTGATGATATCAGATGTTTAAAGGTAGCAATCAAAAGTTTTGGAGACGGTCGACCTTGTCTTTCCTCATCTTTTTCAAGGATGATTTTATCCAATAAAACAGATATAATAATAACAGCCACTACAGCACAACCAATATAAATACCACATAATAAATAAACCTGAAATAATTTATTAATTACATTGACAAAAGAGGAAGACGGTTTAAGAAACAACCTGAAAAACAAACGAATCAGCATTACTGCAAAGTCATATTTCCTGAGACGGACAAAACAAAGCATATGTGGTCCTGGTTAACGGGGATCATGGGAGCGCCATATGCGCAATGTTGTCCTGGTGTTTCAGTCAAAAGCAGTTGTAGATTCAGACGGTCCAAATGAGTAGAGAGTGGACAGTCTTTATTGGAAATCTGAGATTGGGTGCCTGGGCTCTGATTTCGGTTTCACATATTTTATTACGGTTCAGCTAAATGGTATTTATTAAATAATGCAAGTTTGTTTGTTTGTTTAAAATGTGTTCATAACAATTATACAATGAACGAATGTAATATGTGAATCAAATAATAAGATTTGAGAATGTGAAAATGGTCTGAAAGATGGTCTTTTCACCATTTAATGTGCTTCGACAACGATAGTATAGACTTTTCTTTTTTACTTATTGGCTAGAGCGTGATTTAACGTGATACTATGAAAATACTTTTATACCAAATTTTATCAAATTTAATTCTCCAGAAATAAAGTTCAAATAGTGTTATAGAAGAGCAGTATTTTTACTTATTGGCTAGAGCATGATTTAACGTGATACTATGAAAATACTTTTATACCAAATTTTATCAAATTTAATTCTCGAAAAATAAAGTTAAAATAGTGTTACAGAAGAGCGGTATTGGGCGTACGAAGGCTGAATCTGCTGCGGAACATTATTTCAACTCCGACAAAGATCTAATGTGATCCCTAAAGCTAGCAAGCATGACGAAGAAAACTGGTACCCAGACTGACCGATTGAATTTTCTGGATGCGTTTCTGTAAATAAACTTTAAATAAGATAATATGTTTACGTATCTTTTGACCGAGTTGCATTCTCTAGGCAATGGAAGTTGTTACGGCATTAGCATTAGCGTCGATTAGATTAATGCAACGTGAATGTCATCTGTATCTTACACCTATATATATTAGATTTTATTTGGACGGGACGCATCTAAATTTTCCGTGGTTAATTCAAAATAATATCAAACAGGAAAATAATCTCCCATTTTACAAAACCTGCTCTTGTTCTGGTTTCTTCAGATTGGTATTGTTTGTCGGGGGGTCTGTGGGATCAAAATTGGCACCACATTTATTAAGATCATTTGTTACATTTAAAGTTGTTCCATTTTCTGGTGTAATACTAAATACCGTTGATGATATAAGATTTCCCCATATCTGACCTGAAAAAAGCAGAAGTTTGTAATGTGTCTTATTTTCCCAAACGGATAGTAGAGATCTTGCGTGCATTACGCGAACCGCTTGACTAACCAAGAATGTTACCACGGCTGTCAATATGCAATCTAATTTTAAAGGAGCTAAATCGCTAACATTTGGGACCTAGAAATTCACAAAAGTGGGTCGCAACGCATATAATACTGTAATATGAATGTATATAAACTGATTTACATTGAATGGTTTCCGTTTTTACTCCAATTTCAAATCAGTTATGTTCGGCGAAATAAGTCAGCAATCTCAATCGAGTGCAAATTTCTAGTGTCTATTTTCTCTAGTCTACATAACTCCATTTGATTTGGTGCAATGTGTCTAGCCTCGTCCCTCGAGTCTCTCAATACAACTGGGGCTGAAGCGCATTATGGAACACGATTCGTGTACCAATGTTAAAAAAATTATTCTATCTTAAATATCGGATATCAGAAGCTCATCTTTTCCCGGTAAGTTTACATCATCAATGTTGATTTAAATTGACCAATAATTCGTGTTTTCTATTTCGAAGATTTTGGAGGATTTTGAGTTACGGACTTAGGTCCTTTAAAACAGATGTTTACTCTACACGTTGATCTAACCTAATTTATATCACAGCTGCCGGTGAGAGTTCTATTTGCCCCGAAAGTCACTGGCCAATATACTTGGCTTTTAAAAAAAATACCATAACACCGCATTGTATACCAATATAGACGTTCCGGTTAGTTGATGCCTACGTGATCTGAACACCCGCTTCAAAGAATGTAGGTCGTTTGTTTGGGGTTTCTTTTACAGATATGTCAATATTGATACACTTTACAAGCCACAGCATGGCCATCATTTGGGAGAAATAAAATATAACCAAACGAGGGCGTGGGGCTTTATGCGGCTACACTATGTACACTTTCAATATACAAATATTTATATAATTCGAAGGATTATGACACTGAACTCGGACACTGGGTTTTGAAGCAAGGTCGAGCGTGTGATTGTTAACAAATGTAAATCTGATGACTAGACTTTAAAATATGAATATGTCAACCACTCCCATTATCTGCACAACAAATTAATAACGTTGTTCATTATCATGGTTACCTTAGGTAAGGTGTACATATTCTGTAAATTCGTGAACCGGTTGATATGAAATGACTCAAATAGTCCGGACTTGCTTTATACAGGGTCGTTGTTCTAGTGTCTAGTCGCTCGGGTGGTACGAAACCCCGAGACGGAAACACCACTGTCTGGGCAAATACCCCCATAGCACTGTGCATGGCGTAAGCATGTCCGTCTTCGTTGGCTCTGTTGGAGACCCAGTGCCACTGGAACTTCTCCTTTAAAAAACTATAATGTGTAGACATATTCTTATTCATACAATCATAGTCATTGTCCTTAACGAGGAGTTTGTAAAGCCGGTATAACAATACAATTTCAGGGTTGTACGTTGGTGGAGCATATTACGAATTGGTTTTCCAATTTTAGAATAAAGCAAATAAACAGAAGGTTCAGTGAACCTGGAGATAAAGAAACGTAGTCGTACCTTGGCTTGATATATAAGTCAAATGTTTTTTTGGAAAATCAGAAAATAGTTTAACGGTAAATCAATAAATCATAGCATGTCTTACTTGACTGGAAGATCATAAAGAATATTCCAAAGAAGCGATTAATAGTGGCATCCGCAGACTGACCGGTTAATTTAGCATACCAAACACCAGTTTCTGTTAGATAGGCACACTTGGCGGACCAAAGAGGGGCGGCACCAAAACCCAGGATAATTGCTGCAGGAAGCATGGTCTCCCATACGGCATATACGTTAGCGCCCATATAGAAGACATAGCCACACATAGATAGAGGCATGGTCCATTTACATCCTAGATGAGCTATTAATATCGGTGGCACGAACATACAAGAGACCACAAGAGCTCCATAAAGAGTAGATAAACTAGCGGTGCCGACTCCTTCTTCTTTGTTTAAACTACTCTGGAGATTAGCCATAGATTGATAAGCTGTGAACAAGAACACAAATCCAAAACTGATGACGAACAAATTTTTAAGAATTTGAAACTTCGTCATTGGACATGTGAAAGGTTCGACTTCATGTCCGTTAGCTTCCTTGGTTGGAAAATTCATCTCGTATTTCTCTTTGTGCGCCATGTTGTCGGCTTCTGAAAGTAAAAATTAGATTGTCAGAATTTAAATACATAAACTAAGCGATGGAGAACGAAATGTGAACCATTTGCTTCGGTTATTTTTAAACCGGTCGGATATTGTGTTCTTAGTGGTATTTTTAAACCGATCGGACATAGTGTTCTCAGTGGTATTTTGCCACACTCAAAATCCAACTATTGTCGACATTATTACTCTATCACCACATTACCAGTTAATTCAGGTAGAAATGGTTTTATTTTCGTATTTGAAGTTTTAAATGCATACTTTAGTTAAATTCGCCCCCTGTTAACTTTTCAAACAATATGGTAACAAATTTGATATAGAGACTATCTGTCTTATTCAAAGTAAAAAAAAACCAGACATCATACCTGTGAATCCTGGTTGTCCTAATGCAAGCAATAAGGGTGTTTGCTTTGGAGCGTTCGAGGTGCCCAGAATAAAATTTGATAGTATACCCCTTACTCAAGCCAAATAAATGGATTGTATACCAATATACGCTAGTTTTCATAGTGTGTTTGTTTTAGGGTCTTGAGGGATTATTAGGATATAAAATACGCATATCTCAGAAACTCGACCGAGAGGGATTTTTACCGCCCAATAAAAATCATTTTAAAAAACAACACTAAAATCAACACAAAAGACCATAGGTCCACTTGAGTCAATCTATCTACTAGTATCCTTTTCTAATAGAAATCCATGTTTAGGTTTTCAGAAAACTCTCTGGTTCACTGGTTAGATGAGGGTGTGGAATTTTGAGTAATTGTCGTTACATATTACTAATCTATGGAAGCCTATAACTACCATTCATAATTTCTACTTTTCGCCTCTTCAGAACACGAAAGTCGAAAAGTAGAAGTTACGACAAAATGTGAGGCGACAAGACGGTATGCAAGCCAAAATCAACTCGAAAATAGGAAATTAAGAAATAACACACCGCGATAATTGCGCCCCCCGTTTTTTCTTAATTTCTACTTTTCGACTTGCATTTTGGCTTGTATCCGTCTTGTCGACTTTCGACTTAGTCATATTTTTGTATTTATTGATGTCAGTAAGAAGGCGCCAACACGCTATACAAGCAAAAATGCAACTCGAAAAGTAGAAATTAGGAAATTAACACACTGCGCTATTAGCGACCTATGATCTGTCGTACTGTCGACTTTTCTACTTTTCGCCTAGGAAGTTGTTGTAGTCTCTGCCTTCCAGGTCACATTTGAATACTAGACTCTATCACACAGACATTTTTGTTAACGGGAATTGCGCGTATTCAAATGTGACCTGGAAGGCAGAGACTACAACAACTTCCTAGGCGAAAAGTAGAAAAGTCGAAAAGTTGACAGTACGACAAATCATAGGTAGCTAATAGCGCAGTGTGTTAATTTTCTAATTTCTACTTTTCGAGTTGAATTTTGGCTTGTATAGCGTGTTAGCGCCTTCTTACTGACATCAATAAATACAAAAATATTACTAAGTCGAAGTCGACAAGACGGAAGCCAAAATGCAAGTCGAAAAGTAGAAATTAAGAAAAAAAACGGGGGGAGCTATTATCGCGGTGTGTTATTTCTTAATTTCCTATTTTCGAGTTGATTTTGGCTTGTATACCGTCTTGTCGCCTCACATTTTGTCGTAACTTCTACTTTTCGACTTTTCGACTTTCGTGTTCTGAAGAGGCGAAAAGTAGAAATTAGCAATGGTAGTTATAGGCTTCCATACTAATCTGTTATCAGTTGAAGATACCAAATGGCGGAGCATATCGTACACGCAGAGTTCCAATAGATCCGGTGACTTTGGAAAGCAAGCATCTCCCACCCCCTTTAGGATGTCACACTTTTTAAAGTACCAGACGGGATAAATACCATCGACGATTTCCGTTGAGAACATCTGGCGATGTGATGTGATCCAAGATTCTTCAGAATCTCGACTGGGTTTTTGTTCACGTCGACCACTGTCTGGGTTCGCTGTCGTTGTCTAGGTCGAAGAGCTGGAATGGAGAAGGGCTTCCTTGCGCGTTCCCAGTTAAGCTGGAATTTTTATCTGTAGGTACGTAGGATTGGCATTAGTGTTGCTTATCTAATGAAAACGCCTATATTTAGATCAGAATAATAAATTACAGACAAAAAACGGGGACCAAAGAGGCAAACTGTTTTGACGCATGCTAGGATGAAATCATTATGAAGGTCCATGATCATTTCTGTTTATCAAATATGTTATATGTATCTTATCAGCTCAATGCCAGCGTGCCTTTAAAACAATTCATATGTATGGCAATAATTCGGATATTTTAATCATTGACAAATTAACTTTGATGAAATAAATGAATGACATTGTGACATCAGCTGATTCTTCGAGATCATGGGACCATTTAACGCTTTAGGTTGTCATATTTACAAGCGTGAATTTTAGCTGAAAGATTTACTTGAACACCCCATTGTTCAATCATGTTTGTTTAGGGTAATAGCCAAGACTTACTAGATCAATACCACTTCGGTCATGACAATCCATATGTCTATGCTAAAATTACGTGTGTAGATTTATACAATTATTATGTTAGCAATTTTGGTTGTTGTTTATATTTATTATCCATAGGCAATCTGACTTTTCGGGCGAATGGTTAAAATTATGAAAACAAAAATTATTTCATCTTGTTTGCAAAATAAAGTGCCCGAATTCTAATAAAAAAACGAATTTTACTTTTCTTTTAATTGACTACCGCGAATTATAAACCAGTTGGAAACTTTGAACTTGCTTAATTCAAGGGCTAGAATAGCAGAAAAACGTATTTGCGGCGGTTAAATTTTCAAATTTTCTCGGGGAGCACGAGGCTCCCATACCCCGCAACGATTTATTGGTTGTTTGTGATTCAGGTAAGTCACCTAAAGTAGGCTATATTGGACCACATTGAACTTGCTGTATTCACGGGCATGGAATAGCAGGAAAACGCGTTTGCGGCAATTGATTGAATTCGAGTCGGCCATCTAAATAGACTACATTAGATCACAGGAAAACGCGTTTGCGGCCGTCAAATTTTCCAGATTGTCGGGGGGGGGGGGGGGGGAGGGGGGAGTCCTACATGATACGCCCCATTCCTTCAGCTCTGGCAGTCGACTGGCACCGCCGTCTGTAACCCAAATTTTTTTCAGACATTTCAGGTTCTGCCCCCACCCCACACACTTAACATTCACCGAGCCCACACGCCTACGCATCACGGGGCCATTTTATGTATGAATTTATCTGATATTTCTAGATTAATCTTGGTAAAAGGACACCGGTGAAACACCCTTCGTAAAAGGCGTCTGATTATTAAAAAATGTATAAATAATGAATTACACCAGCCATATATTTATCGTTGATGTTACAGATACGTATACAAGTTCACACACCGTCTTCATTATATACTCTTCAAAAAAAGTAGGGGATATTGAAATGCAAATACCTATTCAGGTTGTGATATGATAAATAGTCATGGACACTTGATATGCTTTGAGAGTATGTTCACAGATGAAGATAATCTTTAAGTGGCATTTAGTGATTGGGGTACACAATAACAGAACACAATTTTTATGGGAAACAATCACTGGTTTTATTCTAATAGCACGACGTTTCGACAAGTATCCTCTTATCGTTATCAAGCACAATGACATTTGTGCTTGATAACGATAAGAGGATACTTGTCGAAACGTCGTGCTATTAGAATAAAACCAGTGATTGTTTCCCATAAAAATTGTGTTCTGTCACAGATGAAGAACTTATCGCCCCAACAGAACCACTGAGCTGCACATGCGACACATAATAGCGCCATACACGTGGGAGGGATTCATTGTCAAATTTGACACTTCAAGGAAGGGTTGATGAAAACTGCCGCGTGCTGGTTTATCTATCCAGGTTTGCTTTCCTATCGGTTCTTGGATAAGATTTACTGTTTAGCGTATCTTTGCTTTAGTGTGTTACGTTTAATTTGATCGGGAGGCGTGTTCGTCGACGTCAACGTCAACCGACAACACTGCAAGAATTGGCCGTGGCACTCCAAGAGAAGTGGGTCAGATTGACCCAAATCGTGATTGGACGGTTGATTAGGAGCATGCCACGACGAATTACTGAATGTCTGAAGATTGGTTGATCAATTACACATTATTAAGACAAAAATCAAAAACGTCCACTTTTGACGGTGTATCTCTTTGCGAATGAAATGCGGCCGTCAGATAAGCCGCCCATATGAACTGTTTATGTTCATGTGTAGGCAATTGGCCTGTTATTAACATACATTGGTTACCTCTAATAAAAACAGCAGTGCATTTCCGCAGTTTTGTAGTGTTTCTGAATATCCGCTAATTTTTTGAAGAGTATATTATATATTATTATTGGCATACTTATTCAACAAGGGCGTTACCCAAATGTGGCAAAGCTAGTTTCATTTGTTAGTATTGTTTTATTTATAGTCTATATAGACGCCTAAATAGTCGAGACAAATGACAGCTATATATTTAGATATAGGTCACTGCAGTTATATATAGTGAGGGACTGGATATTTGATAACTGTATGAATAGTATGTTGACAGTGAATGACATATTCTTTCTAAGTTTTATAATAAAATTGCTATCTGCCATATATTATGTTTCATTTTATAATTTAATAGAAACCCTTGTCTTGTTATTTAGCATACTATTAGTGAGCTTGTGATCGGCCACTAGATCACTGGTGGCAGAGAAATTACCGGGGTGTGGGTCCTGAGCGACAATTGCAGCAGAATTCCCCACGACTACCAGCCCGCTTCACACCATTTCGTGGCGAAAAACAGAAGAAGAAAAACGCCACACAAATATCTATTTAATTTATACACATGAGTCGGCTTTAAGGAGCGTAAAAGATCTTATTCGCGCAAACCAGTGAGGTGTAACGATAGAAATAGAAGATGTTAATTCAACCGGCTTAAATCGATATTCGCGTTAGGAAAACGTAGTTGCGGCCGTTAAATTTTCCAAATTCACTTAAACGGTAAGCTCCATTCCTTCACCTCTCTTAGACAACTGCCACCGCCGTCTGTAACCCAAAATGTTTTAGGGAATTTCAGGTTCTGCTCAACAATCATCTTTACCAATCTGTTTCACAGAGAATTACGAGTCTAGTAGCGGCCTAGCAAATATTCACTGTGGATCAGTGTGCATCTTTACCTGATCGGTGGGAATAGATAAAAAAAATCCAAAACTTGGTTGGATTGTTAAAACATGCATGTATAAATGGGATGCCCCATTCCTTAAAGAATTCAAATCAAGCCATGAGCTTGAAAAACTAATCCTTCCATAACGCATAAGGCTTCATAATTTTGAATTTGACGAGCTCTTACAGCTAAATCCAACGTGTTTTTTTCTCTCTAGTATAGATTTCAACAACAGACGATTCAATTACAGACAAATTTGAATTAGGGTTAGTTTTAATATGTTGTTGAACAAATGTTTGATTGAATTGTCTGTGTCGTTTTGTTAAACATCAGTACACATTGAGCTTAACAAACATGCCGCGAAATGGCCGTGTAATATGTCATTTTATAGATTTTGTTGGTCGCCGGAATTATTTGTTGACAGTTTACGATTCATCCCGCAAACGGTTGAACCTATACGCCGGCCAAAATCCAATATGGCGACAGAAATTGACGCGAAAAGTTTTATTTCAATACCAACAACGACATACAAGTTTGATATTTTGTTTTAGGAATTTCAGGGAACGTGGAACACGAATATGCAATGGGAACGGTGATAGCATTTTCGCGACTACAGGCAACCAATCAAAGAGTGAAATCAAATTAACTTTTTTGGAAATTTGTATCGTTGCTATATTTTCATCAATTTTTATATATTTAAAATGTTCCCCTTCTCATTTCTCAGTACTGGCCCCTATACTTCAGTCTTGGGTTGGGTGTTGGGGGACAAGCTAATTGTTGACGGAGGGATGGACATGGGTGGCGGCATAAATGCTCACACTGAAATGCCTAATAAAAAGTGTGACCTCAACGTCATTTTTGTACAATCGTGGGCAATGATCCATAAAGTTCGACGATCTGGTATGTGCAAAAATCGAACTCGTCCGAGATCTTTTGGATATACATGTATATATTTAAAATATACTTGTTTTAAGGGTATTTATTTGCATTTCTTTTACAGGGTGAGGTAACCGATAACCTGCCAGGCGGATTGATACCGGGAGATCATTGTTAAAACTTGAGCTGGTTACAACAGTTAGAAGACTTCTATTCTCTACCGGACTTCACTTTTCCTAGAAACTGATTGTATCGAATACTTTCTTATCAAAGAATTCGTTTAAATTATCGAATTTCTTGATTTCTTTTCACTTTTCCTACAAACAAATTATAACCTTACATTACGGCAAGATGCAGTTTATTATTTTAATGCATCGATTGCTCCCCATGAAACTAACATTTTATTTTGAACGCTTGCTGTTGGCAACAATAGTTGTTAAAACAATTTCCAGATACAAGGTAACTGGGGTTCATTTTGGCACAGATCTATAAATTAACATAATCATCTTGAAGTATGTACTATTTGTTATCAGATGAAATTATACAAAAGAGGAACTTCGATAAATTTGAGTTTCACGCTTATAATTTCATATTCAATAAACTTGATCTACTAAATGTTTCTGATATTTTCAACTTTCTCATGGGCACGTTTTATTTCAATGAAACAGATATATCGTTTTATCGAAAATCAGAATCCTACGCAATGCCACATATGCATATGCACTGAGTATCTGGGAACTGTTTCAACAACTACCGATGCAAACAGTATCTAAGAGATGATCACCATTTATATCAACATTTACACATTCTCCCCCCCCCCCCGCATCTTCTAAAATAAATTGACTCTGGAAAAACTGGGTCGCATAAAGTCTCCTCTGGGGTGGTGATCACTCCCCCATGAGCCACAGGACTAGTATCCCCTTCTTCATTAGACCAGATGGAGCAGTAGAAAAGTAGGACGTTTCACATTCCATCATTTAGTACCTACCAGTCGATCTGTTCAATAATATATCCCTCTCCATTTTGCACACTATTAAAACTGAATGTTCAGATTAAAACAAAAGGCAATAATTATTGTTTTGAAACAGTCGACATCTATTTTATGAACATAGGCTAAAGAATAAAAAGTAAGATAACCATCATAGCTGTTCTTGCATATTTAATATATTCATTAACACGTATATTTTATCTCCTTTGTTGTGTTAGCTCATATTTGACCTTCTTTATGGTGGGGGGGGGGGAGGAGAGCTAACCTATGAGCTTTAGATTCAGATGGTTTCCTTCCACTGCCGACAGCCGTTCTTAACCCCCATACAGGTTTGAATCATTAGAACTCTGAGAGGATGAACTATATTGATTTTTAAATTTGGTGTGAAGCATTGGAGTTCTATGAGGGAAATTTTGCCCGGGCAGCGGCGCTACGGCCTACACTTATATCGAATTCCAACTGCCAAGTGATCTTTTACGTGCATGCCAATGTGCACGGGACCTCGGTTTATCGTCCCATCCAAACGACCAGACAGCTGTCCTTGTCAGGCCCTCCGTCCTGCATCACTGACAAGGGGAAACCACGCCGGAAAATCTTGATGAACTTTCTCGGCCAATGCAGGGATCGAACACCCGACCTCCAGGCTAGCGAGCCAGCGTCTTACCCACGTGATCCCCCTGGAGTGGGAGAAGATGAACCCTGTTGATTTTCAGCATTCTAGGATTTTTTCTTGCAGATATATACTCTTCAAAAAAAGTAGGGGATATTCAGAAACAATACAAAACTGCGGAAATGCACTGCTGTTTTTATTAGAGGTAACCAGTGTATGTTAATAACAGGCCAATTGCCTACAATGAACCCCTCCCACGGGTTTGGTGCTATTGCGTGTCACATGTGTAGCTCAGTGGTTCTGTTGTAGCGATAAGTTCTTCATCTGTGAACATACTCTGAAGAGTATATATTAAACAAAATTTATTCAGTGGAGAAGTTTCTAATTTTCAAAAGGCACATCCACTGTAATAGGTATGTACCAAGGTTTCATAAGATAGTTTGAACAGTTTATGAGATATACTCTGTAACCATAACTCAGACATTGACGATGATGAGCAGTTAGCTAGTCAGATCCTCATCCATGCTATAGATAATTGACTGAGATCCTATTCGTTTAAATTCTAAAACATAGCACGACAAATGAAAAAAAAAATATCCATTATAAAGTTCTCATATTGAAAAAATAAATTTAATTGCAAACTGTACACTTTTATGGACTATTTCACATTCTAATAATATTATAATTATAAATAACAACTGATTCACAATAAAATAAACAAAAACAGGCAAAACAAATAAATATATATAGTGCACCACTTCAATATTTATCAACATCACATGTTTGAATTTAAAATTCTCATAATGAAAATACAACTTTCATGTGGAAAATCAAGTCTTGTTTTGATTAATCTGATGTAGAGAGATGTTTCTTCCACTAAATGAAACAACACACTTCATCTTGTCCCTCTTTACCTTTAGAACGAATTAGAAGTAATTAACTGAAATTCAATATGCTTCTTTGTTTTGCTAATATAAATAACACACATTAATTTCATACAGAACACACAATAACTTTTGTTGTTTGAATGTTCACAAAATTCTTCAATTTCACAAGAGCAACTCTTGATATTCAAGAAGTTTCTTATTTTCACTAATTTAAATAAGGCCATACAAAAACAATATTCTGGTTCTCAGACAATCATTCTAAAAATCTGATGGAGTAGGGAGTTTTAGTTGGTGTGATTTTATTTTGTGAAAGTATCACTACTACTTACAATAAGCACCACAATTTAAATTTTAAGAAAATACATTTATCTCATCACATTGTTAAATAATATGATTATTCAGTATCAATTATGATTGTCAATAACATTTATCAGGGATGCATATTTGATAATTGCGTCTACAGTTCATTCAATTTTTTTTTTATTACATACCATATTTACTTCCTGTAACCCGGAGAAAACATTTAAATGCAACAATTAATGGATCTGTTTTGGGATTGTTTTTTTTAAAAAAAATAAAAACAGGTTATGCGGCTCTTTATAAGTGATGCAAATGTATCCGAGATCCAAAATACATTTTTTTTATTTGGCCTAAAGCACATAAATACCTTACAGATCAGATGGTAACTTTCATGGTTTAGAATGTTTATAAGATTCTATAAAGTGAAGCAAGGACCATAACTCTAGAAGTAAATAACCAGTCAATACTCAAGGTTTTCAGTTCGTACACATACAATACAATCACTAATTATAATTTATTATTATTTACATCTTTTCTATAGCGCAGCGATTCACTTATAAGTGTTCAGGATTTCTTTACAGTAACGGATGAAATACCAGAGAAACATAGTTAGTCGAATGAAATACACTGGAAATATATTCAACAGAATTGTGTCTTGTGTTTATTCAGTTCATTTATAAAATTTTTGCATTTCTAATGGCAAGATAGCCAGGCTGATTAAGGACTATGTTACATCTGTATGGAGTTTAAACAACATTATCAGTCTTCATGTGTTTAACCAAATCTTTATATTTTTACCCCTTCAAGCTGCATTATACAAAATAAATAAACTGTATAGTTTTTTAGTTTTTAGTATAAAAATCTGGTATACAGTGGACAGATAAAAGAATGATGACTATTCTTGTAATTCAGATTCTGTAGTTGCCTCTGTTACAACAGCCTGACTCGAATTAGATGTTTGCTGTATGTGTAAAACTTCTCCTGATTCAGTTGTTACCGTGGCTACTTGAATACCGTCTGCTAATGAGGTCATGTCACCTGACTGTAATTGCTGTAACAAAATATAAAGTAAAATTTTTTTTATTACCAATATTTCACTTTCACATTTACATGTTTAACATACCAGATCACTGTTACTCTATACATGTACTGGCAGAGAGGTAGAAATTTAACCTCCCAAATAGCTGTAATCAAGAAAGATATAAAAGAATTTCTATAAGCTTATTTCGTTTCATTAAACAAAGCCTGGCAGTCAAGGTACCATATGCCGCTGTAATAAGACTCCCCCCCCCCCTTTAAGAACTTACATGGTTAAGAATAAGAACTAACTTATGTAGAGTGAGTACAATGGACAGATGGATGGGTGAATGGAAAAACAGTGGAAACAACAATTTATGACCATGTATAATATTCATGAATGCAGATTTGTATCAACATTTACAATAATATTATCATATGATAATGAAGTAAACACAGGACATGCCCATCTTTAAATCATAATAATAGTAATTCAATTCAGCTGGTTAGTGAAAACATTCTGGAAAATTCTACACTCTACTTTCTATAATTGAACACTGTAACAGGGGTTAAAAAATACCCACTTGTGCAATATCAACAGATGCAATGAATAGTGGATGTAAACATTAAGAAGTTTTGTTTTAATAAATTATTTACCCCAATAACCTGATCTCCTTGTAATATTTGTATATGATGAGCTTGTTGTAACTGTGATATCTGTTCAGGTGTAGCATGTAATATCTGTATTTCACCTTGACCTAAACCATCGTGCATAGAGACTGCCTGTTGAATATCAACATCACCCTGTTAACCAAAAAAATAATATTTAACACAGGAAAAAACACTTAAAGATACAATCCCAACAAAAACATTTATTTGGTAGTTATTTCCAATAAAAGTATTCCAATTGAGGTATATATGGAAAGTAGAGACTCCCAGTCTTACTAGAAAAATAACAGATTCCCTGAAAAAAACACCCATGAGGAGCGCACAAGACACTAATGTTAGGGTGTTGATCTAATGGCCAACAGTTGTGCGAACGATTCTGCGATTAGACGATAATCCAGGAATTTACTTAGGCTTCGACAGTTGACTAATGTTAATACAAACGAGCAGCTAAAAATGGATTCTCCCTCATCAATCAAAACACGTGATAAACAAGGCTGATAAAAAATAGATTCTTGCGTAAGTAACTTCAAGTACATCTGTTTCACAAGTGTTTTAACAGTATGCAAATAATAATAATTACGATACAATTAATAACAAGCCAACGAGCAGATACAAACGAGCAGCTAAAAATGGATTCTCCCTCAATCAAAACACGTGATAAACAAGGCTGATAAAAATAGATTCTTGCGTAAGTAACTTCAAGTACATCTGTTTCACAAGTGTTTTAACAGTATGCAAATAATAATAATTACGATACAATAATAGTAATAACAAGCCAACGGTAAGGCTGATGTCCCCCACCGAAATCCCAATTTTTAAATTTTTTTTCAAAAGTATCAAGCAATCAAACTGATTATCAATTATACGCAAGTTTCATCACTCTCTATCAGATAGAATCAATTATCTTGACGCAAAGCATCGACCAATGAAATTGCTTAGCTCTGCTTAGCTTTGGCTCGAAATGTTAATCACTGAACTCAAGACATTCACCTAATGAACATCTACATCAAGTTTAACTATTCTACCTCAATTAAAAGTCGTCATGACCAATCAAATTGCTTATCAGTCCTTATCCTCAGCAGAAAATTTTCATCATAGAACTTTAGTCAAGATAATTATATAATAAATCTACACTCGGAGTTTCATCACTCTCACTTAATTAAAACCAACGTTATCGTGCTTCAAAGCATCAACCAATCAAGATTGCTTATCTCTGCTTAACGTAAGCAGAGAATGTTTATCATCGAACTCCATCAAGTCATTAACCTAATGAACGCCTATATCAAGTTTGAACATTCTCGAACAATCAAATTGCTTATCACTCTGTTTACCTTGAGCAGAAAATGCTCATTATCGAATTTAGTCAAGGTATTGATGTGATAAAACTATACATTAAATTTCATCACTCACTTAATTAGAACTAAAGTTATCGTGTCCGAAAGCATCAACCAATCAAATTGCTTATCTCTGCTTACCCTAAGCAGAAAATGCTCATCTTCGAACTCCATCAAAGCATTGACCTAATACACAAATATGCCAAGTTTGAACGTTCTAGCTCAATTAGAAGTAGGGTCATTGTGTTCCAAAGTCTCGGCCAATCAAATTGCTTATCGCTCTGCTTACCCTGAGCAGAAAATGCTCATTATTGAACTTAGTCAAGGTATTGATGTAATGAAACTATAAACAAAATTCCATCACTCACTCAATTAAAACTAAAGTTATCGTGTCCCAAATCATCAACCAATCAAATTGCTTATCTCTGTTTACCCTAAGCAGAAAATGCTCATCTTCGAACTCCATCAAGGCATTGACTGGACCGACGGACGGACAGACAAACAGTGTGCTCATGCCGCAGATTAAAACAAAAACAACTTTTATCATTACCTGATGAATGTGTAATTCTGAGACGGAATCATCATGACTTAAAGAATCTTCATCGCTATAACCTTGATCTTGAGAATTTATAGTTATATGTTCATTACCAACTGTGGATGTTCCTGCTTTACCTCGAAAAGCCTTCACTGTTAAAGGCTGGCCTCTCTGACGACGACGGAATGCAGTACGACATTTTGAATCAATATTCTGTTTAATTCTATGCCAATCACCTTCTGTGACATTAAAACGGTGGATAAGATGACCTAAAATAAGAAAACAGTTATATCTAAAATACCTGTCTAATGGGTAAATTTCTCAGACCTTGATTTCATTCCAGTCCAGATAGAAACAGGGTTTAACATCCCCACAACACAAACTAGGTCAATTTGTTTTTTTTTTCAATAATTAGCAAATTATTACTTACATCTAATACCATATATCATTAGAGGATCAAGTTGTTTTTTACCATGACGACCCATACCAGACAAATTAGAGTTAGCTTGTGTATCTCGATCAAATAAATAATCTAATAATGTCAAGGCCATTTTCTCTGATGTACGACAATTGGAATGGATGTGAAGTAGATCACTACAACAAAAGAAAAAAGCCAACAGTAAAGCTGATGTCCCCATGCCTCAATCCCAAAATATAGATGACACATATTAATAAGCTTGTTAATTAAAGTTAGCTTGTGCATCTTGATCAAATAAATAATCTAATAATTTCAATGCCATTTTCTCTGATATACGACAATTGGAGTGAATGCGAAGTAGATCACTAGAACAAAAGAAACAACCCAACAGTGAAGCTGATGTCTCAATCCCAAAATAAATAGATAACAGATATTGTAACATGGATGGGAAATCTTCCTTTGTTCTTTTCGTTGAATAAGCAGATTGTTTTCCCTCTAGTAGATTAGGTGGAGCTTACCGTGCAATAACTAGACATGTTCAATGTTACTGCACTCTTTTGCTGGTTTACACTAGTTTTAGTGGAAATCATATAGAAAAGTGGGGTGGGGTTTCTGTGCAATAACAACAAGCATGTTGAGCAGGTGTCGATGTTATAGCCTACGGCCTCGATGTTTAAACCTGTTAACTCATGAAAGTCGTGCTATAAATATAACTTAATTAATTATACATTTATCTTTTTGTGAAGCATCAAGCAGTCAAACTGCTTATTTATACCTCTATGCTCGTGATCCAACTTAGTCAAGTTTTTTTTGTAGGGAAACTATACACCAAAATTCTTCGTCCTTCCTCAACTAGTTATCATATGTTGCTTAGCAGAAAATGTTAATCATCTAACTTGCCTAATGAACATCTACAATTGCTGATTACTAGATAGCCCAAGCAGAAACTGAAAATTCTCTTCATAGTACTTTTAGTCAAGTACCAATTTTCACCCCTCCAACTCAATTAGTTTAGAATCCAAGTTATTGTGTTCTAGAGCCTTAACCAATCAAATTGTTTATATCCACTTAGCCTTAGTGGAAAATACTGATCCTCATAATCAGGCAAGGTATTGACCCAATAAACACCTACTCTAAGTTTGAACATTCTAGCTAAATTAGAAGTAGAGTTCTTGTATCTCAATAAGTGTGATGGGCAGACAGACAGTCAGAAAGCTGACCTAGTTTAATAGTCCCACACTTTCTATGAAAGAGAATACATCAAGGGAAATAACTCCACAAAAGATCCCTATATGAACACACTTGTCTGCTAATTTCTAAAACTAGGAATTCAGCAAAAAAGCTTTCAAAAACAAAATACAAAAATCAGTTTGTTTTCAAACTGCTGACATAGAGTTTAATCACAATCAACAACTACACCGACAGTTACAGTTTCACTGTACATGTAAATAAAGGGGGGGGGGGCAGAGAGCGGTTGAGCTGTTGGTGAGGTGGGAGACCTACCTTTTACTTATTGGTACTCTTACGCGCATTTCAGGATTATTTTCATCACCTAACCAACAACCATTAGGATAGTCACCTTCAATAATAAACATTTTGAACCATTACATCCGTGTAGGATAAAGCATGAGACCGAGATTATGCTGGGGAATAAAAGACTGAAGAAAATAACCTGAGAAGAAGAAAAACCAAGACCGGCAGATCGAGGTATTTCTGTCGAAGGTTTTTTTCTTAAGTCTTTTTTCCCCAGCATAACCGAAGTCGAAGACTTTATATCTTGCATATAAACCGTCTATGTTTACATGTAGGAAAAATGAGAATATCCAAGAATTCCTGTATTAAAAACCTCATATCATGTTTTCTTATGGAAAATAAAACCTATCGTGGAAGAATAACCTGTTACAGGTTTAAAGAAAAACTTTCCAAAGAATAACCCCAAATTCCCCTGTATATATCCACAGCCGTCCCAGACTTTCAGACTGCAAGTTATTCGAGGCATAAAATATACCTTTAAGATCAAAGAGATTTACCGTTATAGGTTTATAATTAGTTTAAGTTTTAGTGAAAATTCACACAAATGAAGCAATGGAGAAACACACACCAATTTTATGGCACGCAGAACAGTCTTTATCACGACATCTAGTACCTAGGCAACATAAACTATTCTCTTTTGAAATTCCATTCTAAATGAAGAATCTCCTTTAGATGAAAATTAAATTCTTACTTAGGACTGTTTTTTTTCAAGCGAAAGTATTTACTTATACTTACTTTCAGAGTTAAGAGTTATAAGTGTGACATTCGGTCCTAAACTTTGTACATTATCTGTGTTGGTTACAGTTTCTGAAATAACTTCTGAAAAATAATGATATTAAATTATATTTCGACAATTATCAGGTGGATGATGGCCAAGATATACATTCTAAACTTGCCATTTACTAAGACTCGATGAAAAAACATTGTACTCATTAACCCCACCGTACTACAATTGTTAACGTATACTATGATATTGAAAATTAAATGTGTATTTAATTTGCACCATCTAATGTATCATTTGTTCTATGTCTGTTTGATTTTGTTGCACAGTTATCCTGCAATGTCTTAAAGATACATTATGTAAGATTAATATGTAGATAAAGAGCTGGCTGTTTTTTGCTATATTTAGTTCAAAAATTTCATTCAAATTACTTTATTCTGAGCGAAGTGATGAGTGTTTGAAGATGCAATGTAGATTATCCATTTTTGTTCCATAATATTTATATCTCATGCAATAAGCAGATTTAGCTCTTACATAATGCACCTTTAAGACTGAGCTCATATAACTTGTGAGGTAACTGTTTAAATTGATTGTTAACAGAAGAACTGACTGACAGAAATAATGATTAGACTTAAGACCTTTGTCATGTTATCAAGTGCTAAATACATACCTGCCGGTGCTTTGCCATTTTGTGGTAACCCAACAATAACAGCACTGAAAAAGAAAACCTTAGTTAAAACAATGTCTCCTAAGGTAATTCAATTAATAATATGTTTCTTGCTTCAGTCACCATCATAAATACACAAGCATGTGTTATAGTTTTAGTTTGCAGCCACGGAAAGGTCAGAAGCCTAGTTTTGCAGAAAAAAATTTAAAACCAAGTCGACACAACTTCAATGACAATGAAAAATATGAAAATAGTATATTTAAATGGACACATTTTATGAAATACAGCATGAAGCACCATTTTTTGATGATTAATGAGGAGGATTCAAGATATGGTTTTTGTATATGTAACTATTTACTATAGTGCTATAACCATCAATATCTTTTAGATATTTTTTTTTTTCAGTGTAGGGCACCCTATCAAAGTGTGTTGCGAAGCCCTTCACCACAATATAAAACAAAAACAATTAACATGAACTATATGATATACCATAGCTTATAAGCTTACCCTTTTCTGATATTATGATAATTGGAGTTAGTAGTTTTATTTTGGGTATCATTCATTAACTGATCAACTCTGTTCTGTAAATATTTTGTTTTTTGATCTAATGAATCAAGTTTTTTCTCAATACCATCTAATCTGAGACATATAGCTCTATTAATGTTGAACAATACAATCTGTAATAAAAAATACCAAAACAATAAGTATATTTTCATTTCAATACTCACAGTAGTAAATTTTTAGTAAATGAAAAGTTCAAGTTGTATCTAAAATAACATCCCTTTCTTTTGTGATCTGACAAGTATTTTATCATTCCTTACCTTAAGGGACTGGTCCATGTCGATTTCATTCTCGGGCTCATTTTCAATTTTAAATCTTTTAATTGGCGGCTCACCACTACCATCAGCTAAAAATCAAGAAAAGCTTTTAGTACAATCTAAGGGTCCCACTAATCACAGATGAGAGTTAATTTGTCAATAGCAGATGAGAGTTAATTTGTCAATAGCAGCGTCCAAAGTAATTGGCAATTAGAATCAAAGTTATCACGATCCAAAGTCCCAACCTTTCACATTGTTTATCAATGCTCATCAGCCTCAGTGGAAAATGCTTGTACCCAAACTCAGTCAAGGTATTCATGTTTAAACAGTAAACCTCCACCAATTCCGAACATTCTAAATCAATTAGAAAAAAAGAGTTATTGTGTTCTAAAGTTTGACCAATTAAAATTAGGTCTCTACTTTAAACCCCAGCAGAAAATGCTCATTATCAAACTTAGTCAAGGTATTGATGTAATGAAACTACATTAAATCCCACTCACTTAATTAGAATTAAAGTTATTCTGTCCCTTAGCATCGACCAACAAAATTGCTACACCAAGTTTGAACATTCAAGCTCAATTAGAAGCAGAGTAGGCTAATTGTGTCCAAAAAAAGTATCATGGTCAGAAAGACAGACAAACCCATTTTAATAGTCCCAAACTTTCTTCGAAAAGGGGATGGGGGGTAAAAATAAGAAAACAAGTCAACAGTGAGGCTGATGTCCCCCAAAATAAATAGATGACACATATTAATTAATTGCACATTATCTTTTTCAAAAGTATCAAGCAATCAAACTGATTATCTATGCTTAGTCTACTAAGCATAACATGTTCACGATCAAACATAGTGAGGTCTTATCAATTTGATTAGAATCAAAGTTTTCTTAATGTTATCCCAAAGTATCGACCAATGAAATTGCTTAGCTCTGCTTAGCTTTAGCTACCTTAATTAAAAGCTGAGTTGTTATTTTCCAAAGTCTTGACCAATTAAATTGCTTATTGCTACTTAGCCTATGCAGAAAATTCTCATCATCGAACTTAGTCAATGATATAATGATTCTATACTCAGAGTTTCATAGCTCTCACTTAATTATAACCAAAATTATCGTGCCCAAAAGCATCAACCAACCAATATAATGAATCTTTACTCAGAGTTTCATCGCTCTCACCCAATTAGAACCAAAGTTATTGTGTTCCAAGGTCTCAACCAATCAAATTGCTGATCTCTGCTTACCCTTAGTGGAAAATGCGCATGATTGAACTCTGTCAAGGTATTCACCTAATAGACATCTTCCCCAATTTTGAACTTTCTACCTCCATTAGAAGGAGAGTTATTGTGTTCCAAAGTCTCGACCAATCAGATTAAAGTCTCTACTTTGCCTAAGCAGAACATGCTCAACATCAAACTTCGTTAAAGTATTGATGTAATGAAACTATAAACGAAGTTTCACCACTATCAATCAGAATTAAAGTTATCAAGCTCCAAAGTTTCGACCAATCAGAGTGCTTACTCGGAGCCGAAAATGCTCTGTATCAAACTTAGTCAAGGTATTAATGTGATGAAACTATACACCAAAATTCATCACTCTCACTTAGTTAGAACTTACTAAGTTATTGTGTCCCAAAGCATCAACCAATCAAATTGCTTATCTCTGCTTACCCTAAGCAGAAAATGCTCATTTTCGAATTCCATCAAGGCATTCACCTAATGAACGTCTACACCAAGCTCTAACATTCTACTTCAATTTGAAGGAGAGTTATTGTGTTCCATAGTCTCGACCAATCAAATTGCTTATCGTTCTTAAACTGAGCAGAAAATGCTCATTATCAAACTTAGTCAAGGTAATGAATCAATGATGTAATAAAACTAGACACCATATTTCATCACTCTCAGTTATTTAGAACTAAAGTTATCATTTTATCATGCCCCAAATCATCAACCAATCAAATTGCTCATCTCTGCTTACACTAAGCAGAAAATGCTCATCTTCGAACTTCATCAAGGCATCCACTTAATAAACACCTACACCAAGTTTGAACATTCTAGCTCAATTATAAGGAAAGTTATTGTTTCCGAAAGAGTGTGACGGAAAGACGGACCCATTTTAATAGTCCTCTGCTTTCACCAAAAGGAGGGGAACAATGAATATTATTCTTCTGAAGTATTGCAGCTTCAATACCTTACCAATATTTATATCGGCATCACTCAATGAATTTCCATCTTCAAACTGACTAACTACATGTGATGATTCTATGGAGACTATTTGTATATTTGGGTTGCCTGCTGTCACAACTGTAGCCTGATTCACATTCATACCACTATCAGCCATTGTTTTATATACTTAACAACCTGAAACAGGATGAAATATTCTTCAAAAAAAAAAGAATGTACTTAGATTGTTAAATCAACTTGTATGACAAATAAATTATTTGTTTATCATATGAGACAAATTATTAAATTTAACTTAATTTAAGTTACAATTTTATGCATACAGTTTGTTTTCTCTAGCTATTTTTTTTATTTTGTTATCCATTGTTTTATGATAATAATGAATATTAAAACAAATGTAGGGTACAAAATAAAATGTCCTTATTAAAAAATGTTTTCTCAAATCTTTTAGTACCCTAAATGGGTAATCATTGCTCTTATTTATGAAGTAGCAAAAAAAAAGCATTCTCACAAATTTAAATATGATAAAAATCAGTAATGAGCTTAAAGGAGCTAATTCGCTAATATTTGGGACCTAGAAATTGACACAAATGGGTCGCAACGAATATAATAATGTAATATAAAGTATTTCAACTGATTTACATTCATTCGTTTACGTTTTTACTCTAATTTAAGATAGGTTGCCAGGCAACAAAACATACGCCCACAGCAGTTAAATCGTCTGAGCAGTCGACAAGGGTTGTGACATATTTATTCTTTTGTAGGTAATTAGGGAAATTTAATAGACAATTTCATACAGATGACATTATAATTTTCGTCGTTTGAGGATTCACAAGGTTCTAAAAACTAAAACAAGGGCCGTAACACTGGAAGTAATCTACAGAAATTGTTGAAATTCGACAGGCTTTTTCGTTTTACTAATTCAAATAATGCATATAAATTTCATAAAGATCGAATGATAAGTTCAGCAAAGTAAATCAAGGGCCATAACTGTAGACGTAATTGACGGAAATTGCTGACATTCAATAGGCTTCTTCATTTTACTAATTTAAATGATGCATATGAATTTCATACAGATTACGTGATAACTTTTGTCGTTCAAGCATTCACAAGATTCAACAAAGTTAAACAAGGGTCATAACTCTAGATGTAATTAACTAATTTTACTAATTTAAACGATACATATAAATTTCATACAGATGGGATAATAACTTTTGTCGTTAGAGCATTCACAAGGTATAACAAAGTGAAACAAGGGCCATAACTCATGGCGTAATAAACGGAAATTGCTGAAATTCAATAGGCTTCTTCATTTCACTAATTTAAATGATGCATATCAATTTCAAACAGATCGGATGATAACTGTTGTAATTAGAGCGTTCACAAGATACAACAAAGTGAAACAAGGGCTATAACTCTAGATGTAATTAACGGAAATTGCTGAAATTCAATAGGATTCTTTGTTTTACTAATTTAAATGATGTACAGATCAGTTGATAACTTTTGTCGTTAAGAGCGTTCACAAGGTGCAACAAAGTGAAACAAGGGCCATAACTCCAGAAGAAATTAACAGAAATTATTGAAATTAAATAGGCTCTTCATCTCACTAATGCAAACAACATATATCAATTTCAAAACAATCAGATAATAAATTTAGTCTGTAAAGTGTTCACAAGAAATTGTGGACGATGAACGGACAGGGGCAACGGCAATATACAACCATATTTCCATGTGGGCGTATAAAAATTAGTTATGTTCGGCGAAATACGCCAGAAGTCTCAATCGAATGGCAATCTCTAACGTCTGGTTATTTCAGTCTACATAGTATTTATCGCGCATGCTCTCCAGATAAGAATATGCTGTCACCGTTTGACATGACTTGTGGAATATGTCTAGCCCGTTCTTTGAGTCCCTTGTTAGAAATGGGACTGAAACGCATTATGGTACACAATTTGTGTACCAATGGTAAAATGTTTATTTTGTCTTAAATATTGGACATCGGAAGACCATCTTTTAATGGCAAGATCACAACATCAATGTTGATTTAAATTGACAAATAATTTGTGCTTTCAATGTCGAAGACTTTGGATGATATTGAGTTAGAGACTTAGCTACTTAAAACATACATTATGCAAGAGCTAAATCCACCTACTGCAGGTTGGGCAATATACTGTTTTTTCGGTATATTGTGATAAAATCATCAGCGATTTTTATCATATTGGATTTATTTAAAAATATCGAAAAACCGGTTTATGTTGACAACTAAAATTATTGCAATATGATAATTATCGTGTCCCAATATTGACGATAATACTTCTTAAGATACGCCTATAAATTATCACAATAACATGGTTTATCATGATATTTGCTAAATTATCATCACAATATTTTTTTTTTATTATCGCCCAACCCTATCTGAAATGTTATGAAAAGACCTTAATCAACTCTCGATGTCATCTTATGTGTCGGATGTTCACTGGATTTAATTCAAAAATGGATAATCAAGACTATGTTTTTATCGTACCGACTTTAGTTATGACTTATGATGATCGAGGCTAGGCCTAAACTTCAAACGCTAATATATCAATTCAGAGTGGAGCAATTTGAATGAAATTTTCAGCTATTCCCTTTACATTAACTAGTTTTAAACTATTATAGTGAGAACTACCAGCTCTTTATCTAATCTCCCATAATGTATCTTTAACATACATTATGCAAGAGCTAAATCTGCCTATTGCAGGTCTTTTTTTTAGGCTTGAAATGTTATCTAAGACATTACTTATCCAGACCATAATCAACTCTCGATGCAATCGCTAGCCTGCAATATTTAGTGGATTGGAATATATAGTTTGACAAATAATTAAACGTAGAAAGAGAGAGATAGAAAAGTGCTTTAACTTCCACTCGACACAAACCAGGTCATTTCGAGACTAACACATGGTTCAATTTTTTATTTCAATAATTCACTTGTACGTAGGGGTCTTTAGCAGTGGGATGAAACCGGAGGACCCGGAGAAACCCCACAAGTACAACCGGGGAATCGAAACCCCGCCAGTTGACTCTATGACAGAGCTTTAAAGGGCCAATCCCAATAATATTTTGGAGAATAAAACTGCTTATTTTTTTGTTAAAACCCCTTAATAGCCCGTGACTAGGGGCCGAGCAACTAATTCAATATTTGTGATCTGGAAATGGAGATCGGTGTCCCAAGCTGTATTATGCGGTGTCTGGATAAAACCAGACTTTTATTTTATAAAAACAATGTATAGGTGAAATTTACCTTTCGCTATCCAGTACGGCACATGGGTCATTCACTGTATAGACCTCGAAAGGAACAGCGATAGATTATCGGGTCACCCAACGAAAAAATTGACCAGAAATCTTAAAAGGGTTACGTGTGCAGATAAGCATTTTTGACGTTAACGTCCAAACAACTCAATATTTTGAGCTGAAATTTTGAGGCAGGGTAAATACACCATTCCTCAATATTTTGGCGCTTAAATTTCATACAAACTCTGACTTTTGTTTTTGAGACTCTGTTCAAATCGGGATAGTCCCTTTAAATTACGATTCAGCGTGCACACACTAACCATTCGGCTATCCACCACCCCACCCCCCAATTAAACATAGAAATGGTTAATCAAGACTTGTTCAAATAATTTAGATTCATAAATCTAACACCTACAATTTGCATAGCATTAATTACAAATCATGATGTCCATTTACTTTACTCCTACTTTAAACATAAGCTTACAAATCATGACATATGACAATTATTAATCACATTTTCTTGTATTTTTATATTTACTTCCCATTAAACTCACTTTAAAAAATTTCTTTAAAATCATCTGTTAGCTTTTGTAGTTTTGGTGTCTTTTTCACACCAAAGCGGCTTTTTTTTTTTAAAGAAGCAAAATTTCTGTGGGTGAACTATTCAGAAGAACTGTTTTGTAATGAAATGAAATGAAATGAAATGGAGTTTAACGTCCTACTGTTCTGCTCCTAACCTGGGCTAATGAAGACGAGCATACGCCATACAGTGTGCTATGAGGGAAATTTTGCCCGGGCAGCGGCACTACGGCCTACTCTTATATCGAATTCCAACTGCCAAGGGATCTTTTACATGCACGCCAATGTGTACATGGGACCTCGTTTTTTCGTCCCATCCGAACGACTAGACAGCTTTCCTTGTCAGCCCCTCCGTCCTGCATCACTGACAAGGGAGAACCACGCCGGAAAATCTGGATGAACTTTCTCGGCCAATGCAGGGATCGAACACCCGACCTCCAGGCTAGCGAGCTAGCGTCTTACCCACTTAGCCACGTGATCCTCGAACTGTTTTGTATGTTGCTGATTAGGCAAATAAAATATATACTACTATGTATATGTTTGTATGTCACACACTAGGCCTGCCTATAGCCTATTAAATAATATAATTAAATATAAATTATAAATATAAAATAAAATTTGACTAAGCAGCTAAGGCAATTAAGACAGTACTAGCCTAGTAGTAAAATTGTGATTTGTAATCCATGGTGTTGTTGGATATATCATTATTTTCATTCTTTATCGTGGTGCACCAGTAGTATTGCATAGATCTCGTCATAGGAAAGGAACCCATGTGACAATGCCAGTGTGACTGCATCGGGTTCTAGCACTAGTACTAGTAGGCTAGCAGTGAGGTACCGTGCGTAGCAGACGAAATTTCTGACCAAAATTATACTTGGTAACTGCACGGCCCAAAATTATTAGTCGACACATGAGAACGCGCCCCGGTTATCTAAAAATGGACAAATTTCATGTTAATCCTAAAATCTTGATAATTTTCATTGTCTTTGACAGATATTAATAACTAAGAGCCTACTCTTGGTGTTTACATTGCCTATTTACCTCAAAAACTCGCAAATTTACACGAGATCCCGTCAAATTTCTCGCAGAACGATAATGGCGTCCAAAACGGTAAAGTGCGAGAATGGAAAAGATTGCTCGAGATGGGCTGTTTGAACAATTGATAGTCCTCCCCGTTAGTGTTACACTGCAAGGTTTGAAAATAATTATATTTTTTTAAAACCAAATCTGATTAGATTTTCTTCCAAATTCCACTAAAATTGTTTTAACAGACATATTGCAATTGAAGGAAACTGTGGTGTTTATAATATATTTGGTTATGGAATGTACAAACGATTTACGAGGGAGGGATAATGGGCATGTAAATAGCTTCAAGCTCTTCGGCTGTGCACTTCAATGTTCGTCCAATGAAAACGGGCAAACGTAATCGGTATGATCTGTAAAGTGTAATAATAATATGGACCTGATCAGCGTGAGTTGGTTGGTTGCGAATTGCTCACGCATGTTTAAGCCCGGCAAATTCATGCGTTTAAATTTAATGTAAACAAATTCCTCTGAGCAAGTTTTTTTTTTTTTTTAAAAAAGCACCCCTGGCCAACTAATTAATCATACTATCAACTAACATGTAAAAAGCGTTGATAAGATAAGATAAGATTTTATTGCATCGAAACATCCATTTAGGACAGCATACAATATAAACATGTACATAAAATTATAACAATATGAGTATGACAATTATAACACAAGACACGCAGTATTGCATCGAAACCACCCTTGAGGACAACATAGGGCCTACAATATACGAAATATTAAGTACAGGTGCATCGGATTAACCTCACTTGAGGACACCATGTATACAAAATATGAAATACAGGTGCAAAAAATTGGACGGATACAAAAATATGGACGGACATAACTTCAGAGCACTCATAAATAAACAGTATGAAACCTGCATATGTAGCACTATCGTCGTTGCGACATTGTTTTTAAATTTATAGACAAGGAATAGAGAAATAAGATGGGTTAAACAACATTTTTTATCTTTACAAATTATTCTCTATTGTCAGTATATTAAGGTATGAGTTTATTTAAAACGCAAATTAACTGTTTATGGTTTATGAAATAGCGTGAGAATAACAGGAAAGAGGGTCTGAGTTCAAGGATAGATTGTGTCGAGAAACATGTGACGGAAAATTACGATTGCATCATTTAGCTTGTTTGACCAATCTCTATACTTATTTACATGATATTTGACCAATTAGATAATTGAACGTCCAAAACCCACAGCTACAAAACTATCATACTTGTGAGAATTCGTTAGACTTCCATTAGATTCCAGAGAGAGACCATCTGAGTTCTTAGACAGCCGCGAGGCTGGCCAGGGTTAAGAAATGGTTTTAGCTAGTATTGTAATTTGTGCTATGCTTGTATACCTGTATTCAGCTATATATATATATAAAATGTAGAAGCAAACTGTTGCATTGTTATTCCTGGTAAGACAAACGTCTTAAGAAACTGTAAGAAGTAAATACACAACGTGAAGCAAAAGTAAAGACAGCTAGAGACAAATTCTAGACGATCACAAGGCTACAGAAATATGTAGTAAGAAAAGATGCATGGGTCTACGTAGGATGTGGCGACCGGTTTCCTGGTCCGCTCTCCACGTCAGACAAAAGACCTATGGTGCTACACATATGCAACAAAACGTACAAGGTATTAAATCGCATAACTCGACAGTATAAGACCCACATACAGGGTACATAATATTAAAATAAAGAACAAAGCGTGCGAACATAAAAGAAAAGAAAATATCATGCATATTTAACAGTTCAGATGTCTCTCCTAAGAAAAGAGAAGTAGACAAAGGCTGCGACACTTGTGGCTATAATACTCGGTGGGTCGAATAGATTTTCAAATGAAAAGGTTAGACCAGTCTTGTCAAGAGTTTGATATATATATTGTTTTCTTAAATCTTCATATTTTTGGCATTCCATAAGAAAATGTTGTTCAGATTCAATTTTGCTTGCATTGCATTTTTTACAGAAGCGATCCCGGAGTGGTATCTTAAGATATCTACCCCTTTCAATGGCAAGCTGGTGAGTACTTAATCGTAGGGTAGACATCGCAATTTTGAACTTCTTATTATTAACAACCTCTAGATATTTTGGAGTGTTATTGAATTTCTTTTTGAAAATTCCGAAGGTTCTGAGTTTATGGTTCGGCCCGCAAGATTCAGCAAGGAGATCGTTAAACTTACTTCCTATTGAACTTTTAATATTCTGTCTCGAAATTGTTGTTGGAGAAATGTCATAATTATTTTTATACGCCCACATTTTCATGTGGACGTATTATGCCGTCGGCCCTGTCCGTCCGGTCTGACAGATATTAATATATACTCTTCAAAAAAAGTAGGGGATATTCAGAAACAATACAAAACTGCGGAAATGCACTGCTGTTTTTATTAAAGGTAACCAGTGTGTGTTAATAACGGGTTAATTGCCTAACATGAACATAAACAGTTCATATTCGCGGCTTATCTGACGGCCCCATTTCACTCGCAATGTGAAAATGGACGTTTTTGATTTTTGTCTTAATAATGAGTAGGCTAGGCCTAATTGCTCCACCAATCCCAAACATTCAGCTATAATTCGTCGTTGCATGCTCCTAATCAACGGTCCAATCACGATTTGGGGCAATCTGACCCACTCCCCTTGCAGTGCTACGGCCAATTCTTGCAGTGTTGTCGGTTGACGTTGACGAACACGTCTCCCGATACACACTAAAGCAAAGATACGCTAAACAGTAAATCTTATGCAAGAACCGATAGGAAAGCAAACATGGATAGGATAAACCAGCACGCGGCAGTTTTCATCAACCCTTCCTTGAAGTGTCAAATTTGACAGTGAACCCCTCCTAAGTGTATGGCGCAAATTGCGTGTCGCATGTGCTGATCAGTGGAGCTGTTGGGGCGATAGGCCTTAAGCCCTTCATCCCTGAACATACCCTGAAAGCATGTCAAGTGTCCATGACTATTTATCATATCACAACCTGCATAGGTATTTGCTTTTCAATATCCCCTACATAGTACATACAGTAGGCTACGCCTTTATCGGCGCTCGACAGGGCGCCCGACTTCGCCGGCCGCGACAGGAATTTCGGGCATTTCATTTCTGCCCCTCACCCCAACTCCCTAAAGCTGATCGGACCCGTACGTACGCCTATGATTGTGGCAGCTCTCTGTGTACAAATAAACCTGGTAAATCTCAAATCTGTATGATTCGTTTTTGCCGCCAAAAAAGACAGCGGTTGCGGTGAAGCTTAAATTTAGTCTCGATCTATAGGTCGCAAACATCCAACGGATGCTATAATAGTTAGCACTCCCCCTGAACATTATGGAAGTGCTCCCCCAAAGCAACATTGAGATCCGGCAATTGAATGCAATCCTGAATGCGCATATATATCGATATGATCTAAAACTAAATGAAACTTAAGTAAAGACTACGATTTAATATAGTCTATTTACTTAAATCATTAAGTATTCCATGAAGAAGTAATATTATATGTTGCAACAGCTAAAAACTCTTTCGCTGAGGAAGGAGTGAATTTTGTGAATATTATGAATTATGTATTGATATGGATGGTTGCATGTTAATCCTTGCCGGTGATACGATATTAACAATTGTCAGTGGTGTATGTTCCAAGATTATAACAAATGGACACTCATTTCATTTTTATTGGTATTAATATAATAATTATATATCTTCAAATTGAGGGAAATGAAATAAACTGAACCAAAGTGGAACAATTTCCAGGAATAATTTTAGGATACACATATAAATTGGTATAAAGAAATAATAATAGAAATAATTATATCTATTAAATAAGTTTTCCAATCTGCAATTATGCAAGTACCATATCCAGATGGGAACTTAATTTTATTAGTTATGCTGGTCTTAAAAGTGGTGTTAGCAGACGATATGCCTAAAGTGTTAGTGTGGGGCCCAGGTCTACATTCAAGAATTGTCTTACCAGTTCGGTATTTCTTTATTCAAGTTCAGAATAAATATGGAGAAAAGTGAGTAAATCTTAAATTCTTCAGGATCATATGAGTATGATATTATATAATAAAAACCAATTGTTATCCACCCACACACCCTGAACTTAGACTTTTATTTATCAAATACTGGTATTTTAGTTATAACATGGACCATATAAGGTCCATGGTTATAATTGTTACTGATCCTAATTATTTAATTATTATATCTTATCAAAACAAAAATAAAGAAATCGGATAGATTTTGATTTTTTAAAAAAAAATCTAGTATTTAGTTACATAGATACCTAATCTACATTGTTAATTATAAATAACTTAAACATTTAAATAAAGGGAGTAAAAAAAGGTCCGATTACCAGTTTGACATCTTATTCTCCCTTTCTTGATGTTTTCATCCCACCTTTACATTCTCCAAATCGTACAGTATGTATATCTTTATTAAAACTCTTTAAGAAGTAGTTATCATGACTGTGATTTAATTTGCAGTGTTATAGTCTTCTTTTGTTGTGAAATAAATAAACTTTAAATATGACTGTAAATATTTTCTTAAACCATAAATTGTATCATTACTGTAACAAAAAAGGTAATAGAAATGATCATCAAAGGAGAAAAATAATTTCAGGGATTATAAAAGAGGGTCTACTCCTTATATTTTGTCTCAGTGGTTGATGTATTGTGTGACTTTTACTGAAACCATTAAGACTTGGATGAAAATTCACTTGTTAAATTTTTTTTTTCTAGTATAACACAGTCTTTGGGTGAAAAGGCTTTTGACGTAACTTTAGATCAACCAAATGGAAACCGCGTACGAGCTTGGAGACAAGTACTGGATAGGAATGATGGCTCGTACATTATTAGGTTTCGAATGTATGAATCTCACTCAGATTTAAGCATTAACGTTTTATACAATGGAAACCACATTGGAGATTCTCCATACAAGCTCAAAGGTACTGGTATTTCTTTTTTCATAGGCTCTGTTGTTCACACAAACTTCATTATACATGAAACTGCTATATTTCTTTATCATTACATTATCCGACAACATATGCAGGATTGCACAATTGGATTGACACATCTGTATGTTCTTACACATGACAAGCCTATAATACTCTCTAGATCTTCGTATGGCAGATATTTAAATGGATTTTAACGTGATTGCTGTTTAATGATTTAATTTAAAAATGGTGAATCAAATTTTTTAAGCGTGTTTTTTTCCATCTCTGCAAAATCAACTGCATAAAAAAATGTAAAACAACACTTTTTATTAGAAAAGTATCACGTCTTTGTGCTTTATCCTTTATCGTCAGATGGTGGGATGGGATGGGCATGTCGTATTAATTCATAATAAAAATTGACATCAAACAGGGTGTTGGATTTCTCTCTTGTGTATGTATCTAAAATGACAATAGAGACCATGTATTTCTCAAAAAAAAATTAAAAATTCAAGGCCGGGGTGGGTGAGTGGGTACATTGTCTCAGAAACCTGGCAAACCCCCTCCTGCAAAAATTCCTGTATCTGCCTCTGAAAATGTGGGCAACTGCTTGTTTTATGTATTTATTTGCCATAGATTGTACCTTATCAACTGTGATCTATATCTATTATACTAGGTCACGAATTAGCACATCTTGAAGGTGTGGTTTGATTTGGTTGACTTATTTTTCTGGACAAAATACAACCATTTAAGATCATTTAAAAAAGATGGGTCTTTTATGTACTTTAAGTGCATTGAGAAGGGCTTGAAACTTTTAATGTATTTTCGTCCCCGCCTTTCAAAGAAAGCTGGGGACTTTTAAAATGGGTTCCTCTGTCTGTGTCTGTTCAACCTTGGTGGAGGTGTATATTAGGTCAATGTCTTGATGGAGTTCAAAGTGAGCATTTTCTGCTTGGGTAAGCAGAGATGTGCAATTTGATTGGTTGATGCTTTAGGACACGATAACTTTAGTTCTAATTAAGTGAGAGCGATGAAACGTGGTGTATAGTTTCATTACATCATTACCTTGACTAAGTTCGATAATGAGCATTTTCTGCTCTGGGTAAGCAGAGCGATAAGCAATTTGATTGACCAAGACTTTGGAACACAATAACTCTCCTTCTAATTGATAGAATGTTCAAACTTGGTGTAGGCAAGTGAGAGTGATGAAACTCCGAGTATAGATTCACTTTATCATTACCTTGACTAAGTTCGATGATGAGAATTTTCTGCTTAGGCAAAGGAGCGATAAGCAATTTGATTGGACAAGACTTTGGAACATAACAACTCTGCTTTTAATTCAGGTAGAATGTTTAAACTTAATGTTCATTAGGTGAATGTCTTGACTGAGATCAATGATTAACATTTCAAGCTGAAAGCAATTTCATTAGTTGATGCTTTAGGACAAGATAACTTTGATTCTATCTGATAGATAATGATGAAACTTAGCTCTGTATAGATGATAATCAGTTTGATTGCTCGATACTTTTGAAGAAAATAAATGTGCGATAAATTAATATGTGTCATCTGTTTATTTTTGGATTTCAGCAGGGGACATCAGCCTCACTGTTGGCTTGTTAAAAATAAAAGTAGGCCTACATGTAATATGTAAATGAACAGCGGGAAGGGCAAATATTATAATATTAATATGTACCTTTATAAATACCGTGCTCAGTTCCATTCTAGTCTTTTCTTCTCGATCCATCAAACCTTTTGGAACACAAAAACTTTGCTTCTAATTGAATTGTCAGTGCTTTGGAACACGATAACTTATATTCTAATAGGGTGAAAGTGATGAAACTTGACTACATGTACATGTAAACATACAATCTGTTTCACAGAGGTAATGCGAAAGCCTTCTTCTAATTCTGTGTAAGATGACTGACCTTTATAAGTTTGCATGCATTCAATGTGTGACATCACATAACACTGCCTCGATAGCCTGTACACTGTTTACATAGGACATAGTAATGTAAACTGGTCCAGGCAGAATGGTGCCTTTTACACCTTCTCATTCTATTTTATGTACCCATAAAGTGTAAATTTTACACTAAACAGGAAATATTTTTTATCCAGATACACTTCAACTGCAAACACGTTTAATTTTTTTTCTTATACCGGTAATTCAAAAAATGTTATAGAATTTAATTTGCACATTGTGAGCTAATTTACTTGCACCCATGTCATCGCTTTCAATGATTGTAGCGGCCAAGCAAATATTCACTGCTGATCAGTTTGGTAAACGCAATAAGTTATTTTGCCTTTGACTAAGTAGAGATAAGCAATTTGATTAGTGAGACTTTGGTGTAAATGTTCATTAGGTGAATATCTTGCTGATTTCGATGATCAGCATTTCCCGCTTAGGCTAAGCAGGGATATGCAATTTCATTTGTCAATGCTTTGGAACATGTTAGCTCTGATTCTAATTGAGTGAGAGTATTGAAACTTGGTGTATAGTATTTACATCAATATCTTAACTAAGCAATAGGTGGTAAGCAATATTGTTGCTCGATGGTTTGTTTCATTTACCTGGAATAAAATTTTTATATTTTTGCAGGAATGACATATCATGAAAAGTGTTATTGTCCAATTAAATCTACGAAGAATTGGCTGAAAGATTTAAAATGTGAAGAAAATTATCATCAAATAGATGAAGATCTTTCACAATTTAATCAAATTGATATGTCACAAGTTTCTAAAGCAGCAGTATCAAGATATAGCAATGCTGGTCAACACAGTTTGTGTCATTATAAAATTATTAATAATCAGGTATCATATTTCCACTAAGTAATATTCTAAGAGGAACAGATATAATAGTTTCATTGCATTGTCTCAGAGTTTTAGACCTACTCAAAAAACAACTTTGTTTACGGTTACCCAATCGACCAACTCTATTTTTTTTAAAGCCAAAATCGCAGACCCAAAACTTTTTTCATGTGGATTTGGATTACATAATCACGAGAATCTTCAGAGTACCTGAATCAGCCTGAATCAGCCTAAATCGCATTAAGAGATTTTTTTTGAGAACCTTTAGTCCAACACCGATTCAAATGGATTAAACTGAGAACCTAAACAAGTTAAAAGTGTTTGTATACCTTCTCGCGCTTGGGATAATAATGTGACATGATTTGGATAACTAAGAATGACAGGTTAATTAATGAAAATAAAACAGCTTTTATTTAGCATTTCAAGTGGTTACTTGTTGAAAAGAAAGATATATGTAGGTTATTAAACAATTATTGATTTGTTGGTTTAGTTACTTCTATTCAAACCCCATGAAACAAAAGAAGGATTTTCCAACCGACCCTATTGTTTTGGCCAAATAACCATAAACACAGGTGTTATTTTGGGGGGCCTTATAGGAATTTACTAGGTATTCTGCTTGATTAGAAATTATCCATCTGACTTCTTTAATGACACCCACTTTCTTAATCTACACCTTTGAAATACTTATCAACCATCATATAGATGATTACTCTAATTGTTTTTCACAAGTAATATTAGAAACGAATCTACTGCACAGATATACTTTTCATATTGTTTGTAGGGGAAAAAACACATAATATTTAGGACTAGGTTTTATCTTAATATTTCGGGTAAATTTGGTGGAAAAATGTAAATATATAAGTAAAGCACAGGAGCACTGAAACAGATGTAAGTGACATCTAGAGTAGTCTAAATCAGTCTTGTTGGCATTTAATAGGATTCTGCATATTAGCCGGTAAATAGTTCATTGAAATCACAATATATTTATATATACGAGGGCTGGCTAAAAAGTTCTAAGCCTAAGGATGGATCGGTTGGATTGAAACAAACTTTGAATGAATCATAGACATAATAAAATAAATAAAATGAAATGGGTTTAACATCCTACTGTTCTGCTCCGACTGGACTAATGAAGACGGGCATACAGTGTACTGAGGGTAATTTTTCCTGGACAGCAGCACTACAGCCTACTCTCATATCGAATTCCAACTGCCAAGGATTATTTTATGTAAATGTCATCTCTGATAAATGGGAACCACGCCAGAAAATCCCAATGAACTTTCTCGGCGAATGCAGGGATCTAACATGGGACCACGAGGTTAGCAAGCCAACGTCTTCCTTACTTAGCCACCATGGCTCCCCATAGACATAAGAACTGCAACTGTAGTGTTATTGTCTTCGTACCAGACCATCTTGTGAACCCACTGAAATTGCCAGAAATGGACAAAACTGGCTATAGGGCAGCCATCAAGTACCCCAACACAGATACATGCCGACATGGTCTCCACTTTAGGGAATGATGCCCTTCCTTTTCCACAGTAAAGAAGTGGGCTGTGGAATATAGGTGTGGGCGTCTTTCATGAGAGGGTTGAGCACATTTAGGAATGACAAAAGTTTCTGCAAGATGGGTGCCAAAGCTCTTGACCGGATCAGAAATGGGACAGATTCTTGAAGTGGCTGAAGAAAATTTCTTCCTAACATCATCATTGGCAAAATTGTGTTCACCTTGAAGGGGACTATGTAGAAAAATAAATGGAAACCATGGACTTTGTACAGGTCTTACACAGATAGGCTTAAAACTTTTCAGCCATCCCTCATATTATTTACAGTCAACAATTAGGCATGTATTTGTTTTGTCCAAGATAAACTTTACCTAAGTAGTTATCTCTCAAAACTTATTTTTTGTTAGATCTATCGCAAGACGTATGGAGAACATGTTGGGTTTAAAATGTTTACAGATGCTGTTTTCCTCTCCATTACTCGCAAGGTAAGATTATACACATTGGTAAAATGGAAGTATTTTTATCAATAGACAAGGGCTTTTGAATCAATCAATGACATTTACAGTCTTCTTTTTGACATTCTACCCATCCGTTTTGATACAACCACATTATGTTGTCGCTCCCGTCCGTCTTGTGGATGCTCTAGAGGCTGAAGTTATCATGCCATTGACCTTGATTTTATACACATGTTCATGAGATGAAGAAGCCTATTGAATTTCTACAATTTCCAATAGTTACTGTCAAAGTCATCCCGCTTGATCAGTCTGATTGCACTTTTGCATGCTCTAGAGGCTAGGGTTATAATCTAATTTACTTGATAAGACAAATCATCTTATTGATTTTCAACAATTTCCAAATGGGCTAAAATTCAGCAACTGTTTCAAGTAGGTAAGTTTCAAGTCTTTATCAAGTACATGACTTAAGATAATTTAATAAAAACTGGAGAATATTGTTGAAACAGTTTCCTGATAATGGTATAATCACATGTCATGAATAACATTTTACAAGAATACCATGCTGCTAAATTGATTTCAATATGGAAAATGTTATGTTTATAATAGGTTAAACTTCCTGATGTGGAATTTTTTATAAATTTGGGAGACTGGCCTTTAGTAAAGAAGGGAAAAAAATCTGATCTCCTACCGATATTTTCTTGGTGCGGCTCTGATGATTCCCATGATATAGTAATGCCAACTTATGACATAACAGAAGCTACGTTAGAAATGATGGGAAGGTAAATTCAATTAATATTACTTTATATATATAAAATATTGATTAGCCTCGAAAAAAGTGATGTACTTAATGTTTATATTTTTTTTCTTAAATATTTCAGCCGGATGAAAATAATAAAAAAAGATCCAAAATGTCTAAATGTGGTTGTATATTGTCGTCGCCCCTGTTCGTCGGTCCGGCCTCCACAATTGCTTGTGGACACTCTAGAGGCTAGATTTTAGTGTATTATAACTGTTTCATTACTGAAAAAAATAAAAATATACGACAACTCTTGTTGACTACCTGGACGATTTAGCTGCTGTGGGCGTATGTTTCTTTGCCTGGCAACCTATCTTTATTTGTATATGTTCAATATGAATTATGGAAAAAAAAATGGCACATGTATTATTAAATAATAAAACTGTTATTTAAATAGTTATCTACAGTTTTTTGCTAGATTATATTTTCTTGCATTTTTGAATATACTATGTGACAGGGTCTGTTAAACAATAATTTTTAAAAAACGATTTCAGTGTAAAAATCCACTCACCTATTGAGAATATGATTTGTTAAGATTTTAAAGGAGAAGTTTCAAATATATTTGAGCGAGTAAAGTTGGTTATGCCCTTGAAATCCTAAAAGGTAAATTACAACACCACATTGTCAGGCCCAGTTGTAGAAGGTCTTCGAAATTTGAAGTTAAGAGCTTTTTGAGAAAAGCAAACAATTTGAAGAATAAAATTCAATATGTGTTCTATATCTATGTTCTCTTCACTTTTGTTTGGTTTTCTGTAGAGAGGTTTACTGTTTGTCGTTGAATGGAAAAACAAAATTCTTGTTGGTAATGCCATGGTTTCTCTTTTTCAAGAATTTCCTTAGATATTTTTTCCACTCAAGCAAATTCAGATCCGAAGTGGGAAGATAAGATAGAAAAGGGATTTTGGAGAGGCAGAGATAGCAGACAGGAACGATTAGATCTTGTAATGATGTCGAGGAAAAATCCAGATTTAATAAATGCATCATTGACTAATATGTTCTTCTTCCCCAAAGATGAAGGAAAATATGGCAAAATTGTTAAAGCAATTTCATTTTTTGATTTTTTTAAGGTAAATATGATGGCTGATATCCTATTAAATATTTGGATAACTAGTTGAGCAATCAAGATAACTTACCGGGAGTTAAATGCTCATGTTACTAATCTTCATTTTAGAGATTTTGAATCCTTTGTAAACCACATTATTCTGAATGTTGAATCTATAAGGTATATCAATCCGAAAATTGTTCAATTCCATTCAGAATTACAAAGATGATGAATTGAAACTCTCTCAACATTCAGATCCTCTGCAGATGGTATAAACAAGCCACCACCACCTGTACTTTTTTATTATACGCCCACATTTTCATGTGGACGTATTATGCCGTTGTCCCCTGTCTGTCCGTCCGCAATTTGTTTGTGGACACTTTACAGATCACAATTTTCACTCAATTTTAATGAAACTTAAAATATAGGTCTATCTCCCAAAGATCTCGGTTCCTTTCGATATTGGCATGTATCGGACCAAAACTTCATGGATTATGGCCCCTGATTGTACGAAAAATCACATTTTTATCTTGTGGACACTCTAGAGGTCACAATTTTCATCTGATTTTGATGAAACTTGAAATGCATGTTTATAACCCAAAGATCTTAGTTCCTTTTGATATTTGCGCATATCGGATCATAACTACCTGAATTATGGCCCCTCTATAAGGTCATAATTATTTGATTTTAAAAAAACTGTTGTGGACCCTCTAGAGGTCATAATTTTGATCCGATTTTGATGAAACGTGAAACGCATGTTTATAACCCAAAGATCTGGGTTCCTTTCAATATTCTCGCATATCGGATCGTAACTTCCTGAATTATGGCCCCTGATTGTACGAAAAATCACATTTTTAGCTTGTAGTTCCTCTAGAGGTCAGAATTATTATCCGATTTAAAAAAGCCTTTGAATATATCAGCGTTGCACCGTAATGTCGGTTGAGTTCAAATTTTGTGAAAATTGAACCAAAACTGATGGATAAACTTAAATTCCTGGATTATGGCCTGATTGTTCGAAAAATCGCATTTTTAGCTTATGGACCCGCTAGAAGTCACAATTTGTATTCAATTTTAAAGAACGTTGTAATATATCACAGTTACACATCAATGAAGGTTGAGGTCGAATTTCGTAAAAATCGAACCAAAACTGTCGGACAAAATGGTCGTCGCTCATCACAAATATGGTCTATCAAGGTTGTGGACCCTCTAGAGGTCACAATTTTGATCCAATTTTGATGAAACTTGAAATTCATTTTTATAACCCAAAGATCTTGATTCCTGTGGATATTCGTGCATATCGGATTGTAACATCCTGAATTATGGCCCTTGATTGAACGGAAAATTGCATATCGGATTGTAACATCCTGAATTATGTCCCTTGATTGAACGGAAAATTTCATTTTTAGATTGTGGTCCCTCTAGAGGTCATAATTTGTATTCTATTTTAAAAAAACGTTTAAATATATCACCGATAAGAAGTTTGAGTTTGAATTTCGTGAAATTGTACTTGTGTACAAGTATGTAAAACAAAGGTTGTGGGCTCTCTAGAGGACACAATTTTTGTCCGGTTTTGATGAAACTTAAAATATATCTTTATCCCAAAGATCTCAATCCCTTTTGATATTCCCCCGCATTTCAGACCATAACTTCTTGGATTATGGCCCCTGATTGTACGAAAAATCGTGATGTTTTTTTTTAGCTTGTTCTCTATCCATCTCTTGGAAAATGTGGGCGTATCTTGCCTGGCAGCCGTTGGTTTTGTATGTAGGGTTGTTTTGGGTTTTTTTTTTCAGTATAAATATCAGATAAATATAGATGGAACAGTAGCTGCATATCGACTACCATATTTATTAACTGGAAGTTCGGTGGTGTTTAAACAAGATTCACCATATTATGAGCATTTTTACCATCAATTAAAACCTAATGTGCATTATGTTCCATTTAAAAGAGATTTAAGTGACTTGTTAGAAAAAATAAGATGGGCAAAAGAGAATGATGAAAATGTGAGTAGATTTATTTTTACTTTAGTAATCTGTAATTTTGCATTCATTTCTATGTGCTGGGAATGTAATATGATCAAATATTGTCATCCAATACTCTAGAGGCTAAAGTTACCCTCAGATGACTTTAAACTTATATATAGTTATATACTTTTTATGCAATGAACCCTATTTTTATGGTCGAAAATTTTTTCATGAGCGGAATTTGTAATAATTTCCAATAAGAATTTGCAGAGTTATGACCATTGATCACTATGAAAAATCTTGTGGATGCCGTTGCAGGAAAGGTTAGGAGACGAATAAAGAACCTTTCAACAAATTTTTTCATAGTTACCCCTTTGAGACTAAAATTATTATCCGAATAATTTAAAATTGATAAACACAGAGAAAGCCTATTGAAATATTTGATAAAAGAATTTATTAATTTTTTTAACAAATAAGCTTAGTGATGCATTTGACAACAAAGCCTGTTGATGGTTTAAGATGTCAAAAAAAAGATATGAAGAATCCTATTGAAATTCAGTCATCTGTAAATAGTTATTACGCTCTGATCAATAGCCTATGATGTTTACTATCTACAGATTTCTTCATAATCTACTGTTTATATCACTACCGATAAAATTTCACTTTACGTCAGTAAGTGAGAAAATATGTGTAACAGGGACCACAGGCTTGTTGTAAACAGGTTTAATGACTGACAGACCAAAACATAAGATCACAATCAAAACATGGTGCTCGTCATATATGTATATATATATATATAGAGAGAGAAATGGGGTTTAACATCCACTCGACACAAATTAGGTCATTTCGGGACTAACATATGGTTTAATTATATTTCAATAATTCGCTTGCGCATAGGGGTCTTTAGCAATGGAAGGAAACCAGAGAACCTGGAGAAAACCCATGAGGTTAGACAGGCGACCCTACTCCACAACTGGGGATTCGAAACCACGCCAGTCGACTCAATGACAGACCATATATGTATATAGATACTGCTCAGGCACGCAAGTTATATGACACAATTCACTGGATGCAAGTGTCTATAACACTATACTAATATGCAGACTACTGTACTGGCATAGATTAACTTAAAAAAATAAATGTACATACTTGTCTTTAAGAACACTGTAGAAATGTAACTACATTTAACATTTATTTACCTATGATAATGCTTCCGATGGGCATATCTTCATTTGACTGGCATCGTATGTTTTGTGTTTAAATCACTAGATGGTAAGCTTTTCTATAGGCAAATTCAAAAACAACGAAATTTGATGAACATATTCATTACATACATATTACATACAGTACATAAAAAGTCAATGCCCAGAGAAGTAATTAGTTCACATTTTCAAATCCAGTTATCCAGAGCTGACATATTATGTTTAAACAGAAGATGAATATAACTTTCATGTATCTCTTTTTTCGCAGGTAAAAAATATTGCAAAAAATGCAAATAATTTTGTGAGAGAAAACCTGAATCCCAAAGATATATATTGTTATCATGTGAAGTTATTTGATGTAAGTTAGATATGAAACTTATTGCTTATCCCAAGTAGGGCCTATCATTTAAAGATACTTTATGTAAGAGCTAAATTTGGCTTCAAATGTTATATAAACTATTATTTAAATATTTATTTACATGAAAAGCCCATAATCAACTCTCTGGGCCATCGGATGACTTCGATTTTTAGCAGATTAAAAAGCTGTGACCTTTGTTACAACAATAAACAATCTAAGCTTGTGGACCTTATAGAGGTCACAATTCTTATCCGATTTTGACGAAACTTGAAATATAGGTTTATCCCCAAAAGATCTCAGCTGGTTTCGATATTTGCGCATATCGGACCGTAACTTCATGAATTATGGCCCCTTATTGTACGAAAAATCGCGTTTTTAGCTTGTGGACCCTATAGAGGTCATAATTTTTATCCGATTTAAAAAAAAAGTTTTATTATATCACCGTTACACCCTAAGGAAGGCTGAGTTTTGAAAGTTTATAACCCAAAGATCTTGGTTCCTTTCGATATTTGCGCATATCGGACCGTAACTTCATGAATTATGGCCCATGATTGTACGAAAAATCGCGTTTTTAGCTTGTAGACCCTATAGAGGTCATAATTTTTATCTGATTTAAAAAATCGTATTATTATATCACCGTTACACCCTAAGGACGGCTGAGTTCGAATTTCGTGAAAATCGGCCCAAAATTGACAGACAAAATGGCCACCGTTCGTTCTCAAATAGCGTAAAAATATGGTATATCATGGTTGTGGACCCTATAGAGGTCATAATTTTTATCCGATTTTGTTGAGACTTGAAATGTAAGTTTATAACCCAAAGATCTCGGTTCCTTTCCATATTTGCCCATATTGGACCGTAACTTCCTGAATTATGGCCCCTGATTGTATGAAAAATCACGTTTTTAGCTTGTGGACCCTATAGAGGTCATAATTTTTATCTGATTTAAAAAATCGTATTATTATATCACCGTTACACCCTAAGGATTTTGTGAAAATCGGCCTAAAACTGTCAGACAAAATAGCCGCCGTTCGTTCTCAAATAGCGTAAAAATATGGTATATCAAGGCTGTGGACCCTATAGAGGTCACAATTTTAACCTGATTTTGTTGAAACTTGAAATGTAAGTTTATAACACAAAGATCTTGGTTCCTTGTTATCTAAATCTTCCATAATGCATCTTTAAATGAATTGAATCCAAAGAAGGTACACAAGGAAGGGATTCTATTAATGTGGAAATTTATATTTAAAAATAAATTAGGAATTTTAATGCATTTACCTTTGTAGTTTATATAAATCTTTTATACTATTTATATTCTCCTCAAAAACACACATACAGCTTAAATTTATACAAATGTAATAAAAAAAATAATGGTAATCCAAAATTTTATTATTTTCTATTTGATACAGAAATATTCTAAACTTTTAAGATTCAAACCGAAGTTAGAAGATGGATTTGAATTAGTTCAACAGCCAACAGACATTGATTCCAGCTGTGACTGTAAAAGAAAAGAAAAGGTAGCATAGTTATACCAGTCTTTTTAAAATTTATAAATACTGAGTTATAGTTCCATTCTTACCAAGGGTAGCTTACATATAAATCTGGCCAAGATGATTGGAAACATATCTAAGTAAGACATTTACAAATTTCGTTCCATTGTGCTTCATATTTATAATATTTGGAAATGTCTTCACTTTGTTTTTGGTGCATATGAGCCTTTTAAAATTAAAATTGTAAAATATCTTAATTTTGGTGTTAAAATTTTTTTTTTTTCAGAAGAAGAAAGATGAACTTTGATATGAAATTGTAAATTGTAACGGCTATGCAATCTATATTATTCGCGAGGAAATTTATTGAAATGGTGCTATTCTATAATGAACAAAAACTGCCATACAAAAAAAATCTGATGCGGGAGGGAAGTTTTTATTATTGTGTTTTTCTTTCTGTTTTATATGTTTTTATACGCCCACATGGAAATGTTGACATATATTGCCGTTGCCCCTGTCCGTCCGCAGTCCACAATTTCTTGTGAATGCTCTAATGCCAAAAGTTATCATCCGATTGTTTTAAAATTGATATGCATTATTTAAATTAGTGAAACGAAGAAGCCTATTGAATTTCAGCAATTTCGGAACGCCCTAACATCAAAAGTTATCTGCCGATCTGTATGAAATTTTTATGCATCATTTAAATTAGTAAAAAGAAGAATCCTATTGAATTTCAGCAATTTTCAACCGACAAATGCTGTCATTCGATTTGTATGAAATTTATATACATCATTTAGATTAGTGAAATGAAAAAGTCTGTTTAATTTCAGAAATGGCTCTTCTTTTACTTTGTGAACTTTGTGAATGTTCAATTGATAATAGTTATCATCCGATGTGTATGAAATTTATGTGCATTATTTAAATTAGTAAAACGAAAAAGCCTGTCAAATTTAAACTATTTCTGTAATTTACTTCCAGAGTTAAGGCCCTTGTTTCAGTTTGTAGAACCTTGTGAACCCTCAATTGAATTTCAGCAATTTCTGAACGCCCTAGCATCAAAAGTTATCTGCCGATCTGTATGAAATTTTTATGCGTCATTTAAATTAGTAAAAAGAAGAATCCTATTGAATTTCAGCAATTTTCAACCTTGGCAATGCTCGACCGACAAATGCTGTCATTCGATCTGTATGAAATTTATATACATCATTTAGATTAGTGAAACGAAGAAGTCTGTTTAATTTCAGAAATGGCTCTTCTTTTACTTTCTGAACCTTGTGAATGTTCAATTGATAATAGTTATCATCCGATGTGTATGAAATTTATGTGCATTATTTAAATTAGTAAAACGAAAAAGCCTGTCAAATTTAAACTATTTCTGTAATTTACTTCCAGAGTTAAGGCCCTTGTTTCAGTTTGTAGAACCTTGTGAACCCTCAAGCGACGAAAATTATATTCTAATCTGTATGAAATTGTCTTGTAAATGCCCCCAATTACCTACAAAAGAATAAATATGCGACAGCCCTTGTCGACCGCTCAAAAGATTTAGCTGCTATTTGCGTATGTTTCGTTGCCTGGCAACCTAACTTATTTTTATACGCACACATTTTCATGTCGTGGCCTCTATCTGTTCATCCACAATTTGTTTGTGGACACTCTACAGGTCACAAATTTTATCCGATTTTGAAATTTGGGGAATTAGGGGTTATTCTTTGGAAAGTTTTTCTTTAAACCTGTAACAGGTTATTCTTCCACGATAGGTTTTATTTTCCATAAGAAAACATGATACAAGGTTTTTAATACAGGAATTCTGGGATATTCTCATTTTGCGTATGTGTAAACATAGACGGTTTATATGCAAGATAAAGTCCTCGACTTCGGTTATGCTGGGGAAGAAAGACTTAAGAAAAAACCCTCGACGGAAATACCTCGGCCTGCCGGTCTTGGTTTTTATACGTCCACATGGTATATTGTTGTCGCCCCTTTCCGTCCGTCCACAATTGTTTGTGAACACTCTACAGGTCACAATTCTTATCCGATTTCAACGAAACTTAAAATATAGGCTTATCCTCCCAAGATCTAGCTTCCTTTCGATATTGGCATGTATCTGACTGTAACCTCATGGAATATGGCTCCTGATTGTTCGAAAAATCACGTTTTTAGCTTGTGGATCTTCTAGAAGTCACAATTTGTATTCAGTTTTAAAAAAACCCATTTAATTATATCACCGTTACACACTAATGGTAGTTGAATTCAAATTTCCTGAAAATCCTACCGAAACTGCCCAACAAAATGGTTGCTCCTTGTAAAAGTATGTAATACCAAGGATGTGGACCATCTAGAAGTCAAAATTTTTATCCGATTTTGATGAAACTTAAAATGTGTGTTTAGTAACCCACACCTTTTAAATATATCACAGTTACACCTTAATTTTCGTGAAAATCCTACCGAAAGGGCCTGAAAAAATGGTTGCTCTGTGTACGCAAATAGTGTAATAATATGTAATACCTAGAAGTCACAATTTGTATCCGATTTTGATGAAACTTAAAGGTGTGTTTATAACCCAAAGATCTCGGTTCCTGTCGATATTCGCACATATCGGACTGAAACTTCTGGGATTATCACCTCTGATTGTATGAAAAATTATGTTTTTAGCTTGTGGTCCCACAATTTTTATCTGTTTTAAAAAAAAAAAAACGTTTAAATATATCACCGTTACACCCTAATGAAAACTGGCTGCTCCTTGTAAGCAAATAGTGTAAAATTATGTAATACCAATTTTGTACTTTGTAGACCCTCTAGACATCAAAATATTTGTCTGATTTTGACAAAACGAGAAATATAGGATTATTTCCAAAAAATCTTGGTTCCTTTTGATATTGGCATGTATAGGGCCGTAACTTCATGAATTATGGCCCCTGTCTCTGTACGAAAAATCACATTTTAAGCTTGTGGACACTCTATAGGTCAAAATTTTTATTAGTTGCTTTCGATATTTGTGCATATCGGACCATAATGTCCTGGATTATGGCCCCTGATTGTACAAAAAATCACGTTTTTAGCTTGTGGTCATAATTTCTATCTGATTTTAAAAAAAAACCAAAATTGTTTGAATATAACAACTCTTCCAGATCCTAGTGTAAAAGTATGTAATACCAAGGTTGTGGGCCCTTTACAGGTCCCATTTTTTATCTGATCATTATGAAACTTAAAATATATGTTTATATCCAAAAGATCTTGGTTCCTTTTGATATTCGTGCATATCATATCATAATTTCATGGACTATGACCCCTGATTTACCAAAAGTTGGGTTTTTTTGTTTTTTTTTTAGGTTATTCTCTATCCATCTTTTGCAAAATGTGAACGTATGTTGCATGACAATCGCTTGTTATCTGATTTTAAAAATCGTTTAAATATATCATCGTTACATCTTGATGATGGTTGAGTTCGAATTTCAGGAAATTGGAAACGAAACTGCTCAACAAAATGGCCGCTCCTTTTATGCAAATAGTGTAAAAGTATGTAAAATATGCTTACATCTCAAAGATCTCAGTTCTATTCATGGATTTCAGACCATAATTTACTGGATTATGGCCCCATAATAGTGCGAAAAGTCACTTTTTTTTAAAAATTGTTCTCTATCAATCTATTGCAAAATGTGGGTGTATCTTGCATGGCAACCGCTTGTTGATTGTTAATCTTATTATCTGTATTGCATTACATTCAGTTATTAAATTATCTTGTAAAGAAAGCGATGGAATAAACTTGACTATCCTATTTCAATTGGTACATATAAAGTATACCCTGGCAGGTAGAATTATTCAAATTTTAAGAGGCATTAGAACTTCCAACAGGAAAAAGTGATTTCATATAGTCATATCACAGCAAATTGAGAACTATTTTTCTACTGACTGGGGAAGATCTCCAAATTCTAATGCCTATTTTATACAACCATCATTAATTTGTTGAACTTCATTTAACCCTTAAATAATTAATCTTTGTTAGTGTTTGTTACATTCTACATTAATAAAATATCCCCAGATTGGGTTTTGGAGAGATGTCTAATGTATATTTAGATAGTATTTTCTCATTTATTTATTGGTTCAGTGAAAGTAGGGATATTACAATTGTTGATCAATACTGGTAAGATTTTTACACACTGTTTTTATTATTGAAAAACTCGCATTTCCATATGTTTTACATTACTTTACTATAAAACATTTACTTTTCCTTATGAACTCTGTAATAAACTTTGGAAATTGAAAATGTGAACAAAAAAATTAACTCTGCAAAACGTGCTGAAGTAATGACCCGAGAAATCCCTCTTTTGCCATTGCTGAATTAGTTTCTGATACTTGAGCTTTTAAAAGAGTGTGTCTATTCTTCCCGTTCAGTCAAATCTATCCTAAGTACAGCAACATGACAGCCCTTCGTTTAATCTTGGGTCTTCCCTAAAACTTTGGACAGTGATTTAAGGTACTAAAAACAGTGAAAGTATTGTTCGTCTCCATACAGTATTGTTTACATTGTATCCGTATTGATAGCCTTGTTTGTCCCGCAATTAGTTTTTCTGCATTATTCAGCTATGCACTGGTCAATTGGGCATAATAGAATTGTGAGTCATGAGGTAACATTATGTAAACATATTTGGTCCAATTTGGAGCTCTGTTTAAAGCCTGATGATATTGCTACACAGTTAGCTATTGTTTGTTAATCGGACTATTGACCAGTCATAATTTGGAACAGAAATTACCCCCAATGAACAAAGTTTCTAAGTTTTAAAAATTGCAATGAGAACTTTGGCCTTTATCACTTTCATAATATTTCATGATTTCAAAACTAATTTGGGGGATTAGCTACAAAAATATACTGGTAGCATTAAATTATTCTGAACATGTAGCATTCACAATCCTCCAAGTTTTATAAAAATAATTGCAAATTTTATTTTCTATCATGTTCACAGACTAGAAAAGTCAAAGATGCTGTTGATAACCTTTCCTTCTATTACATTCACAATACTTTTAATTTCCTATGAGCAATGACACCAAGTTTTACAAAAGTCCTTAGAAAACTTTATTCTGTATCAAGTCAAGCATATGGAAAAAAAAATAACTTGTGAAAACAGGCACAAATTAATATCCTTTGTACAACAATGGTGAAGGCGCAACACCGCAAAATTCTTTAGGAATTATATTATTGATGTTTTTTGGGGTTTTTTTTAATGACAATTTTATTGTGCAACGCATATATAACCAAGTGAGATGAAATTGATTTTTGAAGGAAAATTGAAATTCAGTGGTATGAATTGTAGCTGTTAAATAAAAAAAATAGTTCACAGGATAATGTTTGTGACATGTAGTCAATATCTGTCAGTGAAATAAAGACTTTATTTAACTTTCAGAATTCTGTTACATAATTTAACTTGAATCGATCTTTAGAAGTGAAAGGTGTATATGAAATTATATTCAAGAATCATACATGTACACATGATAAAAAACATGGTACAGCTGGCTGGAATGTGCTGGAGAATGTCAAATTTGGATGAATGTCATTAACCTTGTAAATTTAGTTAATAGTCATAGAAACATTGAACATTTCATCACAGTGGGGCCTAGTGGGCACACACTACTTTATCGTTCCATAAAATTTTATTATTCGAATAACTGTATGTGTAGCCTACATCAGACCTTGGTTTTCCGTCTCATCTGAATGACTATACGTTGTCCCTTGCCAGGCCACCTATCCTGCACCACTAACAAGAAGGATTTGGAACCATGCCCATAAATCCTGATGAACTTTCTCAGCCAATGCATGGATCAAACACAGAACCACCAGGTTATCGAACCAGTCTTACTCACTGAGCCACTGTGGTTCCTGAGGTAATGAAGATAGATATATGCCATGTAGTGTGCTATGAGGAAAGAAAATTCTGCCTGGGTCACTATATGGTCGCAAGCTAACCTATTTCTACTATAGCGATTCTAACAAAAAATGTTTAATGTTTTCTATGACTATGAACACGGGACCTCCATGTTAGCAAGACAATTGCTTACTCATCGCGACAACGTGAAAAAAATAGTCTTCACCCTGTTGCCGTAGTGGTCCATCTTTTTATACGCCCCCATTTCCATGTGGACCCAGCCTTCTTGGCAAATCCTAAGATTTCCTACAATTTTATTAATCTCTTTACACCACCAAAATTGATTGCCAAGGCAGTGGCTTTATATGTGTTTTTGGCTTTTGATAAGAGAGCTAAATCAAATTTGGTGGCAACTACATGTAACTGAAACCCCTTCCTTTCACTTGATTTGATATTTGTTTATTTGGTGCAATGTCTATTTTCTGTCTTGTCTGCAGGTTTATCTTGTAGATTTTTGTTTTGCATATACTGCGGTCCTCCTGCACTTACTATTTGATATACATGTACAGTAATTGTACATGTAGTATACTGTTTGTATGAATGTATTGAGTTGTCTATGTAATATGTATTATTGAATGTATATGACTATGTCTAAGTGTATATGTATGCATGCTGTCCTTCATGGACGTTTTGATGCAATAAACATCTTATCTTATCTTATCTATATTGTCGTCTGTCTGTCCGTCCATAATTGCTTTGTGGACACTACACAGGTCACAATTTTTATCCGATTTGAAGCATTGGGGTCATGAGAGGACAACCTCTATCGATAAGGAGCGTTGAACAATAATTTTACTTGATTATCCCCCGTTTGTTGAAAACCTTGTGAGCCCTAGATGCTACAGTTTTAAACAGTTCAGCGTCCAGTACCAGAATTATACCCCTTTGCCAAAAAACCTTGTGAATTCAATTCTTTTCAGATTTATTGCAAAGCATTTTAGTCGAGATCAAGGACAAGCCCTATTGATATTCAGCATCCAGCATCTCTCTATTATGGAGTTATTGTCCCCCGTTTATCTGTCTGTCATACTTTTTGGGGACACAATAACCCTCCTTCTAATTGAGCTAGAATGTCCAAACTTGATGTAGGTGTTTATTAGGACAATGCCTTGATGGAGTTCGAAGATGAGCATTTTCTGCTTAGGGTAAGCAGAGATAAGCAATTTGATTGGTTGATGATTTGGGACACGATAATTTTAGTTCTAATTAAATGAGAGTGATGGAACTTAGTGTATAGTTTCATTACATCAATACCTTGACTAAGTTCGATAATGAGCATTTTCTGTTCAGGGTAAGCAGAAAGATAAGCCATTTGATTCTCCGAGACTTTGTAACACAATAACTCTCCTTCTAATTAAGCTAGAACGTTCCAACTTGATGTAGGTGTTTATTAGGTCACTGCCTTGATGGAGTTCGAAGATGAGCATTTTCTGTTTAGGGTAAGCAGAGATTAGCAATTTGATTGGTGTAAGACTTTTGCTAGAATTTTTGCTCTTATAATTAATGATGGCATTATATTGTATTAATTAATTGTACTAAATGTGCACAAAAATATGAGTGACAGAATGATGGGTATATAAAAAGAGTTATAGAACCAAAAAATAGCTGGTTCTATGTGTCAACAACCTGTTACCAGATTATATGTGATTGGAAATTTACCTATTGCATCATTTGGTTTAAATGACCAATCATATCAGTAATTAATTGCACAGGTTCAGGGTCATGCATATCCTAGTCTGTGCGTGTTGTCCATAGGTCCTATAAAAGAAATCATGGCAAACGTTTAAGCCAGATTTCATTAGATTCCAGAGAGATTACCATCTGAGTTCCTAGACAGCAGACAGACTCTGAAGGAAAAGATGTAACAGTTTCTATCAGCCGGTTTGAAAGATTGACTTTAGTATTGTAACCTATACTATGCTTGTATCCATCTATTCGGCTATGATAGGCCTATATAAAATAAAAAAAACCGAACTGTTGCATTGTTATTCTTGGTAAGGCAAACGTCTTAACTAACTGAGATAGATAAGAAGAAATGAAATGAAATGAAATGGGGTTTAACGTCCTACTGTTCTGCTCCTAAACTGGGCTAATGAAGACGGGCATACGCCATACAGTGTGCTATGGGGGAAATTTTGCCCGGGCAGTGGCACTATCGCCTACTCTTATATCGTATTCCAAGGGATCTTTTACGTGCATTCGAATATATTAGATAAGAAGAAGTAAATACACAACGTGAAGTGGAAGCAAAGACAGCCATTATTTGTTTACCCCATTAATTCATTTGGTCAGTCGCCGATGCATAATTTTGAGACCGACTGCAGTGACTGCACTTATTTTGAGACCGACTATTTTTTTTCCCTGGGGGAAATTATTTTACTTAGATCAACTCACAACAGAATAAGGGCAAAAAACATTTTTTCAAACATGATAACTTGACAAAAGGTTATTTTAGGCCTATATAGATCAGCAGCCCAGAGCACTTTGGTCAAACGAACGAGGTACCAATATCTGAGTATCGGAATGGTTACTGCGTAACCCAGCATATTCAGATATGGATGTCTGCCGGGGTCCAGTTGCTGCGTGTGGCCTTTTGGGCCCCAAAGAGGGCACCCAAAAATGGGCTGGATCAAACATTGTGGATACCACTCGGAAACAAGTTTAAATGAACAGATACATATCTCTGAGTATAAAACAGGCCCCGCCAGACAAATTCTTCTCTGCATAGGGTCCGCCAGACTCCCCGAAGGGGCCCCAAATCTTGAGCTAGATTAAACATTGGAGGTACCATACGAAACAAAGTTAAAATGAACAATTAGACTCTACCTAGTATAAAAATCCCAATGCCAGACAAATTGTCTCCTGTAAAAGCCCCGCCAGACACCCCCAAAAGTTGGGCCCCGCAGATTTTGTGTTGAAAATGAGCTGGATCAAACATTGTTGATACCACATGGTACTAAATTTAAATGAACTGGTACATCTCATTGAGTACAAAACCGGCCCGGCCAGACAAATTCTCCTCTGCATAGGGCCCGCCTGACGCCCTCGAAGGACCCCAAATCTTGAGCTAGATTAAACATTGGAGGTACCATACGAAACAAAGTTAAAATGAACAATTAGACTCTTCTAAGTATAAAAATCCCAATGCCAGACAAATTTTGTCTGCTGTAAAAGTCCCGATAGACACACGTTGGGCCGCATGGACATTGTTATACGCCCACAGATTTTCTAGAGGTCACAATTTTTTTGCGATTTTAAAAACCGTTTAAATACATCACCATTCCACCATAATGAAGATGCTCTTTGAAGTTTGCTATACACGATGTATTCTTCTTGAAACTTTAAACGAAGTTCATCACCAGAGGCAAGGCTATTCGTCAAATATTCCTGAGTTTCCTGGGATGCTGCCCTTCTAGGAAAATCTGATGTTCGGTATAAAGAAGGTGGACTGTGCACTTCTGCCACCTTGTGCAAAGACCGTGTATAGCAAACTTCAAATAGCACACTTTGTCAGCATAATCTGGGGTCGCGCTGACTCTGCAGATCCGGGACACGGGTTGGACCCATAGCAGTTTGGATGGTCAGAAAAGAATGGGTGCTATGGTCCAAAATGGTTTTTAGGACCTGCCATGCCCGACAACCTATTCCATGATGTAGATTCAGAGGAAGACAGCACCAATGATCTTGAGAGTGACCATCTTGATAACGGTTCTAATTCTGACAATGCATGGAGTGGTGACTCTGACTGTCTGATTGAATAAATTTATTGTGAAATTTAGTTCCATGTGGTATCAACAATGTTTGATCCAGCTCATTTTTAACACAATATCTGCGGGACCCAACTTTAGGGGTGTCTGGCGTGGCTTTTACAGCGTCTGTAGGCCTACCAGTTCATTTAAATTTAGTTCCATGTGGTATCAACAATGTTTGATCCAGCTCATTTTCAACACAATATCTGCGGGCCCAACTTTTGGGGGTGTCTGGCGGGGTTTTTACAGCAGACAAATTGTCTTGCATTGGCAATTTTATACAAAGTAGAGTCTAATTGTTCATTTTAATTTTGTTTCGTATGGTACCCCCAAATGTTTAATCTATTTGAAGATTTAATTGGGGCCCCTTCCGGGGCGTCTGGCGGACCCTATGCAGAGGAGAATTTGTCTGGCAGGGCCTGTTTTATACTCAGGGAGATGTTTCTGTTCATTTAAACTTGTTTCCAAGTGGTATCCACAATGTTTGATCCAGCCCATTTTTGGGGCCCAAAAGGCCACACGCAGCAACTGGACCCCGGCAGACATCCATATCTGAATATGCTTGGTTACACAGTAACCATTCCGATACTCGGATATTGGTATCTCGTTCGTTTGACCAAAGTGCTCTGGGCTGCCGGTATAATAGTAGGCCTAATACTAAAGTTTTGGGTGAGTAGCGTGACGTAGGCTATGCAATTTAGGTGCACGGATTCACGCAATTGGGATTTTTTCTTCTAGTTATCTAGGCTATTTGGGCATTGTTTGTATTAATTCAGTGAGCACTTATTTTGAGATCGACTGCACTTATTTTGCGACCGACTGCATTTATTTTGCGACCTGTACCCCCCCCCCCCCCACACACACACACTGTGATGTTATGTTAATAAAGTAAGCTTCCATTAAAATATAAAATAATAATTTAAGAATATTAAAATTGAATTTCAAATAGGCCTAACGTTTTCCAATTATAAACAAATTTGAGCCGTTGGTTGTTTTCCAAGATAAAATACTCTTGGCTTTTTATAGCTCCTTTAGGAACTGTCTCTGATCGGACTATGTCCGCTGACAATTCCTATCGCTTGCTATATAGCTGCAATATGAAAATAACATATGAATCTAAATTTATTTTATTCAGTAGACTTGCGGTACGTAGGCCTATTATAGAATGTAAAAAGAACATGAGCAGCTAGTTCAGACTTAATGGGTAAAGCTTACTATTTAAAGTTTGATCTTTTAAAAATCACAACTAGTTGAACTAGGCCTAGATCTACACGTAATTCTAAAATTACAAAAATACTGTTGTTATGCTATTCAAAATCGAATTTCCCCTTTTACTGGTAGGCCTTAATCCGACCAATAAAATATTTGCTGAAGCACTATCAATAATTTTAAACCATTCAGTAATTCAAAATACAATTTTAATTTACTCTGTGATTATCTATAGCCTATTAATAATTATGCTGTAGTGTATGGTTAACTTCAGTTTGTATGACAGATAATTCCGTAGAACACAGTATAAATTAAATGTTCTATTTCTAAATAATCAGTTGACAAAAAATCACAAAAATAAAAGCAACTCTGAACACAGATCAGACCTAATGGCATGGTTATCTTAAAAATCGACAATAATTGACGGCCTTAAATAGATCAATTCGTAAACCGTCAAAAATGCCGTCTCTCGTCTCACTAGTCTCACTTCATTCCGTGCCGTACCACGCTTTATGTTATGCATGTTTTAAAAATATGAATCATGTTTTATAAATTCCCGAAACACACACACAACTAACATATGATTGTATGTGATAATTCTCAGTAGTTTTGTTACCGAAAATACTATAAAAACTACGAAATTAAAGAGATTTAGTTCACCGATATAGATATCGTAACGTCGTTGAGCGAACTGTCGTCAGTGTGTGTTTATTACAGACAATTCCCAAGATGCATTGCGCGTCGCTGTGTTTCTATGGGCCGTAATGCGAGTCGCCACTCTGTGCACACATTTACGCCCCTGGTCATGGCAATAGCTGCACAGTCACACGCAATAATTGTTTGAAAATTGCTTTGTGCAGACGACACAAGGGAGGTAATGACAATTAAGAAAGCTGAACTCTTTGGTGGGTAATGATAAATAAAGTAAGGGGTCTTGGTTGACTGCTAGCTGTCTGTTGATGGTTGACTTAAATTACTACATTTCCAGATATAAAAATTATCATACAGACCCAGGTAAGGTTAGTTGATCTATCCATAGATACGGTAATATTATATGTGGTCTATGCCGTAACTGTTATTGAAAAAAACCAAAAAGGACATACAATATCTACTAGGCCTATAGGCCATATTATAGGCTAGTAGTAGCCTATATTTTACATAGTTATTTGCTAGTTCAGCTCTGAAGTACTCAAGTAGTAGGTCATTACAGGGCGAGTGTAATGAGACCTACGTTCAGAATCAGAGCTGAACTATTCGCTAGACAGCTGAGCTATGCACGACTTCTGTTCTGAATAATTCAATCAACTATATATTACTAATGAACCCCTGACACTGACAGTGAGTGACCGTGGTGAACTTGCTTGTGAATATCTTTTTTTTTTTTTACAACGGACACTTGTCACTGACACTGCCTCTAGCAGCTGTAGCAAGTTGTGAGTTCCTGTAGTGTTAACTAGGATCCATGCATAGTAAATCCTTAGTCAGTGTATGCATGTCAAAGCTTTTGTCACCATGACCTCTTAATCCTTTTATACTATACGCGGGCCCACATTGAAATGTGGACGAATATTAGCCTCGTCCCTTTGCTGGGTTGGTCCGTCTGACTGTTGCTTGTGGACACCCTACTGGCTAAAGTTATTTTGGGATTGACTAAAAACTTATACTGTATCCCCAGTTGTATCGTTCCGTTTTACTCCAGTATATATCCCTGGGTTGATTCACAGGGGAGACACGTACATGCACATAGTCAAATTATCCGCCCTTGATACTTTTGCTATTTTTATCGACCAATTGATTGGGCAAAGAGAAGTAACTTAGATGGCTGAATCAGTGTGGTGAATGAAAAGAATGACGCTAAGACTGGTATATTGTAAACTGTTTTTTGATTGGTTCATAGAATCGACCTATGATCAAGGGCAGATAATTTGAATTCATGAAAACCCTGTGAATGAACCCAGGGTGTAATGAAGTGGAATGGAATGATATCACTGGGGATACCGATGATGACATTGTTTATGGGCGGAATGAAGAAGTCAGTTGATTTTCAGCTAGCAATTGCTGTAATTACGACCAGAGGCAGAGTTATGGCTTTTCATCACTTGGAAAAATCATGTGACGTTATCGCCCGATTAACTTTAAATTTACCCACATTGCTTATTGTCAAGAGACAAAGAAGCCTATTAAGATTTTAACCATGTCCGATAATTACCACTCTTGATCACTTTGAAAAATCTTGTGGACGCTGTAAGTTCTGCTCGACATTTATCTCCTTTAAGAATGATTTCTTATTATATTTTAAAAAGTTTTATCATGACCTTCTTTCTGTTGCGTTGGGTCTGGAACTAATCTTTTGGATATAAAAGCTAGTTTGTACTATTTATGTATGATTGTTTATCATAGATAGATTAGAGATTGACAGTGGCAGACATGAAATCTACTGCTAAATGGACAGCTATTGTTGTAACTTGCTCTAACAAAGCCGTGACACCATCTTTACAGCAAGGTAAACATTATACACAATATATACCATATTTAATTTATATGTACTTGTCACAGCCGCCCAGGGGGGTTGGATGGCCGAATGGTTAGCTGCATGATGAATTCAAACTAAAGAAACTAGTCGCTTCAAGAGATAAATCTGGGACGGCTACCCAACCCTTAGAGATTTCTTGTTGTACTTGTCATAGAAAATATTACTCTTTTCTGGTCAGCCTGTAAAATATAATTAAGTGACAAACATTTAAAGTCAGTATGAAATGAAATAAAATTGAGTTTAGCGTCATACTGTTCTATGAGGGAATTTTTTCCTGGATAGCAGTGCTACGGCTTACTCTTGCCTAATTCGAATTCCAGCTGTAAAGGTTCTTTTAACTGCAGGCCAACGTGCACCCAAGACTTAGGTTTTGTCCTGGTCAGGCCCTCCGTCCTGCACAACTGACCGACAAGCGGAAACCACGCTGAAAACCCGGGGAACTTTCTTGGCCAACTCCAGGATCAAACTCCAGGTTTCTTAGTTATTGAGTCAGTCCCTTACTTCTTAACATCTCTTCTATATCTCTTGTAATCTTGTATGCATTCTGTGTACCGGTATATCCATTCCATATAAGCATGTACATATTGTGTAATAATATATGTTAATACATGTGATATCTATTTATTCAAACTTTCTGTTTTATTACCCACATATATACTATATTTAATCTTTTAAACTGATTTTGTATTTATTTTTTCCCCTCTCGATTGTAAATTATTTTGGTATGTTATTTAATTTAGGCCTATCACGCTATATCTTTTGTATGTTAAAAGGCTATGTATTATAGCCTAATCTTCTATCCTTCTTAAATAAAGTCATTATTATACTTTATTATTGGATTATGTAAGTGGCTTGTGATATATAATTTTTTTTATATAACATAACTCTGTCTGGGCTGCAGTTTTTTGGGGGACGTTTTTAACTAGACTATTCTTGATCTGACTTCCCTAGACCAGCCTATCTACTCAAAAGATGTCAGGGATTAAGGTTTGTTACCAGTACATAAGAAAGAATAAACATTTGCATCCACTAAATGGTAAGACAGTGCCATTTCACATTTAAATACGATACTCAAATTCCTGAGGTCCTGGAAGGACTAGAGTCCCTCCCACATTAACAGTACCTGTTTTCTGATAAAAGCCCTCAAAGCTTATGAAAGATATGAAGAGCCCCAGGGAAGAACGATCTAAGTCTTTTTTTCCACAAACCCCAGTTAATGGCGTCATCTGGTAGCAAATTGTATAAGCTTTCTGTGGAACAATCAATTTCAGGTAAAAACGATCAGAGTTGCATCGAACCAAGGCCCCTCAGAAATGGCCTCCTGGACAAATACAAGTCCATCATATTTATTTGACCTTAATTTGGCTGAAAAGTGGAAGTCAGTTGTTGTACTGATAATTATGATTTGTATTAACATCATTTTGAAGTTGTAATTAAACCCACTCGGTTGTTCTGTTCGCGTCAAGCGTTCTCGTCCAAAAGTCTGTTTTGCCTTTTATGCGAAAAGACAAAAATGTGACTTAGATCGTTCTTCCGCTGGACTCTTCATACGTTAAGAGTCAGAACAATTAGGACTGCTTTGTGGTAAAAAATGATTTATCTTTCTGTCTTTCACAAAATTTTTCAGCTTTAGAATTACGCCAGAGTAAAGGTTATATAAATGAAGAAGCCATTTTATTGACAGTAGAAGATCCTAAGGATAATGTTGGAAGTGGGGGAGCTACTATTAATGCTTTATTAACAGTTATTGAATATATAAGTGCTAAAAAGGGTTATACAGTAAGTAAAAGTTCTTAGTCTGTTGTCTGTTGTCTGTATGGTTATGCTTACTCTTTCTATTTCTAAAACACTCAATTGCATGTTGAAGGAATGTGGTAAAGTTGGCAAATTTGGAGCTCTTTACTTGCCAAACTCATTAAAAAAAATAACCCTGTTTAGAATTTGTAGAAATATATATTCACGAGACAAACAAGCCTATTGATTTTCATCGATTTCTGATAATTCCTGCCCTGATAAAGGCCCTGAATCACTTTCAATAAATTCTGTAGACACTCTTGAAGCTAAAGTTATCGTCCACAAATTGATTCGAAATTTGATACATATTAAATGTAAGCTCACATTTTTATAACAAAAATAGCATTTATTCACAACTCTGAAAATATATCTTTTGGTAGAAACATTCACCTTTTTTGCCATCTCTTTATTTAAGATAGGAAGTTTACGACATATTTTATAAGTAGGTATCATGCAAAATGATGTGACACTGGTTCACTACATCAGTTGTTTGCTTTGATCTATGCTATGCAAGAAGTTCATAGTGAAGGAAATTTGTTTAGTGTTATTTTGCTCTCAAAGTGATCACTTACTGAATAAAATTGTAGTCATCTGTGAACCATGCTAAGTCAGGGAATAAAAAGTTGGATATTGTTGTATTAATTAATTTCATATATGCACAAATATTTATTTTTAATTATAGGTTATAAATCCAGATGTTTTAAAAGATGCCTTGATACTTATACTACATGTGGTAAGTCTTAAAATATATACAAAACCAAACTAAAACACAATTATTATTGGCCAAAACTAGGAGAAATTTACAATATCATGAAATTTATGCCACAATGTTATAGAGTATACGGTTGTTGGCTCATCCGTCAGGCTTCACATTCATATGATTTTGGAATTGATATGGGTTGTCTATCTCATTGAAAAGACAAAAATGTGACTTAGATCGTTCTTCCAATTGATTTTAAATAATACCGGTTATATCTTCCAAAGTTATTTCCATTTGTTTCAAATTCTTGTTAGCACCAAGGGCTTTAATTGCATTCTTCTGTTTGACATTTTTATGGGTTGTCAAAGTTATATCTGCTTGGACAGTTTTAATGTAGTTGAATGTGTGTTTCGTTGCTTGGCAACCTGTGTTTTTTAATACACCAACATTGAAATGCGACAGTATATTGTCGTCAAAAGTTGTTGACAACAGTGTTTATATATATGTTCATGATCAAGATGAAGAAGGCAATACTTCTCAAAAAGCTAAAGTTATCATCTGATTTCAGATACTAAATGCCAGTGTCATTTTAATTATATCTGATAATTACTTCATGGGTTGTTGTTACTCTTGATCAGATTTTAGTGTCTTGTAAATGCTCTCATTACCTAGAAAAGAATAGATATGCAGCAGGCTTAGCTTGGATGTACTTAGCTGCTGTTACTGAGTATGGGTTGTTCCATGGCAAATAGGAAGTTAAACTCTATTTTATTTCTTCTGACAACTTATCTTTTTCTTGCTAGGGACGTTCATATTGCTATGATACAACTACCCGACCATTTATAACGTTACCTGCCGAATATGTAGCACCAGAATATGATGGTTTAGTATATAATCTTGATTTTATAATCAGAATTATAGGAGAAAGGGTAAGTTATTTAGTTCTCATCTTATAGGTTGACACAATGGTTTTGACCTAAATTCAGATTTAATTTCAATGTAGAGATGTAGAATTTGCAGCAGCTGGGGAGAGTATTTGTTGCAAATGGTGAAATTCAGTAAATCTGTAATTAGTTATTGGCATCCATATTCTTACAGCTTAATTATACAGAGAGAAATATACAGTATATTTAGCATTTCTGATACCTTCTTTAATAATCAATACTGGGGTCGCGATTTGACTAGTAAAGGGTTTGGGTTGATACCTATTAATTTCTTAAAAGTTAACAAATAAAGCGACCTTAGAGGGCATACATAATACATAATACAGAACTGAAAATATCTAGGAAAGAAATGAGCCAAATAAGGTTCAGAATAAAACTCTGACACACTGTCACTATTGTTTTAGACAGTTTTGAATTTTAATGTGATTTTAATAAAATACTACTGTTTTAGTTTGCTGTAAAATCTGGACCAGGTGTATGGATATCCAGTACAGAATATATTCTATCAATGCCAGAAGGAACAGGTAGGGTTATGTTAATGTACACCCACAATTATGTCTCACCTACCACTCTTTGACATATTTACACAATAAATCTAATGATGAACATTCAATCCGGCATCAGTTTTACCTAAATTATAAAATACTTGGATCAAAGGACTAGTTACACTCAGTTTATCATCTATTAATCTTAAATTGCTTGATAGATTTCAACAAAAATTGGTAGGTACCGGTATGTTCTTTGTATAGTTCTTATTCACTGGAAAATTCTTGAAGCATTTTCACACATTTTCAACTTTTCTTCTCCTATTAATCTCAACCTATTTCAGAGGTATTGCATCAAGTTCAAATGGATTTGAAAGCCCAGTAAATTTGATAAACCATGTGTGTGACTTGTAATAGTAAGTGCAGGGGGACTGCGCCACACATAATTTACACAAAAACAAATATACGGACAAGACACAACACGCAGAAATCACAAACAAACGAACAATTCAAATTAAGTGAATGGATCCTGGGGCTAGCCATAAGCATCAACTGCGCTGTACAGTCCCAGGCCTGTAGTGATACAGACTTCACTCAAATTTGAAAACAATCAGGATATAACCCAGATAAAATAACGCCAAAAGGTTAATAAACTATCAATGTAGCAACTAATCAGAATTAATAAGTTATGTAATTGCACAAAATATACGTAATACCCCTACAAGAAATGCAAAACAGGTATGCTGAAGGAATCATAAAATGTGTAATTCTCTTAATGTCTAGTCTATTCTCCTGCAGAATGTACATATTCTTACTCCATATTTGGTTATTTATGTACAATGGTATATTTCATATTTTCATTTTTATACACCCACATGGAAATGTGGACGTATATTGCTGTCGCCTGTCGGTCCGGCTGTTGATTTGTCCGGATGTCGTCCACAATTTCTTGTGAACGCCAAAAGTTATCATCCGATCTGTATGAAATTTAGGTCCACTCCCATTTCAACTACGTCACATTTTGACTTCTTTGTTGTTTCATGTCTACAGGTAATACCAGAGTTGAGATGTAACTTATTTTGCATTTCACTGTCGATACATTTAATATATAGACTAAACTAATTTCCGCTTAATCTTTCATAACCCAAGTTTTATTGTATAGAGCTTGCCCTATCACTAATAAAAAAGACACTTCATATCAGCGCAATTGAATACTTGATTTTGATTTAAATCAAAGAGGTTTAACTCCTTAAGGAGGCACTTTGGTGTAGCATTGTGTATGACACACATTATTCTTTTATAAAGATTTTAATTCTATGTATATTTTAGATATACCATGGAAGGAATGTGAGGTAGCATGTGTTACTGTTCCTAGTACAATGAAATTTTGTAAAGATCATGGTGTCTATAAAGTAGACAAGGAGGTATACATTTATTCTATACAAACTATACTATACTAAAAAAGTAGGGGATATTTGATTTTTAAGTGTTATTAAAGTCACCTAATGAAACTGACGAAGAAACAAATGACAAAATGAAATGAAGTTCACATTCATCGATTTATTCCAAATGATCGTTAGACTAAGTAAGGCACAGACTGACCATTATAAGGGTAAAATGATACCCGGGGTCAAACAGCAAAGTTATCACAGCATCACAACCAAGTCAGTAACGGGTAAATCCTCCTCTGTTTGCCAAACAAGCATTGATCCGACGTGGCATACTCCTAATGAGACGTCTAAGGTCATTTTGGTCCAGATTGTCCCATTCCTGTTGCAACGCAGCAGCAAGTTCTTGGACATTGGCAGGACGTTGTTGACGTTGACGTAACCTCTGTCCAAGCATGTCCCAGACATGCTCGATGGGGGAGAGGTCGGGACTCAGTGCTGGCCAAGGTAATGTGGTGATGTTCTGTTGTTGGAGGTAACCTGTAACGATCCTGGCCCTGTGACATCTTGCGTTGTCATCCTGGAAGATGAAACGGCGGCCATGACGTCGTGCGAACGGCAAAACATGGACTGCCAAGATTTTGTCCCGGTAGTACTGGCCTGTAACACGCCCTGCAACAACATGTAAAGCCGTTCTTCCAGCAACAGTGATGCCTCCCCACACCATAACAGAACCACCCCCAAATCGATCATGTCTGATGACGTTAACGTCTTGGAAGCGCTCGTTTCGACGACGCCACACCCTCCTCTGTCTGTCCAAAAAATCAACAGTGAACCTTGACTCATCTGAAAACATCACATTGCTCCAGCGTCGATTATCCCAGTGTTGACGATCCCTACACCAACGACGTCTTGCCTGAATGTGATGATCTCTCAAACAAGGGATCACGCAAGGATGTCGGGCGCGAAGGTGACCCCTATGCAGTCGATTCCGAATCGTCTGGCCACTCACTCTCACACCAGTGTCTGTTTGAAGACGAGCGCTGATCTGATTTGCTGTAATGACACGATTTCTCAAGGCCAATGTACGGATAAATCGATCCTGGGCTTGAGTTGTCGCCCTTGGTCGACCTGAGCGTGGTCTGTCCTGTACAGATTGTGTATCACGGTATCTGGACCATAGCCTGCTCATGACAGACTGAGAAACATTCATCGTCCGCACCACAACCGCCTGTGTTGTGCCGATCTGTAGCATGCCAAGGGCACGTAACCTTTCATTTTGGGTAAGCCGACGCATATCAAAATTTGTTTTCTGGTCACTAAAACAATTAAACTGATGTTTCCACCCTGGAATTCAATGCCACAATGACTAACATTCAAAGTCAGAGTCGTGCAAATCTTGGGTTGGACCCCCATGATGATCCCAAGCATCACCTGCATTCCATGCGGTAGCTATTGGTGCGTTTGGGCGTCACATGTAACTGGAAATGTTTCTTCTGTTAGGTTCTATAGTGACTTTTTTCGTAGTCATTTGCATATTTTAGTATTATGCCCCCAAAATCAAATATCCCCTACTTTTTTTGAATAGTATATTTTAATCATTTTCTGTACGAACCAGTGTTTTATATTAAAAAAAGAAGATTTTCATATTTAGATATTTTATTCACAAGTAATGATGTATCACAAAACAAAAATGGTATTCAATTGATTTGAACTTTAATAAATGTATACATTATCCACATATTCATCATTGATATTCACTTTTTGACATTGGAAATAGATTTGTTTTTTGTGTTGTGATTTTTTTTTTCAGGGAATTGTACAAGATATTTTATACCAGAAAGGAGCTGATGAACTTGGTCCTTGTCAGAGACGAGATGGTTCTGTTCCAGTGGTATGTATTAGTATATTTCTAAATTTCGGTTGTATAATTATAATTAGCAGAACCTCTATCTTTTACAAAATGATAAGAACAGAACTCTGAACTTATGTTTATTTAGAAACCTTCCATGACATGATGATTGTATTAAACCCTGTGTGTCAGATGAACAAATTGATCAATTATTTGATCTGGCACATTTATACCAAATGCAATCTACATGTGTGTTGCGTGCATGATGGACTCAATAATGGTACAAGACTGATTGAATGCAATTTAGTTTTGTGCTTCGATGACATGGTATGTTATCTAACATAACGGTTGCTTTTATTACTATGGCCATGTTGCAATTTGTGGGGGGCGGGGGCCCAAACAGTGATTTTTCTGCTAACCACACAACCACTGTCACCCCTAGAAAATCAAATCCAAAAATGTATTTCTCCATTCATCAAAAGCAACAAAAACCTTAATAGGCTTAGCACACTAATAATATACTGAAGTCCAAAAGAAAGTATACACTGTTCATTTCGTCCTGTTTCAAACAAAGTCGTTTTTCCATTGTATGCGGTATTTGGGTACAATGTTCATTTGGTTTGCCTTTTATTTGCTTGAAATATTGAGTTTGGACGCACGAGATGTGTTCAGTGTAGTTTTATCACATTTTTTTGATTTAAACAAAACTTAGTCATATTTTTGGTGTGTATACTTTCTTTTGGACTTCGGTATATAATAATAATATGTGTACACTGTACTCATAGGTGTGATCATTAGTCTCCAGCTATCTCAGACCACACTCTATGAGAGTTGTCGTCATCCTCTACTGCTGTTTAATAATAATAATTATAATCAATTTGTATAGCACTGAGTGTTCCAGCTAATAAGCTGCACCAAGGAGCTCTTTACAATTCAAATACATATGACTTAAAACAATAGTTTTAAAAACATTAGTTCATAGTTTAAAAGCATGTTTAAAAAGTTTAGTTTTAAGATTCTTTTTAAAAACTGCAACATTAGTAGAGTTTTTTTTACATGACTAGGTAATTCCATGGACCTTATAATTCATTCCACACATTAGCAGAGGCGTAAATAAAGACCCTTTCACCAGTTTTAGTTTTTACTGTAGGAACATGAAGTAAGTTTTTATCAGCAGAGCGCAGGTTCCTGCATAGTTTATACAGTTTTAAAAGTTCATTAAGATAATGTGGGAAGCAGCTATTATTTCAGATTGTTTAGTTAGAGAGACGATGCGTGCATGTTTGTTCTGAATTTTCTGGAGTCTGTTTATATCTGATGCTGTTAATGTAGTACCATGGGCCGTCTGTCAGACGTGGAGAGCGGGGGAACCAGCTCAGGATAAGCAGAGCGATAAGCAATTTGATTGGTCGAGACTTTAGAACACAATAACTCTCATTCTAAATGAGGTAGAATGTTCAAACTTGGTGTATAGTGGGGTGCCAAGTCACTCAGTTATTTCAAATTGATGCAAAAGTTTCGTTTTTTAGTACCAATTTGCAAGTAAGGGTCTATAGAACAATTTTGTTTCGAGTGTCAAGCAGTCAGATAAACAAAATCAAAATGGCCGCCAAAATCCAAGATGGCTGCCAATTTCCACCTTTTTTTCGCATTATGCCTCATAACTTTTGAACTATTGAACCTAGAATGGTGATTTTGGTCTCTATACCTAGGTTTGCATGCATGAGTAATTGAATAAAGATGAAATAAACATGATTGGAGCATATCTTTTCTTATATTGAGTCCTACTTCCAAGTAAATTCTTACATAATTGCTTGAAAAAAACTCCTTGAACAATACATTCAATAAGAAAATGGCTAATAGATTAACCAAGGCCCCTATATACATGTTAGTATTGGAATTTGTTCTAGTCCAGCTACTTCTCGCATATGCACTTGCACTGGCGTGTGCTCTTCAACTTTGTCGTCACGCATTCGCACCGAGAGCAGGTAATTGGGCAAGTGCACTTCATATCCAGGTGGAACAGATTCTTGGCGAGGGGCAGCGTGGCCCAAATGGGAAGCAGTTTGCCTTCATCTTCCTTCCACCTATGATAAGTTGGGTTGTTGACAGGCATCATTTCTGCGGTTAAAAAGCAAATATTTGTAGTTATCTGGAATAAGTTTGTTAATGACAAAACTGTCATTATGTTTCAGTGGATACAAATAAGTCAAAATCATTTTCAATGATGAATTTGTTAAGTTCGTCTGCTTTATTTTTCGCTGATCTGGAATTCACAAGACATAAATTCACGAACTGACATGCATTTTGTTTTGAGTTCATTTTGACCTTTATAGGACAAATTGAAATTAAGTTATAGTATGCCAGAATATGCGGCATATCGAATGTGGTTGTTTTGTATGATTTACTGTTAATATCTCTTTTGACCAGTTTTTATACGCCCACATTGAAATGTGGACGTATATTGCCGTCGCCCCCGTCCGTTCGTCTGTCGGTCTGTCGTCCACAATTTCTTGTGAACGCTCTAACTCCAAAAGTTATCATCCGATCTTTCTGAAATTTACATGCATTATTTAAATTAGTGAAACGGAGAAGCCTATTGAATTTCAGCAATTTCCGTTTATTACCTCTAGAGTTATGGCCCTTGTTTCACTTTATTGAACCTTGTCAACGCTCTAACGCCAAAAGTTATCATCCGATCTTTCTGAAATTTATATGGATTATTTATTATTTAGATTACTGGAACGAAGAAGCCTATTGAATTTCGGCAATTTCCGTTTATTACGTCTAGAGTTATGGCCCTTGTTTCACTTTATTGATCCTTGTGATCGCTCTCACATCAAAAGTTATTATCTGATCTTTCTGACATTTATATGCATTATTTAGATTGCTGAAACAAAGAAGCCTATTGAATTTCAGCAATTCCCGTTTATTACGTCTAGAGTTATGGCCCTTGTTTCACTTTATTGATCCTTGTGAACGCTCTAACATCAAAAGTTATCATTCGATCTTTCTGAAAATTATATGCATTATTTAAATTAGTGAGACAAAGAATCCTATTGAATTTCAGCAATTTCCGTTTATTACATCTAGAGTAATGGCCCTTGTTTCACTTTATTGAACCTTGTGAACGTTATAATTCCAAAAGTTATCATCCGATCTTTCTGAAATTTACATGCATTATTTAGATAGGTGAAACAAAGAAGCCTATTGAATTTCAGCAATTTCCGTTTATTACGTCTAGAGTTATGGCCCTTGTTTCACTTTATTGAACCTTGTGAGCGCTCCAACGCCAAAAGTTATCATTTAATCTTTGTGAAATTTATATGCATTATTTAGATTAGTGAAATGGAAAAGCCTATTGAATTTCAGCAATTTCCTTTTGGACTCAGACTAGCAATTATTTGCCCATTGACTTCAATGTTAAATGGCTGTAACATCACAGGCTGTAGCTTTTTTCTCAACATTCCGTTGGTTCCAATCTTTATAGGCACAATGGGGACAACATTTGGCAATCTCCTCATCATAATTTTGTAGGGGGTTGACCATTTAGATTTTTTGCTACACGGATTTGAAGTTGACTGGGGTGAAAATCTCACTTCCGACACAATGACTGCTCTGCAGAAAGACACTTTACACCCCCTATCCCTCCGCTGTAATATCATCAGTATTACCCAAAACTGCTATGAAATTGCAAATTTGATCCCTTTTCTCCAATTCTAGACCAAAAAGTCAACCCAAAAATGCAGGAAGAGGGGAGAAAAAAATTAAGGGAAAAATTGTCTATTTATAACTCGCACTACATTCGTCCATCATGAAATAAGGGGAAATAATTACTAGTCTTAGTCCTATATACCTCACATGTTTCTGCAGTTTAAACAAATCTGTTGTTATCTAATAAACAAACATATATGCAATTCCCTGACCAAAGAATATGAAAATCTATGCATTTTCAGATAAGCTGTGCGGCATTCTGCAAACACTATAATGCATCAGAAAACTGCGGAATTTCAGACAGAAATTTAAAAGCACATGAATTTTGAATTAAACAGAACATTTTTATTTTTGAACATAAATGCATTCTGTAAAAAGATGAGATAAATTCAATATAAATCAAACACGAAAATACTTTAAAACAGTAATCATGATGCAATATTAGACTTTTTAACACTTTCATCGAAAACCACACAGTTTTTCTCTGTTAACGTAGTTTCAAGTGCCAAATTGTGGTCAAATCTAAAATGTTGAAACATGCAGTGCCTATCAATTTTAAAATATCTCCTATATAGCTGTATTTCCATAGGATAAGTAAGTTGAAATAATCTGATTATGTAACACTACAACAGCTTTTTCATCCCTACCCCCCAGTTTGGAATCTGATAATTTAAAAGCACATGAATTTTGAATTCCACAGAACATTTTTATTTTTGAACATAAATGCATTCTTCAAAAAGATGAGATGAATTCAATATAAATCAAACACGAAAATACTTTAAAACAGTAATCATGATGCAATATTAGACTTTTAACACTTTCATCGAAAACCACACAGTTTTTCTCTGTTAACATAGTTTTAAGTGCCAAATTGTGGTCAAATCTAAAATGTTGAAACATGCAGTGCCTATGAATTTCAAAATATCTCCTATATAGCTGTATTTCCACAGGATAAGTAAGTTGAAATAATCTGATTATGTAACACTACAACAGTTTTTTCATCCCCACCCCCCGGTATGGAATCTGATACATTGCTGACCAATCATAGGTCGCCCCGTTCACTCGAGCCTGTCAAATGATTTACAATGGCGATGGTGCCTACAACTTTCCTGACCAAGAGATATGCACAACCGTCGATCAACACACAAGCCATTAATGTTATCTTCCAATATGAGAGGCCATGATAAACACACAAGCGTCCTTTTCAAGCTCGGAAATTAAGTCATCACCAAAAAGCAAAGTTTACAGAGGTCCCAAACTGATTACGATTTGCCCTCCACTTCCACCACAGGTGTCATAGAGATCAGGGATGAAATTGATATGCATCATCGTTCTCCTAAAGCCAGTCCAGGAAGAGATCAGGTTTTGAGATGTAGACCTGAAATGTTAAATTTGGATGAGAATGAGAATTCTGGGGCGAATACTATCCAGGGAAATGGTCATTGACATCCAGAAAATGGTCAAAATGTGGAATTCTGTCATTCAGTTAAATGTCAAGGGGAGAAGACAGGCCTGTGCAGTACCAAATTTCCAGCCCATTACTATTAGTGAGCAGAAGTGGGGATGAGGTTGGATTTACTTCTTAAAGTGTATGAAATGCACATTTATCTCACCTGTTTTGCTTCTTTTTTTTTAATACTTGTGTTGAGGTCAATCATTCCACTCTATGAAACATTGCCCTGGCACCTGAAATGATAGGAGGCTGGGGATAAATATGCAATAAAAAACAGTGAGAAAATAAGAAAAAAATATGGTTTCAACTGGAAATAGAAATAAACCTCTTTATTTCTCGCGAACAGCCCGTCACTGGCCCTCCAAAAAGAAACCAGTTAACAATCAGTAAAAAAGTAAACCTTGAGTGTCACATAAGTCTAAGCCAATCTCAAAGGTAGATGCCATGTTTTGAGGTTCGGTCTAAATATTAAGGCCAACTGCATGTTTGGTCAAAAGTCACACAGGTGTGAATTTTGGAGTGTACATGTTAACATTTCATTGTATGATGTCAAAAACATGTTAGGTCTAAATGTTAAGGCCAACTGCAGACTTGGTTCAAGGTCACAACATGTAAATAGGGTTAGGGCACATGATTTTTTTACACAATTGTGGGTTTGGGCTAGGGTCAGAACTAGGTCTTGGCTTAGGCCTAGGCTACATGCTTTTTGACAAGATTGTGGGTTAGGGTTAGGGTAAGGACTGGGTCTTGGGTTAGGGTTAGGGTCAGCCTTGTTTACATCTCGTGACTTTAGACCAAATCTGGAGTTGAGTTGGCCTTAATATTTAGACCTAACCATGTTTTGATATCATTGTGAAGAAAATGTTACACATTTACAACCCAAAATTCACACTCAACCAACGGATACCCCCAATCATGGCTATTTTGATACCAAATAGTCAAAAAACTTACTGCTGGGCAATAAAAAAGCAGTATTCTTACTATTTCTGACACTTTCCATTCAAAACTTCAGGAAATAAGCCCTTGAAAAAATATCAACATCCCGAGTCGGCCATGTTTCTTTATCTCATCAGGACTCAGACTAGCAATTATTTGCCCATTGACTTCAATGTTAAATGGCTGTAACATCACAGGCTGTAGCTTTTTTCTCAACATTCCGTTGGTTCCAATCTTTATAGGCACAATGGGGACAACATTTGGCAATCTCCTCATCATAATTTTGTAGGGGGTTGACCATTTAGATTTTTTGCTACACGGATTTGAAGTTGACTGGGGTGAAAATCTCACTTCCGACACAATGACTGCTCTGCAGAAAGACACTTTACACCCCCTATCCCTCCGCTGTAATATCATCAGTATTACCCAAAACTGCTATGAAATTGCAAATTTGATCCCTTTTCTCCAATTCTAGACCAAAAAGTCAACCCAAAAATGCAGGAAGAGGGGAGAAAAAAATTAAGGGAAAAATTGTCTATTTATAACTCGCACTACATTCGTCCATCATGAAATAAGGGGAAATAATTACTAGTCTTAGTCCTATATTATTACGTCTAGAGTTATGGCCCTTGTTTCACTTTATTGATCCTTGTGAACGCTCTAACGCAAAAAGTTATCACCCGATCTTTGTGAAATTTATATGCATGATTTAAATTAGTGAAACGAAAAAGCCTATTGAATTTCAGCAATTTACAATAATTACTTCTAGAGTTATTGCCCTTGTATCACTTTGTTAAACCTTGTTAATGCTCGATTGATGATATTATCATCCGATATGTATGAAATTTATATGCATCATTTAAATTTGTGAAACGGGTCTATTGAATTTCAGCAATTTCCGTCAATAATTTCTAGAGTTATCGCGATTGTGAACGTTTGAATGACAAAAGTGATCATGTGATCTGTATGAAATTTATATGCATTATTTAAATTAGTAAAATGAAAAAGCCTGTCAAATTTCAACAATTTCTGTAGATTACTTCCAGAGTTGAGACCCTTGTTTCAGTTTGTAGAACCTTGTAAATCCTCAAACGACAAAATTTATAATCTGATCTGTATGGAACTGTCTTGTAAAGGCCCCAAATTACCTACAAAGAAATAAATATGCGACAACCCTTGACGACCGCTCGGACGATTTAGCTGCTGTGGGCGTATGTTTTGTTGCCTGGCAACCTATCTTTATTGTCAGATGACTGACATTTATTTAGGTGAGTAATATTTGTTTGAAATGAAATAATCAAGCATATTCTGATTTCTTGTAAATGATTATTAGGCTGTTGGACTGGTATATTTGAATAGAAATGTTGCAGAGAAGTTGTTATCATTTTATATTAAACCTCCATTAGATGCTTGTTGTTATATGGGCATTGATAATGGACAACCTCCAATAAACGTGAGTAAAATTCTAAATGCTATTCATAAAGTAACAAAACTTAGACATAACAAACAGTGGCATGGACACTTTTGACTCTCCTACATGGGTTGCCATAATTTCGGCAAATGAAATGTATTTGATAATTCTACTGATTAAATGTAAAAGGAGCATACTTTTCAACGTTGTCTTGTACTTGAGCAGAAATATAATTTGTTAACACTGGGAGAAAATTTGCACTTCTTTAAATCTGTGTCTTTATAACAACTGATGAAATAAAACAGTTATTTTAAAGAACATTATCTTGTTCTGACCATACTCTTACATTCCATTTCAGCTTTCTTTGTTCTTTGATGTTCTCCTGCCAATGTTGACGGACATAACAGAAGAAGATTTTGTAGCTGGTAATAGAAGTGCCTCATATGGTAAACCGCCTCCTGCTGTTGATGAATCAACTGCCTGTATGAGACAAGCAAGACGAATACTGTGGAGAGAATTACATGGGTACAGAGTACAAAGTTGTAAGTTATCACGCCCTTCATATTGTCCCCTGACCTTCGAAGAACCAAGAGACTATGACAGTAGGTAGGTTAGTCGTTTTAGCACACAATAACTATGACGTTAATTGAGCTAGAATGTTCAAACTTGGTGTAGGCATTTATTTGCTAAATGCCTTGATGATGATGAGCGTTATCTTCTAAGCAGAGATAAGCAAGTAAGGAAAAATGACACTGAAACATCGCATTCTACTAATTACGGGTAAATTAAAGATCCATTATGTAAGATTTAGATAAAGAGCTGGCAATTCTCCGTATTTTGAAGAAAGGGAAAATAACTCCCAAATGTAAACACAATACCCAGGTATTAGTTCGTATTATTTATATTTCAAGTTTAACATATTGTACAGCTAGTAGTTTTCTCACTGAGACATACCTTCCTGGATATATTGTTTCTTTTATCTGCCACACTGAAATGTACTGTAAAGAATCGACTTTGTGTTTTTATCTTCGTAATATAAACAATAATCTTTTTTTTTCTTTAAGGTATGATAGAGTCAGGATCATTTCATTATTTAAATAATTCAGTCACAGAATACAAGAAATGTCAACAAGATTCACCTTTCAAATCCTATAACTTTAAAGATGTTGTTTGGAAAAATATTGTCCATTCAGCAATAGAGGTAGGTTGTATATGTTTTATTTTCTCAGAATTTACTATGAAAGGGCATTAGGTAGCTTATTTAATTAAGGCATGATAGTAATAACTAACGGAATTCATAGAAATAATAGTGGAATTTGTTAACTGTCAGTGTTTCCTAAAAAGGGCTTTACCTTCCTTGTTTTAGTCTTCAAATACACAATAACTCTCCTTCTGATTGAGCTGGAATGTTCAAACTTGGTGTAGGTACTGATTAGGTGAGTGTCTTGATGGAGTTCAAAGATGAACATTTTATGCTTAGGATAAACAGAGTTAAGCAATTTGATTGGTTGATGCTTTGGGACACCATAACATTGGTTCTAATTAAGTATATAGTTAGAGTGATGTGGTGTGAATTAAGGCACAGCGTACTGTTCATGAGTGAATTTACGCGGCGGCTTAGTGTACTAAACGTTAAAAAAACATAAATTAGTGTTTATAATATCCAAATAAACAGCCCATTTCATCAGATTTTTGGCCAAAGGACGACGCGTGAACACAATACAGCTGTAAACTTATGCCAAATCTGTATGCTTACTATAGAGACCGCTGAGCGTGTTGAACCAACTGTCACTTCCTGTTTTAATAAAAATTAATTTCTCACTTACAAAAACTTTTTTGCTTGTGCTACAGAGGGGATTATTTATCAATATATATTTAAGGTTTATGGAAACCTTGTTGAAAATCGTTGGTCTTCCCCTTTAACTTTAGCCAAGCAAATGTTAACTAACCCACCCTCATGTGGGCTTTACATGAAATGTCTGTGGAATTTTTTATATGCCCACATTTTCATGTGAATGTATATTGTCATTGCTCCTGTGGAAACTCTACATGTCACAATTTTTAACTGATTTTGAAGAAACTTGAAATATGGGTTTATGTCACAAAGATCTCGGTTCATTTGGATATTGGCATGTATCGGACCGTAACTTCATGGATTATGGCTCCTGATTGTACGAAAAATCACAAGTATAGCTTGTGCGACACTCTAGAATTCACAATTTGTACCCAATTGATTTTGTTTCCTTTTGATATTCCCACATATCAGACCGTAACTTCCTGCCTGATTGTATTAAATAATCGTGTTTTTAGCTTTGTGGTCCCTCTAATTTTTATCCGATTTTAAAAAACATTTAAATATATCACCGTTACACTATAATGATGGCAAGGTTTGAATTTCATGAAAATTGGACCAAAACTGCCACACCCATTTTCTTTTCTTTGTATGTTTGTGTCGCGTATAGGCCAGAATAATTAATGAATCGTCTTGAAAATTTTTTATATGAATTGCTTATACCCTAAGTATGATCCCTATTGTTTCTGGTGCATGCCCGACCCCCAGGGGCAGAGCTACGCCCATTCCTTATATTTATTTATTTGTTTGTCATCTGCAGACCGCATTTCTTAACGTATCATCTTGAAACTATGCATACTTATTCTTTGTACCCTAAGGAACATCCCTATCGTTTGGGCTGCATGTCAGACCCCCATGTCTGTGTGTCGCCTATAGGCCACAATTCTTAATCAATCGTCTTGAAAATTTTTCATATGAATTGCTTATACCCTAAGTATGATCCCTATTGTTTTTGGTGCATGCCCGACTCCCAGGGGCAGAACCAAGCCTATTCCTTATATTTATTTATTTGTTTGTCATCTACAGACCGCATTTCTTAACGTATCAACTTCACATACATATTCCTTATACCCTAAGGATGATCCCTATTGCTTTTGGTGCATGCTTGCCTCCCCGAGGCAGAGCCACGCCCATTTTTTTTATTTGGTTGTTTGTCGTCTACAGGCCACATTTCTTAACGTATCATCTTGAAACTTTACATACTTATTCTTTGTACCCTAAGGAACATCCCTATCGTTTTGGTGCATGCCCAACCCCCAGGGGCAAAGCCACGCCCATTTTCTTTTTTTTATGTCTGTGTGTCGCCTACAGGCCACAATTCTTAATCAATCGTCTTGAAATTTTTTCATATGAATTGCTTATACCCTAACGATGATCCCTATTGTTTTTTTACCCCCCAGGGGCAGAGCCCCGCCCATTTTCTTTTCTTTGTATGTCTGTGTATCACCTACAGGCCACAATTCTTAATCAATCGTCTTGAAATTTTTTCATATGAATTGCTTATACCCTAACGATGATCCCTATTGTTTTTGGTGCATGCCCAACCGCCAGGGGCAGAGCCACGCCCATTCCTTATATTTATTTATTTGTCATCTACAGATCGCATTTCTTATTGTATCACCTTGAAACTTAGCATACATATTCCTTCTATCCTAAGGAACATCCCTATTATTTGTCGTGAATATCCAACTCCCAGGGGCAGAGCTTTGCCTATTTTCTTTTTTTATGTCTGTGTGTCACTTGCAGACCGCATTTCTTAATCGATCATCTTGAAAACTTTTTTATACTTATTCCTTATAGCCTAAGGCTACTTTTTTATACTTATTCCTTAATCTTAAGGCTGACCTCTATTATTATTTTTGGTGCATGCTCAACCCCTTGGGACAGAGCCACGCCTAATGTTTGTGTGTCTTGTGTTTTGCCTACAGGCCGCAATTCTTAACAGATCCTTTTGAAACTTTGCATACCTATTCAAAACGTCGTGCTTTTAGAATAAAGACATTGACATTGTTTTAAAATAAAAATTGTGTTCTGTTAATGTGAACGAAATGTTAAACTGATAGCAGTCCTACAACCCAGTTTTATTTTACAGACCCTCAATGCAAACTGGACCATATCAAACAAAACAGGAATGTGGACGTATATTGCTGCGTTAGCGATGCTCTTGTTTTTTTTTGCAAATAGTGTAAAAGTAGTTAATACCGAGTTGTGGATCCTCTAGAAGTCGCAATTTCTTTCCAATTTTGATGAAACTTAAACTGTATGTGCATATCCCAAAGATTTTGGTTCCTTTCGATATTCGTGCATATCGGACCATAATTTCCTGGATTATGGCCCCTATCCATGACTTGCAAAATGTGGGCGTATGTTGCATGACAACTGCTTGTTATCTGAATTTAATAATCGTTTAAATATATCATCGTTACACCTTGATGGTGGTTGAGTTCGAATTTCAGGAAAATCAAAACGTAACTGCTTAACAAAATGGCCGCTCCTTGTACGCACATAGTGTAAAAGTATATAAAATATGTTTATATCCCAAAGATCTCAGTTCCTTTCGATATTCACGCATTATGGCCCCAGATTGTATGCAAAATTGCATTTTTAGCTTGTGGGCCATCTAGAGGTCACAATTTTTATACGCCCACATTTTCATGTGGACGTATATTGTCGTCGCCCCTGTCGTCCGTCTGTCCACAATTGTTTGTGAACAGTCTACAGGTCACAATTTTTATCCGATTTCAATGAAACTTGAAATATAGGTTTATCACCCTAAGATTTCGGTTCCTTTCGATTTTGTTGAAACTTGAAATGTAAGTTTATAACCCAAAGATCTCGGTTCCTTTCGATGTTCGCGCATATCAAACCATAACTTCCTGAATTATGGCCCCTGGTTGTACGAAAAATCGCGTTTTTAGCTTGTGGACCCTATGGATGTCATAATTTTTATCCAATTAAAAAAAACGTATTATTATATCACCGTTACACCATAAGGACGACTGAGTTCGAATTTCGTGAAAATCGGCCCAAAACTGACAGCCAAAATGGCTGCCCTTCGTTCTCAAATATCGTAAAAATATGGTATATCAAGGTTGTGGATCCGATGGAGGTCACAATTTTTATCCAATTTTGTTGAAACTTGAAATGTAAGTTTATAACACAAAGATCTGGGTTCCTTTCGATATTTGCGCATATCGAATTGTAATTTCCTGAATTATGGCCCTTGATTGTAGGAAAAATCACTTTCTTTTTAGCTTGTTCTCTATACATCTCTCGAAAATGTGGGCGTATCCTGCCTGGCAGCCGCTGGTTATCTGATGTAAAAGAAACGTTCAGATGTATCACTGTTATACCATAATGACACTTGAGTTCGAATTACTTGAAAATTGGACCTAAACTGCCAGACAAAATGGCCGCTCACCATACGCAAATAGTATAAAAGTATGTAATACCAAGGTTCTGGACCCTTTATAGGTCACAATTTTTATCCCATTTTGGTGATACTTAAAATATATGTTTGTATCTCAAAGATCTGGGTTGGTTCATTTGAAACTTGCGTGTATTGGACCGCAACATCCTGGAAAATGGCCCCCTCAATTCCTATGAAAAAAAAACTTTTTTGGTCTCTCGCTTAATGTTGGCATTTCTTGCTTGGCAACTGCTTTTTTAATATTTGGGGGATCTTTTAAAACAGCTGTTTTAATAAATAACTATCTGATTAAAATCACATATCAGATAAATTGTATTTTCATCACAGATTGAAATGTTTATGTTGTATCTTTACAAGTTTAATATGTTTTGAAATATTTATTATATATATTACAGCCTAAAAGTACAAGATTATCAGATGAAAGTATTGTGATCAACTCAAGTGTAAGAAGAAATGTTTGCATTGGTAACAAAACTATTGTATCGCATAGCTGTCTACATGGTCGTATAGATATTGCTAGAGATTGTATCATCTCAGGTGTTAAAATAGAGAATGTAAAGGTATTATACAGAGTGAACACAACCTCTATTATTTATTTAAGTCCCATGTTTATGTGATTGGAAGTACAGTCCACTGTCATCCCACCACTAATTACTCCAGCACCTAAACTTAAAGAGAATTATTGAAATAAAAATATATCATGTTAGTCCTGATATGATTGGGGAACCGTGGTGTGTTAGTGAGTAAGGTGCTGGTCCCAGGTTTGATCCTGCTGTTGGCCGAGATAGTTTCTCAGGATTTTCTAGGTTGGTTTTCCTTGTTGGTGGTTCAGGACAGAATACCTGGCCAGGAACAGTGATTATTAATTGGAGGGGATGTAAAAAGAACCCTTTATATTTGGAATATGCAGTAGCGTCGGTATCGAGCACACTTGTCCTCATAACACACTGGATATGTCCGTCTTCAGAAGCCAGGTGGAACAGAAAAGTAGGACATTAAACTTATTTGGTTACATTTCATTTGATTATGTCCTTTGGGGCATATGATGGGACCTTATTAAAGTGAAGACAATATTGATCGTAATCTTTGAATAACCGCTCCTGAAAGTGTGCAAAGCATTTTGCAAAGTTATCTTTATGTTGATATGTTGAATTTGGTTGGTACTGGTCAGAATTCTCTGTGGGATTTTTTAAATATTTGGGGGATTTTTTAAGACTTGCTCAGCTGGATTTGCTGACACACACAATTGCAGGTGGACAGCCCCCATTTATGTTAATAAATTAATTTCATGTAATAAGAAAGTGTGGTTTCTATTTACATGGGATAAATATATGTGTTAAACATTGCCTTTCTATTTCTATTTGTCAGGATGACGAGACTGTAGAGATTGCTGAAGATATTGTTCTGCAAGGTTTCAATATTAAACTTAAAACATTCCCTGTCAAACAAAATGTATTTACTGTACATGGAAGATTTGACAATATCAAGGTAAATATGTAAATATCATTCCTGAAGCATTTTAGTGAAGTTCTGATATCCAAGATATAAGGATCACACTATAATATAAATAGATTACCGTAAACACCTGCATATAACACACACTTTTATACCCTGGACAGGGCCCCCTGAACTAGAGGTGTGTGTTATTTACGGAAAAACAAATTAGGAACTTTTTCCATCAATTTTAATGCATGAAAGATCAAAGTCCTTGTTCTATCACAGCCCTCCATCAGCCATCAAGTTGGTTCACATTAGATGTTAGATTATTCTATGACTATTTGTATATTAACAGGCACCAACATGGAAGACTACTAGTACATTCTGTAACACACCCTGGTTACTCTTTCTCAACCGAACTGGTATATTAAGAGAGGATCTGTGGGGTACAGAAGTGGTAAATTTACAATGTTACATAAACAATGCCTAATTTAAAGTCTTGAGATCATGGGAGTGAGTTAAATAAGGAGTAAAACACATCTACTCACATCAATCATTTATAACACACCCTAAAAAATTATGTTGAAAAAAGAATTCAGTCAGTTTTACAGACTTTATGGATGAATGTTTTGAAATCCAAGCTATTTAAGAGTTATGTGTTTGTTTGTGAACTTTTAGATTACCTGTTCCCCATTGTTTTTGAACTGTCCATTTTAAGTATTTTTATTCTAATAGCTCTACAGGGAAACATATCATTGACAAGAGGGGCATATACTGGAAAGCACATTTAATTGTTGTAGAGAACTACTTGATGAAGAACATTTGGAATATCAGAAAAAAGAGTTGATGCCATAATGTTTTATTGAATTTATTTAGTCAGTCATGTATAAATTAAGAGGAGTCCTATATATTGTTTTAAGTTATATTAAACTGGTTCTTCTCTGCACCACTGACTGCAAAATTCAAAACTTTTAAATGTTTGGGTGTTAATTTCAGAATCATCTAAAAATGGCTTCTGTAAAATACTCAAACTAAGTCACCACCACTTTTGTTTTGCCAGTTCACAGTAATAGTTGGAGTAATTTTGGGGGATCCATTTTATGAGACTTTCTGTTTATGAGACTTTTAAAATGGTCTCAAAGTTTAATTGATACAGTTATAATGTATGGTTTTTCTTTATGTATTCATTTCTGTTTTTTTTTTTAGGACAATGATGATCAAACATTTCTTACTGCTAAGTTGTTTCCAGTTTTCCATGCAACTAGTCCTGTAGGGCTTAAAGAAATATTATGGATGCAGGGTACAGTTAATGATGATGAACAAAAAACAATACTCAAAAGGTTTGTATGTATGGTTTAATGGTCGAGAGCGAGACATTAAGTAATATATTGATACTGCACGAGGCATTGGCCGAGTGTTGTTTCAATATATTACACAATGTCTTTAGCTCGAGACCATTAAACAACTTAAAATACAGACACTATCCCGCACATGCTTTTCAATGAAATACGTCACGCAAGTCCAATATTTCATCTAGTATAGATAATGTACGATTGGCAAGTTGCCCGTACATTATTGGAAATAATGCTACGCCAACATCAAAGGATGACGTCACATCTGTATTTTAAATATAAATAACAGTTGTTCTGATGGGAATATTTCTCTTAATTTGCAATTAAAAATGGATTAAATTCTTTTAGGTATTCAAACAGCTTGTCTGGACAATATGGTAGGGCACTTTCATACGAAAATGCATTTTTCTCAGCAATTGTTTTGATTGTACAATCTCTTGGGAATAGTGATTGCCACTATTGTTTTTTTTTAAACCATCTGAATTTATGAAAATATGAATTATTTTTTTTTTAGTTTAGATTACATAATTGAAGAAATTATTTTAACAAAGTATTCATGCAGAAAAATTGTATCATTTCTCTTTTCTTCCCACAAAAAGATGGAGATCATCGTGGAGATTATCATTTGAAGAAATCTTAGCTTTCACAGATTCAGAAAAAGAATTCCAATATAAAAAGTTAGTGATCTATTTATTCATACTTAATAGACATTCTAATTTAATTACAGTTTCATTAAGATAGCCTTGTTTTTCACTCACTTAGTTTTTCTGCAATATTCTGCTATTCACTGGTTAATCGCTCATAATAAATTCACAAGTTGTGACGTAGTAGTCGTTATTGTCATTATGCACTTTTATATTAACGTACTTAGAGCTCTGGTTAATCCCGATTGATTTGTTACACCGTAATGCATTGGTTTTAAACCTGACTGTTTTAACCAGTCATAATTTGGGACAGAAATCATCAGTCAGTCCAGCAGTGTTGACTGGGATTATATCTAATCAAATGAATATGGGATCTTCCAAATCAATATATTTTCCTTAATCTGTTATTTTTGAATACTAGTTGATTGAATACTAATCATTACAATGTATAATGTTAATAAATATTTTCTTTAGGAGAGGAAAACTAGTCAATATTCTTCAGCTTTAATGATATTGAATAACTAAAACCAAAAAATCATTTCAATAGCCTCGAAACAATATTTTGTGTGATGACTATATTTGATATCATTTACTATAGAGATCTATTCTATGAGGTTGGTGGTTATCAGATAGAACAAGCTTTAAATAATCAAGAAAATGTTGGATTTCGTAAACTGTATAATACTGCCAGTAGGGAAGGCTATACTCAAGCTATTTTCAACATATTAGATAAAGGTGAGTAAATATATTACTGTTAACAACTAAACATGTTTGTGGTACAGGGGAACCACTGTGGTTCAGTGAGTAAGGAGCTGGCTCTCTGACCCAGAGGTCCTAAGTTAGATGCTGAGAAATTTCCTCAGGATCCTCCGGCATGGTCCTGTGTATACAGTTGGAATTTGATTAAAAAGTTGGCGATAGCTTCAAGTGCTACACACATAGTTAACCAGTTTTATTCACTGTATATGAGATGGCACATTAAGTTTTTGAAAGACACTTAGACGGAAAAGATAACATTGATATCACAGGACACAAGTATTATACATATATATATTGTGACACACTGTGTTCTATGATGTTAGCATCATTTAGGGGACCATAATGTGGAATAAGTCCTTGATTTTGGTGTGATGATCTTTTTGCTTGATGATGCCCATCCTTGATGAATAAATGATTTATTGATGTGTTTTATTTTCAGTTGCTAGTAAAACTGATAGTCCAGGTGTAGCAGCTCGAACTCTGGCTAATATTGGAGATTTATTAGGCTCTATGGCAGAAAATAAAGGTGGTTTAAGAAGTGGTCCAGCTGCTAACAATGCCTGGAGAAAAGCTTTTCAACTGCTTGAGGTACATAGTATAATATTTAGTTCACATTATGAGAATATGTGAAATCGTACTACCACCTATTCATGAAATAGATTTAATGAGAATTTTACAATGCAGAGGCCCAATTTCATCCAATGAAAAGTTCTATATCACTAGAGGTATATATTTTGTTTCCTTTTAATATACCATTTTGTGTCGATAACAATTCAGGTGACTTTAAAATGCCTCTGATTGTATTTTTGATCACATAGCTGTTGCAGTTTTTTTATACGTTGCCCCTGTCCGTCTGGACGTCTGTTCTTATAATTGTATCTTTAACTAATTATTTGGTTCACACTTTCTATAGAGTCAAATCATGAATTTGAATGATATATTTATATGTAAAAAAAACAGTGATATTTGAATGATATATTTATTTATAAAAAACAGTGATATTTTGGTAAAATCCTTACCATTGTCAGTATATCCATCAAATATTATCTTGTTCATGACATGTGTTTGGTAGACCAAATAAAGTAATGTTCTCCCCCCGCTCTTTGGGGAATGGGGATAAACGGCAAGGTCAGTCTACGACATACAGAAATTAGGGGGGTATAAATGAGGGTGTTGAGCGAAATTCATCGGAGCTCATCCAGATATTCCGAGCAGCTATCATCTATACTTTATTGAGAATGAGAAACATTGAAGCCAGCAGATTTAGTTGTAGAAATGAACTAACTTTAGTTTTATTTACGATCACGAAGGAAACACAAGGAAGTTTGATATTACTGCAGTGGACACTCTACAGGTGACAATTTTTATCTGATTTTGACGAAACTTTAAATACAGGTTGATATAACAGATCCTGGTTCGATATTAGCATTTTTTAGCTTGTTCTCTGTCCATCTCTTACAAAATATGTGGGCGTGTCTTGTATGGCAACCACTTGTCATTTAATTACAGTAATTTTGATATCGACTACATTTTATTACTTGATTCATCTTGCATTCCTATATCATATTTCTGTGTCAAAACCTATAATAAGTCTTTCCGTTATTTATGTATTTATAATATTTATACCCATTCCAGACCAGTTTGAGGTAAATGTGTATTCTGAGATGATTATCATACTGTTTGTCCTGTTAGTAAATGTGTAACCTAGATTAAAATTATCATTTGTCTTGTTTGTAAATATATATATTATTTGTCATATTGTTATAAATTTATGTACATGTTTATATTGTACAGCTGTCCTCAATGGATGTTTCGATACAATAAAATCTTATCTTATCTTACTACATCAAGCCCATTGAGTTAACAATAGAAAGATATACAATAAATATTCAGTGTGTTTAAATTATTCATTTGATAGAATGGCAAACATAGCAAACATTTTACCTGTAAGGATATTAATAGTAAATGCAGGGGACTGCACCACACACAAACAATTACTCAAGACAAATCTATGAACAAGATATGATATACAGACATCACAAACATCACAAACAACAAACATACATATCAGATAAAGTGAATGGATCCGGCCGCTAGCTGTAAACATCCACAGCACTGTACAGTGATACAGACTTCTCTCAAAATGAAAAACAAACTAACAATAAGGGAATATTTCTGAAACGTTGCACAATACTAGTGTGAGCTATAATCAGCTATCTACTTCGTGAAATATAAATGTAGGCACATTGAAGGAAAATACCTTTACGAGTAACCATTTACGTGAAATGTAGTAAAGGGTCAAGTAAAAACTAAATGACCTATATAGGTAGTCAAAAATTAAAAAGTAAGGATCAAAACATTATAAGAGTGCGAATGAATTCAAATGTATTAATTACAAAGTTCGGGCGTAAGTTCTTATTTATATTTACCAGAGCAAAAACTAAAACTGAATACAAAATTGTGACTAGCCTAGACGGCGGTCGTCTACTGAATGACGTTACGTAAAGGTGGTAGTTTGCCACTTGACGTTATAAGTTAAACTAGATAAGACAACCCTAAAAGGGTTAAAACTGACAATTTAGGAACAAATGCACACAAAATATATATCTTTTATTCATTTTTTACATTTTAATATTTTTCCAGGATGATCAGTTGGAAGCTGGAGTTGAAGCTCTAGCTACTGTACGAACAAAATGGTTGAATCGACCAGATTTATTGGTCAGAGCTGCAAGGCATTATGAAGGTGCCGCTCAAATACTCATTAGAAAGGCAGTGATGACGGCAAAAAAGGTATTTAATTGGATAGTCATTTGGTTTAGTAAAACGTCTCCAGACTAACTATTTTTCCTCATTGTTATTGATGTTCACAGCTTCTGTAAACACTAGATATTGTCAGCCTACTCATTTAAAGATACTTTCCCAGAAAAGTATTTATCGTGTGGTTATTTCCAATAAAAGGATGTCAAATTTGGTAAATATGGAAAGTATAGACACCCCATCTTACTAGAAAAATCCTGGATTACCCAAAAAAATGCCCATGGGGCAAGCACTGGGCAAAATTGTCAGGGTATCACTAACTTCCAACCCGACTGTTATCTGCCAGCTTATTGTGTGCCAGCTTAAATTAGGGAGTGGCTGTTTTTTCTTGATCAAATGGTTAGGCCGTTTTGGGAACATTGAGGGGTGTCAACGTACAAAAGACTCTGCAATTAAACGGCGGAAAACAAAGTTGACAGAAATAATTAATAATTTACTTAGGCCTCAATATGTATGGTAAATGTACAGTAAGTAATGATAGATACATTTTGAAAAATGGACCCTCCCACAATGAAGCTACGTTGACAGACATTGCGTCTAACAACAGCTTACTTATAGCTATAAGTATCCCCGGCAAATACAAAGTTTTGGGAGAGAATTGAAGCAAATTTTTGATAGATTGGTTACTTTGAATATGTTTTAAGTCCAAATATATCATCAATTCACAAAGTTTGTACGCGGGAATGTATCTTTAAAAAATAACAGAAGCCAGAATTTTAGATCACTAAGCTTCGATTCTCTTAATGAGATTTTAATGAAATATAATTCTTGATAATTTGGTATGTAACGAGTAATTGGTACACATGCTCGATTTCTGCATATTTATTTCATGTACAGGTTCCAAGTTTCATGGAATTATAAAAATTAAGGTGAATGTAGTTTAATTACTCGGATTGTGAACTGAGTGAGGCTGCATTCACCACATGGTCGATTCTCACAAAGGTATGACTGAAAGATAAGATGAAAAGTTGATTACCTTCTTAATCAACAAGTAACAATCAACTCGTCGTAATGCAGCCAAAGTAGATGGATAAATATAAAAATATTGTATAAAAAATACATGTACTAAACTTGGGGTTACATATATACTGTTGGGTTAGGTGACATCTTTGACTAGTTTGTACATGTGTACAGCTGGAAATGGTTCCACTACTGACATAGGCGTACAGGGAAATTTTTGACTGGGGGGGGGGGGGGCGGTGGTGGTTGGTGCCCAAAAAATGTAGTTAGGTTCTTAGTATGTTACATAATAATAATAAATTCGCTGTTAAATTGGACACATTCAAGAACACAATATTTTTTTATACAACTTTTACAAAGTACAATTGTGTGCCCAAATTTTCCCAGCATTTGGTGCCCAAAATGGGGGGGCAGCCGCCCCCCCCAGCCCCCCCAGCTCGTACGCCTATGACTACTGATGTCTTCCGCCTTACTCCAGCCACAGAAGTGACTCGTCCTACGGATTTCCTTTGAGCAAGTTTATTAGTCAAATGAATACAAAAGGTTTACTGGCCTATAGCTCCCTTAATTTACACATAAACTGACCCCACATACTTCACATAGCTTAACATATAATAAACCAATTCCCATTGAAATAAAGGTGAAGCCTTACCGCATAATTATATGATTCGATGAAACCCAACTGTTGTGCGAAATTTCTCTGCTATCCAACTTAAAATGTCCGCCCAGTCAGAAATAGCATGCACACTCTATCTCACGTGATCATGCGTCACTTTCCATATATGGCCTTCATGTCCATAATTATATGCTAATGACTTTAGCGTGGGAAAAAATGTCAGAAACAGTAATAAACCTTGTGTAGCAGAGGATGGATATTAATTTCTCACTCAAACGTAAACAAAAGTTGATTATCGACTATGTTGTTCAAAAGTCGGATGTAATGGGCCTCTTACCATCTGGATTTGGCAAATCTATAACATTTGTTATGATCCCATATTCTCTGACAGTAACCGAGCGCAGTAACACGGCATTATAAGGGAAGCAGTATTTTAGACATTTCACCTGGTTGGTGTCATAGCAGCTTGTACATTTTAAGAAATATCGCTTCGAAAATGTAGAATGCATTACCACAAAGAAAAACTGTTTGGTAACTATTTTAGTGGTCCAGTCGTCACTATTTGTGATAGAATTACTTATTTCAATACAAACTGTTATGATATGTGTTGACAATTGTGCGTTTGAACATTTGTACTTGCGCAAGGAGTCTTAGACTGTATCAATTGTGGCACTAAACACAGTTTAACATTACACATTTGTAGCTAGTGAACAGCTGGCATCAAGAGGAGAAACCACGAAATTAAGTAGATGCATAACAATGTAATTGGTTTAATCACTTAATTACTTGATCCAACATATATTAGTATGAGTTTTACTAATATGAGTATCCCGCATACTCATATTACTTGAGTAAACATCTATCACTTAATTAATCCTGCATACTCGTATTACTTAATTGTCTCCCACCTTTCGAAGAAAGCAGAAGACCAATAAAAATTTTGTCTGTCTGTCTGTCCATCACACTTTTTGGGACACAATAACTCTCCTTTTAATTAAGCTAGGTGTTTGTTAGGTGAATGTCTTGATTGAGTTCGAAGATGAGCATTTTCTGCTTAGGGTAAACAGAGATAAGCAATTTGATTGGTTGATGCTTTGGGACACGATAACTTTAGTTCTAGTCAAGTGAGAGTGATGTATAGTGTATAGTTTTATTACATCAATACCTTGACTAAGTTTGATAATGAACATTTTCTGCTCAGGGTAAGCAGAGCGATAAGCAATGTGATTGGTTGAGACTTGGGAACACAATAAATCTCCTTCTGATTGAGGTAGAATGATTGGTTGGTTGATGCTTTGGAACACAATAACTTTAGTTCCAATTGGGTAAGAGTGATGAAACTCAGAGTAGAGATTCATAATATCATTACCTTGATTAATTTCTATAATTGAATTTTCTACCTAGGCTAAGTAGCAATAAGCAATTTGATTGGTCAAGACTTTGGAACATATAATAACTCTGCTTTTAATTGAGCTAGAATGCTTAAACTTGATGTAGATGTTCATTAGGTTCAATGATTAACATTTCCCTCTAAAGATAAGCAGAGCTAAGAAATTTCATTGGTCGATGCTTTGGGACAATATAACTTTGATTCTATCTGATAGAGAGTGATGAAACTTAGTGTATAGTTGATTAAAAGTTTGATTGCTCGATACTTTTGAAAAAAATAAATGTGTAATTAATTAATATGTGTCATCTATTTATTTTGGAATTTCGGCAGTGAACATCAACCTCACTGCTAGCTTGTTAATCCTGTATCCTCTTATACTTAATGAATCCCGCAAATTACTGTATCAGGGGTAATTGGAATTAGTAATAAATATATATACTATCAATACAGTCAACCTTTTGATATTTGATTCACCATATCTTGATGTCCTAATCAACAGATTTGATAACCAATCCAGACAAATCAGAATCAGTGGTGCACCCACATCCATTCACAAGGCGAATTGTTACCATTCACTATTGAGATCAAATAATACATTTTCAAAAATGTTGATTTGTTCATCTGATTGAAAAGAAGTCACCTGTTGATTCTAAAGGATTTCAGACAATTAGTTACTGGAGTTACAGTCATTGACTTACAAATCTTGTAATTTTCAATGTGTTTTCCTGTCGACCCTGTCCGTCCACAATTTGTTTGTGGACACTCGACAGGTCACAATTTTTATCTGATTTTGATGAAACTTGAAATAATATAGTTCTTTCTCACGAAGATCTCGATTCCTCTCGATATTGGCATGTATTGGAGCATAACTTCATAGATTATGGCCCCCGATTGTTCGAAAATTCGTGTTTTTAGCTTGTGGACACTCTAGAGGTCACAGTTTTCATCTGATTTTAACTTGAAATACATGTTTATAACCTAAAGATCTTGATTCCTTTCGATATTCGCACTTATCGAATTGTAACTTCCTGAATTAAGGCCCTTGATTGTACGAAAAATCATGTTTGTAGCTTGGGGTCCCTCTAGAGGTCACAATTTTTATCTGATTTAAAGAAACGTTTGAATATATCACCGTTACACCCTAATGATGGTTGAGTTTGAATTTCGTGAAAATCAAACCGAAACTGTCCGACAAAATGGCCGCTCCTGCACACAAATACGAAGGTTGTGGACCCTATAGAGGTCACAATTTTTGTCAGATATTGATGAAACTTAAAGATATATTTTTATATCCCAAACATCTCATTCCCTTTTGATATTCGTGCATTTCAGACCATAACTTCTTGGATTATAGCCCTCGATTTTTTGAAAAATCATGTTTGTTTTTTTAGCTTGTTCTCTATCCATCTCTTGCAAAAAATGTGGGCATATCTTGCCTGGCAGCCGCTGGTTTCAAAATTTAACGATAGATTGTTTATAGCTTATTGTACGATAAAACTGGGGTCTGTTGTATTGAGTTTTACCATATTGAACAGAAACTCTTCAGATCTGTTTCTTGCATTTAAAAGATAATGAAGAGAAGTTCAGACTCTTGATTTAGATTAGTTTAGGGCGGCATTATTTTCTGACACATTTACTGCCTGGTTACTCCTCAAGCTGCTGGTGGACCATGGTTCATTGCCTGGCAATATGTTTTATAATTTGTTTGTATTTTTATCTTCAGTTTTTTACAGTAAGTAAATGCATCCCAATATTTTGCAACTTGCCTGCATCCCCTTATAAATAATTGCATTTTTGGCAGGGTAAGGCCATACAAAAATTAATATTCTGGTTCTTATACAATCCTGCAAAAACATCTGAGGCTTAGGGAGTTTTTTATTATATTTTATTTAATCATAAGATTGGTCTTTGGGCCAAATGAGTTCTCACAAACTTCACATTTCAAGTCTCTACATTTATCTCATCTATTTTTCATGCGGTTTATAGGAATTCACTAACATATTTAGTAATTCTTGTGTTACATAGCCACAGTTTACCTCTGTTACTGTAGTGAAGTGGTTTACAAACATTGTATGTTAAGCGGTTTACAAACATCTTCATTTACAAGCAGTAACTAATAGTCTCGATCTATCAGATAGTCCAATGTCATTTATGACTGTCGATAACATTTATCATGGTTGTATATTTTACTAATTTAGCCTACAATACACTTCAGATTTCAACCGGAAATGTATAATAGAGTTACTTCACTTTTCCGTGGTAAATAAGAAACCTTCTTTTAGTTTTAAAAGAATATAATCATGTCACATAGACAAAACAGTATGAGGACCAGAATATTTGTTTTTTAGTAACAGGCCTAAAGGTGATGTTTTTATGAGTAATGTCAATTAATAATTGAATTTAGAATATTAATTAAATATAGAACGTCAGTTGTTATGGTTGATGTTTTTAATCCTTTTAGCTTTACAGTGTATATAAGTTAGAGAATGGATTGTAATTATTAATTTTCAAGTTAAAATGTCTTGTTTGATATATTTACAATTTTAAATTGTTAAGTTCAAACGTTATTTTTATTACATTTTGTATTATGGTCTTTATATTACCCTACCTATATGTCATCATATTTTTTATTTATACCTAAATAGTAGTAATTTTCAGCGATGGTGACTGGCTTTAGAGCTTCGCCAGAAAATAGGGAAAGGAATATAACTTCTGTCACTAGGGTCTAAAAAGAAGATAAAATATATTAGAATATTTATCACAAAAATTGCTCATAAAATTTCTCAAGTTTTGCATTCATGGAAGCAAAAAGAAATTCACCAATAGTCAATAGTTCATTATCACCCCTATTATCAATTTCTCATCTTTTTCTTTCTATTTCACATTTCCCTTGTCTTTCGCAGCCTCAGTTTATAGCAATATAGTTTATTGTTTGTTTTCCTATTAGGCAACTTTCTACCATATAGTGCAGATATGTATATAATATAGGTGTTTGTTTGTTTATTGTATAGTTGATACCTGCATGTTTATCTGTTTATTATTTATCCACCTTTGTCATTGGTTATTGATTGTTGTTTATTGACATTCTAGAATGCTGCCTGCAAAGTTCAGAATTTTTAGTCCCTCGATAAAACTTTTAAGTATTCCTCTCTTTGACAATCTGTTGAAGAATGTAATTTAACTACAAAGAAAAGCTTTATTATTGTATTTTTTTCGCTTGATTTAAGACTGGCTGATTATTGGATTGCTATTCTGGTAAAAAAAAACACCAGCATTTGCTTAATAATTATGGCTTGCATGTGTCATTTTCACTGCATGTTGATCTCCTATTTAACTGGTACTTTAAATCAATCAGTTCAAAGCCCCAGGACCCCTGTTCCTCTTGTTCGAGTGTTGATAAAAAAAAACCCATCTAACTTTGTCACACATTCAGATAAAAGTCGGTTGCATAATTACATAATGTCCTAGTTGGTTTGAAATAGATATTTTAATATTTGCTATTATGGTAATTTGAATTCATTTTTAAATTAATTTTGTCAATTACATGAAGTTTTAAAAGTTTATGAAGCATTAAATTCTAAAATATAACACCCAGTTTAAACTAGCTGTCCTATTATTATGTTCTTAGACAATAGAATTAGTCATTTATTATGGTAAGAAACTGTCTTCTTCAATCTTCTTGATTATACTAGACCAGATTTTGACTAACAACCAATCAATGGTATATATTGTTATTGTTGGTTACCTATAGTAAAAATGGGTTAATTATCTTTAAGTATATGGATCATAATAAAGCGGATGTACCAATGATTGGTCAGTGGGTTCGAGCAGATTGTCCAGCTAGAATAGATTTAGCAGGTGGTTGGTCTGATACTCCACCTATAACGTATGAACATGGGGGTGCAGTTACAATAGCAGCACTTCTTATCAATGGAAAGGTAATATTTACCTTATTACATACTGGTAAACAGTTATTGTTGTATATTTGATTATTGATCTTAATGTTATAATATACTCTTCAAATAATATACAAAACTGCGGAAATGCACAGCTGTTTTTATTAGAGGTAACCAGTGTATGTTAATAACAGGCCAATTGCCCACACATGAACATAAACAATTCATATGGGCGGCTTATCTGAAGGCCCCATTTCACTAGCAAAGAGATACACCGTAAAAGTGAAAACAGACGTTTTTGATTTTTGTCTTAATATTGAGTAATTGCTCCACCAATCCTCAGACATTCAGCAATTCGTCGTGACATGCTCCTTATCAACCGTCCAATCACGATTTGGGGCAATCTGACCCACTCCTCTTGCAGTGCCACGGCTAATTCTTGCAGTGTTGTCGGTTGACGTTGAAGTGTCAAATTTGACAAAGAACCCCTCCCACGTGTATGGCGCTATGCGTGTAGCAGGTGCAGCTCATGGTTCTATTGGTGGTGATAAGTTCTTCATCTGTGAACATACTCTCAAAGCATGTCAAGTTTCCATGACTATTTATCATATCACAACCTGTATAGGTATTTGCATTTCAATATCCCCTACTTTTTTTGAAGAGTATTATTATGCCTTCTGTCACCCAAATCTGACTATATAACTGATTCCATGATTTCATTGATGTTACGGATACAAGTATCGTACTAGGTATTATTTTAATTTCTTTTTCTAGAGACCAATCGGAGCAAGAGTGAGAAGAACAGAGGAGTAAGTAAAACATCTATTAAAGCTGTTATGGTAGTTAGCTGTATTAACTCAAACAACAAGTGGTAAAAGGTGTTGTAGGAAAAGTGGACATACCCTGCCTCATGCATGATATTTTTCATGGCTTATGATAAGAAATGAACTAATTCTTCATTCACCATTTTGATCAGGTATTTTCCATGTATTCTATTTTAGGCCTGTTATCAAATTAGAGATTGTTGGTGCTCAAGGAGATAAGAATACAGTTGTGTGTTCTGAATTATCACATTTAAAAGATTATTGTCAACCCCATGCAGCTGGTATGTTATTAATATTATAAGTTTTATTAGTCCACCAGGACAATTACCGTTTCTACCAATCTTCCTTGTGTCAAAATATTCTTCAGAACCACTGACACTGGGTAAATTCCAACCAAGTATCAAAAAGAATTTCAGTACATCCTGGTGTTAAACAGATTATAACCTGAAAACAGAACATTCAGGTAGTGACATAACTGTGTTGCAGGTCTAGTGACAATTTATTTTTAAAAAATCAATTTGTTATTTGTAAAAAGTTTGCCTGTCTTAGAGGATAAAGCAATTTGGAATTTTTTGCATTCCAGGACAGGTATTTCAGTTTGCTATTTTGATAAATCTGCTGCTTAGAGCAGTGTCAGTTGGCTTGATAGCATTTATGACAATAGCACTGTTGGCAAAGAATTAGTTTATGTTCCCTGCACTTTTCACATCTTTCGCTTTTGTTTCACATGAAATAGTCTTGGTAATCCAACTCAACTGCTGCTTTCGGCCGCTTTATATTAGTACATATCTCAACACATTAATCCATAAAAAAGACATAAACAAAAATCAGAGAACATTATTTAGTACACATGGTAAAAGTTGTATATTTGATTAAAAAGTTCGGTTTTGAAATACTTTTTAGAACCTTATATAGAATTTGCACTTTTGGTTTTGTTTGATATTAAATTCCATAACTTCGGAGCACCGATTGCAAAAGATCCATCACTGGAATTGGTTTTTGAAAAAAGGCTTAATTAAGATGTTTTCTGATCAAAGGATTCTGCAAGGTTTATTGGTGTTGAGAAGGTCTGTAAGGTATTGAGGTGAATAAACATCATTTAGAGCAGAATTAGACAGTATTTTGAAATTGATATGTTGACGGATTGGAAGCCAATGGAGATCTTTAATAATTGGTGTCATATGTTCATTTGGTTTAGCGGGAGTTGGATGGCCGAATGGTTAGCACGTGTGCACTGTATCATAAGGTCTGTCATTGAGTCAACACGCGTGGTTTCGATTCTCCAGTTGTACGTGACAAAGAGTAGGGTCGCCTGTCCAGCCTTGTGGGTTTTCTCCGGGTCATCCAGTTTCCTCCCACTACTAAGGACCCTACGCGCAAGCGAATTATTGAAATAAAATTAAACCATGTGTTAGTCCCAAAATGACCTAGTTTCGAGTGCCTCTCTCTCTCTCTCTCTCATTTTATTTAGTCTTGGTTATGATCCGGGCTGCTTTATTTTGAAGTTTCTGAAGTCGTTTAATTTATTTTCAGGTAGATTGTACAAAAGTGAATTACAGTAGTCGAGTCTTGATATAGCCATAGCGTTTACCAGCAATTTAGACGTGTTACTATCAATAAATTGAAAAATCTAATTTTTCCAATATCATAAATCTGAATATTTATACTTTTACACATGGCAGAAATGTGTATATTCATGTCCAGGTTAGAGTCAAAATAAACACCAAGATTTTTTATAGAATCTGTTGGTGTAATAGAGATATTGCCAATTTGTTAGTCATCAAATTGAGTCCCAAACGATGTTTGTGTTGAGTCCCAAATGACATGCTACCGGCTAAGTTTGGGCAGAGGTGATGATATGGTTAAGACCACCATTATTTTGTTTCAGGAGCATTACTCAAGTCTGCCTTCATCTGTACTGATGTAATTGATTTAAATAGTAACATATCTCTTAGTGAGCAGCTAAAAACTAATTATGGTGGAGGATTTGAGATGCAGTCTTGGTCTAATTTACCACAAGGTTCTGGTTTAGGTACAAGTAGTATTTTAGCAGGAGCTGTGATTGGAGCCTTATTACGTGCTGCTGGTAAATGTTGTACGTCTAACAGTTTGGTTCATGCTGTAAGTTAGTTCTTTTATTCCTTGTAATACAGGCATAGCTGAACTTGTAAAAATAGCAATTAAGTAACATCTTTTATATTGTTGTTACCTGCATCCATCGCTAGTTGATCCATCCAAATTTTGTAGTGAACACTTAACACACTACAGTTCTTGACAAATGCAAAACATAGCCATAGTGGCTCAGTGAGGAAGGTGCTGGCTCGCTATTAGGTTCCGGGCTCAATTCTAGTTGGGGATGAGAAAGTTCCTCTACATAGTATCCCCCCTGTCAGTGGTGCTTGATGGAGAACTACCAAGGAACAGCTTTTGACAAATCATGTTGGTACTTAAATATATGATATATTTTCAGGTTTTATATTTAGAACAATTGTTAACAACAGGAGGGGGATGGCAGGATCAAGTTGGAGGATTAATGGGAGGTTTTCAGTTTGGCTACTCGGATGCTAAATTACCACTAGAGGTGAAAACTGTTCCAATAGAAGTTGCTCCTGAAACAGTTACTGCTTTTAATAAACGCTTGTGTCTTATTTATACTGGTAAAACAAGACTAGCTAGAAATCTTTTACAGGTAATATTCTTAGAAATTGATTATTTACGTAATTTAAATGGATGGTTTTATAATACCACATTCATCCACTGCAAATCAGTCAGCAAAATTTGTTTGACTGTATAAGCTGAAAAAAATAGTTCATCCAGCAGTCAGACTTGGACATATGTTCAAGCTATATAATGAGAGTCAGCTACTGTCACCTTATATATTAGTATAAATATTGGTATAAATAATCAGTTGACTTTTGGAGCATTCTTGTGATAATACTGTCAATTAAAATTACATGCTATTTTATATATTCAGTTTATTTGGTTGATAATTCTATTAAACATGCATTATGCAAGAGCTAAATCTGATTATTGCAAGTCTTAATTTAGGCTTCAGGTGTTATAGAAATTATAAATTAGATCTTTATTTAAACAACAAGACCAAAATCAACTCTCTAGACCCACGGATGGCTCAGCTACAGCTCGGATTTAAATAGGATTTCACTAATTGATTAAATCAAATAAGGGGTAACCTGATGATAATACGTCAAGTTAGATCAAGGCTAAATGATAGAGTGTACTTAGCGAGGCCGCTGTAAAGCGTTTCCGTATGCCATTGAAAACTTTACTTGATAATTGAGATATGTAGGTGGAGTTAACGCCTGTCAATCAAACGATCGCCGAAGGTGAACACGCATTTCGCTACCATTTTTAGTCAAATATTACCACGATGATAACTATGTTCAGAATAAAGTAGTTTGACTGAATTTTTCAATATATTCTTCTTTCATCATCTACTTTTGAACTGTTATAGCAAGAATGGCCAACTCTCTATAAAAATCTCCCATAATGTATCTTTAACATATAAAGACATGTTTAAGAAAATGGTATTATTGGCCTGTGATGACAGCAAAATAGTACCTGTGACCTTTGTTAGACAGATAATCAAAACCTCCCTAATGATTTGAGAAACATTCAGTACACAACAGTAGTATGCGTTTAGTTTGGTAGGTGGTAGATTGATCTAGCGTCAACCAATGACAATCTACTGAATGAAGTAGAGTCAAGTGGATAAAACAAAATGAATTATGAAACCTAACAAAATTTTGGTATAGTTTTAATTAGACTGGTGATAATACAGATCCATGTTTAAACTGTATTTGTTGATTACAAATTACTGTATATTATGTGTTTTAAAAATCATGAATAGAGTGATAAGACCCAAAATAATACGGGGGCATTACAAATTTGAGCATAATCAGAGTTCTGCAAAATATGGTTTATGTCCTCTGCATTAATTTTGTTGTTAACTGTGTACATTTTTATAGTGTCATTGAAACCCAGATTATATGTTATGTTTGAAGGATGTTATAAGAAATTGGTATGCTAGAAATCCATATATTGTTCAAACAGAAGATTTACTTGTATCAATAGCTGGTGACTGTAAAGATGCTTTGATGAAAGGTAAGTTTATTCACATCTTGCTTTAATCAATTGATAATCAATTCATGGTATTTGCAGTTAATTACTCTATGATCTGAGTTACATCCCTTGCTCTTGTTTCTGCAAAATTGATTTGCAAATCACCTCACCGAAGAAATGGTGCATTAATTATTCTCCCTAGCCAACATCAAGTTCATGAGATAAAGAAGCCTGTTGATAACGGTTACCAGTTTTGGCAAGAACTTAAAGCCAAATAAATTTTAATTGTTTATACGCACTTCATAGATTGTGACTCTTTGTCATTTAATGTCTTTAAAATGCAAAATAATAAATAATGTGACAACTAACATGGACTACTTGCATAACCACTCAGCAATGGTAAAACAATGTTGGTTGTGCTGGAATGCCTACTTATTTAAATATTTTGATGTACACTTAGGTAATTTGAGACCATAATGAATTTTTTGTGGTCATTAAAGGGGCATTATGGAAGATTAAATAAATGGTCGGCAGTTTGTCTCACTATAATAGTTAAAAAACTAGATAATGTAAAGGAAATATGCTGAATATTTCAGTCAAATTGCTCCACTCTGAACCAAGATATTAGCGGTTGAATTTAGGCCTAGCCTCAAACATCATTACTAAAGTCGGTACGATAAAAAACATAGTCCATTTTTGAGCGTTAAGCAGCAAATCAGATTCAAATCCACTGGAAATCTGACACATAAAATGGCATCAAGAGTTGTTTAAGGTCTTTTCATGTTAATGAATGTCTAATTAATAGTTTATATTAACATTTCAGGCCCAAAGAAACACCTGCAATAGGCAGATTTAGTTCTTGCATAATGTATGTTTAACTCTTGGACATACATATATACAAGATGTCATTATACTCAAAGAAACATATTTTTAACCTACATGTATTTATTTTATATCTTATTTATTTTGAGTTTCTCATCTCCTATGGTTAATTCTATTATAAATACAGGAGACCTAGATAAAACTGGTCAAATAATTGATAAATATTGGGAATTAAAGAAAAGAATGGCGCCTGGTAGTGAACCAGATCGTGTAACAGAATTAATCAGTTTATTACGTCCTCATGTTAATGGTGTTACTCTAGCTGGTGCTGGTGGAGGAGGCTTCATGTTTGTTCTAATGAAAGAAGAAACCTCACAAGATTTAATTCGAAAACTCTTCTCCAAGAAGGTTTGTACTACATTACTAAATTTGTATTGAAAATTTCAAATCGTGTGGTGTATTTATCTAGTTCCATCTATAGGTAATGCCCTGAAATACACTTTTTCCCAGTTACCGGACCATATTTGATGGAAGTATTTGATATATCCCCTTAAATTCAGAAAATATTGATATTCAGTCCAAAGTTGTTTCAGCCTGTAATAAAAATAAAGTGGGTTAACTTTGCAGAAACAGAAATATAAATGTTAAGATGTTGACCTGCCACTAATCAGCCTGTTCACCCCATACTTTAGTGCATAATGCCACTTATTAGTCTCCTGGATTATTTGGTAAAGTGCTTTTATCAAGGACACAAGATCCAAATTTATGTAATTATCAAAGGAACGGCCTAACAAATCTGAAGATTTCAATTGTTTAATTTATTTTTGTAGGGTTTAGAAGATGTAGAAATATATGATGCTGAATTAGATAATCAAGGTCTAACTGTGTATTTTGAAACTGACTAAAAATAAGGACAGACAACCCAAAAAATCTTTATTAACATAATGAATTAACTAACATATTTAATATAATATTCAGTTACATACTTTAAAGCAGCTTATTGTCATTTGCATTTTTCAGACAATATCTAATTTTTCACAACTTAATCCATGCTTAAATATACTCAAATTGATTTCTTAACATTTAATGACAAATGGAGACTTTAAGTGAATAAAGTTATTTTAATTTTTATAATAAATTGTAACAAATTTTATGAACAATATGACATCATTGTGATATCATTGTATAACTTGTCAAGACTGACTCAGAATGTTTCTGTTAACTGGAACCGAATTATAGTGTAAATGCAGCTACTGTCTGAACGGTCATAAATTTTAAACAGATTTCTTCGATTATGAACAAACTACTTAACATTGGTTATTATAAACTTTTGTGTGTTTGAAATCAATTTCTGTTCAATAAATTCCATTACACAATTAATTATCCTAATGAATCAAAACGTTCTCACTTGAAAAATTGAATTCCCACAAACTTTTGACATGGAGCAATACAAAACTGGAAGCTGACTACGTCACTCTTCAGGAGAGAACATTTTGTATCAAGGGGTGACAGCATGCCACGTTATAACGGTTTTCAGTACTTTTATGACAATCCAATTTTTGTATAAGAATAAGCTATATGTCTTGGCTCGGTATTGAATTTGGGGCGTTCACACACATAACTGCTCATATTCCTTTATTTTGTTACCATCTTTTACATTCAAGTAAAAACTCGGCAAAGTTTATAGCTTTACATATTGGCTCTTTGCCCCTTTGTGGATAGTTTCCACATGGACCTTATTATTGGATTGAAAGAATATCAAATTGACGATACACTCGGAAACTTCGGACGTGAATTTCATGTTGCTTGTTAAATTAGTTATAATATAAAGAAGATAGGAAAGTTTTATTTTATATATGACTTTATTTTTACGAGTATAAGTAAAATTTTCATGGTGAATAAAATTTGGTAGACTGGCGGTCAATGGCGTTAATATGAATCTTCTATGTAATTACCTTTAGTTAATATTTTTCGTTGCCCAAACTCAAACAAACGAAATGATCTCGCTTTGTTTTGATTGCAACACTTGGTTGTCAAACTATCTGTCAAAGTTAAACCACCCCCAAACAGCTTCATTGGTTTCACCCAACACGTGACGAAAGCCATGTTATCTTGCATTCAGTCGAAAATACAAGTAAATACCTCAAATTTTTCAAGAGAGACCTTTTTTATTCATTGGAATATCTAATTGTACATTGGATTTTATTGAACGGGAGTTGATTTCAAATACACAGGTAAGTATATAATAACCAAAGTTAAGCAGTTTGTACATAATCAAAGAAATTTGTTAAAATTATAAAATTTACCACAGATCAGACCGTAATATGTAATACAGTTTATTCACAACTACATATTTAAACACGAGTATGGAAGTTACAACTAACAAATATAAGACATATGACATTGTGATACATGATATGTTCAGTCGTAGGTCTATCTTATAAATGAATATAAATGAATATAGATAATTTGCAAAGTTTTGAGATTTTTACATTGATTATTTTATTTATCACATTTTTATGTTCATATAAATATATACATAATCCATGTGTAGGGTGACCCATGTACTCACAGAAATACAGTCCACCGCTGATAGTTCGAGACTACCACTGAAGCGTGCACATTCGCCGTGCCGAGACCAACTTTCTGACAGTATGATACTATAAATAGCCATGGCACGTGCAATTCTCTACAAATCTATCAACTATTACAGCCGTAAACAATTTATTGTTGACGATTTTGAATAGCAGTAAAATTAAGCTTCTTGGTTATTACAGCAGATTTAGAAATTACGTTCGTTTCATTTTTTAAATTGCTTTATCATTAACTGTACCGTTAAGAGCGGCATCTTTTGGTTTAGTACAAATAATATCTCTGAATCACTCGGGTTAGACAGGAACATGATACTAGCAGTAGTTTCATTTTACTTTTACAAGCTTCTTAAAACGATTGTTGAGCTACCTAACGTGCTTATTTCTAAATTCAATTTCTTGTTCTAGCTTTCTGTTATGTTTCGTAAAAAAGTAGTCTTGATTATCCCGACCTGTCAATCAGACGTAGAATGGTCGATAGACTGGTTAAGCGAGACTAATTTCAAAACAAGGACACGTAACCTATCTTTTACTCAAAAGTGTCTGGATGTTATGGACGACTCTTGGAACCAGTTTTCAGTCTATTATTTATACATGATTAATGGTCATAGCTTATTAAGTGCAACATGATCGTTTATTTAGTGACTATAATTGTGTGAAACTGATTTGAGGCTTGGCATATATATAAATATTGTGGCGTAATTGTCGAGATATATGGAGATATTTATTTATGGTGGGTCACCCTACCATGTGAAATTTTGCTGAATAATATTACGGAGATAAAGAAAACGATCCATAATACTAAATTTGGTGTATTTTTTAAACTATCTATATACATCTATTATTGTGTGCGTATAGTGTAAGATAAATGATTTGTTATTTTGTATGTGTGTTGTTTGTAGTGTGTCCAATGTTCGGACAAACCAATGAATTGTTGCAATATGTGAGGGGCCATGGGATATGCATATTAAAAGTTTCCAATGTTTACAATAATATAGTTATATACGGTAGCTATTCGTTTTGTTGTTTATTTATATATATTTCGAAAATGTTTTTTTTTATATGCACATATTTAAAATGGATGTATATTGTCGTCGCCGTTGTTTGGCTTTCGAAATCCATCCACAACATCTTGCGACCACATGGGATTGTATATTGTCGTCACTACTGTCCATCCATCTGTTGTTCACTATTTCTGGTAAACATGATACAGACAATCAATATTTATCATCTGATCTGTCATTGACTTAAGTCAACTGGCATGGTTTCGATTCCCAGTTTGTACCTGACAAGGTGTAGGATCGCCTGTTCAACCTTGTGGGTTTTCTCCAGGTCCTCTGGATTCCTCCCACCGCTAAAAACCCTTACGTGCAAGTGAATTATTAAAATAAAATTGAAAGGGTTAGACCCGAAATGACCTGGTTTGTGTTGAGTGGATGTTAAACCCCATGCCGTTGTCCCTGTCCATCCGCAATTTGTTTGTGGACACTCTACAGATCACAATTTTTTTTTGATTTTATCGAAACTTGAAATATAGGTCTGTCTCCCAAAGATCTCAGGTCCTTTCGATATTGGCATGTATCGGACCATAACTTCATGAATTATGATCCCTGATTGTACGAAAAATCACGTTTTAGCTTGTGGTCACAATATTCATCTGATTTTGATGAAACTTGAAGTGCATGTTTATAACCCAAACATCTTGGTTCCTTTTGATATTCACGCATTATGGCCCCTGATTGTACAAAAAATTATGTTTTTAGCTTGTAGTCCCTATAGAGGTCACAATTATCATCCGATTTAAAAAAAAAACGTTGGAATATTTTACACTTACACCGTAATGTCGGTTGAATTCAAATTTCATGAAAATCGGGCCTTAAGTACGAGAAAAAATGGCCACCCCTGGTACGCAAATATTGTAAAAAAAATTGATCCGATTTTGATGAAACTTGAATTACATGTTTATAATCCAAAGATCTTGGTTCCTTTTGATAGTTGCGCATATTGGATCATAACTTACTGAATTATGGCCACAGATTGTACAAAAAATCGCATTTTAGCTTGTGGTCCCTCTTGAGGTCACAATTATTATCAGATTTAAAAAAACAACATTCAAATTTTGTCAAAGTCGGACCAAAACTGCCGGACAAAATGGCCTCTCGTATGCAAATAGTGTAAAAATACGGTATATCATTATCAAGGTTGTGGACCCTCTAGAGGTCATGATTTTTATCCGATTTTGATGAAACTTGAAACACATGTTTATAACCCAAAGATCTTGGTTCCTATCTATTTTTGCGCATATTGAACGTAACTTCCTGAACTGTGGTCCTTGATTGTACGAAAAATCGTGTTTTTAGCTTGTGGTCCCTCTATAGGTCACAATTTTTATCTGATTTAAAAAAAAACGTTTGAATATATCACAGTTACACCCTAATGCAGGACAAAATGGACGCCTCTCGTACGCAAATAGTGTAAAAATATGGTATATCATGAATTATAAGGTCCATGGGTATATCAAAGTTGTGGACCATCTAGAGGCCACAACTTTGATCCGATTTTGATGAAAAGTTAAATTTATGTTTAAATCACAAAGACCTTGGTTCCTTTCGATAATCTCGCATATGCAAATGTAACTTCCTGGATTATGGCCCCTGAATGTTCGAAAAATCTCATTTTTAGCTTGTGGACCCGCTAGATATCACAATTTGTATTCATTTTTAAAAAACGTTTAAATATATTATCACCGTAAACATCAATGAAGGTTGACTTTGAATTTCGTAAAAATCTGACCGATACTGCCGGATAAAATGGTCGCTCCTTGTATGCAAATACAGTAGTGTGGACACTCTAGAAGTCACAATTTTTATCCGATTTTGATGAAACTTTAAATGTATGTTTATAACCCGAAGATCTTGGTTCCTCTCGACATTCACGCAGTTCAGACCATAACTTCTTGGATTATGGCCCCTGATTGTACGAAAAATCATGTTTTTTGGGGGGGGGGGTTTAGCCTGTTCTCTATCCATTTCTTGCAAAATGTGGATGTATCTTGCCTGGCAGCCACTGGTTAATATATTATGTTGTTTACATCAAGGAGACAAATAATCATATGAATTTCAGCAATTTCTGATAACTTGCAGACTTACAACTCTTGTTCACTTCTGTAAATTTTGTTTTCTAAGTTTGAAGGAATGTTTATTAAGAACATTTCACACTTGGAATTTGACTAAAGTGGCCCATACACATTCAATTTTTTTGTCAATTAATTAAGAGCAGGTGGAGAATGTTGGTGTCCAAACCAAACTTTCCTCATTTTGCTCTAAAATTGCTTAAATTCTCTTCAAATTATTCAGTTTCTGTTTATTACTTTTAGTAGTTAATCACATCTCGACCAGAAATTGTTTAGAATATTCAAGCAAGTGTTTGTTCCCTCCGAAAGAAAAATAAAACCATAGAATTTACATGGATATATCATCCCATGTTGGCATAGTAGGCAAAGAGTCTTTTGATATACACAGACGTTTGTATTGTATGTTTTTATCAATTTTCAACCCATTTAAGTGTAAATAATTTAATTAATATCAACCTGTCCATAATATCATATTTAATATATTGGACGTTATATCTTTAATAAACAACAACAGCAGTGGACACATTAGTCGAATCATTCAGACGAATCATTCTTTCAAGTCACATGATTGAACATGGCGGCGTCACAATCAAGTACTTCAAATGAGTTTGATCGTGAACATTTTATGCTTAGACTAGGTATAGATAGTCAGTTTGGTAGTTCAATACTTTCGAAAAATGTGCAATTGGTGTCATCTATTTATTTTGGGAATTCGGTCCTATTTTCACTGAAAACACGATCAAGTTACTAAGTCTAAACAAACCGCATAGTAAATTTACTATCCAGTATTTGAGGTCATTAGAACATTTTGCTTTATGTTGATTGGCTGCGAAATGGGTCATGACCTCAGACGAATATTATATTACGCTTTCCAGTAATAAAAGAAATAGGCAAAGAAGTGACTTTGTAACCAAGACTAATAACTTCACACCAGACACCACGCCCTGGTCAATGAACTGTTTTCGCGACCTTTTGATGATTTATGCTCTTTATTTATCTTCATCTGTGTTGACGAAATAAATATTTATTTAATAAATTGAATTTTTTTTCGTGAGATTTCCCCAAAATTAATACATCTTCAGAACAGAAGACTGTCCCTAAATAATATATTTATCAGTTTAACTGTAAGGTTTGATAAATAATTCGATACTGACGATAGTCTAATCTAGGCGAGTTTAATTAAGCTATAATTTAATAGTCTTGAAATTGAGTATCTACGTTATTTAATTAGTACCGGTACGTAGATTGCCACTGTATGTGGAATTCAAATCTAAATTATATTGACCTAAGACGTTTAATGCATCGACATGGGTCACTTGACACATTTCCAATAAATTTCCATGTCACGGCAAGTGTTCTGTTTACATTTTCAAATGTCGGTGAACCGAATCACCTTGTCGAACCGTTTCTTTGTTTAGCAACATATACCATCACTACCGACATTATCGCTTGACTTCCCGCGGGATTTTAACCAATCAGAACTCAATGTCAACAAACACAGCCCCACGCAAAAACAACGTGATATATTATTGCGCGTTTCGTTGTTTGTTTACTTGTCATTTTCATACCATATAAGTTATATTGGTGTCTTAAGTCATATAAGATTAGACAAACAACGATTTTCGGGTGTTCAGATACTAAAAATTGTCTAATGTCTCAGGATAGTCAGATATAAAAGGAAGTCATTCGAACTATTTTGCGACGCCCACTTATAACGGGCACTTGTTGGCAACTCGACGCATAATCGTAAACACCGTCTATTCATTCAAAGCAAGCGGACGAAAATATTTCTTTACGGGATTCCATTTTTAAGAGGAAAATATGCCGGTAAAGATTGAAAATGGCGGAGAAAACATTTCACAATCCATTCCAAAGGAAATAGAGTGCTTAGTAAACGAAGTAAGAGAAAGACTGTGCCTTAAAAGTCAGGAGAAGTTATCAAAATGTTACCGGTCTACGCCATATTCATTAACTAGCCCGTGTCGCAGTGTTGGCAATGTCTCAAAAGGCACGTGTGTGAAATGCAGCTCTGGCGTGAAACGACCAGTTTTAAAAAGACGGGACAGACACTGTACGTGTGAGGACAAATCTCAACAGCAACAAGAAAACCCACGCAAGCTTCTAGAACAATTATTACGGGAACAAACACTAATTCAAGAAGCGGTGCGTCGCCTGCATTCAAGGAAAATTATGGAAGTAGTAAATTGCGAAAAATCTCAGTTATGCGAAAGTAGCCCGTCATCATCGAAGCCATCCAGTAGTATTAGTAGTTCGGCGTGTTCTTACGAAACGGGTAGTCCAATAATTGCCTCCTAAATCAAGATATGTCTCGTAAATAGGGCAGCACGACAGAATATATTAAGAAATGAACCGAGACTACTGTCTGTAGCAGATGAATCATAATGGAATGTTGTTTAACAATTACAAACCGCTGGAACTAGGTCAAACTGTATGGTAGATATTGACATGTTTACAAATTGCATGTCAAGTCAGGCGACTGAATATTGAATGCACATTATGTTTATAATGCACAATTCAGAGAATGTCTTTCTTAGTTGAAGTAGGGTGAATAAATGACAAATGTGATAAGAATTGTTAAAAGAAAAGGAAGAGATTGCATGTGACTTTGTTGTGTTATTTCTACAAAATTGTTTCACCTGGGGTGATCCAACACAACAAATTTGATTTGGCCTATATATTGTACATATGTTTCCTGGGCAGTTAAACAATGCAATGCAATGAGTTGTCAATGCATTACAATTTTTGTAAATTAAGGTATTAAATTATTTTGTATGTATTAATGAAACGGTTGTCTTTAATATTTCTAATAAAATCAATCATTTATGGAATAAATGGACTAATTGAGTGAATGTTTTGAAGTACATGTCAAAGTATGCAGCAAGAATCTTACTCGCTTACCATTATGATATTGTTTTTTTCATTGTAAAGTACGGAGTTCGGTGGGGTTGTATTTTGGATGATTGATAAAATGAAATGTTTGAATTCTTTAGACCATCATCTTGTTATGTGGGATATATGTTTGAATGATTATTGCATTGATATGAATATTCAATTTGTTTATTGCATCTAGGTGCTATTTAGTAAAAATTTATTATTAAAACTAAACAAAGGAATATGATTTGTCTTTTAAAATGTATAAGGCATAATATTGGGCCTGGGCTGTATGTTAACTGGTAGTTAGATAATGTGATTAAGAAGAATGATAATGATATGAAATGGGGTTTGATGTCGTACTATATGCTGCTCCATCCAGACTTGTGAAGTGTGCTATGTGGGAATTTTTTACCGGACAGCATTGCTATGGCATACTTTCATTTCAAATCCCAATTATCGCAGGTTCTTTTACACATGACTTCAGTTTTTTGTACCATCCAAATGACTAGACACTGATCTTCACGATTACATGTCATTTCGGTCCCGCGTCATTTCGGACTTACGTCATTTCGGACTCCAAAAAATATGTCCCCGACATTTCGGACTCGGGTAGGTGACATTTCGGACTCGGGTAGGTGACGTTTCGGACTCGGGTAGGTGACGTTTCGGACTCGGGTAGGTAAGATAGAATTATACAACACACTGACGCCAATTTACTTTATAAACTATTTTATTTATCAACATAGCATAAAATGATAACATCGATTTATAACAACGGGCATATTATTTTATTTTTAAACATACCATATAGCGATAACAACGGTCATATAAAACATTCATTTATTGTATAAATACATACACATTCATACATTAACGCAACATTTATAACAACACGTGTATTTATTTGATGAAAAAATAGCTTTAGTCGGCTATTCATTTTTTTTTTTTTTTTTTTTCATTTTTTTAATTATGTAATTGTTTTTCACTGAGCGGGTGGACCATACAAATGACTTATTTTTTTTAATAGTCTACTAGTGCTCATCTGTTTTTCATTGTATGAATCCCATATATTAAAAAGTTGGCCTTCTACATGTCGATACCGACGTCTTTGGTGTCGTCTCAATGAACCTTCCGACATCATTGTGAGGTCCAGTGGTATCTTTGTAGCTTCTGAAAAAAGTGCGCAAATCAATAGATAAAATGGCACAGGACCTCTGGCGTTGACACGGGAATTTAGTCTGTTGTGCCAGCCCTCCACGTCGTTATTGGTTCTCACTGGCAACATAAACACGCACCAATCTTCTATTGGAAACAGACGAGATGAAATCCATTGATCTTCTATGTATGTACATATCGGCTCTAACTGTTCTGGGCACCTGTCTTTCAAATGGGCAAACATGCCCGCCACGTGTTCTTCGGGCAGGAAAGGGAGAGCCATCAATCGCCTCAAATAATTAAACACGTCCCCCTTTTCGTTGTACGCTGTCTGAAATAATAAAATATTAGAAATATATTAATACTGAAAATCTATTTGTGCACTTGTACTTTAAAAGAAGATATTATAATAAGAATTTTTTTATTTTACTATAAGAAGATTTATTATAAGAAGAACGCACAACATACCTGGAATCCCTTTTCTTGAATTTTCCGGAAAACGGCCTGGGTCCAATGAAACACGCATCCTTGAATTCTTATATCTACAAAACGGCGTCTAAGGGCCTGCCATAACCCCGCCTCAAAATCCACCACAAATCCCTCCAAGGCAATCTGGCTTGGTAGCATCTTGTCCACTGCCCGGAGAACCTGTAAAATAAATAAACCAAACGTTCATTTATCTGATTATATTTATTCATTTATCCGATTGTAATCATTTCTCCGATTATATTCATTTCTCCGGTTATTCATTTCTCCATTTTTTCCGATTATATTTATATCATTTTTTTATTCCGAGTTTATAGATCACATCTTACCTTGTAGTAATCGTCCTGACTCTTCCCGGACATTACACAAAAGACAAGTGGTACCTGCTTCGTGGTTTCCCCGGCTTTTACGAAAGCGTGGATAGAAAATAATTGAGAATATGGTTTGTTGATAACTCGGAAGGTGGCGTCCATGTACCACGTTTTAGCCTTTGCCAAAAGTCGCAGTTGATCTTCAGTGGCAAAGATGTGATGTCGCCTTTCCCCTACTTTAACCCGCTTCTGGTAGAAGCCGGGAGCGTTGCTGTCAATAAAGTCTTCATCCAGCTGAAACGACAAACAATATAATCTTCATCAATTTGTGTATTTACCTATTTAACAATATAGCCTTCATCAATTTATGTAAACAATATAATCTTCACCAATTTATGTAAACAATATAATCTTCATCAAATTGTGTATTTACCCATTTAACAATATATTTAATATATTTAACTTATTGTACTTACAGGGGAAGACATGTCTACTGGGTCATTTGGTCGGAGAGTCTGTCTGGTTCGCTGCACCGACCTTATCAATGCTGCAAGAGGTGGTCTGCTATACACTGGTTCGTTGACCGATCCTACACTTGCCATGACACTCTCTGCGATTGATGGACAGGATCTTGTAAAAATATTTCCTATGGCTTCCTTCTTAGCCTGCAATGATATAATAAATATTATACATATTCTTTTTTTTTATTTCAGCAACAGTCAGTACCAGGGTCAGCTGGAGGAATGAATATCTGTTCTTTCAATCTTTTAATATATGTACATATCGTTACTTTAATATTTGTATTTTTATATACTAATTCAGGTTCTTCTTCAGCAAATACGCTAATATCTTGCTCATCTTCAGACATTGAAGACTCGATAACCGGATCAGGTAGCTGGTATGGTCGTTCAATGGTGAATGATTCTTCGATGTCCATTTCTTCTTCTGTAGGGGGGAGCGGGGCAACACATCTACAGCATTTCCATTCAAAAGCAGTTCTATGTCGGTTTAAACTCCTGTACTCATCCCGAGTGATGCCTGAAATAGTGATAAATAAAATAATAATATTCCCGGATTGCGGGTACGTGTCAATAAATAACAATAACGACAAATTTATAACGTTTCAATAAATAACAATAACTTACAAGCTGAAACGACAAATTTATAACGTTTCAATAAATAACAATAACTTACAAGAAACGACAAATTTAAAACGTTTTAATAAATAACAATAACTTACAAGAAACGACAAATTTAAAACGTTTTAATAAATAACAATAACTTACAAGAAACGACAAATTTAAAACGTTTTAATAAATAACAATAAAGAAAATTTCATTACGTACCGGAATCGCAGGTTCGATGTTGCCATAAAAGACAAGAATCGCACTGGAGGCCTTCTTGTCGAGGACGGACAGGATTGGTACACTTTACGCAATTTCCACTAGCCATGATAGATTCGTGTAAAAATTGAGAATGATTTGAATTGAAATATGGCACATATATATAATACATTTGAGCTTGGGCTCAATCATTTCTTAACGGCTTCATTATTTCTCAATCATTTCTTAGCGGCTATTAGAAACGCCGATCAGTGTTTTTATTTCTCAATCATTTCTTAGCGGCTATTAGAAACGCCGATCAATTATCGCTATTAATCTTAAATACAACAATGGGATGGTTTCACTAATCGCTGGATTCACTAATCGCTAGATTAAAACAACAATCGCGGATCGATTATCGTCAACAATCTAAACTAATTCATCGTCAACAATCAAAATTTACTCATCAAAATACAATAATATCCGATCAAGTAAATAAACAAATACAAAAAAGGCAAGTAGCATAGGTTTTACTTCAAGTTCAAGTTCAAAGGCGTGTTGTCAAGTAATGGCCTGTATGGGATAAATAAAACAAGACTAACAATGTTTAAATCTTTATTAATGTGAATGGTCTGTCTTGAGCCTCACCTACAACGAAAGAAAAACAGCTATTACTAATATATACACACATAATTTTAAGTTTTATTTGAGTCCGAGTCCGAGTCCGAAATGTCGCCGGTCCGAGTCCTAAATGTCGTTTGACTGAGTCCGAAATGACACCGAGTAAGTCCGAAAAGTCGCCATACTGAGTCCGAAACGACGTTTGTGCTGAGTCCGAAATGACGCGGGACCGAAATGACGTGCTACCATCTTCACCAGGCCCTCTGCCCTGCACCACTAAATAATGGGGAACTTCGCAGGAAAATCCTGAGTAACCGTTGGTTGTGAAAACTTCCACATCTCATCAGATATGGTAATATTTAACCAATAAAAAAAGTTGGAAAATGTGTGTGGCAACATTCATAAATACATTTTTCTAGTAATTTACCTCATATGAGAAAGATGCACCCGGCAATACAATGAATACTACGGTAAATAAAAAAACCCATGATAAACCTTTTCCTTGTAAGATATAACAGTGATTGAAATAGTGAAATATGCAAAAACACTTTCGAATATAAACCCCAAACAATTTCCATACGCCCAAATGGAAATTCGGTCGTATATTGGCGTTGACCCTGTCCATACATCTGTCAGTTGTCGCCTCAATTTCTTGTGAACACTGTACAGACTACATTTATTATCCAATCATTTCGAAATTTATATGTTGTTTACATTATGGGCGTCGCGGTGGCAAAGTGGGTAAGACGCTGGTTCGCTAGCCAGGAGGTCGATGTTCAATCCCTGCATTAGCCAAGAAAGTGCATCCAGATTTTCCGGCATGGTTCCCCAGGACGGTGGGTCTGACAAGGGAAGCTGTCTAGCGGATGGGACGAAAAACCGAGGTCCCGTGTACACATTGGCATGCACGTAAAAGATCCCTTGAGAGTTGGAATTCAATATAAGAGTAGGCCCTAGTGCCGCTGTCCAGGCAAGTTTTACCTCAAAGTCAACTGTATGGCGTATGCCCATCTTCATTAGCCCAGTTCGGAGCTGAACAGTAGGACGTTAAACTCCATTCATTTTTATTTTGTATACATTAGTGAGACGAAGAAGCTTATTTAATTTCAACAATTTCATTAATAATTTCTAGAGTTCTGGTCCTTGTTTCACTTTGAAGAATCTTTTGAACACTCTAACAGCCTGTTCAATTTCAGCAATTTCTGTTTCTAACTTTTGGAGTTGTGACCTTTGTTGAACCCCTTGTGAACGACAAATGGTATTATTTGATCTGTATGAAATTGATATTGGTGTCTTATAAAAGCTCCCATTACCTTCAAATATAATAAAAATGCGACAACCTTGTTGACTGCTCGGACAATTCAGCTGCTGTGGGCGTATGTTTCGTTGCCTGGCAAGTGGCAACCTATCTTAAACATTTGGGAGGGGAGGCAAGAGGTCTAATGTGTGTGCTTTATATCCTAAGGGGTGTCATTGACTCATTTGGGTGGTTTTGATCCCAAGATTGTATGTGGCTTGCCCAACCATGTGGGTTTTCTCCAGGTATTTCAGTTTAATCCTGCTGCTACAGACCCTTAAATGCCAGTGAGCTATTGAAATATAATTGTACCACGTGTTAGTCCCGAAATGATCAATTTCTTTATACCCGCATCGCCACCCCACCCCACCAAAAGAAAAAACAGCGGCTGCCAGACAGGATACGTCCACATTTTCGAGAGATGGATAGAGAACAAGCTAAAAAGAAAGTGATTTTTCCTACAATCAAGGGCCATAATTCAGGAAATTACAATTCGATATGAGCAAATATCGAAAGGAACCGAGATCTTTGGGTTATAAACTTACATTTCAAGTTTCAACAAAATCGGATAAAAATTGTAACCTCTATAGGGACCACAACCTTGATATACCATATTTTTACGCTATTTGAGAACGAGGGGTGGCCATTTTGTCTGTCAGTTTGGGGCGATTTTCACGAAATTCGAACTCAGCCGTCCTTAGGGTGTAACAGTGATATAATAATACGGATTTTAAATCGGATAAAAATTATGACCTCTAAAGTGTGCACAAGCTAAAAATGTGATTTTTCGTACAATCCATGAAGTTACAGGCCGATACATGCCAATATCGAAAGGAACAGAGATCTTAGGGTGATAAACCTATATTTCAAGTTTCATTGAAATCGGATAAAAATTGTGACCTGTAGACTGTTCACAAACAATTGTGGATGGACGGACAGGGACGACCACAATATACTTCCACATGAAAATGTGGGCGTATAAAAATAAATAAAGTAACCTAAATAATATTTAAAATGTTTAACACATTAGTGACTACTTCTGCTATAGATTCCTTTAGCTAATTCTAATGGTTTTAGAAATCTACATAATGTGTTCTTGATCCGTTTTATAGGTCACATAAGTCTTTTCAAACTAATAGTATTTGTTGTATATGAGGGAAAGTGACTGTTTATTTTTGTTACTGTACTTTGGACTTGGTTACTAGGGCCATAATCTCGAAAGTGAATAAATGAATCAAATGGGGTTTAACCTCCTACTTTTCTGCACCAACTGTGCTAATGAAGACAGGGAAGCTGCACAGTCACACGGTGTGCACTTGTGGAAGAATGAAAACTCAAATTACATAACATCCTTCAACTGCTCTCATAATCTCAGTTCTGCTCTGTGTGGAGCATAATAATAAATACTGGGTACTTCAAATTTCACGGGGAAAGCAGTTAATATCTTGTCAATACGAGATATTGGTCATTTTCAGACAAACAAGAGTAATGAAATTCAATGAAAAATATTATTTTCTTAATGGAATCTGTTTATTTAAAATTAACATCAGAGAAATAAAATGAAGTAGTAGACCTCAGATATTCATTTGTTATTTAACTGACAACTGAAGAAGATAAATTATCCATATATTTATATGTTTATAAGTTATATAAACACATAAACATAAATATTTGTAAGTACATGTAAGGTTATTATGCCTTGGGTCATTTATAGTTTTAGTCTAGGACATCAACCCAATTTTATTTATGATTTCTCTGCACTCAATGCCTAGGTCCATCCATGGCAATAATAGTGACCTGGATAGGAGTGACAGCTAATTAGTAAACAAAAATATCTATGACAGAAGATTTGACTTTGTCATTGAGTAAGGTACACGTAGTATGTAACAGAATTACACAATATATTATAAGTATTAATGATATACACCAGTAAATATGTCAACATACTGACATATTAGATATCTTAATAGGTTAAATGCAAGTTACTACAATTAGCCACTACTGTATCCACAAAATAAATAATCCAATTGCAATTTATTTGGAGTTTCTGTTATTTAAAGGGTGTATGGCTCTTTTCTTTTGAACCTGAAAATAGTCGAAAATGGGTCTAAAAGTACACATGTAATATGAATGTATTTAAAGTGATTTATATTCATTTTTAAAAAATGGTAATTTCTAATCAATCGAACAGCAGTCTGTCTTTTACATCTACTAAGGCCATTCTACAGGTTTTTTATACGCCCACATTGAAATGTGGTTGATATTTTTCGTCGCCCCTGTCCGTCCAGCATCCACAATTGCTTGTGGATGCTTTAGAGGCTAAAGTTAATATCCGATTGACTTTAAATTTATACACAGTGTATAAGGTCATGAGATGAAGAAGCCTATTGATTTTCAACAATTTCTGATAATTGCTACCAGAGTTATGGCCCTTGATCACTTTGAAAAATCATGTGGATGCGCTAGAGGCTAAAGGTACTAATATACGATTGACTTTAAATATATACACAGTGTTTAAGGTCATGAGACAATTTCTAATAATTACTGCCAGCATGCTTTAGAGACCATAGTTATCATCTGATTGATTTTATATTTATATACCGTGTTTACACCTATATATAATCATTTTGATTGACTTTAGATTGATACACAGACGAACAAGTGTATTGATTTTCAATGATTTTTGATAACTTGAACAGCTAAATCCATGATATTAAATGTTTTGTATGCTAAATGTTAGCATGGGCCAAAGAAATTCTAATGATTTTCTGATAATTACTTAATGAGTTGTTATTCTTAATCAGGTTTTAGTGTATTATAAAAGTAAGAATATGAGAGAACTGTTGACTGCCCAGACGATTTAGCTCCTGTGGGCGTATGTTTCGCTGCCTGGTACCTTTCTTTTGTTATTATTTTGTTCTTTGGGAATCAGTCATTACTAATTACTTTCACATTGTCTGCTGCTGTATGGGCTTATTTCCACGCTTTACGTGGTTATCTTTTATATGAGGAAAACAAACCTTAACTGTTTTATTGTTCCTTTCGGATAACTAGTAAGTCCAGATCCTGAACTTTTCCACAGAAAATAAAATGTTGATTTATCCATATAGTAACTTGGAATAAAATTAAAACTGTTGCTTACCCAGCTTCATCCTCTCTGGAAATGCTGTCAAACCTTCATTTGAAAAATAAACAACAAAAAGAAATAAAACAGAATTTCCATTTCCTTTATTTTTGTTCAATCATACATGATTTCTTTCCATTTTTTTTTTAAAATGTAGTCCAAATGGTTATAAATGATGACAAAGATCAACACAATTACCCTAAGATTTATAGCCAAGAGTGGGGAAGGTGGAAACACCCTGCCATCAAAGGTCTCCCAAGTGATGAAATATTCTTTTTGTCAGCAGGAAAATGTAATAATCTCAAAATAATAATGCTGGTAATAATAGCTTTGGTACAATTTTCTCTTATTGTGAATTAATGGACAGGGTATACATGTATGTATATGCCCAGAGATACTTTAAATAAACATTCACATGTTATTTTTGCATTTTTTCTAGCTTGAGCGCTTATTCGACAAGTCATAAACAAGGAACATGCAGTTGAAAAGTTTAAAGTGGTGCATTAATTATTTTTGAGGCTATTGCCAGTAGGCTTCCTTTTTCAGGAACACCTAGATACTACTTTACTATGGGCGTGAATGAATGAATGAAATGTTGTTTTATGGCACGTCATAACCAACCGGGCTATATACTATGGGGGTACCGATACTCATTTATTGTTCAGTAAGAAATAGGAACTAATACTTAGGCTAATTGTTTTATACTAATAACTAATTATTCAAAACATAGTAATTCAAATATTGTGCAATAAGTACTGTATAGCCTATTCTCAAACATAGTAATTCAACAAGATACGCCCACATTTTGCAAGAGATGGATAGAGAACAAGCTAAAAACAAAAGCGATTTTTTGAACAATCAGGGGCCATAATCCAGAAAGTTATGGTCTGAAATGCGCAAATATCAAAAGGGAATGAATCTTTGGGATATAAAGATATATTTTAAGTTTCATCAAAATTGAATAAAAATTGTGACCTCTAAAGGGCCATAACCTTCGTATTACATACTTTTACACAATTTGCGTACAAAGACCAGCCAATTTGTCAAGCAGTTTCATTTCGATTTTCCCGAAATTCGAATTCAACCTTCATTATGGTGGAATGGTGATATAATTAAACGATTTTTAAAATCGGGGCCATAATCCAGGAAGTTACGGTCCGATATGCACAAATAGCGAAAGGATCTAAGATCTCTGGGACATAAACATATATTTTAAGTTTCACCAAAATCTGATAACAATTGTGACTTCTAGGGGGTCCACAACCTTGATTTGACATACTTTTACACTATTTGCGTCCATTTTGTCTGGCAATTTCGGTCAGATTTTTAAGAAATTCAAACTCAACCTTCATTGATGTGTAACAATGATATATTTAACCGGTTTTTAAAATTGAATACAAATTGTGATTTTTAGCAGGTCCACAAGCAAAAAACGTGATTTTTCACACAATCAGGGGCCATAATCCAGGAAGTTACGTTCGGATATACAGGATTATCAAAAGGAACCACGATCTTTGTGATAAACATAAATTTAAAGTTTCATCAAAACTGGATAAAAATTGTGGCCTCTAGAGGGTCCACAACCTTGATATTTGCGTATAAGGGGCAGCCATGTTGTTCGACAGTTTTCACGAAATTCGAACTCAACCATCATTAGGACGTAACAGTGATATATTCACACGTTTTTTTTAAATCAGATGAAAATTGTAACCTTTAGAGTGTTCACAATCTAAAACTGTGATTTTTCGTACAATCAGGGGCCACAATTTATGAAGTTATGGTCCGATACATGCCAATATAGAAAGGAACCGTGATCTTAGGGAGATAGACCTATATTTCAAGTTTCGGCAAAAATGGTTAAAAATTGTGACCTGTAGAGGCGTCCACAAACAGATTGTGGACGGACGTCCCGACGGACAGGGGTGATGACAAGATATACGTCCACATGAAAATGTGGGCGCATAAAAACTGTACAGTCAGTAGGCCTACTGTATATCCTTGGGCTTTACCCACAAAATTTTTTAAGTCGGTCAATTCTTGATTTTATTGAATTCAAGGTTAACAAGAAATTTTTTTTTCAAACGAATGGCAATTTTAAACATTACCCAAATATTTAGAAATATTTTTAAGTGATTTTACATTTAAAAACTATAAATCTAAAATTTAGATTCCAGTCAGTGAAGACTGGCAAATATGACTGAAATGAGAGTCCTGGTAGAACAGAAAAACCTCATTCTTAGTTACACTGTTATCTGTATCGATTTACTTAAAGACTTTCAAAGCAAAAGATTTAACTAACCGGGCTGCCAGGCAGGATACGCCCACATTTTCGAGAGATGGATAGAGAACAAGCTAACAAGAAAGTAATTCAGGAAATTACAATTCGATATGCGCATATATCGAAAGGAACTGAGATCTTTGTGTTATAAACTTACATTTCAAGTTTCAACAAAATCGGATAAAAATTGTGACCTCTATAGGGTCCACAACCTTGATATACCATATTTTTACGCTATTTGAGAACGAGGGGTGGCCATTTTGTCTGTCAGTTTGGGCCGATTTTCACGAAATTCGAACTCTGCCGTCCTTAGGGTGTAACAGTGATATAATAATACGGATTTTAAATCGGATAAAAATTATGACCTATAAAGTGTGCACAAGCTAAAAACGTGATTTTTCGTACAATTCATGAAGTTACAGGCCGATACATGCCAATATCGAAAGGAACAGAGATCAATAAATAAAAATTGTGACTTCTATAGGGTCCACAACCTTGATATACCATATATTTATGCTATTTGAGAACGAATGGCGGCCATTTTGTCTGTCAATTTTGGGGCGATTTTCACAAAATTCAAACTCAACTGTCCTTAGGGTGCAACGGTAATATAATAATACGGTTTTTTAAATCGGGTAAAAATTATGACTTCTATAGGGTCCACAAGCTAAAAACGTGATTTTTCGTACAATCAGGGGGCATAAGTCAAGAAGTTACGATCCGATATGCACGAATATCGAAAGGAACCGAGATCTTTGGGTTATAAACTTACATTTCAAGTTTCAACAAAATCGGATAAAAATTGTGACCCCTATAGGATCAACAACCTTGATATACCATATTCTTACGCTATTTGGGAACGAATGGCGGCCATTTTGTCTGTCAACTTTGGGCCGATTTTCACGAAATTCGAACTCAGTCATCCTTAGGGTGTAACGGTGATATAATAGAACGGTTTTTTAAATCGGATAAAAATTATGACTTCTATAGGGTCCACAAGCTAAAAACGTGATTTTTTGTACAATCAGGGGCCATAATTCAGGAAGTTACGGTCCGATATGCACGAATATCGAAAGGAACCGAGATCTTTGTGTTATAAACTTACATTTCAAGTTTCAACAAAATCGGATAAAAATTGTGACCCCTATAGGGTCCACAAGCTAAAAACGTGATTTTTCGTACAAACAGGGGCCATAATCCATGAAGTTTCGATCCGATACATGCCAATATCGAAAGCAGCCGAGATCTTTTGGGGATAAACCTATATTTCAAGTTTCGTCGAAATCGGATAAGAATTGTGACCTGTAGAGTGTCCATGAACAATTGTGGACGGACGGACGTCTGGACTGACAGGGGCGACAGCATAATACGTCCACATGAAAACATGTGGACGTATAAAAATTCTTTCTTTAAATATCTGTTTACAGTTAAACTATAGTAAATTTATTAATTTCACTCTAACCTAATCTGATTAAAACACAGATACAACTTCGTTTTGTTTTTTATAGTTCAGAATTTCGTTTTACTTGTCTTTACTACACTAGGATCTGGAAGAGTTGTTATATAACCCTCGTTCTAGTTGATGTACGGGATTAGCCAATGAAACTTTCTGTTACGGCGAGTTCTTGGCGTGTGGTGCACAGAACTGTGGATATCCCACTAGAAACATCAACGCTGATTGATTAATCAAACGTGTGATGTAATAGGGTCAAAGCCGTTCGTATGACTCAACATTCCACTAAAGCCCGTCAGATCGTCATGAAGTGTAAGCCATCGAAAGTATTAAAAAAAAACAATACGAAATATAGATCTGTATTTTAATCAGATTGTATCTAACCTACACAATTTGCTATTAATTTTCTTGAATAATTAATAATTAGACGTTTGCCCCAAGAGCAGTTCTAAATATTACATGCATAATTAAATCCAAACAAAGCATTTTTAACATCAGTAATAGGCCATACATGTAAACCATTGCTGTAATGCCCTAATATAAAGCATTATAAATCACAAAGACCAAAATTTACATACCATATATTCATCACAAATAAATCAAATTAAAAGGGTGAAATATCTAATGACTTAGTCAAATACCCAGTACCGTTGCCAAACATTACATAAAACGGCGAGGGATACCAATATCAGGTTTATTTCATTGTCATCACAAATCACAATACTATAATTATGCACTATTCAATTACAATAAATTATAATCTAGAATTGTAAACTTCAATAGACAAACCAGCTGTCCTATCAGTTAATAATAAGGCACATCAACAAATACATGTACAACATAATTATTAACTCATTTATTACTAGCAGAAGTCAATTACTCTTATTTTCTAGCAAAATAACTAATAATTTCAAATATTGTAAAATATAAGCTTACATAATATATAAATCTTGCATAACCAAATGAATCAAGTTGGGTTTAGGACTGAAAATTAATGTGGTTAAATTGATAAACAATGTTGTCAGTCAACAAATATATGCCCACAAGCAGCAGTTTGAAGGGTGGCAAGAAGGTTAATGTATGTTGTGAGGTAAAATTATTCCAAAATACTGTCACCAAAGTTTCTGTGACTGGGCAATAAATCAGCTCCTTATCGAATAATCCATTGGAGGCAAGAAGGCTAAAGTATGTTATAAGAAAAAATTATTCGAAAATACTGTCACCAAAGTTTCTCTGACTGGGCAATAAATCTGTTCCTTATCGAACAAGACCTCTGACATGTAGAGAGCACAGTAAGTAACTTTCTGGAAAATTATTGCTTAAATATCAATAAGAGTTCTAGTTCTAAGATAGCCATAATGAATGTGGTTGACGAGAATATATTCCCACATAAAATGTATGTGTATCAATATTAGACCAATATCCAAAATGGAGCAATCAACTATAACACATACTTATGGAAGTACAATTACTAATTTATTTTGGTCATGCTGAAAATTTTGAGATACGAGCATAATACTCTTTATAACCTCACCAGAAGAAGTTAGTAATTCTTCTTCCATTAGTATATGTGTTATAAATATACTCCCAATCTACTCTAAAGCAAGATATATCTAATTGATCGATAATTTAAAGCTAGATTTGTATTATAATGCTGAGATAGTTTTATAAATAATTCTCTTACTTTGAGCAATAAAAATACAAAAATGCAACTTAAAAAAAGATTAAATCAATAATTACAACAACAAATTACACAAAAAAAAACCAACAACAAATGTTAAGATGTTCCTAATTGGCACAAATATTTAGTATATCTATATGCACTACATGATCAAAATATTTTTATTTATATATCACATATTTCAATGTGACTGATACCATTTACAACCAAATGTACACCCATTTAATAAAAAAATGTCGGGTAAAGAATTGTGTTATTCGAAATAAGCTCATTGAGTAAGACAGTAAAATGGAATGACATTAAACTGTCCAGGCAATGATTCAGGCGGGGGTAGGAGCAGAAAAATACCATTAGGTATAGCTGTGATCAAGAGGGGTTCAGAGAGTGGGGGGTAACTGATATTTAAAATTTCATGATCTGACATCATCGTCACTATTTATTTATTTATTTTTGCTTGCAAAAGATAATATCCTGAAATCTATTATTATTGAGACTGGAATATGAGCGTATGGTGCTGTTCAGGGAAATTAGATTAAATAATGAAGTTTGATATCAAATGATAAAAAAATGGGCTTGTTGTACTTTACGCATGCACTTATTTGGTTGAATATGATAACTTTGTTCAAGATACACACAAAAAGGGGACTTTCCTTGGTAGTGTTAAGACATTCTTTCATGTCAAACCTAATACTGATTTTAACCTAACCTAGGCCTAATGTTGAAAAATAATCCTAGTTTGATCTTAAGACATTAATTTGGAGAAATATCCTTCATCGATCAATAAGAAGGAATTGCTACAAAACTTAAATATATCAATATTATAAGTCGATTGACCTTATTTAACAAAGCACAAGTTAGACTTTGAACAGTATGTACACTTCATGAAATGGGTCACTGGTCTACTTTAAAAGAATTAAGGTAACCAAGAAATTAATTATATCAGTGGTTATTTATTATAACACATAATTAATGTCAGTATGCATGGCAACATTATCTTCTATTTTCATCGTTAAATTATATCTAGAAATCTGTTGGTGATAAAAATCATTTAAACCTTTGAAGATAACAAAACTATAATGATACAGAAACGGGTTTGCTTTCATTCCAAATACACACAATAATTTCTCCCCTCACAGTTTCTTGTAGAGTAATTACGACATTACATATTCTTAACATTACCATTACATTATTCAAATTTGATAAAATTGTTATACTTTGGACTAATGCTCACAATTTCTCTGAAAAGTTCTTTGGCATGTAAATGGTTTGGGAGTATTATTACTTGATTTGTATATATAAATCAATATGACTAAATAATGAGATCAAATAAAATATACAACTTTTAAAATTATCCTTAACCTTAAATAACAATAAATATTCTACCTATATCTTTAACAGACAATGAAGTAAAGGTGTATCAATAAAATTTCCTTATGAGATAAACAAATATCAACTTATGATACATTTTACAAGACAACAATAAAACAATAGGCATGATATCACCTGACTTATAATATCATTTATTACCAAATCGACTTGATAAATATTTCTCATCAGCTATTGGCTATATTAGTAAATAGTAGGTAAAGGAATCAATGTGTATACAGTAAATAGTAGATGTTAGAATTAATATGTATATAGTAAATAGTGGGTGGAGGAATCAATGTGTATACAGTAAATAGTGGGTGGAGGAATCAATGTGTATACAGTAATTATTAGATGTAGGAATTAATGTGTATACAGTAAATAGTAGATATAGGAATTAATATGTATTCATTAAATAGTGGGTGGAGGAATCAATGTGTATACAGTAAATAGTGGGTGGAGGAATCAATGTGTATACAGTAATTAGTAGATGTTGGAATTAATATGTATATAGTAAATAGTGGGTATACGAATCAATGTGTATACAGTAAATAGTAGATGTAGGAATTAAAATGTATACAGTAAATAGTGGGTGGAGGAATCAATGTGTATACATCAAATAATGTGAATTATAATTACATTTCAATTGCGATTTAAAGTTTGGTAGTAAAATTAACTTTGAGTACTAATGAATGGCATTACATCACCACAGTTCTTTGGTGTGTTAAATATCTAATACTCAAAAATATTTAACAGATTTATAAATATCATGTAATATCCCTTAAATTAGTGAGAAATATTTGCAAATTTGATATCCTTTGGGACTTTTGAGCCTGGTAAACATGTCCGCACTAAACTACATGTAAGCTAACACAGCCAATCAGCCGATGGAAAAGGGGCAATAATTTGTGGAAGAAATAAATACTAAACAGATCAATCCTTAAATTGTTTGACTAGTTTGAGTAATGAATCAAAACTTGAACAGGAATCTACAAAAACTTGGCTGAGATTTGGAAAATCTGTGACTGTGATTTCATAATAAAGATGTATGACAACGACCATCATCATATGGTATCCCATAATTTTTTAATATAATAAAAATCCTTCAAATTATATCCTCTATGATGAATTCTTGTATTCTACCATTATACAAAATCTGGTTTTCATTGATATAGACTAAAACCTTGCATACTCTGTGAATGTCTTTGCTGTGGCACACCTAAAGATAACATTAAATTTATTTACAAAAATACTATGAAAATTAATGCTTTAAACTATCTTAATAATCCAGTTTTCTAATCAAAAAATCCATACATAGACAGAAAATATATAGGGAAACATGTTAGAAACAAAATTGATAACACATGGATTATCATGACTAGGGAATTAAGTTACTATTTCTGATAAAATCTCTTTTGAATATATCTTAAAATTATATAAACTGTATTTAATCAAAAATGGTAATTAATTCCCTAGTCACGTTAACTGAATTAATTATTCATTATGTTTACATAACAGTTTATTTATATTGGAAAAGAAAAGTTGAGGGACATCAAAACATACGCCCACAGTAGCTAAGTCATCTGAGCAGACCCCAAAGATTGTTGTATATTTTTTATTTTGGTATGGAAGCATTTACTGATTAGGTCATTTCGGGACTAACACATGGTTCAATTTTATTTCAATAATTCACTTGTGTGAAGGGGTCTTTAAAAGTGGGAGGACCCGGAAAAAACCCACGAGGTTGGACAGACGACCATACTCCTTGTCAGGACTCAATGACGGACCTTCTGATCCAACGCACACACATTAACCATTCACCCCCCTCCCCTTACTGATTAAGAGTACTATGATGATGAATTTAAAATCAAAAGGCATCTTTGACTCATGAACATAAACATGGTATATAAATTAAAAGGCTATCGGTTATTTACTTCAGCCTTTAGAGTGTCCACAGGATTTGTCAAAGTGATAAAGGGCCATAATCTCTTCATAGCATGACATTAAACACTGAATTTTAGTCCCCCACAAGATAGATTTTTCAAAGCAATTTCAAGGGCAATATGTCTGGCAGTATGTATCTGAATTTCGTTGCTTTTTCGTCTCACTTCTTAAACACTGATGGACAGACAGGTGTGACAACAATATACAACCACATTTCAGAGCAAGTGTATAATAAAAGTGGTACCTGGAGGGTTTGAGGGCCACATGCTATGTGTTGACATAGGATCACTCCACTGCATCTGTACAGGACGATGTGTCATCTGATCTTCATTGGGTAACTGGACAAATTCACCCCCAGGTTCGATCATTCTGGTCGCAACATTTTCCCATGTTTGTGGAAGTGGCCATGTATTACTCATTTTCTTCTGTTATCAAAGAAATTCACTTTATCAGCATTTAGTTGAAATGTACAGATTAGTAGCCAACAACATAAAATATTGTAATCAATAAAATAAAGCATTTAGAGACAGTTTCATCCCATCTTGAATTGGATGAAAAATTCTTGTGTAAGTTACACTTTATCCGCTCTGCAGTGTTGCAGTCTACCCAGTTGTGATTATGCAGCCAGTATCTGACTGCTGCCCTGAATGGCCATCTTAAAATTAAAAGGAGTCAAAAAACCAACAGTGAGGCTGATGCCCCCCCCCCCCACACCTTAATACCAAAATAAACACTTGCAGATTTATCTTTTTACTAATTACTAATTACATTTTTTACAATTCTGAAAGCAAATGATAATTGAGAGAATTGTGATGGTGAAGTCTGTTCATGTTCAAAAAAGAATAAATTAGCAGAGCTGTCATTGGCTGTTGCCCAACATTTTCCAATTTACTAATTTGTCACTATTCATGGGATTAAGAGAATTACTTGCCAGAACCTACAACTGATCGTGTTGATTCCTTTATGACTTACCTTATTATTTATAGCAGAATTATCTCCTTTGTCCTTTTCCTCATCACTACTATGGTCTCTAGAAATGTAACAAAGAAAAAAATGTAACATATTATTCACAGAAGACATTTCCAGGGCAAGCAGAAAAATGCTACGTCCACATTTTGCAAGAGATGGATAGAGAGTAAGCTAAAAAAAAACTTGATTTTTCATACAATCAGGTGCCATAATCCAAGAAGTTATAGTCTGAAATTCATGAATATCGAAAGGGACTGAAATCTTTGGGATATAAAGATATATTTTAAGTTTCATCAAAATCGGACAAAAATTGTTATTTCTAGAGGGTCCACAACCTTTGTATTACATACTTGTACACAATTTGCGTACAAGGAGCGGCCATTTTGTCAGGCTGTTTCATCAGGGGCCATAATCCAGGAAGTTATGGTCTGATATGTGCAAATATCCAAAGGACCTGAGATCTTTGAAATATAAATCAGACAATAATTGTAACCTCTAACATGTTCACAACCTTGGTATTACATACTTTTACACAATTTGCAGCCATTTGGACAGGCAGTTACGGTTCGATTTTTACGAAATTCGAAACTCAATCATCATTAAGGTGTAACAATGACTATAAACGATTTTTAAAATTGGATAAAAATTGTGACGTCTAGAGGGTCAACAGCCTATAAATTGTGATTTTTCCTACAATCAGGGGCCTTAATCCAGGAAGTTACTGCCCGTTATGCACGAACATCGAAAGGAACCAAGATCTTTGGGATATAAACACATGTTTTAAGTTTCATCAAAATTGGATAAAAATTGTGACCTCTAGATGGTCCAAAACTTGATGTTATACTTTAACACTATTTGAGTACCGTACAGGGAATGGTCATTTTGTTCAGTAGTTTCTGTCCGATTTTCACGAAATTCAAACTCAACCATGATATATTAAAAAGTTTTTTTTTTAAAATCAGATAACAAGCCAACAGTGAGGCTGATGTCCCTCCGTCGAAATCCCGAAATAAACACATGACACATATTAATTGATTGCACAGTGCAATCAAACTGATTATCAACGATACACAAGTTACATCACTCTCTATCAGATAGAATCAAAGTCAAAGAAATTGACTTGTGTATCTAGCATTAATTTCTTTCACATTCGTTTAATATCAAATCTTTGTTTAAAAAATTGTAACCAGCGGCTGCCAGGCAGGATACGCCCACATTTTCGAGAGATGGATAGAGAACAAGCTAACAAGAAAGTGATTTTTCCTACTATCAAGGGCCATAATTCAGGAAATTACAATTCAATATGCGCGAATATCGAAAGGAAATGAGATCTTTGTGTTATAAACTTATATTTCAAGTTTCAACAAAATCGGATAAAAATTGTGACCTCTATAGGGTCCACAACCTTGATATACCATATTTTTACGCTATTTGAGAACGAACCGCGGCCATTTGTCTGTCAATTTTGGGTTTATTTTCATGAAATTCGAATTCAGTCGTCCATAGGGTGTAACAGTGATATAATAATACAGTTTTTTAAATCAGATAAAAATTATGACCTCTATAGGGTCCACAAGCTAAAAATGCGATTTTTCGTACAATCAGGGGCCATAATTCAGAAAGTTGCGGTCCGATATGCGCGAATATCGAAAGGAACCGAAATCTTTGGGTTATAAACTTACATTTCAAGTTTCAACAAAATCAGATAACCAGCGGCTGCCAGGCAGGATACGCCCACATTTTCGAGAGATGAAAAGAGAACAAGCTAAGAAGAAAGTGATTTTTCCTACAATCAAGGGCCATAATTCAGGAAATTACAATTCAATATGCGCGAATATCGAAAAGAACCTCTATTTGAGAACGAACAGCGGCCATTTTGTCTGTCAATTTTGGGCCGATTTTCACGAAATTCGAAATCAGCCGTCCTTAGGGTGTAACGGTGATATAATAATACGTTTTTTTAAATCGGATAAAAATTGTGACCTTTATAGGGTCCACAAGCTAAAAACGTGATTTTTCGTACAATCAGGAGCCATAATTCAGGAAATTACGGTCCGATATGCGCGAATATCGAAAGGAACCGAGATCTTTGGGTTATAAACTTACATTTCAAGTTTCAACAAAATCAGTTAACCAGCGGCTGCCAGGCAGAATACGCCCACATTTTCGAGAGATGGATAAAGAACAAGCTAAAAAAAAGTGATTTTTCCTACAATCAAGGGCCATAATTCAGGAAATTACAATTCGATATGCCCAAATATCGAAAGGAATCGAAATCTTTGGGTTATAAATATACATTTCAAGTTTCAACAAAATCAGATAAAAATTGTGACCTCTATAGGGTCCACAACCTTGATATACCATATTTTTAAGCTATTTGAGAACGAGGGGTGGCCATTTTGTCTGTCAGTTTTGGCCGATTTTCACGAAATTCGAACTTAGTCGTCCTTAGGGTGTAACGGTGATATAAAAATACGTTCTTTTAAATCAGATCAAAATTATGACCTCTATAGGGTCCACAAGCTTAAAACGCGATTTTTAGTACAATCAGGGGCCATAATTCAGGAAGTTACGGTCCAATATGCGTGAATATCGAAAGGAACTGAGATCTTTGTGTTATAAACTTACATTTCAAGTTTCAACAAAATCGGATAAAAATTGTGACCTCTATAGGGTCCACAACCTTGATATACCATATTTTTACACTATTTGAGAACGAAGGGCGGCCATTTTGTCTGTCAGTTTTGGTCCGATTTTCACGAAATTCGAACTCAGTCATCCTTGGGGTGTAACGGTGATATAATAATACGGTTTTTTAAATCGGATAAAAATTATGACCTCTATAGGGTCCACAAGCTAAAAACTTGATTTTTCGTACAATCAGCAGCCATAATCCATGAAGTTACGATCCGATACATGCCAATATCGAAAGGAACCAAGGTCTTTGGGAGATAAACTTATATTTCAAGTTTCGTCAAAATCGGACTTGTCCACAAACAAATTGTGGACGGACAGGGGCGACGACAATATATGTCCGCATAAAAATGTGGGCGTATAAAAATGTAAAGAGTGTATATACAATATACAACCAACAGTAGCATTCTTAAAGGTGGTTTTGAGAGTCAAAACAGCATATAATATTGATGGGGAACTCTGAATATTGATCAGCTTCTTCTTTAGGGGGATACTTGATTGTCAGTCTGGACTGACGGAATTGCAATCGAGTAATGCTTAATTTCAGATGTCATGGTTGGTTGAGATACTTCCTTATGCAGTAGATGCATGCATTTTAGACCGAAATCCCTATGGACAAGCTAAACAAGTTTGATACTAACTCTGCTTAAAGTGGATTAGGTGGTTGGAATTTTGATACACTCCCTCCTTATGATTAGACAGGCAATCCCAGCAAGTTTGATAAAAAAAATCTAAACAACTCTTGGTCTGTACATGGTTTACTAGTATTTGGTGATAGGGGCAGTAATTCGGTGAAAAATCATTACATGATAATAAATTTCAACAGGATTACTCCTGTGGAGCATCCAAAATTTATCAACAGACTCAGTGATCAACATCCTGATCCCTTGGGCATGTTTTGGAAGGAACAGGGATAATAATTGAAAACCAAAACTTAAGTCAAATTTATTTCAGTGGAAACACAAAATTTATAAATTATTAACTAGTAGTAAGAAGAGGCACAACTACTATAATAATAGGCTGATGTCTGTACAGAGTTACGATATTTTAAACGGTCAAGGCATTCATCTTAAAGTGGAAATAGCAAATTTTTAAGTTATATTTTTAAAATTTATTAAAATAAAGCCTGAAAATAGATGGTATCCATAAACAGTCCTACCTTGTTAAAGAATAATCCTATTAATCCTATAATTCACTATTGCCAGCTGAGAAATTGGCAAAAATATCATTTTCCTCTTCATTTTCAAACGTTGAAAAAAGCTACTCCATGGTGGAGAATAGAAAACAAGGGAGGTAATTGGGAGGTAATTGTGTTATTATTTCCTGTGTAAATGAGTTGTAAGTGTGAGAATGACACCTATGATCGTATAATTGTGAGTTGATAACCTATTGAGCAAAAGACATAGAAATAATTACGTTTTGACTTTCTTAGAAAATTTGCAATTTCCGCTTTAAAACACCAACACAATAAGCAGGAAAAACATCTTACCGGTACTTAGAATCTAATGCTTGAACTAGATCTTGTCCTACAGCAAAAAACTGTTCACCACATGAATCATCATCACTTATATCACTTGAATCTTGAACACCAGACCAGCTACTGTTCATAGTATCAGATCTATAAAATATAAATCAAGAATAGGATACACACTGGCAGCTGGACTTAAGCAAAAAACAATAACAGACTTAGGTGGTTGTAAACATATCTTGAATTTAATAGAAAACCTGGTATAAGGAGTTACTACAATGCCAAATAATTTTGTCTTTACTCTACTAGCCCAACAACTAGTTTGAAAATAAATTCTCAAAAACTCTTGAGAAATTAGGAATTACAAGGTTTTGGTAATCGTACTAATACAGATATTATATGATATGTCCCTCTTTATAACCAGATAAACATTCCCAGCAAAAATTTCACCCAAAATATATCAAATATTCTGGCCTGTACAGTTTAAAAGGTCTAGGAGACAGGGGTAATAACTCCACATCTAATTGATATGATATACTTATGACTAGACCAACAATTTTGAAAAGAAAAAAAAATCCCTAGAACTCCATTTACAATACTTCTGAAGAGATGGGTAGACAAATGCACATGGTTAACGACAATCCAAATTATGAAATAAAATGTGGATGTTTAATTATTGCAAAAGCATGAGTGGCTTTATTTACTAAATCATCTTTCGATAATCTCTAGGTTGCATTAATTTAGTATAGATGTAATATCAAATAACTCACCCATGAGTATTACTAGCATTATTATATAACCAAGTATTATTCATGGTAGGTGTTAACCACTGAGAACCAGGCCCAGGCCATAGTTGATTAGTGGCGGGCACATATGGTGAACTTGATCTCAAGGGCACATGAAGGTCGTGAGAATATCGTCTGCTGAAGTTACTGCCCATGTTTATATTATTATTATCTATAAACGGACGTGGAATACCACAATTAACACCAGGTAAACTGCTCCTATGAAGTGGGGGGTTCCAGATATTTTTTTGCATTGACGGAAGATCAAGACTCCCCTCGCTCCGCCGATGCATTTGGAAATGGGGAGGCTTTAGTTCAATATGTGAATCTGACGCTGGACTTGGCATTCTGTATAATTGCGGAACTGTTAATTGAATCTGATTTTCAGGAATAGCCTGCATGGTATTATTGGAAGACTGGACACCTACTCCAGATAATAAATTTATAACACTGTCAATTTCTTCTTCAGAGGCAAGGTCGATTGGCACAGAACCTGAAAAATATACAACAAAAATTATTCCTCTAAGCTATTTTATGTTAATTAACAGATTTAACATGCAGAATTAACAATGTTAAAAATCTTGTCAAATGTGTCGAGATTAGATTAGAATGTCGACCAAGGGGAGGTTTTTCTCCCTCGCCTTAAAACATATATATGCACTAAGGACTAACAATCCATACATGCTATCCAAAAGAGTGTGAAAGATTCACATTTCGACCGCGGCCATGCTGTCATTGTGAACACTTATTTGGTGGATTTGATTAGTGTATATTCTGATGAATATGTTGCTAAAAGTAGATAACTTCTACATGTATCATCATTGGTTAATTTAACTGAAATGTAAAGTAGAACTCTCGCGAGAATAATTCTGAAAGAAATGGATTATATTTTGATGGAATTTTCGAGCGTTTAAGATTATATACTAAACAGCAAAAAAACGTCAGTAGGATTTCAAAATCAGAGAGGGACTTTAATCAAATCATTCTAGAAAACGACTTACTAAATGGATCAAAGCAATTTTTTGTGAACAGTATGTAAGTTGACACATTGACCAAGATTTTGAAACACCACAGGACCCACTCTCTGCTTCAAGCCAATTCCACCCCAAACTATTATGCCTGGACCTCCCCATGAGTCTCGTTCCATGACACATTGGTCAGAATAACGCTAGCCACGTCGACGCCATATTCCGGTCCTGCAATCTGCAGTTGATACGCAATACCGACTCGCATCTGTGAACAGAACAGATCTCCATTGCCTGTGTCGCCAGTTCTGGTGTTGTTGGGCAAACTATAGACGTTCAAGTCGATGGCGAGGATCGGTCCACGGTAAGGTCTACAGCAATGGATGTTCTCTCTGGTGAGATGTCGACGCACTGTATCGGTACTGATGGATCTTCCTTGTGTTCCCACTGTCTGACGTGCTGTCTCAAGATGCCTGTGGAAAGGGATTCTGCACGTGCTGTGGCACAACATAGCGGTCTTGTCGCCTTGTGGTAACCCTTGGTCTACAAGTTTGGGGGCGATCATCCGTGGTGTTGGTGGCCCGAAAGCGTTGCTGAAGACTATACATGGTCCGAACAATGACCTGGAAGTGATTGGCGACGGCTTGGGCAGTGTGGCCAGTGTCAAGTCTTCCAAGCGCCTGGTTCCTCTGAGCTGTCATGAGTCGTGGCATGTGGCTGACATAGTGTGAATGATTCAACCAGGTATGGGGGTGCATTTTATAGGGCTGGTCCCAGTGAACAGCATGTGCAGCATAAGTTACATAAAAATCATGGAGAACACATTACCATCTGACGCGTTTATGAGAACATTTCCTGGGTTCAATTCTGTGTTTGGGAAGGAGCCTTATTGCTCAGGTAAAGTTGGAGATGTGGTCACAAATATACAATAAAAACATTTGGCAAGTTTTATGCAATGAGTCTATTCAGAGTAACATACCAACCTTACGCTTCTTTTGCTGCTAAGTATATTTTGAATAGGGGTTATGTTTTTAAATAGAATGTATACACGCTATATATATTTAGAAATGTCAACAAGTAAGTCTATTGGAATACCCTAAGTAGTTTTAGATGATAGCAAAAGTTTGACTTGACCATATGACTACGACTATTATTTAGCAGACAATGTTCATTATCATTTATGTACATGTAACCAGGAATGACCCCTTACACACAGTTATTGATCTTCATTCTTCAGAACCATTTCCCATACATACAAATAATTACTCTGCTTAATTTTCTAAATCAATCTGGGAGAGTTTTTTTAAGAGAGCGATTTTTTCAGTTTTTTCATTCAGGGGAGCTTTTTTTCAGGTCTCCTCTAAAATAAAAAAATCAATGACTGAAGTTTGTAACTTAATGTAAAAAGAACTGAAACATTCTGTTGCTTTTCAGTAAACACCTACATGTATATTACCTTGATCGATTAATTAATCTATGTGACTTTCTTTTTTTTTAATCCTGAAAACATTTTGTGGTTTCTCCTTTGAGTCCTTTGTCAGACATTTTAATCCCCTTGATGTTGGATAAAGACATATACAAACTAGTCAAAGATGTCGAGCATGTGTACCTTTTTTTACTTTAGTTTTTTTTGGGTGGTAATTATAAATATTTTTCACAATGAATCACAATACAATATGCTTGGAGTTGGAAGCTTATTGACCCTATTGCCTAAAGCTGATAACGACTTTGGTGACCTAATTCTGGCCTTTGTTAACTTCAACTAAAACCATCCTGACGTCCAAAATTTTGAAACAGAAACCCTGATTTGATGTCAAATGTAATAACTCTACAACAGTGTTCACCCCGTCAATCAGCATACACGTCAATTGAGATAAAAAAAAATCTGCCGATTTTTGGAACAACAGCCTTTTCCTTGTGGCAATTCTTTTTCTTTTGCCCGTTTCAAATGCAAGATGCTGAATACTGATTGGATTCATCTTTATGAACAGTGAAAAATTCCAGCCAGTTTGGGAAAGAATGTCAGAACATCCTACTGTTCCACTCCGACTGGGCTAATGAAGAAGGCATTTGCCATACAGTGTGCTATGGGGGAAATTTAGTCCGGACAGCAACATTACAGCCTACTTTTATATCGAATTCCAACTGCCAAGGGTTCTCTTACGTGCATGCCAATGTGTACACCGGACCTCATTTTTTGGGGGGGCACATCCGAACAACTATACCTTGTCCCTTGCCAGGCCCTCCATCCTGCATCACTGACAAGGGGAACCATGCCGGATGAAATTTCTCGGTCAACACAGGGATCGAACACGTGGCTCCTTTAGATAAAGAGCTGGACATTCTCGCTAAAATAGTTCAAAGATCGATAATGCAAAATGAATATATTGAAAATTTCATTCTAATTACTTTATTGTGAGTGAAGTTTTGACTGTTTGAAGTTTTGACAATATGTGGCATAGATTGTTTATTATCGTAACAACAGCACATGTTATTCAATACTTAGCCTTGATTTGTCATTTTTAAATAAATCATTAAATTGTATTAGTGTTTTAATCCATTTAAATCTCTGCCATCCGATGTTCTAGAGATTTGATTATAGGCTTGTTATGTGAATAAATGTCTATATAATAATTTATATAACATTTGTAGCTAAAATAAAGACCTGCAATAGGCAGATTTAGCTCTTACATAATTCATCTTTAACTGTGGAGCTATTACATGTCTAGAGTAACAATTCTGCTGATAATTAATTATTAATTTCAATAGGGTTAATAATTATGACTACTGAAACAATTTCATCATGCTTGGAAAAATTCTCAAATACATGTTTTCAATGACAGGGGAAATACATGTAACTCTACTGAATGATTTATATGCAACTCTGGATCTCGAAGCTGAAGAAACACAGTAATTCTCAAAAAAAACTCTGAACATCACAGCTATTATAACTCGGACAGACTGATACCAAGGATGTTCGCATGTATGGCCACATTAGCATATGGGCTGATAAAAATGTACTGAGCAACTCATCGATATTAAAGTTCAGACAATCTATAAATACAATATTATAATGTAATTTATTAGTTTACTTACTATTTGTAGTATTAGGACTGGAAGATGAGAGAAAACTTGTATTATGAGCTTGAGCAGAAGTATCATCACATGTTATTATAGGTGGAGGAGGATTAGTTAAATTACCCTCTGCTACACCTCCACCACCATTATAATCAACTTTCTCTTCTTGAACATCAACATAGAAGGCACTTTGTTTATCTCTTGCTACAGACTTCTTCTCAAAGAAAGAGAAAAATGATGACTTCAAATTTCCAGGCGGTTGATGCTTTGGTGATTGGGATTTGGGTGTTTTGGGGTTGTGACTGTCTATTAAAACTGACTTTTCTTTTGAAGGACTATCAACACTATCCAGAGATTTTTGCTTGCACATGTCACCATCTTTCTTAGGATTGAGTCTGGATACAAGTGCAACAATCTTTTCATGGCAAAAATTATAGTAATTGTTCTGCATTTGAACAAACTGGAGAAGAATGTGAAAAAATGTCTGGAAAATAGAATGGAAATTCATTATCAAACAGCAAAATAAAAAGAACGTAGTTTAACAGGAAAGTTAAAATGAATGCTGCTCAATTGAGAAAAAAAAGGTTAAAGAGCTGCTGTCTAATCTTTAGATATTAGAGAAATTATTTGTGAAAAACATTGAAGTACCAGTATGTTAGTTACAAAGAGCAAATTTTAATAATACTCATACAGGTTTACGTTAAGTTGACCACCGCTAGAGGAATATTGCAATTTGTAGGTCTGTCCCTGTTTGAAGTGTCAAAATACATGTATTGTTAAATTCTTTGCTCATTTAGATTTTTTTTTCTTAGTAATTTCTAAAGTATTTTAATTTTTAAATAGACTAAACTTGTTCAGAAATTGCCAAGAAAAATGTATGATTTTAAAGTCAAATTTGCTGAAACAAGGGGCAATGAAAATAACAGATCACCATCTTTTTGAAAATTCTTAAATTTCCCAATGTTAATTTGTCAGGTTCATTTCATAGCTATTTTTACTGCCCATTTCAACAGTGTAATGGTAGTAACATTAACATATCTATAAAGAGTAAAACTCAATTTTATACTTTTATATCGCTTTAATAAATAAATGAAAATTAACGTCCTACTGTTCAGCACTTAAATGAATAAATGAAATGAAATCAGGTTTAATGTCCTATTCTTCTGCACTTTAATGAATAAAATTGGATCTCTAAATGAATTACTGATTTTATTTTCAAATACAATTGTTATTACTAACCTGAGCATAGATTTTAGAAAGGTCTTTACGATTCCCAGCATCTAAATGACTTTTCAATGTAAATAAAGCAGTCTCCATAGTTTTATATTGTTCAAATCCCTTCAATGTTTGTCGTGCCATAAAAATTTCATTGAAATTCTTGACACAGTCGTCTGCTACATGTTGGTATGGTGTGCCTTGCATAGCTTGAGCAATAGACTGCATAAGATGAGAACCAGCCCCATCAAACTGATGACTAAACAAGCTGAATGCTGACATGGCTTCATAACAGCCCTGTACATCACTGTTTAAAGAAGATTCTGTATTACTGACGTGAAAAACGGATTGTGACATGGTCAACTTAATCGGATGCTTCTTTAAGCCACAGGAACAACTCCAAAAGACATGCTATTATAATCAAAACTAGGTCTGTACATAACAAAAATATATACAGCCATAAAGTTATAAATTCTCTTCCCTTTTCTCCTGCTAATTCACATTTCCATATTAAAGAAATAAAGGATCTAATGTCATGAATTGTTCCACAAATCCATTATTCTCAGTCATATGAAGCTGTATGCCAGGAACTAATAACAATGGGTTGTCTTTTTCTTTTGAAAAGCTGCTTGGATGAGATTAGTCATTATTACAGAAATTATATTGTCTTTTGTCTGTCAGGTGCCTGTAAAGAAAAATAAAATGGTATTATATTATCAACAAAATATACTAATTCCAGTTTCACAATAAAACAAACAAAGCTAACACAAAATAATAAAAATTATGTTTTAATATCTATATAGAAATAAAGCACAAGACAGTAATAGTGTAATGGGTTTTCAGTAGATGGTTCACCTGTTTCATACAACCTGACAGATAATGATAACAGCTACTAAAACCAGCTTTTCAAAAAACTTCTAGCAGCACCAAACATTCAAGCACCAAATGTAATAAAGAGATATTGTTGTTTTCAAAAAGAACCAATATTTAGTTTTTAATAATAGCTTCCAAATAAACTTAAGACTCACCGACAAGTAATTATAGAAAATAAAAGCACTAAGCTCTCTTATATAGTAAAATATTTTGCACTAGTTTTCCAAATAACTCCTAACAAGTGGTTGCCATGCAAGATACACCCACATTTTGCAAGAGATGGACAGAGAACACGCTAAAAAAGCGATTTGCATACAATAAGGGGCCATAATCCTGGTTGTTACAGTCCGACATGCATCTATATCAAAAGGAACCAAGATCTTTGAGATATAAACATACATTTTAAGTTTCATCAAAATCGTGACCACTAGAGATTCCACAACCTTGGTATTATATGCTTTAACACTATTTGCATAAAGATTAGAGGATATTGTGACAGGATGTTTTGGTCTGATTTTCACAACAGTGTAACGGTGATATATACATGTACAGGTATGACTGCTTTTTAAAATTAAATACAAATTGTGAGCGCCAGAGGATTCATAAGCTAAAAACGTGATTTTCCATACAATCAGGGGCCATAATCAAGTTACAGTCCAATAATCAGATAAAAATTTGGGCCTCTAGAGGGTCTACACCCTTGGTATTACATACTTTTACACTATTTATATACAGGGAGCGGCCATTTTGTAGGACAGTTTCTGTCCAATTTTCACGAAATTCAAACTTGCGTTTTGCGTTCAATCAGGGGCCATAATCCATGAAGTTATGGTCCGATATGCAAGGATGCCAAAAGGAACTGAGATTTTTTGGGATAAACCTATATTTTGAGTTGTGTCAAAATCAGATAAAAATTGTGACCTGTAGAGTGTCCACAAACAAAATGTGAACAACATCCTGGGGTGAAGACAATATACGTTCACATGAAGATGTGGGTCAATAAAAACCAATAACAAGTGTTTGACTGACTCTTACCAACCAACAAACATCAAAATATTAAATATATAGAGCACATCTATTTTCATAATACAAGCCTTTAAACTGTCTAGATATTTTAATAGTAGATGTACTGTGTTGATTTAAATCACACTATCGATCCTGCAGCTAATAAACTAAACATGTAATATACTTTTGTTTAAATTTCAATAGTGTTCTTCCTTAAGGTCAATGATCAATCCTTGCAAAGTTGACAAAATATCTGTGATATTACATAGGCATTAAGAGCTGTCAGCAAAAGTTATTCCATGAAGGTGAACTGTTTGACACTTGACAAGGGTGACAACACCAAAATGTAAGGTATATAAAAATGTAAATGTATATTATTTACAACAGCCCGAGAAGTTCTGGATATTACCGGTTACTTAGAAATTAACCAAGAATCTGATTCAAGGCTCATAAATGAAAATAGTACATACAGAATCAGATAACATTTAGCTACAGCATGGAACTCATCCATATAGATTACATGTAATCTGGTCAAAGGTGAAAATAGATTCATCAACCACTAGTAATTTAATAATGCCACACAACTCTAACATCGCTTTTGCAGTTTAGCTTCACCCTAGTTTAAATAGGTTGTATCAATAATAGACGAACATTAAACTAATACTACAAATACTGACACAGATGCCTTAATCTAAATATGTTACTGTAGTGACAAAATCACTTGTCACACTATGATCAAACAATTCCACTGCTAACACTTAAAATGAAATTTGCATTAATATAAAAATAATATTTATCTACTAAAACATATGCCCACAGCAGCTAAGTTGTCCCTAAAGGTTGTCAACTGTATTTTCTTTTGTACTTAAAGTAAAGGGAGTATTACAAGACATGAAAACCTAAAGCACAATAAACCACTAAGTAATTATAAGGAATAATTTAAATTTGATAGGCATCTAGTTCTTCCTAGAGCTACATAATAAAAAAAACATGCACCAATAACCAGATGATAACTAAAGCTGTTCAAGTTATAAGAAATCACTAAAAATTAATATGCTTTTTAATCTTATGAAGAATAACAATTAAATTTCAAATTAATTGGATGTTAACCCTAGTTGGATGGACAATATACGACAACATTTCAATCTGGGAGTGTAAAAATCGTAAAACACACTGCCATTATGTATGTTGGCTAAATTACAGAAATATCATGGTGAAGGCAATACATTTTACAGTACTTTGTAGTTTTATCACAAATAACAAAACCCTATCATAGTAATAGCCAATATATTTATAGATATATAATTTAGTTTACATTAAGGTAGAATAAATCATATATAATCCCAGACTGATAGTGTACATGTATGCACCTGAAACTAGTTTAATTTCTTACCAAATATAGAAGCCTATACAATAATACTACAAATAGAAGAATGATATATGTACATGTCAATAACATTGTTTAACTTTTTAGAAGGAAATCATATTATAAATATATAAAGTAAGATTTGGGATTGTTTTAATATTAAATTTTAACTAGATATCCTTAACTTTATCATGTGCTAAAAGCATATAAATATACCTAAAAAAATATTGCCTAATTTTTGTTTTATTTAAGTACACATTATGTTCAGTTCAAATGGAGAAGAAAAGATTGGCTACTAAAGCCATGAAGCATCTAATAAAATGAAATAGGTTTTAACAACCATCCTACAGCTAAATATACGGCATGCAGCAAGACCGAAATTAGTATGCATGGGACCCCTGGCTAAAAAGTGTCCCTTCACACTTACCCAAATGCAATTTGTATGTCAGTATGGTAGATAGGTAGGTTTATTTGGCACAAACATAGACAAAATAATAAATTTATAGGCCTATTTATTTATGGTACAAAATTGTTTTTAGAACTAATTTGGGGACCCCTTTAATATTGGGGGCCCCCAAGGGGAAAATCTGCCTGGACATTGAATTCCATTTGTCAAGGGTTCTTTTATGTGCTTGCCAACGTGCACACAAGAAAACTGGACACTGTTCCTAATCAGGCCCGCTATCCTACCCCACTGACAAGAGAAAACCATGCTTAATAATCCTGTGGAATTTTCTCGTCCCATACCTTACGCAACCAAGCATTTGTCAAGGGTTCTTTTATGTGCTTGCCAACGTGCACACAAGAAAACTGGACACTGTTCCTAATCAGGCCCGCTATCCTACCCCACTGACAAGAGAAAACCTTGCTTAATAATCCTGTGGAATTTTCTCGTCCAATACCTTACGCAACCAAGCATTTGTCAAGGGTTCTTTTATGTGCTTGCCAACGTGCACACAAGAAAACTGGACACTGTTCCTAATCAGGCCCGCTATCCTACCCCACTGACAAGAGAAAACCTTGCTTAATAATCCTGTGGAATTTTCTCGTCCAATACCTTACGCAACCAAGCATACACGCACCAGCTGTTCCATCGATTGCTTTCACTGTTTTTGTAAAACAAGTTTATTATGTGGATTGTGTAATTGTATGAATGTTGTGTTCATATTTTCATTATTTCGTCATCTAGTTTTTTTCTCAGATCAATACATTTCAGTGAAGTTCTTAATAAATCAGGAATATTTCTAAAATAAGTATAGTCTGAATATACATAAAATAGAAATACAACCAATATAATAGGACAACCTAAATTTAAAAATATTTTTATATAGTTGTAATGGAAGTTTGCAAACAACAGCTGTTAAAACATTACAACAACATATAAGGTGACACTGATATAAAATGTTTATATCTGTTTGTTAGTAATTCAATTCATTTAAAGGATATACAAATTTCATGATTTCTACAATGATCAACCAGCAGCTGCCAGGCAGGATACGCCCACATTTTGCAAGAGATGGATAGAGAACAAGCTAAAAACAAACAGGATTTTTTGTACAATCAGGGGCAATAATCCAGAAAGTTATGGTCTGAAATGCGCAAATATCAAAAGGGTTTGGGATATAAAGATATGTTTGAAGTTTCATCAGAATCGGATAAAAATTGTGACCTCTAGAGGGTCGACAACCTTTGTATTGCATAGTTTTACACAATTTGCGTACAAAGAGTGGTCATTTTGTTGCGCAATTTCATTTCGATTTTCCCAAAATTCGAATTCAACCTTCATTATGGTGGAATGGTGAAATATTTAAACGGTTTTTAAAATCGGAAAAAAAAATTGTGACCTCTAGAGAATCTGCAAGCTAAAAATGCCATTTTTCAAACAATCAGGGGCCATAATGCAGGAAGTTAAGTTCGGGTAACCGCGATTATTCACACATTTTTTTAAATCAGATAAAAATTGTGACCACAAGCTAAAAACGTGATTTTTCGTACAATCAGGGGCCATAATTCAGGAAGTTACGATCCGATATGTGTGAAAATCGAAAGAAACCAAATCGGGTGAAAATTGTGACATCTGGAGAGTTCACAACCTTGATATACCATATTTTTACACTATTAGAGTACAAGGGGCGGCCATTTTGTACGGCAATTTTGGTCTGATTTTCACAAAATTCGAACTCAACCATCATTAGGGGGTAACGGTGATATATTCAAACGTTTTTTTAAATCGGATAAAAATTGTGACCTCTAGAGGGACCACAAGCTAAAAACGCAAATTTTCGTACAGTCAAGGGCCATAATTCAGGAAGTTATGATCCGATATGCGCAAATATCGAAAGGAACCAAGATTTTTGGGTTATTATGTATTTCAAGTTTCATCAAAATCGGATCAAAATTGTGAGCTGCAGAGGGTCCACAACCTTGATATACCATATTTTTACACTGATTGCGTTCGAGGGGCGGCCATGAAGTTACGGTCCGATACATGCCAATATCGAAAGGAACTGAGATGAGAGTGTCCACAAACAATTGTGGCGGACATCCGGACGGACAGGGGCGACGACAATATACGTCCACATGAAAATGTGGGCGTATAAAAACTACTATTGGTACATGTATACATTATGTATGCATTACATCAAATGAGCTAACCAATTTTAATTTAGTTTAATATAAAGTAGAGGATTAGGTTTACCTGATGTTCTACTGATAGAGATGTAATAAGCTACATAGACAGTAAAATTTTCGTTTTGAAAGATGGAGTTTGCTGATTTTAATCACAAAATTTGTTTTATATCTTGACATTGGTGCTATCTCTGTTTCTTAAAATTTAAACTTCTATACACCATGAAGTCCCATCATAAAACAAAAGACATCAACACATCAGCGTTAAATAGATAACACCATTATTTTGTGGTAAATTAAAGACTTTAAAAAGGTCTAGTCATTTTAAAGCAACACAAACATAATTGAGTTATGGGATATGACTATTTGTAAGACATATTTTCCCATAAGTCAGCTTCCAAACAACAAAGCAACATGAAATATTTAAGATGTTTAAAACATTCACTCATGAATGACCTGTAAATGCGGATTAGTGGGCGCATAATTGTTTGTCAATGCCTACTAGTCAAACATCTTAATTGCTGCCGGGAATTAACCTGCCCATTTAGGTGGTGTGGGGGCCTAAAGGGAGCCCATTTTCACTTTTAATCATACTTTGGTAGGGATGGACAATTTTGATAATATTTAATATATAGGTAATACTGAGTCGAAAAAAAAATCAGCCATCCCTCTCAATGTATGATTATATCTGAGGGTGGGGCCTATTACATAATCATCACTGAGGACACTTCCGGTCAGTGTAAAATTGCTGTCATTTGTATTTTTGTAGTGTATATACATACTTAAACATTGTGTAAAAAAATCAGCCATCCCTCTCAATGTATGATTATATCTGAGGATGGGGCCTATTACGTAATCATCACTGGCGAAACTTCCGGTCAGTGTAAAATTGCTGTCATTTGTATTTTTGTAGTGTATATACATATTTTAACATTGTGTAAAAAAATCAGCCATCCCTCTCAATGTATGATTATATCTGAGGATGGGGCCTATTACGTAATCATCACTGGCGACACTTCCGGTCAGTGTAAAATTGCTGTCATTTGTATTTTTGTAGTGTATATACATAATTTAACATTGTGTAAAAAAATCAGCCATCCCTCTCAATGTATGATTATATCTGATGCCTCATACCTGATGCCATGTTGTGGTATTTAACTGTCACTGTCGCCACTTCCTGTCAGTGTGAAATTGCTGGCAGTGATGTAGGAATGTTTGGAACCGTCTAATGAATCATCCCTCACTTAGTATGAATAAATGAATTTTGGACAGCACTTGACCTTTGCTGTCCAAGGTCACTGTCAACAAAAAGTTGCTGTCAATGGTGTTTTTCGACTCAGTATTACCTATATATTAAATATTATCAAAATTGTCCATCCCTACCAAAGTATGATTAAAAGTGAAAATGGGCTCCCTTTAGGCCCCCACACCACTTAAATGGGCAGGTTAATTCCTGGCAGCAATCCAGATGTTTGACTAGTAGGCATTGACAAACAATTATGCCCTATCAGACAATTTCCCTCTCTTAGTATGATTAACTGAAGCAGGCGCCCGGTCTAACATTTTGCAAGAGATGGATAGAGAACAAGCTAAAAACAAAAACAATTTTGCCCTATCAGACAATTTCCCTCTCTTAGTATGATTAACTGAAGCAGGCGCCCGGTCTAACATTTTGCAAGAGATGGATAGAGAACAAGCTAAAAACAAAAACAATTTTTTGAACAATCAGGGGCCATAATCCAGAAAGTTATTCAATCATCCCCTTCTTACATGTAGATTCCAAACATACAACACATTCCAGACAATCTGATTAAAATACAAATCTATATTTCCATTCGTTTTTTATACTTTTGATGACCTCTACTACATGAAGATCTGACCAGTTGTAGTGGAAGTTCACATTTAGGGGTTGTACAAACGGCTTTTGACCCTATGACATCACACAATTGATTAACCAATCAGATGTTTCTAGTTAGCCACAGTTCTGTGCACCGTACGCCAAGAACTCGCCGTAACAGACCGTTTCATTGGTTAATCCCGTACATCAACCAAAACACGCGTTATATAACAACTCTTCCAAATCCCAGTGTAGTAAAGAAAAGTAAAACGAAATTTTGAACTATAAAAAATGAAACGAAATAGGATAATATAGATACAGTACCGATAGTTAAAAAGTCTATTAGACATAAAAATTACATATAGGGCTCTGCAGTCTGCACATACCGTAAAACAAAACAAATAAAAAACATTACAGGTTAACTAACTCGTACCCTTGTTAGCTGCATGTACAGTTAATGTCAGGTCAGTAGTAGTAGTAGTAGTAGTAGTAGTAGTAGACCTAGTAGTAGTAGTAGCTACCAGAACGTAGATAAAAACGTTGAGATATACTGATGTGCTTGTTTTTAGCTACGATTGGGTGCCTTTAGTTCCAAATGGCAAACTCAAATTCTTTATTAATGTATGTAACATCTTAAAAAATGAGATAATTTTATACTATTATGACTAATTAAACTTACAGAGGCCAATGTATTGGCATAACTATCGTCTAACTTCAAATATTTGCATTTAAGTGTTGTTTTTATCCGACATACATGTACAGCACCTCCCGTTAAAAAATGGCGTTCCAAGTAACGGTTTAACGCCTCAATTTTAAATACGATGATTTATACCCGATTCAGGTAGGATGATATGCTTAATTGTAGTTGGATGTGGCAGAAATATTATAAATAACAATAATCAATCGTTGTTTTGATGAAAAATATTGTCAACTTTGCTTAATTACTGAGATCCAATGTGATTTGCGTTGGGCTTTGCTACGTATAGTCCATCTCTTATCTCGAAACACGAGGGGGGGGGGGAGATGAGGTTTGTTATCTATAGTAGTATTAGTGGTAGACACATTCGGGTTTCCAGCCAAAAAAAATAATAAATAAATCACCAATTTTGAGTTTTTTGTTAGAAAAGACATCAGATTTTATTTCATTTTGTGAACTTCTCATTACTTACAATTTCTAACTTATGTGAGATGAAAAATGACAAACGGAAGCATACATTATAAAATACCGATTTCATTACACCAGACATCGTCTACATGTTGTTTGAATCACCAACACCAAACCATTTGAAGGCCACATCATTTTGATAGTTGGATAGTCGACAGATCATCCGGAAGTCCACCCACGTGTTTTGACAAGGTCAAGGTCGCTATTGAAGGTCACTACACTGGTAGAGTTTCGCTGAAGATGGCAGGACAGCAAAGAAATCAGCTTACAACTGAGCCGGCTTGGCAGAATTTGTCGCAATGTTTTGACCGCAGTGGATCAAAACTGAACATTCTGCAAATGTTCCAGGAAGATCCTGGTCGATTTGATAAATACAGGTAAATTTAAATTGTTAGGCTAAAAAATACAAGAGTTCTGCTTACACTCAAGTCCAGTTCTTGCACATTTTTCTTTGACCTGTCCGGTCGAACGGTTGCAGTGTCTAACGACTGTCACTACAGATATTGGATAACGCTTACGTTGTCAGTAAATTGTGACAGTGGAACTAGTAAGCTCGGGACTGTCTACTTGGTATCCTTGTAACTTGTTCATGTGCCATTTATTGTACATTATTCTGTTCTACAAGTTTGTTATTTAACTTTTAAGTTTTAACTTATTGTCACATAGGCTTACTGACATATAGGCGTACAGGCTCGATGAATGTTAAGTGGGTGGGGGGGACAGAACCAGTTATGCCCGAAAAAATTTCTGACTCGGAATTCCATTCAACCAATCAGTCGTGTACAGTTCACATAGATGGGACCATCAAGGGAAAATTTTGAAATTTTAACTGCCTCGAACACGTTTTCCTGCTATTCCAGCCTTGAATACTGCAAGTTCAGTGTGGTCCAATATAGCCTATCTTACCTGAATCCCAAATCCCTAACAACCAGGTCCGTAGCCAGCGAGGGGCAAAGGGAGGCAATGCCCCCCTGAAAAAATGTTTTGCCCCCTCGAAAAAAAAGTTGCCGACCATAGTTCTAAAAAACTTCACTGCCCCTCCGCAGCCAACAAGCTGGTTAGGGCCTGCTAACAACCAATAAATTTTCAAAATTTAACCACCTCAAATGCATTTTTCTTCTATTCTAGCCCGTGAATTAAGCAACTAAAGTTTTCAATAGGTTTGCAGCCGAAATCCCAATCTATGTCTACCTCAATTCCAACCATCCAATCAGATTGTTGCAGCTGCATTCACAAATAATAATTAATGCCCGAAAAATATTGCACAAAGTAGAGTCACTTGAGGCAAAATGTTTTAATCCATAGTCAGTTTAGGTACAATTTTGTGGTATTCAATTAAAAGAAAAGTAAAATTAGTGTTGTTAGATTTCAGGCACTTTATTTTGCCAACTAGATGAAATGATAATTGTTGTTTTCACTGTACCCGTTTGCCTGAAACTTGATTGGGGTGGGTGGGGGGGGCAGCTGCTCCCTGCCCCCTGGCTGGTATGCCTATGATTATTAACATTGTTTGTCGATGCATCATTGGATTCATATTCCATATTGATTCACTAGCATTTCTTTCATTTTTCGAAAATGATTATGAAAAAATAACACTTTAGCAAACCCCACTTTTTGGTAAAATACAATTTTTTGTTTGATATGAATGGTTATAGGCCAACAGTATATTTTATACTTTTCTATTGGTCTAATAGTCCCTTTAGCAGGGTCTATAGCTTGGTACACTAAAACTGTTTTTAAATTGTATTATTGTATCAAATGTATATGTACAATTTTTTAAATCTATGGACCGTAAGAATTGCTAAATAAGCTATGGAAAAGACCTATTGACAGCTTGACTAGACAATATTTGAAAAGTTTTACTATCATAATTTAGATGAGGTGTGTTGGGTAAAATCTGTAATATAATAAAGTACCGGTACATGTAAAGCGTTTTTACAATTATGGCTATATTTGCAAATCCCATTCAATCACATTTACAGCAAAAATTAGCCTAATCGGTTCACATAACCATCGTATTTACCATGACGATTTGCCAAATCGATAATGCAGATCTTCCAACTTGCTCGCCTGCAGGATTGACGATTCGATTTCCCAGATGTCATCCCCGTCAAACCGAACGTTAGTTCCTTTTTTTTTGATTTCACGTTAAAATATACATATTATGGACATTCCTAATACGAATACAGGGCATTTGGGCACAGTCAACAGATACAACTTCTTGTTTTTATTTTTGGGAGGCGTCTTCAAGAACAGAATAAAGAAAAATTAATTTTTTAACATTTTTCCTCAATTCTGCAGTCTTGATTCGGGGAGCAAGATGGAACAGAGGCAATATCCTGTCATGCCAGTAGCCTATAATGAATTTTTCAGTAAATAAAGTGTATCTTTTATTCCAGTTTAAAATTGAACTCCAAGGATGGAGATATTCTTTTGGACTATTCAAAGAATCTTATCAATGATGAAATCATGGGTTATTTATTTCAACTGGTGGGTTTATCTTCTTTTTTTCTTTTTTAAACTGAGTGAAAGATTATTTGATATCTAGATTAGATATATCAATGACAATTAAATCTCTTATTTAATCAAGTGTGCTCAGTTTGTACTGTGTAGTGTTTACTAGATGTATTTTTGAATGGAAAATGTAGAAATGTAAATAAAGCTAAAATACAATCTGATTAAAACACAGATCCTATTTCGTTTCGTTTTTATAGTTAAAATTTCATTTAACTTGTCTTTACTACACTAGGATCTGGAAGAGTTGTTATCATTGACGTTTTCTGAATGGTGAGGAATTAGCCAATGAAACAGTCTGTTACTGCGAGCTTTAAGGGTGTTTTGCACGGAACTGTGGGTAATCCATTAGTAACATCAATGCTGATTGGTTAATCAAATGTCTCACGTAATAGTTTCAAAAGCCGCTTGTATGAACTCTGACGCGACCTATCGCTACAGCTGGTCAGATCTTCATGTAGTGTAGGCCATCAAAAGTATAAAAAAAACAAAATGAAATGTATTTTAATCAGATTGGGCTGAAATATTATCCTCTGTTATCCCATTATTTGTTATGGTACCCTATTTCATTGTTTTGTTTTGCTATTATTACAGAAATTCACATATTGTGGCCTTTGGATTTTTATAAATCCAAAATTTATTGTGATCGTATACCGGAATATTTTTATATGCCAACATTTTCACGTGGACGTATATTGTCGTCGCTCTGTCTGTCCATCCACAATTGTTTGTGAACACTCTACAGATCACAATTTTTATCCGATTTCACCCTAATATCTTGGTTCCTTTCGATATTGGCATGTATCGGACTGTAACTTCATGTAATATGCCCCTGATTGTACGAAAAATCACGTTTTTAGCTTGTGAACACTGTAGAGGTCACAATTTTTATCCAATTTGGTTTAAACTTAAATTGTATGTTTATAACCCAAAGATCGTGGTTCCTTTCGATATTCGCGCATATCGGACCATAACTTCCAGAATTATGGCCCCTGATTGTACGAAAAATCGCATTTTTAGCTTGTGGACCCTATAGAGGTCATAATTTTTATCTGATTTAAAGAACGTTTGAATATATCACCGTTACATCCTAAGGATGGTTGAGTTTGAATTTCAAAATAGTGTAAACCTCTGGTAAATCAATGTTGTGGACCCTCTAGAGGTCACAATTTTGATCTGATTTCAATGAAACTTGAAATACATGTTTATAATCCAAAGATATTGGTTCCTTTTGATATTCGCGCATATCGGATTTAAAAAAAACGTGTGAATATATCACCATTACACACTAAGATCTTGGTTCCTTTTGATAATCGTGGATAACTGAACTTAACTTCCTAGATTATGGCCCCCGATTGTTCGAAAAATCACATTTTTAGCTTGCGGATTCTCTATAGGTCGCAATTTTTTTCTGATTTTAAAAACCGTTCCACCATAATGAAGGTTGAATTCAAATTTTGGGAATGTCAAAATGAAACTGCCGGACAAAATGGCCGCCCTTTTGTACTCTAATTGTGTGAAAGTATGCAATACGAAGGTTGTGGAGTGTGGACCCTCTAGAGGTCACAATTTTTATCCGATTTTGATGAAACTTAAAACATATCTTTATATCCCAAAGATCTCAGTACCTTTTGATATTTGCACATTTGAGGCCATAACTTTCTGGATTATTGCCCCTGATTGTACAAAATGTTGCAAAATGTGGACGTATCCTGCCTGGCAGCCGCTGGTTTTCACCCGTGTCCATCCATCATTAGAAAACATCACAAACTCTCTTAGGTGATCCATGAATAAGCATACCCTGCCTTATTAATGTAACTTAACTCAAAAATATGACCCCATTTCATTAGTGTATAAGCTTAAAATGTAATTTAATGCATACTTAGGACCAAAGAAGTGTATTTTAAACCACACTGTATTCATGGTGACAAAGATTTTTTTTTTTTTTAGATATGACAATCATTGTTTTAACTTTTAGCTTTCATTGTTTTAACTTTCATTGTTTTTGCCTTTCATTTAAATCAGGCAAGAGAAAGACAGGTGGAAGCCATGAGAGATTCGATGTTCATTGGGGAAAAAATCAACTTTACCGAAAATCGTGCTGTACTCCACACTGCTCTACGTAATCAAGCTAATAAACCAATATTGGTAGATGGAAAAGATGTAAGTTATAGTCGAAAATACATCCTTGAAATGTAAAATTACTCAAAAATTTAACATCTCCAATATAGGCAATAGCTCACTCTTAACATTGGAAGATATTTTTGGGAAATGTTTTTGTAGGGTTCTTCTTATATGTAACAAATATAGGTTTGCAAGACATTATGTATTTTTGAAAAAAGACATTATTGATATTGCTTATCAAAAGTATAAATAAAAGAATTTCCCTTGTGCCTTGAATTCATGTGAACAAATTTATAGATTTCAATCTGTATATTGGTACTTTAACTATGTATAAGAATGTTATAATGAAAATATGTGAAATTATTAATCTTAAAAGGATCTGCTAGAATTAATGGTACAATCCTCATTGGTATTATTTTGTTATTTGGGGAGATACTGCTTTGCTTAATGAGTGTAAGTTCTACTGGTATTACTTCCTCATACCAGTGTAATGAAAGACTCCTTTTAATGAATTATCTATAGATAATGATTATGATTAAGCTTGATGTATGTATTATCCACTGTCAGGTTAATGGCATGGATAGTTTCTGTTTATCAATCTTATCATGACAAGACATTTTAGTTGTATTGATGTAGGCCACTGTAATAATGACTCAACAAAATATTAAACCTCTTATTGTTTGGTTAACCCATAGAGGTATAAAACTCATGTGAGTGTATTTTAAAATATATGTGAAACTCTGTAAACTTCATAAGTATAAAAACCTTTTAACAGAAATTTGGTTCTCAATTACAAAAGCCTGTCATGTGTAACCAACCGTATTAGGGAAGAGTCCAGTTTAATAAAATTTTGCGTTTAATTATGTTCCTTTAAAATACAAATCATCTGCTCTTGATTTGTCAGATATTGTTATATTCAGTTCCCATCTCTAACATAATAAAACATTTTATCAAAAAAAGTTACTTCTTTAATAAGTTTAATAAATGTACACAAAACATCTTTCAAATTTATTTATTTTAAGATTATGCCAGATGTTAATGATGTTTTACAACATATGAGAGAATTTACAGATGAGGTTCGATCTGGTCAATGGAAGGGTTATACAGGAAAATCTATCACTGATGTTGTTAATATTGGTATTGGTGGATCAGATTTAGTAAGTCGTCTTGAACTTCATCAATTGATTTAATTAAGAGCTTTGTTACTACAGAAACTATTACTTATGTAAACTTACTTAAACATACATTATGCAAGAGTTAAATCTGGCTATTGCAGGTTTTTCTTTAGGCCTGAAATGATATCTAAAGTATTAATTAGACATTAATTAATTTATCAAGACCATAATCAACTCTTGATGCCATTGTTAGCCTGCGGTATTTAGTTTGTTTGAATGTATTTTGTGATGGATGATTTAACGTAAAAATGGATAATCGAGACTTTGTTTATTATTGTACTGATGGTAGTAATGACGATCGAGGCTAGCGTAAAATTGAATAGCTAATATCTTGTTTCGGAAGGAAGCAATTTACCTGAAATTTTCAGCATATTCTGTATTCATCACTTCATTACTGTATCTATTTTTATATGCCCACATTTTCATGTGGACGTATATTGTCATCGCCCGTGTGCGTCCACAATTTGTTTGTGGTCACTATCTCCCAAAGATCTTGGTTACTTTCGATATTGGCATATATCAGACCAAAACTTCATAGATTATGGCCCCTGATTGTCGAAAAATCATGTTTTTAGCTTGTGGCCCCTCTAGAGGTAACAATTTTTATCCGATTGAAAAAACGTTTGAATATATCACCGTTACACCCCTCCCCTTGTATGCAAATAGTGTAAATATAAGGTATATCAGGATCAGGGTTGTGGACCCTCTAGAAGTCACAATTTTGATCCGATTTTGATGAAACTTGAAGTACATGTTTATAACCCAAAGATCGTGGTTTCCTTCGATATTCACGTATATTGGATCGTAACTTCCTGAATTATTGCCCTTGGTTGTATGAAAAATCGATTTTTGATTAGCTTGTTCTCTATCCATCTCTTGCAAAATGTGAGCATATCTTGCCTGGCAGCTGCTGGTTTAACTATCATAGCGAGAACTGTCAGCTCTTTATCTAATCTTACCTAATGCCCCTTTAAAAATAGTAAGTGATATCGGGTGTTCCCATACTTGATATCAAATACTACTTATTAAACCTGTGTATTGTAACATTTTGAAGAGTGATTAAAGGGGCTAAATCTCTATTCTTTTGAACTTAGACGAAATGGGTAAAAAGGTCCATATTAATGTAATATGGGTGTATATAAACTGATTCACGTTCAATTTTTAAAACTTTTATCATATTTTATAGTAATTTCTAATTCAGTCTTGTTCTTAGAAATAAGTGAGCAGACCAAATTGAATGGCATTCACTCGCGTCTGGTTAGTCCAGTCTACATTTCACTTACGCACTGATGTACATGCCAGCCTTAAGTACATGCCAGCTTGTATTTTCGTTTGTTTTTTTTTTTGTGGGAACTCAGAAATTATGCTACATCACAAATGATTTTTTAATGAAGTTTATTACCATTAAAGGTAATGGGGGTGTATTGATCCTATTTCCTGAAAGTGGCAATGCCTTCTAGTGACCCATTTCTGGCCTCTGTTAACCTCAACTAAAAATGCTTGACAGGCAAAATTTGGAAACAGAAACAACTATTTAGTGATTAATTGAATTTCTATCTTTTTATTGTGTTTCAGGGTCCTCTTATGGTAACAGAAGCACTACATAAATATAAAAGTGGCCCTAATGCCCACTTTATATCTAATATTGATGGAACACACTTAGCTAAAACTCTTCAGAATCTAAATCCAGAAACAACTTTATTTATTATTGCTTCAAAGGTACCACACTAAAAATTGTTTCAATTTTATATGCCCACATTTTAAAGCCAGAATTTCATATTTTCTAAGAAAATCAAAACATAATTATTTCTATATCTTTTGCTCAATAGGTTGTCAACTCACTATTAAACGATCATAGGTGTCATTCTCACACTTAAAACTCTTTCACACTGGAAATAATTAAACAATTACCTCCGTTGTTTATCTATTCCCCACTATGGACTAGCTATCTTCAAACGTTTGAATTTGAATTTGAAAATGATATTTTTGCCAATTTCTCAACTGGCAGTAGTGAATTATAGGATTATTCTTTAACAAGAGAGGACTGTTTATAGATACCATCTATTTCCCGAACAGCAACACAAGACCTAATCGATTAGACGCTGTACATTGCTGGGCCCTCCATCCTGCATCTCTGACAAGTCATAACCTTGCTGGAAATTCCTGGTGAACTTTCTCTGCCAACACCTGGATCAAACTCATAATTTTCTTGTTATTCAGCTAGTGCCTATTTCACTAACATACTGTGGCTCACCATTGCACAAACAGTACACGAATACTGTATACGGTAGACAGTAATTTTACAAACCAGAACTTTTATTCATAATTGTTCCAGATAATTCCTTTTTACGAAATATATAAAATTGTCTTTTTATACTGTATTTTTTTAAAACTAGTCTTTGTTTATTTCAGACATTTACAACACAAGAAACCATCACTAATGCTACTTCAGCCAAAGAATGGTTCTTAAATAAAGCCAAAGATGTAGGTACAGAAATACTCTTTTTACTTTTGAAACTTTTTGTTTTGCTATACGAATACATCATGATGCATGTAATTGTAATATAAATCTGGTATTTGATTCTATTACTGTTACATCCAGTCAATAAAATTAAAATTCATTTTTATACTTCCACATTTGCAGATTACAACTTTCCATTCACACCTATTGAACATTTTTAAAACTTGCCTTGTAAGATTTTTTTTAGCTTCATAAGATTGTCCATTGCAGGCTGCCACAGTATGAATAACCCTATCAAAATTCAGAATATTTCAATGATATATTTTGGAATTTTTCCCATCACTTACTTGCAAAATCATAAAATTCATATAATGTTTTAAAACTTGCTCATTGTGGTGTAGGAAAGAAACTGATACAGGAAAAGCTTTGTGAGATTGTTCATCGGAGCATAAAGAAGAAGCCTGTTGAATTTACACAATTTTAGGATCATCAATTTCAAATGCATTTCACAGAATATTTTTCCGTTCACAATTTTGCTTTTAAAACTTGCTGTGGGATTTGTTGAAAATTACATTAGATTTAGCATTTTGTTTTATTTTCTGTACATCTGACAAATTTTATCATTGTGTCCTGTTCTCTCTTGTGTACTGTAAACAGCCATTGAAAATACAGCTGTCCCAATGATGCCAAGACATCGTCGATTTATCTGGTGATAAAGTCCATGAAGTAAGATGTGACTATAGGTTAGATCTGATGTAGTGTAGAAAATAAGAATCATAAAGCAAGACGAATTAAACATGTAATCAATCTATGGTGAAAAATTTTTGTACTCATTTTTTTTTCCATTACAGTCTGCCACAGTATCAAAACATTTTGTTGCATTGTCCACTAATGCAGTAAGTAAATATATATATATATTTTAGGGGATACTGTTAATTCGGGGTGAAAAAGTTATAAAAACATGTGCAACTGTGGCAAGCTTTTTGATATTTTTTCAAAGAAATACAAACATTGTCACAAATTCTGTGCTGTGTAAGTGCCAAAGTTTTAGTGGTAAGTTATCGCCATGATTATCAAGTCACTCACACAATTGAAGAATGAAATTCCTTAAATGGTCCCTGTTAAGTAAATCTAGTAATCATTTACAAATGGCTCAATATTTTGCTCTGAAATTTTCAGACACTCTAAAAAATTGTATATTGTCACATTTTGACATTTGCTCTATGTAAACCCACTGGGACTGCACCTTTAACAGTGTCCCACAGAGTCATTTAATTTTTATAAAATAGAAAAAGAGTATAAATATTGCAGACCTACCCTTTCCATCATCTGCAATGGTGTGGTAAAAGGTGGTAGGTAAAACCTGCGTTGTTCGGGGCAATAGATTTCTTGATTGAGAACAAGAGGAAGAGTTTTAAATAAGTTTATATATCCCACAAATCACACATAATACAGTTTTATATTAGGATGCTGGTTAATCTATACCATAATACCATGTACCATAACCATTAAACAAAACTTATGCTGGCATTACACATAACTATAAACACAAAACATATTTTATGCTTGGCCCTGAAAATACAAAGTTGCCATTATTCATATGTTCATAACCAATCGTTCTATTGGCTATACATCTTACAATTTTACATTACATTATTACATCTATAATCATATTTCAATCACATGTAAAAATAGTCTCACACTTCGTTTTCAGAGTCACCTGATCTATTAAATGAAGTATAAAATAATTAGCTTGCCCATTTGTGGAAAAGAGCCGATGTATGACCTTATCTGCTAATCTGTAACATGTGGTAAAGATGCATGCATGTATTTTAGTTTTATCCCAGCTACACCTACGAATAATCAACCAGGACAAAAAATCACAGATCACCTGATAAACAATATTTTCAGAAAGAGACCACCTTCAGAACTGAAAGATTCCAACGGGTTATCCTTTCAACTATACCAAAAATATTAAAACTAAACCCATATAAAAAAACTAAAACATTTCCACCACTAAAATAAAACACCATAATCCTGAAAATACAATTCCAGACTCATACAATAGAAAATCCACCACACACAACATTAAACTTATTTATATTAGCTCAAAACCAAAAATATAAACTCACTAATTCAAAACTTCCAATAATAAAGACACTGACCAGGACATTCATACGACCCTGTTACATTAAATAAAAGCAAGTATCATCAATTCTAAAGATAAGTTTAATTGAAAGTCCATAAATACAAAATAACAAATTGGTGTAATAGAATATGGACTTTACATGTGTCTAGCATTGCCACCTCAACCTCGTATCGGGTGTTCTGGAAAAGTGTAGGTCTTATTCTAATGTTCAGAATATTTTGTACTGTAGTGATATTTGTAGTGCATATGCTGCACTGGTCGACATGTAAATTATGTTCCGTACACTATACAGGTAGTGAGTGCATGTTTTGAATTCGTAGTAGAAAAACACGAGTCTAGAGAGGGTGATCTTGACCATTATACTATACCGAGATTGGTGAAAAAAACAAACATTAATGCATTAAGTTTTATTTTTCATTGTCAGTAAAGAACACACGTTTTAGGTTCTGATCTTGACGTGATTTTGAACATTAACAATCTATCGTGTAAAGGTCAGACGTACAAAAAAAGAACAGGCAGCATATTTAATAATCTCGCTGATCCAGATTCAGGTGTGTGGACTGGAGGTTGTCATGATACATGTTTATCATGTTAAGTAACGAATGTGGACAACTTGTTTAGGTGTTATTTCATTTCATGGGCAGTAACAAACTAGCCATAAAATCAGAATTGGTGACAAAAGCAAATAATTATTATTCTATTTTTTTTAGCCTAAAGTTAAAGATTTTGGTATTGACGAGAAAAACATGTTTGGATTTTGGGATGTAAGTAATTCTTAAAACCATATATTTGTCCCCCGCCTTTCAAAGAAAGCAGGGGACTATTAAATTATTCTTTTCAACAAATTTAGAGATTGTCTTAAGTCATGTTGATTATTTTCTGCTTTAAAATTTTATTTATACATATTATAACAATATTTTTGTTAACAGTGGGTTGGAGGAAGATATTCTTTATGGTCAGCCATTGGACTGAGTATTGCTCTCTTTATTGGTAAGAACAGAAATAAAATTATCTATAAAATTAATTTAAGGATAAAAATTGATTCTTATACATATCAGACATTTAGTAATAGTTTTTAATTTAGCTATTTACTACATATTTCAAGAAATAAAACTGAATTTTTAGTGATAATATTTAAATTATTATATAGTTATAATAGTAGTGTTCATATGAAAACAAATGTTTTGAAATCAATATTGCTGTATCTACCTTTTTTATATGCCCACATGCAAATATGGACATATGTCGACCCCGCCTGTCCGTCTCTTGGTCCGTCCGTCCATTGTCCACTATTTCTTGTGAACACTTTAACGCCAAAAGTTATCATCCGATAGTTGTAAAATTGCATTAGTTGTTTGCATTAGTGAGATGAAGAAGGTATTTAATTTCAGTAATTTCCATTTATTACATTTAGAGTTATTACCCTTGTTTCACTTTGTTGAATCTTGTGACCACTCTAATGCCAAAAGTTATCATTCGATCTTTGTGAAATTTATATGCATTATTTAAATTAGTGAAACCACAAAGCCTATTGAATTTCAGAAATTTCTGTTTATTATATCTAGAGTTATGGCCATTGTGTCATTTTATTGAACCTTGTTAATACTTGATCCGATATGTATGAAATTTATATGCATCATTTAAATTTGTGAAATGGAGGTCTATTGAATTTCAGCAATTTTGGTAACAGGCTTATTTTTGTAACTAGTTGATAAAGGACGAATGCCCAAAACGCGTCCTGGATAAATACTTTTTATATCCACACAGTCTTGTCAAGTTTGTTACCGGGGATTTTTTACTATTATTAATCTACAAGGGTTGGTTCCTGTTTTTGCTCGGATGCATCACTGAGATCCAAACTTGCCTGCACTGTTATGGGGACTCTTCCGCCCCTCTTTTCCTATCGTGTGTGAGGTTTTATCGTCTTCTTCTTGGGATTAATTTGAGAGTTATGGCCCTTGTTTTACTTTGTGAACCTTGTGAACGTTTGAATGACAAAAGTTATCATCCGATCTGTTTGAAATTTTTATGCATTATTTAAATTGGTAAGACAAAAAAGCCTTTCAAATTTCAACAATGTCTGTAAGTAACTTCCAGCGGTGAGGCCCTTGTTTCAGTTTGTAGAACCTTGTGAACCCACAAACGACAAAAATTATAATCTGATTTGTATGGAACTGTCTTATAAATACCCCGAATTACCTACAAAAGAATAAATATGTGACAACCCTTGTCAACCGCTTGGACGATTTAGCTGCTGTGGGCGTATGTTTTGTTGTCTGGCAACCTATCTTAACATTTAATTGTGTTCCAAAGGTGAGACACAAACTATTCTGTACTATTTCTGTCACATGTATCAATTCAATATTTTCTTTTATTTCAGGAATGGATAATTTTGTTGAGCTTCAAGCTGGTGCATTTTATATGGATCAACATTTCTGTTCAGCACCATTAGAACAAAACGTAAGTTAAATTTATTTAAACACTGGTATATTTTTCAGACAAAATGAATTGTGTCCCATGTTAACAGTTAATTTATAGTAACTTTTCCATCAAAATAAATTTTCAGTCTTCTGCATAAAATGTTTATTACTTTATTACAGTTGCCTGTTATTTTAGCATTATTGGGTGTTTGGTATCATAATTTCTATAAAGCTGAATCAATAGCTTTATTACCTTATGATCAGGTGAGATAGTTCATATCATGATACAAAATTTTGTTCTATAGTGGTTCATACATTTTTGACAAATTTTGAACATTTGTATAATAATTTTGTATATCTACTGTAAACATTATATTGATATAAATTCTTTAATTTCAATCTGATCTAGATGGACTGTTAACAATAAACATTATATTAGTACCTTGTTTAATAACATATACTGTTACCAGCATATAATGATGATTTATGTGTTTCTGTTTCCAGTATATGCACAGGTTTGCTGCTTATTTTCAACAAGGTGATATGGAAAGTAATGGTAAATATATAACTAGAAGTGGACAAAGAGTTACGTACACTACTGGTCCTATTGTCTGGGGTGAACCAGGTACAAATGGTCAACATGCATTTTATCAACTTATACATCAAGGTATGGACTTAATGACAATTATCATAATCAATTACTTTTATTTCAAAAAAAAATTTATCATTTATATTTTTGCCAATTTTGGGCAACAGTTAAAATTGCCAGATATATTATTAAGATTTATTTGTATACAATTTGTTAAAAATACTTTATGGGAGATTAGATAAAGAGCTGGCAGTTCTCACAGTAATAGTTAAAAACTAGTAGATAATGTAAAGGGAATTTGCTGAAAATTCCAGTCAAATTTATCCACTCTGAATTACTAAAGTTGGTACGATAAAAAAACATAATCTCGATTATCCATTTCATAATTAAATCATGAATGAAAGTTGAGCAGCAAATCGAATCCTAATCCAGTAAATATCGCAGGCTAGCGATGACATTGAGAGTTGATTATGGTCTGGATAAGTTAATTAATGTCTAATTAATAATTTAGATAGGCAGATTTAGCTCTTGTATGTTTAATATTTATAGATATTTGACTTAAATTGTGTTTTTTTTATTAGATTGTATGATTTTAAGATCTGTACGTTATATTTATAAACAGGAACTCGTCTGATACCATGCGATTTCTTGATGCCCATAGAAACCCAGAATCCTGTTCAAGGTGGATTACATCATGAAGTAAGATCTCTATGCCTCTCATTTATTATCCCGTGCCGAACCAAGTTAGGGATGGATATTGAAATGAGGTCTGTCCGTTCGTGTTGTAGTGATACACCTAGTGCTATGCATCGCTGGTTAGATGTGGAAAGCCCAGACACATAGAAACTCCCCACAGCCGACGCATGCTCTCTTCTGCTACATATTTTGATAGCCTTGAGATCATCTAGTATTGTCTCTGGTTATATTTCTCATCTTAGGGTTCCTGTTGTGTATATTCTTCTTACTATCTCAGTAGTTTTCTCAAATATTACGTAATTAATTATGATGATTGGTTATTAAGCCTAATGACGTCAAGAACCACCCTTATATGGACTGTAGAAACTTTTGTGTTTCCATGGAAACAAATTTGACTTAGTTTTTGGCGTACAATTTTATTTCTGGAGCATATCTCATAAACCATTCAAAATATCTTCCTGAAACTTTGTACACACATAACCTATTATAGTAGTTGTGCCTTTTGCTAATTTGAAATTTCTTGAATTTAATCATTTTTGTGTTCCATGGAAACAAATTTGATTTAGTTTTTATACGTCTGTATTTGGTTTGTGTTTCCTGTTTCTACTGATTGGAAGTTTCACATTTTCATGTGGACGTATATTGTCGTCGCCCCTGTCTGTACGTCCACAATTTTTATCCAATTTTGACGAAACTTGAAATATAGGTCTATCTCCCAAAGATCTTGATTTCTATCGATATCAACATTTATCGGACCATAACTTCATGGATTATGGCCCCTGATTGTACGAAAAATCACATTTTTAGCTTGTGGACACTCTATTGGTCACAATTTTGATCCGATTTTGATGAAACTTGAAATACAGGTTTATAACCCAAAGATTGTGGTTCCTTTTGACATTCGTGCATATCGGATCGTAACTTTCTCAATTATGGCCCTTGATTTTACGAAAAATTGCGTTTTTAGCTTGTTGTTCATCTAGAGTTCACAATTTTTATCCAGTTTTGATGAAACTGGAAAGATATCTTTATAACCGAAAGATCTTGGTTCCTGTCGATATTCCCGCATATTGTATCATAACTTCCTGAATTATGGCCCTTGATTCTACAAAAAATTTCTTTTTGTTTAGCTTGTTCTCTATCCATCTCTTGCAAAATGTTGGCATATCTGCCTGGCAGCCACTGGTTGTGTTTTGACTTTGTTTTTCGTATATAATTATTATTCTATAGCATATATCAGAAACTGTCCAAGATACCTTTTTAACACTACATATTACATTCATCAACCTATTGTTTTATTTTCTGATGTCCATCCTACAGTCCCCGATTTCATTTCCGAAGTATATTTTATTATCTGTTCAAGAAATCTTTTTGAAACCTTGTACAAACATCAACCTATTATATACTGGTAAGCTAATACCATTGACTTATGAACCTGGGCCTTTTAGTAATTACAAATTTTGTTGTACCCCGCCTTTCGAAGAAAGCAGGGGACTATTAAAATGGGTTCGTCCGTCTGTCTGTCTGTCCGTCTGTCTGTCCGTCACACTTTTTGGGACACAATAACTCTCTTCCTAATTGAGCTAGAATGTTCAAACTTGGTGTATGTGTTTATTAGGTCAATGCCTTGATGGAGTTCGAAGATGAGCATTTTCCGCTTAGGGTAAGCAGAGATAAGCAATTTGATTGGTTGATGCTTTGGGACACGATAACTCTCTTCCTAATTGGGCTAGAATGTTCAAACTTGGTGTATGTGTTGATTAGGTCAATGCCTTGATGGAGTTCGAAGATGAGCATTTTCCGCTTAGGGTAAGCAGAGATAAGCAATTTGATTGGTTGATGCTTTGGGACACGATAACTTTTAATTGAGCTAGAATGTTCAAACTTGGTGTATGTGTTTATTAGGTCAATGCCTTGTTTATTTTGATTCTATCTGATAGAGAGTGATGAAACTTAATGTATACTTAATAATCAGTTTGATTGCTGGATACTTTTGAAAAAGATAAACATGCAATTAATTAATATATGTCATCTATTTATTTCGGGATTTCAGCGGGGGACATCAGCCTCACTGTTGGCTTGTTATTAAATGATATAAGTGATCATTATTATAAACAAATGTATACAAAGTGGTTAGAAATTATACAGTTGTCATTAATTAGCAGTGTGACTAATTATAATACCCATCACTATTGAATACACAAGTCACGGTTTTAACACCTTAGTGACATAACACCTAGTTAATGACTTATGCCTGATTACCGGTACTAGCAATTTTAATGAACTAATAAACATTATGCATATAAAATGACATCTTTGATCTGCAACATGTAGTGTCGTATAAGTTCGTTTATAAAAGTTATTAGATGCTTCATCAACAATATCAACTTTACAGTGATAGTATTTTATTTTCTGATGTATAAAACTTATTGTTTAACATACAACAGGTGATTGAGATAGGCATAGGTTGTTGTGCAAACCTTACAGGGAGAAGCGATCCTGCCCTGATGAGCTACTTTGATCCGTGTATGAATCTTCTGACTAGTCCCATTGATATTCCATGTGTTGGAATATGAGATTAATCTGATATATTTTTCTATTGATTATCAATAACATAAAGAAGTTGTTTTTCCTTATGCCTTCCAAACAAGTGCAAGGGTACGGGATGTAGATGACTAGTCATCTTGTTATTGTTAAATTTATAGTCACAATACCCATAACTAAATAATTCATCAAATATAGATACTGGTTAAATTTCCTCTTGTTTTTAATACAGATTTTACAAGCTAACTTTTTGGCTCAAACTGAAGCATTGATGAAGGGTAAGACTCGAGATGTAGCTGAAGCTGAATTAAAGCGAGCTGGCATGAGCGAAGATAAAATAGCACATATTTTACCACATAAGGTATGCTTGAATATATTTTAACATAACTCTTTCACAGCCAAACATATCTTGAGCCACTGGTTGGTTTTAAATGATTATTCAGTTGTCTGCAGCAAATAATATACATATTCTCTGGTAATTAATTATCTTTGTCAACGAAAGAGGTAAATATTCTTTACACTACAATCATGGATTGCTAAGTTACTGACTTTTTATTCAATTTTTGCATCATCGGTGTGGAATGCTTTGATCTCTTTAGTGGGATAAAATAAATCTGCTTTGTGGTCTAAGGGCTGACAACTATGCCTACTTACCTCCCTTGAATTGGTAAACCTCTTTTTTTTTCTTTTTCTTTATTATTATATAAATTTTTGCTTTGCATTCACTGATGTATGAATTGTATTTCAGGTATTTGAAGGTAACAGACCTAGTAATTCTATCTTGTTCCAGAAGTTATCACCCTTTACCCTTGGAGCTTTGATAGGTAAATAGAATAAATAGGATGTTACGTGTTTAGATGAAATTTATTTACTGTAGTGAAAGTTGACTGTTTATTATAACAAGAGATTTGTTACCCTCTTGAAAATTATTTCATTAAAAAATCAATATTTCTATTTATGTATAAAACATTATAATATGAAATGGTTTTATTGTTGTTTCTATATATTATGAAATAAGTTTCTTGTTGTTTCTATATTATGAAATGAGTTTCTTGTTACAAAGGTGTGTGAAATATGATTTTCTTGTTGTTTCTAGCAATGTATGAAATGAAGATATTTGTACAGGGTGTAATTTGGGATATCAATTCCTTTGATCAATGGGGGTAAGTTTGTTAAAATATAGTTAGATCATCTAATGAAAATACACCAATGATTTTGTCTAGAAGTGCTGATGATACATCATGACTTGATTCTAGGCTGGGCATTTACCAATACACAATTAACCCACGGAGGCCATAACAACTTTAAATTACAGTGAAACGTAGGCACAAGGCGTAAAAATCAAGAGTCGGTAATGTCCCGCCTCTAGCAGCCATTCGTACCATGCATTGTCACCTCATGGAGTTCAGTGTCAACCTCAGCATATTGTTGCATCTTCCACAGAACTTTAGGACTTCTACAACCCCATGGTTACACCATGTCGAATTCAATTTGTTTGTGTTTGAGAGAACTGATCTGTTGTGTGTCTGATGTTGTTAAATCAGAATGAATCGGATCTGCGATATTGTTTACCAAAGTGTATGATAAGCAACTGAAACCAGACTTGATTTTATATTGGGGTACATGAAACAAATGTACACAGTTTCGGACTACATTTTTGGAATGGTTATTTCCTCTTTTACACTCACATTTCATTGTAGACTGTGGTCACCCCTGTCCATCCGATTGACTTTATAAACAGTGTCTATTTTCAATATTTAGTTACCTGGCAATCTATGTTTAGGGAACAGTTGTCTGCGATATCACTCAGTGCTAAAGCAGATATATTCTACTACTAAGTTTTCTTTTAATTTTTTTACAGTGTTGAATTAGGAAAAGAACTAGCAAAAGTGATTCAACCTGAACTGAGAGGTGCTGAACAAGTTTCTAGCCATGATGCTTCAACAAATGGTCTCATTAATTTTATTAAACAACATCGTAAATAATCAGGGTATATATATCTTGTGGTATATCATGGTGCAAAATTAAAATAACATTGTAGAAGCTTACATACATTTGTGTTAACTGTTTAATCTATTACAACCCTATACATAGATATAGTAACTCAATTAGTTATTTATTTAAAAGTGTATCGGGTCTCAACCCATTGTTTTAAATTGTTTCAATCATAATACGCTTCATTAAGAATAATTTAAACCAAAGATCTACTACCGGTACATTTTATAACAATATTAATTTATTGGTAATTTAATCAGTAAACCCTGGTCTTTTCACAATTTTCTATTGATTTATAATGCTTCATTTGAAACATAGTTTTATTATAATGGCTGATTTACCTTTGTTTTTGTTATATTGTTTATAGATGTTTCCATATAAAATATATTAATATTTTTAAAGTACAAGTTACGGGCATTCTTTACATTTTCCCAAACTTAGCCTAGCATGCTGTCTCTTTGTTTTAATTATTGTTAATCACTCCCCTGATATACAATTATATTTTGAGTTAATATGTTATATGAATTATTAATTAGACATTTATTAACATGACAAGACCATTAATCAACTCTTGATGCCATCAGATGGCTCTGATTTTAAGTGGATTAGAACGGTTCAGCCATTTAATGATTTAATTTGAAAATGGAGAAGCGAGGCTAAGACTTGAATGACCAGTACAGCATGATAATGCACACATTTGGTCAAAACTACAACCATTAATAACTATGCTCAAAATAAAGTAATTTGAATGAAATTTTCAATATAATCATTTTGCATATCTATTTTTGAAATAGATTTTTATCCAAGCCATCAGAGGGTCTACAGTGTTGATTTTGAGCTTGTCATGTAAATAAAGGTCTAATTAATAATTTCTATAACATCTGAAGCCTAAATAAAGACTTGTAATAGGCAGATTTAGCTCTTGCATAATGTATGTTTAAGTAACATACTAAAGATATGCTACTATCCACTGAACATATCACTGTAACCAATCCCTTAACTCTGTTGTCCTCCGGTCCCTAAATCTGACTCTTTATTTTAATTCTAAAATATTAATCTTAAGACAGAATTTCCATTGATTGTTTTGTTTGTAATTGAAATCTTGTAAAACTCACTTCTAGTTCAATATCTATTTAATAGACATGCTGAAAATCAATTGTAAAAAATTCTGTGCAGATATAATGTTGTTCTGATAAAGAGTTTTTATGAAGAATGTTTAATATTTGTTGATGCTAATTAAAGGGAATGTATATTAAACAAGAGTTCTTTAATTAAATTAAACTAAGAAAGAAGTAGTACATGGTAACTGAGTTTGTGGTAATCATGGGTAAAAAAAAAAAGCTCACGTAGCTGTGGGCCCCCGCATCCCTACATTATACTGTTGAAGTGTGTGTTGATAGGAATGGATTAATTACAGCGAATGTATCATACACCTAATAGATTCGTAGGATAGTTGATTTAAGGCAAATGTGGTATAAAACCATCAATAATAGGCCAATTTAAGGTGTTGACATTAAAACTTAGACAAGTGACTGTGATAAGTTAAGGTAAGTTTTACAAAAAATTAATTTACTAGAGGTCTATTTATTGCAATTCAAAGAATCCACCAATTGTTTTACAGTTATTAGCCAATTAAATATATGCACTAATAGAATTAACCTGTGGATTTTCTAATTTCTTCCAACATCACACAAACAATCCAAGATATGATTACAATTTTACTAAGACAGAAGTGTTTAAAACTATACTAGAAATTCCAACAACTGAGACGTTTGTTAGGCGGGGCTTATGTTGAGCTTACAAGTGAAAGTAACCAAAAATGGTCAATCTGAGCGCCTCTTACAACTCGTTCCATTCCAGTCAATTGAAGCCAGTTGCCCATGTTTAACTTTCTGCAACTCATGTTAACTAGTTCCAATCAATATAAGCGTTTTTACAACTGGCTTCAACTTGTTTCCATGGAAACAACTTGATAAAAGAAATTGGTCATGTGACTGTAAATAGGCAAAATGGAAGCTAAAAGGCACCAACCTTTAAAGTGTCGATAAAGTAGACAATAATGCTATCTGAGGTTTACCAGTGAAATTTTGAGATACACAAACTTAAAGATACATTAGTTAAGAGTTAAATATTCTTGCTATAATAATTCAACCAGCGGCTGCCAGGCAGGTGCGCCCACATTTTCGAGAGATGGATAGAGAACAAGCTAAAAAGAAAGTGATTTTTCGTACAATCAGGGGCCATAATTCAGGAAGTTACGGTCCGATAGGCGCAAATATCGAAAGGAACCGAGATCTTTGGGTTATAAACTTACATTTCAAGTTTCAACAAAATCAGATAAAAATTGTGACCTCTATAGGGTCCACAACCTTGATATACCATATTTTTTCGCTATTTGAGAACGAAGGGCGGCCATTTTGTATGTCAGTTTTGGGCCGATTTTCATGAAATTCAAACTCAGTCGTCCTTAGGGTCTAACGGTGATATAATAATACGTTTTTTTAAATCGGATAAAAATTATGACCTCTATGGGGTCCACAAGCTAAAATCGCGATTTTTCGTACAATAAGGGGCCATAATTCAGGAAGTTACGGTCCGATATGCCCGAATATCGAAAGGAACCGAGATCTTTGGGTTATAAACTTACATTTCAAGTTTCATCAAAATAGGATTAAAATTGTGACCTCTATAGGGTGCACAACCTTGATATACCATATTTTTACGCTATTTGAGAACGAAGGGCGGCCATTTTGTCTGTCAGTTTTAGGCCAATTCTCAAGCAATTCATACGTAAACGTCCTTAGGGTTTAACGGTGTTATAATAATACGTTTTTTTAATTCGGATAAAAATGATGACATTTATAGGGTCCACAAGCTAAAAACGCGATTTTTCGTACAATCGGGGGCCATAATTCAGGAAGTTACGGTCCGATATGCGCGAATATCGAAAGGAACCGAGATCTTTGGGATATAAACTTACATTTCAAGTTTCAACAAAATCGGATCAAAATTGTGACCTCTATAGAGCCCACAACCTTGATATACCATATTTTTACGCTATTTGAAAACGAACGGCGGCCATTTTGTCTGTCAGTTTTGGGCCGATATTCACGAGGTTCGAACTCAGCCGTCCTTAGGGTTTAACGGTGATATAAAAATACGTTTTTTTTTTATCAGATAAAAATTATGACCTCTATAGGGTTCACAAGCTAAAAACGTGATTTTTCGTACATCGAAAGGAACCAAGATCTTTGGGTTATAATCATACATTTCAAGTTTAAAATAAATCGGATAGAAATTGTGACCTCTACAGTGTTCACAAGCTAAAAACGTGATTTTTCGTACAATCATGAAGTTACAGTCCGATACATGCCAATATCGAAAAGAACCGAGATCTTAGGGTGATAAACCTATATTTCAAGTTTCATTGAAATCGGATAAAAATTGTGACCTGTAGACTGTTCACAAACAATTGTGGGCGGATGGACGGACAGGGGCGACGACAATATACGTCCACATGAAAATGTGGGCGTATAAAAATAGATGATAAAAAAAGAAAATATTGAAAATTGCATTCAGATTACTTCATTCTCAGCCAAGTTATCATTGTTTGTAGTTTTGACAGTGGTAACCGGGGCACTGGTATAATCGGTACTTAGCCTTCCTTTTCCATTTTTAAATTAAATTTTTAAATGGCGAACCGTTTTAATCTAGTTAAAATCTTGAGTATCCGATGCCATCGAAAGTCGATTATAGTCTTGTTTTGTCAATAAATGTCTAATAGGTTATATAACATTTCAGGCCTAAAGAAAGACCTGCAATAGGCAGATTTAGCTCTTGCATAATGTATGTTTAAGTAACATACTAAAGATATGCTACTATCCACTGTACATATCACTGTAACCAACCCCTTAATTTTGTTGTCCTCTTGTCTCTAAATCACGAATATTGACCACATCCCAAAATAATAACTGCAGATTAAGATTGTCGGGTGTTAACATTTCTGGTGGATAGAAACATCCCTTACCTTCACTTTATGATACAACTTGTAGACTTAATTCCATATCTTCATTATTAAAATACTCAACACCACTATTTTGATCATGAAATTGTTTGTTGTCTCTTTATTATTTTTTGTGTATAACCATATCAAGAATTACAGTGGATTTGTCCCAGTTTCGAAAAAAATCAATTTACCAAAAAACTTAGGTTAGTTCTAGGCCTACACCTTATTGTGACATGTATTATATAAATGGATAATCTAAATACTGCAAATGATATTTTAAAATATAATAACATTATGTGAATGAGACAAAATGTAAATGTGAATGAATAGTAGAATTCAAATTAAATGTACAAATTCTAGAGATTACTTTCTATGCTGATCTTTAATGGACTGTAATCGAGCCAAAGCCATACAGAAATATTCTGGTTCTCAGATATTAGTGTGTCACTTAAAAAGAGGTGCATGTCACTGCATGTGATATCTGTGTAAATATATTTCCCTGGTTACACTTACAGGAAGCAACTCTATAAAAAAAAGTTTTAATGAAATTTGGATGTGTACCATAGTCTCAGTTATCAAGTATGCAACCCTGATAAATGTTACAGGCAATCATAAATGAAACTGGATGATCATAAATTCCTATAAACAGTATGATGAGCAAATTGTGGTGCCATGAAATGTGATCCTTTGACAAAATTAAAACATCCCTCCTGCATCAGATATTTTGGAAGGATCGTCTTAAGAACCACAGATTTTATTTTATGTAAGGCCTATATTTGCACTTTTTAGGTTATTAACTTTCCTTTATAAAATAAATGAAGATGTCTTAATTTAATGACAAAGAAAGCTCCAAAAATAAGCAGAAAAATAGTCTCTAAAAGTGATAAAAAATACATGTATAACAACATATGAATAAATCTGGACAATAGGTGTATCGCTACTCCAGTAAGGAATGCATTCACAGTTAGGTGATCAAACCATTCTCAATTGTCCACTTTTTAAAATAAAAAAAAGGTCAGACTATTGCATATTATTAAAGTACAAAAATTTGATCATGATTTACATCAGTTACTTATATTAGTTGAACAATTAGGTATAGCCCAAAACAATAACCAACATGGGAAAATAACAAAACTGACAACTGTATATGTCCAATTACCAAATAAATATAAATCTAACAATTTCATAAATATACACTGTTTCATATTTGCCCATGTTATAAACAGAAGTTCTGTATATTCTGTGTAATTTTCTGCTTGTGCTGATATTAATGATGATATAAATACTAATGAAGCTGGTGACACCAATAATAATAATATTAATTGTAGTACACGTAATAATCTGCAATGTAAGATAATATATTAATAAACCTGGGTTGCCAGACTGACAACGATTATACCCACCACAAGCAACAGAAATTTAATGTCACAAATCAGTGGCATATTTTGGACCCATTGGTAGGGTGTGCCCCGTGCAGCGGAAATTTTCTCTACAAAAAGTTGAACTCAACACGGCGAATGTACACGCTTCAGTGGCTTGTCACAAAGTGATTTCTGGCTAGTCACGCAGTACACTACGATAATACTCGTATGAGTATATAAATAACCATCGCACATGAAATTCTCTACACATCTATCAACTATTACAGCCGTAAAAAATCTATTATTGACGATTCTGAATAGTAGCGATATTTCACTTTTTGGTTAATACAGCAGCTCTTTAGAATTTACAAATTTTTCAAATTGCTTTGTCATTAACTATACAGTTAGGAGCGGCATCTTTTGGTTCAGTACAAATAATGTCTCTGAAACACTCAGGTTAGGCAGTATTTTCATTTTACTTTTACAAGGTTCTTAAAACAATTGTTGAGTTGCCTAACGTGCATGTTTCTAAATTCAATTTCTTGTTCAGGCTTTCTGTTATGTTTCGAAAAAAAAGTAGTCTTGATTATCCCTGCCTGTCAATCAGACGGAGAATGGTTGGTAGACTGGTTAAGCGAGACTAATTTCAAAACAAGAGCATGTAACCCATTTTTTACTCAAAAGTACCTGGATGTCATGGCCGACACTCGTAACCATTTTTCAGTTTATTATTTATGGATGGTTAAATGGTCATAGCTTATTAAGTACAACATGACCGTTTATTTAGTGACTATAAATGTGCAAAACTTTTTTAAGGCTTGGTATATATATATATATATATATATATATAAATATTGTGGTGTAATTGGAGATATTTGGAGATATTTATTTAGGTGGGACACCCTACCATTGGTAACACAATATTTAATTAATCTACTTCTTTTTGGAAAATAAATCGTATTCAAAGGTCTTTAGGTACCCAAATTATTTAATTTTCATTATTTAGTCAAATTCCACTGAAAGAAGTTTGAACAGCGGTATTGTGTTCCAAAATCTTAACCAATCAAATTGTTTATCGCTACTTAGCCTAGCAGAAAATGCTCATGATTGAACTTAGTCAAGGTATTGGCACTTAGTCACTCTCATCCAATTAGTAAAATCAAAGTTATTGGTGTTCAAAAGCATCAACCAATTCAATTGCTTATCACTGAATTTGCCTAATAAACACCTTCACCGAGTTTGAAGGTTCAAACTCTATTAGAAGCAGAATTATTGTAACCCAAATAGTGTGACTTACAGATGGACTTTTTTTTTTTTTATAAATTTCAACATGACAACTAAGGGCAAGGTCTCTGTTATCAGCAAAATTATGTATTTTCATTCTTATAATTGTGTTTTTTTTTCTTAACTTGGCTACTCGAACTAATGAGTACTGATTCGATATTAGATTTTATATAAATATCAGATACAAACTATCAAGATGCTTTTGGATCATATAGAGATGTGTTTTACCATGACCAAGTGTCATACGCTGATAAGCATATTATTTAATTTTTTTTTTTAAAAATACATTATCAAATGTTTGGTTAATGTTAGTTATTCTTAAAAAGAAATTGATGTCAGGGGAATATTAACACATATTTAGCACACCTTTTCTCTTCAAAATATAAAATATCTTACTTTGATTTAGTTGGTACAACAAATGTTGTAACAGGTACCATAGCTGCACCGATAAAAAATGCCAGTGATATGTTCATCAAGGCTATAGCAAACAAAGCTAATGACTGGAATATTAAAGCTATGCACTTGAGTAGCTGCCAGTCTAACTCTAGTGATACCTGATCAGGACTTTTTCTGAAAAAAAAATTATTGGTCATGAATGTCTGTTTCTTTTACTCCTAAAATAAAATCTTAAGACCGAAATGATTATATTTCAAAGTTAGTTAAACCAAATGAGGTGTTGTTTCTGAATTTAAGGCAGAGTAATTGAATTATTAAGGTGCTTTTGCCTTCTTTCATCCAAAGCATTTTAATTCATTTAGCAATCAGGTAACACACTATACTGTTTTGTAAATGTAATTAATCTTAAACAATATATTTAATCTAACCATAGACATATCTGATTATCGAAAATCCAAGTATTAAATTTGTAAGATATTGTTCACAACTGGAATGACTCATAAATTGAAAGTTAAAAGATCAGAGATGACTTGGAAAGTTTGTCTTTAATTTTGCATGTAATATCTAATTTGAAAATGCCCAACTGTATATATTCAAATCAAGTCAAATTGAAAATATAATAAACAAGCACAAAGAGTGCTTGGTAAATTCAATGAGCTAAGTTTCAAAAGTGTTTACGAGGTAATCGTAATTCATAAATACAGTATTTACGAGGTAATTTTTACTGTATTTTAGCTGCTATAATAAATCATTATCGCTTGACACAATAACTCTTTAATTAAATCTATAAATAGCTAACATGAGAAAAAAATGTGCTTACTTATTAAACATTTTAGGAAAGGCTAGAGAAGCAGTAAACAAAGCCAACAGACCAAACATCAAGGAATCTTCAGGACGAAGTCTGAATGGGTGTGATACTCTAGTTAATAAACCAGGACCATTATATGCTAATAATGCCATTAACATACCGATAAATATTACTGGTACTACAGATACTATACCAGTAATTGGTTTATCCTGTTAAAGGAAAATAAAAAATTAAAATTTATTAACATGTGTCATCTTCATCTTAGGGATTTATTTGTGGAAAACTACATGTATATAATTTGGATTCAACTATTAAAAAGATAGTCATCAATATCTCGCGCCCTTGCACTTGTTTGGAAGGAATAAGGAAAAACAACTTCTTTATGTTGTTATAGTGTCACTGGTCCTCATATTGTGGCCCTGTTTAGTAGATATTGCTATTTACTAGAAGATTTGAGATAGACATGATATGACTACTTAGCAAATAGAGATATTTTGCAAGTAGAGAGGACTGGAGCTCAATTTATATATGACTTTTATGTTATGTATAGCTGTTTGTATTGTTACAAAGTTTTGGGCCAATTAATGAAAGTATAGTGCAAATACCAGAATAACCTAGAACAGGCATAATATATCCTATAATTTATGCAAAGTATCATTACGATGGTACGGCAGACATTTAATCTGCTATGTAAATGATTTGGTACAATCCTCACATTTATTCATGTATACTCTTCTCTGCAACACTAATAAATGTATATGTAGTTAATTTATTACAAGCAATTTAAACACCAAAAAATATAAATCCCAGAAATTCCTAAATAGTAAAAGGCACAACTACTGTAATGGGTTAATGTTTGCACAAAGTTACATGAAGATGGTTTATGAGATATGCTCAGGAAACAAAATTATACACCAAAAACTAACTTAAATTTGTTTCCATGGAAACACAAAAATATAAATCATAGAAATTCCTAAATAGCAAAAGGCACAACTACAATAATAGGTTGATGTGTGTACAAAGTTTCAGAAAGATACCTTTGAACGGTTTATCAGATATGCTCCGGAAACAAAATCTGGACGGACGGACCCTATTTCAATATTTCCCCCCCCCCCCCGACTTCGTTCCGCGCGGGATAAAAAGGTGCTTATCAAAAGATTTCAGCAAAACTTAAAGATGGTTCCGGCTTGTATATAAGGGTTATAGACATAGCAGCCACAAAAAATAAAAACATCCAGAGATATATATTTAAATAAATTTTTGGTCGTTTTGACTAAAGTGAATTTTGCTTTCGTCCGTTTTGACCATATCTAGTTTTTATTGTCTGCAGAGGATGCTGAAAGTTTGAAATTTTTCAATTCATAATATCCCTGCAATAAATAAATGGAATTGAACCATTTTTCAACTGATCTTCATGTTGGGGATTAAACTTTCACAATACTGTAATTTGATTGGGATTAACAATCCCTCAAATGAAGTTCAGAGGTTTTAATAACTACAATAACTTTTAAGTTTTCATGCTCATATCAACAAGTCTTAAATCTGTCATGTCTTTCAACCGTAAGTATTATCAACCCTGATATTAGTTTCTAATAATAAAAATTAAAGATATATTCATAATATTTACCTCGTCATCTTCACCATCTCCATCATCCTCTGATTGTATATCCCCTTCATCTTTTTCTTTTGTCTCTTTTTCACTCTCTTTACTGGTTTTCTTTTTTGTTGTTGATTTATCCAATGTCTCATCATCATTTTTTACAGCTCCAATCCATAAAGCAATAGCTTACATTAAATTAAGAAATATAAAAGATTGGCAATTAATGTAACTGAAGCTAACTCATAATTTTCTAAAATCTAAATCTGAAAATATATGGACCCTCACACTACCCATTAATAATAATTAATATAACTTTTATATTAAAAGGATATTTTGATAAGACTTGCAGCAATCATTACTCCAAATGGTGGCATATATAAACCAATAGACACATATCGACGAGTTGATGGCAGGATGTAGAAGAAAAACGATTGATGAAATCTTTCTAATAAATTATTCAGACTTCTAAAAACTCCTTCAACTAGTCTGAAATATAGGAATAACAATTTGCATATACAATTAGAAAATGTTATAAACTGACTTCTACAAATAATAAGCATACCCTGCCTTATTCATGACACTATTTGTTTCATTTAGATACATTCCAGAAATCAATTTAAGTATGTAATATGTTTTAAATTAGTGACTAAAGAAATGTCAGTTTCTTGTGATGTTGTACAAAATTGTTAAACTTTTTCATTAATTTTCAAAATGGGGGCAACCAAAATTTAAAAATAAATCCTTTGTATGTCCAATTTGTTTTTCTACTCATTTAAATTAAATAGAAGTATATATTCATTGTGTATTTGATGGCATATGTAGTAACTTGTTTATTGTCTATTGAAAAGAGATCAATTCATTTAAAGTAATAACAGGCTACGAAATTTCAAATTTTGGCGTAACCAGAAAAATGGTTACGGGTTTATGCTCTGCGTAACCATTTTCTTTGGTTACGCCAGATGACCTATGCGTAACCAATTGGTTAAATAAAATGGTTGCGCTGTTTTCATGTTTTATCCAGATTTAAATGGTGCAATTAATATTATTCATTCCACTTGCAATGAATGTATTTTTTAAAGAAATAACTTGACTAATTTTATTCTTTTATATTTAATATTATATTTTGAGGTTAAGTGTTTATGACTTTAATCCCACGGTGTCCCCATTTAAACAATAAAACATTAGAAAAAAAATGTTCCACTTCACTAAATCCCTACATTTCAATAATGAGGGGAATCTGTTCCAAAAATTACTAATGGATTTTCGTTTTTATATCATATCTGACCTTCAAAAACCAGGAATGGTAGCTACCACATTGTTTTCGGTCACTGAAGACTACATGCGTACTTCATATTACACTTGTCACTTGCAATCATTCATCCAAGCACCTAGCATGAGATAGCCTCACTCATAGGTAGCGACTGGTTGACAAACAGTATTTATTATGAACCTCGGCACTGTACACACAAAGTCTCAAAAGGAAACAGAATAGTTTGATGTCATGAAATAATATTAAAATAGACAGGACAGTAAAATCGTTTACATTATTGCTCCAGCGATGCCCGGGAGGGGGTCAAAGTTGACGACATACATACGGGTCATTTGTACTACAGCATGGCTATAGTGAAAACTGAAAGGAACATGTGTAGTAAATTCTTTGGAAATAAAGCCGACATGTTAAATAGTCAAACTCATTTCTCATTTTGTGTTTGAAAATCCAAAGGTACGCTTTCAAATATTTATGGCATAACTAATCATTTAAAGAATTAGGAGTGAGGGGCATTTTTAAATCAACTTGCTTGCAACTTGTCAATAGCCTACGTGGTGTCAAAATACGTGATCTGTCAAAGTACCGGTAAGATGGAGAAATGAAATGCCAAGAATGAATGAATGGAGTTTGTGCTATAATACAAATAATTTAGACCTGTGTCACAAAGTTATCCTGTATAAAAATTGATCAAATGTGAATAAATCTGTTAATGAAATTTGTTAACGTAACCGATATTTCAATTTGCGTAACCAGGAAATCGGTCGCGTGTTTTTGAGTTAGCGCGACCGCACGTAACCGATTGGTATCGTTCGCGTGAAACTTTGTGGCCTGAATAATCTAAGTAATTGTTTTTAAATTCATTTTCCATTGTAATATACAGAGTTACAGACCAACACTATCTACTGAACTGGTTGGTGTAGAACAGTAGGATGTTTAGAGCAAATTTCATTCTAAAACCAATCTCACAGTGTACACATTAGTCATCTATACAGTATTTTCGTATCATACCTTGCTGTATTTTCAACTCCAAAAGAACGCCTTGTTCGAGTTTCCTTCACACCTTGTAATGTAAGAGCCTCTATATGATATCTGTGAAACAGACCATGGTTTCCTGTGGGTGTACCAGATGCCTGATTCCACATCATATGTAACATAGTGATGAGAGAATGTTGAAAACCTTCAAATTCATCAGGATTTGGAGCATCAGACTACAAATTAAAAACATCATAAACACTTATAGGTGCTAAACCTCTTAGTTTGGGTTAAAGTATTGAATTCGGTTCACCTGGCATGTTTTTTCCATTAGTGATGGCACAAAATCTATACTATTAATTTTTGGCAAGTAGTTTGTTCACTAATCTTAATTTCATAAAATTGGCTCTAGAACTATATATATATATATATATATATACCACGTCCAAAATCAACATATCAAATATAAATCAACACGTTTATCTTTTACCCAAATCAAAATGATCTAATCATTTTAAACTACACCCAGCAACTAATCGTAAAAAGGGGGCAACAAAATATGAAATGATTCTATAGGTCATTTACATGCTGCCAAAAAAGGGTGTTTTATGTAATAAATATCTATCTTGTCTGATCTATTTAAATGTATACAGCTTCGTTAAAAGAATATATGGCTACAATTTGTAAAAAACTAAGTTTTCACTTACTCTTTTATTTAATGTGACTTTTGCTTGTTCTTTGCCACATATTCGAACTAGAAGATTAGATAAATCTAGATTAGGAAGTTGACCATTTAACCCTTCTAGTTTTAAATTATAGGAATGAAATTTATCACTAGGTATTTCTAGATTTATAGCTGCCTGAATAGAACCACTTGTAGCTGGCAGATTCTCTGAATGAATATCTGAAAGAGAAATTTCAATATGAAATCGCCTGCAGCATGAATCTTATGCAATATTGTAATGTACGTCAAGAATACAAGTAGAAATAGCTACATTTCAAGTCCCATTTGACAACCTACATCAAAAACTGAATAGTACTTTTGGTCATTCATCTTTAAATTCATATTCATATTAAAACACAAAGAAATTCATATTTCACAACATCTATATTGCTCAATCAACCACAGATGTTTCTTTTAAATATTTCTCATTTTTTTCTGTTTCTGAGAATAGGTATTTAATTGTTTTGTCTATGCTGTATTTCTGCTTTGTTCTACATGTGTAGTTCAAGAAATTCTGCAATACATAATTTTGTCAAAATAAAGTATTGTGGTAGGTTAATATTATGTGTGATTTTTATTACTGATGAGAAAAGTTTATTTAGAAAGACTAAGCGGAAGTCTGTCGGTTTACTAATTTTAATTTATATTTTAGGCTTATTGTGTAGACACAGGAACACACAACTGGTCAAGCCATTCTAATTATTAAATTTCTGTCAATGATACTTATATAAATACTATTGTTCTTACATTCTGATTGGGTTTGGTGGTAACCATCTAACCAAGCCTGCATTCCAATTTCATCATATTCTGTCAACACAAATAAAATATCTTTTGCCCAATATGTTTGTTCTGTAAAAAAAAATGTGTAGGTGGTTTATGTTCAAGTATTCGCCAATTACTAACTAAAGTACTACAAGTACAATGACACTATGAAATGAAACCATTAAAAACAGTACTTATCACAACAAAAAAGAAAAATATTACAACAAAAGATTATATCACAACGAAATCAGAAATATATAGTATTATATACACAACAAAAAAGATAAAAAAAAAATTTACTTACAAAACAAATTAAAGTACATGAATGTTAAAGGTTCTATATGGAGGAAAAGCCTTAAAACTAACAGTTTGATTTTCTTCTTAAAAATGTAAACAGTGGTGAAAAAGGTAGTTTATTCCATAAAAGAGGGAGGGTCATCAATAGTAAAAAGCATTGCCAAAAAGTGAAAAGTTTGGAAGATTATGGCTTTACAAGAATTTTATCATTAAGATGACATCTGGGTATACACATTTATAAATTTCAGGCAATTAAAATGGAGCTAAATTGTTTATAGATCTCAAAGTCAATAGTAAAATCTAAAAATCTATTACTAACTTCTAAAATGTTTAGCTAAAGCTAACATGACGGCTATTCCTCCAGAGGTCTGTTCATCAGCCATAACACTAGGCAAACGCAGGGGGACAGACATTACTACTGCTTCTGTGCTAGCTGCTCGTTTAGCTCTAAGTATAGCATAAATATTCTGACCAGGTATAGACTACAAATAATAAACAATATACATTATTAAAGTCCCTGTGTCGTTTGCTTTTTTCATAAAATATCAAAAACTTCATTTCTTATTTCCCAAAAAAGATCTGATTAATCTATGAACGGTGATTTATTGCGGAGCTAATACAGTAAATAATGGTGCTCAATGGAAAAGTAAAGAACACTCAATACAAGAAGTATTCTTTATTCTAGTAAATGTCAACACCAATCTTGCAGGATTCAACAACATGTTCTGTGTCATATTATGACTGGATAGCATACTTTTCAGCAACCAATCAAATACAGCTTAACATTGAAATTGGGATCACCCGAGATATAAATATGTTAAAATAACATATATAAGAGACTACTGCAACCAAGAAAAGTCCAACAGTAATAGGTCATTTTGGTATTCAAATAGTTTCAGAAATGCACACAACTCAAAGTATAAATCATTTTGCCTCTGTGACATTATAAGGGACAATGTCAATTCAACACATTACAGGAATGTGCTATAATAAGTTCTCCGTTATGGCTGTTGTTTTATAAAATTAAAGACAACCATTTGTACTTCAGGTTATGTGCATAGTTAAAATTAATCATACCCTCCTAGTTCCCACCACCCTGTTTCTTTAGATAAATAAGTGAATATTGTATTTTATTTACTTATCTTACCTTGTCTTTTGGCATTCCAAATGGATAATTTAGACTAAAATTATGGTAATATGTATCTAATCCAAGATCTTGAAATTTTCTGAATATCCAGTCTTTGGGAACTTTTCTAAAAAATAAACACAATCATATAAAATGCAAACAACACCATAGAAGCTTACTGTAGTAAAATTTTATTTCAATAATTTGCTTGTGAGTAGTGATATTTAGCAGTGTGAGGAAACTGAGAAGAAAACCCACAAGGTTGCTAATCCAGAAGAGTCTATTATCACCATGGCCATATTTATCTTTCTTTCATCGATCACGAAGTGCAGCATGGTTGGAAATGTTCAGCTCGGACAATATTGGACTTGGGTCCAGTGAATACAATGATTTAATTTGATTCATGGCTTAATTATATATTATGCAGAAATGGTTTTAATTCTAGATACCAACTTGTCAGATTTCTTCATTTCTGCCGTCAGTTGATCATTGTAAGAAATCACATCTGAATCTGCATAGAACTGATAATCTACTAATCCTGAATAAAGAATGTAAATCAAAATATGAAATCTTTCTAATAATATGTTTTTTTAAATCGGATAAAAATTATGACCTCTATAGGGTCCACAAGCTAAAAACGCGATTTTTCGTACAATCAGGGGCCATAATCCATGAAGTTTTGGTCCGATATGGGCGAATATCGAAAGGAACCGAGATCTTTGGGTTATAAACTTACATTTCAAGTTTCAACAAAATCGGATAAAAATTGTGACCTCTATAGGGTCCACAACCTTGATATACCATATTTTTACGCTATTTGACAACGAACGGCGGCCATTTTGTCTGTCAATTTTAGGCCGATTTTCACGAAATTCGAACTTAGTCGTCCTTATGGTAGAACGGTGATATAATAATACAGTTTTTTAAATCGGATAAAAATTATGACCTCTATAGGGTCCACAAGCTAAAAACGCGATTTTTCGTACTATCAGGGGCCATAATTCAGGAAGTTACGGTCCAATATGCGCAAATATCGAAAGGAACCGAGATCTTTGGGTTATAAACTTATATTTCAAGATTCAACAAAATCGGATAAAAATTGTGACCTCTATTGGGTCCACAAGCCAAAAACGTGATTTTTCATACAAACAGGGGCCATGATCCATATAGTGTCGATCCGATACATGCCAATATCGAAAGCAGCCGAGATATTTTGGAGATACACCTATATTTCAAGTTTCGTTAAAATTGGATAAGAATTGTGACCTGTAGAGTGTCCACAAACAAATTGTGGACGGTCGGACGGACGGACGGACAGACAGACGGACGTCCGGACGGACAGGGGCGACGGCATAATACGTCCACATGAAAATGTGGGCGTATAAAAATTGTGACCTCTATAGGGTCCACAACCTTGATATACCATATTTTTACGCTATTTGAGAACGAACGGTGGCCATTTTGTCTGTCAATTTTGGGCCGATTTTCACGAAATTCGAACTCATTCGTCCTTAGGGTGTAACGGTGATATAATGATACGGTTTTTTAAATCGGATAAAAATTATGACCTCTATAGGGTCCACAAGCTAAAAACGTGATTTTTTGTACAATCAGGGGCCATAATTCAGGAAGTTATGGTCCAATATGCGCGAATATCGAAAGGAACCGAGATCTTTGGGTTATCAAGTTACATTTCAAGTTTCAACAAAATCGGATAAAAATTGTGACCTCTATAGTGTCCACAAGCTAAAAACGTGATTTTTCGTACAAACAGGGGCCATAATCCATGAAGTTTCGATCCGATACATGCCAATATCGAAAGCAGCCGAGATATTTTGGAGATAAACCTATATTTCAAGTTTCGTCAAAATCGGATAAGAATTGTGACCTGTAGAGTGTCCACAAACAATTGTGGACAGACGGACAGGGGCGACGGCATAATACGTCCACATGAAAATGTGGGAATATAAAAATGATGTATAAGTTGTGTATCCCAATAGTGTAAACATTGTCTACATTTAATATACTGGTACTCATATGTCAGAAATCTACATTTAGGTAGTTATTTCTGTATGTTCAATCAATAATCTACAAGAAGATTAACAGTAAAATTGCACAAAGCATAGTAAATATATTGCAAATGGTTTAAATCTAATTATATGGTATATCATAAAATTTTCTGCAAAAATACTGTTATAATAATTAAAACAGTTCGATTTCTTTTTTTGGTAAATTACTTTTTTGTATTGTGTGTAATGCATACCTGGTAACAAGGCATTTTCTGAAAAATAGGTTGATGCATTTAAAGGTTGATAGGCCAGTGCCAAAAACCAAAGGAAACCTCCGACATAGCATAACACACAGAGCAACTGGTTATACTTAGTTATGGCATGGATGATTTTCTGTCGTTGTTTGGGATCAGTTAACAATCCCATCTGAAATTAAAATAGAAATATCATGAGTTTTGAATCATATCATCATTTTCATTTATAAAGACAAGTTCCCAGGCAATGAAACATACACCCACAACAGCTAAGTCGACAGATCATGCCAACATTGTCGTATATTTATTCTTTTTAGGTTATCGCAGCATTCATAACATACTAAAAACTGATCAAGAGTAACAACCCATGAAGCAATTATCGAAACTAATTAAAATTTGATTGGCCGTTAAAATCATGTACAGGTAATCAGATGATAACTTAAGCTGTTCAAATTATTGGAAATCACTTATTTATCTCGTGCATAAATTTCAACTTAATCAAATTATAACTTTAGCTACTGGACCAGCGACAAGAATTTCCATACTGATCAAGGGCATTAATTATGACAGTAATTATCAGAAATCGTTGAACATCACTAGCATTATTTGTCTCATGAATCACGAACATTATAACACATTACATTTCAAGTTAATCAAATGATAACTTTAGTCTCTTAGACTTTGAGCAATTGTAGACTATGGACAGGCTAAAATTTGGCTAACCGGATTTACCCAAAACCATACAAATCCCAAAACAGACTCAATACTACCAAATACCACCACATCTAGGGTGTCTTTATCAAAACTGATATGGACACTCATAATTACATAATTACAGTGCATTAGTCATGCGCAACTCGTAACGGTTCTCTATTTTGATTGGCTGTTGTACACAACATATATTTAGCCCTGCCTTCATGACATATATAATGACGTCAAACCTTTCGTTTTAAAATGTCGGGAAAAGCCAGCTATTATGGCGTCACCAACCATTTGACATGACTTGTGGAATGTCTAGCCTCGTTTTTTGAGTCCCTTGTTACAAATGACGGCTTTGTAATTATGGTACAAGAATCGTGTACCAATGGTAAAATGTTTATTTTGTTTTAAATATTGGATATCAGAAGCCCACATCTTTTCCCGGTAAGATCACAACATCAAATGATCAATAGGCTAATCAATGTTGATTTAAATTGACAAATAATTTGTGTTTTCAATATCGAAGACTTTGGATGATATTGAGTTAGAGACTTTGCTAATTTCAGTTTATCTCAAGACATGCTGGGTCGAATGATGAGGTTTCTTATCTAGGGTTACCAGTACAGAATGGATGGCCATTTTTCATTTCAATTGCAAATTTTTGCTGGTTTGTCAGATAAAACACAAATCCGAAACAGGAAAAAGTCCTGTCTCTCGACAAACGCATTAGATATTATCTCAATGTTTCATGTGACGTTCACAAAGAGTCCGTCATTCTGGAGAAAACAAATGCATATATTATTGAGACTACTTAGCATTTTCTTATTAATAATTTAAATTAATAGGCTAAATAAATTAATAGCGATAGCAATTTTTCCTTCTTTACACAGGGTGTTGAATGGCTGAATGGTTAGCGTGCGCGAGCTGTATCATAAAGTCTGTCATTGAGTCGACTGGCGTGGTTTCGAATCCCCGGTTGTATGTGGCAAGGAGTAGGGTCGCCTGTCCAACCTCGTGGGTTTTCTCCGGGTCCTCCCACTGCTAAAGACCCCTACGCGCAAGCGAATTATTGAAATAAAATTAAACCATGTGTTAGTCCCGAAATGACCTAGTTTGTGTCGAGTGGACGTTAAACCCCATTTCCCTCTCTCTCTCCCTTCTTTACACGGTCGGAAATGGATGGAAACAATATTAAATATTATCTCAATGTTTCACGTGACGTTCACAAAGAGTCCGTCATTCTGGAGAAAACAAATGCATACATATTATTGAGACTACTTAGCATTTTCTTATTAATAGGCTAAATAATAGCGATAGCAACCTTTCCTTCTTTACTCTTTACACGGTCGGAAATGGATGGAAACTGGGGAAGCCGATGACGTTTAGAAAATCCTAAATATGATTCGCTAATGTGTAGATTTAATTATCCAGTACTGGAAAATATTTCGTCCTGACGATCGAGTCTGTTTGGGTTACCACAGTTCCACATATCCGTTATACCTCCGACCCTTCCAGCTCGGGTTGAAAATCAACATGGCTGCCATTGTGGGCAGAAGTTCAAGACAAGCTCTTTTACGAGCTAGATCAAGTATTTCTTGTCAAAATGTAAGTTGAATAACCACAAAGATTAGTGTTCTAATATCTGTTTGATGTGTAATTCCAATGAATAAGTCGCAAGTGTCCCGCACCACACTTAAAATACAAGTACGTGTCGAATGTCACTCGTGTGCCCTTGAAAATATCTCCTGCCGAATAGTACTAGTTACATAACCGCATGCACAGGCCTAATTATATTATATAATACAGTAATAATTGTATCTGAGAGACATGCTTCCAATTATACAACAGGTTTTATTTTTTAAAAGTCCTGACATGTCTGTGTTGTACTTGAAAGAATCTCCCAGTAAGCTCTTAATTGAGGCATAACTTTACTTATGAAATATGAAATGAAATGGGGTTTACTCTTTACCTTACTATTCTAATACTCAAGACTAAGAGTCTTACTTTTTAGGCCTGTACTAGTTCAGCTCAGTACTAGTTCAGCTCTGAAGGTAGGTCTCATTACACTCGCCCTGTACATTCACAAACCGTCCTATTGAATCCTTTTCGAAAATAAAATCGACCCCAGTCAATTTTACTGGGAAACTTTTTACTGCTAAACGGTCGCTTGTCAGTCTCAGTGAATGCCTGAACAATGTAAAGGAACATTTTAGTGAAAAAATAAGACCTTGCTTACCTCGCTAGCGTCAGTATGTGCAACACAACATGCTGTTAAAAATACATCCCTTTCTGCGAAACGGCTTGCAGACGCCATGGAAATCTAAATATAGGGCAACGCACAAATTTACGTAACTCGACCATATAAGATGAAACGAAATATTGTAAATTATTGTAATTGGGCTTGGCAAAAATAAATGACTGAAAATTCTCAACCTTTCAAAGATTTCAATTTTTCCCCCCAGGTTTAACTAAATTTTGTTTCGTCTTATATGGCCGAGTTATGTAAATTTGTGCGTTACCCTATATTTATATTTCAATGGTGTCTGCCAAGCCGTTTAGCAAAAGGGGACATATTTTTAACAGCATATTGTGTTGCACATACTGATGTTAGCGAGGTCAGGAAGGTCTTATGTTCTCACTAAAATGTTCCTTTACATAGTTCAGACGTTCACAGAGGTTGACACGCGACCGTTTAGCAGTAAAAAGTTGCCCACCGATTTTATTTTCGACAAGGATTCAATAGGACAGTTCTTGAACGTAAGGGCAAGTGTAATGAGACCCAAAGTTCAGAGCTAAACTAGGTCTGTACTAGTTTAACAACATTCTACTTTTCTGTTCCATCCGCTCTGCTACAGGGAATTTTAAACAGTTTTGTTAAGGCCTACTCACATTTTCAAATTCCAAATGCTCTTTTATGTGAACATGTACTGTACAGTCACGGGGCTTTATTTTTTCGTTCAATCTGACTGCCTAGAAACGCTATTCCTTGCCAGATCGCCCGTCCTGCACCTTTGACAGGGAGAACCATACCAGATAATCCAGAGGAATTTTAAGTAACTGTCTAACTGACTGCTTATATATCTGATTAATTTGTATTTTGCAGGCAGGTTTTGTAACTTTTAAGAATCAGAGTACAGGCAGAAAAATTGTAAGTTGTCATTATATTTTGTCTCCCCTATCCTATAACATGTGTATGGTGCAAAAACAAATGTGACTGTATTTGTATTCTGATTAGATTTGATTTTAAATAACAAAGTGGCCGTATTCTGTTTGATTAGAATTTGATTTTTTAAAAACCTAACCCGTATAATTGTGATAATTGGAAACAGGAAAAGGGTACGACAACACTCCCTTAGAGAGTAATTAAAGCTGGACAGGCTAATACAACTGCATGGCTGATACAACTGCATGGCGACTGGATCAAAAGATGATACCGGCGGGGCGGAGTAGTAAAATAAAATTAAAGAATCCTCGCTCAACAGAATACACAACAGACTTGTAGAAGTAGAAGATAATTGTGATAACTAAATGGATTTATTTTGAATTGTAGGCTTTAGCAGCTGCTGGAATAGTAACCACAGGAGGTATAGGATTAGCAGTTGCTCTAAATCAATCTGTTCTGGCAGGTGAATTAGAATTGCACCCTCCAAAATATCCATGGAATCATTCAGGCTATTTGGATGCATTAGATGTTACTAGGTATGAATGAAATCATATGTATATTTTTCTGTGAATTCTAGCTGTATGTATGTCATTATAAAAGTAGAAATATGTAAAACTGCCGTATATAATTTCATATTAAATATTTTTACTGAATTGTCTTGTCATGTAGTAATTTTCTCTTTCCAAACATATTTTATATGAAACTAAAATGTATTGACATCAAAATATGAGCACTATAAGACAAATTAAAGTTTTCCTAGATTATTTACCTATATTACATGTATACTACTATTGCACATATTGTTTTGTGGATTTCAGTGTACGGCGAGGTTATTTCGTTTACAAACAAGTATGTGCAGCCTGTCATAGTATGAACTATATGTATTATCGTAATTTAGTAGATGCTTTCATGACAGAAGATGAGGCTAAGGCTGAAGCAGCAGAAGTAAGTTGACTATACTGAAAAGTCATACACAGCTTACCTTTTTCCACCGAGAAGTTTGATTTCTGATATCAAACGAATGGCTCAAGAGAGTATATTGTTGACTTGCACACTTAAACCAAGAGGTCCAGGGTTTGATCCCAGTATTGATATAAAAAGTTCCTCAGGATTTTCCAGTCAGGTTTCCACTAGTCAGTTGTGCATTGAAAAGTGCCAAGTTGTTCTGAGATCCATCTGTGTAATCATTAGCACATTAAAGAACCCATAACAGGTGGAAATCATTGAAAATTGGGCAGAAATGTTGCTGCCTGTGCAAATTTCCCACATAATACACTGCATGATATATGCTGGTACAAAGCATAATGACAGTGGCAATAACTCAGCATATAATCAATATGGTTCTTCTTATGAATAGCCAATCAATACTAACTTGAAAACAGATTATAATCATCCATACATTATCCCATGGAAATTGCAAAGAAAAAGTAGAAGTGATTTCTCCTGTAGATATTGTTTTAAGACCAAATATGCAGTATCATCTCTGAGGGTTGTGAAATGCCTTATTGGGTGATAAGTGATTTGCACATTTACTACAATTCCAAATATCTATTACTGGTATTGTTAGTTTTAAAAACATGCATCAATATATATGGTATCTTTTTAAATGCAGGTTCAAGTAGTAGATGGACCAGACGAGGAAGGTAAAATGTTTGAAAGACCTGGTAAATTAGCAGATAAATTCCCTAACCCGTATGCTAACCCAGAAGCAGCGAGAGCTGCGAACAACGGTGCCCTACCTCCTGATCTAACGTTTATTGTTCCTGCTAGACACGGTGGAGAGGTAATTTCCCAGATTCTGAATGATATATATTTTAATGATTATAAGACCTAATTTCTGACAAAATAGAAAACAGCAACTCTTAAGGATGCATTATGTTAGATTTAGATAAAGTGCTGATATGAACGTTCTTGCTACAATAGTTTAAAAATAGATAATGAAAAATCAGTATATTGAAAATTTCCGTCAAATTACTTTATTCTGAAGAAAGTTATGAATGTTTGACATTACGATACGAAAGAGCCTAAATAATTTTGATTGTCAAACGCCATTTCCAAAATCAACAATCTCCATGAATGGCGTCCATATTTTCATTTAAAGAACATATGGTGACGTTGTCTAATCCACTCAATATCTTAGCCATCCAATGGTCATGAGAGTTGATGATGGGCTTGTTATGTGAATAAATGTCTATAAGGTCTGTCTTTGAGTCAACTGGCGTGGTTTCGATTCCCCAGTTGTACGTGACAAGGAGTTTCCTCGCACGACTTAAGACCCCTACGTGCAAGCGAATTATTGAAATAAAATTGAACCATATGTTAGTACCGAAATGATGGTCTCTCTTGAATAAATGTCTAAATAATAATTTATGTAACATTTAAGGCCAGAAAAAAGACCTGCAATGGGTAGATTTAGCTGTTACATAATACATCTTTAATATGACCATTGTATTGTAATTCAAGTCATGATTAGTAAACCATATATAATATTATTATATTAATACAATACCACTGTGTTTTACAGGACTATATTTTCTCTCTGTTGACTGGTTACTGTGATCCACCTGCAGGAATAACTGTCAAAGATGATGTACATTATAACCCGTACTTCCCAGGAGGCACTATAGGCATGGCTCAGGCTCTTTATAATGAAATTATTGAATATGAAGATGGTAAAGAATTTAAATATATATATTATAATATCGTGCACATTAATGTGATCATACATTGTTGTTACCCATGCCCAATTGTACGTCTATCCAACATCAGATTTTTTTAAGCCCAAATTCCAGATAAGAGTATGTTGTCATCCCTATCACCCTATCCACTTGCCAGGATTGTTTGAGTAGTCATCAGGAAAAACCCTATCAAATTTCAGAGTTGCACACAATCCTCCCATTAGCTCGATCAGACAAATCTATACAACAACCCATTTAATAATATATACAAATGATAAAATGGTATTGGGACAAATGAGTATACATACAAGTATAACAGTATTGATCAAAATCAATGTACAGGATTACTCACAGTATTCAGTAAAATTTTACCAGTGTTCAGTTAAAGACTTCTTTTTTTCTCTGTGCTTCTACTGCTTTGAAGTACATGTAGTTGTTTGTAGACAGTCTTTACGGATATCTTTTGGGCGGTGCCGTAGTAATTCCCTAGTTAGTAGAATTATACAGGATCTTGATGATCCAAAACTGACAGGATGGATAATCCTTGAATCGATATAATCCTACTGTTCTGCTCCAACTGGGCTAATGAAGACATGATAATCCGACATGGTAATAATCTACAATACTAATCCTAAACATGGATTACAAGAGAGAGATCAAATCACTCAAAACAGCACAATGTGAAACAGAGAGATAATTTCTCTAAAATGGTAATCAACGATAGATTTCGATGAATTGTCATGGCCTCATCACATAGAACGGCAGAGGCTAGACAGGTTGTTAGGTCTGTGTAACTGCTGGATCAAAAGATGATGCAGATTATAGTTGTGATTTCACATAGCTAAAGACATCTATGTCCAAGCAAATTATTGAAATAATTGAACCCAATGTCAGTCCCAAAACAGTAGCACGTCATTTCAGTCCCGCGTCATTTCAGACTCAACACAGACAACGGTTCAGACTTACTTGCCAACAGTTCCGACTCGTTCTGGTGAGGTTTCGGACTCGGATGAATAATTAAAATACTGTTGGAAATTTATGTGAAATATATGTAACGGCTGTTTTGGGTTGGGTTTTTTTCGTTTTATGTGAGTCCGATAATTGTTTTGTTTTATTTAATTGATCAGCGATTCTCAAGGCCACTAATAAAACGATAACACCGATTTTACACTGCTTGTTCTATTTTGTTTTGTTTCATCGGCGAGTATTGAACTTGACAATAAAATATTGTTGAAAATTTGTGTACATTTAGTAATACAGCCATTGTTTTTATAATTGTGAAAGCCTAAATGTCTTTTACGCGAGTCGGAAGAATCGAATCAACACACGGCCGCCATTATCGCCGATTGACAACTCAAATTTTTCCTCATCCACTGAAGAACTCTACGGTTTCTTTGTGCATACTAGAATAACATAGGGATTATCGGTTAATCAGCTTTAATTATCCCACTTCGTTGCCATTTCTAATATTTACCGAAAACAGTTTTCTTTGTACGCACTAATTTATCGATTGGTACTGCTATCTATGGCAAGCTTGTCCAGGAATGCATGTCAAGGTGTAGCTTACGGATTATCGTTAAACAATTCTTGGGGCTTGTAAAAACAGTGCATGTCGAGTAAATATTTACTTTTGTTTTTTGTGTAGAAATAAATTCTACAGCATATTTTTTTTTTTTTAAATTACTTTTACAGGTAACGATGTTTTATCGTTTGGTAGAGTCCTTCAAGAACCACGTGTTTCATGTTAATATTTTCTTTCGTGTTTTGAATTGGACTATTTCTAATAAATTCATCAGTTACTTTTTATATACATATTATAGATAAACATTCAACATTGAAAATTTTGCGGTTCCTTAAAAGATCTGCGTGCTGTACTTGATTGCGAGCGGTAAATTTTACCTGCATGTTATTTTTATATAAAATCGCTTTTGGTTCATTATAGATTGATTTGACAGTTGTGTTCAACCTTTCCTTTCAACTTATTCCCGAGGCCGAAACATCACCTACCCGAGTCCGAATCGCTTTTGGTTTATTATAGATTGATTTGACAGTTGTGTTCAACCTTTCCTTTCAGCTTATTCCCGAGTCCGAAACGTCACCTACCCGAGTCCGAAACGTCCAGGCAATTTTTTTTAGTCTGAAATGTCGTAAGTCTGAAATGACCTTGTATGTTTCGAGTGGGCGTCAACTTGACGTTGTGATTGTAGTAATTTTATCTGCATTATACCTCAAATTTTATCTGCCCTTACTGTTATGTAATATTTAATTTTAAAGGTACTCCTGCCACTCAGAGTCAGTTAGCTAAAGATGTTTCTACATTTTTGAGGTGGACTAGTGAAATTGAACATGATACAAGAAAGAAAACTGCTATAAAGGTAAATATAATAACCTTTTTCTGTGGGGTTTTTCCCCAACATTTTCTCCCTTTTGTCAGGTACACTCAGATCATGTATGAAGAGTGATAAGCAATTTGATTGGTCTAGACTTTGGAACACAATAACTCTCCTTCTAATTGAGGTAGATTGGTCAATCTTGGTGTAGGCGTTCATTAGGTGAATGCCTTGATGGAGTTCGATCGTGCACATTTTCTGCTTAGAGTAAGCAGAGATATGCAATTAGATTGGTTGATGCTTTGGGGACACGATAACTTTGGTACTAATTGAGAGTGATGAAACTTGGTGTATAGTTTCATTTGGTTTCATCACATCATTACCTTGACTAAGTTCGATGATGAGCTATTTGATTGGTCAAGACTTTGGAGCTTGACAACTCTAATTCTAATTGAGTGATAGTGGTGAATCTTTGTGTATAGTTTTATTACATCAATCAGTACCTTAGCAAAGTTGTATACTGAGCATTTTCTACTTAGGCAAAGTAGAGACTTCAATTTGATTGGTGGAACACTATAACTCTCCTTCTAATTGAGGTAGAATGTTCAAACTTGGTGTAGGTGTCTCTTAGGTGAATGTCTTGACAGAGTTCGATCATGCACATTATCCACTAAGGCTAAGCAGAGATAAGCAATTTGATCGGTTGAGAATTTGGAACACGATAACATTGGTTCTAAATGGGCGAGAGTGATGAAACAGAGTATAGATTCATTATATCAATATCTTGACTAAGTTCGATGATGAGAATTTTCTTCTTAGGCTAAGTAGCAATAAGCAATTTGATTGGTCAAGACTTTGAAACATAACAATTCTGCTTTAATTGATATTGCATGTTTAAGCTTGATGGTGAGTGTCTTTACTGAGTTCAATGATTAACACTGACCACTAACATTGGTTGATGCTTTGGGACAAGATAACTTTGATTCTAACTGATGGAGAGTGATGAAACTTAGTGTAAAGTTTCACTACCTGGTACTTCAAAACCTTAGCTGAGATTGATCATGAACATTTTATGCTTCGACAAAGTATAGATAATCAGTTTGGTTGCTAGATACTTTTAATGTGCAATTAATTTATTTGTGTCTCTATTTATTTTGGGATTTAGGCGGGGGACATCAGCCTCTCTGTTGGTTTGTTGCATTTGAATTAGGAATAAAAGTTTTTATGCTGTAATTTATTTTAATAAATATTTTTATTTAATTTCAGACCCTATCTATATTAACTTTATTGATGGTAATAACATACTACTTCAAACGTCATAGGTGGACAGTACTAAAGAGTAGAAAATTAACAAGCCAGAAATGATAAGGACAGTGCTATTAATTATTTATGGATGACAGATATCTCAACACCACATTTTGTTTAATAAAATTGACATGGAAAAAGATCAAAGCTGTTAGTCTTGTATAAAAATCAACATTGTTGTATATGTGTGTGAAGACTGTAGTGAGAGACTATATTGGTTTCATGAATATTACCATCATTTTATTAACTTAATTCAATAAAAGTTACTGGTTATTATAGAGAAATTTAAATGTTGTATTATTTCAACAAGTTACTGCAAGATTTTTAGATAGACAAACATCATTACTCAGAAAAAGAACAGTGGCATTGTTTTATGTTACATCCACTTAAATGTCAAACATAAATATGATGTCTTGTGTTCCCATTTCTTATAAGAATTAAAAGTTTTATTATTTAACATGTTTTAAATTTTCCAACAAGATTCTTTTGATAATTTAGATACTTTTTTTATATGCAACCATTTTAATGTGGTTGTAAATTACCGCATCTTCTGTCTGTCAATTATACTCTTGTATATGCAACCATTTTAATGTGGTTGTAAATTACTGCATCTTCTGTCTGTCAATTATACTCTTGTTAGTACACTAGTGGCCACAATAATCCATATATATATTTTTTGACCCCCACCATTTCGAGAAAGCTTGGGTTGCATTATAATAGGGTCACCTGGCTGTCTGTGAAACGTTTTGGAACACAAATTAAGGGAAGATCCTAACCAGTCCATATATTTTCATTTTTCAAGGTCATAACAAAATCATAAATTAACCTCAAGGGAACATATCTTTATTATGGTTCAACTGACTGGAAACTAAATCTTCTTATAGATTTTAGATCTTTGATGGAAATTGTCTTCCCGTAGGTAGAGGCAGACCACCATTAAATTTTACCATCTCAAATGCATCAAAATATAGCAATTCTCTCTCTCCCTTCGCTCCCCAGTTGCATGGCTGTTTGTTTCTCCATCTGTAGTGAATAGCATTCTGCTCAACGAAATTTGGTAAAAAGGTGGACCCGAGCAAATGGATCAGAATTGACATTAAATTCAATAGTTGGGGTGGGGGAATTAATTGTGGTCTTCTTCCAGGGTTTTCACAAAGGATTTATCTCCCTTAAACCTAAATTCTCACAAACAAAAAATTATCAAGGGAAGCAACTCTCAATTTACGCCTGGATTATCGTGACTATCTAAGAAGATGGCTGATAAGTTCGAGTCATTAGAACAGCAACTGGAACTATTTATTGAAAATACTCGACAGCTTGGCATTATTGTCAGCGATTTCCAACCATTAGGACAAGGACAAAATGTGCTTAATCAAAAGATGTAAGTTTATTTGAAATGGTGCTGTGATAAACTAATTTTCTTCGTTAAAATCCACTGACGCCATTTTTGTGGTGAATAATAACTACTAGCCTAATAACATTACAAATAAATAACATTTTTTGGTTGAGTACCGGCCTAGCCTTCAACTATTAAAACAGTTACTGTACGGTACCGTAAAGGTTCGCATATGGGAGCCTAAATTAAATTTAAATTATTAGTTGCTATGCCTACAGACAGTAGCCAACTGCTGAACTGGTCCTCGCATAAATTTGCACTTTCGTACACATACCACCCTCTCAGTCCCAGCTTATTGTCCAGTGTGAAAACGAATTTGTTCAGTAAATAAGGGGGACCTATTCACCAAGATAAGAAACCTCATCTCTCAACCCTCCGTGTTTCAACATCAGTATATCTCAACATTTTTAGCTACGTTCTTATAGCTAAAGCAATCTGATTTAAATACAGATCTATCTATATTCCTTTTTTTCTTTTACTTTTATACTTTCAATGGTCTACACTGCATGAAGATCTGACCAGTTGTAGTGGGAGGTCGCATCACAGGTCATACGAGCGGCTTTTGACCCTCTGACATCAGACATTGATCAATCAATCAGTGTTGAGGTTTCTAGTGGTTTACCCACAGTTCCGTGCAGAGCACGCAAAGAACTCGCCATAACAAACTGTTTCATTGGCTGATTCCTCACATCAACTAGAACACCTGTTATATAACAACTCTTCCAAATCCCAGTTGTGAAGACGAGAAAAACAAAATTTTGAACTAAAAAAAACAACAAAACAAAATAGGATCTGTGTTTTAATCAGATTGGTAGCTAAGGAAAACTGCCGACATCTTCAAATTTTGATTTGATTTTATCACCTGGGCTTTTTGAAATTTCAGTACCCCATCATTATTTTAATTAAGAATCACATCAGCTAAATTTGTAAACTAACAAACTTTCTATCCTTGCTTCTTAGAATATTGAACTAAAAAAACACTGCACGTCTTTTTTAGACATTAAATGTAGGGATGCACTGGATTTTATTATCTGGTCGGATACTGGATTTGTTGGATTGACTGTTAGCCTACAATTATCCAGTTGGTTTCTATAGACTTCATATATTCATACTTACCATGACATTGTAGTTCTGATCTCTAATTTGAAGTATTAAATTCTCGAAATAAAGTGATAAATAGGTGAATTATTTGGTGCTACCATATTTAGAAATGATGTAAGCTTATAGAAAATGTCACCGTTATTTAATTTCAGAAACACAATGGTCTCTGAAATGCAGGAGATCGAAAAGTTCAGACCACTTTTACAAGATGTCCATGTACCCCTAGAAGTTTTCAAGTAGGTGCTTAAAAGAAGACTAACCTCCTTGATTTATTCAAATAAAATCTCAATTGATTTAAATTTGCTTTGTTAGGTGGGAAATGAAATCCCAGTTTAACATCCTACTCTTCTTGCACCAATTGGGCTAATGCAGACGGGGATACACCTTACACAGTGTAACTGTGGAAATTTGGGTCCACTGATTCTTTGTTGAATTCCAACTTCTAAGGTTTCTTTTATATAAACACAGGAACTTGGTTTGTCGTTTCATCCAAATGACTATCCCTTGATGGGCCCTCCGTCCTGCACCACTGCTAAGGGGAGACCCTGCTGAAAAATCCCAAAGAACTTTCTTGCAGCGTTGGCTTGAAGGTCACGAGAAAGTTCATCGGGATTTTCCAGCGTGGTTTCCCCTTGTCAAAGGTGCAGTTGGAATTGATACGAGTAGACCATAGTGCTGCTGCCCGGGCAAAATTTCCCTCCTAACACACTGTATGGCGTATGCCCGTCTTCATTAGCCCAGTCATCGGAGCAGAACAGTAGGAAGTTGAACCCCATTTCATTTCCTGGTTTATAACTTAGCAGTTTAGTGCCATTGTGAAATGGTATCTCAGTACATATATAATAGGGACCATAAATTGAACAAGTATTACAGCTTTAAGAAGTTCAATTAAAAACAACAACCCTGAAGTTAGTTTTCAGTTATAAACAGGGCCATGTCTGCTTGGTGTGAAAATTTAGTGCTATATAAAGATCGCCTTCACACTTGGACATCCTCAGAATATCAAATTCCACACGTTATTTTGACAACATTGTAAATCCAAGTGCTTGGCAAGTGGAACTGCCTTCACACTTGGACATCCTCAGAATACCAAATTCCACACTTTATTTTGACATTGTAAATCCAAGTGCTTGGCAAGTGGATCTGCATTTATATAAAGACCTAAATATATTGGTATGGAAAATATATCTAGCAATTTAGGTTATGAATTGGATAATGACCTACAATAATTAGAAGATAACCATACAATTATTAATCTTTTCAGTTACATTGATGAGGGAAAAAATCCCAACTTGTATACCAAAGACTGTTTAGAAAAAGCTTTAGAGAAGAATGAACAAGTAAAGGGTAAAATGGATAATTTAAAAGTAAGTGTTTTGTACTGTACTAGTTGTCATTTTGACTTACTCATAAATGTAAATGGTTTGAACAACAATTGATTATCACTTACACCGGGAAGGAGTAAGTTACTCCAGGGTCAGACTTTGTTCACTTTTCAGAACTAAACTTACTGTTATTTCTCTACAAAATATTTTGTTACAGAAGTTTCAGGCCAGCCATGTTAATTATATCTAGCACTATTCTACCTTCATCCATTTATAGCTTAATTACCGTAATGGGTTACAGTGTCTTAATTCAAGGATGCATGGTTCCACACAGTTTGAGTTTGGGGATGTAATTTGCATTGATTTAAAAAAGCTATGCCAATTTTCCCTAAGACACTCGGTGTTCTGAATATGTTGAGAAATCCTTCCTTTTAATTAGTTTATATCACTCACTTTATTTCATATACATGTACCATTTATTCTTTGTTACAGAGATTTAAAGGTTTATTAATGGTGGAACTGACCAAAGTGTTCCCCAATGAAATGAATATGTATAGAGCATTGAAAGGAGAGGACAGATTAAAGTGACTGAATGCTGACCAAGAATAACATTCCTCATCTTTATCAATCAACTCAACACACTTTTCATTCTGAGTGAGAGTAAAATCAAATGTTTGTGAAGCTACTTTTGTTGGAAATCTCAGCCTATTTCAGCATGGCTTTAATTTGGAAATTGTCATCTTATAAGAACTTTTTGCTTTGAAATGCAAAACATTAGTAACTTCGTTGGTACCTGGAGTAAAATACTCATCATATTTTGATATGTATAATGTTTATGTTCCAGTCTATTAGCGAATTTTCAAAACTACAAAAATGTAAATATGATGTATATATTTTATTAATAAAATTAGTTGAATAGAATTATTTCTGTTTCAGAGATTTCTTGTTATATTTTCTTTTTCTTCTGACTTAGTTCCTGTCTTCTTTTCTCCAGATCAATAACCTAGAAACAGAAAGATTTTATCTAATTTACTTACACTTAGGTCATAGTCTTGGACACACAGAACCTCCTGGTCCTCAACCTGCAGATTTGATGAAATTTTACTGGGTAATCAATCGCATAAAAACCAAACACCAGGTTACGCATGGGTGTAAAGTCAAGAAAGAGTTGTGCACCTTCCCCAAATTCATGCATTATTATAATCAAACATGAATTGTGACAATGAATTAGGATTATGAAAAACCAGATATTATCCTTGAGATCAATTTTACAATAAATAAAACTCAGGACTGTTGGATGCCGCACAGACAATAGTAAGTCTTAAATAATTTCATTGGTATCGACATCTTGTTTTAGGACAATTTAACTCCCTTATTCCGTCCATAACATAAAAGACCGAATACTCTAGCCAATGACCTAGATATTCTCAAATGCCGAGGACCTATACAGACTAATATTTGTAGAGGCTACATTAGTCAAAGATAACTGTCAGTACAAGTTGGATTCAATTCTACTAAAACAAATTAGTGCATACACCTTAATAACTGAGTTTTATAAAAATTGTTTCAATGTTCTAAAACAACATAATTACAAATTTTAGTTGAATACCTGTAGAACTTGACCTTCTGCTATTCGTCTCATTTCTTGTGACAAACTATGGGCATTCGGCAAAGCCTGAAAAAGTGCACAATATTATTTGCTCAATTCTGTCCACATAAAGACATGGTGGCTCAGTGAGTGAGATGCTGGCTCACTAACTAGGTCTCAGGTTTTCTCCCGGTGTGGGCTGAGAATGTTCCACTGGATTTTCCATGAGGTTTCCCCATTTCAGTTGTGCAGGAAGGAAGGCCTGGCAAGGTCAGTGTCTAGTCGTTCGGATGTAACCTAAAACTAGGATCCCTTGTACACATTGGCATGCACTTAAAAGAACCCTTGACAGTTGGAATTCAACATAAGAGTAGGCTGTAGCACTGCTGTCCGTGCAAAATTTCCCTCATAGCAAATTGTATGGCTTATGCCAGTCTTCATTAGCCAAATTTCTTACTCTTGAGATATAAACTGAATGACCATCTAAATAAACCTAACAAAAATAACATCTGATTTTAATTAGATTTTTTGAATGAGTATACATACTTTAACAAAGAATTTAGTCACTTGATATAAATTTGATGAACATGATTTAAATATGCTATTGGATTTGTCAACTCCATTTAATTCTAAGACCCGAGTACATATCTCTTCTAATTTCTGAAATAAACATTGAATTATTAATTTATTGAAGTTTAAAGGGCATATGGCTATATTCTTTGGAACCTTAAAAGCACATATCAATTTAAGATGGATGAATAGAAAATGATTTTTATTCTAATTTCTAATAAATTATGTTCGGTAAAATATGTGAACAGTCCAAATTGAATGGCAGTCGTTTATGCCTGCTTGGTCCATTCTACACGTTATTTTTTTAATTACTATGTCGTTTGTTAATCAGCATTCTGCATTGTCTTCTAGGATATGTTTTTCCTTGTTCGTTACAAATGGCCTCGAAACAAAAGAAATACTTAGACACATGTATTGATTTTAAAATGTTCATTATGTCTTGTAACCTTTTGTAACATTTCCAACTTATCAATATTATCTGCATGCTAACCGACTAACAATAACTTACTCTTCTGTGTCTTTGTGATCTAGACTCTCCTGCTTTTGAAGATTGACTTGATTGACCAGATTCTATAGTTTTTTTCTTTCTAACTTCTATAGTATGTGGTGCTGGTATATTAGTAAAATTACCAAATACATTCGATTGATTTGAATCTTCATCTAATGTAAAAGGGGCTGGTAATTTTCTTACAACTTGTGAACCTGAAAACAAACAGTAAAATAGCTTAACAAACTGAAGTGTATCTTGATTTTACAAGGGATCATAACAATGCTTTAAGGACCATTTATTTAGCACATGAGGCAAGTATGCTATTTTTCTATAAAACCTTATACCTTTTCTAATATCAATAAATAGTTTGCAATACAAGAAAGAGGAGGATTACCTGAAAAATCAAAGGGTCTTGAATCTGTGACTGCTTTTCTTGGGGATTGTCTTACACCTTTTCTAGGAGAAGAACGTTGAGGTTGACTAACTCGTTTTCTAGGACTCTGCTGGCTAGGTCTTTTTTTTGGGCTCTTCAATTGCCTTTGAGCTAACTTTGTGGGAGTCCTGCAATAACAAAAGAAATAGAAATTATTACCATTTTGCTTGGATGTTGAACTACTAGTAGTTAACATGAAAGCCCTATGAATCGGAGATTACACAATTCAAAGGAATATTCGGTTAAAGAACATGATGATGTTTAAAAAGCTAGTTATGATGTTTATTTAAAAAAAAATAACTAGAAGTACATGTACAGTTACGGCAATTCTAAAGATCAACTAGTGAAATTTCAGTAAATTAATAAAACACTTGCAGATGGTATTGATGTTAGTGTAGTTGATATCTTTGCATTAGAAATGTAGTTAAAAGTATATTTTACTAGAAATAAAGGTATTGCATCTCAGACTGTTCCAGCATGAGAGAGAGAGGGTGAGACATGGGGTTTAACGTCCACTCGACACAAACTAGGACATTTCGGGACTAACATGGTTCAATTTTATTTCAATAATTCGCTTGCGCATAGGGGTGTTTAGCAGTGGGAGAAAACCGGAGAAAACCCACGGGATTGGACAGACGACCACACTCCTTGTCACATACCACTGCGGAATCGAAACCACGCCAGTTGACACCTTATGATACAGCGCACAAGTGCTATCCATTTGGCCACCCCCCCCCAGCCAGATGGACAGAAAGACAAATTTGATAGCACCAATGCGTCTCTCTACACTAACAACTAAGTTTTGAATAAAGCCATCCTTTGTAATTTGTAACTGAGCTTGTATCAAGATCTAGCCTGGAGGTCGGGTGTTCGATCCCTGCATTGGCCGAGGTTTGCCCTTGTCAGTGGTGCAGAACGGAGGGCCTGACAAGGACAACTGTCTAGTCCTTCGGATGTTATGAAAAACCGAGGTCCCGTGTATATATTGGAATGCACGTAAAAGATCCCCTGGCAGTTGGAATTCGATATAAGAGTAGGCGATAGTGCCACTGCCCGGGCAAAATTTCCCTCATAGCACACTGTATGGCGTATGCCCGTCTTTATTAGCCCAGAATAGGAGCAGAACAGTAGGACGTTAAACCCCATTTCATTTCATTTCATTTGTATCAAGATCTGATTAGAGGGATAATAAAAATTTACCGTAATCCAACATTTTGTTTTACAGAAGTCTGCGATGAAGATTTTACATTATCATGTTTTCTTTTCTTGCCTCTTGGTGATCTTCTGGTAGGAGATAAAATATGTCCAGATGATGATGTCCGTGACATTTTTGACTCAATCTTTTTACTTTTTGTTTTCCCATAAAATGGTGTATACAGAGAACAGTATGTTTCTTCTTTCATAAATTTATCTCGTACTTTAGCAAAATGATTATCCTCCTTTTTTGAATAATAACTGCAAAATTAAATAAAATGATCTATTGAACTATAATGAAAATTGTCTAATTTAAATACTCAACTGATATGAGCTATGCACAACAGATTATATTGACCTATGCATGTCGTAGAATCAGAGTACTATAAAATAAGATAATAGTGTCTTATATGACTTACTAATATATATTTTTCTTCTCTAAGAACGAAGTTATTACTCCTGTAAATCAGTAGTATCATCTACATCCTCAATACTCAACACTGATTAATTAGTTGACTAAAGAATTGAAATGGGGTTTAAAATCCTACTTTTCTGCACCAACTAGACTAATGATGACAGAGTTCATAACAGAACAATGGCATTTTCAGATACAGCTAAATGAATTATTAAATCTACTGAAAGTTTACCTATTAAAAGTTTCATTTAACTGGATACATGTACCACTAACTCCAAAGCTAGTTCTTTTTTTATAATTATTCAATTATAACTATCATATTTACCAAAAGCATTCACATGGAGTCCAACCAGTTGCATATTAAACATTTTTTTGCAGTCTAAGACTGGTATATAGCAGGGTATATGATAAGAAAAATAAATTGATTAGCACTTATTGGATATTTACCAAAAAAGTGCTAATCAATCTGAAAATTGATTAGCAGTTTCTCTTGGTTGAATTGCAAACAAGTAAATTTTCACAGTATTGTATTGAACAATTTCTGTAGGCCATAATTTCTACCGGTATGGCCTACAACTGGCACACCTCGCAATTTTTCATATTCAATTCCCATAGATTATTCAAATTTACGGCCGTAATATTCCTATCTTATAATCTTATCATACAATAAGAGTGAAAGCATACCGATCTATACGACCGTAGGCTACCTGCTTCACATTTGCGCCAGTAATAGTCCTCCAAAATTATGTGTCTTCATTTACACGGCAGAAAATGAAAGCAAAATATCTGTCGAAACATTGATTGTCTTCATTATAAAACGATATTTAAAACTTCCATTGTAGCATCGACACTCGTATGCAATGCATGCATTGTCGCCATGTATAGCTAACAACAGTGTGCGATTCAGGTGGATACATTTTTCGTATTATTATAGCCTATCGAATATTTTGTTGTTTAGTGAATGGAAAATGATTGAAATGTTGTGTGATGGCAAATGGTCAATTCTTACGAAGGGAAATGGTTACAGATAAAAAAAAATTATTGTTTTGTGAATAATTATCAAGCTTGTATATTTACGGGATTATCAAATATAACATCTGTGAACTGAATGACTGTTAAAATGTTAGCTTACAATTAATTAGTTTATTGACTAATCTTTGACTACTTTTAATCTTGTAGACCGACATGAAGGGGATTAAAATGTCCATACGCAGTGGAATGGTAAATAACGTTTATTCAACATTTTTTCATGCCTAAATTATTTAGGACAAGAAACTTGATTAATATTTGATTCGCACTTACGTCGTTTTTGTTTAGCAAACTGTGATGCGATACCGTTTATCATATTCCCTGGTATATAGTTATGGGTTGCACATTACAATATGTAAGGCCAGACCAATTTGTTTTGGGGAAAGACTTATTTAAAAAAAACAAAAGTAATTGGTTGTGCTGTTAAAACCTTCTAGTTCCAAATTTTTAAGTTTTGAAATTTTAAACAAAACATTTTTCACATGATTCAAATGACTATTTTCTTATTATAGCCTTAAGAAACAGAAAATCAAATAAGTGTGACCTAACTATGAATTTTGGTCTATAGTTAAAAATATAACTTACTAAACATCATGATAATTAGCATCTTTACTTTCTGGCCAGCTAGTTAAACTATCGTGACTAAAAAACCTCTTTACTGTTCTTCCTGTTGACTGAAATCAAAAATATTGAATTCAAAATCTTGGTCAAGGATATTTCAATGGATTTTATATGTTGATTTGTTTTGTGGTTTGACAATTTTACATCTTTGGGATAAAGTCAGTGTTGGAAAATAACCAATTTTGTGTTTCATTATCAACACAGCTAACCAAAAGCTTAAATTAGTGAAATAGCCAATTATGACTAAATTGTTTTTTCAAAGCAAACATTCAAATGAATAGATCTAACCCCATCACTAATCTAAATAACATATCAGATTAACCCAATTTACAACTATTGTCAAACCTAATCAGTTTATGTTCTTTAAATGGCATTTAGAAACTGGATAGAGTAACAACAAAACACATACTTATGGAAAACAGCTACTAGTGTATTTAAGGCGATGTTTCGTAGAGTATTCTCTCAACGTTATCAACGTTTTACTGCATTAGCTTGATAACGTTGAGAGAATACTCTACGAAACGTGGCCTTAAATACACTAGTAGCTGTTTTCCATAAGTATGTGTTTTGTTGTTACTAATCAGTTTAGTGCTTTTACATACATAAATGTTACCTTAATTGATACTAAGGTTTTAGTTTCATTGAACAATGAATGACTAACTAACTAGGTCCCTAACTTTGGTCTATTTTTATTTCAATAATCATTGGCCACAGGCTTCTTTACAAGTGGAAGTAAACAACAGTACCCAGTGAAAACTCATGAGGTTAGGTATGCACAAATTTGAGATTAAAAATACTTTTACACTTTTTGTTTCAAACTATATCCAAATAGGCCGGAAGCCCTGCATTATGTGAGTGCTATGTGTATTAAGTGGGAACTTTGTTACATCCATATAAATATAAACCTGGTACCTAGAATAAAGTAAAACTATTTATCAAAAGATTTATTGAATCATTTTACCTTTTTCCGAACTGGAGACATTTTATCATTGACTGCTGTACCATCTGCTTGAAAATAACGTAGAAATTCTACAGCATCCAAAGATGTTCCACCTTCAATTAATAATTTGAAAATTTCGTACTATGCAAATGGATGATTGTATATTTCGTTTGAGAGATAGACTACACTTTAATTTTCTAATTCTAAATGTAACATCATCATATACCACATGAATAACTGATGTTTTCACGATTGAGTAAATGCACCAGGGATCAATTCTCTCAAGCACAAATAAATAAATTTGACAGAACAGGAATGTTGAATCACAATTTCATGGTGCAGTGTTATGGTACAAAATGTGGCTAGGGTCGGTACAAGTTCTACAATTCAGGCAAAAATGCAACGATATGCCACCTAAACACTAGGAATGCGCCTCTGCATCAATTCAAGGGGACAGCATCATTCCCGAAAATTTTGAATGCCAACGTCCTACCATCCTGAGACAGGCTGATCACTTCCAGGCCTGACAAAGACAAGCAGATTATCTGACATGTCGCCATTAATTTCTTGAAACAAAACATGGTAGTGCTTGAATGGCCAACCCTCTCTCCTCTGTAACCAATCAAAAAGTTGGAGGACAATGTTGGATATTGTCTCTCCCAGGCTCCCCAACAACATGTGTTTTTTTTTTTTTTTTTTTTTTTGGGGGGGCAGCTCTTTATTTAAATCTTACATATTGTATCTTTAAATTATCTGAATCAATCAAAGATAGTACATAATACAGTAATCACTCACTTTCTTGAGGGTAGAAAGGTGAAGATAATGGCATACTATCAGATGATTTAAACCTTCGAATTGTTTTCTGTTTAGATTCATAATACTGTAAAGCTAATCTCTCTGGCCACATTACTGGGTCTATATCTAAATCTGAAATTGAAACACAGAATGGCACCATTTATTTAAGACTCGACAGTAAACTTGGGTACCGTATATATACATACAACTTTTGTTTTACTTCTCTGAACAAACCACTCAGATAGGAAACATACATGTCTGGGTTTTAAATCCAATGTACACTGCCAAAAGGATAGATGTGAAACTGGAACAATACCACTAAATACTCAGTAAACAGATCAAACTGTAGTATACTTGGTCGTAAGTTCTGAACCAAAGTGAGTTGGACTCAGATCAGATTAAGTATGCTTCATTTAAAACTTTGGTAGTGTCAACAAAAACATATCCTTGTTATTTCAGTATTTTTATTAATGTTTAGTATATAACCAGGTTCCCATAAGCCAAATGTCCGCCAAATTAGATATTCAGTAGCCAATTTTAAATACGATTAATCTTTATAACTTCTAATCTGTCTGGAAAAATTTGGCCTGGGACCCATAAAATGCATCCTTTTTTGTAGGGCAATATTTTGTTCATCATATTTTCAATTTTAATATAGTGTAAATGTTTAACCTGAATTGATGTCGATACAAGTGATATCATGTGTCTTAATTTCTTCATGACGTTGATATGTATGAAATAATGATGTTATAAATTGTCTCTGTGTTGATTCTAGAAATGATAACAGATGATGTTGACTTATAACTGTTGATAAATTCTTCTCTTCTCTTTCATCTACAGAAATAAAAATGTTAATAATAATAGACAAATGTAACATAAAATCAAACAAACTTCAAGGTAGTTACAAAAAAACTTTTGTTGAACTTCTAGGCGAAAAGGTCCAATGAAAATAGCAATGGGATGACAATTCCAGGTATGTCACTAAGTTTAAGCTATTTTAATTAAAAATTGAAGAAATGGCAGGCAAATTCCTTGTCGGGGTGTCACCTGGAACAGACAGTAAATATTTCTTTTAAACAAAATTGTTATCTATATTAATATGATGATACCTTAGAGTTTTTATAGAGCTACATTTTTATAACAAAGCTTATTAAGCTATAGGCCTAAATGTATAAAAGTTTATACAGGGTGCTGATATTTTTACATCAAATAAAGTCTAGAAATTTTTCATGATTTTAGAAAACAGACTGAAAATAAAAGATTATATTCAATGAGAAGGAATATACTAAAGTAAATGTACTGTTTGGGACCTGAGGCATAATTAACTCAAATTCATATTAACTGAAAGGAAATCCATTTCAAAAACATTAAGTGTGTTTGCTCTAGTTTTTCAGTTCTTGATAGCTTCTTATTACCTACACTTGAAAGAAAACAGAAACTCAAAACACTCTTTTGATTATTGACTTTCTTAAAAATTAAACTACATACATGAAAAATATATTACTCCCTGTATTGACTTAGACATAATAGTGATTTTGGTGCAAGTGCAAAAGAAAATTTAAGGTGACTGAGTAATCTTAATAGTAAGTGCAGGAGAAGTGCACTAGATGCAAAACAAAACCAATAAGATAGCCTGCGAACCAGACAAACGACACAGACATTGCAAGAAATATACAACAAATTTCAAATGAAGTGAATGGATCCAGGGGCCAGCTGTAAGGCTACAGTCTTCACTCAGCACAAAAAAACTAAATAATTTACAAGAAAGACGTACTGCGACCAATCTTGATGGTAATACAAATTGGCAGCAAATGTTCGATATGCAAATGTTAATGTCATTTTGAAGGAATTTGTACAAGACATGTTCAAGTTATGGCTAGTGGATGGGATCTTATTATTACCGGGTATATTTTACAGGAATCATGTTGTTTAAGGATGCATTATGTAAGATTTAGGTAAAGAGCTGGGCATTCTGGCTATATTATAATAGTTCAAAAATACATAATGAATTTATGAACAAGCCAACAGTGAGGTTGATGTCCACCGCCGAAATAAAAAAAAAACCAAGCCAACAGATGACACATATTAATTAATTTCACATTTATGTTCACTATTAAACTCGATCAGGTTTTGAAGTACCTAGTCGTGAGTGAAACTGTACACTAAGTTTTATCACTCCAAAGAAATTGCTTAGCTCTGCTTAGCTTTATTAATGGGAATATTAATCATTGAACTTAGTCAAGACATTTGCCTAATGAACATCTATACCTAATTAAAAAGCAGAATTGTTATTTTCCAAAGTCTTGACCAATCAAATTGCTTAGCCTAAGCAGAAAATTCTCATCATCGAACTTAGTCACTGTATTGATATAATGAATCTATACTCAGAGTTTCATCGTTTTCACCCAATTAGAACCAAAGTTATTGTGTTCCAAAGTCTCAACTAATCAAATTGCTCCTCTCTGTCAAGGCATTCACGTAATAGACACCTACACCAATTTTGAACATTCTACCTCAATTAGAAGGAGAGTTATTGTGTTCCAAAGTTTCAAAAGATCAGATTGAAGTCTCTACTTTGCCTAAGTAGAAAATGTTCAGCATCAGCCTTATTAAGGTATTGATGTAATAAAACTATACACAAAGTTTCACCACTATCACATAATTAGAATCAAAGTTGTTGAGCTCCAAGGTCTCGACCAATCAAATCGCTTATAGCTTTGCTTACCCTGAGCCGAAAATGCTTTCATAATCAAACTTAGTCAAGATATTGATGTGATGAAACTATAGATAAGGTTTCACCACTCTCACTTAACTAAAAGCAAAGTTACTGTGTCCCAAATTATCAACCAATCAAATTGCTTATCTCTGCTTACCATAAGCAGAAAAGGCTCATCTTCGCACTCTATCAAGGCATTGACCTCATAAACACCTACACCAAGTTTGAACATTCTAGCTCAATCAGGAGGAGAGTTATTGTGTTCCAAAGTCTCGGCCAATCAAATAGCTTATCGCTCTGCTTATCCTGAACAGAAAATGCTCAATATCGAACTTAGTCAAGGTATTGATGTAATGAAATTATACACCAAGTTTCATCACTCTCACTTAATTTGAACTAAAGTTATCGTGTACCAAAGCATCAACCAATCAAATTGCTTATCTCTACTAACCCTAAGCAATTAGAAAGAGTTATTGTGTCCCAAAAAGTGTGACGGACAGACGGGTGGGTGGACAGACAGACAAACAGGCAGACAGACGAACCCATTTTAATAGTCCCCTGTGACGGACGGACGGACGGACGACAGACAGACAGACAGACAGACGGACCTATTTTAATAGTCCCCTGCTTTCTTCGAAAGGCGGGGGACAAAAAAGACCTGCAGGCTGCAATAGACAGATTTAACTAGCTCTTACATAAAGCATTATACAAAGGATTCATGTTGTTTAACTACTTCATTAACGATTGTAAAAGAAAAATAAGAAAACATCAAATTCTGTACATACCTATCCATTCTTTTAACAGACCAACTTGTATTTGATTCAAATGATCATGAAGTAAAGTTAAATCTAGATTATTTATACAGGGCAAACTAGAAAGAAAATCTGTCTTCATATCACTATCACTTGTCACAGATTCAGATTTTTCTAAAACAGTCAATAAGTTTTTATTTATTTCTTTAGGTGATTTAAGTACAGTTAGTTTTAATGGTGCCATATCATGTTCATCTTTACCAGGGTGTTTGGTCACAATAAAATGAAGATATTGAAATCCAGGTAAATGCTCTTCTTCAGGTTCTGAAAATAATATGAAGAGAAAAAAGATGTGTTAAAATTTATAGAATAGTTCATTATGAGACAAACAATACTAATCTTTTAATACAGTTGTTGAACACTGGAGTTTACAACTTTATCTATGTAACACTGGATGAGTTTTTAAACCTAAGCACCACCTCTTACTCTATTTAGATGCAGAAGTCACAGAGTTCCTATAGAACCAGAAATCTTGAAAATAAAAAAACAAGTAGGATAGAATTTGTATATTATGTTACTTAAAGGAGCTAAGCTGCTAATATTTGGGACCTAGAAAATGACACAAATGGGTCGCAACGCATGCAATAATGTAATATGAATGTAATATGAAATGAAATGAAATGAAATGGGGTTTAACGTCCTACTGTTCTGCTCCTAACCTGGGCTAATGAAGACGGGCATACGCCAGTGTGCTATGAGGGAAATTTTGCCCGGGCAGCAGCACTACAGCCTACTCTTATATCGAATTCCAACTGCCAAGGGATCTTTTACGTGCACGCCAATGTGTACACGGGACCTCAGTTTTCCGTCCCATCCGAACGACTAGACAGCTTTCCTTGTCAGCCCCTCCGTCCTGCATCACTGACAAGGGAGAACCACGCCGGAAAAGAATGTAATATGAATGTAATTTCTAATCAGTTAGGTTCGGCGAAATACCCCAGTATTCTCAATCGAATTTCAATCTCTAGCGTCTGGTTTTTCCATTCTACGCCGATAGTATTTATTTGGCATGCTCTTCCAGATAAGAATATAGCGTTACCGTTTGACATGACTTGTGGAATATGCCTAGCCTCGTTTTTCGAGTCCCTTATTACAAATAGCGCTGAAACGCATTATGGTACACGATTCGTGTACCAATTGTAAAATGTTTATTTTGTCTTAAATATTGGGTATCAGAAGCCCATCTTTTCCCGGTAAGATCACAACATCAATGTTGATTTAAAGCGACAAATAAATCGTGTTTTCAATGTCGAAGATTTTGGATGATATTGAGTTAGAGATATAGCTACTTTAAATACTTGAATTAGTTGAGTTTCATAATTAAGTTAGAGATATAGCTACTTTAAATACTTGAATTAGTTGAGTTTCATAATTTGTTTTTTTGCATATTAAAACCAGAAGAAAATTACTTGACGGTAAATATACACCCATCCAACAACATCTATTAATATGTGAAGTAATAGCACCGGTAAACAGTGAGTAAAACTGTGTAAATATATAATCTCTGTGTTACTGAAGACTGAAACACTTCTAAACACTTTTTAAACTTGGATGTGTTCCAAAATCAATGTTTAACTTATTTTAACTAAATCTAACAGGTTCCTAGTTTTTAAAGCTAGATCTGACAAGCAATACTTCAGATCTATCAAGTCAACAGTGAGTTTGATTTCACCTGCATCAATGCCAGAATAAATAGACGATACCCATTGATCTTTTCATAAAGCATTGAGTAATCAATTTGTTTATCACTCTGACTAGCCTGACAAGAAAATACACATCGTGGAGCTTAAGGGCGTTGAGTAGTCTAAGATACGCACTAACTTTTCAATACCAATCTTATTAAGACTTTGCACACTTGTTCCATGTGTAAAATAACCCAGAGGACACATAACAGTCCGACCGTTTGTTGTGTAATAATGGAGGTACAAGCGGAAAGAAAAAAACTATTTATAGCAAACAAGGAGGTTTCCCCGACCTTGATCAGTTCTTGAATAAATTATGACATCGTACACACCATTCACGTCATCCGCTGTAAACAATCATGGCCATATCCAGCAGCAGTTTCACACTGGATCATTGGCGTCTATCTATATATGATGTCAAAAGAGAATTACCGCCAAGACACGATTATCCAGGTCTACCATCGTCACTGGAACATGGCTGAATTTCATTTTTTGATGGTCAAAGACTACCATTTTTGAATGTATAAAATGATTTTTAGATCGGTGGAGTAGTGCACTGAAGTAAATATTTACTTTTTACGTCCGAATTGTTGTATTTTAGAAGTTGTTGTGGACATTTGAAGGTAAATAATGAATAAAGATTTTAAAATAGTTTGAGATGATATTTTACAACGTTTTTGTTGTCGAAATGTCGCTTATAACCTGTACTTTTAATCTACTGGGGGGGGGGGGGGATTATCGATAAATCTTTATAGCATGTACTAATAGAACTTCCAAGAAAACTCATTGTTTTTTGGTGTTTCCATGGATACCAGACAAACCACAGCCTATAGCCGAAAATTGTCCAGTGGCTTTTTTGGACTTGCAATTGGCATTGTTATGCCAAATTTCATGAAAATCCATGCAGGCATAACTGAGAAAATTTGACTATTGTTGTCATCAACACCCTTTATTATCATGTTTTTGGGCCAAGTTTGGAACATAGATGGTAAATAAAATTGGTATTTTTTTGGTGATTTTAATATGTAGTTTATCACCCCAAATAACAAAAAATGTCATGTTAACAAAAATTACAGTGCTAGTTTACAATGTGCATTTTACACTGCTCAACGCCCTTAATCAAGGAAGTGATGTAATGAAACTGTGCCACTCTGTCAATTAGAATCAAAGCATTGTGTTCCAAAGCTTCAATAAATCAAACTGCTTATCTCTGCTTAGCCTTGTAGAAAATACTCATCGTTGAACTCTGCTAAGCCTCAGCAGAAAATGTTAATTATCGAACTCAGTCAAGACATTCACCTCATGAACATCTACACCAAGTTTCAATATTCTACCTCAATCAAAAGCAGAGTTAACGTGTTCCAAAAATTTGTGACTGACAGATAGACAAACTCTTCAATGAAGGCAGGGAAGAAAAATAATACTGAGTTAAAAATTCCATCATCAATATAATTCAAACTTTGAATTATCTTGATGATGGAGTCTTTTAACTCGGAGGCTAAGAGAACATTTGAGGAAATATTACCTTGAACACATGTTATGTCATTCATTATAGCTTCTTTCCAAAACGATGTCTTCAAATGTTTTGAACCACAAGTTGGTATATCTGTTGATTTATATGTAGCTATTCGTCCTACTAATGCTGTCTGTAACAAATGAAAGGAAATTGTATTTAATATTCGACTTTTCTACAACAACTGGGCTAATGAAGCTAGGCATACGCAATGCTGTGTGCTACATGGGAAAGTTTGATGGATCGTGACATTTCCACCTGCTTTGTCGAATTCCAACCGTTAAAGATTCTTTTATGTGCATGCCTACGTGTACACAGAACCTTGATTTTCTGTACCAATGACAGTCAAAATTCTGACTTGAAAATCATGAGGAACTTTCTCTGCCCACACCAGAATTGACCCTTGGTTAAGCAATCAGTGTCAAGCACCTTATTGACTGAGCTAAGAAGATTTATATTTATGTAAAATAAAATAATGTACACTTAATTATATATCAACCCCAATATATTAAACTGGTGATTTCTATTAGAATATGATGATGAATACCATAAAATGATTACCCCAGCATGACGATTATGTACATCTTGTAGAAATATTCTAGAAGCCATATTCTCTATGTTCATATGTCTGTATTTTAATTAAAGATTTAATAAAAATAAAGAAGCACTAATCTTTTAAACTGTACATTAAAATTACATGTTACAATATTGTTATAAAATATATTTATAACTTTGAGCTTCAATAGTATGGTGTAGTAGAATAGTTGGTACAGCCATGTCAAGAGGTATATTTGTAAAGTATGAGAGGTTTAACACAAGGTACAATTTTATGGATACACAATTACTGAGTTTGATACTAAGCGATGTTTTGACGAGGATACTCTCGTCTTTATCAAGCAAATGATACAAATATGTGAATTATGGGCAAATATATATACAGAATATGCAACAAAGATAATAAATTGTTGCATAATCTGATATACTTGCCCTCTGATTTCACAATCTGGTTCATTAGTCTGGTAGCCACATCTCCATATTGATGACGTATATCTTCTTTGATTGGCATTTAGTAATTGAACATATTAACACAAGGTACAATTTTATGGATACACAATTATTGAGTTTGATACTAAGCGACGTTTCGACGAGGATACTCTTGTCTTTATGTGGGCGTATAAAAACAGCAGTGCATTTCCGCAGTTTTGTATTGGTTCTGATGAATATCCCCTACTTTTTTTTGAAGAGTATATTTGCCTACTATTAACATACCTGTATCATTTGCTTGATAAAGACGAGAGTATCCTCGTCGAGACGTCACTTAGTATCAAACTCAGTAATTGTGTATCCATAAAATTGTACCTTGTGTTAATATGTTCAATTACTAAATGCCAATCAAAGAAGATATGAGAGGTTTGTGGCTTACCCACATATAAAGTCCTCTGTGCTAACACACATTGCTTGTGCCATTGATGTTTCACACAAATATACGGTCTCCCATTAGGAATTTATTTGTACCTACACTCTTTAGAAGGGTTTACGACTTTTCTTCCAATATCCAAGGTTATCTCCACCTCTTTGCCCATGAACAAAAAGGATACAAATTTAAGGTGAGTGGTGTCAGTAAAAATGTAGGTATAGTGGACATATCAACATCATCTAATATTTCAATCATTCTACCAAACTGGAAGGTATCTTTGTTTTTTGTTGTTATAGGTTGACCAGAGTGATGAAAACATAAACGTTTCTCTAAACACTCAATATCATCACATGATAAATTAAATCCAGCGAATTGGTAGCCTTTATCTTCCTGTAGAAAATAAAAAAGGAACATGACCAGCAAAAAAAACCCAGATCATTACTTCATGTGAGTGTGAAATCACTTATGCTTGGAATGATCGATATGAATAATTTGTGGCATATCGCTTTGTTTATAAATTATTTTATATCACATTCAATTACTTAAGCCAGGTTCTTTTTACTAAAAAATATCATTCTTAATCAATTATTTATAGGACTCATAATTTTAAAACTGATTTGATTCACCTGTACACATTTGATTAAACTACTATAAAATGATATATTCTTAAATCTTCAAACTATTTTGATGTTTAATTTAGTTTGTGTGTCTTGTTTGCATATAAGTCTTGAGGGCCTGTCTTTATTAGAAAAGTTGGACATTTCATTTCATTTGTGGGTTTTGTTTTTGTGTGGTTCGATTTTTCTGTACTTACTATTACAATGTCCATGCATCTTGAGTGTTATTAAAGATACATTATGGGAGATTAGATAAAGAGTTGACAGTTCTCGCTGTAATAGTTAAAAACTAGATAATGTAAAGGTAATTTGTTGAAAATTTCAGTCATATTGGTCCACTATGAACCGAGATATCAGCTTTGTAAATTTCTGCCTAGCCCCGTTCATCATTACTAAAGTTAGTACGTTAAAAAGCATAGTCTCGATTATCCATTGTTTTGATTTAATTATCAATGAGCGTTTGCAGCATATAGGATTCTAATCCAGTCAATATCAAAGGCTAGCCTTGACATCGAGAGTTGATTATGGTCTGGATAAGTTAATTAATGTCTAATTAATAATTTAGATAAGATTTCAGGCCTAAAGAAAGACCTGCGATAGGCGGATTTAGCTCTTGCATAATGTATGTTTAAGTATTAAATTCTCTAAAGATAGAGATGGATAGTTTCAGGACATTGCAAAATTTTCCTATTCTTAAATAGCATTTTATATAAATATACTGGTACCTACGTATACACTCCTACTTTTAGTTACTTACTCCGTTATATAGTTTATTATTAATTAAATACCAGTTACAGTTGACATCTGTTATTATCATGTATAGTTCACACAACTTACTTTATTTACTATTCATTTATAAAATGACAGGTTTGTTTTTTAATTCTTTCATTACAGTACTATTGTATATTCTATTGATCAATAATAATCAAGACAGACTGTCCCATGCATTACGATTTTGGGTTATATTATTGCACTTTAAATGTTTATAACTTGTTAAATACAACATGGCTATTTATATAGTGACAATAAATTGGAGAAACTAAGTTAAGGCTGGTCATATATATAAATACTGTGGTATATAGGTATAATTATTGATAAATCTGGAAATATTTTTATGGTGGGGCACCTTATCAAAGGTTTGGATTTATTTTATGTGCAATTCCAACACCTAGATTTTTCTTATTACAAAACAGAAGATAATTATCAAAGCAGTGAACATCTTACTATTTTATTCATTACTGTTACTTTTCCCGACCAAATCACAGACTCTTCTTCATCTAGTTTCATTTCATCAATGATATCAGCTTCCAGGAATTGTGTCAATGACAATACAGATTCTGTCAAACAATCACTTGTCGTTACAAAAGTTGGTTTCACATTGTGCCAATGCTTCAGACGATATAAAGCACCATACAATCCTAAATGACTGCAATTAAAAAATGGTATTTTTTAGCATCACCTCTAAAGAAATATTTTAAAAAGAAAGCATATCGTCAATGTTTTTCTACATTTTGTTTAACTTATACTTAGTATACACACACTTTTTAATAATATAAATGAACCTTTGATGACATCACTTATATAAAACAGGCCTATCAGAATCCAAATTGAATGGAGCAGTGCCATATTTCACAGGGTATCCTTTGATAAAACTAGGTTTAAGCATGCAAAGATCTTGTTTCCTTTTAATATTGGCATAAATCGGACCATAATATCATGGATTATGGTCCCTGATTGTACGAAAAATTGCATCATAATTATTATCAGATTTAAAACCAAATTCATCTGAGACTAATCTTGTATACTTTTATCACTAAATGATCAATATACACAGACACACAAACCTTATCAACTTCCTTTCAATATTTTGGGTTTTATATGTTGGTAAAGAAATATAGAACAAACCTGTTAAAATCTACATCCTCTGGTAAAATTAAATAACACTTGACAGGTTCTCCTTAAATGGTAAAACAATCATATAATATAATATTGGATTAGGAAATGAAATGAAATGAAATGGGGTTTAACGTCCTACTGTTCTGCTCCTAACCTGGGCTAATGAAGACGGGCATACGCCATACAGTGTGCTATGAGGGAAATTTTGCCCGGACAGCGGCACTACGGCCTACTCTTATATCGAATTCCAACTGCCAAGGGATCTTTTACGTGCACGCCAATGAGTACACGGGACCTCGGTTTTTCGTCCCATCCGAACGACTAGACAACTTTCCTTGTCAGGCCCTCCGTCCTGCATCACTGACAAGGGAGAACCACGCCGGAAAATCTGGATGAACTTTCTCGGCCAATGCAGGGATCGAACACCCGACCTCCAGGCTAGCAAGCTAGCGTCTTACCCACTTAGCCACGTGATCCCCTATTGGATTAGGCTAACATTCTATAAAATTATATCATGAAAAGTTTCCTCATGTATTTTCTGGGAAATCCTAGCAACAAAATAGGTCAAATCAATGTTATATGCCCACACTGAAATTTGGTCATATATTGTTGTCACAAATCCTGTCACCGACAATTGCTTGTGGGTGCTCCAGAGCCCATCATAAGTTTAGTATCCTAATCATTCTTTAAATATGAAAACAAAATTACCTGAATATGCCAAGGAATCTGCCATACAATTGATTGCCTCTGCCAAAGTGCATGATAATATCTCGCTAAAAATAGAAATATCTTTAGTTATTATTATAGTTCATAACCAGCTGAGACTACAATGAACAATTATATATGATCTGTCTTTATTTTATTCATATTTTATACTAATTTGTCCAGAGACAGTCATGGCCAGACCCAGACACTTGCTTTGTTTTCCAGTTTATGTACAATGTCTGTGTTTTGTGGTTTATGTGTTTTGTCGGAGAGAGAGGGGAGTGGAGGGAGATGTGTGTTGTTAATTACGGTTAGGGTTACTTAGTTATTGGTCAGTGCAGAAAAGTAGGATGTTAAAACCCAATTCAATTCATACTTCTGCAGCAGGTTTTTTTGCCCATGCCATTCATCTTTAGAAAACCAAGTTATATTATCACCATCTAGTGGCACGCTCTGTAAAAAAAAAAGAATGAAAAAATATATATTGCCAGTCAACAAAATGTACATCCACTAGCAACTCTGTTTAAAGGAAACTAAGGCACTTTCTAAAATTTACTACAAAAAGTTTCTTGTAGATCACGGAGATGAATAGTTACATATACCTACAAAAGTACAAAAAAAACTCCTGGAATCAGAAGTGGTTACTTGTGTTCCAGAACGATTAATAATATTCAACTTTGATGTTCCAAATCTGTCACTATTTACAGCCAAGTGTTGAACTAGTTTGGACTGGGTTATCTCTACCAGAGTTCTCACATTTCATATGAATTGTGTACAGTGGAATAATTTTATTACCTTGTCAAAGTTTTCATCTGTAATAATCAACGAAAACAAAACTGATTTGTTACATAACATAAAATAATTTTCAACCAACTGCTGAAAATATTCATCTTCTGTAAGATAAAGAAATCACTTTTAGAAATATACATGTCCAGTAAAGAGACATGTCAAAAAACTAAATTATTACGTATACATCAGTATTAGTACTGGTACCATTCATCACAAAGCCCTAAATCTCCCACTCATTTATAGTCAATAAAATATCTCTTATAAAAAAAGTCCTACATAGCTGTCTTAATCTGGTAATCTAAATTTGGTCATAACTTTGGGTATCTCCAAAATATTCCTTTCGCCTGCAGCTAATTCGTAGGGAAACTTGGCATGCAGATCTATTTCAATACATGGGTGTATATGGTACTTCTGAATATCTTTCGTCGGTCTATGACTCATTAAGTTTTCCTCAGACAATCATGTACAGTATAATCTTGCCAGCCTATGACAGTGTATTAGCAGCAGTCATTTCGCCATCGAGGAGAGATCCTGGATTGAGTTTCCTTACGAGCATTTCCTGGCTGGAATTAGAGACATCATTGGGCATCCACATGTGAGACATGTCCTCCATTTATTACTTATAATTATGTTTTTCCACTTTTCAGACCCAGATTAATGGTGTTTTGTTCTTAATCATTTATACTAATCACTTTTGAATTTTGGGGCAAGAATTTAGAATATGTCCACAATCAGCCATATTACACCTTAACATCTAGATAAGAAACTTCTTCTCACCACACTATACAGTTTTACCTGGCAGAGTAGGATGGAGATCAGATCGTATTCCATCTTCAAAACAACGACTGATTATTGTTATTTATTACATTTCTGCCATATCCAACTTCAATTAAGCATTTTTTATAAATCGAATCAACAATAGCTGGCACTGATTGGCTAAATATATTTCATGTACAACAGCTAATCAAAATACGGGAGCAGTATTAACCCGTTACAAGTTGCACCGTAATTATAAATGTCTGTATCAATTTGGATAAATGAAAGTAGTTTCACTATATTGGGCTGCAAATGTTTTAATAAGTCCTAATAGTATCAAATTAATTTATTTTAAGATGTTACATGCATTAATAAAGAAATTAAGTTTGCCAGGAGAAACTAAAGGCACCCAAGCCAATCGCAGCTAAAAACAATTAGCACATCAGAATACCTCATCATTTTTAGCTGCGTTCTCGTAGTTAGTTAAAGGAGGCAAGTCTCTAACCCAATATCATCCACAGTCCTCGACATTGCAAACACGACTTATTCGTCAATTCAAATCAACATTGATGTTGTTATCTTACCGTGAAAAGTTGGGCTTCTGATATCCAATATTTAAGACAAAATGAAAATTTTAAAATTGGCACACAAATCACGTGCCAGAATGCTTTAAAGTGCCATTTGTAATGAAGCGGCTCGATGAATGAGCAGTAAGTTCTTGTAGGATTCAAGACTTGTTACAGATGTCATTTTGGTGTGTAAAGCATTCCACTCTTTGATAGTCCGTGGATAGAATTTAGAAAGACTCTTTTCTGATGGTGGTATTGCACTGATGTAGTTTGAAAGAGTTGGTATTTATTTTTCTGGTGAATCTATCTGGAATTAAGTGTTTGTGTTTTGCATCTATGTTGACTACTTGGTTGGCTATTTTCGTCTTTCTTCTAATTAGGGTAACTTAATCTGTTTGATCATCGAGCCCACAGATGATTAGATAACAAATCTTATCTCTCAAACCTCCCTGTTTCAAGATAAAAGTTGATCCTATTAACTTCAATGTAGCACATGCGGGAATGATTCGCATCCAGCATTTGTAAACAAAATTGACAATAGTTTTAATCAAAACAACGATTGATTATTGTTATTTATAATATTTCTGCCACACCCAACTACAATTAAGCATATAATCTTACCTGAAACAGGTACAAATCGTCGTTTTTAAAAACGAGGCGTTAAGCTGTTACTAAGACTGCCATCTTTTTAAACGATACGCTGTCATCATGAAGGCGGGGCTAAATATAAGGCTTTTATAACAGTCAATCAAAAGGGCAATCTAAAGCACTGTAACTATGAATGGATTTCGATGGCGGTGAATGTCAGACAAAAACAACGCTTCATTAATTTAAACGCGAATAGGTGGAGTTAGGCGCCAGTTGTGCCACTACATTGGCCTCTGTAAGTTTCATAATAGCATAAACTTATCTTATTTTAAAGATGTTACATGCATTAACAAAGAAATTGAGTTTGCCACTTGGAACTAAAGGCATCCAATCGTAGCTAAAAACAAACACATCAGTATATCGCAACGCTTTTAGCTACGTTCTCTTAGCTAACCGATGATGTGTTGTGGTACCGGTTAGTGATCGTATCCTGCTGATCTTCTCTGCACCATTTCTGTAGGTATGGATCCCAAACTGAACTCACATACTCCAATGTCGATCTTACTCAGTTTATTATATAGGCTTTTTTCTCTATGTTGCTGTTGGATATGTTAAGGTTTTGTTTTAAAAACCCAACTGTTCTATTTGCCTTTTGGCAGATGTTGTCAATATGGCTATCCCATTTTAGGTTGGATGTAACGGTTATGCCAAGATATTTAGCTGCTGTTACATGCTCTAAAGTTCTTATTAACTTGGCAATTGTCAAGGAGTAGGGTTGCCTGTCCAACCTAGTGGGTTTTCTTCGGGTCCTCCGGTTTCCTCACGCTGCTAAAGACCCCTACGGCCCTACACGCAAGCGAATTATTGAAATAAAATTAAACCATGTTAGTCCCAAAATGACCTAGTCTGTGTCAAGTGGACGTTAAACTCCATTTCTCTCTCTCTTTACTTGAGAAGGCATGTTCATGATGTTGAAATTGAGGCATTTAGTATATTCGCCTTATCTATTGGATCATTATATTAAAGTAACAATTTCATATTTTCTAAGAAAGTCAAAACATAATTATTTCTATGTAATTTGCTCAATAGGTTGTCAACTCACTATTATATGATCATAGGTGTTATTCTCAAACTTAAAACTCATTTACACCAGAAATAATAACACAATTACCTTCCATTTACCTCCCTTGTTTTCTATTCTCCAACATGGAGTAGTTATCTTCAAACGTTGGAATTTGAAGATGAAAATGATATTTTTGCCAATTTCTCAACTGCCAATAGTGAATTATAGGATTAATAGGATTATTCTTTAACAATGTAGGACTGTTTATAGATACCATCTATTTTAAGGCTTTATTTTAATAAATTTTAAAAATATAGATCTAACTTAAAAATATGAAATTGCAACTTTAAAAAGTACCCCTCTGTTGATTTCAGTGGTGGTATGTAGTTACCATCTGATTTAATGAATGGATTTGAATTAAACAAGCAGAAGCTTTTAAATTCATCTCCATTCTAATTTCTTATACTTGATTAGGCTATAGTAATAAGATCATGATGATGTTCTGCAGACTATGTGTTGAAAAATGTGAATAAATGGTATCAGGCGTATTCATTACCAGGCTAATTCATTACCGGTAAAATCGGCGTATTCATGACCAGTATATTATAGGGTTGATTGGTCGGTGTATAAAGGTGCTAATTAGTACTCATCAGTGTGGATAGAAGCCTATACGATAATTATTAAATAATGATTGGTGTTTGATGTATTAAAATTGTTTTTTTTTATTATTGAGTTGTTTAAATTATTTAATCTTAAGCTTGAGATTGTAAATCCCGGCTTTGTTATTTTGTATTTTAAACTTCAAACCAATTCCGATGCAAGCTTGGAATTTGTATATATTTCGAATAAAATATGAAACTTTCACCATTTGATATCGATATCTCAGATACATATCAAGTTAACTATAGCCTAATTCCAATGGATCCTTGTATCGCTTGCCGTTCCACCGTGCGTCAGGGGGGTTGGATGGCTGAATGGTTAGCGTGCGCGCGCTGTATCATAAAGTCTGTCATTGAGTCGACTGGCGTGGTTTCGAATCCCCGGTTTCCTCCCACTGCTAAAGACCCCTACGCGCAAGCGAATTATTGAAATAAAATTAAACCGCATGTTAGTCCCGAAATGACCTAGTTTGTGTCGAGTGGACGTTAAACCCCATTTCTCTTTCTCTCTCCACCGTGTGTCCCAGACAAGAAGGTCTTCAGTGTGAAGAGTGTAATCTATGGCAGCATAGAAAATGTACAGGTATGTATTTATAATTTATAATTTGTTAATCCTTCTATTGTCTTGTCTTAATTGATTAATTAACACCCATAGACATTGGCACTGATGATTACTAATTAGCACCTTTATATACCAACCAATCAACCCTATAATATACTGGTCATGAATACGCCGATTTTACCGGTAATGAATTAGCCTGGTAATGAATACGCTAGGATTCGAATAAATACGAAAACATGTGCTGTAATTGTTATTTCTAGATACTAAATTTTAAAAATTCATTAATACTCCTTTTTTTTAAAAAAAAAAAATTATGAGATGAAACAACAAGTGGGATGATACAACCCATGTATGGTGTTTGGGATGAAACGGCCGCGATGAATCAGTCCGAGGTGAAACGGTTTGGGGATGAAAAGTCAAAAGACCTGCTCTCAAATAACAATGCCACCAAACGTAGGGGACACTGGTAGACTTATACTACAATAATTATAGATTTATATAGCCCCCATCCCATCGAGACATCACAATTTTCTTACGTTGTGAGAAAATGAGTACAATCTTCATGCTTGTTTACAAAATATATCAAACTTGAGCCTTGGTCAGTAGGATTTTTGGTTCGGTACAACAAATTTGATGTTAAACAATGTCTGGATATACAAGACTTTAACTTGGCGGGAGAAATGTGTTGCTTCATAATTTAAACGGAAATTTCCAAGGAACGAAATACATTTTTTTTTTCTTTACTTGTACTAAATTAATTGATGAAATGAAATAAATTGAAATAGGGTTTAACGTCCTACTGTTCTGCTTCGACTGGGCTAATGAAGACAGAAAATTAATAGATATTAAAAACAGCTGTATATATAAGCTGACATATGGACTGAGAGTAGACAAAATTAAATTGCTATGATAAACGAGAATGAATGAATGAAATGGAGTTTCATGGCACGTCAGCCCCAACAGGACTATAGGGGCCTATGGTGCCAAACATCTGGTGATTTTTGACCAGACAAATGAAACCATAAATATAGTTATATACATAAATAAAAACAAGCATCACAGTCAATAATATTAAAAAATAAACACAAATAAATATGTCATTATATAAATACCGGTAGTTTAAAAGTAAAAATACGGGATATATTATATATATACAATTAAAATTTATAATAAAAGTTTATCTCTTTTAAAAGTTAAACAATTTTATACAGCTCCGGCTGAGCAATACGTAGTGGCTAAATATGATAAACGAGACCCAAATGGTAGTGCTTCTTTACCGTGTGGACAATGCAATTTATTCATCGGGCATCAAATATTAAATAGCCTATCTTATATCATGTTGCTGACAATTTCTGACTAGAAGAATGGAGAAATTAACTGATACTGGGCTAATTATAGTATTGATACTACAGATCCTATAAGGGGGGTTGGATGGCCGAATGGTTATTATAGCACGTGCGCGCTGGATAAGGTCTGTCATTTAGCATGTTCCGCACAGCCCAATATAACGCCGCGGCACCGGGAGCCCCCCCCCCCCCCCCGCAGGCATATAAATATTGTTTTTGGGGGTCCGGGCGGGACCTTGTTCTTCATCATGCAAAATCATGGGTCACTACGCCCCTGTCATCAGGTCATTTCTGGATAATGCGGGCCCCCCTTTCGTATATAGGCCTACCATCACAACCTATTCGTATTTTCTAGTCATGTTTATTTTCTCCCTTTTTGTTGTTACTGTATCTTATTTGTAAATGTTTCATTTAGGCCTCTTTAGTCTTTAAGCATCGCCTTTGATATAGTGAATAAGGCAGCGTTTATCTCATAAGTGCGTTTGTTACATACTCTTCAAAAAAATAACAGAACACAATTTTTATGGGAAACAATCACTAGTTTTATTCTAATAGCACGACGTTTCGACAAGTATCCTCTTATCGTTATCAAGCACAATGACATTTAGTAAACTTAGATTTAATATATAAGAGTTCATGTTGATGCTTGATAACGATAAGAGGATACTTGTCGAAACGTCGTGCTATTAGAATAAAACTAGTGATTGTTTCCCATAAAAATTGTGTTCTGTTATTGTGTACCCCAATCACTAAATGCCACTTAAAGATTATCTTCAAAAAAAGTAGGGGATATTCAGAAACAATACAAAACTGCAGAAATGCACTGCTGTTTTTATTAGAGGTAACCAGTGTATGTTAATAACAGGCCAATTGCCTACACATGAACATAAACAGTTCATATGGGCGGCTTATCTGACGGCCCCATAGATTTCACTCGCAAAGATATACACTGTCAAAAATGAAAATGGACGTTTTTGATTTTTGTCTTAATAATAAGTAATTGCTCCACCAATCCTCAGACATTCTACAATCCATCGTGGCATGCTCCTAATCAACCGTCCAATCACGATTTGGGCAATCTGACCCACTCCTCTTGCAGTGCCACGGCCAATTCTTGCAGTGTTGTCGGTTGACGTTGACGTCGACGTACACGTCTCCCGATCAAATTAAACGTAACACACTAAAGCAAAGATAAACTAAACAGTAAATCTTATGCAAGAACCAATAGGAAAGCAAACATGGATAGATAAACCAGCACGCGGCAGTTTTCATCAACCCTTCCTTGAAGTGTCAAATTTGACAATGAACCCCTGCTACGGGTATGGCGCTCTTGCGCGTCGCATGTGCAGCTCAGTGGTTTTGTTGGGGCGTTAAGCTCTTCATCTACGGACATACTCTCAAAGCATGTCAAATGTCCATGACTATTTATTATATCGCAACCTGCATAGTTATTTTAATTTCAACATCCCCTACTTTTTTTGAAGAGTATGTATGTTTGGTCTAATGTGATTTTTTAAAATTATATGCTGCTCACCGCCGGCGTTTTCATGCAATCAAAATTTATCTTAAAATAAAAACATTTCTCGGGATTAGCACATTTATTTGTCAGTTCTCGGGAACTTACAATGACATATTTAATTTTTCCTTATGGTCGCTTACAGTGGTTTTTGTAACACTTGTCTTTTTCCACGATTTTAAGCAGTCTCATGTCACACGTTTTGCACGTGCATTCCCTGCACTCTGGCCCTTTAAATACAGATCAAAATTTCAACATTCCTCACATCGGAAAAATGCCACGCCATACACAAGAAAACAGGAACAGAGCTATTGGCATGCTGCACCAGGGGGCTCCACAGGTAGCCGTCGCCAGAAACTTTAATGTGCACCCATCGACCATTGCTCGCCTCAGACCGATGGCCGAATGTATCATAATTTCGTTTCGTTTTTTATAGTTCAAAATTTCGTTTTACGTGTTTCTACTACACTAGGACCTGGAAGAGTTTTTATATAACCTGCGTTTCGGTTGATGCAAGGGATTAGACAATGAAGCGGTCTGTTACGCCGTGTTATTAGCGTACGCTGCACGGAACTATGGGTATTCCACTAGAAACATCAACGCTAATTGGTTAATCAATTGTGTGACGTCATAGGGTCAAAAGCCTTTTTACGACCCCTGGCGCGACCTTCCACTAAAACCGACCAGGGGCCGGTTGCTCAAAACTAAGTTATTTTAACGATCCGTTAAGCTCTAACGGATTGTTATCTTGGTAACGTGTCGTTTGTTAACGGTCCATTAAATTTCTGTTGCTGGAAAGTCAATTTCATTATCCGTTAGCTAACGGATTCATTAAAGTAAATCCAAGAGAAGACTGTTTGTTCATTGGCTGAATTTTAAATTCAATGTAGATGTATAACTACTTCATAGAAGTTAGTATTAACAATAAACTGAAGACAGTGAGACATTTGTGTAGTCTGTTCACAAAATCTGATTAAAGACAAAAAGATAACTGTATAAATATCTTCTTTATGAGTGATCAACAGCTCGCATATATCCTTTGGATACGACGCTTCAGATACCCATTCGCATAGTAAATCTTCATTCCAGCCTTGTATTGTATCGCAAGGTGATCTTGTTCGATCATTTAATGTGCAGCAAAAGATTACCCAGGCAATATGGTAATAAAGAAAGAAACGATTAAAATTCCTCCAGAAAATCTTTCTTCTAATGTCATCTACTGATGTAAGTCGCCTTTCGTCGTACATGGCACAAATCATTATTTCTATTCCAGTAATTACGTCATCAGAAATATCATTTGCCTGTCCCAGCTCTTTAAAAATTGTTAAAAAGTTGGAATTGTCTTGTAAATGAAAAACAGATGGTCATTACCACTGAAAGAATGAAGGCCTAGATATTCCTAGACACTTATATCAAGATTAGTATTGAAAATGTCGAGAATATCCTAGAACTTACTCATCTTCGCATTGCAAATTAATGGAGGCGCTGAAACAAATTGTATTTTGTGTTCTTGCTCGGGCAAAATAGACATCCAAATCGTTCTCCTCGCAAACGATGATCCCAAAATACACATTTTGATCGATAATGAGACGGGCAAAGGTAGAAAATATTGCGGAACGCGACTTACATCAGTAGAGGACGCTAGAAGAAAGATTTTCTGGGTGAAAAAATAACATGGCTGGAATGAAGATTTACAATGTGAACTGGTATCTGAAGCATATCCAAAGGACATATGAGAGCTGTTGGTAAGCAACCAAGAAGATATTTATCTCGCTCATATTATGAACTTTTGATTTTGAATAATCTGATGAAGACTAAGAATAAACTAATATCTAAACACGTCTGATTTACTGTGTTTTTTTTATTTACATTTCCAGATCTCTTGAAAAGTACCATCATAATTTAATATTTTGAATGACCAAATATAGGTACTGAACGAAATGCTAATGAGAAACACTTTTAAGGTCGTTATTGAACCAAATGATTGCTGTCCACAAAGATGCATGTTGCCCCCCTCCCCCCCCCCCCATGAGCACTCATCCCGCCCCCCCCCCTTACACACACAGTCGGAATCTTATACACATATTTGTAGAGATGTTTCATCCAGTTCTAAGAACATCATCATTTAAATCAACACAAGCACACCTTCAACCACCCACCCCACCTCGCCACAAATCAAAACAGTTGTCCAGGGGCATCATATACACTTATTTAGAGATGTAAAATCCTAGAAATCTATGTTTTATTTATATATAACATCATCAACATTTATGTCAACATAATCACATTTTTCCGCAATTGTAGACATAGGACCCCAAATATCTCGAAAACGCTCTCTCAAACGCCTGATCACCACCCAGATTCGGAATCTACGCAAAAAACTGGTCTCGAAAAACTTGGTCTCATAAATTCACAGCTCGGTTGGCGATTCGTCATTACACCTAATTAATAATTTTCGTATTTACACACAACAGTTTAGCGAAATTAAACATATGATACCACAACAATCTGAATCGAAATCGGTCTATGTACAAAATGGTGATATGTGACGAGGGATTTTTGTCGAGAGGTTATACCTCATCGATCCAGATAAGAGCAAAATCCGAATTGCATGCAGTTTATAATCAAATTCCGCACCGGTCAGAACAATGAATCAGCTGATCGTATAAGCCTCAGTCACAGCCGCGAGATTAAACTCACAAAATAACCGTAGTAAAATCTAAAAAAATAACGGCAAGTGGGGTCTAGCGGAGCGAATTTTCTGGAACTGTTTGAGAACTAGACATCCAGAATCAAAATCAGAATTGTGTTATTTCATGAAACGTTGAACTCCGGTTGGAACTTGTATCACTCCACATGATTTCGGACGCTTCATATTGCGGGATGACAAAAGAGAAGAAAACAAAACTATTAAATTCCATATGATAAAGATGACTTCAGCCGCCTCTTGCGGACTTGAAAAGTGAGAAAAGGTCAAACCTCACCCAAGAGAAACTCAAAGCCATTGAAATTGGTTATATATGAAAGTAATAATAAAAGATGAAAGAACAGGTATTATAGAGGTAAACTGAAGCCACAAGCAGTTAATCCTGACAGTAAAAACAAGATGCAGTAAAAGTAAATTTGTAAATAATTAAGGAAATATACAAAAATAAAAACAATAAAAAATATTAAAACTTGAAGGGTAATACTTTATGAATTGTTCTGAGACGATGTAAGCTACATTTTAATGATGCGATCATCATCTTGGAATGTAAATTACTGGGCCCCTGTTTAATTTTGGTTAATGCCTACGTATATTAATTGCTTCATGGGTTCTTCGGTTTGTTTGTTGTAGCAGTTAACTGCGAACTTTTTGTCGTTTGTCCAGTTCACTCCGTGGCGCGGGTTTTCAATAAGGTGTTCGGCAATGGCAGATTGGTTGGTGGGGGTTTTCGACATGTGTTCTTTTATTCTAATGCCTAGGGTCTTTTCGATTCCCCAATGTATGATTCCCCACAGCTGCAAATTACTTGATAAACATACCCTTTTGGGGAGATGGATTTGGTGGGGGTTATCTTCCCATTTGCTTTTATTAATTCTTTGGTTGTCGTGCCTTTGAGATATGTGGTTTCTATTATGTGTTTCTTGTTTTAACAATCTTCTAAAACACCACAAATATATCCACAAAAACGTGCAAAATAACGATCTCAGTACATTGTATTTACAAATACATTTATAGCTAAAAGAACCGTACATAGGTTTTTACCATATAATCCAAACAAACCATTATAATATAAAAGGAAATCAACAGCTGATGGACAGCAGAAACACTTTTACCTTCCATCGTCAAAAATGGCGGGTGCTGCTAAATGTATGTTCTTCATAAGCGTTTGTTCTCTGTTGACGATTACTTGCCGGGCAGTGCCTTACAGCTTTTTTCCCGCTACTCAGTCTCAGCAACGTACTTCATCTTCCACAAATGCTGCCATCTTTGATCTTGTGAAGCAGCTACCAATGAGTTTTTATAACAACTACATATGTAATACATTAGTTTCGGTCAGCTACAACACAGGATATAGTTATAGAAGACCTTATTATTATTATCTGTATTTTAATAGAGGTAAGAGATCCAGCAGATCAGCCATCATCAGAGGTGTTTACCAAGGACTTCTGCCATATTGGGATACCGCAGAACGAAACCAGTTATTCCAAGATGTTACACAGGTCACATTGAGACTGGAAGCAGATCCCTACCATGTTTATTCAGCCGCAGACATTCTGAAGGAAGTATTAAGAGAAAAGTTAGAATCGACAGAAGAAAAGGGTAGTGTAGACGATGTATACCAAACCATGCGGTCTTTGAAAACAATTGGTGCCAACGATTTAAGGAAATGTACATCAGGATTACTTCAACAGTGTTAGTATTCTTTTTCGGTATTGTAACTTGAGGGTCATTATCACCGCTGTCAGATTATCTGGGCTGTGGAAAATTTATAATGTCGGCATAACTTGAATGTGTTCACGTCTACTGACAAGTTTCCAAACAAGTGCTCAGTGTGGAAATTAAATATACACCTATTGACAGAATTTTATTTAAAGGACAATATTGATGTCAGTCATTATCACATATTATGTGATAGAACTAATTAAGCACGTTCCAAATATAATTTTAACACAGAGATCATTGCTACGATAGCTGAGTAATACAGGTTTCCTGAATCGGAAGTGACGAACGCCAAAGGAAAACACGAGTCATACATCTATATAACTGACTGATGTGACGAGTGATAACAGATATACGGCCGGATTTCTGCTTACTAATAATTCCTTCCACGACCAAAAGTTGTTGTGTGAGACTGTGAGAGGATATCTGACAATTCATAAAAAGAATTGACTGCCACTAGATAAGAGAACACGAAAGAAAAACAGAAAAAGTCCGTGCATTACCATGTTTTTATAAGATAAAGAATGAATATAAACAAGGGAATTTACGGACTATTTCTGGGTTTTTTTCGTGTTCTCTTATCTAATGACATTCAATTACTTTATTGAATTGTACAACTTTTGGTCTTGGAAGGAATTATTAGTGAGCAGAAATTCGGCCGTGTATCTGTTATCACTCGTCACATCAGTCAGTTATATAGACGTATGACTCGTGTTTTCCTTTGGCGTTCGTCACTTCCGATTCAGGAAACCTGTATTACTCAGCTATCGTAGCTATGATCTCTGTGTTAAAATTATATTTGGAATGTGTTTAACCAGCTCTATCACATATGTGATAATGACTGGCACCAATCTTGTCCTTTAAGTTTCCATTTCCTTTATCTAGAATCTCTATTTGGTTACAAATCATCAAGCGAAAGACAGCATCCCCACTCTACTAAATAAAACTGTTTACATTATGCCAACACAACTTCTATACCAGCACACCTTAAGCCTACATTTTACTCGACACAATTTCATATCTAGTTTGTTGTCATTGCATATTTGTACCAATTAATTGGTGGTGTGTTGAGATAGTATTTGCACGATAATGTGTGTATTCTATTCATTTAAAATCAATCAATGCATTACATTTACAATCTACCCGGATACTTATATCGTAAATTTGCATTTGAACTCTTGATGTCAATGAGCTCGTTATGAAAATTTACATCAGTGTGTTATCTGTATTACAGCTTGTGGTAGTATCCGCGGTCAGCTTTATTGTAACTATGTTAAACAACTGTCCACAGTTCCTGTGTGTAGCAGTGCCTATTTCTCCACCCAACTCTGGGATAGATGTTGCAACGCCCCGACCACCTCTATACCACAGTCTCCATATCCGTTACCAGCACTAACTACAACTACAACACCTACCACAACTACAATAACAACAACGCCTACTACAACTACAATAACAACAACAACCCCAGCACCGGTTAAAGGTAGACATACTATTGTAGTTGTTGTTATTTTTATTCAGAATTGACAAGCACTGTGCGAAAAAAAATCTTAGGAAGTAGTCAAAGTTTTAGAAAAACACCGCATATTAAAGTAAATCGTAAATGAAATTTCTATATGCGGAGCACTGAAAAAGGGAAGTAGTACCAACTATCCATAGAAGTCTAATCATATTCTGATGAGGGTGCGCTATTCCTTACTAATCATATAAATAGGCCTATCGAATCACCGAATCCAACATTTTCTCATAAGTTAGAGGATCTGGACTAAGCTAAGGTTACTTTTTTGATTTTATGAAAAATTTATTGCATCATTTATCAATTTTTTATCTGTTATATTTATACAGCATGTGGGATCAGCACAAAGAATCCGGCTTCAAAGTATGCGGACTTCGCGAACACTTTAAGACAATTCCGCATTGTTGGTGGGGCTAATGCCGAAGTTTGTGAATATCCTTGGATGGTCAGACTCCAAATGGGAAACAACCTTTGTGGAGGAACAATTATTGACGAAACTCACGTAATGACAGCTGGACATTGTGTAGGGTAAAACCTTTTAACTTTATGTAGCTTGGACTAACATCATAAAATTTAAGAAGTTTGGAACACATGATCCATAATGCATCTATATTCCACCCAGAAAATATCAGTACTTTATCATGGGTAATGAACCTATTTTCGCATATGCTTGCCCATATTCTTTTTTCTTTATTTCTTCCGTTAAATTTGAGTGGAAATAGGTTAATTTACCTAATTTTCGTGGGGTTAGAAATTTATCAATTTTGAACAGATTTCTTTTCGAATTTATTGTGAAGTATTGTGGTTATGGGAGGACAGACGGTATCGATTTTCTGGGTTCAGCATCCATCCGTTCCGGAGTTAGCCCCCTCTTCCCAAAAAATTATGAACGTTATAAAGTTTACAGTTGTTAATTGGTTCTTTTTTTTTAATCTGTTGTGAAGCTTTGGGATCATTATAGGACGAAACGTGTCAATATCGAGCGTTCCGCACCTTTCGTTCCGGAGTTAATCCCCCTTTTCCGAAAATGATTTTAACAGATTTTGTCTAATATGATGTGAAGTATTTGGTGAACACAATAGAGATCATATTTCTTGAAGACAAAAAGGGTCCTTATCAAGATTTTTCAACATCCATGATTTCTATTCAGATAAGTTGCTTTCTATACTGCTGTGTGGGTGTACTTTCTAAGCTTTTTGCGTTGCTATCTTTGTTTATTTAATCAGACGTGAGAGTCCTCGATTTCAGATTTACTTGAAATTGGTGCTTTTCGTATTTTACTTATTTTTGTCTACAACAGGTTTCTCAAACCCGAAGATATGACAGTCTATGTAGGGGAATATAATTATAATATACAGGAATCACAAGATCAACAAGTTGGAGTGACTGCTGTCAATTTACACCCGGATTATAGGGAAGTTCCTCCTGCTGCAGCAGGTTTGTTTCCCCTTATAGCGAAATTATAATAATAGTCTCAACCTTTAGGAGAACGCAAGGTACTAACTGAAATGGGGCCGTCCGCCTGTTTCTTCGCCCATTCGCCCGTCACGCCTTTTCAAACAAATTAATCCTGCATCTTAATGAGGTGTAGAACTTCACTCGGTGAATGTCTTGACCGAGTTCATTAATGCAAATATTTTCTGCTCCGGTAAAGCGCGAAGGGCCCAGGATAATGAAAGAGTGCATGCGTCATGCAGTGTGCTATCAGAGAAATTTTGTCCGAACAGCGGTGCTATAACTTACTCTTAATATGTCAAGAGCTTTGTTACGGGTACCTTGGTTTTTCGTCCCATCCAAAGTCGCCGATAAAGGGGAAACCACGCAGGAAATTCCCAAACTGGGGTCCGGAAAAACGGGATTGTAAATGTAGCAATTCTCAGTAAAAACATTTGTTTAAAGGACACATTGAAATTCAAATATTGACAAGAATATATATTTCAGAAAATGATATTGCCATATTGACTATGGATAGACCACTTACATACAGTGATTGTGTTCAGCCTATTTGTTTAGCTCAACCTGGTGACAGTGCTTCACTCGATAATGCTCAATGTACAACGATTGGGTGGGGAAGAACTGCATGTAAGTAAGATATAATACACTATATTTAGCTTTGTGTTTAGTTGTTTCTCTTTTGAACTATTTTCGTCATGTTTTTTCTCTATTTATTCTGAAATGTTTTCCTCGACAGATCATTCCACTTTGCTTTCGCCTATAATATAATTATCAATAATTGGAAGCAGGTACACAATTAAGTTCGTCTCTTTTTTCTTTCTTTTTCATTTTAAAGATAATGGAAATCCTTCTCCTATATTGCAAAAAGTAACCATGCCAACCTACAGTGGTGCTCTCTGTGATGCCCAGTTTCCAAATACAACACCAACTAATCCAAATGTTCAGATATGTGCCGGTAGACCGGCAGGTGGTGCTGATAGTTGTCAGGTACTGTGAAGTAACAGACTATCTGCGCATATGAAAGATTCTTCTCATACAGTATTTTTAAATTACATGGAAAAGAAAACGGCCAAATTTGTCAGTATTTACTCCACTCCGGAGACTCCGGATTTGTCGACTGTCTTCTTAACCCGAGATGGAGCATGACATGGCATGGCTTGTCATGATGATATATGGACCCCGCTGTTAGAGACAACGATCGCTTCAACTGAATTCAGTGCTGTGCAATAACGCCACGTAGCGACTGAACTTGACATTACGTCTATTCTGTGCGTATAATTTAAAACCTAGCTGTTGTCATATTTACAAATCTCCTAGATCAATATTGTAACTTTAAACTTTGACAGTGTTACCGTAATAATTAATAATTTTTATTATATAGTTTTAAATGAGATATACATTTAATTTTATTTCATTCAGGGAGATTCTGGTGGACCATTATTCTGCCCAGTAGATGGTAAATATGTACAATATGGAATTGTATCGTATGGTGATAATTGTGCACTGAGTGGTAATGCTGGTGTTTACACCGACATCGGTGAAATGACAAATTTTATCAACAGTGTTATTTAGTTGAATAAAGTTTCAATTTTCTGCTTGAAATGTCCTTATTTTTTGATACACTGTTAAAGCTACAATTTCATATTTTTAAGTTGTATTTTTAAAATTTATTAAAATAAAGCCTTAAAAAAGATGGTATCCATAAACCGTCCTAACTTGTTAAAGAATAATCCTATTAATCCTATAATTCACTATTGCCAGCTGAGAAATTGGCAAAAATATCATTTTCAACTTCAAATTCCAACGTTTGAAGGTAGCTAATGCATGGAGGCAATAGGAAAACAAGGGAGGTAATTGTGTTATTATTTCCTGTGTCAATGATTTGTAAGGGTGGGAAATAATGCCAATGGTCGTATAATAGTGAGTTGATAACATCCTGAGCAAAAGACATAGAAATAATTATGTTTTGACTTTCTTAGAAAATATGAAATTCCCACTTTAAAGGTTTGAATTTAAAAAATGTAGAGGTTCGTAGCCAAATCAGTTCGCATATCTCTTGAGTAGTTGCCTGATCTTACCCATGTTCCTGAAGCAAAAACTAGAGCAAAGATCTAGCTGATAAGGTAGATGTTTTTTTCCAAACATGACGCTCTGTTTGTATTTCTGATATCAAAGTTAAAATTGTTATTACTTATGCAAAATACAGGATGCTGAAGTGATATAGATCCATGCATAAGATGCTCAGGAGTCGGATAAACAATAATTATTTTCGTCGGGCGATCACCAATTATTTTGAACACTGGCCAAATGATGAAATAATAAATTTTAGCGGATATAAAATCTAAAAATATGAAAATTATTGCTTCGCGCAATATGTGACTTTTACTGACCATTGGGTGGGGTGATGCACCAACCGGAGAGAAAATCACAAAATTTTATTTTCAATTCAGGGGGTCGCGTTATTTTTCGAGATTTTACTTCGGTTATTTTGTGATTTTAATCTTGCTCCTGAGACTGGGGCTTATACAGCTAATCCATTGTTTCTATGCATGATATACAGTATTTTAATGCCACTGATGATATGAACTGAACAAGATCTAATAGATTTTGTGCCTACATTTGACAAGCTGTAAAGTTGCTTTGAGTTATACCAGCGACATCATGCGAATTTCACCGATTGATAATCAAGATATACAATATATATGATGCTTCATTTTTCGGGTGCTTCCGCCGTATTTTTCGGGTGCTTCCGCCGTATTTTTCGCGCAAAAACGATATAGACCCCCCCCCCCACCTCCCCTATGAAAATCGGCCCGTACGCCTATGTTAATTTCCTTATATAAAAGTATGCAAAAGCTAAGTTCCCAGTGTTAAATATATTATTCAAACACACGATTTTACAGTATTTGTTTGAAGTACACTAATATTAAATTTATTTGCGGGTTTTATTGAATTAGTGATTAATAAGATGACTATAGAAGAAGGCACGCATGCGTCTTCATGTTCCTTTTGATATTAGGTTATTCGCATTAATTTCAGTGAAGGCCGTGAACTTTTCTTAGCAGATAAATTATGTCAATTTGCTCTTAGAACAAAAAAAAAAAAACTTTATATAGCTAGATCTTGTCAAAATATAGTAAATATACGAAATGACACAACATGACAGCTGTCGATGACTGTCGTATATTTTATCAAAAAATGACCTTCGTCATCTTAATATTTGTCTCAAAAAGAAATGACGAGGGGTTTTTTTATGGAAAACAGAGTAAAACATGGAGAAACGTGACCCGGTGAATTATACTTACCAATACTATTGTCAATATAAATCCCTATATCCGAATTTATGTAAACAATATCAATAACTGTATTATGACAGAATACATAAGGTGAAAAGAAAATTCACGATCCCCATACCTATCTTTGTCCATATAATTGCTTTTTGAAGATTTGTTCAAATTCTACGTAAGAATAAGACAAACACTTAAGTTAAAACTGACCTCGTGGATTTATCTTCACTAACCGATATCTTATGAACTTGTTCAAACAGAAAAACATCAATAAAAAGGCTGGGAAACATACATCTTATTTAAATCGTCTGCTCTTCCTTCACCACGGAAGCTAAAAAACGCAAGAATGTCGAAGATAGTGTGTGTCTTGTTTTTGGCAGGCTTATGTGCCTTAGTTCAAGTCAAAAGTGAAGAAAAGCATTATTATTTTGGAGGACAACCATCATATTATGTAGCTCCACCACCACCACCACAAGTTAATTACGGCGTAGTTTTTGGTCTGTTGAATCAGCTACCTTTGGGGTTTTACAACAACTACATCTGCAACACTTTGTCCACCAGCAGTTACAGCCAGTATTATGGGGGTTATCCTATAAATAATGCTTATTATTATTTGTTTAGAGGAAAGCGCGATACTTCTCTATTACTGAAGAAATTTGCCGTTGTTAGGGGTACCTACAATGCACTATCAAAATATTGGAAAAAATCAGAATTAGGACAATTGGCAAAGGATGTCGTTCGAGTCACCAACGCCATAGCCGCTGATTCTAGCCAGACCCTTTCTTCGAAGAATGTTCTAAAAGAAATAGTTAGAGAGACCCTGCAAAAAAATGGAGAAGGTGGTAACGCGGAAAACATTTTCAAAACGATGTCAGAGTTACAATCAACAAGTGTCAACCAACTTCGATATTGTTCTTCTAGCTTCGTCAGTCAATGTAAGTATCCATGCCATCCTTAACCAATGCTTGCATTATAATATATGTATGAGGTATTGTAATTGATGTATAAGATGTATTTCACAATTGAAATAGGGGGTTGGATGGCGGAATGGTTAGCACGTGCGCGCTGTATCATAAGTTCTGTCATTGAGTCAACTGGCGTGGTTTCGATATCCCGGTTGTACGTGACAAGGAGTAGGGTCGTCTGTCCAATCTCGTGGGTTTTCTCCGGGTCCTCCGGTTTCCTCCCACTGCTAAAGACCCCTACGCGCAAGCGAATCATTGCAATAAAATTGAGCTTTATGTTAGTCCCGAAATGACCTAGTTTGTGTCGAGTGGACGTTAAACCCCATACCTCTCTCGCAATTGAAATATTTTATTCTCATGGACAAAATCTCTAATTTCAACCGCCAAATGGCGATATTTGACAAAGAAAAAAATTAAATGCTTGGCATCTTATCCAGCATTTTAAAAACATTCCATTCAGAACACTGGTTTTCTTAATAGTTGAAACATTCGGGGTTGTTTTGTTTCTTGCAATGATATCCAAACTATTGCAAAATTTGATCGACAAGGAAATCATGATATAGATATGCATGGCCTACACACCAATATTCTAAATTTAAATGATTTTATTTGATAAATAACAAAATTATGAATAACTAAAGTTTTGACAAAGCGATATCGTTCATAATGCAAGCAATTTCTAATTTGAAATATTTCCATTAATATTTACCCAAACGTAACCATTTGATATCTGATACCAACCAAATATATATCTACACGATATTGCTTCCTGCCGGTAAGCTTTTTTCGTTTTTTGGGTTTGTTTTTTTTTATTTCGCCTGTGGTTGTATTTTGTCCAAGATGTCTGTGAGCTGTGTAAAAAGTTTATCCTGGTTCCTCCATATCGGTATAACTCCGCTTTGTCAAAATTACATAAATTCGTACATTTATCACGTTTTTATGCAATCATTTAAATTTAGAATATGATATGTAGAAAACACATATCAATAAAATATCTTTTTATTGCGGTCACTTTTTGTAATAATTTATGTGTTATTGATAAAATAAACGTCCTGTTGGATCTTGTCGAATCTTGGCAACGGTCGAAAAAGAGGGAGTTTACCCAAATGCGCCACAACCAAAGTCCTTGTAGTATCAAACACAACTAAACGTCTACTATTAATAATGCACCCAAAGCTCTTATTTGATTTTATTTGTACTGCCCAATAAGAATATTAAGCACTATTTCCTGCTTGTTACATTAAACTCATGTGGATTCATTGTTTTTAGCGTGTGGTGGAATTCAAGGTCAGTTTTACTGTAGATATGTAAGACAACTAATCAGAGCTCCAATGTGTAGTACTGCCTATTTCTCCAGCCAGTTATATTCCAGTTGTTGTCAACAATCACCCTTCATCAACACACAAGCACCACCAGTCACAGCAGCTCCAACTACTACTACTACTACCACCACCCTTACTCCGATCACCAAAGGTAATAAATGTATCTGCAAATGGTAAAAAAAAAAAAAAAAAAATAGAAAAAAATGTTGTATAGGTGGATGTGAAATATAACCATTCCATAAATTTACAGCTACTTATTGTGTGGATTTTTGTTTCCAGAATGTGGAATCAGCACCAAGAATCCAGCAACAAGATTTGCAGCATTTACAAACGTTATTCGACAATTCCGTATTGTTGGTGGTGTAAATACTGAACCCTGTGAATATCCATGGATGGTTCGTCTTCAGGCTGGTGATTCTCTTTGCGGAGGAACAATTATTGATGAAACACACATAATGACAGCTGGGCATTGTATTGGGTAAAAAAAGTTTATAGTAAAACAAGATTATGCCTGTTATTTCTGTGGTCTTTATTGGACAAGAAAATCACGACCCTTTTGGATCTCCTAGCGCTTTGGAAATATCCGCTGATCGGTAAAAATGTTATTTTCGATTTGGCTCTACTGATGTATCGGGTATATTCAAATTAGATTGTATACCGAATTCTAAAACAAATTTAGCAACGCTTTGCTTATATACAAACTTTTTAAATTTGTATAGTTATATTGAGTTTGGCGTTATATGATCAAATGAATTACATTATGGTAACAGTCCTTTAATGAAGGACACGTGTTTGGGGTGGGGTGGGGTGGGTGGGGTGTGGATCGAGTGAAATATGGTTTCTTCGATATCACGGTTTTACGGAACGGGCGGAATTGTCACTCTCTCTTCCCCCCTCTCTCAATATGACAAACCGAAAAAGGCGTAGAGAAATAACCTGAAAAAAATCAGTAAATATAATATACACAGAACATGTCTTCCGATCATAATGCTATTTTTTCTTCAACCAACCTGTCCCGTGTTCATGGTGTACTTTAAATTGAAGCAGATTCCACGTTACTTCTGCCCAGCTACCCTTTACCAGCGACTTCGGCTATATGAATCTGAGTTATCAAACCGGTGTAAAAAGACTTCTAATTTTTAATTGATTTCAAGCTATCTTAATGAGTCACTGGGGATAGCGAAATTTGATCGGTCTTGACTGGATATTCCCATTAGGGCATTAAAAATGGAGTCGTGAATACCTCTCTAGGTTCGATTTAAATCACAACCGACATTGTTATGATTGTATTACAGCTTCAATGTTTATAACTTTTGAGCAATGTACTGTATTGCAGTTCAAATACAGCAGCCGATATGAAAGTCATTGTTGGAGAATATAATTTTAATAAACAAGAAGCGAACAATGAACTGTTTGATGTATCCGCCATTAACCTTCATCCTAATTACAACGAAGTTTCCGCTGGTGCTGTTGGTCAGTAAAATAATACATAATTACTGAAATTTTAACTATGAGTTGGTGTTTTTTCTGTACCATCCTTGAGTGGCATTTAGCGATTGAACGCATTAAAAAACACAACACAGTTTATATGGAAATACAATCACTGGTTTATAAGTATAGCACGAAGTTTCGACAAGTATTCTCTTATCGTTATCAAGCACAAATGATGCTTTTGTGCTTGATAACGATAAGAGAATACTTGTCGAAACTTCGTGCTATACTTATAAACCAGTGATTGTATTTCCATATAAACTGTGTTGTGTTTTTTTTTCTGTACCGTATACCATAAAGGCCTGTGGGTAAATTAAAACTGTTATTAAATTCTTTTCTTAATTTCAGAGAACGATATAGCCATTTTAACACTGTCAAGACCTCTAACATACAGTGATTGTGTTCAGCCTATTTGTTTAGCTCAACCTGGCGACAGCGCTTCACTTGATGATACTCAATGTACAACGATTGGGTGGGGAACTACTTCGTGTAAGCATAGCAAATAATATTATAAGCTACGAATACGTAGCCAGAAACGTTGATATAATTTGATTTGATAGCTAGGCCTATAAAGGGTAGCTTGAATTATGCCTCGCAAACTGAGTTTTAAATATTTCATTATGTGAGTATATTACCGACCGTCCACATTCTTGCTGGGTGGGTTTGTTCGGCTTGGGTCGATATTCAGAGTCATGCATTGAATTTTTGCAGAGTAACTGCCCCTTTTATCAAACTTCATAAAGACTTTTTGATAGATATGTTTTTATTCAAAACTGCAAGCAAGTTTTAACGAAGAGTACTGGCCCTGTCACCAAAACCTTGTAGACGCTTGTAAGGAATATTTTTTTTTCTTTTTAAACTTGTTGGGATTGTTTTGCGAGTCCTATACGGAGGATCGCTATCGAATTTAGACTCGCATTTTTTTCCCCGCCACAGAAAACTTACAAGCTGTCTGCAGGTGAGATTTGCTTTTAGGATACATATTAAACTTGCTGCATATCATAAGTAGGAATCTGTCAATTTTATGTGTAGGATAAAGCACGAGTCTGGGGTTATGCTGGGGAAAGAAAGACTGAAGACAACAACCCGAGAGAAAGAAAAACCGAGGCCTGCACACCGAGGTTTTTCTATCGGTTTTTCTGTCGGTTTTTTTCTTCTGAAGTCTTTCTTCCTCAGCATAACCGAAGTCGAGGACTTTATCTTGCTTATAAATGTACGTAAAATGAGAATAACCCAGAATTCGCCTAAGAAAACCTTATATCATGTTTTCTTATGGAAAAAACCCTACCCTGGAAGAATAACCCGTTACAGGTTTAAAGAAAAACTTCCAGAAGATTAACCCCATATCCCCCTGTATATATTCAAAGCTGTCCACGACTTTCAGACCGAAAGTTATTCTGGGCATAGGATATACCCCAAAGATCAAAGGGATTTACCGTTATAGGTATATACATCTAGCTAGTGATTGCACCTGCAACCTGAACCCCGTCCAGCATAATGCCCGTGGTGGGCGTATATTCGTTGACTGGCAATGCGATATTTTATTATTATGTAGGCTAATTCTTCATGTTATGAGATAACCGCAAATATTGTCACTCAAATTAGTCAAACGAAATCGTGAATCAGGGCTGTCTGCCTTTCAATTTAAAACGAAGATGGCTACCGAGAATATGTGATTATAAATCAATGTTTTTAATTATTATTCTTGGATGTATTCCGGCTATAAGGAACCCGGATCCAAATCCAACATGAGGTCGTAATTAAATTGAAAATTTTTCATAGCGTGTGTTCATTACACAGCAGTGATAGCCTGTTAACTGAGGTTATTATTTTCATACGACTTTCAATTCTTCGTTTTCCAGATCAAGGAAGTGCGTCACCTATACTGCAAGAGGTTACTATGCCAACATTCAGTGGTGCTCTTTGCGCATCTAACTTTCCAAATACTACACCAACCAATACGAACCTTCAAATATGCGCTGGTAGACCGGAAGGTGGCGCTGATAGTTGCCAGGTAATTAGGTTTACCTTTATGTCTGTGATAAGTATTTTCCACAATAGAATCGATTTTAGCCCAAGGTTGAGACCATGTAAAAGTCGGATGTCCTGTGCCATATAGACTAATAAGCACGTGTCTTTTAAATAAATAAAACTTTGCACGATAGAAACCCTAACGCAAAACTGGTTTTATGTAGCAGTCGATTGTCCCTGGCCTATTCCATTATATCTAGAAAATACTTTTGTTCTAATAACTTGAATACAGAGAACCTTTCTTAAGGCCTACTCCCATCTGGCGAATCGAATTACATATTGATAACAAGGACTGATCTATAAAATCCTACTGGATAAGGTCAATTAGTACATGTAAGTAGGCAGTGAAATAAACCACAGTAATTGTTATTCCATAAAAGTGTGTTTTTGAAGTTATAAAGAGATTGTTGTTGTAGATGTGCAGGTTAAAGGTTAAATACCTTAACGTGACAAACGCTATTATTACAAAGAGAATTAATTATACTATTGTTAGTCTTATCACGTGCCTTAAAGATCTCTTAACACACTAACACACTTAAAGTCGCTTAGATTACCTCATATCTGATTATAATTATAGATAGCGACTACTTAAGTATTGTAAAATTTAGAATCGCCTATTACAGGGTGTGTTTTTTATTATTCGCTGCAGATAAATTTCAGAAAATGATAAAGCATATCGCAGTTTCTGTGGTACGTGTAAAAATAAAATGTGTAATATGTGACAATTTAGCCCGGACTAGTTATATACGTTAACGGTTATGTGGACGCAGACCACCATAATTAAAATTTATTTTTTTAAACAGACCTCAAATATTGCCTTTATCAAAGATGCATTATGCAAGAGCCTAAATCTGCCTATTGCAGGTCTTTCTTTGAGCCTTATATGTTATATAAATTATTAATTAGAATTTATTAACTTGCCAAGACCATAACCAACTCACGATGCCATCGGATGCTCAAGATTTTTAACGGATTTAATCACGGTTAGCCGTTAATGGTTTAATTAAAATATTGATAATCGAGACACTTTGTTTAATATCGTAACTACGGTAGCCATGACAATCGAGACTCCGCTATTCTTCAAACAGTCCTAACGTCGTCCAGAATCAATTAATTTGACTGAAATTTTCAAGATATTCCCCATTTCATTGCCTAGTTTCTAACTATTATAGCCAGAACTGTCAGCTCTTAATCTAAATCTTACATAATGCATCTTTAAAAAAGATGGACCTTAGATGCGCCACTGTACAAAATGTATGTATGTTTTCAATCGTCGCCATTTTTGCAATCATTCTTTGACTTTGATTTTCTTTCTCCGGCATGTTTTCAAAATACATGGGAAACAAATAACAAAGCCCTTTTGTTGATACAAGATGAGTCTCCCCTAATATACAACACACGACATCTTTAATTCCCCTCACTCGGTTGCTCATAAATGTAGTTCTTTCTGTTTATAGTCGTATTGGTGTAGTATCAAATAAAAGAGTTTGAATTTACACCCCCCGCCCAGGTTTTGATGAATATTCATGAATAAATATGACTTATTATCATTTCAGGGTGACTCCGGAGGACCTCTGTTTTGTCCAGTAAATGGACAATATGTACAATATGGTATTGTATCATATGGTGATGGCTGTGCTTTAAGTGGTAATGCTGGTGTGTACACTGATGTTGGGGCAATGTCAAGCTTCATCAACAGTGTTATCTAATTATTTTAAAAGAAATATGTTCTTTTGAATAAAAGACCCCATAATAATAAAAAGTATCAAATTGACCGTTTTTGTTATTTTTTTTTTACTTAATTAAATTAAAAGCCGGCAAGGTTGCAAAATTGGCAATAAAATGTTTTGACATCTTGTAGTTAATTATGAGAGTAACATACAATATTTTTAGATATGGTGGCCTTTCCGTATACTCTGCACCGAATTTCAACTGATTTGACCCCAGTATACCAGTTCCTTTGTTCGGGGATTAATTAACAATTAACGATGCAACAATGGGGATTAATTAGGATTAATTAAGGGTCTACCAGAGGATTAAAACAGTTCATTGAAAGACAGTTCAATTCAATATTTTATTCCATTTCACATCCACTCTTTTTACAGATTATTATACAAAAGTACAATTTTTCATAATATACAAGCAGCATCGGTAATCAATCAGTAATGTAAGCAGTACTAAACATTTTCCTATAAAATATACAACATTTTCAATCATTTTAACATAGAATGTACAAGTTATCATTTAAACATTTCTTTTAACCATTATCCATCCACTTACAAACATTTTCCTATAAAATATACATTTTCAATCATTCTAGAATAAAATGTTACAAGCCCACTAAGTGGGAGACAGCATCCCCGTACTGGATGACGGTGTAGTGTCCTTCATGGAGGCGCCACTTCTCAGTCACCAGCCTCTCTTACAGCTGCCGATACTTCTGGGTTTCAGAGAGGCACCAGCAGCAAGCTGCTTCAGTGTCACATCACAGAAAACTTTCTCTTGCTGGATGAGGCGGATGAAGTGATAGATGTTGGGGTGGTTGGTGACAAATTTATTTATTTTGGAATGCTACCCCTCAACGTTGTTGGTTGTGCGGGGACCAGTAGTCGCGAAATGGTTCCAGACATCTCGCTGACCTCCTTCCACCCACTGACCAGTGACATAATCAGTAAAACTTAGAACTCCAGGATAGTCCAGATCAGCTTCTTCCAGAGCATTGAGCCGGTAGTCATCGATGTCGGTTGGTCTTACAAGTGGAAATGCTGCTGCGCTGCGGACAATCAGATTCACCATTGGATTTTCTACAAAGGCCACCTGAAATCAATGAATCAATAAATCAGTTTACAGTGCTGCAAAACATTATAGGAGAAATTTACAATGTAGAATTACTTCTTAAATTTGCAGTGTTTGTACATTTGAATTTTGTCGTAATAGGAAGATCGTATAGAACTTTGGTTTTAATGTAGAATAGCCAGTATGGTTATATATACCTGCGGAACGGATCTCTATGTGCTCCTTTCCAGACGGCCTGTCGGAAATGGAACATGCCACCCTTAATTCAGTTGGCAGTCGAAGACGCTGGTAGCAGCGTTATGGGCAGCAACTTCAAAGTCGGTGATCATCACACCGGGGCGCAGGTTGATGTTGTGTTGTGCTGCCTTCTGCTTCAGGGTGGTGAAGAATTGCATGTAGATCGACTGTTTCTTGTCTGGTAGCAGAGCGTAGACCAGCGGAACAACCTTGTTGTGTACAGATGCATGGATGGTGTACATCTGGTAGAAGAGTGATGGACAGGCGCTGAAAGTACCATCACATAAGTAGTTATCTGCTGCAGCAAGATATCTCAGGTGATCCAACGTGGCGAAGATCATGAATTTGTTGTCGTCTTCTGTGTAGAGGAGGAAGTCTTCGCCGCCTGTTGTCTTCTGGTACTCTTCGGGTAAGTTGATGTTGGTCCTCAACTTCGGAAGAAATGGTAGTGTCTCCGCTCTCGATCGGTACAGGGAAGAGTCTGCGGAGTGGAATAAGGGAATATGCTGCACGAAGGCCTCTTGACTAACTCCTGAAAAGAAAAGACGAAAATAATAAGTTCTATGTATTTTTACATTTTAGAATATCAACTTAGAATACAAATGTTTGATAACTTACTTGTAAGTTCTTCCTGATAGATTGTTGGTACCGGTCTACGGTCAGTCTTCACAAGATCCTTTAAGTTGGCTAGGAACTTGTCCAATCTTATTGTTGTTGGCCTGGTGGTTATGGCAATCTCTGTAAGTGGTGATGTCATATGATGAACACAGTTCACTAGACCATGAAACCGGCCTACTTGATTAAGCCAATTAGGGTTGTTAAGTATAATCCGATTATAATCCTGACTGGCATATCGGGGTGACCCCGTTTAAAATTTGTCCCGGCTCCCAGAAACCCCAATGATTTGTAAATATGTGTTCTTTAGTTTACAAATTATTCCGAGACAAGTCACAGGAACCTCATTTGGCTCATTATGCGTAGAAGATCAACTGGCCCCGAACAGTAACAGCATAAACTTAAAATCATATACTTAATCGATGATAAAATTCATCAAATTTGAATAGCTTCCTCTTAAGCAATCTACCTTTGTATTAGATACTATTGTTACATTTAAGTCAACCGCACCCCTTGTGTGAATAGGATGACATAGATTTTGAGGTGTATGACCGACAATACAAACCACATGAACACAAGACATCACGTACTATTCTTTTAAAACCAAATTCCTAAAGCCCGTATTCACAAAATGTTCGTGGCAGACGACGTAATATTAAATAGAGAGAAAATAAATCTTAATCATCCTAAATATCACACTAGTAATCAAACATATTACCTATTGAGATAATTCTTATAAAAAAAAATACTGCCCAATATCCCCATTTTAACTTGTAACCACAGTCAAGATGATCAAATTAATCTGTTTAACGGTGTTATTATCGGTAATCTCGGCTTCTAAAACCCGTTACTATGGAGGAGGCGATGTCATATTTGGTTATTTTATGCAGCCATCTTATCAGTCAACAGACAGGAATACGGTATTATTTCTCTTAAACAGATTACCATTGAATCTATATAATAATTATATATGTAATATACTAGTTGGCGCCATGTACCAAAATAATTATTACTACCCATTGGCACTTTATCCGTATTCGTACTTATATACTTATAATTATGACAACATCGTCCGTAACAAGCGGGCAACTTCGGCCAACATCAGTATTTATCAAATGATGCGCTATAGTCAAGTTGTACGGAGAACAATATCCAGTCTCTATCCATTTTGGGATGTAAATGATCTGAGTGGTCTTTATGATCAAGCCAGAGCGGCTGCGAATTATCTAATTCTGGAACGACGAAGAACTATTAATGTGACAGAAACGATTAAAGAACTTTTGCGATTGCTTATTAAAAACAGTCACGAAAGCAGAACTGTCCAGGAAGTTATGGATGCCATTCAACAACTAAATTCCAAACCAAGATCATTTATTACGTCATCAATAGCTTCTTTCGTTAAACAAAGTAAGTATTTCTAGTCTCTTACATCAGGTGATAAAATATGTGTCCTTATATTATAAAAAAGAGTGCATTAGGTAAAATTAGATAACGAGCTAGCAGTTCTCGCTATAATAGTTAAAAATGGATAATTAAAACAGAATATGCGAAAATTTGCAATCAAATTGCTTCACCGAAATATTAGCGATTCAATTTTAGGCTAGCCTCGATCGTCATTTCTAACGTTGATACGATAATAAACATAGTCTCGATTATCCATTTGTAAGTTAAATTATCCATCACAAAATGTATTCAAATCCACTAAATATCGCAGGCTAACGATGGCATCGAGAGTTGATTATGGTCTTGATAAGTTAATTAATGTCTAATTAATAATATAGATAACATTTCAGTCCTAAAGAAAGACCTGCAAAAGGCAGATTTAGCTCTTGCATAATGCATGTTTAATAAGGCGCCCCACAGTATTCGCTGAAAATAGCGTTCTGAAACTATTGTGAAATTTAAAAACAAAATACAATTACTTAATACAAGTACGCCACTCATACATTCGGTTATTGCGGGTTTTTTTTAAATATAATTTTGTGAATTTAAATAGAGTATAATCTTTACAATATTTTCAATATGAAATATGTTCGTTGTTCATGTTCTTATACAACAGAACAATAAAAAAAATAAAAAAATAAAAAACACAGTTACATCCACTAAAAGCTTACTTTGTATTATTTCCAGCTTGTAGAGTGATTAAGAGTGAGTTTTATTGTAACTATTTAAATAAGCTTACTTACAGTAATAGATGCAGCAGTATGTATCATAGTAGTCAGATTTGGAACCAGTGTTGTAGTGGAGTATACGTCAACTCAACCACCACTACTACATCAACACCAACAACGTCATCCTCAGCAACTTCAGCAACGACCACTGTTCCAACCACTACTGCTTCCACGACGATAGTCCCAACCACGACTACTACAGGATCAACGACGAGATGTAAGTGGTGACTATTAGTAATTAATACAAAAAATCAAGAAATCCATCGTTATGCCATACACATGAGAAACCTGATGGTTACACTCAATGAAACAACAACACCTTTCGGTTAGACTTTTGAATCTGTGCACCACTTAGCGTAACCAGTGAACACCCAGGTATACGGGTATAGTGTTAAACAAAAATTGGTGGACAGATCCTGCAATTGCACCTAATGCGTTTTGACACCCCCTCCACACCCAATACAATTCAGTATATTATGGTTGATAGGGTTGAAACGATTTTTTTTTATTTTGCATAGTACCGTTTACAAAGTAATTATAACAATTTACAAGAACTAATTTATCCTCTTAATGGTCATTCCTCTTTTGAGTAATACTTGTCCACATTAATTGTATTATTGTTGTCTTTCCAGCGTGTGGTATTAGTGTGATCAATCCGGCAAGAAGATTTTCTGATTTTTACATTGCAATAAGCAAGGTTCGGATCGTAGGTGGTGTTCCTGCTGAAAAATGTGAATATCCATGGGTTGTTCGGTTGCAAGCTGCAGACTCGTTATGTGCAGGTTCAATTATTGACGAAACTCATATCCTCACAGCTGCCCACTGCGTTGGGTAAGACGTTATTAAATCAATAAGATGCACATGAAAACAAAAAGTATCGTAATACATCCAATCTATTTGTTTTATAGTCTAAATAAGTAATTCTTTTTTTTAAGATATAAGATCAAATTATACCATCTGTTTTCAATAAAACTGCAATAACCCTTGTGCGATTTATAAGGCTCCAGTCAAAGCATTTCTGGAAATGTCTTGGAAAGATTGAATATGCACTCACATGTTCTAACATGGTTATATAATGACCATGGCAAATTTTCGTTAAATATTGCATAAATAATACTCTAACAAAATTAGTGTCCTCTAGTAGACGTCATCATAACGAAAGAGTAAAGTAAACCCGGCCACCGCTAACAATGTCGGTGATCTGGTGTAGAGATACAGAATACAAATTCTATTCTCCAAGCATAACCATTGTGATGAATGTTTCATTTATCCTGATAATTTTGGAAATGTTGTGGATTTGACCTCGTGATTACATCTTACCAACATCAAACAAGTGATAGTTCTTACTTCAGATAAAATGTTTGGTGGCTTTTATAATTCAGAGCAAGCACAAAGAATATAGACGTCACTGTTTATGCTGGAGACCATAATTATAATATTGTTGATACCGGAGAAGTAACGCGTGGTGTTTCTTCTATCACTATTCACCCAAATTATGGTGTTTCTTCCGTTCGTAAGTAACTTTACGTTTGATATAGTGAATTCTCTGTAACCTCTTTATAGATTCAACTTTCAGTTGCAGAAGCTCAATCTCAAACCCAGTAGCATTGAGCTTTTTAAATTCCCATAGCTATATAAGTATTGACAAGTGTTGTGAACTTCACTTGACGAATTGACATACCTAACAAATTGTTTGCGTACTTTTTATACTAGAGTACAAAGGGAAGCACGATTACCAAGATCTGGCGGAAGATATGTGTTTGGATGGTGATATGTACATTGTTTAAAGCATCCCTCAAAATTCTAAGCATATCTTTTTGTATTTTTGAGGCAAATCATTGTGTGTATATTTTCAATTACAGAGAATGATATAGCTGTATTAACATTAGACCAACCTCTTGTGTATAGTGACTGCATTCAACCTATATGTCTTCCTAAAGCTGGTGATAGTTCAAGTTTATCTAACACACAATGTACAGTTGCTGGGTGGGGAACAACATCATGTAAGTAGAATGGAGCTTGGTTTCAGAGCAAACTAAGCACAAACACGTTAAGTATTGTGACATAATGGTTCAAATTCTTAAGGATGTAGAGGGACAAAATTAAACGATATTCTTCACAAAGCCCACGATATTCTTCACCCGCATTTTTCCTTTCCTACACTATTTTAAGCTATACCGTAAACAAATGATCATATACATTTTCCATAGTTGGCGGCCCATCAGCACCAATATTACAAGAAGTAACAGTACCAACATATAATGGTAACGACTGTAAGAATATTTTCCCTGCGTCTGTAATCAACAATCCTACTACCCAGATCTGTGCTGGTCGAGATGGGGCTGATAGTTGCCAGGTAATGCAATTTACTTTTTTAACCCCATTTAAAGTTATATTTCCTCGACATTCGAGATCTTAAATACATATCTATCTATAGGAAAATATATTACTACCAATTTTTTAGCATCCCCTGAAGCGAGTTTTTGTATCTTACAAAAGCCTTCAAGCAAAGCTTAAACTTGTAGTCTACCAACTGTATAAAACGATTAGTGGATGGAAGCAACCCTAGACGTGCAACGTGAAAGACTGCTTACATTGACGAAGAAATTTGCAAGTTTTCCCAAGACGGGGTTGACGATCTGCATTTAATAATCTATCTAATTTATATTCCGGACATTTATAAATATTTATTTATTTATTTATTTTTTTTTTTTATTTTTTTTTTTTGTGACGCCCACATCGAAATATTGTCGTATATTGTCGTCACATTCATCGGTCTGTGCCTCAAATCGACTGATTTGATAACAAATTTAGTGAATTCTCTAGAGAGAACGTCATCACCCGGTTAACTTGAAATGCACAGCGTTTATGTTCATGAGACGAAGACGCCAATCGATTTTCTACTAAAGCCCAGAAGGCTCATTCCAAATTCCAGATTCCAAATTCCAAATTCCAGATTCCAAATTCCAAATTCCAGATTCCAAATTCCAAATTCCAGATTCCAAATTCCAAATTCCAAATTTGCTGAAGCAAAAAAAAAAAATGCCAGTCCTAGGATACCGAGTAGCAGCGTAGCTCACTGCAGAGGAACTTTGCCCCAAATGTTCACATCTGCCGAAGCAAACCCGAACTGGAATATTGTTATACTCTAACTGATTAGTCAAAAGGAAAACCTGATCCGATTGGTCGAATCAGATTTAGAATTTCGCATTTGGAATTTCGGATTTGGAATTTGGAATCTGGAATTTGGAATTAGGAATCTGGAATTTGGAATCTGGTAATTTGAAACAGGTATTTATCCGGCCCAGATAGGTAAACTGCTGCATGAAAATTGGTATAATATTGGGAATTATGTTTATGATTTTGCATATTTGACATCTGGGGTGGCCACAAGTTTTGGTTTTAACTGCTAAGTTCAGCTAGAGTATTGTTTTTATACGTCGGAGATAGCATTTGGAGTATCCCCTTTCTCTTAGTTTGCTAAATACCAGCGTACATGCTGAGTACATATCCTGTGGAAACGGAGAATTTGAGATTTTATGATGTCAGAGAACGTATGGTTTGGGTGAAAGGAGCTTTTGAGCAGTAATTGATGTGTGTCGGTTTCTTTGAAAAGTACTTTAGTTTCCAATTAGCCAGTGTTTTTGGTGTTGCTACTTTAAAAAACGATGGTGTCAAGGAAATCTATGCTGTTAAGACTTAAATTTGTGGTTAATTTGACAGTTGGATGGTAATTGTTCAGAATGTTGAAAAACGTGTGTAAGTCCAGATTATCCCCCTATAAATATTAAATAAATTGAAATGTTCTAAACATAGCATTATTCTTTATTTTCAGGGTGACTCCGGAGGGCCTTTATTCTGTCCAGTAAATGGAAACTATGTACAGTATGGTATTGTATCATTTGGTGAAGGTTGTGCCGAACCTGGTAGTGGAGGAGTCTATACTGATGTCAGTTCTATGCTTAGTTTCATCAACAGTGTACAATAAACATGAAAACTCGATCAATTGATACTGATTTATTTTGTTCTATTTTTCTACCTTGATTTTTTTAAATAATTAAAATCTATTGAAATTTTGATTTTTTAAATCCTTGCCATTTTTGGACAATATTTTGTACAGATTTTAATTACAGTATATGTATGTTATTTAATAAAAACAATCCCTTAGTATATTAAGATTAATTTAAACACATTTCATTGCAAATATTTCACAAAAGGATTAGGACAATTTATATAAATTATGAACCTTAAGATTGTGCTACGTATTATTTATTAGTCAGCATGGGAACTAACGGTGTGGGTATACATATGTAAATATCCATCTATATTTAGTAATCCGTCTGTTCAAACAAACTAATTTCAATTTCTAATGATATTTGCAATAAGGTAAAAAAAAATGTCACGATCGATTGCAAGCCTTAGCTTCTTACTTTGTCTAAGAAGTGAAAAAAGCAGAATCCACATCTGGTTGTACGCAAGGTTCGGCTGTCAATAAAGTACTAACCAAATAGAAGTGGAAAATTTGCGTAGGTTCAAATTACATACGCCTCTTTCAATTTGACGAACTTTTGCAGAAGTGGTTCACGAAAATTTTTTTTTTTCTGTTGTTTTTTTCTGGTATGTAATTTTATGAACAGTTGGTCCACACCGTAAATAAACATCATATCATATTGATTTTTATGAAATAGTATTTAAAGAAAATTCCCCTTCCGTTAATATGAAGATTGCAAAGCCTTCCATCACTATCAATATGAGAGCTGTTATTGTTATTTTACTGTTGTGTATAACATTTACACTTTGTAAGCGACCTCGGGGGAGATACAGTCAAGAAAGATGGAATCCCTATTATGGAAGGAATGGCTATTATGGAAATGCCCGATATGGTAATTATTATGATATTGGTCGTTCTAGTCATGGAAATCATAGACTCCCTAACCATTATGGTCAACGGCACCCTCCGTACTACTACGTTGAGCCATTAGAGGCTGCAGCTGAACCACCAGCACCAAACCCAGCTCTACCCACAGGACCTGCTGCTCCATTAAATCCAGTTTTAAGTACCCTGAGTCAACTCCCACTCTCAATGTACAACAATTACATCTGTAGCCAATTTACTCAACAAGAACAGCCCTTGGAAATGAACACAGTGATCTTCCGTCATAAAAGACAAGTTTACGGGTATCGTTTAGCTCAGATTTACCAACAGTTACAATCTGTCGTGTATGGTGCATATCAAACGCTAAAACCTTTTGCTAGTGGTCAATCATCAGATATTATGTCCAACATTCTAAACATCGCACTAGACTTATATTTGAACAATGCTGGCGTCAAATTGGAAGATGTCATCGAAGAGTTCATTTCCGAACAGTTAGAGGCAGAAGGAGTTCAAGGAGACCCCGAAACAATATCTTCTGCTATTAACACGTTAGCAGAGGAAAGTGTCTCAGAGATACAAAGCTCAACACAAGAAGCTGTGGATAAATGTAAGTTGCTCTAGTTTTCTCTTCTATTTTTTTTTAAAATAAAAAAAATCGTAAAATTGTTTACGCAAATGTATTTAAATTGTTTATGTTTTTTGCTTAAACCGATTCATATTTTCGATCTGGATAGTTTAATCCATAATTTTTATTGGATAGTCTTAGCCATACTTTTCGATTTTATGCCGGTGATGAAGTAAACTAAAACATATTAATAACGTCTAGAGGATTTCCATGTTGTTAAAGTAAAGACACTTTAATGTGTAATCCGACATCCACCAAGCTATATATAAAATAATTCCAGCATGTGACGCTATCAACAGTGAATTCTATTGTAACCGTATTAAGAAGCTGACCGTTTCCTCTGGGTGCAGCAGTCAGTATTTTAGTAATGAGATGTATGAAAAATGCTGTGCTGATAAGTATGAAACACCATTCGAAGAACCCGCGGCTAGTGTTTCCAACCCTGCTGTAGTTGCCGAAATCATAAGTACATCCACAACAACCACAGCAGCAACGACTACACCCACAACAAGCGCAGCAACTACATCCGTAACAACAGCGGCAACTACATCCGTAACAACAGCAGCAACTACATCCGTAACAACAGCAGCAACTACATCCGTAACAACCGCAGCAACTACAAAAGGTAAAACACTACTTTTTAACAAAATCTTCGCACTACCTGAACTACCAAATTACATTTCAATAGGTATCAGATGTTTCAGAAATAGAAAGCATACCCCACGTCTATACAATGTAATATAGAAAATATATGTTCTCTGGAATATTTTTTTTTCATTTCGGCTGAAGTATAATTTTTCAAAACAAGACAATGTATTATTAATTAATATCGATATATCTTAACCCATTTCTGTAAAACTTATTTTTGTGCATTTCTATAATGTTTCTACTTCTTTTGCTAAAGCTTGTGGTATTAGTTCTGTAAATGCAGCAACCAGATTTGCCGACTTTAGTTCAGCCCTAAACCAAGTGAGAATTGTTGGTGGAATTGATGCTGAGGAGTGTGAATATCCTTGGATGGTTCGACTTCAAGTTGGTGATTCTTTATGCGGGGGAACGATTATTGATGAAACTCACATTCTTACTGCTGGTCATTGTATTGGGTGAGTTATCATTAAGATGTTATTTCGTTTACCGTTCTAGAATTGACAGCACGCAATTATGGTTAGTAGTTATAGATACATACAGTAGTTAGTATTTATAAATACATACATCAATTGTTACGGATATTCCTCATTTAATGTACATTTAGATCCAAGCAAATATTTATTTAATAATTCTTAAGTTGGCTATTTCTTCAATCATATAAATCCATGGTTAAACCCCAATGTCCCAGACGACAAATAATTAGTTTGTTTCCTTATCTTTATTTAACTAAAATAAGGACATAAGTGTTCTTCAGACGATTAACACAAAACGTAGGTTAAATGTAATTTTTCTCTCGGTGTTCGTGAGTAGAAATGAATTATCGTTCTGTTTACGGCTTCTAATCTTGGAGAAAACAATTACGATTTTACTAAAAACCAGGAACCAGACACGACGTCGTTACAGCCCTCACGGAATTGTGGCGTCATGTGAAAATAAGCGTCATTCGATGCGCAACTGTCCACGGAACCAGCATGCCGATCGTACTTAGACCTTTTTCGAAGACCGTCGTCCCAATGGAGGTGTATATATTGTCAATATATACATCTCTATGGTCGCCCCAATGAAGGCGAAGAGGAAGCAATCTGATTAAAACACAGATCCTATTTCGTTTCGTTTTTCATAGTTTAAAATTTCATTTTACTTGTCTTTACTACACGAGCACCTGGAAGAGTTGTTTTATAATCCGTGTTCTGGATGATGTAAGGGATTAGCCAATGAAACGGAAGTGTGGGTAGCCCACTAGAAACATCAACACTGATTGGTTAGTAGAGGCCATCAAAAGTATTTAAAAAAAACGAAACGAAGTAAAGATCTACATTTTAATCAGACTGAAATCGGAGGAACACCAACAACATGAACAACAAGATGAGTGGCGTTTGGGAGCCAGATAGCGGCACGACAATAGGAAATATTGGAAATTTTAGATGTCCATAACTTGCGTTAGGGTTGATCATATTGAAAAAAATAAGCCACTTTCCAAAGTCTATATTTGCCATATAATGCTAATAGTGATTAGATTTGTCAGCGATTACTTTTAACCACTCAAACTTACAAAAGTTGCTGAAAAATTCTTCTTACAACTTTTCTAGAACTAACACAGCCAGTGACATCACAGTTGTCGCCGGTGAGCATGACTACAATGTTTTAGATACTAATGAAGTAAGTAAAGAAGTTGCAGCCGTAGATGTCCATCCTGATTACGTTGAACTGGCAACAGGTGGTGTAGGTAAGAATGTGAATTAATAGTAGACGACATCTTGGTTCCTTCCATCGAGTTATTTCATTTCCCGTTTTCATATAAAGTGCAGAAACCAACAATTACTTTTAATAATCTTTTGCTGTAGTTCTTTAAAGAGTAACGATCTATCATTTTACATGCAATTATAAGGTCACTCTATATAATTGAAAGTAGGTGGGTTTTTCCCCAACTTTCTGGCGAAGACTCTAATTGTAAATGGCGCGAAATGTTTATTTTATATTATTTTCCAGAGAATGATGTTGCTGTACTAACATTGAAAGAGCCCCTTAACTTCGAAGATAATCCCTGTACACAACCTATATGTTTACCAAACGCTGGAGATGGTTCACTTATTGAAGCTGGTACACAATGTGTTGTTGCTGGTTGGGGAACAACATCATGTAAGATGTAAATTGTTGATATGTATAGCTTATACATCTATGTTAGCTGGACAAACGTGTCTATCACTCTATTTCAAACTTTAACAGATCTTTGGAAGACTCATATTGTTAGCCAGACTGATCTCTAATCGTGCATTCCCAGGTCTTCAGTAAAACACCGCATTTACATGCCTCACATTTAAGTTATATATTCACCAAGAGTGTGTTGCCCTCATGCATTATAGAGATGCAGTTCTGTGCAGTTTCTTTTATAAACTGAATGTGTGTTTGCTCATCTGGGTGCTATTAGACACTCTGGTTTAAATCACATATCAGAACTATAAACAAATTGGTATTCATTTAGAAAATATTCTGTCTGTACTTATCAAGTCAATTTTATATTACATGTGTGTAGCTGGTGGACAGACGTCTAATGTATTACAAGAAGTAACCGTGCCTACTTACAGTGGGCAAGATTGTGATAGTGTATTTACTGAAACAACACCAACCGATTCCTCTCTACAACTCTGTGCTGGTCGACCAGTAATTGGAGGAGCTGATAGTTGTCAAGTAAGAAGTTTAGTTATTATCCGCTTCGTAATTGTAATAGATAACAAATGTTTCTAATGTTAAATGTAGGTTATTGATCCGGAAAAGTGTGGGAGATGCATTCATAAAACTATACACACGGAAAGCGGAGGAAAAATAAATAATTAGAAGGTCACAATGGAAAATGACATCATGGTGATCGACAGTTCAATATGCCCAATATGTTACACTTCCTTTAACTTAAAGATTTAAGTATTGTCCCGTTGAAACATTCAGCTATAGTAGTCTTGGAAATTCACAAATTAAATTGTAAATCTACATACTGCTAGTTTCAGTAAACGCGAGTTCAGCAATGAGAAATAGCATCCGAATTGCTGGGAAAAAGCAGATATTCTTGATCATTCTGTATGAACAGAGCAGGAGAGGGGGTTGTCGAGACCTGACGTAGGGACATGCTTCTATTCTACCCATTGATTATAGTCTTCATCATAAACTGAGTATTTTTATTTTCAGGGTGATTCTGGAGGACCTTTATTCTGTCCAGTTGATGGTAAATATGTGCAGTATGGTATTGTATCGTACGGAGCAGGTTGCGCTGATGCCGGTGCTGCGGGGATTTATGCTGATACAAGTGCCTCGTTGGATTTCATCAATGGTTTTCTTTCAACCTAATAAAATATGAAATATATCCAAATTTATTATTTTCGTTCATTTTATTTCACGTCATTACAATCTATAGAGACAAGTTTAAGGCAACTCCTTTCTGGGCCTGTAACAGCAGCATATTAGTATTAAGATACCGTTTGTTAAATTTGCTAGAACATATTGTATTCTTGGGAAGTATGACAAATTAATATTTCACAAGATTTGAAATCGCGGGAATGCTACAGAAAATGAACAATCTTTATCAGAAGAAATTTATTTGTGGTCTGACTGCATATAAGGGGGCAAAGGCCAAGGACAGATGACTTGGCGTTCAGGTCGAACAACGAACAGAGGTCTCGTGTACACGTTGGCATGTACGTAAAGAACCCTTGACTGATGGAAGTCGACATAACAGGAGTAGGGCCGCTGTCCGGGCAAACCTTCCCTTCATTAGCCCAGTTGATGCAGAAAAATAGGACGTTAAACCCCATTTCATTTCTTATCAAGGGGATTGGAAACAGTGGACACAAACTAGGTTATTTTGGGACTCAACTCAGCGATGGAGAACCGCTATCTATTCCTTGGTGTTGGCAGTTCTTATTATGGGGCATAATGTCTGCTGCACTCCGTTTGACCTAATTAAGTACAGAAATGTAAAAATGTCCTATAATTTATCAAATATTCAAAACCACGTTTAATGTCCAGTCAAGACTGTATCTCAATGCTTTATTCATCGACATAGCTAAGAATAATTTATAGGTCTATCATAATATAGATGTAGTTATACTGAAATGGTCAGCATGAAGGGAATGGTAATTTCATTGCTGTGCTTTTGTGTCTTGTATAGAGATGTTGAATGTAAGTTGCCCTTTTACTGTTTAAAAATACTCTTCAAAAATTTTGTTCAGAAGGTATAATTCAAGATATTACACCTGTGTCGTATGTAAGGTTATCTAGGTTACCGAAATGGGGAAGGGGGTGGGGGTGCATACACGTTTTAAATGGCTTAAAAACTGATATCAACGGTTCTGTGTTGGTGTTTTTATACTCACAACAGTATTATTGAGTTTGGTTAAGTTTTTGGGAATATATAGTAAAAAGAAAAAGAAAGAATGCTTGACGCCCCCCCCCCCACACACACACACACACCTCCTCCTAGGGGGCAGAACCTGAAATTCCCGAAAAATGTTCGGGTTACATCAGGCGGAGCCGGTCTTCTGCGAGAGCGCGGAGCTTACACTGTTGGCCCCCCCCCCCCCCAAATATTGGAAAATCTGACGGCCGCAAACGCGTTTTCCTGCTATTGCACCCCGTGAATATAGCAGCTTCAAAGTGGTCTAACATAGCCTAATTGAGATGACTGACTCAAATTCCAAACAACCAATCAATCGTTTACAGTCCACGGTGGTGGGGCCGTAGTGAGGAAATTTTGAAAACTGAACTGCAAGAAACGCGTTTTCCGGCAATTCCAGCCCGTGAATACAGTAATTTCAATGCGGTCCGATCAATCATCGCGGGGTATGGGGGTCTAGCCCTCCCTGAGAAAATTTGAAAATTTAACCGCCGCAAATGCGTTTTTCTGCTGTTCTAGCCCATGAGTTAAGCAGCTCCAAAGTTGTCCTATGGTTTTGTAAACGAAATCCCACTCTGTGCCGACCTGAATTCCAATCATCCAATCAGATTGTTGCTGCTGCCTTCACAAATAACAATCGATGCCCGAAAAATGTCGCACAATGTAAAGTGGCTCCAGACAAAATGTTTTAATCCATTGGCATTTCAGTGCAAATTCGCGGTTTTCAATTGAAAGAAAAGTAAAATTAGTGTTTTATTTGATTTCGGGCACTTTATTTTGCCAACTACATAAAATAATAATTTTTTCACTTTACTATTCTGCCAGAAAAGTAAGATTGCCCGAAAGTAAGATTGCCCACTGCCCCCCTGGGTCGTACGCTTATGCGCCCCCAACCGCGCCATTGCAGGAGATAATGCTTCCTTAAATTTCTTGTGTATCAACAGCTACAAGCAGACGTTTGTTTTCTGGAAGAGCTAGAGTTCACCGATTTTCAACTGGCAGAAATTATTACACTTTGTCTAGAAACAATAGAAGAAACGGGTTAACGGTTTCCCGACTGGCTTCACAACAAAATGGTTGTCAACTATCTCGAGGTAACCAATTTATTTCCATTGTAATAGTCTGGGGTTTTCCAAAAGCTGAAAATCGATATGGTTCGTCCTGTCAAGACCATAATGGCTTGAAAAAAATCTGTTTTCGGAAAGGAGTAGAACGGGAGGAGGGGTTCTTCCATTTCTCCCGTCAAAAGGCAAAACCCAGTAACTCACTTTTTCTTATTTTGAGAAAACAAAGGAAAACGTAATGAATGAATATTAAACCCCAGCTCATCCATTGATTTGACTATTGAGAGGTTTTGCTTTGGTATACTAGGCAAATGAAGGAAGTTGCTAGGTTGTGTCATGGGTGTAACTGCTTACAAAATCAAAAGATTGGAATATCTAGTACAACAACAGGAAGCACATACCCTAGTAACTACAAATTAGGTCCTAACTCAATTTTGATAAAAAAAAAAAAGTGAGTTACTAGGTTTTGCCTTTTGACGGGAGATTTCATGACACCAATGTTTTAAATTATATTTGTAAATTCCGCGCGGTGGGCAGCATACAATATCACAAAGGCATTTAAATATACAATTTTATGTTATAGAGTATAAGGAATTTATTTTTTAAATTTAAGTTAGTGCAATATGTACGGTGACGCCAACTAGACGAAATTCAATAGAAGGAAGAATATATTTTGTTCAAGACGTGGTAAGTCTTTGTCTGCCTCAGACTGATAGAACTAGCATGATCTGGATTACAAAAAAACCCTCGCTCGGCCCATTTTGTGAATTTGGACCAATATGTAGAAGTTGGAAATATCTTTTATAGTGGTATAGCAAGAAGAGATAGAAATTGGAGGATAAGTTGAGCTCAACACAAAACATTGTTTTCAAGAATGACAAGACTGAAATAATATTCTATTGCTAAATAAATTGACATTAGACAATTCTTGTCTGAAAAATCCATATTACAGGTACCATACAGATTTCAGCTTTTTAAATTTACAACTGTATCATTTTCCAGAATTCACAGTGTGAACATAACAGCTGGCTAACGGTTAAAGTTGAACTACAAGGTTTGGACTCCAGTATTGGTGTTGTTAATCATGGTCTTCACATCCACCAATTCGGTGATTTGGGTAACGGTTGTTTAGCAGCAGGCTCACATTATAATCCCTTCACTAAATATCACGGTGATAGAAATACATATGAAAGGTAATTCTATTAAATTTCGAAGGCAGTGTGCCAGATGGGTTTTTGATTAGCCTAATCATTACCACAACTTCTTAATGGAGTCCAAGTAAATCAACCCTGCGTTCTATTCCGGGTTGTGTTACCGGGACAAAACAATGTATGTCGGTCACGGACAAGTACAGTTGAAATATGTTCAAATCATGCCGTCTAATAATGAGTGCTGCGGCCCATTATATTTATTGAACTCTACCAGGTTTAAATAGAAATAACCGTATTAGTTCTAAAAGTAACATGATTTGGAAAACGCTGATGAAAACTAGGGCGTGATTCTTCGAATATATTGCCTTTATCCCCAGTCTGCAGATGAGTCCATAATTAATTGTCCAGTATTAGTATTGCATATGTTATTAAATTATACCCTGTCACGCGGAGGGGGGGGGGTATGTCTTCTATACTGAAATTTATGTTTTGTTGATATGATTACCACTACGTTGAAAGGGTTGTTTTGCTTGCAGAAACAATTTTAACAATGGACCCATAAACGTGAATACACTGCCTTCAGGTGTACTGTCTACGACGCGTTGCGAAGTGCGTTCACAGCCATATTATGTGAATAATGACACAGTTACTTGACAAAGGTAGTCGCATTTTCAATTCTATATTTTTTGTAATAAATAAAAGATTTTTAAAATTCAGACATATTGGTGATATGGGTAATGTACGAGAAGACAATGATGGGTCTATTAGAGAAATATTTACTATTCCGATAACCTCAATTGTTGGGGAAAATTCGGTCATCGGACGAACTGTGGTGGTATGTATTTTAGGTTTTTCATTAAGTCGCTATGCCATGCACACTACACAGTGTCACCAAGTCTCGATGAAATCACATGGGTTGAAATAAATAAAAACAAAACCTATTTGAAGTATTTTGCTGAGATCGACAAGCCAGCAGATGTCTATGCCTCGAAGCTAACAATTAGCTTTATTAACGGATCAATTTTTTGCTGTCCACAAGGTTTTTTATCAAAGGATCCGTCACAGATATAACAACTCGACAGTGTGGAAGCCTCTTTAAAAACCCTCATCCTGAAAGTCCCGTTTAACTTAAGCTCTTTACTTTTTGGTGTATTGATAATAATGTCAAGAATGTGCAAAATACTACACAAAACAATTTTTTATACGCCTATGCGTATATAGCTGGGGTGTATACAGGAATGGTCATCCTCTCTGGCCGTCGGGGCTAGAGTTTCTGAAAGATGGTTTTCATCTGCATGAAACAGATGATCCTGGCTGATTTTCATCTTTCTCCGATTTTTCGTTTTAGGGTTACTGTCCATGTCATTCTAGCATAGGTATTCTCGTTAACGCGATCGAACCTAGAGTTTTTGAAGATTTTTTTTTTAAACTTGATACTGTGAGAAGGTTTTTTTTTCAGACTTTGTATGAAGCATATGCACCATGAGAAGATGATCTATATCGACTTTTAGCTTTGTCTGATTTTCCGTTTTGGAGTTACCGCCCTTGTTATTTTGACTCGCGAATGCTCATTAACGCGATAGAAGCTGTAGTTTTTAACGGATTTCTTTCAAATTGGAGTTATGGGAGGAAGAACCCTATCCATATTCATTCCGGGGTTAACTCCCACTGTCAAATAACCTTGTTTAACAAAATAGAGGTTCTGAATTTAATCACCTACCATTTTATGAAGACCTTATTATTGTGTTAACGACTCGAATTTTTATCGGTTTTTTTTTTAAAATTTGGTGTGAATCACTGAAAGCCGGGAAAGCTTGTGCAAGACGATAGAAATTAGATTTCGTGGAGGAAAATCCTTATCAAATTTGGGCAACTTGGCTATTTCAAATTATTACAGAGTCAGGACCTTTGAATTATTCGGTTCATATTACATGATGTTTATTAATATTAGTATTTCATTTTTTAGCTTCATGCTGGACAAGATGATCTTGGTCTAGTAAATAATGAAAACAGCAGAACAACTGGCAACTCTGGTTCAAGACTAGCCTGTTGTGTAATAGGTCATTCTAATCAAGTTCCTGATGATTTCGAAGATTAAGTTAAGAGATTCCTTTGGAAAACAGCTGCATTTCACTTCATCATCAGACCATAATATATGGGATGAGAGCAGACTTTCTAAATGTTTCTTCTGTGTGCTCCAAACCCAGTATTTTTATTATTATGTCTAATCATTTTGAAGTATAATCCCTTGTATACTACTGTGTTGTGAAAGTTGAATGTCTAATAGGAATATCAATCCAAAATCGGTTCAATTCCGTTCAATATTTACAGTGATATGACGAATTGAAAATTCCATCAATCTATTCTCCTTCCTATGTAACAAGCTGCAGCCATCTTTATTTTCCGTTAACCAAATTGATAGGTTTGTTTTAAACCCGAATAAATTTTAAGTCCGGAAATTATCTAGTCTTAGTATTTTGATTTTGTTTTCTGAATTAAAGCTGCATTATGGAAAGAGCTGGCAATTCTCACTATAATAGTTAATAACAAGATAATGCAAAGGACATTTTCTGAAAATTTCTGTCAAATTGATCCATTCTGAACCGAGAATTTAGCGATTGAATTTTAGTCCTAGCTTCGATCATCATTACTAAAGTCTGTACGATAAAAACATAGTCTCGATTATCCATTTTTTGATTTAATCATCAATGAAAGTTGGGCAGCAGATCGGATTCAAATCCAGTAAATATCACAGGCTAGCGTTGACATCGAGAGTTGATTATGGCCTGGATAAGTTAATTAATGTCTAATTAATAATTTAGATAACATTTCAGGCCCAAACAAAGACCTACAATAGGCAGATTGAGCTCTTGCATAATGTATGTTTAAATTATATATAATCAATTAAATAATTTGATAATTTCCGAAAAATGCATAGGCCTATGACCCATCGTTACTTTAAATAAAACAAATGGAAACAACAGATCTAACTATGATGGCGAGCAATGGATACTAATCAGTTTATATTGATGTTTATTAACGGATGTTGTTTATAAGTGAGTTTATTCCCCAAGTAATAAATCCATTGAGACATTTTGACTTTTTTTTTCTCATTGATCTATCACAGTGAGTTGATTAAGTGGGGGACGTTAGATTGCGTTCACTCCCACTTAACACAAACTAGGTCATTTCTAGACTAATATTATATATTCAGTACAAAAATGTCCTTGGGTTTAGGGGTCTTTAGCAGTGGGAGCAAACCGGGGATAACTTACGATGTTAGGAAGGCGATATTTCTGCTTGGAATCGAACTCGCAGCGCGTGCATCGATGACACACCTTACGATGTAAAGCCTAAACACTCCCAATATTAAAGATAATTATATGGCTATACAATATTAAGTGCCCTCAATTAAACGTTTATATTTCTTAAACTTTCATCGATTTATTGGAATTGCAATGCATCAGTGCTTTCAAAACAGGGTGGGTGTACCTATCCATAAAATCAAAACAATCAGACTGTTCACTAACGTTTAAAGAATAATGCATTTACATTTTCTGAGCATTTCCCGCAAATCCATATCAAAGAATATTAAACATACATTATGCAAGAGCAATCTATCTATTGCAGGTCTTTCTTTAGGCCTAAAATGTTATCTAAATTATTAATTAGACATTAATTAACTTATCCAGACCATAATCAACTCTAGATGGCATCGCTAGCCTGCGATCTTGAGTGGATTGTGATCCGATTTACTGCATAACTTTCCTTCTCGATTAAACGATTAAATGGATAATCGAGACTATGCTGTTTAATGTACTGACTTTAGTAATGATGACTGAGGCTAGGCAGAATTTTTATTCGCTTAGTTCTCGGTTGATAGTGGATCAATTTGAATTAAATTTTCAGCAAATTGCCTTTACGTTATCTAGTTTTTAATTATTATAGTGAGAACTGCCAACTCGTTATCGAATCTATCATAATGTATCTTTAATGGATTTTATTTAGAATTTGGACTAAACTGCATAAACAAAAAGTGACGATGTAATGTGTTTACAGATGGATTGGCAATGAAATATTTTCAATTATTATTTCACAATTATCTCCTACCAAGAGCAGAACGACTAGAACAAATGTGTAGGATCTGATGGTTTCATGTACGGAAATATTCCACTGACATACGCTTGGCAACTGTAGATAAGCAGAGTTGTATGGAAAACCAAACAACTCTTTATTCTTGGTTCTTAATTCATAGTTCTTAATTCTTATTTTTTCATTTGTTGTCGTATTTCGACATTTGTATGCTAAAATTAACATATGTATCTTAATATCAATATTTGTTTTACAAATCAGACATTCGTCATTTGTAAATTGTGTTTTTGTTTAATTTAATTGTATTATAATACAAATATAAAACTTCTTTTTCAATATCAAAAAATAACATTTACATTTCATCAGAAACATACAACGAACAACAAACCTCGAACAACAAATTTCCGAATACAAATCTCCAAATATCCATCTTGCAATACCATTGTCAAATCCATCTGCCGTCCGTCTTCATTAGCCCAGTTCGAAGCAGCACAGTAGGACGTTAAACCCCATTTCATTTCATTTCATTTCCATCTAGTAATAATGACGACAAGGCGCTAGTGAACGTGCTAGAGAATACACAGTCTTTAGGGGATTTGTAAAGGGGGGCTCAGATCGACCTTACAACGCGACTCAACTGGTCGCTGACAGGTTTTCCGGCGACTGCCGCCGATCGTCGCACGATTTCCGTCGCCGATTCTAGTCGATCTGTGTCTAGCTACGACCGTCGTGCGACAGTTTTTCACGATCGGCGACTGAGTCGCAGAAGTTGAACATGTTCTACTTCTACGACGCGACGGAACCAGTCGCCGACTCGTCATCGTCGATGTGTGAGTTTCTACGATCGGTTGCCGACTGCGCTATAAATGTTAGCCAATCAGAGCGGCGAATGAAAAATCAACACGGCGACCTCATGGACGACCGAAGAAGAAGAAAGCCTAATTGTTATGAGAAACGGCTAACGCGACTGCTGTAGCTGCCTGTCTACGACGTTTTTGTATCATGTTGATATAAAGCCTTTGTTGATAAATCTAAAAATTATGAATATAAATCATATCAAATAGAATCATAAACAAAAATTTGAATCCCTCGAGGTAATTTAAATTGCTTTCTCACTATAATTTCGCTAATAAGATGGAGAGATTATGGAATAATTAGGCATATTTTGTATTTTTATGGGGAAAATTTGTGTGCGCGTACCTGCATTCTGTGTGGCGCCATTTTGAACGAGTCACATGATCTATTCGTGAGGACGCCACAAGTCGGTGTATCGGTGTCGATGTGAGCGCGCTCGCGTTCAATCGTCCGACCGATAGCAACTGGTCGGCGATCATTGCTGAATTCGATCTGAGTGCAATCTACGATAGTCGCCGACAGTTGAGTCGCGTCGCAAGGTCGATCTGAGCCGGGCTTTAGAGAATACAGTTCTTAGCGGATTTTGTTTCAAATTGGGTGTCAAGCATTAGAACTGTGTGTTAGACGGTGGCCACCCTATGTAAGACCATTAGGGTCAATTAAGATAGTTATCCTGGCCCCGAGTTCACAAAGCATTCTCAGACTTAAGTTGAGAATTTACTTAAAATTGTTCACCTTATTTTAACTAAAATATAGCCCTTTATAATAATTTTGTTGTTTTAATGTATCAGATATATCAATAAGAAACTATATGCAAAGTTTTGTGTATCTGGATCAAAGATATTTCTCATAAACAGTGATTGAAAGTTGAGCAAATTGTCAACTTAAGTCTGAGAATGCTTTGTGAACTCGGGGCCTGTTATTACAAGGTAGCTTACAAAATAACAAGATACGGCCAAAATGTTTATTTCATTTAATCACCAGCATGGACGAGGAATTAGAGCAATTCTTGTGTAATAGGGGACTCATCAAACGAGAAATGGAGATAATGGTGGATCAAAAGGTATGGATATAGGATTAATGCGTATTTTTCATGTACATGTCCAGAATTGGTATTTGTCCTTTCATTTTTTAGAGGCTACCTTCTTTGATATTTTGTTTTCAAATTTGTTGTGAAGTATTGGTACACGACAGGACGAACCCTAACCAGAGTTATGCCCCCCCCCCCCCCTTTAATCAAACATTTTACTGGTTATTGTAAAAACTTGGCGTGAAGGCTATTAAATTTTAAATTTGATGTGAAGCATTGGATTCTTTGATAACATGTCCGGAAAGCTTGTGAACACGGTAAGGTAAATGTCATTTAGTTTTCAGTCTGACCACAAAAGAAAGTTCAGCGTTACTCTATTTGAAGTAATGACATTCAGCTTACTGTTTATAATTTTATCCCTTGGCAGTTGGAATTCGATATAAGAGTAGGCCGTAGTGCCGCTGTCCGGGCAAAATTTCCCTCATAACACACTGTATGGCGTGTGCCCGTCTTCATTAGCCCAGGTTAGGAGCAGAACAGTAGGACGTTAAACTCCATTTCATTTATAATTTTATAACTGTCTAAAATTTTGTAAGAGTTGTTTAGCTTATAACTGCATGGCGACAGTCAGAATTGGCGGTTGGTCCATAATGTCGCCTTTTATTATTTAACTCGAGCCCATAGTATACATTTCAGAAATCCAGCATATCAGCATGTTAAGGTACTATAATGGACGAGTTCAGACGGCACAGTTCTTATATTGGATCTTTCTGATCAGTGTAACTAAGGATAATACTAGTTACCTTATGACGATGTTCTAATTTGACTGGCTTTTAGTTATGATTAGGTGAGAAATCAAAATGAAACGAAGCGAAGTATTAATAATATACAGAAAGACTGCAGACAATCTAATATTTAGTATAGGGTAAACCCATTCAAACATTCGTATGTTTTAGTTTTCAATGGTTTTCAGGGTAATTCGGTGTAACACTGGGGCCCTTATTCTGTTCAGTAAATGGACTACAGTATGGTATTCGTCATGGTGGTGATCAAAGGCAACATGTGTTTCAGCACAACTTTACTTCCGAAATACATAAGAGATACACTATGTTTAATATTATTAAGTATCCATGAATTCATGTTAGTTAAAATTATATACTATTTTTGCTACGGTATATCCATTCTACCGGAGTCTATAATGTTTTTATTTTTTGGACCAAAGGTCCTCTTGTCTAACTGCTATTGTTTGTCGTCTGTTAGCACCTTGCCATCTTGAACCATCAGAATGGCCTATGACACAGCAACCTAATCTACCACCAGCATTACCAGTCGTAGTACTACCACTGTTACCACCTCGTCCTAAATCATCTTCATTAGCATGTAGCTGAAGAAACAAAAACATATAGTCTGTGTACACATATATTGTCGTTGGCTGTAGTAACAGTTATAGAATACCGCTACCATTACCCACGTAATTTTAAATATTTTTCAAGGGACCATAGGGAATTTATTTTATAATATTCATTGTGTCTTAAATATTGGATACCAAAAGCCCATATTTTCACGGTAGGATAACATCAAAATTTGTTGAAATGAACCAATATTATGGATAATAATAGAGTTATGGGTTTAGTTCCTTTAAAGGAACTTGGAGTAACTTTCAAATATTGTTCAGGGGCCCTGGGCGATAGTTTGTTAACTAGCAAAGTAACTGTGTGAACAGATTATACCAGAATTCGTTCTATAGCCATGTGATGTCTAGTCTGCAGTCGCCAGGGTGGTCTCATGTTTATTTACTTTTTGACACAACTCGCTTTATACAGCGTTCACATTTTCACAGTTTGTTCATTCATATATTATCAACAGATTATGGTGCAACAGAAACGACATGCTGTTGTTGACTTTAGTATTTAGTTTAATTCCAAAGTATACTTACCACCATAGCACGACCGTTAATAGAATACGGTCCTACCAAGGATGCCATAGAATCCGAGAGAATTGCTCTTATATTACCAAAACCATCTTCACGAACATTACCTAGATCTCCGACGTGTCTAAAACATAAGAGCGTGTATTCAAAAAGACTGGCGTATAAATACTTTCTGTCCGCGAATTGTTTATTACTTTCAAGTTCACCAAATATTACTTCTAACTGTCTGAACGACTCACGGCTGATCTGGCAACGGGTCGTTGAGGTTGCTCCGAGTGGCAATTGCCACATTCTAACTTTGTTGCATTCCCATGTCTAAATGTAGCATTATCCTCTTTAATACTATAATAATACTAATAATAATGAAATATTGTGGGGGAGGGGTGGGGGCATGGGCTTGCCTTGTGGGATATTGATGTGAGATCACTGTCATCCTCAATGCTAACAGGTACATGTATTAAAGATAATGCATTAAATCATTCGTTAAGCGGTTTATAATTACCTAATCTGACTATTTGGTGCTCCATGTTGACTATTTAATGGATTGTAATGACTACCAGTACTAGTACAACCATTAGATAGGTCACCAAGTTGGTGTACATGTAAACCATGTTTCACTATATTATCATTGTTCGTTAAACCACTTAATTCAACCTTTATCTCTAAATTACCCAGTGGCTCACATCTGGCATTCTACAATAAAATACGATATCACATTATTCAGAAATTAAAGGTAGCAATAACATTTCCAGATGGATCTTATTGACCCTTTTTCCCATGAGGAAGGTGGGTGGGGAGCGGGGTCTTTAATTGTGAAGTCGGTCGTGAGTTGGTCTACAAAAGGCTCTGCCAGAAAATCATCAGCCTCACATCGCAGTCATATATCTATTTTACCAGTTCACACATAAAATAGCTTACCAGAGTAGAGATATAACCGATTTAGTATTCCACTGTCAACACAGTAAGACAAGTTGAGATTAGTAAACAAGTCCCAATTCAATATTTTATATGATCCAAATCAAAGGGGGGGGGGGTATGGTTGTTTAATTCAGTAGTATTCCAAAGTTTACTTACAACATTTTGAGCGAAATCAATAAAACCCGACACCAAACTCCCAGGTGATGCTTGCATTGCACAGGTTGAAAAGACTGCAAATGAAAATTACCTGAATCTTAATTTTATAGGTAAAATCCTGTCAAGACATAAATAATATGGCAAATCGTTCGGTATTTCGTTTAGCAGCACTATCGTGGAAACCAAGGATAGTATTTAGGACAGGCACTTTTCAGTCATCCAAACACCCACTTGACACCACTCTATTTCGATCCGAATTGGTATAAAAATCTGCAGTCAATACCCGATAAGGTAAATATTCCAGTGAATACAGCAATTGAAATAGCATTAATTATTATGATAAAGTTTGCAGAAACCGTAAGGGTAAAAAAACCATAAAGACAAACCATTAAAGAGGGAAGCCTCGACCGCGTTCGCAAGTTGACGCGCCGACTGACGGACAAGGGTGACGACATCACACTGAAATGTTGACGTGTAACTGGAAAACCTTAAGACTGGGGCAGTAACAGTGAAAAACAACTAACATTTTTTTCAAAAAATAAGATAATTACCTCGTCCAGTGTGGCATCCGACAGCTCGTATTTGTGATGCAGATGAAGATGCAGACATAGATGAAGATGCTAGGAGTTGTGCCATATGCAGCAGTGAGTTGAGATTGATGGAGACACCATCACCGGCACCGGTGGAAATATGTCTAATAGATCTTGGCATTCCACTTGCCATTTTGCCTGGTTCAAACAAAAGCACATAAAAGTATAAAATTTAGCTGGGTATAGGTGGTTCTTTTCAAAAAAGAATTAAGAGAATTGATCAGTTTTGAATAATCCGATCGCAATTGCAATTCAAGTTCCATAAAGTGTCTACTTGATCATAGAGCTGTGGGGAGGCGGTCTGACTCGGTGACGGGTTTTGCTTGAGTCCTTAGATACATGAGACTCAAGTAAAACCTCATGTCACCTATCTACTTGGTTCGCTGTTTCGTAAGCAACAGTCGAGAATTTATTTATTATGTCGCGTAACTTTTTATTTAGTTTTCCGTGTGAAACACTCAGGTATGATAAGATAGCTTTTCAGTAAAACAACTGTATATTATCAGCATAAATATTTGATTCCGTCTTCTATTTCTATTTGGATTTTTATTCTATTTTATTTATTATTTTTAGGTCTGTTAAGTATTGTATTGTATGCCTACCCTACAATTTCACTTTTAAAAAAATGTCAAGGTTCAGATCATTTTTTTTTATAAAAATTAACCGAGCCAAGCCGTTTACCGATATCAACCGTTGATATTGATACGGGAAGCCGCTTTACATTGGTATTACAGTGGATAGGTTGGGATTAGTTTTTATTCCATGGATACACGCCCGAAGAACAAATAACGCGGTGTCGCGCGAAATTTTGAACGGCACACTAAGAAAATGCGAAAAACCACGTGATTCCAATTGAGTTTTCACTGGTGTCTACTGATAAGTTCATAGCTGTGTTTTTCTTTATATGTATCTATGATTAGGTTGAGAACCACTGAACGAAGCGCGTAGATACGGATTAATTTACTGGTATTTAAATTCAACAAATACAACGGCTGCAAAGTGTTCTTTAGACAGTAATTAATATATTTAGATTTGATTAGACACCATTTTGGCATCGATGTTTGTACTTGGAAATAAGTTAAAGTACTTAAAGTTCAGACGTTAACAGACAGATGTAAAAATAATTGATGGCACCCACAGGCTAATATACTGATATGGTGATAGCAATGATACAGACATGTGGTATGCTGTATTGATAAAATTTATAAACAGCTTGTTTTTCCAAAATCTGTCTATCAGTAAGGAATGGTTTTGTACGCAGCTTTTTTCCATATAAGGACATTAAGATGCATTAATTTAACCAATCAAATAATTATTACCTCTGACGTATTTTCGTTTGATGGTAAGTTTGCGGGATTTTATGAACACATCGATCCAGACACCATTACGACAAAATGTGGAAATCTTGAAATTAGTTCCATTTAGCGGGCCCCGGGCGAGCTGGTTGAGAGAGAGAGAGACCATTTTTTAGTGGCCCATATTGAAATCCATAGTGATCACAACGTGAAGTTGTGTATTCTGAGAGCTGTGACACGGGATCGATAGTGTTACGCAATTAGAAACAAATTAAGATCCCAGCAGGACATCGACAAAAAGCAATGTGAAATTCAGATGGCGATAACTTGCAATAAGATTGGCCTATTCAATAACCTTTCGGAAAATAGTCAGCATTTATTATAATATAATGTGTCAGAAAAAAAAAAAACTTAATGCGGTATTAATTCTTAATTTAAAGAGTCGTGGGCACTTTAGAAGTTGGTAACAAATAAATCTTTTCGATTTGACGAGAATTAATAGTATGCTAAAGTTATACCAAACATCTTTTGCTTAAATATACACTTTTCAACTTTCAACTCAGTGCTTTTCATTGCGTTTAATGAGAGGTCGTGAAAAATATCTTACTTTAATTTGGGTAGTATCTGAGACAAAATGAAAACGCATCAATTTTATATAAAAAGATGGTTGTAATTATGCTTTAATCTTGCAATTCTAAATGTACGACATGAGAACACGGCGATAACACGTGAGAATACTCTTAAACACCTAAAAAAATTAAAAAAATCGACCGAATGGTCACGGGAAATGAGAAGTCGTCTGATGGGTCAATTCTTGTTGCTGCAAATCCAGCTAATTTGAGCCGATTACGAACAGTTCGGTAACATAGTGGGCGGTGGAGTAACAATTTCCTTAGTGCTTAGAGCAAAAGGGTGACGTCGCACGAGTCTCAAAATAGTTATATTCCGTATGTTGACAACGGTAAACGATGTTACCCATGGAAAATTAAACGTTGGATATGAATTCAAAAGTACAAGAAAAAAAAAATAACTTTGTTAACTTGATAAATGTGATCTGTAGAAGAAGTAATCCTTTAATTTTATGTAAAATTGGTAATGACAAACTTTTGTTTCAAACATATGATTTTCATATTTTCAAATTGTTTTACTTACCTTTCTAAAGATTCTTTATATATAAATATGGCTACAGTTTCTGGTGTCGATATACGCTCTGAGTGAAATAGTAATTATTGATGGCTTTTAACTTTTAAACTGTTAGTGTTGAAAATGTCACGTTTAAAGTATAAGATATGCCAAAGGTATTTAACAGTGTTTCTGGACAGCGACCTGAAAACAATGCGTGACTTTTCTTATATATTTGGGCCTTTACAGTACTTTATCGTAAAATATATACTTTGTCACTATATTTAAGCCCGTCTTTAGCAGTTACATTCATATATATGCGAACAAAAATAGATTATATTCCAAAAATACAAAGCCAAATATATTTCTATATATATGCAATCAAAGGTGCCCTTGGTAGAAATATACTAAACTAAATATTATTCAAATCAAAGAATTGGAAGTGGTAGTTAAAGGGGCATTATTCAAGAGCTAAATCTGCCTATTGCAGGTCTTCCTTAAATGTTATATAAACTATTAATTAGACATTTACTAGCCCGCGTCTTTCTAAAACCAGCATCAAACTTTTATTAATTCCACGCGGGAAGTTGTTTATAAAACTGTCGGATACCGTTAAAAAATGGTGGTATTCCTCGGTAATTATTAAAAATAGATAACCAGATAAAATCGAAATAAACAAACATTTACGGTAAATACCGCTTATATGTAGTTGTCATAATTTTAATTCTGAATTTGGATTACAACGTTGCGAATAAGATCTTCTATCTTTTATGCGCATTGTTTTCTTGTATTGTTTATTATGTCTATGTTTTGTTTCGCAGTATATTCAATACATTTTTTCTTCTCTCTTTTTTATACTCACATATCCTTGTTACCGCCCCGGTATTTATTTGTAACATATACAATTTCATAAATCTGAGTTTTTAAAATTTCAAATCAAATACAATTTGAACAAAATAATTAATTAATGTTTTTTTCTCTCATTTGTCTTTAGGTCCGAATTGTCTGAAATTTGCACTTTAAATATTTTTTATGCAGAGTTATCTGATCTTTATTCAAGATGGCAGCCCCCATGCAATGATAATATGGGCAACAAAATGAAATGTTTTTATTATGAACATTGGTTTTATTAAATATGGAATAACAAATTTACTTTTGTGTATTAGAACATTAAAAATGAGCACGTTTACATCACGACTTTGTCCAATAACTGGCAAAATGGAGTGGATTCTTCAAGATGAACAGTATGATTACCATCAAGAAATCGCAAGGTAAACAACAAACAATAAAATGAAACATTGATTAGTATATATACATAAGTATCGACTGACTTTCTCTCTCTTAAAAAAAAAAAATGTTATAAAATAGATGTATAGTCCTATCGAGCAGCATAATTGGCGAGCTTGGTTTTAACTCCCCGCCCTTTTATTTTAATATCAGTACTAGGGTAGCCAACAAGAATTCCCACCAACCATAGCTTTATTTTTTCCAATGACCAATGTAAGCAAAGCCAAAGCGGAAAATAAGTGGCAGAACAGTTTATCCTATCGATCTACTACCGTTAGCTAAGGTTAGAAATTAGGAAACCTGATTTTTTAAAAACATTTTAAACAGAATTGCAATCACTACCGGTATATAATTTTGTCTTCCAGATCTGCCTATGCTGATATGCTTCATGATAAAGAAAGGGTAAGTGATTTCCTTCACCCTTGGTCACTCACATTTATATTGCATAGTGCAACACACAAGTTAGCTCTGAAAAAAAAAGGGATGTATTCTACATATTCTGAAGTAACTCCATTTTCATTCATAGGCCTATCTCCCAACAAATTTAGAATTGTGTCTATATATTTTCATGTAGGGTTTGCATACACTCCCATTTAGACTGTACTGCCATGGAATTTATTTTTACTATATATTCCTAGCCACCTGTAATAAAATCAGTTCATCACAGTATCACTTACTATATGCATCTCGCATGCAACAAACAAGTGTTCGGGTATGGCATAGGTGTTCGCAAAAAAAATGGTGGTCAGCTCCTGAGATACATGTATCTTAGCTTCAAGCCTTTTACGACAGTTAATAGCATGTAAAATGGCTTGACTTCAATGTTATTTTATTAAGCATACACTGATTCCTGTAAGATGCCCCCAATTTAAGGCTGTATAGTGAAGGTACAAGGGGACAGCAATTTTCCATTTTACCAGTATGCTGTAGACTTAGGATGGGCTGTGTGAAAATCTAAGATGTATCACCAGTACTCAGTACGTCGATTTCTGTGCCCTCATTTAGTTTAATTGTATAATATATGAAATTATTGATATTAAAGGATTTGTTATTTTTAGAATGAGAAATATTATTTGGGTGTAAAGAAAGCTATAGAGATAATTCACAGTCGTGGAGAAAAAGCTAAAGTTTTAGATATTGGTACAGGAACTGGTTTATTGTCTATGATGGCAGCACAATCAGGAGCAGATCAAATTACAGCGTGTGAGGTAAAAACGTACTCTATTTGTGTTCTTTTCAAATTATGTTTATTTTTTATTTTTTTTGAAAATTGTGTACTTGTAATTTTTCATTAATTTTTTATTGCTAATTGTGTACTTGTAATTTTTTATTCATTTTTTATTGATAATTACTGTTGATCAGCAATTATTTTTTGCTGACCTGTGAATTATATTTGCACATTTTGCATGACCTCAGTCAGTTATTTCTACATAGAATATTTGAATAATCTTTTGAAGGCTTTTGAGCCAATGGCAAAATGTGCTGAACAGATTATGAAGAAAAATGGCTTTGAAGAAAAAATTCAACTGATTCCAAAACGCTCAACAGAGTTGAAATCAGGCCCAGGTAAGTTACAGACATGTCTTTTAAAATTTTGTAGATGAATCAGATCGTTGTGATGATTTCAAGAACAACCTATACCGAATACTTATATTACCGTTATTAGTTGTTTATTGTCCCCCACCTTTCAAAGAAAGCAGGGGACTATTAAAATGGAACTGTCCATCTGTCTGTCCTCCTGTCTGTCTGTCTGTCAAACTCTTTGGGACACAATAACTTTCCTTCTAATTGAGCTAGAATGTTCAAACATGGTGTAGGTGTTTCTTAGGTGAATGTCTTGATGGAGTTCGAAGATGAAAGTTTTTACCAAATTTAAAGATGAAACAAGATGGGTATAATAGCTGTGACTAAGTTTTATAATGAGCATTTTCGGCTCAGGGTAAGCAGAGCAATAAACAATTCGATTTGTCAAGACTTGGAGCTTGATAAGTTTGTTTCTAATTGGGTGATAGTGGTGAAACTTGGTGTATAGTTTTATTACATCAATACCTTAACAAAGTTTGATGCTGAGCATTTTCTACTTAGGCAAAGTAGAGACTTCAATCTGAATGGTCGTGACTTTCGAACACAATAACTCTCCTTTTAACTGAGGTAGAATGTTCAAAATTGGTGTAGGTGTCTATAGTTCGATCATGCGCATTATCCACTAAGGCTAAGCAGAGATAAGCAATTTTGATTGGTTGAGACTTTGGAACACAATATTTTTGGCTCTGATTGGGTGGGAGTGATGAAAGGCCGAGTATAGATTCATTATTTATATCAATACATTGATTAAGTTCGATGATGAGAATTTCTGCTTAGACTTTGGAAGGCAACAGCTATGCTTTTAATTAAGGTATAAATGTTCATTAGGCGTTTGTCTTGACTGAGTTCAATGATTAATATTTCCCGTTAAAGCTAAGCAATTTCATTGGTTGATGCTTTGGGACAAGATAACTTTGATTCTAACTGATGGAGAACGTTGAAACTTATAGTGTATAGTTTCACTACCAGGTATTTCAAAACCTGACTGAGTTTGATTGTGAACATTTTATGCTTAGACTAAGTATAGATAATCAGTTTGATTACTCAATACTTTGGAAAAAGATAAATGTGAAATTAAATAATATTTGTCAACTGTTTCTTTTGGGATTTCGGTGGGGGAAATCAGCCTCACCATTGGCTTGTTTATGTATATTTTAAATATTTTCTATGAGGCTGCAATGTTTTTTCATTTTTTAAAAATTATTTTAAAAAAGCTGTATATCTGTGCAAGTCAGAATAACTGGTTGTCATTAATCACCCTTAAATCACTCTTGGCCACCTCAAAACAAGTTTGATTTTCTCCAGTATAGCACAGCTGAATATTTTGCTTGATATTGAAAGAACATGAATTCCAAGTAAAGTTTCATTATTTTGGAAGCTTCACAATGTAATCCATCTACTACTCTTATAGTACCACTTCTTTCTCCCATACATCTTATAAAAGGTCAAGCAAAACATCTCCAGAAATCTTAGCACTGCCTTCCGGGCTACGAGCAGGGCTGCCGACAACCAGTATCGCAGCGCAATTTGCGATACATATTTTGTCCGTTGCTAATCAAAAATTAAAATCTAACGTTTTTGATTCGCAGTAACTGCGAATCAATAATATGCCTGTCATTTTGGATATTGACACAAAGATTTATCCACATTTCTCAACACTTTCAACGCGTATAAAATATCAAATAAATTTTATAAACAAAACGGAATTCTCCGTGTGACATTTTCTTCTCGAACTACCCAGACTCAATTCATGATACTATATAATACAGGGACATAACTCTATGAATCGGGACTATTAAACCGGAAATAGGGAATCAAGTAGTACCACTTACGTTGCGAGACATGTCAATTTCGAGTAATTATATCAGTATTCAATTTGAAAAAAAATAAATTCAGTGTATCCCCCACGTATTGTAAATAAAATATAAAAAATAAATACGTGTAAACGTATTGTAAAGTGAGAAATCAAAGTAAGAATTCCCGTAAACTATTATTGTTTATATCGCGTGCGTCTAGTTAATCGAAATTATTCGTAAAATACCGCGTGCTTCCGATTGAACAAAAATAATAACACACGATAAAAAGCAGACGAAATTGTTTTCTATCGAAGAAATAAGAAGCCACTGCCAAGAATTGGCTTCAGACATAAGGCCTAACAAAAGTCTACATTCATTCAGAAATGTTCACAGCTAGCTGTAGAAGTGCTAACATTCTAAAAAAAATCTTAAGAATGAAATCTAATCATTTGCTATCAATTAAAATTAAAATAATCTTGTTATTTAGGTGTTTTATGTTGATTTGAAACTGAAAAACTGCTAATCAATTTTTAAAGTTGCTAATCAAATTTGGCAAAATTGGACTTTTTGATTAGCAGTGCTGCTAATCATCTGTGAAAAATTACCGACAGCCCTGGCTACGAGTGGTGTTATTTAAGTGATATTGAACTTACTTAGATGATTACCTTATGTGTATGTTTAGGTAAAGATATGGAAGAGCGAGCTAATATTCTAGTTACAGAAGTTTTAGATACAGAATTAATTGGAGAAGGTGCAATTGGAACGTACAATCATGCTCATAAACAATTATTGGAGGTTAGATTTTATTTTTAATTAATGATCAGACATCTTACTAGAAATGTGTAGCATACACCTGTAGCCTAAAAATATTAAAAAATTGTTTTGTGGACGTAATCAGCATTTATGGTGTGACTAATCCTGATAATCAATTCCTGTTTATCACAATCGATTTTCATTCAAAATTATAATAAATTAATACATTATTGTCAGTAGTATTATTTATTCTGGTGATGGTTGGTGCAAATAAGTAGGAAATTAAACCCCATTTCATTTGTTCTTGTGAAAGCATTTAACAAACTTACTGTTCATTCTGAATGGCCTGCTTATTAAAGATACATTATGGGAGATTTTTATAGAGAGTTGGCCATTCTTGCTATAACAGTTCAAAAGTAGATGATGAAAGAAGAATATATTGAAAAATTCAGTCAAATTACTTTATTCTGAACATAGTTATCATCGTTGTAATATTTGCCTAGAAATGGTAGCGAAATGTGTCTTCACCTTCGCCGATGGTTTGATTGACAGGCGTTAACTCCACCTACATATCTCGATTATCAAGTAAAGTTTTCAATGGCATACGAAAACGCTTTACAGCAGCCTCGCTAAGTACACTCTATCATTTAGCCTCGATCTAACTGATGTATTTTCATCAGGTTACCCCTTATCTGATTTAATCAATTAGTGAAATCCTATTTAAATCCGAGCTGTAGCCGAGCCATCCGTGGGTCTACAGAGTTGATTTTGATCTTGTTGTTTAAATAAAGATCTAATTTATAATTTCTATAACATCTGAAGCCTAAATTAAGACTTGCAATAATCAGATTTAGCTCTTGCATAATGCATGTTTAATCTATAACACTACAATATGATTGAAACAAGCTTACCTGCTAAATCTATGACACCACAATCACATGTTCAATTCTCAGTCTGAGTGTTGAATCCCTGTATCCCTCTACCCATCTTTAAATTACTATTATCGTGTGGCTCAGTGAGTAAGGCTCTGGTTTGCTAACCAGAAGGTCTTGGGTTCACTCCTGGTGATGCCTGAGAAAGTTTCTCTGGATTCTCCGGAATGGTTTCCTCTTGTCAGGACGGAGGGCCTGACATGGAACAGTGTCTATTCATTCGGATGGGAAGATTGGCGTGCACATAAAAGAACCCTTAACAGTTGGAATTCCAATCTGATTAAAATACAGATCTATATTTCGTTTCATTTTATACTTTCGATGGCCTCTACTACATGAAGATCTGACTGGTTGTAGTGGAAGGTTGCATAAGAGGTTATACGAGTTGGTTTTGACCCTCTGACGTCACATCATCCAGAACACAGGTTATATAACAACTCTTCCAGATTCTAGTGTAGTAAAGACAAGTAAAACGAAATTTTGAACTGTAAAAAGTGAAACGAAATAGGATCTGTGTTTTAATCAGATTGTTGGAATTCGAAATAAGAGTAGGCATAGTGCTGCTGTTGTGCAAAATTTCCCTTTAAGCACACTGTATGGTGTATGCCCATCTTCATTAGCCTAGGTGGAGCAGAACATTAGGATGACCGCACTTCATTTCACTATATAATGTAGATGCTGTACTAAAGTCATGCCTTACTTTTAATATTATTGTCTATTTACAGAAATAACAAAACTTTTTCAATATTTTACAGAAAAACTGTCTAGTAGTACCTAGAGCAGCCAATATGTATGTGCAGTTAGTTTCATCTGAATTTATTAGACGCTGGAATGTGGTACAGCCATTGAAGACAACAGAAACTAGAGTAGTCTCCCCTCCTACAGCCAGTAGTAGGTGCAGTGGAGCAGCATCTTTACATGATGTGCAGTTAGACCAAATTGATCCCTCATTATTTACATCTATATCTCAACCTGTACAAATATTCAGGTAATTTTAATATCATTATGGTCTTAATCTCCACTGAATAATCCAACAAAATGTTTAAAAATTTCATATAGAATTCATCCAGCCAGTATACAATATTTTTACAAGATTTCATGGGTTTGTACATAAATTCAGAAGTAAACACTCTGGGATTCTTGATTGAAAAATAATGAATTTTGATAAAGATCTTTCTCATTATCCACTAAACAATTCCTGTTATCTTTAGAATGCACACAGAGAATTGTGGCCAGCAGACAGTCTATGGTGACATTTCAATGAAAAGATTACCTGTTTATATGTCCTTTTTTCAAGGCATCAGAGCAAACTTTTATAGTCAACTTTATAACAGTTGATAAAAATAAAATAGTATAGATTTGATCTTGGCTCTGTAAAGTGTAAACCTAATTTATTCTGCATGATTATCTTTGTATTTTATTTTGTCTTTGAGGTTTGATTTTAATAGTAAAGATGGAATACCAGAAGATGATGCTTCAACAGTTATTGTTAAATCATTAAATAAAGGAACTGTTGATGCTGTGTTTATGTGGTGGGATATAGAAATGGATCCACAAGGGGAGATTATCTTAAGCTGTGCCCCGCATTGGGCACACCCAGATAGTCATAATTTACAGGTAATAAATAAAACTCTATTTTATAATAGTTCATAAAGTTCATTGAGGTCTTTTTTTTACCACACATTACTATTTTAATTAAAGCAACGTTTTGTTTAAGGTTAATTAAAATAGTAAATGTGTTCCATATTATGTTTTTTGTATTTATTACGTGTGTCATTGCTAAATGCTGCTCAAAGAAGACTATGTCATCATAAGAGTTGAATATTAAGAGATTCATTTCAGAGTCTATCTTTAAACATATATTTTCTTCACATTAGCAAGCCTAAATACATAATCATTGATTGGAAAATATATTCAAACTACCAGGAAAATATATTTGTTGTCCAAACAACATTTTATCTTTTGAGATATTGCAAGAGAAGCTCACTTTATAATGTCGAAATTTTAACATAGCCAACATTCGTATATGACAAATACAAGATGAGTGTTTTCGTTAATTTGCAACTTAGGAGCAATATAACAGTGGCATGGTTTTAACAGTGTATAAACTTGTTTATTTCATTGTGAGTCTATATAAGTTATTTTTTCTGGTTATTATAATTATCATATAAAGCCTGATTAATACAGTTAAACAGATGATCTAATTATACTCAAGATCTTCAGATGTTTAGAAATTAGCATAATGCATGTGAAAGTAAATCATGATGCAGCTCTTTTAGTCCTAAACTGAAACTTGATTATGTGAAAGACTGAAAGATAGATAATTTCTGCTTGATCAATGTATCAATTCTACAGGCCAAAGAGAAGAACTGTGATCAATCCTGTTTAATATATTTGTGTATTTCAGTGGCGAGATCATTGGATGCAGGCTATATATTATCCTAGTTTACCATTGTCTGTTGATGTTAATCAGAATATAAAAATACTCAGTAGTCATGATGAATATAGTCTCTGGTTTGAAGTGGTTGATAGTCATGAGTAAGTTTACTTATAGTTTTAATACATCTTTTTATTTTGACAAATGTTAATTTGTATTATTGTTTTTTCACCAAATTCAAGATTTGTACAATTTTTATGGTCGTTTTCATGGTAGAAAAAACTGTGCTCCACCTGTGTACAAATAAAAGAACCATTGACAAATGGAAATGTAACTGACCAGGTAAAAATTTACCTCACCTTTTGTCTCACTATGGCCAAAGTCTTGTGTTGACCAGATATTAAATCCTATTTTTCAACACCCAATATTAACATTATGAGATTCCGTGAGATTGCATCACTTGATCTCTAATGTTAATATGGTGTTGAAAAATCATAATCAAACTTCAACTTAATACGTAAGTATCGTTTGATTTATTAATTAAATTCTATTTCTTTTTTTGACATGTTGTGTATACATAGCTTAAGTTTGCCTTAACATAGATACAACAAATAGGTATTTGTGGAATAAATAGTACATTAGATATGATTTGCGTTTCATCTATTTTAGTACAACTCCAGCTCCATTGGAGAGACCTCTATGTGAATGTGGAATTCATACGACTATTAGTCGAACAAGAATAGGCATGATGAATGATGTCAAAAGAAATCAGGTTTTCATATCAGCATTAAAAAAGGTACTTGTTTTGATAAACAGATTTTTTATACACCCCACTAGTCCATCCATCTTTCCTTTTGAATGCTCTACAAGATTGTTTATTTCGAGGTAAAGGGTAAAGGAGAACCATCACAACTTCAGAGTTATCTCCCATTTATGTTCAGATTTAAGAAATCTTGTGAATGGTGATATAGGACAAAGTTCTATATAGAATTTATATTTCCTATCGTATTTTGACTTTAAAAGCTTGTCAACACAATACAGGACTGTAAAAATGACTATATATGTCAGTCTTAAATTATTACAACACATATCATCTCTCTACAGATATATTAATATCATTTTTGAAATTTGTTTAATTTTCAGAATCTTTCTCCTAGTTCTGTATGTTTGTGTATAAGTGATGGAAGTCTGTTGTCATTAATAGCTGCCCAGTTAGGTGCTAAAAAGGTAATTTCTGTTTTCTTTTGTTTCCTACTGAAAACCTGTTTAAAATATTAACACAATTTTTATGAAATATTGAGCAATTTATAAGACAAATTTATGGACAAGACACAATATGCATCAAATTAATGAATGGACGGGAGGCTAGCCGTAAGTGTCCATTGGGCCTCTAGTGACATAGATTAACTCAAAAATGAAAACTAACAATAAGAAGGAATATATCCCAAAACATTGTGTAATACTAGTAAGATGGCATGATCTGCTATATGCCACAAGAAATATAAATGTAAATTACCAATACATGTAACAATGTTGGTAAAATTCCCAAAGTTCATGCTATTCTCAAGTGTCTGGATAGCCATGTTTACTTACATTCCTAAGTTAAAGTGTTAAATGATCATTCCAATTGTCACTCATACAAAAGAACAATATATTAACTTAATTGAGTAATGTAACCCTCTTTTAACCATGTCTAGTAATCATTTATAAACTGATCAATGTTTTGAACTGACCACCAGGAAAACCTATTTGGGTTATTCATCTAAATTTTAGGTTTTTGTTTTGCACATTTTAATGGTTGTCTCTTGAAATTGAATGTATGTATTATAAATATACACATCGGTACTCATGATGGTAGTCAGCTATTGACTATTAGAACAGTTAATGCCATTCCTGATTTCTTTGAAAATTTTGCACACTTTAATGGCTGCCTTTTTGGATGGAATTTATATACTACCCGGTAATTATGATTTTTCATACTGGTACTCAAAATGGTAGTCAGTTATTGACTGGTATAACAGTTTGCCATTCTTGACTTGTTTGAAGTTTGAACGTTTTGCACACTTTAATGGTTGTCCCTTGAAATTGAATTTATGTATAATATATAATTTTACATACTGGTACTTTTGATGTTAGTCAGCTATTGACTATTAGAAAAGTTAATATTAATCTTGATTTCTTTGGGACTTTTCTTGTTGAAATACTTTAATGGTATTCTAATGAATTATTTTGCAGGTGTTTGCTCTTGAATCGAATCCCATGTGTGAGAGAGTATTAAAATCATATATTAATTACAATCGACTGGGTGATAAAATTACAGTATTGACCAAAAAGCTAGAAGATTTGACAGCTGAAGATTTTCAGGAATTGAAGGTAAAAAAAAATTTTTTTTTAAAGTTTTCTATGTAGAAATGACAATTACTCTAAAATATTAGGTTATTATTGCAAAGCATAAAATATGGATGAAAAGTCTCCAAATAATTTGTACAATTGTAAAATCCAAAATGCCACTGTAAAGTAATATATGTCATACAGTTTTTGTTTTAGAATATTATATTTTAGTACCAGTTTAAGAAAGTTTTTACTTGGATTTTGGCTTTACAAAGCACAAAGGGAGTTGGGTGGCCAAATGGTTGAATGTGTGCACTTTAGATCATAAGGTCTTGTCATTGAGTTAATTGGCGTGGTTTTGATTCTCTGCTTGTACCTTGGTCACCTTGTCAAACCTTGTGTGCTATTTCCAGGTACTCCAGTTTCCTAAGGGCAAGCAAATTATTGCAATAAAACTGAACCATATGTTCATCCTGAAATGACCTAGTTCGTTTTGAGTGGACATTAAACCCCTTTTCTCTCTCTCTCTCTTAAAATACAGGAAATATTTTATTGATCCTAGTAATTTGTTTGTAGTAAAATAAATCAAATCATTTAGTGATGAATTTCAATTAATAATTTACACAAAAATATATATTACAGATAAATTTAGTTATTGGAGAGCCATTTTTTATGTCCTCGGTTTTGCCATGGGACACCTTGTATTTTTGGTATGCTGTGTGCGAACTTAAGCGATTTATGGTAACTGATGTACCCATATTACCTCATAAAATGTCTATAAAGGCCATTGGTGTTCAATTCCGTGATTTGTGGAAAATCCGAGCACCTGTCAAAAATTGTGAAGGATTTAATTTAGACGTATTTGATCAAGTCATTCAGGTACGTTTTATAGGTTATTTTTGGTATTTATATAATTATTAATTAAGTATATTTCACAAAATGTTCATCAAAGTAGACTACTAGGTTTCAAAATCTTAAACTGTTACAAACAAAGGTTTATTGTATGGGGTTTCTAGCATTTTGTTTGCCTTTACTTATTTTAGAAAGGATGGGCAAGGGGAGGGGAAATGGTCTAAAGCAAGAGCATTGCAGATCTTAGGTACCTCATCTAAGCCATTATTGTGTGTTAAAGAGTAGAACTGCCTGCCTTTGTAGAGTTTCTTTGTGTTTGCTGGTTAAACTCCACTGTGAAAAGAGCTCATCAACAGGGATGCAGTTTCATAATTTTGACCGTCAAACATTTTTAGTTTGGGTTAATAGAATTAGGTCACCAGAAGTCGTTGTCATCTTCAGTAATATTCCTCAATAATCATGTGTCTTTGTTTATACGATAGAAAATGATAACAATAGTTCATCATGCCGAAACATCATTTAATTGTCTTCTTCATAAAATTATATTTTAAAATTACATCGATAAAGTCTACACATATGTGAATTAATTATAATAAAAAAATATTATGCATTACCTCCAAAATGATGTAGTTTTGATGAATAAGCAATTAATCCCATTTTTCGCTCTCTCTGTGTTTTAGAAGTCAGCAGATAAATCAGATTCTAATGTAGAACCCCAGCCATTATGGGAATATCCAGGTACACCTATAACATCAACTGGTATTGTTGCTCAGTTTGATTGGTCAAAGCAAGTCACAGAAATGAAACCAATATCAACAACTTCAACACTAATCTGTACCAAGTATGTCAGAAAATATTAATCTTATTTTTTTCTCTTTGACCTCTAAAAGCATTTACCGGTAAATTTATTCTCACAATAAACAGGTATTAGGTAAAAAATAGTCATAGACCTTGATTTTTCAAACCATTTTCTGGGACAGGCATCAGCTAGTATGTTATGAACCCTTTGGTTTTAAGATATAATTGTTAGGTTCAATATCAGACAAATGTAGACATTTTCTCGACCACAGAGAAATATATTGAAAGCTTAATGCAATCCACTTATGGGGCTTTTGTTATTTTAAAGTATACATTTTAATGTGGTCACTCTCGTTTGATGTTTTCGGCATGCGTTTTATTTCCTAGCAACTAGTGTTTTTAAAAATTCCTGTATGTTAATTATATTGAGTAAACAATAAAGTGGGAGACCCTTCGGGACTATATATTATCGTTAATGCCATCCGGTGCGAATGTTCTTAAAGGGTGAATCGATTTGAATTCATTGGGTTTTCTGATGGCATCATTTTTGCCATTGTCTGGGTCAGTCTTAAAAAGCTCTATAATTTTAATCATAACATTTCTACTCGTATGTCCTTTTAAATTGAAGTGTATTTCCGCTCTGACCCTTTTGCACTATTTTCTTAAAATTCTGTTAGCTATTTGTGTACTCCCTTATTTTTTGAATTCGCATCCATCAATTAGCCTTAGAGATCTCCCATGAAATCGCATAGGGACGCTCACTGCTATTCCTGCTTTCGAAAATGAAGCACGTCTTTGGACAATCTTACTCAACACTGGAAAACCAAACACTAAGTAGATCTCTTGGAAACCACTGTGAAACAGAGCATCAGTCAAATATTCACAATCAAGACGGCAATTTTTCAGCCGAACATCTTTGCACACTGTTTGAAATAATCGACTTTGGTGTTAAAGATCGATTCCGGTCCACTTGTGACGTCACATGTGCTACGGTTCCCACCAATTATGTATAGAGAGCAACTACACATCCTCAATCAAGTCTGAAGAGTTCGAATAGAATGAAACTCGTAGCTTCCTAACAGAAATCTGGGAAGGCTTTTCGCCTATTTACAGATTTTTTACTTAATTATATTGAATTTTGTTTTTAATAGGTCTGGTAGCATTAATGGTGTAGCTTTATGGACAGAATATATGTTTGATGAAGACCTAGTCATATCTAACGGACCGTTATTAATTAATGATACTTGTATCAAGTGGGATTATTTCTGTCAACAAGGTGTTCATCTTTACAACAAACCCATGTCAATAACAGAGGGCCAGTGCTTGGATGTGATATTTTCATTTACTCCTAAAACAGGAGAGTTGGACTTAAAATTCCCTACAACCATATCCTGATGTATTCAAACATGAAGCGTTTTTAAAATGACAAAATAATTCCAGGGTTCTTGTTTCAAACTAATATTATGGGCATTACAAACCTACAAATGAAATTATTTACATGTACATTAATTTGCACAATAAAGATATTATTATAATTGTTTTTAACAATTCTGGTATAACAATGAAGAGAATAGTTATGAAACATGAGCCCTGAGGAAAACCATTAGAATTAAAACTTACAGATTAGTTCTGCACCATATTCACATATATATAATCAGGTATTCTAGAGTTACTATGCATTTTTCTTCTTTTTAGAATTAAGTGTCAGTTATGTCAAACTTTTATAAGAATTTTTTAAAACCAACTTGAATACAAATAATCAAAATTGTAGTTGTAATATTACATATCATTGATGTTTTTCATATTTGTAGAAAAAAAATTAGATTCCTTTATTACCTGCATGATACCTGTCAGTGATAACCAGTTATTCATTTGTATTTGGACCTGGAACTGGGCCCCAAGAGTTCTCATCTTCCTTTTCTTGTGTTTAGGGGCAACAATCTTTGAAAAAGGCCTAAAACTCTGTCAATTTAAATATGATTGACATGAAATTTGGCATTCTTGTTCCTTATAAAATTACACATCGATTGACAGAATTCCATTTTTGATATGATATCACAATTCCAAGATTATAGCAAAAATGTCATGCTCAGTTCCTGGGCCGTAATCTGCTCATACTTGTTTTAGCTAAACTTATATATTATATGTGTAGTCTGTCTAATACATGGGACCAAATAAACAGGTCAGTTTAGACAGGTTGTCTGTTTAACCAGGTACAATGAACCTGTTATTATGTAAAACCACATTACATGACCTTGACTATGTTCTTAAAGATCTATGAAATGTGGTATCATGCTCATTATTATAATATATTCCATTCTTGTGAAGATTAGAAGTGTTTTTAGCATTTGCAGACTCCTACTATTCAGTCTGTCTCTTGGAATCTGGATAAGAGACTAATTCTGGGTTTACACTGTCATTTTCTTAGGTTTCAAATCTGATCCAATTTCCTATAGTGATACGGACATAAGCGCATTTTTTACTTTGTAAAGAACTGTTATTGACTGCAACTTCAGTGTTTAGACTTATCGATTTTTAGTCAGCAAATCAGACAACCTAAATTTAACAGTGTGAACCAAGCTCTAGATTAACACCGACTTACCTCTGTATATTATCATCATACCACATGAAAGGTATTAATCATTTAACACAATTCACATTTTCAAAATTCTAAAAATAATAGCATGTGAAGAAGTCGTTAAGAAACACTGAATATTCATGTGCAAATAACTCCCTTATTAACTCTAGTTAGCTTGATTGTGGCACCAATTTAACAGTCCAATACATATACCCATAGCCTTCTTTACAGATGGACATTACATAAAGCCTTCATGATCTAGTAATTACTGTCAACATTGCAATTGCAGCTCAATTATATCTCTTATTGTTGTGTTTCATATGGACCAAGATCGATTATTGTTACATTAAATGGCTGTTATTATTAGATAAATAATACATGTAAAACTCTTGTTATTATATTTATATCATATTTCTACCATAATTATTTTGCAGACTAACAAAAATTGTAGTGATAACATATTGGTTTATTTGTTGGTTTCACTTTGACAGGAGTGATATCACAGAGAAAATATTGGATAAGATAGCTTGGCAGGCAATGAAACATACACTCATAGCAGCTAAGTCATCTGAGCAGACCACAAAGATCGCATATTATTTTGGGGTTTTTTGTAGGTAAAACTGATTAAGAATACAAGTTCATGAAGTAATTATCAAAACATGTATCGGAAATCAATAGGATTCTATGTCTCATACTGTAGCCATTAGAGTATCCAAGAAATTTCAAATTGTACAAGGGCCTCTAGAGTATCCACAAGCAACTGTGGAAAACAAACTGATAAATAGATGAGGAAATATGCAACCGTTATTTCTGTATCAAAAATATGTCGCCGTCAAACAGAATACATAAGAACATCTGATTATGATCTGTGTCTGGAATATGCAAATTTGTTTCAAGGAGCATCTGATTAAGCCAGACAAAAGACATTTTACCTCACATACAAGCAGATATTAGGAAGAAAAAGTAGAAGACAAGTACATTTTCGAAACACATTTATTCACTTTTATATATTGTAATATATATTCACTCATAGAACAATAATTATACTGAACAATTGTAGCTTAATCATTTTATGAGCAAGTTTACCTTTTGTGAAGTCAAACATAGTATGCGTATATATATGTAACTTAATTACTAAAAAAAAAAAATAACAACACTTATAACAAATACAACATATCTTTTGAATTTTATGTCTTTGGTCAAATTGAAAGTCTGTAATAGTGTGTATGAAATAGGTAAGTTTATAACATAATTTTATCCATTATTTAATAGAATCTATCTTAATTTGCACAATACTTCAATTTTTAACGATAAAAAAATCATCCAGGCCTACAGTACGTACACTTACTATTTAAAAAAAGTAAGCCATCAAGGTTAGAATCCATTAATATCTTGTTAAAATTTGTAAGGTTTTTTTTTTAATTTGTGTATTCGTATAATGTTTAATAGTTTTTTTTAAGGGTCCTGAAGCAACTTTGAAATGATTGATAGATTTCAACAATGTATTAACCAGTGTTTACAGACAATATACATGTATGTGATTGTGAAGTCATGCTTAAATCAGACATTTTCATAGGAAATATAATAATGTAATTAGGGGCTAGGTTTACTAATGTATTCATAGCAGTAAATTCCCCACAGAATTGACCGAATACTGAAAAATAATGTTGATGATCGGAACAATTTGTTTGCATTGTCATCATGAAAACTAGGGTTGAGTGTGATGATAAAACTTTAAATCGAAACTTATATGATAATATTGATATAAATTCATCAAAAGGCAAGACATTGTATATTAAAGAACTAAAAAGAGGAAAGGTATAACAAATACAATTTCTAATATAGTACTAAATGAGATATAAAAAATAACCTAGAGTTAGAAATGCCTGTTTCATGAACATTTACTGGGTATAATATGAATACTTCAAAAAATACTACCATCCAGTTTCAATTGAGAGGTCCATTGGGTTGAATAATTCAATTCTCATCTTTATAATTTATGGAAGGCTTCTTCTTGTTGTTTGAGTAACGTGTATATTTTGTCAGGTAGATCACTTCCAACTTGGTCTTCTAAGAATCGCATACTCTCTCGTGTATCATCCAGCCAATAGTGTTTTGGTAGGCTAAACAATTCATCCCAATTAACAGGGTTTGGTAAGCCATCCAGATTTATGGTTCCTAGAAAGAAATCATGAGAAAATATTGCTCATGTTGGTTTAAATCTGATGTAATATTGTACAAGGGAGATAATTTGAAAGGGTCGTCTCCCCTTTGACCACAAGTTAAATTAAAAAAAAATTCATTCTGAAAGTTTAAGATAATCTGTTATCCTTCCAAACAGCAGTTCCTGGATAGACAACTGTTGTATTGAACATATTACATGTAACAAAACCTACTAATTTAATTTTTACACATAGAAAGGTATTTTCACCCATAATAAATTTTTTACCAAACACTTGTGTAAATCTATTTTAATGGCCATACTCAGCAGAATATGTGACCCACTCCCACGAAACCAGACGCTTGTCGCACATCTTCATTTTGTACTGTGGGCACAAAAGTATAACGGTGGTGGGGAGTCAAAAGGTCGTATCTGGATTTTGCGAAATTGTCCAGGAGAGCCAAAAATAGCACAGATGTTAAGAAGCAAAATGTCTTATAAAACCGTCTCGTTAAAATGTTGTATGTAAAATGTTGTATTTCTGAAGCTTTTCTCAAATATTTATGTACAAAATGTATGTATAGCCATTTAAACAGTATGTAACTATCCGCACATATCATGATCAACATCTAGTGCAGAAATAAGGAGTAAAAGCTAGTTATTTGCAATCTTATACAGCAAAGACATATCCCAGGAAAATATTCACCTTTACCTGCATCAATTTCATAGATTTCACACAGTACAGGCTCAATAATTTCAATAATACATATTTAACCATAAAACAATACTGGCTATATTTCGTTTGATTGTAATGCTTTGGTTAGACGCAAAGTTGATTTTTTCAAGAAAATACCACATTTTCAATCTTGATAAAAAAAAATGTTGGGAACACCCCATATACGACATTTTGAAACAGTATCTATAAAACATCTTTTTATTGGCTTAGAAATACGACAACCAGATGAAAAGATGCACTAGAAAATTCTCATTCTGAAGATGCAAAAGAGTGAATTTCGCAAAATATGCCAGATACGACCTTTTGACCCCCCACCCACGATAAACTGTATGCCTTCTTGTTGCGGTGAATGAGCCGAACCCAATTCGAGATAAGACAAATTTAGAAAGAATTGTATTTTGGAAAGCTAAGGCTGTGGACTATTCAATATGCTGCCAGCTCTATTTCTATAAAAATTACTAAGAACCTGGTTTTGTGGGAGCGGGTCACTTATACAGGAAATTAATTCTCTCGATCAACAAAAATTATCCAATAACAAAATTTCAGGCAACAATGCAATGGCCAACTGAATGCAACTGAAGCTGAAATGTTTGATTAAGTCACTATTCTACTCATACATACATTTGTTATCAGGACAGTCAGAACTCATGAACAAGACTAAATTCTGGGTCAGTCAATTGCAAATCTCTCAAATGTTCCGGATTCACTATCAAGCACTTCCATGTCTCATGAAGTGGTACAAATTTTTCTATATAAAATAAAAAAATGTCACCTACCTTTCTTTGGTAAATATCCAATGGGACTCTTTACTGCTACATCTTTACCTTCACATCTTTGAATTACCCAATCTAATACACGAATATTCTCACCAAATCCAGGCCATAAGAATTTACCATGTTCATCTACACGGAACCAGTTGACATGGAAAATCTTAGGTAGCTATAAATCAGGAATATTTATTATCTTAATTATAATACTGTAAAAATTGTCAATGAATATAAAACAGACACATTTCAATAGGGTTCTATCTTAGTCAAATATGAACAATATCACCAAGTTTTAAAGATAGGTTGCCAGGCAATGAACCATACACCCATAGCAGCTATGTCGTCAGGTAGTCAACAAGGGTGGTCGCATATTTTTTCTTTTGTCAGTAATGAAACATTTATAATACAATACAGCTGGTAAATTCAAATAATCTTTGGAATTTAAATTAGTTTTAAAGTAGTTGAGCAATTAGAGTACAGTACGGTTATATTAATTTTTCAAAATTTCTTTACCTTCAAGTTAGGCTGTCGGTTAAAAGACAACCAATGATCCAGGTATTTACCAAAGTTGTATCCCATAAATGGTCTCATAGCCATTGGATCGTGCATAATCTTTTTACCTAAATGAAATAAGATATTTTAATACCATAATGGATTAATATTTCATCTAATTGAATCTCAGCTATGATTACTATTTATTTCTTCTATTTAAGATTGTTACGGTATTTCAGTATTATGTAACGGTTTCCTGGGATATAACAATTCAGAACACATTGACATATATCGACCTGATGGTCACTCGACCATCTATAATACTTTTATAATAATACTAGAGGTGATTCAAAAAAGGTGAAAACCTGTTCAACATTGGTTAATGAATTATTCGAAGACATGCATGTTAGTCTTCATGTGTTCTACGTTCTAGACATGTCTAAAACAATTTTCAGTTTGATATGCATAAGCTAATGTATATGAAAAAATGTTACAGAACAGCATTCCCCCACCTCCCTTAATCATACAGGAAACATACCAGTATGTTCAGCAGCAGCTGTAGCCTCTGACTTAACACATGCACCAATCATAACACCATGATCCCAGTCAAATGATTCTAATACAAGTGGTACACCTGATAATAGAATAAATAGATAAAACTTTGATAAAATGAAATAACATGGAATATTGTGAGAGTTAAGAAGTGTGCAACAATGGAATTGCAGAAAAAATATTTTGTCTCTTGTTTATTATTCCCACTCGGTTGATATATTTGTAAACTTAGCAAGATGATTTTTTAATTCTACTTGTAACTTTACAACACGAACGTTTCATCGAATAAACAAAGACAGTAATCTATTCGGGAATATTACTGACATTAACTTCAAGCTGGTATGTGAATTACGTGAAGTTCGTTTCAAAATGGATTAAGAACCCTGCTAATAGTATTTATTTAAAGGTTATTTCGGCACTTTTTTCTAAAAATCGTGCCTCTTGAGTGCTGCACTTCAAGAGTCAATTTGTGCACAAAATCAAAAACATATTGTATTTAAGTCTATTAAAATACATGTGATTCTTGCCTACTGGTCTTCTGCCACCAAATATAATGGCACTGATTGGAACACCTTCAGGATCTTCCCATTTAGGATGTATTATAGGACACTGATTAGCAGGACATGTAAATCTAGCATTCGGATGGGCAGCATTGCCAGGTTTACCAATACGCCATTCCTGATTTAACCATGTAGTAATACTCATATTCTAAAATTATAAACATCATTCCATTAACAAATAATTTAAATAGTAAGTGCAGGGGGACTGCACCACACATAATTTACACAAAAACAAATATATGGACAATACGCAAAAATCAAAAACAAACAAACAATTCAAATAAAGTGAATGGATTCGGGGGGTAGCCGGAAGCGTCCATATGTCTGTTCATAATCCAAGAAATCAGATCCAGCACAGAAGGTGGCGTGGAGAAAAAAAAGTACTCCTGACATTTGCTGTAAGCCTTTTAAAAGAACAAAAGTAAGATGAGGTGAACAATTTGTGGAGAAATTGTATGAAAGCATAAAAACATGCACCTAAAATCCTGATAGAGTGTGGGCTGTGACACTTCCACAAATTTAGAAGCCTGGATATTCTCTGTACAACCACATCTATATTTTGGCTACATGTGAGCAGCTAATTTTCAAAATGACCATTTTTCTCCATATTATCACATTTTGGAAAAAAGATTTCTCTATGCAACAAAGCAAAAAAAGAGATATTATGAACATTATTAAATTTTTTAACCTTATCAGTTTCATCTTCAAGACCTTCCCAGTAATATCCTCCATCAGCTGTTTCGGCAACATTTGTAAAGATGCTGTTCTTCTGGAAGCTTTTCATGGCATTAGGATTGGTTTTAAAATTTGTTCCTGGAGCAACTCCAAAGAAACCATTTTCCGGATTAATTCCCCTCAGTTCTCCTTTGTCATTAAATCTCATCCAAGCAATATCATCACCTAGAAAACATTTGATACATCATAAAATACCATACTTAAAAGCCAAGTTTTGTCACGATCATCTAGTATCTCATTTCCATTGCACTTTTGTTGCTAAACAGACGTTTTAGTGCATCCTATTATTACATACAGAGTTACACCGCTTGAAAATCAGTTACAAATTCAGTGATGTTTTTTTGTACATGTGCTTTTTTGATAAAATAAAATTAATTCATGGATTTTCTTCACAAAAATGGATAAATATTATCGAATACATCACAATGGTAGACAGTAGTATCAATGTTTGTACAAAATGACACGTTTACGGAAGTTATATCAGAGATTTGAGTCAAAGAATGTTCGTTCAAAGCAAGCTTCAGCGACGGCCAAATTTATCGATGCCAGTATTGATGTCAACACTAACAAACACTGAGATTTTATAAAGAGGCCACTGGCTGCCTTGAGTGGCTGCTTAATACAGATTCTACTGTATACTTTTCCAAAAATACTTTTAGATCCCAGCACTTTCATAGACATGAATACAAATGCTAGGAAACATAGAATGAAACATCTTAAACAATTGTTAACACTGGCACTGCAGGATGCCGCCATTTTCCCAGGAATATTAGTTACTGTGTACTGCATGTCCAAATCAAGCTATTGCCGGTGACTTTAAACCGACCTGTTCACATGTCCAAAATAAACGAGTTTAGAATAAAAAGCCTTCTAAAAGACAGGTCGGTCGCTAGCTAGAGTTTTTAAACTGGTTTATTTGCCCCATCTTTGCGTTCCGACGGTCAAGTTAAACTGGCTTAACGATTGCAGGGGATTTTAAACCAGTTCAATTTCACCGTCTTAACGGGCTATATGGTGCTTCAGATCTTAGATTTGCCATAAACGTGAGTAAAATAATGGTGTTAAACTACATTTTTCTTATAATCTTTAAATGGCATTTAGTAACTGGATGGAGTAAAAACACATACTTATGAAAAACAGCTACTAGTGTATTTAAAAGCAACATTTCGAAGAGTATTCCCTCAAAAATATAAAGCAAAATGCCACTTAAAAGATTATTATCGTCATCAATATGGACGTGTGGCAGTATCCTCTACCAATACAGTTCATTTGCTTGATGATGTTGAGAGAATACGCTTCGAAACATCGCCTTAAAATACAATAGTAGCTGTTCTCTATAAGTATGTGTTTTTGTTTTTACATTTCTCTTGGTATCGAATTTATTTATAAATACCTACCAACACATTGAACTTTATAACCAGGTAATGTTGGTTGTATCATAGCTAGATTAGTTTTACCACAGGCACTAGGGAAGGCTGCTGATATAAATGTTTCTTTACCTCTCGGGTCTGTTACACTCATAATCTGTTCATAGAGAATATACCAGCATTAATAAATCTTATAAGCAAAAGTAAATTTTTATTGATCATTCTTGACCCTTCAGTGAAATGATGTATAAAGAATTACCATCATGTGACCACAGTTGGACAACTTTCTCAGTGACGTCACAATAATATTCCAGTGCATTTTAACACTGATTTTATGTGCCTCACTTCAATAGATTCAATTTATGAAAATTTTAGGTTCTACTCCTAATTCAACTCACCAACATATGTTCTGCCATCCAGCCTTCATCACGAGCTATAACACTGGCAATCCGCAAAGCAAAACACTTTTTACCCAGAAGAGAATTTCCTCCATAACCGCTGCCGAAAGATTTGACTTTCCTTTCTTCGGGGAAATGAGCGATAATAACCCTCTCAGGATTACACGGCCAATGATTGACAACTTTTCCTTAAAAATAAAAAATACTGTTAAAGTCATACGATGGGTTAGTAAACGAACTTTGGTTTATGTGAAAATGACTGATCATTTTAAACTAGTTTAATAACATGGTTTTGTGTCTTGCTAAAAAGTTAGTAAAAAATCACTAGAAACTAAATTTGCTCAAACATAATGCTAACATTAGACAACAAAGCAAATGTTTTCCGTTTCACATTCAGGTAAAGAACATTAGGTGGGTTCAAAATCAAACCCTGTTATGGAGAAAATGATTCTGGAATATGCAAACTTGCTTTTACATAATTTTGCAATTCTCATCAATTCAATATATTTGTGCTTAAGTTAAAGAATATCTAAAAAAGAAAACCAATATATTGTTTAAAATTCCCTTGTTTACTTTCATCACTAATCACACATGGCCTAAATTGGAATTTAAAGAAAGCTTAACAAAGACATAAAGCATGATTCCATAACCCGAAATAGTAGGGGTTATATAAGATAGAGGATAAAATGAATGCAAACTTACTCTGAACTGGCCGAGGACAACCCATAGAATGAAGACATTTCACAAAGTCATTATTGCCCATAATTTCCCAGACTTTAGGTGCTACTCTTGTCATGATCCTCATACAGAGTAGGACATAGTTTGAATCGGTTAATTGAACACCTATTTTACTTAATGGTGAACCAATTGGTCCCATACTAAATGGTATTACATACATTGTCCTTCCTGTAAATCAAAAACTTATATAGAGTAGATAAAAATATTAGATAATATTTATAAGATAGGTTGCCAGGCAACGAAACATACGCCCACAGCAGCTAAATCGTCCGGGCAGTCAACAAGAGTTGTCGCATATTTTAATTTTCGGTAATGAAACATTTATAATACACTCAAATCTGATTATAAATTTAAAGTCAATCGGCCTTTAGAGCGTCCACAAGATTTTTCAAAGTGATCAAGGGCTATAACTGGCAGTAATTATCGGAAATTGCTAAAAATCAATAGGCTTCTTCGTCTCATGACCTTAAACACTGTGTATGAATTTAAAGCCAATCGGATATTAACTTTGGCATGTACATGTAGAGCATCCACAAGATTTTTTGAAGTGATCAAGGGCCATAACTCTGGCAGTAATTATCGAAATCACTGAAAATCAATAGGCTTCTTCGTCTCATGACCTTAAACACTGTGTATAAATTTAAAGTCAATCGGATATTAACTTTGGCCTCTAGAGCATCCACAAGATTTTTCAAAGTGATCAAGGGCCATAACTCTGGCAGTAATTATCGGAAATTGCTAAAAATCAATAGGATTCTTCGTCCGATGACCTTAAACACTGTGTATGGATTTAAAGTCAATCGGATATTAACTTTGGCCTCTAGAGCGTCCACAAGATTTTTTGAAGTGATCAAGGGCCATAACTCTGGCAGTAATTATTGGAAATCGCTGAAAATCAATAGGCTTCTTCGTCTCGTGACCTTAAACACTGTGTATAAATTTAAGATCAATCGGATATTCACTTTGGCCTCTAGAGCATCCACAAGATTTTTTTAAGGTGATCAAGGGCCATAACTCTTGCAGTAATTATTGGAAATCGCTGAAAATCAATTTGGCTTCTTCGTCTCATGGCCTTAAACACTGTGTATGAATTTAAAGCCAATCGGATATTAACTTTAGCCTCTAGAGCGTCCACAAGCAATTGTGGACGCCGGACCGACGGGGGCGACGACAATATACGACCACATTTTAATATGGGCGTATAAAAATATAGAAAAAATATTGGTAGCATGGTACATATTAAAACAGAAAATTAGCCCACAAGAGAAGAAAAAATACCAACGATTCTTTTTCTAATATAAAAGATAATATTTATCAAAAGAAAAATTCATGACTTGATGAAATAAGGACACCTGAAAATAGTTAGGACATTAATAAGTTTGTTGTATTTGATGAAGTAATGGGTCCACAAAAAAATTGAATTGCCAGATTGTAATTTTTCCATCCCAAAATGTGGTATCCTTTTAGTTAGAGTGTTTAGCCTACTAATGTTATAAATATGTGCGAATGATAATACCTTTCATGCAACCAGGAAATCTAGAATCTATTTCTGTCTGCATTTCTTTGGGTCCCATCCACTGACCTAGAATACCTTTAACTCCCTCTCTGACATGTGGTACAGTATCATATTTATCTGGTGTAGTAATCCAGGTTTTAGATTCCACTCTAGCAACGTCAGTTGGATCAGTTCGACAAAGGTAACTAAAATATTGAAATAAAATAGGACTTTACATCCTACTGCTCCTCACCAATTAAGCTAATGAAGACGTGCAAGTCAGTTGGATGATAACTTTAGTCCACAAGATATCTTAAATTCATCAAGGCTATAACTCTGGACGGTAATTATCAGAAATTTCTAGAGCATCCACAAGGCTTTTCAAATTGATCAAGGGCAAAACTCTGACTGAAATTGTAGGCTTCTTCATCTCATGACTTTAAAAAACTGTGTATAAATTTAAATTCAATCAGATGATAACTTTGGTCTTTAGATCAGCCACAAGATTTTTCAAACAGATCAAGGGCCATAACTCTGGAAGTTATTTTCAAAAATCATTGAAAATCAATAGGTTTTTCTTCATCTCATATCCTTTATCAGATATTTTCTCTAGCCTCTAGAGCATCCACAAGCCATTTTGCAGTATACTATTCTATTATTCTAATTTAGGCTTTACAGTAATTGTAAGACATATATAAAATTACCAATTCTCATATTTTTTAAGTTGTGTTAGTGTTCCTCTCTCCATCAGCTTGTGTATTATTTCATCCGCCTCTGGCTGAGATCCATCACAGATATAAATAGCCCTGGGTTGACACATATTCACCTGTTAAAAATTAAAATTCAATTTAGTTATCTAATTAAAATCCAAATAAAGTATTTTAGGTATGCTATACCTATTAAAGTCAGGAAATATATTTCTAATTTTAATAAAATAATCATGAAATATGAAACATAGGTTGCTAGACAAAGTAACATGTACTAAACAGCAAAAAAAAACGTCAGTACGATTTCAAAATCAGAGAGGCACTTTAATCAAATCATTCTAGAAAACAACTTACTAAATGGACCAAAGCGATTTATTTGCGAACAGTATGTTGACACATTAGCGATTAATTCATCACAATTCCAACAAATTACGAGAAGATTTAGAGTCTGTACACAGTCTATACATCAGTATCTGGTATGTCCACCACGAGTGTCAATAACAGCAGCGCAGCGTCTGTACATGGAGTGGACCAGAGGATTGATGAACGCCATTGGCACCTGGAACCACACTCTCAGAAAAGCCTGGCGTAATCCATCGGCTGTGTTTGGTCTCGGTATGACGTTATTAAGTCTCGTCTGAATTTCATTCCCAAGATGTTCAATCGGGTTTAAGTCCGGACTAAGGGCTGGCCAGTGCATAACGTTGACACCGTTCTGCTGTAGAAAGTCCCGAGTAACTTTGTTTCGATGACGTGCAAAATGTAGTATGATACGCAATACCGACTCATCTGTGAACAGAACAGATCTGCATTGCCTGTGTCGCCAGTTCTGGTGTTGATGGGCAAACTGTAGACGTTCATGTCCATGGCAAGGGGTGAGGATCGGTCCACGGTAAGGTCTACAGCAATGGATGTTCTCTCTGGTGAGACATTGGCCCACTGTATCGGTACTGATGGGTCTTCCGTGTGTTCCCACTGTCTGAGGTGCTGTCTCAGATGCCTGTGTGAAGGGATTCTGCATGTGCTGTCGCACAACATGGCGGTTTTGTCGCCTTGTGGTAACCCTTGGTCTACCACTCAGTTCGGGGGCATTCATCCGTGGTGTTGGTGGCCGAAAGTGTTGCTGAAGCCTGTAGATGGTCCGAACATTGACCTGAAAGTGATTGCCAACGGCTTGGGCAGTGTGGGCAGCGTCAAGTCTTCCAAGCGCCTGGTTCCTCTGAGCTATCGTTAGTCGTGGCAATTTGCTGATGTTGTAGTGTGAATGATTCAACCAGGTATGGGGGTGCATTTTATAGGGCTGGTCCTGGTGAACAGCACGTGCAGCATGAGTTACATGAAAATCATGGAGAACACATTACCATCTCAGAAGTCAGCTTGCGTTTTTGAGAACATTTCCTGGGTTCAATTCTGTGTTTGGGAAGGAGCCTTATTGCTCAGGTAAAGTTGGAGATAATTTACAAACAACAACATTAACATATCTTCTTTGATTGGCATTTAGTAATTGAACATTAACACAAGGTACAATTTTATGGATACACAATTACCGAATTTAATACTAAGCGACGTTTCGATGAGGATACTCTCGTATTAAACTCAGTCATTGTGTATCCATAAAATTGTATCTTGTGTTAACATTAACATAGATGACAAACACTTTACTCACAGAATGTATGACCCATCTCTGTACTTTCTTTGGAAGGAAATGAAAGTCTCCTTTAGCGACCGGAACATGACCAAGTTTTTGAGTCACTATTTCATGGACTTCCATAAAGGGTTCTTCTTCATTATCAGACATTTTGTTTCAACTCTTGTTTGTCTTCAGGTGACTTTTCTGTAAAAGTCAATAAAACATACATATATATAACATAACTGTAAGATAAATAAACATAATGGTAGGATAATATTCATAATTATAGTAGGATAATAAACATAATGGTTATGTTCAGAAGAGGCAAGTCAAGTGATAAGCCAATATAATTAAAGTCAGATTTTGTTCGCCGAAATACAAACTGTCAGTTTCCCCAATGTATTTCTCCAAATTCAATGTTATTCCCAAGTGCCTGTAGAGCAATGTCCAGAGCCATGTATAGTGAGAATCTGGCCAACTATATTGGCTCAATTTTGTGATTTGTTAACTTGGTACTGAAACTAATTATTTTATATTTGTTTCGTTCTAATGGTGATATTATTACACTGGCCATCTGTACATAATGGTATAAGTTATAGTTGAAAATAAAATGTTGCGATTACAGTTTAACAGTGGAATTCCTGAAAAAAGTTATGTAACCCTGTCAAAAAAATCTATGGATAATTCCAAAAGGCTCAATAGTTTGACCTTAAAATTTCAGACAAGACATCAAGGCTACAGTATTAGGCCTATTTCTGCACATTTGGGCATTGACTTAGTCTTAAACCCATCTTTATTAATGTTAATAAGGCTGCTCTGTGAAATCTTTGATTAAAACGAGAAGTGCATATTTTCTAAGAAAGTCAAAACATAATTATTTTTCTATATCTATTACTTCATAGGTTGTCAAATCACTCCTATACAATCATAGGAATCAATCTAGTACTTAAAAATCATTCACATAAAAAATGTAAATAATTTTTACTCGCTGACGGTATTTAGAAATTGTATCATTTCTTTTCACTGGATAACTAAGTCTACACTACGAAAAAGTGTTCACCTGGAAGAGAGAGTTGTCTTGATTGTCAAGGTCTGTGGTGAAACCAATGACGTCTATAGTATATGACCCTGATCTCGCCTATCCAGAAATGTATTCATTTCAGAAATAGGAGACGAATTCTCCAAACTATGGCCTAATGTGTTTATTTTCACCCCCAATAACATTGATTTTTCACTATTATTCATATTGAATTCATCAGTTGACCGAAATCAAAATTCTGCTCCAATGGATTTTTAGGCATTCCTTCAAGGTTTCAGAAAATGTAACTCCCATGTCTGTAAGTAAAATATCGCAAAAGTCTTAGGGATTTTTTGCGTTTCAAGATGGTGGCACTTCCGGTTCGATCAACAAACTCTGTATTATGTGTACGCATAGTAGTATCTTTCCTACATGTAGTACAGAAATAAATTTTCAAGGCAATCTGACACCTACTTTTTTTTCAAGTTTTTGAAAATTTTGATCCTTAATTTCTCAAAGGGGAGATAAATTAGAAAATTTTTAACAACACCGTTCAAGTTGGATTGGCGAAGTCTACTTACATGCTAAGTTTTATGCAAATCATGATAATATTAAAGACTTTGTCAAGTTGGATTTTACTGAGATGTCACTGACGTAATTTTCAAAATTCGAAAATAGCAGAATTAATGTAAATGTTTTAAGTTACTCAAAGAAAAAAGAATTAGTAAAATAGGTCAAATAGTCACAAAGTTAATTATTTTCGTCAATATAATTCAGTGATTTCGGATTCGTAAAACGTTTTGAAAATATATTGATCAGAAAGCCGCCACCCATTCTTGGAAGGAGGCTAACCAGAAATGTATTAATTTCGGAAATAGAAGACGAATTGACAGCTTATTCCAAATATTTCCAAGCCGTTAATGTGAATTTTTCATTCGTAAACAACTTTGTCGGCACGAAAAACGTCAAAGGCAAAATTCGAGGTTGTGAAATTTTCAAATAACGAAAATTCGGCCCGCATCCTGGCTATCCAGAAATGTATACTCAGCCAAATTAAAAACTTGACACTGATGAATTTCAACAAATGTTTTTTTCTGGTAAGTCAAATAAATTTTAAAGTGTTTCTAACGATAGTAAGTAGTAAGAAGCCTTTAATTTCATAAAATTGTAAAGTCACGTGGATCACGTGACTTTTGAGCATATAAAGATGAAAAACCTGAAAAACACCTGCAAACACAAACTCGTGAGGTCAATTGATGCAAGTTTGCTTAAACTGAACACACAAACGTAACTTGAACTGGAAAACCAAATTAAAATTGCTATTTTCATCTTTGTTAGAAAATGCTGCGCCTTTCAAATGTAGAACGTCTACGTGCTATAGGTAGGCTCTATGCTGGTCAGCCTGTGGTCACTGTTGCAAAAGCCTTTAATTGTTCACGCCAGACAATAATTAAACTTAGAATGAGAGTGCTTCAAACTGGAACTATTGCCGACCGCCCAAGGGCGGGAGCGCCACGTGTGACGTCACTCCAGGAAGATCAAGCAATACGATTACGTCATCTTAGAAACAGATTTGTCACTGCAACCTCCACAAGTATAGAGATGTTTGGTGGAAGGGTAACTGCACAAACTGTTCGAAATCGCTTGCAGGCTGCTGGTCTTCGAGCTCGGAGGCCCTATAATGGACCAATATTGACACCTCTTCATCGCCGTAACCGACTTGTGTGGGCCACAAGACACATAAGATTTACTCAAAGACAGTGGAATTCGGTTGTCTTTAGTGACGAATCTCGATTCACTTTGAGATTTGCCGATGGCAGGGCCCGAGTGTACTGCAGACGAGATAAACGTTACGCTCAAGTATGCGTCAGAGAAGTTGACCGATTTGGTGGCGGCAGCGTCATGGTTTGGGGTTCTTTTTGTGCACATGGACGTTCTCCTCTTGTTGTTGTCCAAGGGAACTTAAATGCTGTCCAGTACAGGGATCAGATTTTGCAACCTGTTATTCTTCCGTTTATGCAGAGACATGGGCCTGGACTAACGTTTCAACAAGACAATGCTCGACCCCATACAGCAATTGCTACCCAGAATTTTTTAAGAAATGCCGGTGTCCATGTCCTGGATTGGCCGTCGCTTAGCCCCGACCTTAATCCTATTGAACACATCTGGGACGAACTGGGTGGACGTGTTCGTCAACAAGTGAATCCACCACTGACGTTGCAGGACCTTCAACATGCTCTTGCTGAGAAGTGGCGACGTCTTCCTCGGGTAGTGTTTACTAATGTTCTGAGATCCATGAGAAGACGTTGTGTGGCAGTATGAGACGCTAGAGAAGGCCACAACCGTTACTAAACACTTTATTCAGATTGTTCTCCAAGTCTGTGAATTTCATTTTGGGGGGTACTGTGACATCACGAACGTTATCAATGTCAAGGACTTTCGGCGAGACGTATTCTTGCTTTCTGTTGATGTCAAGGTCGTCTGTGCACAACATAACACTAAAATAGTTGCCTTAAACCAAATATTAAAAATCTAGTCCCAAAAATCCCGAGTGTCAAGTATTTAATTTGGTTGAGTATATTAATTTCATAAATAAGAGACGCGCTGAACATACTACGGCCTATTGTGTTTATTTGCTGTGTAGATTTTTACTCTTTTTTTCATATTCAATTCAAATTGGTGACCATCAGTTGACCTAAATCAAAATTCTGCTCTGAACGTTTTTTAGGCATTCCTTCAAGGATTCAGAAAATGTAACTCCCATGTCTGTAAGTAAAATATTGCAAAAGCCTTAGGGGTTTTTCACATTTCAAGATGGTGGCACTTCCGGTTCGATCGATAGACTTCATATATATTGTGCACGCATCAGTACTTTCTTAGCTAGTAACTAGTACAGAAATTTTTTTTTAAGGCAATCTGACCTATATTTTGTCAATTTTTTTGAAAAATTTGATCCTTAACTTCTCCAAGGGAAGATAAGTTAGAAAATTTCTAATGGCATCCTTCAAGTCACATCGGTAAGATCTGCTTACATTACTAATTTCATGAAAATCATCCAAATATTAAAGAAGTTGTCAAGAAAAAAGAATTATTAAAATAGCTCAAAAAACCACAAAGTCCCGACTATGCATTGTGAGGTTTTTCGTTCATGGTTTTAATCCACAGCCACCATCCATTCTTGGGAGGGGGGGGGGGGGCAAAGTTTCAGAAAGATCCATGGTTAGATTCTGAGATATAAGATTTATGGGGAAAATAACAAAACAAAAAATAATAAAACTAGCTCGAACAGAAACAATAACTGTCACAAGATCAGAGAAAGCCAGAAAAATAGAAAAAGTTTATGCATTACTGGTAGGCTACCTTTTTTTTTTGATTCATCCTCTACTTCAACTTTTTTATTTGCATATTACGTCCATTAAGAACAGTATACAAAACATACGCATACATCAATATACATGTATACAAAAATATATTTTACATGGAATAATATATTGGAATAACATGATATAATGAAATGAAAATAAAAATATAATAAGATATACCGGTATACATGTACCATTGGGATGATACAATGAAAATATAGCAATGAAAGTATAACAATGCATTTAAATGAAAGTTTATTCTAGACCATCTAACGAACAGACTATCTGTCCATGAATGGAATAATAAGCGGACAGATAGTAAATTAAGCGACAACCCTCATGAAAATTATTACTGGGTAGGCTACCATACCGTATCATGATTATATTATTATCATTGTGGCTGTTAAAAGGAAGGTGTGTGTGTATAACACCATCTTAGTGTCTTAATATTGACAACTAGAGTCTGAATAGTAAATAAGCAATGTCGATCTCAAATCTCTTTGACCATTGTACTAGGTGCACAAACATGAGAACAACCCCCCCCCCCTTCAACCCCATAATTTAAAGGAGCTAAATCGCTAATATTTGGGACCTAGAACTTGACCCAAATGGGTCGCAACGCATATAATAATGTAATCTGATTGTATATAAACTGATTTACATTCAAATGTTTCCGTTTTGACTCTTAATTTCAATTTCTAGCGTCTGGTTATTCCAGTCTATTGCGCATGCTCTCCACATAAGATATGGCGTGACCGTTCGACAGGAGTTGTGGAATATGTCTAGCCTCGTTCTTTCTGGTCACTTGTTACAAATGATGCAGAAACGCACTATGGTACACGATTCGTGTACCAATGGTAAAATGTTTATTTTGTCTTAAATATTGGATATCAGAAGCCTACCTTTTCCCGGTGAGATCACAACATCAATGTTGATTTGAATTGACAAATGGTAAAATGTTTATTTTGTCTTAAATATTGGATATCAGAAGCCTACCTTTTCCCGGTGAGATCACAACATCAATGTTGATTTGAATTGACAAATAATTTTCGTTTTCAACTTGTAAGACTTTGGATGATATTCAGTGGCGAATTAAGCTCCACCAAGGCCTGAGGCGGCAGTTGCTGGAGGGCCTATTTAGTTTTTAAATAGGGCCTATTTAAAATGGCGTGGGCCTAAATTTCGGGTCAGGGCCTATGTTGATTCCCGTTGGGCCTAAACCCAACCCCCCTAACATTCATTGTCTATGCGTTTTTAATCGCATCAGACAAGTCTAAAAAATTTTTTTTTACAAAATCTTTGGGCCTGAGGCTGCAGCCTCATCAGCCTCACTGATAATCCGCTACTGATGATATTTAGTTAGAGACTTAGCTACTTTAAATTAAGGGAGCCACGGTGGCTAGGTGTTTAAGACGCTGGCTCGCTAGCCTAGAGGTCGAATGTTCGATCCCTGCAATTGCCGAGAAAGTTTATCGGGATTTTCCGACGTGGTTTCCCCTTGTCAGTGGTGCAGAACGGAGGGCCGGACAAGGACAGCTGTAGTCCTTCAGACAAAAAACCGAGATCCTGTGTATACATTGGAATGCACGTAAAAGATCCCTTGGCAGTTGGAATTCGATATAAGAGTAGGCGATAGTGCCGCTGCAAAGGCAAAATTTCCCTCATAGCACACTGTATGCCTGTCTTAATAAGCCCAGTATAGGAGCAGAACAGTAACCCCATTTCATTTCATTTCACTTTAAATTAAAGGATATTTTTGTCCAGAATCTTATTTGCCATATAGACTACTTATATTGTAATAAATAGTGCATATTTCAATTTTAATCCTTTCATTAATCTGCATCGATTATACTGACTGCACTGTGCTGACTTTTTAAGGGCTTCTCTTTCTACTGGCTCTAGTCTAGAATCATCATTCGGACTTGGAGTTGGAGTTACCTTTTTGTTTGTTTTTATATGTTGATTGTTATAACGTAAGTTGACTTTATGAAATGCAAATAAATGTTGATTTTCATATAGCAACTAGCCTGAATTAAACTAAATATCTGATTGTTTACTTACAACAATAACAACTTGAAGAACCTTTTCTTTGAACGGTCAATTAATATGTACCACTACCAGTATTCGTCTTTTTGGAATGACAAACCTTGACCTTGATCGGGCGCTGGTCTCAAAGTGACCATGAACCTGCCTTGAACCTGGCCATACATGTTGATGACGTGCATAGAGTATAGTTTCTATATATAACTCTATGATAACGGGCAATCAACTAGTTTCGGTCATCCAGAACCTCCTAGTCTTCGTAGAATATTTTTCTGGATGATAGAGACCATAGATATCCCACCTATGTGATATGATCATAGACATACTTATTATTATTATGGATATGATAGGTTGAGCTGAAGTTCAGCGGACGTTACGCTGAGCGGACATTTTATGACTTTGACCAACATCGTCGAAAGCTGCGGTTAACAAAACACAATGTTTAGCCGTTGAAGTGAGCGTACGGAATGAATAACAAATGTCCGCACTACTAATCGTCTAATCTATTCAAACCACTGAAGACACACAATAATTGGCACGAAATGAAACAGTCTTTATCCCCCATTTCTGTAGCACCATAGGCCTAGATAATTTCGGAAAGTCACTGGAATATACCGCAAAACAGGTTAAACAACAAGAAAGAGGGATAAACCATACGTATTGAGTGGCTCAAGAACATGAAATTGAAACAGCAGACGTTTCCTAGAGTAGAACGGATTTCAGATTATAGCTGAGGACTTTCAAGAATAATCTATGGTGCCACACGAAAGAGGGATAAACACTCTTTCATTCAATGCTAAGTATTGCGCGGCTCAAGAAAATGAAATAGTAGCGGTGTTTAGTAAAGCACAATGGACATTAAAAGGGGGGGGGGGCAGCTTTCCTGGGACGGGTTTAAGACTGAATCGAGGGCTTTAAGAAATTATCTATGGTGCCACATGAAAGATGGATAAACACTCTTTAATTCCATGTCATGTATTTAGTGGCTCAAGAAAATAAAATAGCAGCAGCCGTTTGGTAAAACAGAATTGACAAACAAGACGAGGGGGGGGGGGGGTACTGCTTCCTTGGACGGATTTCAGATTATGCTGAGGACTTTCAAGAATAATCTATGGTGCCACACGAAAGAGGGATAAACACTCTTTCATTCAATGCCAAGTATTGCGTGTCTCAAGAAAATGAAATAGTAGCGGTAGTTTGGTAAAGCACAGTTCACAAAGAAAGAGTAAGGGGGGGGGGCGTTTCGGACGTACGTATTTCAGAGGATTTTAAAGAATAAGCTATGTTGCAACATAAAAGAGGGATAAACACTCTTTAATTCCATGCCATGTATTGAGTGGCTCAAGAACATGAAACAGCAGACGTTTAGTATGATTATGGACATAAAGGGGGGGGGGGCAGCTTTCATTGGACGGATTTAAGACTGAATCGAGGGCTTTCAGAAATAATCTATGGTGCCACACGAAAGAGGGTAATATATCTCGAAAAGCCCTCATAGGAGGCTTCTTGATTTTTGTATTCTAGTAGTTTATTCATCCCTTGACTCTGTGAAATACAAAACATTTTGCCACCAAAGCTGGTTTAAGTACTTTTTGATGCAGCTTGGGCGTACCCCTTGTTTATTGTACCCACGAACGTCGCCTCGAATTGGGTGCTAGGAACTTTGTGGTGGTATATCTCGATACGCCAACATAGAAAGTTAATGAAATTTGGCATGTTTATATCTTATACATCTGTCGATCTGGTGAAATAACGATCTTGGAGCCACCAAAGCTAGTTTAGAAGTTATTGCGTGCGCAATGAGCCTATACACTAACCCGATACCCCATAGTTTTAGTATGTTTACGGTAATATATCTCGAGAAGCCAGCATAGGAGGCTTCTTGATTTTTGTATTCTAGTAGTTTATTCATCCCTTGACTCTGTGAAATACAAAACATTTTGCCACCAAAGCTGGTTTAAGTACTTTTTGATGCAGCTTGGGCGTACCCCTTGTTTATTGTACCCACGAACGTCGCCTCGAATTGGGTGCTAGGAACTTTGTGGTGGTATATCTCGATACGCCAGCATAGAAAGTTAATGAAATTTGGCATGTTTATATCTTATACATCTGTCGATTTGGTGAAATAACGATCTTGGAGCCACCAAAGCTAGTTTAGAAGTTATTGCGTGCGCAATGAGCCTATACACTAACCCGATACCCCATAGTTTTAGTATGTTTACGGTAATATATCTCGAGAAGCCAGCATAGGAGGCTTCTTGATTTTTGTATTCTAGTAGTTTATTCATCCCTTGACTCTGTGAAATACAAAACATTTTGCCACCAAAGCTGGTTTAAGTGATTTTTGATGCAGCTTGGGCGTACCCCTTGTTTATTGTACCCACGAACGTCGCCTCGAATTGGGTGCTAGGAACTTTGTGGTGGTATATCACGATACGCCAACATAGAAAGTTAATGAAATTTGGCATGTTTATATCTTATCCATCTGTCGATTTGGTGAAATAACGATCTTGGAGCCACCAAAGCTAGTTTAGAAGTTATTGTGTGCGCAATGAGCCTATACACTAACCCGATACCCCATAGTTTTAGTATGTTTACGGTGATATATCTCGAGAAGCCAGCATAGGAGGCTTCTTGATTTTTGTATTCTAGTAGTTTATTCATCCCTTGACTCTGTGAAATACAAAACATTTTGCCACCAAAGCTGGTTTAAGTGCTTTTTGATGCAGCTTGGACCTACCCCTTGTTTATTGAACCAACGAACCCCGCCTCGAATCCGGGTGCTAGGAACTTTTCGGTGCCTACACATCTTCTTAACAAGCTTTGAAATAAGCTGTTAGTCAGTTACTGACAATGTCATTCAAAAATTCATGTTTGTCTGGATAAATCGTATGGTGCCTGTCATTTTGGTACACATAGATTATCTCAGATTTAACAAAAAATGAATATTTCCAGGCCTTCCCGATTATAAAATTAGTCAATAATATGTGGCTAATGGAAAAAGTATACAAGTTATCCCAAACTAGCTCGGCGTTACGAAATTTTGGGGTGTTCTTATGTAAACTACTTAAATACAAATAGTTATTCTTTACAACCCTTATGAAAAAGTCCAATTGAAAATGTATAGGTTCCTAGGAACTTTGTGGTGGTATATCACGATACGCCAACATAGAAAGTTAATGAAATTTGGCATGTTTATATCTTATCCATCTGTCGATTTGGTGAAATAACGATCTTGGAGCCACCAAAGCTAGTTTAGAAGTTATTGTGTGCGCAATGAGCCTATACACTAACCCGATACCCCATAGTTTTAGTATGTTTACGGTGATATATCTCGAGAAGCCAGCATAGGAGGCTTCTTGATTTTTGTATTCTAGTAGTTTATTCATCCCTTGACTCTGTGAAATACAAAACATTTTGCCACCAAAGCTGGTTTAAGTGCTTTTTGATGCAGCTTGGACCTACCCCTTGTTTATTGAACCAACGAACCCCGCCTCGAATCCGGGTGCTAGGAACTTTTCGGTGCCTACACATCTTCTTAACAAGCTTTGAAATAAGCTGTTAGTCAGTTACTGACAATGTCATTCAAAAATTCATGTTTGTCTGGATAAATCGTATGGTGCCTGTCATTTTGGTACACATAGATTATCTCAGATTTAACAAAAAATGAATATTTCCAGGCCTTCCCGATTATAAAATTAGTCAATAATATGTGGCTAATGGAAAAAGTATACAAGTTATCCCAAACTAGCTCGGCGTTACGAAATTTTGGGGTGTTCTTATGTAAACTACTTAAATACAAATAGTTATTCTTTACAACCCTTATGAAAAAGTCCAATTGAAAATGTATAGGTTCCTATGGAATTTTGTCGGATTCTATAGAACGCTATAGGATAGGCCTACTACAGGAAAACAAATTCATTCTGTAGTTTTTTTCACGTGACTATAGAATCAAACAAAACAATTTACTATAGTTTTGTGTAGGATCCGTACGGTAGATGAGTTTTTTTATTCGCCCACATTTTCATGTGGATGTATATTGTCATCGCCTCTGTCCGCAATTTGTTTGTGGACACTCTACAGGTCACAATTTTTATTCAATTTTGACGAAACTTAAAATATAGGTCATTGTCATATATCGGACCATAACTTCATGAATTATGGCTCCTGATTGTACGAAAAATCACGTTTTTAGCCCGCGGACACTCTAGAGGTCACAATTTTCATCTGATCTATGGGGCGCTGTTTGTAAATTAATTATTTAGCTTTTTATATAGAAAAAAACACTTCTCTAGCTTGATTAGACCAGACTGGTGTGTTTGAGTCGATGGTTTGAGTCATTTGGGATCCCTGCAACGGGTTGGGGACGGACATATTTGGGTCTGAGAAAAGGCACTTTCAGCAGTAAAAAAGGGCAATACGAAGGTTGTAGACCCTCTAGAGGTCACAATTTTTATCCGATTTTAATGAAACTTAAAACATATCTTTATATCCCAAAGATCTCAGTCCCTTTTGATATTTGTGCATTTCAGACCATAACTTTCTGGATTATTGCCCCTGATTGTACAAAAAAATCCCGTTTGTTTTTAGTTTGTTCTCTATCTCTTGCAAAATGTGGGCGTATCCTTTCAATATTCACGCATATCGGATCATAACTAACTGAATTATGGCCCTTGATTGTACGAAAAATTGCGTTTTTAGCTTGTGGTCTCTCTAGAGGTCACAATTGTTATCCGATTTAAAAAAACATTTGAATATATCACCGTTACACCTAAATGATGGTTGATCTGATTTTGATGAAACTTGAAATATTTCTTTATCCAAAAGATCTTGGTTCCTGTCGATATTTGCGCATATCAGATCGTAACTTCCTGAAGTATGGTCCTTAATTGCACGAAAAACCGCATTTTGTTTTAGCTTGTTCTCTATCCATCTCTTGCAAAATGCGGATGTATCCTGCCTGGCAGCCGCTGGTTCCAAATGTAATTTCCTATAGAATTTTGTAAAATACTGTCAGTAATTGAATAATCCTACACTTTTCTATAGCCTTTGTGGTAAAAACTGTAGTTTACTATAGAAATAAGATAGGTTGCCAGGCAATGAAACATACGCCCACAGCAGCTAAATCGTCCAGGCGGTCAACAAGGTTGTCACATACTTATTCTTTTGTAGGTAA